TATTACCTCCCTCAACTCGACTTTACACCTCCCATACCAATACCTCGTACTTCCCCTTCCTCTCCGTCTTCTTATACTTTACCTTCTTATCACACATCATCTATACTTCTCTCCCTAGCCCAACAGCATAGCATACCTCGGTATCCACCCGTCCTCTCTACTTTCACTGCACTTACCCTTTTGGACCTCTTTATAATCCATAAACACTGCGAACTACCCACTCTTCATCTTCTGCCACAGTCGCTAGAACATCTAGAAACACTAATCCAATTTTTCACTAATCCAATTTTCAACACTAATCCGACTATCAACACTATCCATTTTTCATATTACCTCCCTCAACTCGACTTTCAGACCTAAAATCTCAATTTCGACCCTTCCCTAACTCACGAAGCGGAAGTACAGAGAGCGCACAAAGACATGAAACACATAAACAAGACAACTGCTATTCTACCCACAGCGCCCCCTCTCCTCCCTGACTCCTCCTCGCTCTGCTACACCGCCTCGAAATCCCCCACCCATACACGAGTACACTCCCACACCACACTATAACGTCCTTGCTATCTTATACATCATTATATACGACACGAACCTCGGCAGTTTAGACCCTCCAGATTTCGCCATTTTTTCCACCCTCTCCTGGATGTTAAGCACTCAATCGAGTCAGCAGCTCCAAAAGTAGCGTTCCGCAGCTTTCCCTTGATGCAGCGCCCTGCTTCAGACTAGCCAGCCCCTCGCCATACGCTGTCCGGTCACGGGAGCACCACGCCCTTGTCATACACTCTTGATCACGGGACACTACGCCCGTTTCTACCTTCTACACCCAGACACCATCGTACCTCGGCTGTTTAGACCCTTCAGATTTTGCCATTTTTTCCACCCTCTCGTGAATGTTAAGCACTCAATCGATACGGCAGCTCCCAACTGTAGCATTCCGCACCTTACCTTGGGTGAGCTCCCTGCTTCAGACTAGCCAGCCCCTCGCCATACGGTGCCTGGTCATGGGAGCACTACGCCCCATCCCTACCCCTCCACCCAGACACCATCGTACCTCGGCTGTTTAGACCCTCCAGATTTCGCCATTTTTTCCGCCCTCTCCTGGATGTTAAGCACTCAATCGATTCGGCAGCTCACAAAAGTAGCGTTCCGCACATCCCCTTGGGTGAGCTCCCTGTCCCAGACTTGCCAGCCCTCGTCATACACTCTTGATCACGGGAGCACTACGATCCTGGAAACACCGCTTGAAGCGGCTACCTCAACACCGGATCGCGTGACCCCCTCAAGCCCTAATTTGCGTCAGGCCTGGGTGGATTACAATATACGGTACACTCTTGATCACGGGAGCACTACGCCCGTTCCTACCGCCTCCACCCAGACACCATCGTACCTCGGCTGTTTAGACCCTTGAGGTTTCCACACTTCCCGCACTATTTTTCAGCTTACGACCTCTATCATATTATGCACCCCAGGAGTAGCTCTAGAGTACCTCCAAATACGCCGCCCAGACTTGCACCACACTATAACGTCCTTACTTACTTCTAATATTACACCCGGACACCATCGTACCGCACCCCCCTGGCGTACATCACTGCCACCACCATGTACAGCGGCACACTCTGGTTGTCGCTCAGCTGCACGCCGACGCTCATCAGTCTCAGCCAGTGGGTAAACAGCTTCACCGCCGGCAGCTCCGGGAACCTCGTGTACACCGCCGAGCGAAACTCAAGGTTGTAAAACAATCCAAAATGCATCAGCTTGTACATGTACCACGCCACACGGACTTTCGGCGCCCGCCGCTCGCCCTTGACGTACACCCGGCGCTTCTCAAAGTCTTTGGCGCTGTTGTACAGGTACGCCATCTCCTGCTCGCCTTCAAAACTGCGCCGGGAGGTACTCTTCTGTCACAGGAAAAGTCACGCAGCCACGGCAGCTTGCGGCTGCGCCGTCTCAGCTGGACGCACTTCCAAGTCTCCCACGTAGGTGCGCTCGTGCACCGCTTCAACCTGCCAGCGTTGAAATAAGCTACGATCTCTCTGTCTTCCAGCATCTCCCATAGCCTGTTGTATTCCCTCTTGATCATGAGATCACCGCCGTCAAAGCCCGACGGCCTCTGGATCCGCATACGCCGGTCTAGCAGCGCATGGTAGTTACGGTACACCCGCCGATACGCGCCCATCACTGTGTCCCGATTCATGGCAAACTCAATGAGCCAGCCGGGCAGCGTTTTCTCCATGCACAGGTGCAGCTCGTCCTCGTACTGATCTGGCGGGTAGATTCCACTGAGAAAGGCCATTGCTTCCTGCGCCATACTACGCAGGCTCTGCTCATGTCCCTCTGGCCGCTCTGACCAGCAGAGGCACGACACGCGCGGCTGCAAGCATCCTGCGCACTGCTCCTCCGTGTTGTATCTGAAGAGGATGATGTTAGCAAAGTAGCGATGGTCGATGCCGTAGAGAGTCATGTCCCGGTGCTCCAGCCCAGTGAACCCGAGAAACTCAAACACACTAGCTTTCCCTTTGTACTTATCTCGCAAGAGCGATTTGAGCAGTGAAGTGCTCTGGGTGACGGTATCCTCGGGGGGAGAGGCAGACCGGCCATCTTCGGAAGAGCTACTGAGAAACACCCAGTCGTCAATAGGAGCTGCCGTACTAGTTGGCTGGTGTTTTTGTTTTTTGCTTTGGGGGCCATCTTCACAGCCCTCTTGGCGGTCCTCCCCTTGGCCCACCCCATTGAACAGCACTTGTCCACACAGCCGCCTGGTCTCCCCCGTCACACTGTCAAAGCTCCCACAGCATCCCGCATGGCCCTTTTCCCCTCCCCCTCCTTGCGCAGCTCATAGTACCCGCAGATCTGCCGCGTAGGACACTTCGTATAGTCCATGTACATTGCACTGTCTCTCTTGTCCTTCCAGAACGAGTCGCTGTTCCACAGCGCTATCGCTATGCCGTGCTCCCGCACCCGTCCCACGCACTGGATGTACTCGGAAACCCTGGGCTCATAATCGATCAGCAGCACCATCCGCAGCGATGCCACGTCGAGACCCTCCGCCACCAGCTTCGTGCCTATCAGCACATGCTGCCTCTCGTCGTGCAAAAACTGGTGCACACGCCGCACCTTCTCTTGTGTGTCAAGTCCCCCGTGGACATACGCTCCATTGAACCTCTGCTCGAGCTCCTTGAAAGCCTGCTCCACTTGGTGTTTTCTGCCCAGCACCAGGACGGCCTTGGCTTTGGGCTCGTGCGCAAACAGGCGCTCCAGCAACGTCGCTGCTTGAGACACTCCATCTCCCTCCAGCCGCATCGCGTGCTTGTAGACGTGGGTCACTGCGGGCCGGCGAACGTAGTTCCGCAACTGGATGGGCACGTTCTTGAGTCGGCAATCCTCACCCTCTCCGCTCCAGGTGTGCTCAAGGTGCACACTGCCCCCGAACCCCAGCGTGCGCAGTGCTTTTGGAGCCGTGTTTTGAGCCCCCGTCGCGGTGACGAGAACCACTCGCTCGAAGTGCTGTGTACGGCACAAATACAAAGGACACCATGCCATGATTCCGCCGTGCGTGGCAGATGAGTGAAAGCTGAAACAACAGGGTCTTGCCAAACCCGGTCGGGGCCTGGACTGCGACAACCTTGGGCCCACCCAGGTAGACATCCACACACGCCATACTCTGCTCAATGCTCTTAAAGACAAAGTCGCTACCGTACAGCTCTTTGCCAGCCATGACCAGGTCCTCTGCGCTGCGCTCGTCGTGGACATACGCTCCATTGAACGTCCGCTTCTGAGCATCTGCCAACACCACCTCCGGATCGCTCTCAAGCCCCAACCACCGTATCCACCGCTTGGAGATCTCCTCCTGCATGGAATATGCCGTTGAGTGGTCCACTCCCTCAAACGTGAACTTGTCCACGCCGTACACTTGCATCCCTGTTTGCACCGAGTGTCCTGCCAGAAGCTCTGATGCAGCAATCCGCATGGGCTCCGTATCGCCTAGCTCGTCGCGGAGATACCGCCGCGTGACTGCAATCATCCCGTGTCTCATCTGGCGAAAGTTGAGTCTTTCGCGCGGCGCTGTAGTCTTGGGTGCGGCTGCCACCGTCATCTCGTCAGAATTGTATAAATACCAGGCCTTTGTTCATGTAACAGAGCCAACTCTAATGCCTAAAATAATCACGGAGATAAATAGAATTCCATAGATCCAAGTAACTCATCTTACCATGTCTATCAACGAATTACAAGATAAATTTAGCAAGCTTTCTACTAGTGAATCACATTCGCCTCAATAAATAGAATTCCCTATCCAAGTCACTCATCTTACAATGTCTATGAACAACGTACAAGACAAATTCAGTAAGCTTTCTACTAATGAATCAGATTTGCCTCAATAATACTTTTCGCCAAAACTTTAGATGTCGCGCGCTTTAGCATCCGTCTCAATGCTGACATCGATAACCTTCTCAATTCCTTCAATAACACAGGAGGGTTGAGCTGATAGCAACTCTTTTTCTTCCTTTTGTTGCTTTCCAGTGGAAATGTTCCATAGTTTGCGTAGTGTTTCTCTGCTCTGGTAAACTGGCAATAAAATGATAATTGTGGCGGCAAGTAGAAGCCAAATCATGACAACAATTACCCAGCCACGGAAGAACCTCCTCGAATAGATGTAATTTTGACCGTACATGGGCATTGGTATCAAAAAGATCAAAATAAAGAATAGTGACCATGCAATGATCTGGGAGTATAAGGAGTATTTTCTTAGTTCTTGCTTCTCTTTAGGATCAGTGATTTTCATAGCTGTGGCTTCTTCGACGGTAGCATCATCGGCAGCAACGAAATTTCATCTAGACTGTCAAAGTCGTAAGGAGTTTCGTCAGGTTTCACTAAAGAAATGATGACAATGAAGATCAGGGAGCCAAAAAGACCGATGAAGTTACCAACCGCACATGAATATTGTTGGCCAAGCGTGTCTTTGTTGACACTGCCGTAGAAGGCCTTGGCAGAACCGCACCAGCTAATAAGTGCGACAATTGAAGCCAAAGGTGGACCAACAACAATAGAAAGCTTGGTCATTCTACTCCAGAAGAGACTCAAAGTGAAAGCAAATACACCAGGTCCCAGAATGACACCAATGAAACTGATAATCCAACTGATGGTGATGCCAATATAATTGAACACGACTGTCAAACCACCCATAGCCAACGCAAAGAGGGTGACACAGATGTGGGTGACGCTGACAAGCTGCTTACCACTAGCTCTTGGATTAATGTAGGCCCGGTAGACATCGTAGGTGACAACAGAAGAGAAACCGATCAGTTCAGCAGAAGTGGCAGAAGTGGCCGCTAGCCAGATCATAAGTAGACCTGCAGCGCATCCACTCTTTCCCAAAGTCAGAAACAGCCCGTAGAGCATAGGAATACCCTCATTGACAAGGGTGGTTGGGACCAAATTTGGATAAGTCGGGGATGCAGGGTCGTTGACCAAAGCCAGGTTTGCCAAGGAAGAAGCCAAGGAAAGAGCCAATGGAATAACTAGCCAACATAGACCACCTAGAAAGTAGCCAAACATACTAGACTTTGGCTTAGCAGCAATCGCCTTTTGAGAGTAAGATGGGTCGCAAAACACAGTGGAGAAACCGCCGATGACGATGTTCCAACCGTTCAGCAAGGCAGTCTTGTTGGTCCAAGTCAGGTAAGACCCCTTGTAGCCTGCCGATGGATGTTCTTTAGCAACCTCGGTGAGCATATCGTACATCTTGTCGATAGAACCAATTTTTTCCGATCTCGTGTAGGTGTTGAAGATGCTGATGATGATCACAAGGTAAATGATGATGGTATGGAACCAGTCTGAAATAAAGGTACTCTTAAGCCCACCGATGACGGTAAACACAAACACACCAATTGGCAAGAGCATGGCAGCAGCGACTAAATGCTTGCCGGTGATGACATGAATGGCCTGGCAACCTCCCAGCAGCAGCATCGCAGAAATAATAACATTGGTACCCAAAGCGTAAAAGAGCATCACCCAGTGAGCGACCCTGCCAAATCTGGCTTTGACAATCTCAAGAATTGTGTGGGCACCAGGAGCCTTCCGTTTTATTTCCAACGCCAGGACAGAAAAGAAGGTAATTTGGATTGTGAACGCAAATGCATACCAGGCACCTCCACAAATACCATACGAATACGCCATCCCACTTGATGTCAGTAGCGTGCCGGGCCAGGTCCATGATGATACCGACGGCTGATGCGATCAGACCGGACGAGGTGTTGCGACCCGAGGTGGTGAATCGTTCCGAGTTCTGTTTCTCGTCGAGTAGACTCGACAGAATCCTTGTGATGAAGATCATCAGTGCTGCAAACCCGGCAGCTAGCACAAGTATATAGCAGTAACCATAAGCTTGCTCTAGAATTGGCTCAACCATTGCGAAAAGTGCTGCTAGTTTATGTTCCCGCTATGATGCTGTGTTGAAAGTGCTGGCTGGTGACTTCTATCGCTCGTTTTATACAGTCAGGATAGCGAGGATTCGTATTGGCAAGGCCGTCGCATTCTCACATGGCTAAATACAGCTATTATTGCCCGAAAGACAGAGCAACGCACAAGAAGACGAGATGAGTTAGGGGGTATATTGTCTCGCGTTTATCAGTTTTATCATTCTCTGCTTTGTGGTTTCCTGTGAAAGATATCCATCATCTACCTATCTTGCCTGCATAACCTTGTTGGTTTTTCGAAACGGTTATCCAGCGATATTCCGGCTGTTGCGTACTTGGCATCAGCGCTATCGCACTCGGATAAGGCTCCGAGAGATACCCGACCACTATGCAGACATTGTGATCAGTTGACGCTGCAGCAGGTGCAGCACTAATCAGGGGGGTGTTGGAAGCAGTCGACTGATGTGGCTAGCCCTTAGCTCGGTATCAGTTTGTTATTACATCTGTATCGCATGCTTGCTACAAGTGTAGAGCGCAATTTGGCCTTTTGGGGCAAAAGCTTTCTTGGTTATGGCATTCACGATGCCTGACAACCGACCGATATATCCTTCGAGCGTCCGTTCTAGGGGGTTCTTATTGTGGCGCTTCTCACAGCTCGAGGTATTTGTCCATAGGCACGGCTCTCTAATTTACGTTGATCAGCGATGAGGGGAACCCTTATCTCGATTGATAAGTATTTCGACTGTTGATAAATTAAAGCTACAGTCAGAATCGAGGTTATTAAGAAGACCAGCCGCAGAAAACAAGTAGTATATAAAGTATCTATGCGACATATAGTGCTCAATTGAATAAGGGCGTCTGTTTAGATTCAAGTACTAGAGACGTGTGACTTCCCCCAATCATGTCCGAGTACATTGTTAAAATCGATTTAGACAAGCCCGCTTACGAACAGGCTGGCGTACACAACCGTTGGCATCCAGACGTACCGGCTAATGCCAGTATTAAACAGAACAAATCGTACAAGGCCGAATGTTTCGACTGGACAGGCGGTCAAGTCGGCAACAATGACTCTGCTGATGATATCAAGTACTGCGATTTGAGCAGAATACACTATTTGTCTGGACCATTTTTTGTGGAAGACTGCGAGCCGGGCGACGTCCTGAAAGTTAGTATCCAGGACGTCCAACCTCTCGAACGTCAGCCTTGGGGTTATTGTGGTGTCTTCGCCAAGGAAAATGGTGGTGGATTTCTTGACAAACATTACCCTAAGGCAGCAAAGGCCGTATTTGACTTTGAAGGTATTTATGCCACTTCTCGTCACATTCCCGGTGTGAAGTTCCCAGGTATCTGCCACCCGGGCATTATAGGCGTTCTGCCAAGTCATGAAGTGCTAGCAGAATGGAACTCTCGTGAAACGACTCTCGTTCAGGCCCACCCTCACGCCGATTTCGTCATGGCCAATTTGCCGAACGAACACGGCGCCTATGCTGGAATCAACGCCACTGAGGAACAGCAAAAAGCAGTAGCTAGCTACGGTGCGCGTACCATTCCGGGCCGTCCAGAAAATGGGGGTAACTGTGACATTAAAGCCCTCACCCGGGGCTCGACGGTTTATCTGCCCACCTATTTGCCAGGTGGTATGCTCTCACTTGGTGATCTTCACTTTTCTCAAGGGGATGGTGAAATTAGCTTCTGTGGTGCCATCGAAATGGCCGGCTGCATTACGTTTAGCGTCTCCGTAATAAAGAACGGTATGAGGAAACTCGCGATGAAATCTCCAATGTACTTGCCGTCACCAGTCGCTCCACGTTTTGGACCCGACCGTTACTTGACATTCGAAGGCTTCAGTGTTGATGAAGAGGGTAATCAGCTTTGCCTAGATACCACCGTGGCCTACCGTCAGACATGTCTTCGTGTGATCGAGTACCTGCGTAGATATGGTTACAACGATTACCAGATTTATCTACTGTTGTCCACCGCACCAATTGAGGGTCATATAGCGGGCATTGTCGATGTTCCGAACAGTTGTACTACCATCGGGCTGCCTATGGATATCTTTGACTTTGACATCTCCCCAGAAGGGGAGGTGGTGAAGAAAGATATGAGCAACTGCGCTTTTGCCGAAGACGATCTAAGAGAAGGATTTGCATTCACCAAGGAACTGTAATGACATATATGTGTATCCTAGAAGGGACTCCTATCTAAAACTATAAGTATATGTTGATAGAGAGCCCTATTCTGGAAAAAAGCGGGAGATCCTCCAGTGATCTAGAACACAATTGTAAAGACAACCAAGAAACTGGCGGCTTTGATGGGATATTGATATCACTAAACTCAGGGAGCCTGTGCTGCGTTTGTATTCCCAGCCGTGAAATTTTCGTTCAGTAAGTACTCCATTCCTTTGTAAAAGCCCCCATTTTGCATGCTATGACAATCAATGAAAACACTGACAGCACTATGTATGCATTTACATTCCATCCTTTCACATATTTCAGCTCTCGAAATTTTCATTGCTCGAACTTATGGAGCCGCGCTGATCATCATTCTTCCATAATAATTTGCTAGCTATCAGCACCGTAAAAATATTAATAAGCATAACTTTGAAATCAATCCATATTTCTACAATCCCATGTCAAGGTTTGCCGTACGCCTCGAAAGCTGCTAGTTGCCACTCGTAACAACAAACTATTCAATGTTTACGTTCTTTCCGTATCGCTTGTAGTGCGCGAGATGTATTAAACAATTACTAAGACCACGATGTACACAGGCAAAACACATTGAACACGTACGATTATCTACCGCCCTTGGTAATGAACTTTATCCAAGCCAATGCCAGCTCAACGGACACTTCGAGTATAAAATGCACCTCCTTGGACATTTTAACCTGGACCTTCCTCCCTTTCCACACACCTCATCACGAAAATGACCGCTGGAACACTATACGCTATTAAGAATGCAAGGGGGATGCTGCCCCGGGCTCTAGTTGAGTGGCTCGAACTGGACATCGAGCTCGTCAACCCTAGTGACAAAGCTGAGGAGTTTAAAAGTTTATTTCCCTTGGGAAAGAACCCCGCCTATCAGGGCCGCGATGGCTTTCAATTGACCGAAGTTATCGCAGTTCTGTACTACCTGGTCAACTTGAAGGGTGATGCAGAGTTAGAGAAGACATTTTACGGAACCACGCTCGAGGAACGTTCTCAAGTGCTCAGATTTTTGTCTTATACAAACCATGAAATTACCCAAAGCACAATTGCGGTGGTTACAGCAGCTAGATCCAATGCGGCGCAAGAGCATTATGATGAAAAGCTCTCCCAGTGTCTTGCATGCTTCGGGTACTTGGAGAAGCGCTTGACGGAACACGAGTTTCTCGTGGATGACCAAATCACTATTGCCGATTTGTTCACTGCCACTATATGCGCAACTCTGTATGGATTTGCGCTTGGAAAGGATAAGTTTGGTGGCTTTTCCAAGCTCAGTGAATGGCTCTCCAAGGTTTTGCAGCACCCAGTGTTGAAGGGCAAAGTTGACACTTCAACGTTTGTAGAGACTACCATTTCACTTCCTCCAACTAAATGATAGATATTTGTAGGCCAGTGAGTGCCGATCCTACATGTGGTAATCTGGTAAATGTTTTTATCAACCATTCTTCTCCGGAGTCACCCAAACTCCGGTGCACATTAAATGGTGAGGTCAACTGTGATTGACATCGCTTAGCATCAGGTATTTATAGAAGGAAACAATCTAGTCCATCATAAAATTGTACAATCAATTCCATTTGAAATTCAAGTTGTTAAAGCAAACTGGGCAAGTTTTGCATCACCTACAGCTGAAATAAGGTTGCTTTTCCCAAAAAATTCTCTATGCCAACAGATGTGAGGCCATAAATTGCAGCTTCGTAACAAGGTCTCTCGATAGCGAGCGGAGATCGGAACTAAATCCTAATTGGCCACCTAGCATGAGCACGTAAATATAAGGTTTATCAGTTGGGATGCTGCAACAGCCAAGACATTGTCAATGAATCTTATCCAAAAGGTCAAAAGTTGCAGTTCCGCCACCCTGCTGTCTTCCTCCGTGATTGAACACAAAAATGCCTTCCATACTAGCATTGACTTCTTGAACAGACTGCACGGCTTCTAAAAGGATGGGATTCTCAGAGTTATACAAAGAAACTGAGGGTCATTCTACCCCTGCACGAAGGCAACTCTCTCGTAAAGATACGGTACAATGTGAATAAGAATCCTGGACAGGGCACCACTACAATATGATTGAAGCTCACAACATGTATTTGCCACATAATATATACCACTGTTTTGGCCTGACAACCTTGATTAACTATTTTCGACAGATGTCCAAGTCAAAAACTTATTGTGACAAAAGTACCATCAAAAGTCTATTTCTTTTCCATTTTCAAAATTTGGGCCGTAGTATCATCCACAGTTTCGCGGAAGGTCTTGAACTTGAAACCAAGCAGGGCCTTGGTTTTGGAGTTGTCTAATGTTGCAACACTGCTCAACCTCTCTTTACTGGAACCGGGCTTTCCTACAGCAATTTTGCCCTTCAGCTCCGGGAAGTCTGCATTGATAGTGTCAGCAAAATCTTGCAAAGTGAATCTATCTTCTGAAAGAATTAATCTCTGTCCGATCAAATCTTCTCTTTCGAATGCAAGTTGGTGGGCTTTCGAGACATCTCGGACATCTATGAAACCGCCAAATAAGACCTCATCTACATCACTCTCGGGACTCGAGTGAACAATATTGTTGATAAATTCGCAGGAAGTGTTCAATTGACTAGAGACATTTTCATCAAATAGTTGAGGTCCCAAAACAAAGACTGGGTTGACAGTAGTCAGTTTGAAGCTCACAGTGTCCTTATTGCTCTCTAAAAAGTCCCACGCGACCTTTTCTGCGAAGGTCTTCGATCCATAGTAGGCAGTCATGGCATCATTTTTGGCTGCATCCCAAGTAACAGGGTTCCACGACTCTTCTGTAAATGTCTTGGTTTTGTCGCTATCTCCGGCAAAATCAGTGACGGCCGCGTAAGAGGAAGTAACTACTACCCTTTCGACAGTAGTAGCAGCATATTTCTTGATCGACTCAAGGATTCCCTTGGTACCGTTGACTGCAGGAATTAACAGATCCTTCTCATATTCAGTAGTTGAAAAGTGGAATGGAGAGGCAGTGTGTAACACTACAGAAATCTCCTTTCCGTGTTTTTCAAAAGCATCGTCAAATGCGCCTGCTTTAGCAATATCAGGCACAATTGCGAAGCTCAAGTTCTGATTGTTGTTGAATTGCTTTGACAACCGGTCAGCCTTTTCTTGACTTCTAACCGAGCCAATGACCTTATAACCACTTTGCAACAAGTCTCTTACCACATAAAGGGCAATGAAACCAGAAGCTCCTGATACAAAAACCGTCTTCATTTTTGGATTTATCTTGAGAAGCTCTCTTACAATATGCTGCTGACGCTAACTTACAAGCATATGTGGCCTACTTATACTATCTTTACCTTCATGTCATACGTCGCTAGTATGACAATTTTTTGAGGCCAAAGCAATAATCGGTCGTGTTACATGCAAAAATATGATGAAGGGAAACGAACTTAGGCCTCAATCGCCATTCAAGATCAAACTTCGTCATTTTAATGATAAATTTTGTCAGCACTTAACTCCTTTCGCCTAAAAATTGGTAGCTCTCGGATACCGCTAACTTATACTTCACAAATCCTGGGCTGTCTTACTACATATTTATTTGTTGAACGGAAACGGTCCAAGAAGTTGAAATGGTGTTGTCACATCATATTAACGTGAAGGTCTTTCTTTAAGATCTGTATTTGTTTAACTGGGCTTACTCTTGTAAATGGTTTATCCCTTAACCTTTCAGGTAATTATCGATTGACTTCTTTTAAAAAATATTAGGCACGCCAGTAGACAAAAGATAGCAGCTTATCTTATAGCCTTTAGTTTAAGAGAAGGGCACCAATTTCTCTAGAAATATATCTGAATTTCCTATCCTCTCGAATGCTTCATCGGAGACGGGGATATGGCGTTAGTGAGCTGAATACGGTAAGCGATTTTAATTAACAATTGATGCCGCTTAGCAGCACAGGACTGAGTATAATTCACTTTGAGGCACATTTCGTGTACCTCGTGTATCAAGGATTCTCTATAGTCGAACAAGATCGGTGATAAATTTGTTACCTTGACGCGTCAGTGTTTTAGGAGCAATTTGGTATTGGTCTCCGAGATAGTAGAATGTAGTCGACGCTTGAACCTACCTTAAATTTGCAGAGCTCAAGAGACCAGCTTTTTCCTGCACGGCTAACGGGGATATTCATCTATTGATGTGTGTTTCTCACCTATTTCCTTACCATATTGCAGTCCTGAATTTTATATACCGGTGTAAAAAAGGTTATTCTATTATAATAGCTCGACACTGAAATATTAATCCGCCTTGTACTGTTGAAGTGCTCGAAAATTAATCAACGGGGACATTCTTAGCCAAATAATCGTAAAATTGAGGCTTACATTTGTATTCTAACAAATCCTCAATAGCCGAGCCATACCTTATCAGCTTAGGCTCTTGCCAGGCTGATTGTATTATTCCTAGGCCAAATGGCCGCCCATTCGACTGTTTGACACCTACTGGTAGCGTAATCATAGGATATCCAGCTTTCGCAGCTTGTTGGTAAGTTATAGAATTGCCGCTGGGTACTAAAAGCCCATCCAGTTTGAAATTTTCGCCTGTTTCGCTGTCCGTGTAGTTCAGAGCAGAGTCAATGCCTTCATCTTGAGATGTTTTACGAACAAATTCGACAGCCTGCCAGTAAGTTTCATTTTTGGCTCCTGCCCATGCTAAAGAGTCTAGAAAGGAATCCTGTCCGGAACTGAAAGCTGGGTGCTGACCTGGATAACCACCTTCCGTTCCACTGAACTGATAGTTGTAGGCCACGATATCTTCCAGACTTCTGATGTCAGTGTTTTCAAGTTCACTCAAGTAAGACTTGATGTTATTATAAAAATCAACCTTCACAATGGTGAACTCACTTTGATTTACAGGACCGAGGTCCCAATTCCACCCGTCGCTCGATATTACATCCTGGTTTTCGAAATCCGTGTTGTTATAAACAACCGCGCCTGCATTTTCGATCAATTTAATAACTTCTAAGAGTCTTGGAATCTCGTCAGGTTTAGCTTTCGACCACAGCTTCGACCATGGTAGACCAAATCGCGCACCTTTTAGAGCCGTTTGGTCACTTAAAAACTTTAAGTAATCGCCATCTTCCGGAACTTTACCAGTTTGGTTGAAAGTATACGCATCTCTTTCGTCGACACCCCACATGGATTGGAAAGCATATATTGCATCTCTTACCGTTCTGGCAATTGGACCTGTGGTGTCCTGATGTTCCGATTCAGGGATCACACCTGCCCTAGAAGTCAATCCCACTGTTGGTTTGAATCCTACAACACCATTGCGCATAGCAGGATCGATGATACTTCCATCAGTCTCAGTACCCAAGCTGAATGTTATCATATTTGCTGCAACGGAGCCAGCACTACCTGAAGAGCTTCCACCTGGATTCACTGTCAAATTGAAAGGGCTCCGAGCTTGACCCCCACGAGCTGAATATCCCTCTGAATAGCTGGATGACCTCATGTCCGCCCACTCGCTCAATGTCGCGTGGCCGAAAAGAACGGCGCCGGCTTCTCTCAATTTTGCTACAACATAGGCATCTCGGGGTACCACAGAGCCCAGTAACACCCAGGAGCCCGCCGTCGTGTCCATTCTATCTTTTGTTGCATAATTATCTTTCACAAGGAATGGAATTCCATGTAGAGGACCCCGAACTATTCCTCGGCTTCTTTCAGCGTCCATCTGACGAGCGATTGATATCACATCTGGGTTTATTTGCAAAATGCCATTGACGTAGGAGTTTATTTGGAAAAACCTATCTAGATAACAGTTGACCACGTCTTCGGACGTGAGATTTCCTGACGAAAAGTAACTCTGCAGCTGGTCAATTGTAGCGTCTTGCAATGTTAGTCCTTTACATGCGGCCATGGGGAACAGTTCGCCAGTATCTAATTGGGGAAAGTAATATGTTGTGGCATTCACAACTTGAGTACTCGAAGCACTGAAAGTAGACCATCTCTTGAACAAGTCATAAACGGGAGATCCTTCAACCTTTGGAAATAATATGGCTATTGTTAGGATGGCTAGCACATACATTGTCCTTTATTACTGAAATTGGCCTGCCAATCAAGCTCACCACTCTTGATTGTGGCTATTCGAACTCCGTGCAAGAAAAATTATATGCGGGGAGCATCTTACAATCCCTCAATAGGTAATTCTGGTCCTACTTTATATACAATTGTCTCTCTGTTATCTGTAAAGTGACCTCCACACCTCTACTCATATCTAAAATCAAGGTAGGTCGTCTATTGAAAATGTACTCTAGCACTCGAGCGGAAATCCCATGAGATAAGGACTTGTTGAACTAATGGAAAACTGAACACTCCCACCAAAATCATGTGCTCAAATTGTGGTACTCCGTTGAGGATGTTGTACTCAAAGTAAGCGACAGTAGGAAAACCATTAGAGACTACTATAGTTTCTCCTGCAAATGTCGATGGTTCTCAATAGCTTTGAAGGTTCATAAATGGCTATCCTCTTGAGCTCTAGGTATTTTCTGGAGTCGGTGGCTTTGCTTATATAGAGGGGATAAGGTTTGTCAATATTCATCAATGGCAAGTTTGCAAGCCCCTGCACCTCGAAGATGCTGTCATAATTGACATGTTTCTCCTTCTAGAAATATTACGAAACTATATTTGTCTGTCCTCATATATATAGCAGATAATTGTAACCGCGAGCCCCCATTAGCCCCAAAAATGACTATTATTGACTTTGACAACCATTAAAAGATCTTTGGATCAATATACTTAAGTAAGTAGTTTTAGAATCTCTTTGCTCTCTACAATTTGCACCTTTTCAGAATGAGTTGAGTCCAAGGCCAATTTTATCCCCACCTTACCCACATCGTCTCCGTAAACAGGATAACTCAGCAAAGATTGTAAACTTGTTTTGTATAATAGACCTCCCAGCTTTGCTACAATTGCATTGAATAAACCCTTGCTTTTGTCTCTTTCACCAACTAATGGACCAGGGCGCAAGATGATAGTTCTATCGAAGTTTAGCGCAAGGACGTCTCGCTCGATTTCTCCCTTAGTTTTTAAGTAAAAGAACATCGAATTTGCATCAGCCCCTATCGAACTAACGAGAACATACGTAGTGCATCCTTGACTCTTCGCTGCTCTGGCAAGTGCCAAGTTCAAATCGTGATCAACTTTATAAAAGTTTTCCTTTCCTGCTTCCCCCCTGGTCGTGGCAAGCCCAGAAAGCACAATATCTGTGTTCGGTGGTATTAGATGTGACCAGTTTTCAGAATTTTCCTCAATCACGCTGTTAACCTTTTCAGGTTCATAAGAAACCGTGAGCTTTCTCCTAGAAATGGTTGTCACTGAAAGAGCTCGTTCTTTTACAGCATATTTGACAAAAGAAGAGCCACAGAGACCCGTAGCCCCAAATATGAGTACATTGAGGGACATGAATCGTGTGCAGGTTTTGCGTTGTCCTACTACTAGTGGTTTGTCCTTGACATCATTGGAAATTTGTGAAGATCCTTAATCACATGAAAATTATTGTGTGTAGTACCTGATGATTCCTCTAGAGAACATCGGTTTCCATACTACGTACATAGATGGTCTAGCATGAAATAGTAAGTCAGATGTGTATGAAATTCATAGGAGCTTGTTACTTGGTAATCGAGTAGCTTTGCTTATGCTTTGTTAGAAGTACGCTAGGGCAGCATGCATGTACTCTGAATGAGCAGTTATATGGTCTAATGACAATTGAACCGATGTTTCAACTGCAGCATGATACATAATAACCCCTAAAAGATATCTATAAGGACACATGAGCTCTCTTCTTTCATTCGCAAGTTTCGCGATGTTTATGACAGAGTCGAACCAAAGTTGAAAGCACTGTCGGCATCCTCAACTCGGCGGTGGGGTGGCGATACTTTAATGATATGCCAATTGGTTTCAAATTTGGCACGCTCCAAAAAGTGTTGTAAAGCCGACACTACCGCTCTCCGTCGCCATTCCTTTAAAGCTTGCGGAATTTGATAAAAATGAAGCGATAAGGTTTTGTGTGGTAAGATATAGATAATACACTATCTAAGCGACAGAAAATTAAAGGTTGACACAACCTCTCGAGTGACAATATGATTGCTCGTCGTTTTCACGAAGCTTTGCGTGCTAACTGTCAAGCTCGAGGTTCGATAAGCGCACAATTAGGGGATGTCTTTGCTATGGGTACTCCGTTAAGATAGCTTATCAATTAAAATGTCATCGCTTAAAGAGAACTCAGTGATTGACAATCCAGGATTATCATACGTATATAACGGATACGATGTCAAAAATGACTCTCGCCTTGTTTAGCCCTCATGGGAACCAGTTCTTAGGACATGGCGCCAACGATCGATTATTCTGCAATTCCAGGAAATTCACATTTAGTAACCGTCAATGAACATAAAAAGAACGGTGAACAAAGAGCAGAAGTTATTTTGATTCCAGCCCCTTCCGATGATCCCGATGACCCTCTAAACTGGACTCCAATTCGTAAATGGGTCTCGGTCGCTTGTGTTTTGATTTACACACTCGCGACTTGTATTCCTACTGCTGCTATTTACTCAGTTCTGCCCAATATTGAAGCCAACACAAATATCACACTGGGTGAGCTTAATAACGGTACCGGCTACATGTTCTTGTTTCTAGGTATCGGGTGTCTTTTCTTTCAACCGCTGGCATTGCAATATGGTAAAAGGCCCGTTTACTTGTTCTCGACCCTTGCCACTGCTCTAATATGCGTGTGGCCACCTTACACAAAGTCTAACGGGGAATGGATTGCTTCAAAAATACTGCAAGGGTTTGTGGCGTCCTCTGTGGAGTCGCTGCCAGAGATTTCAATGAGCGATCTGTTTTTCGAGCATGAAAGATCATTTGCACTTTCCCTGTATGGCCTAACATTGCTCTCCGCTTCATACCTAGCCCCCTTTGTCGCAGGTTTCATCTCTCAGGGCCAAGGATGGGAGTGGGTTATGTGGTGGTGTGCGATATTTGCAGCAGTCTGTTTTGTTGTGTTGTTTTTTCTCATGGAGGAAACTAACTTCGATCGTAAGCTGAAAGTTGATAAGCACACTGGAGAGCTTTTGAAGCTGACATCTCGCAAGGAACAGCTTGGCGCTGTCAGTACAACTATTGATGGTGCTTTGGGGCAAAGAGATCAAAATGATGAGAAAACCGACTTCGAATCTAATGAACAGGGCTCTTCATCACAGAGTAGTAATCTACCAACAAATGCATTGGCGAATGAAGTTAGTAATATTGAAGTCGTTAACTCTAGCACATACGTGCCGGCGAATTTAAGAACTAAAACATTTTGGGAGAAACTGTCATTATTCAGTGGGAAGAAGGATAAATTTCTTTTGCACCACTATGCTTTGGCGCCGTTTTTTATGGCGCGCTTTCCGGTCGTGTTGTGGGCTGGTTTCTTGTACGGAAGCTCCTTGGTTTGGTTTAACGTTTTAAATGCCACTGCTGCCCTTATCTTGAGCGAATCCCCTTACAACTTTTCTTCTAGTACAATCGGTGTTGCCTATCTTTCTCCTACCATTTTCACTGTCATCATGTTTTTTATATCAGGTTTTTGTTCAGACTGGCTCAAGTTGAGGATAGCGGTTTGGAGGGGAACTGGTTTGAGTAAACCTGAAGATAGACTTTGGATCTTAGTTTGTTACTGTGTCCTCGGATGTGGTTCGTGTATTCTGTGGGGTGTCGGAGCCTACTATGAAATTCACTGGTTTGGCCTTGTTTTTGGGATGGGCCTGCTGGGTGGCTGTGGTATCTTTGCCATAGCTGCTGCTGCTTCCTATATTGTGGACACATATAAAGAGCTTGACACCGAAGCAATGGTGGTCATGATACTGATTCGCAACTGCATGTCTTTCGGAGTAAGTTATGGAATTACAGACTGGGTAACAAACTTAGGATACAAAAACTGTTTTATCAGCGTCGCCTTCCTGTGCTTTGCAGCCAACCTTACATTTCTTCCTATGGTGATTTTTGGTCCTTGGCTGCGTAATCGCCAAAAACATATGTACTGGTCAATGGTAGACAAGTACAGAAGGCTAGGCATGCACTAAGAGCTAGTTTCCCTTCGTGGTGATCTTGAAGTGGAGAAGCGCTGGCGCACATCCTAAGTTAAGCTCATCTTATGTTCATCACCGCATAGTACATATAGACGACCCCCTTCACGGTGATTGGACTTGAACATATGCCCGTGATCGCTTTAGGATGTCAAAAGAGACAAATCACGGCTGATGGCTTATTTCTTGTAAGTGTCATGAAAACTTATTGCACGGTCGATCCGGCTCTGTATTAATTACCTTCCACCTTTCCATACAATATATATCTATATAGTTTATCGATCATGAATGCAGACCAAAAGCTGATGAAAGTTCTTTTTGGAGGCATTGTGCAATAATAGCATTCCCGAACGCTTGGAGCTCATGAAGCTTTGAGAAATAATCATATATGACTCCAACCTGATTAGGCCCACTTGCCAAGTAGAGCCATTATACCAGCTCCGAACAGGGTGCAAATGATCATAAATGTTAGTTTTCGAAGATCCTTTGTTCTATTTTCATCAAAGATAAAATCGCGCGCTAGTAGTTCTACCAAACCAGTGTAGATCAAAATACCCGCAGAGACCGCATCCAGCACACCAGAAACGATGTTAACGTTGAAAGAGTTCCCATCATAAGTTGTTCTGACTCCTAAACCGATAGCGACACAGATTGGAGTAGCCAAACCGTATGCGATACATAGACCATATGGCCACCATCTCTTGTTCTTTGGAAATTCAATAGCGGACAACCTGGATCCTATACCCATACCCTCGAACGATTGGTGGAACACCAACACTGGGTATAGAGTGGAAAATTCGCTATCAGTGGTACCCAAATTCAAGCCGATCATGACTGAGTGGAAAATAACGCCAAATTCTAGAATGAAGAACGCACCGATCTGACTTTCAAACGACTGTGTCGCAAACTCGGTACTAGCGCTGGATACTACATCGTACGACTTCCTGCTCTTATCGTCGAAGCCGGTCGACCCATTGGCGCCTCCGTCGTCCGCATGGGTATGTCCGTCGTTTTCAATATCAGCCCTCCTCTGGTTTCTCACTATAGCATCGTGGATAATGTCGCCATGGTCATGCTGTACTCCAAATCTGCGCTGCACGTACACATCGCTGATCAGGTCCACAATGAAGATGCTAAAGACCGTCACTAGAACAATTGCAGGGCACCAAGAGTAGTCTGCCCAGTTGCCAGTCAGCCCGACACAGCTGTCGCCGCCAATCTCCCCATAAGCTGGATCTAATAGGTGGATAAATGCAGTAGCCACAATGACACCGGTACCAAAGTAACGAGCAATCAGGTACACGTATTGCGGCACTTTCAGCGATTTAACACGAGCCGCAATAACAGGGAACAGCGTGAAGAAGGTGGACACGAAGAAAATAACGAAAACTGAAGAGATACGAGCTCCCAATGACCCACTGTACTCATTGCCGCCAAAGTAGACGCCGTTTATAGCGCATATTTTCCATGAATCCGGCACAGAATCGTCACTGATCGTAACGTTGTCTGGGTTCCATTGCATCCACCAAGGTTCAGTAGTGTTACTAGTCATTGTAGTTATTACAAAATGAATAAAATGCTTGTGAGGAGAAATTAAGAGGTCTTTTAACTACTCTGGATGTAAATCAAGCGCCATTATATACTTTTTCTCATTGTCTTCACAGGATGCCATGGTTAAAACTATGTTGCAGCTTGGCTAGTCAGCTCGGGCACACAGAATCTTCATAACCTTGTGGGTAACTTATACTACATGCCACGACAATCGCCATCGCACACCTTCAGAGCTTAACTGCAACAACCATGATGGTAAGTGATTGTCCGCGCATTTCATGTACACAATACAGGCCCTTTACTACACCGTTCTATTACCGCATGCCGAGTGGAACGACAGTGGTATGTTTTTTTACTGGCACGTCTGCGCGCCATTGAATTGAAAAAGTTTGAATCGGTAACCTCCAAGGTCTGATGATACCTGTTTAATCAAAAAAAAAGACCAAGATCTTTGTGTGGAAAAGACAGCTTCGCCGGTAGCCATGTAATCGAAGTCGGTGCCAAAGAAATGTTTCAATGCCGTACGCTAAGCTACTAATGCAGGACGTAAATGCAGTATGCTCTTAATTTTGAAAGAAGCGTGCGTCGCTAATCACGTGACTCAAGGTACTCTGTTTGTAGAACAGATGCCCACCCAATTGCCGTGCTGTTTCGATTCTATTAAGTTGCTCATTCTGTAGATCAACTAGATTCTTCCTGGGGGGGTGTTTGGCTTCCTCTGAAAAGAAGTGCTGCAGTATGGAATTTGTGAGTACCTGAATCACGAACCTGCACAAGAATGAGCTCGCCTCTCGGGGGCCATAATAGAATTCCAACTTGAGAATTATTACAGCACTGTATTTGTCTGGAAACAGACTGCTGTGCGACGGAGGCCGAGGAGGATCGTGCTATAGCATGAAATACGAGTGACCTTGCGATGTTGTGAAATGGCGCGAAGGCTAACGAGGGTCTTCAGGAACCTGTATTTGTGTAAAGCATGCCTAATGAACTGAACTAGCTGATAGGACTGGAATCGTTGGTTTCAACTTGGCTGGCCATTTAGTAGTGACTTGCGACCTTTTTAGAGAGAGTAAATGACTGCATGGTATGAAGTGATAAATTCTACTGGGTAGGTAAACGAATGGTAACTTAGGTGAACAAAATGTAAATTGAAGCGTCCTTGCAGCTTAAGGGTTGTTTGAACGTTGCTTAAATGGTCAGTGGGGCGCTTTTAAGCAGATAATAAAGTCCTTAAAAACTCGCCAGCTGTTTGAACGGCATTCCGAAAACTCATTCCTTGGCTACATCATTGCCAAACTTCGGGTACAGAAATAAATACCCTTCATGAAATTTCGCTAGTAGTGCTTCCTCTATTTATCTTGATAGCGTTCAATGATACAAAACAATGAAGGTGCCTCGCCAAGTGACCGTCGGTCGTCCATACTAACTTGCCAAACTGACTCTTCGCTGTTTCCAGCAGCGTATGCATTTGAACTCAATTTATTTTAAAAACAAACTATATTCGTATTCTGTATGTATCGGTGAGCATATGTAGAAAGCCCGCTTCCTTACTGTTGATGGGACATTATTTGGTCGATAACGTTTTGCCCCACAGCGTTTTGAAACTCTTCGTCAGTCAAGTTCGACTTAGGCCCATGGAAATATTTGTGCTTGTAGACAAGGTAGTACAGCAAGCTACCAAACCACACGGCGCCACAAATGACACAGGTGTAGTTCATTGACTCCGCATTCAGCCCCGATGGGTCCGCAGGGAACATGATCATAATGATCATGAAAGCTTGGAAAGCAATCGAAAGCCAGTTGATGATAGGAGACCAAAACTTACCCATATAGAACGCACCGGGTCTGAACAAGTCCTTTCCTGTAGTCAGCCTCAAAATATTAGGTGTCATCCACGCAAAGTAGTTACCGGCAATACCCAAGGAGAAAAGGGCGTTGGACGCCGCTCCTCCAATCAAACACAATAAACCGATGATCAATGCACAACCAGCACCAAACCAAGTAGCCCTGATTGGCGAAGAGAGCTTCGTGTTGACTACCTTGAAGAACTTAGAGAATGGTAGACCGTCATCCCGTGCAAAAGCCCAGATTTGTCTGGAAATAGCTGTAAGAATGGAGCATCCCATAATGAATTGACAGAAGGCAATAAGAGTCATGAACGTAATGGCCCATTTCTTGCCAAGGGCATTGTAGATTACTTGAGCAATGGGAGAGCCAGTGGAAGAACCCAAAATGCTCGCGACATCTGGTCCCATACAAGCAGCAATGGCGATACAAATGAAGAATCCCAAAGCCCAACACACACTGATAGAGCCAATGATACCAATAGGCACAGCTTTTGTAGCATTCTTAGCTTCCTCTGACATGTGGATACAAGCATCGAACGCGCAGATGGTCCACACAGCAGGTTGGAAACCGGTTAACATGAATTGCCAGCCATTACTCCACGATGTAGTGTTAGACCACTCACCAAAGATAAAGGAGCCGTCATTGAAGTTGAAATCTGCTTTGGCAACTCCGATAGGGAGAACGATCAAAAAGAATGCAATGAGTGCAAGGTTGGCAACAATGCTAAAAGTTTGAAGCTTAGAGACACCAACTGTGGCAATCGAAGTGACAGCCAAACAGGCCGCGACACCCGCTGCGAAAACACCATAAACCTTGCCGTTGGTAACCTCAAAATCTCCATCTTTCGAGATCACAACAATCGACAGAATCTCCTCGGCAAAACCATATATAATCGAACAAAGGCCCGACGTCAACGCCAGCGAGTTTGAATTTCCGATAATGAAACTGAGTAGAGACTTGTAACTTTGGGGAGCATAATAATAAGTATAATAATACAGGCCTCCTGAGGTTGGAATAGCCGAGGCCAGCTCAGACATAGACAATCCAACCGTGAGAATGAAGATACCAGCCACTAGCCAGCCCCACACCAAAGCCACAGTGCCACCGCCGTAAGCGATTGGTAGGACTGAAGCAATACTAGGAAGCAGCCCCATGATCGAAAAGGCAACACCAAAAACCTGAACGGTACTGAAGTGCCTCTGCAGCTCCTGCTTGTAACCGATTTCAGCCAGTAGTTCGTTGTCATCATGTGCCTCCTTGGCATTGATGTAGTTGACCTCACCAGCCCTCTTGGAAGTGATGGTTCTTAGGGACCGCAATTCTCGCAGCTCTCCATTACCACTCGAAGAGCTGACTTGCGTCACATCAGGTTGATGCTTTTCCATGGTTGACATTGAATTTCCAATGGGAAAGTAGAATAGAGATATGTTTCCTGCTACGACAAACACTTTCACACGGAGCTTCGGCTACAAAGATTGGTTTTTCTGTTCCATTTAAGTCTTCCAAGGGAGTAGACACAGCCTGTGTTCAACAACTAGCTTATCATTAAAGAACACTTTCAGATCCCGCCCCACTTGCGTATCATATTGTCTGTATCGCGATGGAGCCACTTGGATCTCTAACAACAATGCAACGGGTCTGCCAGCGGAAAAAGATTGCTTCTGATCAGTGTTCTTCGGCACTAAACCTATTAATCTCTCAACATAGCTTATCTATCAGTGATAAGATTAAGTTTCGAGAACTTCGTATAAACAGGGAAGGTAACCTGCCACGACATACAAGTGAACTTCGCTAGTCTCGGATCCGATGATACACCAAGAGTAGTGTTGATAGCGGAAGATATTTTACAGTCTCAATCTTTGATTGCCAGGGTGTAGGCAACTGATTCTCCATCCAAGATAGGAATAAATAGACGGGCGGGAATTGGAAAGGTGGCGATAGTGAATTCTTAGAAACTTATCCTTTATCTATCTTTGTAGTCTACAGTGTGGAAGGAAAGTTGATGATTTTGAAAGCTCCCTCCAGTTGAAACTGCCCTGACGAATAGTTTGGTTCTTGGGACATCCTGGCTCTAAGTGAGCAAGTTCTCGCCGTTCCATAACTACTCCCTGTGGCAAGGTCTGTGCTGGATTCAGATTGTTGGCAAGAAGTCATAGAGTACAAGTGCGATTAGTGCGATGGCCTGTTCCTCAGTTCTTGGCGATTAATCTTGTTTAAATTTTGGGTAAGGCGTTCTCTTACAAACTCGAACCCCACACCCCGAGCTTCTGCACGGACGAAAGAAATGCAGTTCAAGTAATTGAGTGGTGTCCCGAAAAGGGAGAGAGCTCAGTGTACAGTAAAGGCCAAAGTAGAGCTATTTCCACGTAGTCAGCCGCATTCCACCCGGTCCGTTAACAGAAATTTCGTTACCTCAAGACAATACTGGTGCACATCAACTGGATCTTGTTGTTGGGAACAACCACCAGATATACCACGGTACTGCGACTGAAGTTTCAAATGCTATCGGCCAATATCTCTTAAAAGCCTTTTAGAGGACAATTTTCACACGTACAAACAAGCGGAAAGAAAATGCACAAACCATCGAATACCAGCACCAAACTGTCGCGATCGATGCCCCACCGCTACCAGTGCAAGGTAGTGTGAGTGCAATAGCCTATGGGGAAAGCGAATACTGGAAGCTGACGATATGCTGGCTCCTCTATATTTTAACACGTGACAAGTCCAGGACCATGACTTGTCCCAGCACTGGGAAAGCGGAACGCTATCAAGTAACCTGCGATGCCGAGACTCGAGTATCCCACCGCCTTGTACATAGTTTGGATACATTGCTGGCCCATAACTCCCGTTTATTCTTACCATCATGGATGTAACAAAAGTAGACATTCTGCACCCCTTTAGGCCAACCTAAAAACGCTCTACGCAAACAGAACCTTTCGTCTGCCCCCAAACCCGCCTTGGTAATTCGAATTTAGCCACATCTTCTACATCAGGCTAACCTTTACATATGTCAACGTTATTCGAGGCTTCTCATCAATCCGAAATCCGCAATCAACCTTGGTAAATAACACCCAAGTGCGACTTGCTGGAGAACTGACAGGATGAACAGCAGCTCGACAATTGCGAGCCTACAAGTTTGTCAGCAACATCATAATCACATGGCTCCATGACTACTAAATATGTTACTTGCGTCCACGCACGATCGGCATCCTCGGCGAACTTCTGTCCGGCCACGAGAACTTTGGTGTCCGCGAATGATTCGAGCAAGATACCTGATTTACCCTACGGATGCCATGCATTTGAGAAAGTGTCTTCTTCTAAGCCGTTTCTCCCGGTTTGTTTACCCCAGATTAAAAAGTTTCAGTCCCTTTGAGCGGTGCAACGGAGGCGATGGAAAGATAGGCTAACAGAGCTGCAAAGAAAGGCAAGTAGCATAGTGTGCGGTATCTTTTGACTAATAGCATGTGTCAACGATAGTATGAGGGTGCTAACCAGCTGTTGGAAAGAGACGACGGTGGCCATAACATCGGGCGTTGGCTGATGCCCATTGTGAGAGATCCTGGGGTATAAAAGAGAGACATTTTTGGTCCAAAGATGTTTATCGATGTATGAAAGCTCTTTGGATTTATCACTCGTGGTTCCAGCTTTTCGTTAAAAGACCAGTATGACCCGCTCCCAAACCTTGGAATCACATTCAGAAACAACTCGTAAATGGTGGAAAGAAGCTACCGTATACCAGATTTACCCAGCAAGTTTCAAAGACACCGATGGCGATGGATGGGGTGACCTCAAGGGTATCACTGAAAAACTGCCTTACATTAAGAAGCTCGGTGTAGATGTAATCTGGGTATGTCCCTTCTACGACTCCCCTCAACAAGACATGGGGTACGATATCGCCGACTATGAAAAGATCTGGCCACGCTACGGTTCTAACGAGCAGTGCTACGAGCTCATTGATAAGGCCCACAGTTTGGGGCTGAAAGTGGTTGTCGATTTGGTGATCAACCATTGTTCTGCGGACCACAAGTGGTTCGAGGAATCGCGCTCGTCGAAGGACAACGCTAAGCGTAACTGGTTTATCTGGAAGCCGGCCAAGGGATTCGATACCAGCGGAAAACCCATCCCACCGAACAACTGGCGGTCGTTTTTCGGGGGCTCTGCGTGGGAATGGGACGAAAAGACCCAGGAATTCTATCTGCGTTTGTTTGCTTCAAGACAGCCCGACTTCAATTGGGAGCTTTCAGAGGTGCGCCACGCCATCTACGAGACCTCGGTCGGCTTCTGGCTGGACCACGGAGTCGACGGGTTCCGCATCGATGTCGGCGGGATGTATTCAAAAGACCAGAGCTTCCCGGACGCAGAGGTGAAGGACCCCAACGCCGAGTTCCAAGACCCTCTCAAGCACTTCGCCAATGGCCCCCGCATCCACGAATTCCACAAGGAAATGCACCAGTTCATGGTGGACCGCGTCAAGGACGGACGCGAGCTGTTAACAGTGGGTGAAATCGGGTTTGGTACCGAGCAGGATTTCATCGACTACACAAGTGCCAAGGAGAAGGAGATCGGCATGATGTTCAACTTCAAGCACGTCACCGTGGGCGAGGACCCGGCTTTCAAGTACAAACTGGTGCCTTGGACTCTCAAGGATTTCAAGCTGGCCGTGGCAGAGAGCTTCCAATTTATCAACGGCACCGATTGCTGGTCGACCATATACATTGAAAACCACGACCAGCCCCGGAGCGTTTCTCGTTTCGGCGACGACTCGCCCGAATGGGTGGCCACCTCCGCCAAGATGCTAGCCGTCATGGAGATAGCACTCACGGGCACCCTTTTTGTGTACCAGGGCCAGGAGCTGGGCCAGCCCAACATCAAAGGGTGGGCTACGGAACAATACGAAGACGTGGAGCTGCGCGGGAACTACGAGTATGTGTTGAAGCAGTTCGGACCCAATTCCAAAGAGATGAAGCTCTTCCACGAAGCCGTCCAGCTCATTTCGCGCGACCACGCTCGCACCCCGTTCCCCTGGACCCCAGAGAGCCCCAGCGGCGGCTTCACCTCTGCCAAGACGCCCTGGTTCGAGCTCAATCCTTCCTATCCGGCCATCAATGCGGAAAACCAGTTGCAGGATCCAAACTCGGTTTTCCATTTCTGGTCCAAAGCGTTGCAGGTTAGAAAGGCCAACAAGGATCTGTTGGTGTACGGCTACGACTTCGAATTCCACGACCTCGACCACGACAAGCTGTTTTTGTTTACCAAGAAATACGCAGACCAGACGCTGTTTGCCGCATTCAACTTCTCTAGCTCGGAAACCGAATTCAAAACGCCCGTGCCAGGCAAGTACACACAGTTTTTCGGCAATTACCGCCAGCCCGACAACTCCTCCGTCCTTAGACCTTGGGAGGGCAGACTGTTCTACGTAGAGTGAACGAAACGCAGGCGCGCACATCCGTCCAACTGTTCCATAGACAAGCATACGTATCGTTCATATAAACGTGATAATGAAATGACATGGTCGTGCGACCATGTCGTGCTACCAACAGGAGACAACGCTCGCGCAGAAAAGCAATCTGCCAGCTATCTTCTCCTATACTAGCAGCTCGGCCGATGCCATGGCCTTCACCGTACTCGTCGCCAGAATATAAAAAGACCAGATGCAACAAACAGACGGGATCCAAAGAAAAGACCACCAAGCCAATACTACGTTTTGACGACCCACATTCTCGTTACCAAGGGCCAGGGCCTGCGATTTTTTTCCACCGGTCTACGCTTATCTGGCCATGTGTGTCTTGTATTGTATAAGCTATACCTGCGTAGACACTACTGCTATGCACATAATTTTTCAAGACAGTCGATGTGGGTTTGCCGTGCGCTCAGCCGGAGAACAAGATAAGCCTGTGAGATATAACCGATTGTTTGATGGTATTCCGCGTCCTGTCGTCCATCGTCAAGACGTGCGGTTCGGCCGACCTGGCAAATCTTTTTTCGTACGCAGGCATGGTGTTGTAGATGAGATTATAAGTAGTAGTACCAGTAGTAGTAGTTGTAGTAACAGTAGTAGTAGTACTAGTACTTGAACCAATACTACAACACGCAGTTTAAATAGTTGTTAATCGTGCTTGAAGTCAAGATTACCACTCCGAGGACTATTAGCCAGTAACTTTGAAATAAAAGTTCAAACAAGATGGGTGCTACTTATTACTACTGCCCACAACTGTCCATACCTACACAACAATGCTCTGGATTATCCACTGGCCTGATACTCGCTTCGAACTGGAGCGTAGATTCCAAGCTTGTTCCGGACTCACACAGGCATACAGTGCCGAATACACACCTCTGACTTTGGCTACCGGGAACCACTCGCAATGCTGACTCGTTTTAGAGCCTCTGCAGTCCAACCACCGCAGTGCGATTGGTAGGACCATGCTGCCCTGAAAGGAGAGTACTTGCTCGCTTACTACTGTTTTGACCACCAAACCAACCCCACAATCATCATTACACCCATAAGAACATCAGAAGTACAATTAAGCCCAAGAACGACACACAGAAATAGAATGCGCCCTCATATGCAGCAATCCTCCATGAATTTACCGAAAAGTAGTAGAATCTCACACGTCTGCGACGCGTGTCGTCAGCGCAAATTGAAGTGCAACAAGGAGAAGCCGTCGTGCTCACGATGCGCCAAACTGGGCCTCCAATGCGTCTACACCCCGTACCGAAAGAAGAACCACGAAGCAACCGCGGTCAAAACGCTGGAGTCCGAGATCCAATATCTGCGGGCCCAACTGGCCGCGACGGCGTCGATCTCGCGGTCCACGTCAGCATCGCCCTCGACCTCTTGGCCCGCAACCTGCGGATCCGCAGGTAGCGGCGAGGGGTCCGCCAAGGAACACGTTATCGATTGGGACGCTCTCGTGACCCCGGTCTATATCGACGGTGTCTGGAGATCTCACTATGCTCCTTTCACGGACTTGGCGCTGTTTGCCCGTGATCCTCTTCTGACCGGACGGGTGGCAGAGTTATTCGAGCAAGAGATTGCGTCCCCCAAAACAACTAATTTAAGCTTACACGATGATCTGTTTACCACGATCCTCTCGATTTTACCGAATCCGCAAATTTTGAGCGAGGCCAGAACGGCCTTCGCAACAACCATATACCCAAGTTATCCGTTTATCGACTTGGAAGTTTTTAACCAGTTTTTTGATAAAATTGTATCGAAATCTCCATCCTTGGGAGACGGCCCGGAGTCGCCTTCCTTACTACTTTTGACACTGTCCGCTTTGTGTCTGACCAAGCATCTCACGATCGACCCAGACGTGCTACTTCAGTGGGCAGACAGTCTCCACGTCTCCAGAGCAGTGAGTGAAACCAATCTGGCGTGCTTGCTGTACCTGAAACTGTGCTATAGGCCTGGAGGCCCGAGCCTAACGCCCGGAGGCACTCTTTCGGAGTGCATCAGAAAAATGGCTCTTGAAATGGGCCTATATTCGAGCTCGGGCCATCTGGTCAACCGTAGAGTAAGACAACATCTATGGATGGCCTGCGTGGTGCTGTCAGAACCCAACACGTTTGACGAGTATCATCTAGTGCAGTTCGGACGGGGACAACTCTCCCAGGACACCCCGCTTTCCCACCTATACGAAGTATCCACAAGAGTCTCCAAAGTCTGGAAATGTGCCATGACCGCGTCCGGCGAGTTGGACGATGCTTTACTGGCCCTGTGCCATTACAATGACGCAAAAGTCACAGCTACACAGGCTAGAAGGTGCACCGACCTGAGAGTGGCCGGGTTGAAATTCAACCTGCTCACAATGCAATTCCTACAGGACGAAAAGAGCCTGACCACCAACGAGGACGCCGTACGGGAAACAAGGCGCGCGTTTGACGATGCCTGTCACCTGTTGAGCGTGTGCTCGGTTGAAATGGAGATGGCTTATCCTTACTTAGCGGCGGCGAGCTTTTTGATAAAGACGGTGGGTGCGTATGCACTCGGCATGTGTCCACGTCTGCTCGCCAAGTCTCGCCATCTAGAGGCTCAAGAGCTGTCCAACGAATTTGAACGTGTTGTGCAGACGTGGTCGCCAACTTTCGAGTGGTGTCAAAAGATACGCCATGTGCTGAAAGTGGTGACCGATGGTGCTTCGCAGAGCTCCAGCCTGTTTTCAGGAGGGCATGCGCAACAACAGCTCTCGAACAACGCCCTGGAGGTGGACCCCATCAAGCTTTTGGAAGAGGCGCTGCCGCCAGCGACGCAACAGCTACCGCAGCCCATCATCGACCCGAACGACTTGTCACCGTCGCTGTCGTCGGACTCCGTGGACAGTTATCTGGGAGACTCTTTCGCGGAGCTGGAAGGGCCATGGCGTCTTATAAGTTCCGAAAGTGTGTCGACGTCGTCAACCGACGGTGGTGCCCACGATTTTGATTTCGATTACTTTTTGAAGTATCAACTAAACCCATCCTCTTCTATACACACATTATATAATTAATCCTATGACCTGTTTTCTAGACACACACCGTGGCCGCATGCGTGTAGTTCACCATTGCGGAGCGGTGCGGCGTCCGGTTTATGACCCGCTTGTAGTGGCGGCGGCCTCGCACAGCTGTTCCCAAGCGGAGGGAACATTGGTCCATGCGGAATACTCGGACTGTAGTTCGTTAATTTGTAGCAAGAGCCCGCTCTCCATATGCCATCCTATGTGGCAGTGGAAGGGCCAGATTCCAGGGCTGTCCACCACAAACCTGATGACCGCGTACCCATACCCAGAGACGCCCAGCACGTCGCGGGCTATCGGGTTGGAGAAGTCCATCTTGCCCTCGCCGTTTTCGTAGTAGGACTTGTGGAAATAGCCCCGGTCCGCACTTGCCAGGACCCAGAACTTGTGGCCGTGGAGGTGGAACGGGTGCGCGCCGTCGTCGTAGTTGTTAACCACCAGGTCCACGACGGCGCCGCGTTGGTCGAGGTTGATCAGATACTGGCCCGCGTTGGTGGTCTCGAGCCGGGTGTCGTCCAGCGTCTTGATGCTGTTGCCGTGGGGCGACCGGAGAAGCTCGTACATGGTAGAGGAGCCCGGGATCGGCGTGTAGGTCACGTCGTTGAAGTAGCCGCGGTCCAGCTGGTAGCCCTTGATGAGAAACGACACGTCCAGCTCGATGAGCACGTCGGGCAACGTGGAGCCGTTCTGCACCAGCGGCACCTGCGCGCCGAGCGTCCTGAGCCGGGTCTGGTCGAAGTCCCGGCACCGCACGTCGCCGCCGTTGTAGTCCCAGCTGCGGGACGTGGGCAGGCGCTGGGAGCGCGGGTCGTAGCGCACAATGGCCGCGACGTCGGTGTCGAAGTTCGGGTTGGCCTCCGCGAAGCAGAAGCGGTTGAAGCGCACGCGCATCCAGTATTCGGACGCCTGCGCGTCCGCGCGCTCCAGCACGAACGAGTACCGCTGCGACACCGACACGTCGATGGACTCCACGGTCAGAGGCTCCGTCACGGTGCCGTCGGCCTCGACCACCGTGAGCCGGTGGCCGTCGACCGCGAAGTTGAAGGGCGCGAAGAAGCCGGCGTTGACGACGCGCACGCGGTAGCGCTGCGCCGGGTCGAGCTCGAGCGCGGCGAGCGCGCCGCCGACGAACGTCGCGTTGGCGTGGCCGTTGGGCACCACGTAGGACGCCGAGTCGTACTCGAACGCGTTGGCGCCCTGCACCAGCCCGCCGTCGGGCGTGGGCTCGGAGTTCTCGTTGTCGGGCGCCAGGTACTCGGCCAGGTAGCGGTGCGCGGCGTCGTGGTAGTAGTCGTTGACCATCACCACCAGGTCCGCGTCGTACCGGTCGCCCACCAGCGCGCGCTCGCGCGCCGAGTGCACCACCAGCGGGCCAAACACCCCGTCCGCCTGCTGCGAGCCGTAGTGCGAGTGGTACCAGTAGGTGCCGCTCTGCGCCTCGTCGAGCTGGATCGCGTACTCGAACGAGCTGGCCGCGGGCACCGCGCACTGGTTGATGCCCGAGGCCCCGTCGAGAAAGCTGTTGTTGCGGTTGAAAAACAGGCCGTGGCAGTGCAGCGCGGTGGCCACGTCGCCGGTCTCGACGTGGATCACCAGCGTGTCGCCCGCGGCCGCCTGGATCAGCGGGCCCGGGTACTGGCCGTTGACCACCGTCAGGTTGCGCACGACGCCGTCGGGCGCCACCTCCGCGAGCGTCGAGATGTTGAAGTAGTAGTGGCGCTCCTGGCCGCCGCGCTGCGCGTGCCAGTACGCGGTGTCGATGCTGTAGTTGCGGGCCGTGTCGAGGCGCCACGCGGGCTGCGACGGTGGGCCGTCCCGGCCCACCGTCGGGCTGCTGCCATGGGCGCCGGGCCACCACCCACCGCACCACGCTACCACGACCGCGGGCACCACCACACAGAACACCAGTTGCAGGGCCAGCAGCGCTCTGCGCTGCTGGCGGACCCGGCCGTTTCGCTCCAGGTCCCACTCCGGGGTCGCGCTGGAGCTGGGTGCTGCTGGGGTAGGTGCTGGAGGCATTGTCGATGTGGGGCGGGCGAGCGCGCACCCAGGCCGGGCGCGCTGGTGCGCGCCCCAGCGCGATATATACTCGAGCGTGCTCGCCCTCGCCGCCGCGATGCCCTCGGCCCTCGTGCGATCTCCCGGCCCTCGAGCACCCACATGCCCTTCAATAACGGCGGGAGGGTCGCCGGCCCACACGTGTGGGAGGTGGCCGCGAGAAGAAGCGATGGCCACGAGGGCCCATGTGGCGGACGGGCGAGGGCGAGGGCGAGGGCGAGGGCCGAGCGCAGGCATGACGAGCACGCCGGGCGTGGGCATGGCCGCGCTCGCGCGGGAATGTGCTTGTATATTGGCGATGCCCTCGTGCGAAGTCCGCGCACGCCGTGCACACCGCACGCACCGCACGCACCGCACGCACCGCACGCCTGCCAATTAAGCAGCGGGCCCTCGGCCCTTGTAAATTGGCCTTGGCAGCGGGCCCTCGGTTTATTGGCTCCGGCGGGCGCGCGCTCGCTCGCGGCCCGCGGTGTATAAAAGCACGCCCGCAGCGGCCATGGACACTGCCCTCGACACTGCCCCAGCCCCCGCCATCGACACCGCCCCCGCCCCCGCCCTCGCCCCCATGAAACTCACCCACTGTGCTGGACTCGGCGCCCTGGCGCTCGCGTCCGCGAACGCCGCGTCCTCGTCCTACGACAAGAGAACCTACTCGACCTTCGACCCCAAGCCCTCCGAGGTGCCCCAGCTCGCCGCCTCCGCCGCGTCCAACCACCGCACCTCGGACGTCCAGGGCGCCGCCGTCCGCCGCATCTACACCATCTGGCTGGAGAACACCGACTACGACAAGGCCGCCGGCAACGCGGACCTCGCGTGGCTCGCCTCGCAGGGTATCACGCTCGACAACTACTGGGCGCTGACCCACCCTTCGGAGCCCAACTACCTCGCGTCCGTGGGCGGCGACTACTTCGCGCTCGACGACGACCGCTTCATCACCATGCCCTCCAACGTGTCGACGCTCGTGGACCTGCTCGACACCAAAAACATCTCGTGGGCCGAGTACCAGGAGCACATGCCCTACTCCGGGTTCCAAGGCTACAACTTCTCGAACCAGGAGACCTGGGCCAACGACTACATGAGAAAGCACAATCCGCTGATCCAGTACGACTCCGTCACCCAGGACGCGGACCGCCTCGCCAACATCAAGAACTTCACCGAGTTCTACCGCGACCTCAACGGCTCCACCTTGCCGCAGTGGAGCTTCATCACCCCGAACATGACCAACGACGGCCACGACTCCACCATCAAGGTCGCGGGCAAGTGGGCCCGCAGCTTCTTGGAGCCTCTGCTGTCCAACGAGTACTTCATGAAGGACACCCTGGTGGTGTTGACGTTCGACGAAAACGAGACCTACTCCATCAAGAACAAGGTGTTCACCGTGTTGTTGGGCGGTGCCATCCCGGACGAGCTGCACGGCACCACGGACTCCACGTTCTACGACCACTACTCGCTGATCTCCTCGGTCGAGGCCAACTGGGACTTGCCCAGCTTGGGGCGCCACGACGTCGACGCCAACGTCTTCGAGCTGATCGCCAACGCCACCAACATCACCAACCAAGAGGTCGACACCACCTACATGATGAACAACCAAACCTACGTGGGCTACTTTTTGGACGCCCACATCGACCTCCCAGCTCCTAACGTGACTGCCGTCAACAAGAACGGGAAAGGTGTCTTGCCCGCCATCGTCGACAAATGGGCCTCTGCGTACTCGTCCCAGTCTTCGGCCAGTTACTACACCTCCACCACCACCACCCAGTCTGCTGCTTCTTTGACCGATGCCGTGACTCTGACCGCCAACGCCACCGTGTCGGGCTCCTCTTCGTCTGCCACTTCTGCCAGCGAGACCCAGTCCGTTTCCGTGTCCACGGGCGGCGCCGGCGTGGTCTCCATGGGGTGGACCTCGATGTTCGCCATGGTCGTGGGAGCCCTCTTTGCCTGAACCTGGCGATGCCCAAAAATTATATCTATGCCCAACGACGCGCCGTCGCATCTATAGACTCCTATTTATTCTAAAAACACTGCCATTAGCCGGGGACCGGGCCGCGAGGTCAGACGGGTGTGCTTTGGAATAGGCTTATTAAATGGCCCGCGAGCCGGCCCACGAGACGACTCGCCGGATCAAACGCTACACTTCCCAACGTCATGCAAATACAGTGCAATTCGCCTGGTGGTGGAAATGCGGTCTTCAATGGCTTTAGATGTCTACATGGAATCTAATTTAACCAACTTCTGCCACAATCTTCTGTCAATGCCACTTTATTTAGTGACGCCGAGTGTATCATTCTGTATAATAATGACACGTCTGTAACCAGGCATCGCCCTCCATATGATCCGTAGTAACAGCTGGAACTACCAACTGGTAGCGAATTAGCATTGCCAGAAGAGTGTTAGCTAAGGTGAGCAATCCGGAAAACCAAATTCAAGCCCCCTCAGCTTTCTGGAACTGTATCTTCCATTACATATATAACTTTTTACCAGCAGATGACGAGCTTGCACAATAGACCTCGCAGTTTTCCCACCACAGTGTGTGTGTGCTTTACTGCCCGTAATGCTAAATCAATTTGTTGTCATTTGGCACCGCCTAGTGGGTAATATTACTTAAGAAACTCATCATACGCTTTGGTGAGAAGCTCCAGCGCCTTGACCAGCTCCGGTTTGGAATTACCATACCCAATCCGAATGGTGCCAGGCACATCAAAACACTCGCCAGGTGCACACAAAACTTTATACTGCGTGGCAAGTACCCCCGTAAACCTTTCGGTGTCCTTCACACCATTGACCTGCAACAAACAAACTGAGCCGCCCTGCGGCTCATGAACGAAAGAAAACCTCCCTTCTGAGTTTTTGATAAAATCCGATAAGATCCCCAAGTTCTCTGTGCACAGGGCCAAGTTGCGATCAAGCACAGCTTTGCGGTTTTTCAAAATGTAGCAAGCAACTGCGTCATCTATCATGGATACTGATATCGTATTGTAGTCTCTTCTGGAGGCTGCGGTTTCCAGAAACCTCAAATCTTGAGATACTATCCATCCAAGCCTGACACCGGCTGCTGAATACGCCTTGGACATGGACCCCGTTGTGACACCCGATGCACTTATTTGACACATAGATTTGGGCTGCTCGCAAGAATGGAACAGGGGGCTATAAACCTCATCGCTGAGAACTCGAATTCCATTCTCCTCAGCAAACGCAGCGATTTGCTGCAACAGCTCCATTGGAATGACGCTGCCCAGTGGGTTGTTAGGGTTGTTAATTACTATAAGTTTGGTGTTGGATTTGACCATGTTTTTGAGTTCGCCCAAGTTCGGGAGAAAACCATCTTTGGCTTTCAACCGTAACAGATCAACCTCAGCGCCGAACATCTTCGGAACACTGCTTAACTGCTGATACGTGGGAGCAACACAAATAACATGGTCTCCGGGCCCTGCCACAGCGTAATGAACCAGAAAGTTAGCTCCAATAGCTCCATTGGTGATCAAGACGTTGTCCTGGGTGAGTTGTACGCGCTCATTGGAATGTATTTCCGCAATCAACGAACGTAGTTGCGGGGACCCCCGAATGGACCCGTAAGTAAGTCTCTTGTTGTTATCGAATTCGAACTTTTCGCCCGTGAGATCTTTCAGCTCTTCGAAGCTCAATGAGTAGCAGCAAGTCTCACCAACATTGTACTCAACATGTTCCTCATATTTGTCCATAAATTGTTCCACTGAAAAATCCTCTTGAGCTGGCATGGTTGGTTGACCACTTATATTCCGAGACCGGAGAGAGCCATGATTCTACCAGCCCTGGTCTTTTATATTCCTCGAGCAACTTCTGGAGCCATTGGCTTATCGGCTGTGATCTATGAAGATGACTTGCTCAATCTTACTGTGAAGGGTAGTTGAACCCGACATTGAGTGACAGAGAAACTGTCACGTGACCACGATCAGAGGTGCTCTTTATGAGAGATATGGTAAAACTTCATAGAACTTCGCCGACTGTAAGGCTCCTGATGGTCGCGGAAGCTCTTGGGGCTTTAAAATTGTCAGCTTTATTCATGATTTTGTTTATTTCGAAATTTGTAGCGCCGAGGCCGATGCTTTGAGCCAATTGCGCTTCGACACTAACCACCAATTTGTTGGGACCAGATCAGTAATAGTTAGCACACTGGCACGCTAAACTGATGGATATTTTCACCGACGTAGCAGCTATATGCTCGGATTTTCCTGGTTTTGACGAATAGAGAATTTCATGACGACATTTGTTGCAGACGCATTGCTTAGCAGATTAGTTTAACGACGATCAATTGAACTCTGCGTGCCAACAATCAGAATTCAGAGAACGATAAGTTGGCTATCAGAAGTACAGCGGGATGAGTAAGACTATCTATTTTTGGGATACGTCGCACCCGGCTTTATTCTGCCGTTGACACGGTTATTTTATTGTGATAACAAATATAGCATGCAGGTTGAAGAGGGAACGACTTGCAAGGTGTTTTTGGTTACTCATGAAATGGAGTCGTTATTGTAGTCCGGATTTCCATACCTGTACTCTAAAGAGGCAAAATCAAGTGATCGCTTAATAGGCGTTTGAGACACATCATCAAGTGCTTTCAGTGCTAGATTACTGTGAACCCTATATAAATTTAATTCACTCTACTTCTCCAGAGAGTTTGGCGACCACTGGGCGCTTGTAAACGCCCCCATTCTCTTCGAAGCAACGATTCAACATTAGGAGGCGGGTACATACACAAAACATCTTCTCGGCACCTCCTTACTCCCTCCTTTTGTATTAGCTCTGCTCATTCAGCAAGACATCTCAACTCATACTTTAGGATCAGCCAGAGAACACATATATTTTCAGTCCTGGGGAAAATTGAACACCTAGGCCAGCTATTAAGTTATTTTCTCTAGGTAGCGGGCATCCGAGTCAAGTACTCTAAGCCGCTCGGCAGCTTGCTCTGCAGTTAGGTCCCTTTGAGGTTCACCTAACAATTCAAATCCAACCAAGAACTTTCTCACAGAAGCCGATCTTAGTAAGGGCGGATAGAAATGCATGTGAAACCAAGAATTGTTCTTTTCCTCGAAAGTAGCATTCAAAGGAGCTTGGTGTAGCCCCATTGAATAAGGAAAACTGGTCTCAAATAGATTGTCGTACTTCAAAGTCAGCTGTTTCATTATCGACGCCAAATCGTGCCTTTGCGTGTCATTAAATTCAGCAAGAGATGACAGCTTGACCTTACTCAGTAAAAGTGTCTCGAACGGCCACACAGCCCAATAAGGTACCACTACCACGAAAGAGTCGTTCTCTAAAACCACCCTTTCACGTTCTTGTAATTCTAAAGTCACGTAATCTGCTAAGAGATGGCACGAGTGCTCTTCCGAGTATTTTTCAAACGATTTCAACTCCTTGTCAACCTCATTGGGTACCACACTTAGACACCACGCTTGGCCATGGGGGTGCAAGTTTGAGCACCCCATCGCTGTTCCTTTGTTCTCGAAAATTTGCAAGTATTTGTATGGCTTATTATCGGTTTGAGCTTCGCGTTCCATTCTGAGATAAAGATCTGTCCATGCCTTGACCACGTCAACAATGGCAGGCACTGGCATCTGTGGAATTGTCAAGTTGTGCTTGGGGCTAAAACAGATCACAAAACAATTCCCTTCAACCGATTGTGCTTTCAACAATCGACTTTTTAAACAATTGGTATCGTCTTTGGTCACAAGTGCGGGTTGGTTTAGTTTTACTGCAGAAAAGTCATTAGGGAAGATGTAAGTCGTTGAATAAGTTGGGTTTATTTCACCTGAAGTTCTCGAATTTCCGGGGCATAAGTAGCAGGCAGAGTCGAAATCGGGAATGCCAGGATTGCTTGGAGTTTCTTGCTGACCAAGCCAAGGCCTCTTTGCCCTATGCGGTGAAACCAACACCCACGAGTCCGTAAGTGGGTTGTAGCGTCTGTGAGAATTGTCAGTGAAATCAAAGTCCGGTGAACTTAAGGTCATAGTCGGCCAACTGGTAAGTCTTGCTGATTGACTTGTTATCCTATACATGTACCGAAGAGTTCCTTCCCCAGCTTTTATATCAACATGAGAGCTATCATTTCGATTTTTACTCTCGGAGTGATGTCGTGCGGAGCCCTTATGAAGAGTTCATGTAAATTAATTAATTGCCTCGCTCGGACCACAATAGTCCGAACTGTTGTTTGAGCTCTTCAACCTCAATACAAGTGACGAGAACAGTAGGCTGACACCCAAACTTGGAATGAGGAACACATGGGAACTTTAAACCTGTCATTCCTTGCTAGCTTACTGTAAAATGTTGTTGTGCTAACTTAATCAATAGCTAGACAAATAGTTATAGCAGAACAATTACATATCAACTGCTACAGAAACATAAATAACATTGCTTTGTAGTGGTAAAATTCCGTCATGACTTTTATAAAGAGACAGTCTCAAACTTGTAGGTAGTCCGAGAGCCGTATACCTCTCCTTTCTTCAAAAAAACCGCATCTCTCCACTCATTAATGTTGACTGCATTGATGAACCTTCCCGGTTCACAGCAGAATCCAAACCTTTCTCCGTGATTTTTCAAGTACCCTGGTCCTCCATTGTAGAACTGGAAGCTGGGCTCCGTGGTTAATATGGTCAACTTGATGCCAGAGAGTGGGTGTTGGGCTGTTAGTACGGGTTTCAAATCGTTGACTCTAGTATCCACGGGTGCCTCGGCTCCTGTTACAAAGCACGTATCGAAGTGTGGCCCTGATGGGGTGGAAATAAATTTTGATGCGTTTTCCAGACTGACAATTTTTCCAGTGGGTTTGCCATTTGAATCCATCTCAAGCACCTTATCCGATAAAAGCTTAAATTCGGTGTCATTGAGGCTGCTATTTTGGAACATGTTGAGATTGAAGTAAGAGTGATTTGTTAAGTTCATCACGGTCGCGGAGCCTTTTGCCAAGTGGCCCTCATATTCCACTGTTAGTGTTTGTAATTTTATGTTGATTCCGTAAGTGACGGAAACAACAACGTCCCCCGGAAATTGTCCCTCTCTGTCAACCAGAATGTACTTAAGGGTATATTCATTTTTGTTGGGATTGACGACGAGTGGACCCAAAAATCTCTGCTTGTGAAATGATTGTAGAGAACTATGCAGCGTGGCGTTCTTTTCGTTCAACGCCAGCTGAACTTTGGTGCCTTCTAAAGTAAAGCTCCCATCGTAAATTCTGTTTGCATAGCGCCCTATGGTGGTACCCAAATATGGATTAGACTCGTCAAGATACTCAGCTTCACTGGCAAGCCCTATTACGACTGACTTCCCATTGACATTCAGATCCACGAGGGTCGCACCCACATTGGTGAAAGAGGCCTCGAAGCCCGATCCTCTCCCAACGGTAATTAGACGAGAGCCAAAATCCCCTGGTTTGTTGAACATTGTGTCCACCACACCCATCACTTGATAGCCGAACGGATTTCCCGTTGTCCATTTCCACAGATCTTCGCAGGCATCAGCTACACTCATCTCTGTTCTCCATTTCAGTTCCTCAAGCGCTCTAGTAGGCTTGGCAGTTAGATTGAGAACGTCGCCCGCCCTGCGACCTACGACTTCAAACTGCAAGTCGATACCGCAAGCTAAGCAGAATGCTTTGTAGACTTCCATAACAGTGGAGCCTGTCCCAGAGCCTAGATTCCACGCCCGACAAATTCCCTGTTTGTCTCCAATTTGATCGAGGTATTTTAGTGACGCTATGTGACCTCGAGCCAAGTCCACAACGTGGATGTAATCTCTAATTGGCGTGCCATCTCTAGAATCGTAGTCATTACCAAAGACAAATAGCTTTTCTCTCCTCTTCACCGCAACTTGAGCCATATAAGGTAGCAGATTGTTTGGAATGCCTAGTGGATCTTCGCCAATAAGTCCCGATGCATGGGCACCGATGGGATTGAAATACCGAAGAACTGCGAATTTCCATTTTTCAGGCTCGCTAGCGTGTAGGTCTGCCAGTATCTCCTCGATTGCCAGTTTAGTTTTCCCATAAGGATTTGTTGGTTGAGTTGGGCATTCTTCTGGGATGGGTATCATATCTGGAAACCGGGTCGCGTCGCCGTAGACGGTCGCGGAGGAGGAAAATACGAGTTTCTTCGTCCCAAACTTGCGCATGGTTTCGAGCAAAACGAGCGTTCCAGTGATGTTGTTGTGGTAATACTTCAACGGGATAGTTGCGGACTCTCCGACCGCTTTCAAACCGGCAAAATGAATCACCGAATCTATCGGATATTGCTGGAAGATTTTAGCCACGCCTTCTTCATCTGTAAGATCAACGTTGAAGAACGGAATTTCAGTTTTCGTTAGAACCTGCAGACGGGCGATCGACTCGTAACTTGAATTGCACAAGTTGTCCACTACCACACATTTGTAGCCATTTTCGATCAGCTCAACCACCGTATGGGAGCCGATGTACCCAGCCCCGCCGGTCACCAATACCCACTTCAATTGTAAAGCCATCTTTTTCTCCTAAGGAACCTAAATTAAAAGCCAATTTTCTGTCACTGCTTCGTGTGTATACTATGTCCCAGAAATGTTATCAGCAAGTCAGACACACCTTTCAGTTTCTTATATCTCTCATGGTTAAAAGGGCATCAATGTTCCACGAAAAGTGGTAACTGCCATCGCCGGAGACCTATTGTCCGCTTACATCGTGGAGTTAGTTTGTTCTCGGTTTGCAGTGCTCCGATAATTAATACCGGACTACAGTTCTCCGTCAGGTGCTCAAAGAGACAACGAACAAACCCAGCTCCTCAATCAGTACAATGCAGGAGAAGTCCAGCGGGTATAGCGATCAAGTCACAGCAGGGGTAGTCCAGAGAACTTCTCAATCTACACATATAAGAAGGGGTGTTAATGGGAGTGGACACCAAGTGTGATTCTGGATCATGATCACCTTTTAATAGCTTATTGAATACTCTTCACAATGTCAGTCCCCACGTTTGACTGCACTACCAATCCAACAGGAATCAAGACTGCGTACGCCGATGTTAGAGCCGATTTCGCAGCTATTTATGGGCAGGATCCAGATTTTGTGACGAGATCGCCAGGAAGAGTCAACCTTATTGGAGAGCATATTGACTACTGTGACTTTTCGGTGCTCCCCATGGCAATTGAGATGGCTGTAATGTGTGCAGTGCGAGTTCTTCCTGCCAACAAAACTCCATCTGTGGCATTGGCTAACGCAGATCCTCGATTTTCACGGAGACAATTTGAGATGCCTAGGGATGGAGCGGAGGTCGTTATCGATGCTGCTGTTTCCGATTGGTCGAACTATTTTAAATGTGGACTTCTCGTAGCTCAACAATACCTAAAGAACAAATTTCCTGCCAAGTTTAGAGCCCAGCCGCTGGCCGGACTCGAGGTGTATGTTAAAGGCAATGTTTTCACGGGAGGTGGCTTGTCATCGTCCGCAGCGTTTATCTGCGCAGTAGCGTTGGCGGTGATCCGCGCAAACGCAGGGCGTAATTTTCAAGTTTCAAAGCAGGAGCTCACGCAGATCACAGCAAGAGCCGAACACTACGTCGGTGTCAATAATGGTGGGATGGACCAAGCAGCTTCTGTGTGCGGAGAGACAGACCATGCTCTATACGTGGAGTTCAAGCCGGAACTAAAAGCTACACCGTTCCGTTTTCCGGAATTGCGGAATTCCGAAATCCAGTTTATAATCGCCAATACCACTGTCGTGTCTAACAAAGCGGAGACTGGACCGGTCAACTACAATCTCAGAGTAGTTGAGGTGACTGTAGCTGCTAACTTATTGGCTGCGAGGTACGACTTAGAGCTACAGCCAACTGGAAACTTGGGAAAGGGCACTCTTCGGGACTTTATGGATGCGTACTTTGCGCGTTACAGGGGAGCTTCCCAGCCTTGGGACGGTGATATCGAGCAAGGCATTATGAGGCTCACTGAGATGTTAAAACTGGTGGAAGAGACCTTGACACAGGAAGGCTACACGGTGCAACAAGCGTCGGAAGCTATCCGTTGTTCGGTTGAAGACTTCACGCAAATCTATCTTACCAGCTTCCCTGTGAGATTTCAAACCTTGAAACTCTACCAAAGAGCCAGACATGTGTTTTCTGAGGCGCTGAGAGTACTAAAGGCACTTAAATTGATGACTCAGGGGTCCTTTTCCAACGATGCTCAGTTTTTTGACGCTTTTGGGCAGCTCATGAATGAATCTCAATCGTCGTGTAGGGACTTTTACGACTGTTCATGTCCTGAGATAGACGAGATCTGTAGGATTGCTAGAGAAAACGGGTCCTATGGATCCCGACTAACCGGCGCCGGGTGGGGTGGATGTACAGTACACTTGGTGCCTCGCTCTAAAGTCGACGACGTGCGGTCCGCTTTGGCGCAGCAATACTATGCCAATCGCGATATGCGAGGCTTAAAGCTGGACGATGTTATTCTGGTGTCGCGGCCGGAACTGGGAAGCTGTGTATTGGAGGTATGATTCACAGCTGGACAAATGCCCTCTTGGCGATCATCAAATGCTTTGTGTGACGCATTTCTCTCTGGCGTTGGACCAGCGTCTGGCCAATCCAATATTTTTACGTAGTTATGAAGTTTTAGTTCATTATTGACTCAATCAGTGGGCTACCTGTCGCAGCTTGCTGAACATTGGTCCACAGTTTTCATCTTTCTGTGAACCCTGGCCTCTATGCCTCACTGCTCAAAGCATATTTCGTTCTCATGTGCCATGACGCATCTATATGCACTTATGTAACATAGGTGCATGGTGTCGGCAAGTAGGATCTGCAGTGACACTTACCCGTTGTCATGCTCGAGGCCGTCAACTTTCTAACCTCTTATTCTGGTAGCTGACATCAAACCAGATGATGCACTGATGCCGCCTGGATCATTTCTTTGAAGCCTGTCTACTGAACAGTGGCAGACTAGAGATACATGCATTCGATCCCACCAACTTACGCTACCCAACATCAAAGCAGCAACTCCAGACGTGTGGCACCCAATGGTACCGATATTACTTTCTTGTTAAATCAAAATCCGGTGTACAATCTATTTAAGCTACTTCTTTGGACCTTTTGGTCTCTTTGTATGACGACATAGAGATTATGCTCCCTTTGGAGTTCTCAAAGAAAAGTCTGAACTTGAGACAAACCTATGCACTCAATGACTCTCGAAATTTTATACACTGGTCCGACCTGTGGCTTGCGACTTTTGCATACCTGTGGTTAAGTAAATGCTCTGCACTATTGATAGTCGAAAGGCAGCGGGAAGTTATTCTTCAAAGATTTTATTTGTGGTCTTGAGGTAGGAAAAACACTCCAGCAAATGCAATGTTTATTCACATATACTATGAATGTTTCCAGTTATACCCTAGCTGATATTTGAAATTTCTTGAAGCTCTTTCAATCTCCGATCTATGGGCATTTGACCTACTCAACCCGGGTACATTATCCAAACTCACGCTACAGACTTCTACAAACGGCAAACTGCAATTTGGGAAAGAAATAGAGCAACGGAATGCATGTTAACTCTTGTCATCATTTCCATGTAAGGTTCGTGCCCGACGCAAAATTCGTTCCGTGTGGAGAGCCGACCTTGTTGTCACATGAAGTAATTGGTAAACTATCTTGAGTAGGAAATAATGTCCCGTATTTCCATGAAATGCTTGCTCCACCATTTCTCTCATACGAATGCGCGCCTTCTACTTACTCTCCTGTGTTACCCTTTGTCTATCGTCCGAGGCTATTCAACCAGTCGGTAATACGTGGGGTTGACATTGGGTCATGAACTCTCTAATACAATAGTTCACCTCTCGGAGCACAATTGTCCGAGAACCTCCCTGTCGCAGTGCAACGGCAAGATTCTCTAGAGAATATCCGTTCCCGCGCTAATGGTGTGTAGTCATCCCCACGACTTCTATCTCATTGGCCGCGTTGGACTCTCGAATATAAACTATAAAAGTGCTGGATTGCCGGGAAGCCCTAAATATCCATGGCCGACCCTCTACAGTACGTTCAATTACGACCAAATTACTTGGATAATGGTACCAACTACAACACTGGCTCTCCTTTTGTCATATTTAAGTGGTGAGGTATTTTGTACTAGTCATTCATATAATGGCCTAGGGCTGACTCCTCAAATGGGGTGGAACAACTGGAATTCATTTGCTTGTGACGTGAACGAGGATTTGCTCCTAGGAGCTGCTGAAAAATTAGCCGCTCTTGGTCTCCAGGATCTTGGTTACAAATACGTTATTCTTGATGACTGCTGGTCCGCAGGCAGAAGTGAAAATGGTAGCTTACTCCCCGACTCAGGCAAATTCCCCCATGGAATGAAATACGTTGCTGATTATTTGCACGAGAGAGACATGCTTTTTGGTATGTACTCTTCAGCGGGCGAGTACACTTGTGCTGGTTACGCGGGATCGCTTGGCTATGAACAAGCCGATGCCGATAGCTTTGCTAGCTGGGATGTTGACTATTTGAAATATGACAACTGTTTTAACCGTGGTCAGTTTGGGACCCCGCTAATATCATATAACCGTTACAAGACTATGTCGGACGCATTAAACAAGACAGGCAGACCAATTTTCTATTCCCTCTGTAACTGGGGACAAGACCTAACTTTCTACTGGGGCTCCGGAATTAGTAACTCCTGGAGAGTGAGCGGCGACATATATCCATTTTTCGATCGCCCCGACAGTAGATGTCCTTGCGACGATGACGAGTACGATTGCAAGTATGCTGGGTTTCATTGCTCGATAATGAATATCTTGGGTAAGGCTGCTCCAATGGGACAAAACGCTGGCGTTGGTGGATGGAATGACCTAGATATGCTGGAGGTTGGTGTTGGGAACCTTACTGACGATGAGGAAATGGCTCACTTTTCTATGTGGGCGATAGTCAAATCGCCATTGATCATTGGAGCCAATTTAGACGATTTAACGCCAACTTCATATTCTATTCTCAATAATCCAGCTGTGATTGCCGTCAACCAAGACCCCGCTGGCTCGCCTGCTGTACGTGTGTGGAGAGAAAAGGTTTCCGATACTGATAAGTACGGTCGCGGAGAAATACAATTGTGGAGTGGACCGCTGGAAAATGGAGATCAGGTGGTGGCAATGCTGAATGGAGGCGCAAAACCCAGGCCCATGAATGCGACTTTGCTGGATGTCTTTCCCGAGAGTGAAGAGGGAACAGCCGAACATGACGGCGAATGGGCCGTCTATGATCTTTGGGCCAATAGACTTGAGAATTTCACGGCTGAGAGTATTCTCTACGGAGGGAGTCAAGATGCCTCGAAATATTACAATGCAACTCAGCTGCCTTACAAAGAGGGGATTGCGAAGAATGACACTAGGTTGTTTGGAAAGTATTTTTCTAACCTTTCTCCGGGGAACCCTATAACCGCAACTGTGCCCGCGCATGGCATCGCTCTGTTTAGGTTGAGAAAGCAGTAAATACAAAATTTATGCACTTCTCTATTGAGACAAGGTAGTTAGCGTCATCAGCCGACAGCTTGCTGAATTTTTTCTTCACTTTTTTATCAACGGACCATAACGAAAAGACGACCATCTGAGATATTCCCCGATTTAAACCAACCCTCTTTGAGCATGTGGCTTATACTTTTGTCGCTGACCAAGTAGCCGACATTTGTACAAAATCCAGGCGAAGTGCCAAATTTTCCGCTAGCATTAAGAGTAGCCACACGGCGTATGAAAATTCATCGAGACATCTATCGAATCATATCTAAAGTCTCATACGTATCCACTTTCCCAAACCATTTTTCAAGAGTTCTTCGTCTAAATTTCATTAGCTATAATACCTTGGTACACAAGTGACACGATCATTCAATCTGGCGCTATAGGATGAAATCAAAACCTTAGGTTAGCCAGGCTGGTTTATTAAAGTGTCGCAAACGGAAAAGTGTCAGAAAGTATAAAAAATTTGTAAACATTGGGTAACACAATTGAAAACCAAAAGGATAGCGAAAAGCCACATATCCACAGAGCTTCTGTTGCTCTAATTTATTTTTAAGCCTTCGCCGACAACTACAAGGCCAAGAAATATCAGAGGAGATGAATGCTTCCGAAGGAGGCACCCGAGAAAATCGCATGCTGTCCCAATAGATCACACGCTCACAGAAAGTGTAGGTAAGAACTATCGCAAAGGCCGTGCGGCTTCTCATTTTACCACGCTATAATATATTGATAAAGAAAATAGTTGAATGTGGCCTCGAAAGGGGCTCCAGGATGCCGGCGATAAACTCCGACCTCAAAAGGTAGACGAGGCTCCCGTCATAAGGACTCGGACCATTTGAGAAGACAGGCGAAGAAGGTATTGAACAATTGATCACGAAGGACAATTAAGAACAGCTTGTGATTGAGATATATTACCTAATCGATGGTTTGACGTTATTATGCAAGCAGAGTATTTGTCAGTATTCTATGCACCGATGAGATAAGCACACTAGTCACGTGTGTCGCCAAGCTGATAGCCGAATGCAGTTTGTGAGCCTATGACATGGAGGATTGACTGCCCCAGAGCTGGCTCAGACGTTTAATCAGCTAGTAATATTGTGGAGCTTAGAGTAGGCTGATTCACTATTGTTAGAGGGTCTAAAGTTTACCCTATAGTAAGACTTGTACCTCTCCCGCCCCTAGTTGTGATGACCTTGATTGCGACAATAAAAAATACCCGAATGGGGACCATAAGACATGGTCCGTGACGTTTGGGTCGTTTGCCGGTACATTTGTGATTTAGGCTCTAATTCTGGCCCATATCTAGGAGTTGCGGTTCTTATACCAGCTTCTAGCGAGACCAATCTGGATGGAATTGGGACCGCATTTTCCAACAATCCATGCAACAGATAAACTGTTGGGCTGTCGTATCGCTTAAACGGCTGATAAGTCCTTTAAGGCTTACCTTACGCATCCTTTACTGGCGCGGTATATATTTTTTTGTACGATTGTGACACTAGATTGGTATTCCCCATCATTCTACTCGTCGCCATCTAAAAGGCACTTAATTTACTACTTCTTGAATCTACTGCGGTCTGGTGGAAGACCTAATACGAGGCCTCACACGCTAATGATCAAAGTAAGCAATATATCTCACTAAGCACTATACTCGGCTACAATTCTAACTATTATATTGCTTCAATCAAATCCTCGATAATATACCTAATTGGACTATATCGCCAGTAAAATCTACGTTAGTTGATTTTATCTTGGAATCTGAAGCTTGTGTTAGTGCAAACCACTTTTGATACTTCAGCTCAATATCATCACCTACGCAAACAAATTTCTTAACAGCTTTCGCAGCCAGTCGACCTATTGCAAGCTCGTGCACCTATCGTGAGATACCAGTGGTAATGAGTTTAGAAGCCGTTCATCTCTGTGTGGACTGGGCTAGGAACAATGGTGCTTTTATAGACGAGAGAATTGACTTTAAGTTAGACACAGCCACCGGTTTGCATGCTATAAGCAAGGCGCCAATCAAGGATGGCAAGGAATTAATCAAAATTCCTGAAAAACTACTATTGTACCGGGAGGTTGCTGAGGCGCACTTTAAGGTCGAAACACCAGCCGGTACAAATCCAAATGCGCTCTTGCAGCTGTACGTGGCCAAGCTCAAATTTGATAGCGCTTGCAAGGATTCGACGTTCTTCCAGCCATACCTAAATACACTACCGACGCCTACATCTATTAATGCTCCGTACTTTTGGACATCTAACGAACTATTGGCTTTGAAAGGTACTGATCTGCTCATCAAAACTGAGCGTAATCTGAAGAAGTTAGTTTCTGAGTGGTTTGCCATTGTAACACACCTGAATGTTATGGACGATGACGACACACAATTCTATTTGCAAAGTTCAAGTACCCGGATATCAGATCTAATACTGCGTAGCGACAACTTGAAGTGGCATAGTTTCCATGCCTATCTGTGGGCCACTTACATTTTCTCGTCCCGTGCATTTCCTGAACTTCTTCTCAAACGTAAAGTGGAAGATGTCAATCAGGCCTTCTTGTTTCCTATTGTAGACCTTCTCAATCACGCAAATCTGACGAAGGTTGCGTGGGGGCTCGCTGATGGAAGTGGCGACGCCACTTTCTCCACCAAGGAGACCCTCAAAGCCGGTGATGAGTTATTGAACAACTACGGGAACAAATCAAATGAAGAATTAATATTGGGCTACGGCTTCTCACTCCCAAATAACGACTTTGACACAGCTACTTTGACCTTGAGGCTACCAGCTGGTCAGCTACAGTCTTTTGAGACCCAAGGTCTCGAATTGGAGGACATCAATTTGGCAGAAAACTCTGTCAACTTCACGTTGAGTATGGCAACACCCCTTCCTCCACAACTCATCCACCTCTTCGGAATTCTCAACCAGTTGAGTTCAGAACAAGTCTGCACCACTAGAAGCATACTGGAAGGAACTACACAGTTGAACAAGGTCATCGACCAAAAGATTGCGTTTTACAAAAGTGCGTCAAAATTGAAAGCTTCTTTGGCAAACTCTGAGCGGTCGAAATTGACGAAAACTTACATGACAGGAACAAAACGGATCTACCAAGAATGCTGTGACTCAATAAAAAGATTCCAAAAAAGGCTTCTGAAGGAGTTGAAACCTATGTCTTTTAAATCATTATTCAAATCTGACACGACTTTTGCCAACAGCTTAACTTTGACATTTGCCATTACCAAGTACGAGGATCTGCTCACCAAGGGATTTCTACAGCAGGCTCTTTTGTTATTTATAGTGAGGTTATCGAATGAGGGTCCAAACATGCAAGTGCCGAAGTTCATTCAGGATTGCTTCAAAGACGTTGCCGAAACAATAGTAGTTGACAAGGAAGATGTGCAAGAATATTTACCGTTCTACAAGAGTCTCTTCCCACAGCTGTCTTCGAAAATACCGGAAATATACAATCAAGGAGATTGGGGAATCAAAAGCTTCATAATTGCCGGGACCGTGCTCGACAGATTGATGTGGCAATCGCCTTTGTCGCATGAGGTTTATTTCTTAGAGCGCATGCCTTATTCTTTTGCCAAAGCAGGCCCAGAAATCCATGACCGTATCGCGTCCTTGCGAGTGTGAACCTGGGCCACCATAGGTACGGTACGGTCGTGAGTATTTTAAAGACACTAAATAATGCTACCTAGATATGTGCAAACTGCACAGTTAGCTCAGTAGTACTACTTATAGCCACGAAATTCATTTCAACGGATTTAGTGAGAACCAGCACCTCTGCTGACCTTCTCCAAAACGGATTCATAGGCGACTTCCGAGAAATCGGTACCTTGGATGTCGGTGGAGATTCCGTTCAACGCTCTTCTCAAAGCATCCTTGGATGAGGCGTATACCATCTTGGCCCTGACTGGAGCCGTGTCTGGAGACCAGGTGTAGAACACGATCTTGGATCTCTTTCCCTCGTTTCCGCCGATTTCGTATTCAAAATCGTAAACGGCATACAGACAGTCGTCCTCGGGCAATTTCTCCAAAAACGAATCGTAGTCTTGCGCATCCGAGGTGTCCTTCACAACAATCTCGGTTTTGCTGTCGTTAAGGCCGTACAGCACAAACTTGTATTTCTTGCCCAATTTCAGGTCGTTAAAAGCCTTCATGGATTCATCGGCAACGGCAACACTTCAAGACTGGTTAGTATAACCGCAACAGCTTAGTTTGATGCTCAGAGTGCAGGCGGACTCCAATACGAAACAAAACCAGCGAACAATGTCCAATTGTAGGCCTCCCACCTTCTGACACCACCACACCGGCCCCAAAAATCGGCCCTACACATAAACCTTCCCTACAATACTTCCCAGGACATTGCTGATTTCGCTCTTGCCATGATAAAACCGCGCTATAATACTACTGCAATCACACTGGGCCCCACTCCAAAGCCCTGGGTTACTACCCACAAACCCTCAAGTCACACAAACATACCCAGATCTCGACATTTCGTATTGATTTGTATTCTAAACTTGGTTTTATGCTCGAGTTTCAAACTTAATGTGTTGTTCCAGCGAACGTTTTTCTCAAAGGGACGTAAGCTTAGGAAAGGGGGAAAAAATCCCAAGGTATATAAACCGCCAGTATATTAAAAGGTTACCCGCAATCTTGAATTTAAAGAAGTCATTACTTAGTGAATGTCAATGAGCCAATGGACAGTTTGGAGGGTCTAGAGCAGCGATTGGATGGCATTGAGAGAAGTGTGGGTGATTTAGATGGATTAGGGGACTCGGAAAATGTGTATGTGAAACTTCAAGTGCTGTCAATGGAGGTCAAACGGTTGTACAGGGATGGGATGAGGTGTTCCAAGGTATTCTGGAAGCTGGTAGAGGTGTTCGTGGCCACGCAGACGGAAAAGATATCAGAAAAAGAGCAGCTGGTCCTGGAGACCTGTCTGGAGTCATTTGAGGACATTTTGGGCGAGTTGCGGCGCCTGGAGATGTGGTGCAGTGCGGAAAACTTGGATCAAGTGCTTTCGTGCGGGATGTTGGCGGTAGGGAAGGACCAGGGTTATGCAGAGACATCGAAGCTTCCCACACTGCTCGGGTCGGTTTCGGCTCTGATCGTCGAGACCATGGGCCAAGTGTATCGCTTCTTGAACATGATTTCCGCGCAGAACGAGATCTGGAGCGAGACGGAGCTGAGGATGCGTTCTCTTGAGCGACGGATACGCGCGATCGAAGAGTCGAGGGTCGTCTGATTTGGGCTCGAAACTTTCCAGCGCACTGGGCGCTCCACATTACATTGAATTATAGAATACATTGTCACTGTCGCCTCCTGGAGGCCCCCAGGGCGACAGGGTCGCCCAAACCTGGTCTTTTCATTAAGTAGAGTATTGTGGCATGGTCGATCATTTGCTTCGCAACACATTCGGCATTTTTGACTTTCGTGACTGCGTCCAGTGAGTCGGTTATCTGCAGCTCGAGTCTCGAGGAAAACTGGTATAACCGTGCTATGTCTGCAGGTAGAGACTGGTCGACGAGCAAGACGGCTTTGAAATTTTGTGTAGAGCTACCATTCGCTATAGTGCTGTCCTCCATGCCAACTATAGCCATGACCGTGTCGAAAACGCGACGTGAACTCTCCGTCTGCTCCGGCAGATGAGTAGATACCATCGAAGCACGGTCGATGGAATCTGTGAAGAGCTTCAGCTCAAAATAGAGATTCGGAAAAAGATCCTGGAAGCCCTTACATTCAGCTAGCACTGTGCTCAGCACTTGCAAAATCGCTCTTTGGCGTTTTTCACTCATGGCAGGCGCCTGCTTGGCACTGGACCTGAGTTCGGCATTAATCATCACGTTATATATATTCAAACGGACCAGAAAGGCATCGAGAAGGTCCTTGCTGTTGACAAGACTTTGTATACTCGTCGTATCCCAATTTTCATTTAGTTCATTGATATCGCGAAGGATTTGCGAATCCCATGGGGTCAAAGCGGTTGGCGCGCCGCTGGGCTCAATGTCATTAATGCGATTCTTTATCCTTCGCAAGTTTTCATAAATGCAGTACACAATTGAAACTTTACAGTACTCTTCCTTGAGCTGTTGCTCGGTGATACTATTGGAGAGGACCACGGCTCTGAGAACGTCAGTTGTGCACATGCGCCGCTTCATGATGCGGGTGTTGGGGCGGAAGCTGCCAGATTCAAGAGCCCTGAAAAACCTGGATGTGCTTCTTATTTCAGTTTCAAAACCATCAGCAGTTTTGAAGGGGCGTGGGGTTTGCTTCTGAGTCGTAACATGGGAACCTGTTGGACTAACGCACAGCTTCTGGAGAGCTCGCAATTCCGCATTGTTGCAAACCCGTGAGGGTATTACCACGCTCGCGAGTAAATCACTTGGAAACAATTTGGCGTGGGCAGCATTAAGCTGCGGTGTCAACGCGATCGCTTGATTGGACCCCGATTGGGACTCGAATATGGGCATCGCATCACCTGTCACTGGGTGATATACTGACTGGTTCTGCAACTGTTTGTAAGTTTCTGAAGGTACTTCCACAGCTCTACAGGCCAATGACAATTTGAGAGCGGGCCACAGAATGTCTATATGCATATGATTTGACGTTTGCAGTCGGAGAACGTCGTCCCAACCTTGCGAGTCCTCGAGGTATGCTCCTCTGCGGCCCCGAGACTCCGAAAGCTCATAGCGAGGCTTGATGCTATTTTTGAACAAGCTTTGCATAACTGGGAGTTGTTGCAGGTCGCAATCCTGGGATCGATTGCCGTGCGCCCGAAGTACAAATTGAATTCGCGACGGCACACGTAGAATAACGTCCTTCCACAAAACCTCCTGAAGCGCCAAAACAGGCATAGATTCTAAACGAGCGGGCAATTCAATAGTTGTTTGTGGTGCAGAGTTCTCGCAATTGGGGTTTTTCGAAGTTTCCCACTGCATTCTAGCGCGATCTAATCTAGGCGCATTCTGCTTGTAGGTGAAGCGACGCTGTCGGGAACAGTTTCTATATGCCAATTGCAACTGCGAAATCCAGTTCTTCGGGTAAATTCTGGTCATTCCATAGGGCAAACCAGCTCCCAGTCCCGCGCTGTCTTCTATCTCAACCAACGTCTGCTCTACAATTGAATAACACGATTTTTCCACGCCCATTCGTTACTCGTTACTACTATATCGACCAGTCTTTAGGCCAATCTGCGGAGGCGACAGCCTATCAATCTATGAACCGCAACCACCAATACAGCATCAGAACGTACAATTGTCTTTCTTCCCAGATATAGGACAACTGCGTGATACGATTCGCAGACTCGTGCTGCGAGAGAGTGATTCACCAAAATAGACGTCCCGTCTCACGAGAAATACTGCTATTTGAGCACTCCTTTCTGGCTAGTCGTCGTGCTCAAGGCCTAGTGATCACTGGTCCAGGCCTCTTTCCTCTATTATCTCAACAAGACGTACACAAATGCCGGAGCCAATCTTGGTGTCACAATAGTACAAACCGATAAATACGCAAAAACAACGTCAGTGTGGTGCCAAAGTGATATGGACTGTGTCAGACTATGACAAAATGATATACGAAGAAGTCAACTTTGGCACATCACGTGGCTCAAGAAGCCACACGTTTAAGTGACAAGATATACTGATAGTGCGATTAATAATGTTATTAAAGCGGGTTTGAGTGAATAATACTTACAGTGATGACTCGGCTTTAGCTGTTAGAATCTCTCATTGGTGTAGTCACCTTATATATGTTGCTATTTTGCGGAGTGATCGCTTCTTTCTGAACGTAATATATCAGGAAGCCTTACAAGGCTTATTTCGAATCTGTCCCCTTTTAGCTTTAGGCAATAACAAGTCCCTAAGCACCAATGAGTCTCCCAAATGGTGATCCGTTGCCGTTGAAAAAAGACGGTGATTTGGAGCAAGGCTCCTTGGCACAGGGGTCCATTCGATACGGTTCCATGTCGTCGATACGAACGGCGGAGCTGGTTGAGCTAAATCATGATCTGGACACCCACCATGAAGTTCCACAAGGTCGGCATCTCGGTGTTTTCTCGACAGTCATTCTTTTCGTATCCAGAATCATTGGATCCGGCATTTTTGCGGCTCCCAGTAGCATTTTCGTTGGATGCGGAGGCAACCCGTTGCTGTTTTTCGCGGTGTGGTGTGTGGCAGCACTTTTGGCTTTCTCAGGGCTATATCTGTTTCTGGAGTTTGGCTCGCTGATACCGAGATCGGGCGGTCGCAAGAACTTCTTGGAGGCAGTCTACACCAGGCCTGAAAGAATGATGAGTGTTACTTTTACCACGTTCACCGTCTTGATGGGTATGGCCGTGTCCAATGCGATCGTGTTTGGCAAGTATGCGCTGTACGCTGCAGGATTCAGCGAAGAATTTGTCAATAGCAACTCTAAGGCATGCAACTACCTGGGCGCCCTGTTAATTGTTGCAATCGCGATGGTCCATGGCAGATCCGTCAGGGGAGGCATACTTATTCAAAATCTGCTGGGCGGTCTAAAGCTCGTATTTACACTGCTGATAACCTTCACCGGCTTTTATGTGATCCTTTTCTACAAGCAGGCCGATATTGAAGTGGCACTTCTGTCACCATCACTCGCGTCCCTCACGCAAGTCCATGATAAGATCACCGTTTCATCTGTGACGACGGCTTTTATCCAGGCTTTCTTTTGCTTTGCTGGCTGGGATACAGTACACTCTGTCGCTTCTGAAATAAAAAACCCTGGAAGGACCTTGAAAATTGCAGGCCCATTCTCTTTGGGATTTTGCCTATTATGCTACTTGACATTAAACGTGGCGTATCTGAGGGTATTCAACTATGAAGATTTTAAAGCAGCTGGTCCGCTGGCCGGATCCATTCTTTTCACTAGACTATTTGGCCCTAATTTGGGTAGAAAATTCATTACTTTGGGGATTGCCTTATCTGCAGGCTCCAATTTGTTCGTGGTCGTTTACTCCGTTTCGAGAATGAATCAAGAATGTTTCAGAGAAGGCTTTTTGCCTTATAGCAGGTTCATGGCTAGTAATAAACCCTGGGGGGCGCCATTGCCATCTTTGGTACTATGTGCTATTTTGACAACGATTTGGCTAGTGCTTTTACCCTCGTCAGGCAGTGCGTATAGCTATCTTATCGCAATGGAAGGGTATGCCAACCAATTCATAATATTGCTGATTGCAGTTGGACTCTTTCTGTACAGAAGGAATAACCCTGATAAAAGGCCTGAAATCAGAGCCTCCTCGATTGGAGTTGCTGCCGTAATCGCCTTATCATGTTACCTGCTGGTTGGGCCTTTCATTGGTGACCAAAATGAAGCAAGTGTTGAGCATCTTCCCCCGTACCCTATTATGGCCCTGGTTCTGATGTTACTTTGCCTATCCTTCTGGTTTGTGAAATTCATGCTCTTACCTAGGATACTGGGATATCGACTCAAGCGTCAGGTTGACATATTGGAGGACGGGTTGGTGATGGTTAATTGGCTCAAGGAATACTTTTAAATCCAGGGCATTGTGACATTTTAGACCAAGCAAAGCACATTGGTTACTTTAATGGTTTAATGCATCAAGAATATAATGGGCTCGGAAATTAGAAGGTTATAAATATATAAAAACCTTATAGAATTGAATTAGTGTTCTATTGATTGGAATTTGAATTAAATTTATGAACAAAAACTACTTGGAGTTTAACTTCTTAACGAAAGACTCCTTGGCAAGTTGAACCAAGGACTCAAGTTCACCGCTATCCTCGCACATGCTGTAGAAAATACTGCTCTTGTTCAGGAGTAGTGAATATGGATGATCGTATTCCCTGACTTCACCAGCATCCATAACCAAAATTTTGTCGTAATCAATAATGGATCTCAATCTATGGGCGATCGTTAAGATTGTACTACTTGCGAACTCATCTCTTATAGTTTGTTGAATTTTGGCATCGGATTGATAATCGATAGAAGCGGTAGCTTCATCCAACAGCATCACCTTGGGAGTACGTAGCAAAGAGCGTGCCAAACAGACGAGCTGACGTTGGCCTTGTGATAAGTTGTTGCCCCCTTCGGTGATAGCGTTATCTAAGGATAAAAATTTGTTAGTGTTCTCTGAAGTTGTGGAAGATTGATCATCGTTCTGTCTCTCATCGTTATCCAATTCCTCTTGTGTAACGAGGTTCACACGTTTCAATGCCTCAAAGATCTGACTGTCAGTATACTCATCGTATGGATCCAGGTTAGATTTTACGGTGCCTGCAAACAGAGTTGGGTCCTGAGGGATGATAGTAATAGATTGACGCAGTCTCTTCAGCTCAATCGACGTGATATCGACATTATCTATTTTGATGTGACCGCTTTCAGGGTCCAAGAAGCGGAATAATGCAGTGATAATTGTAGATTTACCTGCACCAGTTCTGCCCACAATACCAACTTTACAATTTGATTCGACAGTGAACGTTACGTTCTTGATGACCTTGGGCAAGTTTGGAGCGTAGCGTAATGATAAATCTGTCACCTCAATTTTACCGCGGTTTGGCCATTCTGGAGGTGGATTGTGCGTACTCTGGAAATGAGGTTCTTGTTCCACATCCATGTACTCCTTTAATCTTTCAACTGAGTTCATCGTCATCTCGACAGTCGAGTATAGTCTAACCAGCCATAGCGCACCTTCAGTGAAAGAAATAGCATAGGTTAAAGAGATACCTGCCAAACCAGAGTCAATAGAATCAATATTCAAAAGAATGAAGATACCGGCAGCGAATACCACCAAGGCGCCGATCATGTCAATCCTGAAAGCCAACCAACGATTAGCAACCCATAAGTAAAAAAATGGTTTGTTGTTCTCGTCAATTTTTGTCAAGTTTTCCTCCATAAAACGACGCTCATCGCCAAAGGCACGAATGGTGGTAATACCAACAAGGGTCTCCGAAAAATGTTGATGGATAGGAGATCTGCTTATAGATTCATACCTCTTCATCTCCCTTGATCCAGCCATGTAAAAGTAACCAACCAAGTAGTACATTAGTGTAACGAAAACCGCAACAACTATGAAGCCTGGTGTGATGTAAGCAATCAAAAGAACAGTAGATAAACATTGGATCAAAGAAATAAAGGCACCCTCGACGAATGGAGTCAATTCTTGATCAACAGCCTCGATATCTTTCGAAAATCTATTCATAATTCTACCAATTGGGGTCGAGTCAAAAAATCTCAACTTGGCATACAGAACTTTCTTCAAAACGAGGTTGAAGATTTTTCGAGAGGCATTGATACCGGCCACAAAGTTGATGATAGTCTTTATCGCTGAGATTACAGCCTGAACAACACCAATACCAAAATAGATCAATAAGTAGTACTTGGTTGAGTGAGCTGAAGTCTTCTTGGCCGAAATTGTTGAACTAACTGTTTCAGGAATAACCGTGAAATGAATTTCTTGTGCCCTCAAAGGTAAGAACATATTCACAGCATTCTGAGGGATGATTTTGGCGGCCAAATTTCTCGCGGCTTCGTATGTATTGTGAGAAGCCCAGTTGCGTACCCACCAGGATTGGGAAATGTAAACACATTGAGCAAGAGTAAACACCGCAGCCAAGAAGATAACCATCTTCAGTCCACCGAAAAGCTTGGCATACCACTTGTAAACTTCAATACTAACAGTACCTTCAGACTTCGTCTCTTCTTCGATCAGTTTACCTTGCTTCGCTCTGTCCGCATCAGTCAGAGGGATTTTCGCGGGCGGGGCACTCTCTTCTTCAATCTTCTTACTCAATTTCGTAAGATCAACGCCACTTTTATCCACCTTACGACTGAGACTAGCAGAAGAGCCTCCTCTTGAAAGAACACTGGCCTTCACAAGTTCATCTTGGCCCAAAATTCCCCTATTGAAGAGATCAACTGGCAAGCCTTGATCCTTGACTTTACCATTTTCCATGTATACAACCCACTCAGCATCTTTCAGAGTCAAAGCAACGTTGTGGGAAACCAAAATACAGGTTCTTCCCTCCATGAGAGGGCCACTGATACAGTTTTCGTAGATCCACAAGGCCGTATGTGAGTCGACTGCGCTTAGACAATCATCCAAGAGGAGATGTCTCGAGGAAGAATATAGAGCTCTCGCCAAGGAAACTCTTTGCTTTTGGCCACCCGACAATGTGATCCCCTTTTCACCAATTTCCGTCTGGTCTCCCGCGCTCAAAATTTCAAAATCACGTTTCAATCCACAAGCCTCAATAACAGCGTCGTACCTTGCTTCATTGAAGGGACTGCTAAAGAGAATGTTATTTTTCACAGTATCGTTTAGCAACCACGCGGCTTGAGAACAGTATGCGATTGAGTTTGTCATACCATCAGCTTCAATAATTAAATCCTCTCTAGCATCAAGACTAGGCGCGTAAACAGTACCACTTAATAAGTCCATTTCTCCTAACAACCCCATTAATAAAGAGGTTTTACCGGATCCTGTTGGACCGATCACAACATTCAGTTTGCCTAATTTGAAATCAACGTTCAAGTCCTTAAGCTTGAATTCAGAATTTTTCCTGTCCCACGAAAAGGTGGCATTTTCAAACCCAAGTCTTTTGTCATGGACAGTAATCTGTTCGTATTTTTCAGTCTCGTCTTCTTCCAAAAAGTCCTGTACTCTATCAAGGGAAACTTTCGATTGTATGACAAAGCTCAACATATCAGAAAGCTGATCCAAGGGGTTCCTTAACAAGGTAAATAGAGAAAGGGACGTGAAAGCGATTGGTGTGGTCAAGGTCTGTTTTTGAACGTAGATGTAAGTAGCGAAAGTGACAGACGTGACCAGTCCAGGCGTAATAAACCAGACAAATCCAGCTGCGGCCCACGTAACGGAACGCTTCAGCAACATTTTCAGTTCTTGTTCCCTAATAGATTGAATTTCGTTCTCAAAATTCTCTTCCCAGGAGAAAAACTTTATGATACGGATGGCCTGAAAGGTTTCGTTAAGTTTTTGGATTCTCTTGTCAGTTATCGCTAAGGTCTTTTTCTGGTACTCACCAAGTAAAGTAGTTAGTTTGAAACTGATAGGAAGCAGGGCCACTATCAGACCAGCGCCCACAAGAGCAGACCATCCCAAAAGCTTGTAGAGAAGAGATAAGGCCACAACTGTCATAACGGAGGCCTCGACGAATGCATGCAAATAAGCGCAAATCTCCGAGATTTTGAAGGCATCGACGGCCATTAAGTTTATAATGGCACCAAGATTAGCGGTGGTGGATTCTTCGTCTGCATCGATCTCCTTCTGTTCATTCAGATCTTGAGGGTCAACTTCGTCGGTAGAGGACTTTTTAGCATTGGCGGAAATCTTTCTTCTCAAAGCCTTGGTATAAATTTCTGAAATAATGATGGCCCTCATTCTAATGCAGACTCTTCTTCCAAAGAAAAGAGCCTGAGACGAACAAATCGCAACTGCAATTCTACACGCAAACATAGCGCAGACGTACAGCCACGCCAAGTTTTTTGGAGCCGTGGACCGGTCGTCGACATACTCTAAAATACGCTTCAATAATAGGGTTGGAATAAAGGTAATAACACTCTCAAAACATGCCCAGAAGCCCTGGAGGGCAAGGTATTTGGAAAAAAACCAAAACAAGTTATGGGAAAAGTTACTTGTCTTATTCCTAACAGAATTCTTGAATTTCTTCAAAACGAAAATTGAATAGTCCTCTAACATAAGTCCCCAAATGTCCGTGATTTTGATTGATTGCTTGCTGGCTTGCCATACAAACTTGTCCAACCAAGACCAAGAGATAAAGCTCACTAACGAAGTGACTGGCTCAGGAGAAGGGATGATTTTGCTGTCCGTTCTGTAAAGGTAACTGTGGCTGTTACCAATTTGGGCTGTGAATAGTAGGATGAACAAAAATAAGTCCAAGTAAAATTGCGATATAGTAAATTTTTGGGCAATGGGGTCTTCGATGTGGCCTACAAGGTACGACCGGTAAGGAAGAGCCTGACTCATCAGCAAAAACAAGTACGATATGAAAGAAACTGACCACAGGTTTCCAGGGTACTTTTTAACCCACTCGACCTGCTCATTGATGTTGGCCAGACGCAGCGAGACGGCGAGTAACAGCCAGGACCACAGGAGGACACCAACAATAGCAGGGGCACGGGGAAATTCGTAGTTATCACCCGCTAATTTGACCAAAATGATAACGTGGATGGCCAATTGTGCTAAAACAGCTAGAAACTCGAGCACAATACGCGACTTTTCGATGAATCCACGTTTCACCACCTCCACCACGCCATGAGGCGTGCCATGGATGTCTGTGAGTCGTATTTTCTCGATGGAAAAGTGCTTTTCTTTCAAGGACTGCGCGGACTTCTTTGCTGTCGTCCCGGGGCCTTCAGTATAGCCATTGGAGCCAGGGTCGTTGCTGCGCGAACCGGGCGAAAGCAGCGGCTTGTTCTCGTCATCCGAACCGTCCGAATCTACGACTAGATCTCCTGCGTAGTTTGCCTTTGCGTAACCTTGTCTTGCATGCCGCAAAACTTTGAAAGCTGTGAGCGCGATGAATCCGACAAGCAGAGCCAGGGGGACATAATACCCGAGGTACCAGATTCGACCGCAAGGCGTTACATCGTCGTAGTACCATAATCGGCACGTTTCGGGAGACGTAACGTTTCGTTCCATGCTATAGACGATACTTAGGTAGGCTCTTTCTGGATTGTTTTGTTAGGAGATAACAACTCAGCAAGGGTGGCTAACTCATTCTCAGATATATATACAGCTGGTCATATCAGTCACATGATACGAGATAATGAAAAGTCTCTTAAGCCGTACGTACAAGAGGCGGGTTATAAAAATTCGGCCGAACCAGCAGCTGGACGTGGGTCGAAGAGCCCATTGACCTTCAATAGCGGCTAACACAGGGTTTCAATAACTTATGTGCGATGAAACAATCGAAAAGCAGTATTGGAGAAAATTTCAGGCTGAAATCTGGCTAGTATTGGCTATTGGAAAATCAACAACGAGATGGGATGAGTTTAAAGCAGAGGTCAGCGGGATCGAAAGAGCGAAACGCATACTCAGCGCAATTGAAAAGCTCGACACAATAATCAGTAACCGAGATTTTGGCACACGTTTTGTTTGGCTGACTTCCATGGTGGGTGGGCGTAAATATCCGCCGCTAAACGCGGAATTCGGAGGGGACATTTCTTGGAATGGTCAAGACTTGAGTAGTAAGCCCATTAAGGAGGCCGAAAAAGAAACCATAATACCAGAAATTTTGGATCCTTGGCCAGGTGGAGCTTCGGTGGCTCAAAATCAGTCTATCAACGACTGCTCTTTTGTTGCCAGTCTCATTAACATCAGATCTCGAGCTCCGACCAGCTTGAAAATGGCACGTTGCAAGTCAAGGCTGTGGAACTTCAATTTCCATTTTAATGGAGTGCCTAATAGGCTGGTGCAGGTTGATCCAGTGGCGGTAGTTGATTCACCCCATATAATGTCTGAAGATCCTCTAGACTGGATGTTAGAAAACGCATACATGCAGGTCAAAAACATGTCGAGCTACGCCTATCATGGTTCTAATGCGGCAATAGATACCTTTCTTCTGAACGGGTTTATTCCAGAAACATGTTCTGTTAATGGAGCAACGTTGGGGCAGATCATCAAGTCCTTCAAGAGCTCGTTCTGTCTCATAACCATTGGGACCGGTGAGCTCGTCAAAGATGCAGAGTTTCTGTCGAACCACGACTATCCTATTATTGGCATCACCGAAGGTAATTTGTTAGAGATTCGAGATGTTTTGGATCCGCAGAAAGTGTGGCATTTGCAAGAACGAGCCCTGCTGGAAAACTTCCGGGCCGTGTATTTCAATTGGAACTCTCCCGTTTTGTTTTCTCATCATCAGACACTTCATTTCAAATATGACAGTCTTCAAAATAATGCTTCATCTAGCACTATTGACAAGCCTGTTTTCGAAGTTTGCAACGATAGCCCCGCAGTCGAGCCCGTGTGGGTTTTGTTGGAAAGGCACTTGGGGTCGCGCGCTACCGAGAGCGATGGATGCTCTCTGGGATACACATCTCGAGAGCTCCTTCCTGTACAAAATTACCGAGGTAGTAATTTGGGATTTCATTTACTTAAGTTGGATCTGCAGCCAAAGGAGCGCAAGCTCATTTTCTGTCACTCTGACGTGTCTGCAAATTACAGCATACATTTTTATCATGTTTCGAAACACATTAGTGCGCACAAATACGATAAGCGTCTCAGCTCAATGATCGTGAAGGATGAATGGGACGCATCTAACGACTATGGTCCACTTTCAAATCCTTGTTTTTACATGAACCCGACTTTTGAAGTGACTATCCAAAGTCCGGAACACACGACGCAATATCTCAACTTGCAACTCATAAGTGTTGGCTCTCGATTGATCAATGCTCAGATGTTCAACATAAATGATGGGGAACTCAGCAAACCACTTTTTTCCGATGGCACGTACGAAGATAAGTTGTTTTGCCGTCGAGCCATTCCACTGACCACCAACACAAGATACCAGATAGTTTGTTCATCTTACGAAGGAATCAGCAGAAGCGGCTTCAGACTTGTAGTCACAAACCCTCATGATTCCGATTCCATAACGTTAAAAAGAATATATCCTCAGTTTGGATGGTATAAACACCACAACCGATGCGATTTCATCTGGAAGGCAAAAATAGCTCGCATAAAGTTTGACCTCTCATCGAATAGCACTAGCTCGATGCAGTTGCGTATATTACCATTGCGCTGCGACCCCACACTCTTCATCCGTGTGAATATATTCACCACAGACATTAAAATTCCAATAATCAAAAATCATGGATTTTCAGCAGTGCCTAGATATGGCTTGATCATACCAGACCTAAAGCTAAAATATAACGAGTCATTGACTTTGTTACTGGAAAGAGATGGTCCATCAAGTGCATTCGAGGAATTACCACTACGACTAGAGTTGGGCTCGGACTTTGAGATAACTATCAACGAACGTTGAGTATTGTTTATTGTGAAGATACATTTTGTTCAATACACAATGTATCTACAACGAATGGAACAATACGGCTGCTTCACGGCTGGCCAATTGGGGATTACTTATTATGTCTTTTCGCCTCTCTAGAATACAGTCCTACCCTATTGAAGGAGGGGAGGATCATGGGCTGAGTGTAGCGGATGCTCACGAAGAAGTTGAGGAAGAAGGGCCAGAACTCAAAGAAAGTCGATGGCAGCAACTTCTTACATTGCTAACCAGTTCCCCGTACGACATTTTCTTGTCGATAAACGAATCTATTGAAAGTATCGATTGGGACTCAAAGGCCACTACAATTGCCAAGCCCGCAGGAGACTGTTTGACACTGGCGTTGTATGTTACGCGGCTTCTGCAAGACAACCTGATCAAACCCAATAACCATAATATTGGTAAGAAACACGATTCTTTCGACCTTTCCCGGTCACAAGTTTTGCAAGATTTCGAATTCTGGTCGCAAATTCCCAAAGGAGGTATATCTGCCACGCGCATGAATTGGTACTGGGAGTCTTTGAGGTTTTTGAAAGTCTTTCTGCAAATCTCGGTGGGTATATTACTTGTCGTCAATTTGCTGGTCGCGTACAAATTTTTATCAGGAAAGTATCAGATCTACTCACTATTTTATTGCCATTCTAGGCCGCGTTCCAATAATGTGACTAAGCGTTCATTCGGTGACCTAAGTCTTCGGTTTGCCGATGACATCTCTAAAGGCTCCATTTGGGAAATGGCCAAGTATCTCTTCTCGCGAAAACAAATTCGGACTGAAAAAACATCGGGTCAATCTTATTATCAACTCAAAAAGTGGACACCCGGCAAATTTTATGCTGCTTTGTTCAGCCGCTTTTCTCCCGTTTGTTTTGTATTCCTTCTTACGATGGATGTTTCATTCAAGACAGCTCTACCATTGGTTCTCAACCAGTACCTATCATACCTTGTTGTTTTTGGACGCTATGAGGATAGGTTGGATGATGAAGCTTGCTTGGCAGCCGCTAACCTCGCAGAGATTAATGAAAAGATTATAAAACCCAAAACTGCAGTCAAAACGCAAGACGCAATGGTTGACGCCACACAGTATGGAGGTAGATCTGCTTTGTTTTTTCCCTCCTTTACTACTACCCGGTCTCATTTATTTCAGACGCATACAGTCACTGGGGACACGGTGACCGAAAGATTCAACCCAGCAAATCAGACTTTCGAAGATGTTGTGTACTCGAATGAAACCAACAATTATGTGAATCATGATCCACAATATATGGCTAATGAAACACCGAGGCAAAAGGCGATTAATGGTGCTTCTGTTCGTCCATTTTTCTGGAGTCGACAACCAAGTCCAACCAAAATTGCCACACCTCCTAAGTTTATGCATAACGGCGCATCTCCTACCTCCGCCCCATTAACACCTAATTTGAGGCCCTCATATGGTGAAAAAAACGATACATCCGCGAGAAATGCTTCAGGTATAGTTAACAGAACCAGTTCGATAAACCGAGATTACAACGTGTCCAGGCTAGATAATTTTTCTAGACTAAGGCGAAACTCTGCGAGTCCGATCAAAAGTGTCGGGTATTTAGGTGTTCCCGGTACACGAAGCATCCACAGGCCCATAATAGGGGGCGATAGTTCAATTTCATTCAGCATGGACGGCCCGAATACAGATATACCTTTTGAAGAGGTTTTTCAACGCGGGCGTCGATCTTACCTTCCACGAGATGGTCCACCAAGCCGGTCTTCGGCCATTTCTTCCCGTAATAGTAGTATAAGTCCTTCTAAGGGCAACAACCAATCGTTTAGAAGAGATTCAATTGACTCCAGGCCCCCCTTTAGATAATTACACAAGTCAAATTATGGTGCTTTATAATCAAATGCATGCAAGGTCTTTCTATAGTGGTACAAATAGGCTAAATTTCACTATAAATCGTTCCATCCAAACAGCCAGTTATTCACTTTTCCAAGAACCCCGTTAGAGTGTTGATTTTTGTCTTGATCGTGCATTCTTGACTCAAGCGTCTTGAGAAACGCGTTATCATGAGTGCTGCTGCGATTACCTCCAAGAAAAAGAGATTTTCCATCTTTCATTTCTATACGTTGAGAATTCAAAAAAATTCCATTATGCCTATCCACATTGAGCATATCACCTGGTGAATCACCCTTTCCCACATTAAGCGTGGGACTAGGCGTCGGGTTAGTAGGCAGATTAAAACTTCCCACATCGTCTGTCTGTTCAATCTTGCAAGATGCGAGCTGCTCGACAGCACTCTTTTTGTAGGGAACACAACCTATCAAGCAACCGCCATAAACCACGCCATTTTCCTGTAATGCTCGCAAGGCTGAAGATGGAGAATCATAAGTTAGCTTGATCCAACCATCACCCGTAAATATAGGATACTTACGACGAATGCCGTTTTCGTCAGCATGTTTATTCCGAAGTCTCAATGTAGCGGCGTTTGTACCCGATTTACCCCTAAGAGCTTCAAAGTCCTCTAAAATATTGCCAAATTTAGAGAATTGGATGATTATTTGGTTAGAGATGGACTCAGGATAACCAAAAACAATCACTGCACTTTCGCTCCGCGGCGTTGGGCTAGGCTTATTTCCTTTATCGGCACCAGTACTATCCTTTGAGGGGGCATCGACGGTAGCACCTTTATCGAACACGTTACCGGCAATCGATGAGCCGGGTTGTTTTTTGGAACCGAAGGAAGAGATACTTGTGCGTGAGTCGTAATTCTCTGGCAACATCGACCCAAATTCGTCTTCCCGCTGCCAATCAAACAAAGATTTAGAAGGGGGTGCTTCATTGGAATCGATTAGAATTGCGTTGGGCAAGGCGTCCTTTGGTTCATGTGGTTTTTTGGAGGGGTTGAAAATAGTAGCAGCTTTTTTGTTTCCGAAAGTCATAGCATCAAACCCACCCCCATTAGCCGATGTTGTTGTCGTAGGCCCGTTAGCGTTGGAGTTGTCGGAAGGACCGGCCTTTGCCGCACGTTTGACGATGGACTGCGGGATAGTGCGCTTTCTGGGGTTGTTGAACCAGGAAGTCTTTGATCCATCTGAACTCGAGTCCAAACTTTGTCCCGCACTACCTGGGCCAACTAACGTTGGCACATTCACCTGCTGCTGGTGAGAAAAAGCCGATGCAGCTGGCTGTTGTGATAGCTGTTGTTGCGGAATATTAACCGTCAAGTTTGAAAACCTATTCTCAGTATTTTGGTTAGAGCTCCCAAAAATTGATGACATGTTACCACCGCCAGAATCGAAACTAACGTCCGATAAGAAACTTCAATTGACGTTATGATCCGGTGTCTACCGTTGCCCAGATACTTCCAATTTTTATTGTTATTCAAGACTTGTCACCATATACGCCAAACGGCCTAACTCATCGCCGTCGCTAGATTCAACTGGCCATGGTAACAAACTGAACAATTGAACTGTTTGTAGGTCCCATTTATTTTGGAAGATTGGATGAAAAGACCCACAGTTAGGTACTACTTCAACTTGATTATCCGATGTGTTTTTGGTTTGTCTGTCGAAAATCAAAGGTGGTATTGAAGAAAAACCGATCCCCATTAGTGGTTAAACGAGTGTCGCGAGGATGATCACTCAAGTATCGAATAATAGAATAATCTATTGTACTTGACAGGGCACTTCCTCTTTTTTCTCGAAGATTTTATCAAACATTTATAACCATTATTTTAGTAGCCCCTGTAAGTTCTCGGCTTGTACCTTGGTTGGTACGATGATCTTTGCGAATAAGATGTCCTTGACTGGGCTTGGTAAGGCTGTTTGGCCTTACGCTGAGGCACGGTGACGACATCTTCTCCACGGTCTTTGAAGCGTCTCTTCAGAATATCTAGCTCCTGGCGTATTACAACATAACCAAGGTGGATCTTTCCAATGAAATGGTCTGCAAGTCTTCGATCTGTGTCCAGTCGCGACAGATACGCGCCACATATTTCACAAACTTGAAGTTTTTGCTGAGCGCTTTGTCCAACGTTTTCCGCGATTTCTCGTACCTTTACTGCCACTTCTTCGCGATGTTTCCGCACCTGCTGCACCTTTACCGACTGTATCAGAGCTTTGTTCACTTCATTATTCTGCAATAGTACTTGGATTTCCTGAAGCATCAAACCGATTTGTGAATCCAGAACCTCCAACTCCCCCGTAACCCGTTGAATCTTCTCCTGCTCCTCGGGCTTGTGCTCCAAATTTTTGAGTGCAATGCCAATCTGCCCATTGCAGTCGTTTACAAACTTAGAGAGAATTGCGTAATACTCACGTTCAAATTCTACAAAACCACGGCCTGTGCTCATCTCCCGTTCGTATTGCAGTTTATGCTTCGCCAGGTGAATCTTTGGACATTTTCCAAGACTCTGCTTTGTGCCTTTGAATAAATCGTAGACACAGTACCCCACTAGATACGATTTGCATATCCTTGGATCATCTAACTTCATTTCCCCTCTATAAGGGCCCCGATGGGAAGATAACGACCCTCTGCCCATTAATTGCTCAATTACTTTCTTCTGCTCGGCTGCTGGAGTGCTCATGGTAACAGCTCAAGTGGTGGTGCAGTATGGCTAAAATGCTGAACGTTCGGTGTATGGATGCTTTTTATTAACTTCTTACAATACATAATTAAAATATATCACACTAGCTGAGAAACCACACATATTCAGTGTCCATCATATCTCTTTCTGTATATTGGAATTCTGCGCATTGCAGATGAAGGGTGCTTTGGACCTATGGCTCAAAACTGGGTCTTTTGCATTAAGAAGCTTCTGTCTTATTCACATAGTTCACTCCCACTTTTACGAATTTACAGAGACTAGAGGTGAATCAATGCTCCCAACCCTAGGTGCAACAAGTGACTATGTTCATGCGCTGAAGAGGTATAGAGAGGGTAGAGGTTGTGAGATTGGTGATTGCATAGTTGCTGTAAAGCCAACAGACCCTTACCAGCGGGTGTGTAAAAGAATTACTGGTATGCCAGGGGATATAATACTTGTAGATCCAAGCTCCAAGGATGATGTCAGTAACCCAGAACAAGCATTTGATTCTTTTATTCGGGTGCCACAGGGCCACGTTTGGGTAACAGGCGACAATTTGTCGCAATCTTTGGATTCGCGCACTTATAATTCACTCCCGATGGCGCTTATCAAGGGAAAGATAGTAGCAGCGAACGACTTTAACAAGCCATTGTGGAAAGACGGTGAGGTTTTTGGCTTTAGGAGGATCAAAAACACGTACGTGGATGAGGACTGAGTGCTTGGTTTCAAGGCTTAGCTCTTTTATACAAATATACAGATAGATCAAATGGATAAGGACTTCAAGAGCTTTCCACCGAAGAAAAGGCCACCTAAGGACACGTAGAACCCATGTCCCAAGGTATCAAAGATGCTCGCACCCAAATAATAGCGGGTGAAAACATACTCCATACCCAATACACAACCAACAAAAGCGATCAGGTGAAAGATCGCACCACCATAGCTGGTAAAGTTAACTCTGGAGAATGTTCCAAGGTATGTCCATGCTACTAACAATGCCAGGAAAAACCCAGCGATAATTACACTCGTGAACTGTGCAATGAGTGGGGAAACAGTCTTAGGGGTGCTTCTGAAAATGTGCGTAATCTCTGGTTGGGCTCCTAGCCTGGAAGGCCACGAGAGCTTTTCTTCGGTGTCAAAGATCAGATCCAAATCAAACAGCTCCACAAAAATATTATGTGCGAGAGCATTCTCGCTGGCGAGTATGAGAGAAGCAGTCAATGGTTCTCTGGATTTAATACCAAGATATAACAGGGGTTCGGGAAGTTTTTCGATCGCGATCTCAAACTTGTAAGTGGATTCGCTGTCCACATTTTTGATAAGTGGTTCTATGTGAGTTTCGACCCCACGCGATATGGAGCCCAACAACAGGGTTGCCTGTTGAGGCTTTTCTTCGGTGTCAATGGAGAATGTAAGCTCAATGGTCTCATTAGCCCTATCAATGATAACTGGCTGTAGTACCTTCTCGAAATCTTGATTAATCGGACTTAAAGCCAGAGGTTTCTTATGAGATGATGTGAGCGCCAAGTGCGGTTGTTTCACATTCAATCCTAGTACGCTCGTTGCACTGAGAAGAACAGTAAAAGCAATCTTGGAGAGAAGCATTGGGGGTTGAATTGAGCGATGTATCAAGCAAGTTTCTCAATTGAAGGTAGATGCTAGTGCTCAATTTTTGTCTTGATAAATATTGTGTCGTAATAACGTGCAAGAAGCTCCTCTCACGTGGAAAGCAAGCGACGCGATAAAACTGCAAGCAATAGGATTCTCAAATCTCTCTATCTCAAGTGTGGGGCACACTTAGTACTTTTAGATCGATAGTAGGGCTGTCTTTAGCTTTCATGATGATTGGCTCCGAGTCTGCATACTTTCTGCTTTGGAAGAGATGTGAAAGCTTATTGTAAATCCAAAGACTGGGGCGACTCTCATGACAGGCAGGTGCATGCTTTCCGTTGGAGAGTGGAATCTGGTCTGCCACGGATCTGAGGGACTGGCGGCTGTAGAATGTTGCTGAGCAATAGATTCGCTGTCCTAACTTGAATAGGGCGCTGCTGAAAAATCCACAGACAACGGTACCAGTTGCGAAAAACAGCGACATAGCCATTATCGGAACTAGGAGCACTGTTGCAATGATACACGAAGATAGGAAAATACCCATGCAAATCAGGGAGTTCAAGACTAACAAAATTGACATAGTGATCACGAATATTCCTACAGCGGGTGCAAAAGTCGCGGCGAAGCAGAATGTGAATAGAGTAGTATACGGGTGGGCCTGTGCGTATCTTAATATTGCAGATGCTACTGTATGCAACTTTTGTGGATTTGAGACTGTTTGGTGGGAAGCGTTTTCGACTTTAAGCTCTGTAACAAGTCTGGAAATTAATTCGCTGTGACAGCGAAACGATGGGGCAACGCGCACAAACACAAAATAAAAATTGTAGAAGCGGTCAATAGTCTAGGGGCAACATCGGTCCCTGGGGACTATTGGCTCCCTTCTCGTGTTCTGGTGGTGCGGGAACCCTCGTTTCGCAGGTAGTTAGTACCGTTTCATAAGGTTGTGAATTATCGATAATGGGAGGAAAAGGACATACTATATTTTCCCATTCCAGTAGCCAGAAGTGAGCCTGCTGTATGGAGCTTCAAGTCTGGACCTGAAATTCTGGATAGTATTGGTCCAAGTAATGGTAGGTTTCTCCTTCCCTGAGGCATCCCAGTCGAAACTGTGATTGGTCGTTCTGGCTAATAAAGCACTTGCTTCCTTGGATCTCGGAGTGGGGACCAAGCTCACGGCCGGATCCACTTGCTCGCACAGTAGCTCATCCAGAACATCGTAATGGTGAAATTCCTCTCCAGATTTGTTGATTTCTCTGTTGCTCGTATCGCCAAAAGGACCGCTTTCTTGGAAATCGCCTATAGCCGCCGAACAAATAGTTTCCACAAAAAAGTCGCCATTCTCGAGGTAAGTGATGGGCCAATTCTCCGCTGCTTCTGCCTTAACTAAAGCTACCTCTTGAGGTAGGGCAGCCGTCGTGGGAGTCCTGGCACAATCGCGACCGGGAGAGGTAGACTCGTTGGTAGATTTATTGGCCAATACACCGCGTTTGGGTTCTACTCGCAGTCTCTTTGGCTCTGTTTGCCTTTTCCGATTCTTCAGTCTACTCATGCTTCCTTTCGACATGACTGAGAGGGCTAACTGGTGTCTGTTTCATGAGCTTCCTCGATATTTTGTCTGCAATGTTACAGTACATAGCTTTATAGAATGTGGGGTTTGAGAGTTTGCCACGAAGGTAAAAAAGTCATTATCCGCTACATAGGCCAGAAACAACTCTGAATATCTCTGGAACTTGACTAATCGGCACCAAAAACCATTCATTGTGTCTCTTGGGTTCACCTTGTGATCGGGCACATCCGTAACAGTAAATTAGACCCTTGCCATAGCGTTTCCACAAAAACTGGTGAATTCTGTTTTCTATATCTTTCAAAGACCGATCGTTGGCTACATAGAATCCACCGTCACGAAATCCTGATAGTTGTGCGAGGTGGTGCTCCATGGGGGCCTGTGACTTGTGTTTCGAGATTGACAGCTTCTGGAAAAGCCGCACTAACGACTTTGAGCTCCTATGTTCAATTCGCACAGACCGACACAGTTCTTGGACTTTTGTGGGATCGAGACCAGTTACAGGGTGCTTGCATGAGTTTTCCCACTCTAATAATCGCGCAAGAACAGTTGGTTTGCGTGTCATTCCTACTTTGACCAGTATTTGGCCCTCGTGCGTCCAGCGCGAGAGCGGTAGATATTCGTCCCCGCGCAAGACAGAGTAGTCCATGTGGAGCCATTGTAGCTCGCGCGTATTTCTATTTACAATTGCTTGAAACATCTGCGTGTAGGTGTAGATATATATGAAGCCTGGCAAATTTGACTTGACCTTGGAAGGCTGCTTGAATTCAATTGACTGCCAGATGTGGTGGTGGCAGTATTTTTCATTGTCTTTGACCTGGATTTTGCAACGCTGTCGTTTTTGGGTGACGCCTAAGGCATTGGGGCATGGCTAATCGTTTAAGGTGTTTGCTTCTTCTTTTAAGTCGGATTCTTTTATAGATATTACATGACCTTTATTATGATAAATTAATCTTGAGGCACCTGAAAGCCAAATACTACCACCAAACAGTAGGTTGAAATGCTAATAGAGGAGACCTTCAAGGACGTTCAGACCAGCTATGGTACTAGCGTGAGACTTTACACATTTTCTCCCAAGATTGCGGGCTACCCGAATGCTCGATTTCCTGGAGTTCTGTGCTTCAGCGAAATCTACCAAGTGACCGGCCCCGTGAGAAGGTTCGCTCAAAAAATCGCTTCGGAGGGATTTGTCGTGGTAGCTCCAGCAATCTACCACAATTTTGTGGGTCCCGAACCACTCGCGTATGATGCTAAGGGCACTGATATGGGAAATGAATTCAAAATTGAAAAACCTTTAGAGTCCTATGATGAAGACACCAAGCTTTGCTGTGATTACCTCAGCACTTTGCCTCAGTTCAACGGGAAGAAAATAGGTGCCACTGGCATGTGTCTCGGAGGGCATTTGGCCTTTCGTAGTCTGTTGGACAAAAGGGTCACTTGCGCTACATGTTTCTTCCCAACGGATATCCACTGTAAGTCTCTCGGCAAAGGCAAGAACGACGACACCCTAACGCGTATTTCCACGGAGGCTTCTCAAGATCAAGAGCTGGTCCTCATTTTTGGTACGCTTGACACACATGTCCCACCAGAGGGCAGGGATTTGATCCGGAAAGAACTGCGCGATCACGGCGTCAGTTTTACGTTCTTGGAAATACATGCAGCCCAGCATGCTTTTATCAGGGACGAGTCCAGCAAGGGCCGTTACGACAGCGCCATCACCGATAGTTGTCTGGGATTTTTATTCGAACAGTTCAATAGAAAGCTGACCCTCGACGTGGGTGAATTTGTTTCAGACCAGGGGACCGTGGAGCACGTATGCTAAGTCTGCAGAGCGGGCCTGTGCTTGGAAATGGAAACCTTTATGGACGTCACAGAGTTTGTAAGTATCGTTACGTACGTTAGCGACGCTCTGCTTCCTCTGGATCTCCTCCTCAAATATTCAGAATCCACTGGTGAAATGCGAAGAGGACATCCAGCCTTAGTTGGTCACTTGCGCAAGTAGGCCCAACGTATATTTGGACGCCAAACTCCGCACTCGCGGAAAGAGAAGCCAAAAAAAAATGATACTTTTTTGACCACAATTGAACAATGGAAGTCTAGTACACGGAAGTAATTCCTCCATGTACCCTTTGGACTGGCATTACCGTATGGTCGCTGAGCTTGAAATGTCACGTTAGAGTCATGTGCCCCTCACGTGCCGCTGAATCAATCTTGTGTCACTGTATACGATGAAAATTTTTCTAATATGGCAAAATACTGTAATTTGAAGGTGGAAAGAATTACTCTAGGAAGAGGAAGACTCATAGCTAGTGTGAAGCACCATCAGCCTTTGTATCATAGAGGCAGCTTCTTTACTTCAGGGCAATTCATAGCATGAGACCTATTCTTCTCAAGGGGCACGAACGTTCGCTTACGCAGGTTAAATTCAACCGTGAAGGTGATTTGATCTTTTCCTGTGCCAAGGATAGTGTTGCATCTGTTTGGTATGCGATCAATGGTGAGAGATTGGGAACTTTCGAAGGTCACCAAGGTACAATTTGGTCGATTGATGTGGATAAGTTCACGCAGTACGCAGTGACTGGGTCTGCCGATTTCAGTATTAAATTGTGGGACGTGCAAACAGGTCAAAATGTCTACACCTGGAAGACTAAGACCCCCGTAAGAAGGGTCGAGTTTGCACCATCTGGTGATAAGATATTGGCGGTGTTGGACGGTGTGATGGGCTACCCAGGCAGTGTTACTGTGTATGAAATCCCCCGCGACACGCAGTCGCACCAACTTCATCAAGAACCATCTGAAGAGCCTCTATTCAACATTTTAACTCATGAGGGGTTCGATATGGCTGCTGTGGCCTCGTGGAGTTTCCAGGATCAATATATTGCTGTGGGACATAAGGACGGGCGCGTTTCCAAGTACGACGGTGCCACTGGCGAATTCATTGACGCTCTAGAACTGCACACACAAAGCGTCAGCGATATTCAGTTTTCGCCAGATGGTACCTACTTCATCACTTCCTCCAGAGACAGCGACGCGAAGCTTGTCGACATTGAGACCCTCGAGGTTCTCAAGACATACGAAACCGACTGTCCTCTGAACAGTGCATGCATTACTCCACTCAAGCAATATGTCATTCTCGGCGGTGGTCAGGATGCCAAGGATGTCACGACAACTAGTTCGCGCGAAGGTAAGTTCGAAGCTCGTCTATACCACAAGATCTTCCAAGACGAAATCGGTAGAGTCAAGGGTCACTTCGGTCCTCTAAATTATGTCGCTGTTAGCCCTCAGGGTACCTCCTACGCATCCGGCGGTGAAGATGGTTTTGTGCGTTTACACCACTTCGACAAGAGTTATTTCGATTTCAAATACGACGTGGAAAAGAGTGCTGAAGCTCAAAAGCATATGCAAGAATTGGAGTCCAGCGCTTAGGCAGCAAATAGATGTTATAATTGTAAAATATGAGAGCGTAATCCAACTGATGCACTGACGAAAATTTCAGAATACTCAAGTTTTCAAGTGAAGACGATGAGCATCGAACAGCGACATAATATTACGTAGTGATCACAGAGACGGCCCGATTGATAGCCGCGTAGTTGGGGCCAAGACAATCTGACTGATGGCAAAAATCCAACTTCACCCAGGTCGTTGAATTATAAAGTATAAAGTTATTGAGGCTTTTTTCTATGGTGGCCAGGATGAATTAATCTCTATTAAAAGTCTAATTATCTGAAAAACTCGTTAAATCACGACTTTGCATCAAGGGAGTTTTGGGAGGTGAGGGGGTGTAAACTCATTCATATTTTCCGTAAGCTAGCTTTTGTAACCTCTCTCAAGGTTAAAACACGCCGTATTTAGCCTCAAACTTCCATGTCATATTAGAAGCTACGTCAAATACAAGAAGAATTCTGTCGCCGGGCATCATTTCGAGAGCATAACTTCAAGCAACGACACTAAAAATTCCGGTCGAGCTATTCGCTAATGTCTGCAGCGATTTTGCTGAACGACATTTTGCATCCATATTTGTTGGCGACTGGGGCAGCCATCGTGGAGGACGATCCAGAGCCGCCTCATCGCTTTTTTTCGGACCCACCCATTTTTCAGGTTTTTTTATGATGGGATGACAGCCAGCACGTTTGATATAAAAAACGGACGAAAAATCATCCTAATTCCCTCCGCTTTCCCAGTGGTCCGATCGCTTCGTTTCTAGTAGTTCACTACAGTTGGGAAAACCTCGCGTACCACAGTGTGTACTGACCCAGTGCGGTTTTTGTTAATAATATTCTTAAGGACATCATGTTCCAACTCGCCAGATGTGCGGTCCGTAACGGATCTAGGAACGCGTTGATAAGCACCAAACAGCCAATTTCGACCTCGAAGTTGGCCTTCTCCCACTCTGCTAGATTAGCGCAGCAAGGCGTGGGAGCTGCCGCCGGCAAGCCAAAGGCATCTCTGCTCCGCAAAATTGGGAAGTACACGCTCTTATCTGCGTTGGGTTCCTTGGTTGCCGGAACCGGTTACGTGTCGTACAAGCTGTACAAGGAGAAAAACCCTTCGCCTCAACTGCCACAGGCTGCTACTTTCGACAACGGCTCTCCTAGAAAGACCCTGGTCATCCTAGGTTCGGGCTGGGGGTCCGTCTCGTTGTTAAAGAGTTTGGACACTACCTTGTACAACGTGGTTGTTGTGTCGCCTAGAAACTACTTTTTGTTCACCCCATTGTTGCCCTCTACACCAGTAGGTACCATTGAGCTGAAGTCGATTGTGGAACCTGTGAGAAGCATCGCCAGAAGAGCCCCGGGCCAGGTCATCTATTACGAGGCCGAGGCCTTGGACGTCGACCCAGTTGAGAAAACCGTCCGTATCAAATCCGTCAGCTCTGATGACGGCAATGCCGAGAGCGACTTGAAGTACGACTATTTGGTTATGGGTGTTGGTGCTCAACCAACGACGTTTGGTATTCCAGGTGTTTTCGAAAACGCCTCGTTTTTGAAGGAAATCCCAGATGCCCAAGAAATCAGAGTTAAGGTCATGAACAACATTGAAAAGGCCGCCAACTTGTCTGTTGCGGATCCAGAGAGAAAGAGATTGTTGAACTTTGTCGTCGTGGGCGGTGGTCCAACCGGTGTGGAATTCGCTGCTGAGTTGCAAGACTACGTCGACCAAGACTTGTCCAAATGGATGCCAGAAATGTCTAAGGAGATCAACGTCACTCTAGTTGAGGCTTTGCCCAACATTTTGAATATGTTCGACAAATCCTTGATCCAATACGCCGAAGATTTGTTCAAAGAGGAGAAGATCGATCTGAGAACCAACACCATGGTTAAAAACGTGACCCCAACCACCATCACTGCCAAGTGCGGTGACAACACTGAGGAGATCCCATACGGTGTTCTTGTGTGGGCCACCGGTAACGCTCCAAGAGAGGTGTCCAAGGGCTTGATGGCCAAGATGGAAACCCAAAACTCCAGACGTGGTTTGTTGATCAACGACAAGCTGCAATTGCTTGGCGCCGAAGACTCCATCTGGGCTGTAGGTGACTGTACCTTCTACCCGGGCTTGTTCCCCACTGCCCAGGTGGCCCACCAAGAAGGTGAGTACCTAGCCACCGTCTTGAAAAAGCAACACAAGATCGATCAGCACAAGTGGAACATGTTGCAGAACCCCAACGCTGCCGAAAACCTCAAGTTGCAATCCAAGATCGACAAGTTGCAGTCCAACATAAAGGCCTTCAAGTACAGCCACCAAGGTACGCTCGCCTATATTGGATCCGAGAAGGCCATTGCAGACCTCGCCGTTGGTGAGTCCAAATACCAATCCGCCGGCTCCGTCACATTCTTGTTCTGGAAGTCCGCCTACTTGGCCATGTGCCTCTCTTTCAGAAACAGAGTGCTCGTGGCTTTGGATTGGTGCAAAGTTTCCTTTTTTGGCAGAGATTCCTCCGTGTAGATAGAATCCGGTTTTTATTGACACCACGAGCCGTCTCTGACTTTACATTTACTCCTCCCCTATCTTCCCCGCCGCGGATGGCGAACATGGCAGAACAATTACCACGACGATAATTTTAAGTTTCCTGTGCCGCTTGTTGCGTTTAATTAATTCACCTTGATGTCCCGATCTTCCCTTCTGTTTCACACCTATTGTATTTTAATTTTGTTTCTAATTGTGATCAGAAAGTATATTCTCTACCTTCTTTCTTACTGGGCTGATGGTCTAGAGAATTTCGGCTTCCCCCATGCGCCACGTTGTGGGACGTTGCAGAACATCGTGTAAATATGATTTTGTCTATGTTATATATTCGACTTCCAACGGACTGTGTTATCTTAAGATTTTATTGGATTAATAGAGAACTAACAACCTGAACATTGCCAGGCCCTTGGCAGCAGTTTGCCAAAGAAGGAACAAAAAAAGCGACGAATGGCGAGTGGTAATCATTCGCAAGCTAGCTATCAGTGGTAGGGGGGCCTGATGGCACTATCAGGTCGCCAGTGCCATTTCTGTCCCTACTCTTTGACAAGCCTGCACCGTTGAGTTCTCCTTAGCTCACAGCCGACTATCAATAAAGAAAAGACTCACACTAGTGGGACAATAAACGAACCAATGCTTCCAGATGAGCAGAACACACTCATGTGGTAGTCTCGAAGCTCCCCGACTATGCTAGTTCCTCCCGGACTTGGGACTGTCGAATTTAGCCGCTCAGCTTTTGTGTTGTCGAGTCCCATCTAACTCACTCTATACGTGCTTGGAAAATTTTCACCTTCTCGATTTTCAAGTCAGCCGTGCGAAGAGACAAAGGTCGACGTATCACCAAGAATTAAACAAAAGTTGGGTCAAAGATACTACGTTGTTTACCGTTAACTCCTCCCTTTAGGTCGTGAAAGAACAGTCGGTGTGGAACGCTCGAATCTGATCAATTGACTTGTTAAACGTGACGATTTCAAAAATGTCCAACGAAGGCGAAGAAGATCTATTAGAATACTCCGATAACGAGCAAGAGATTCAGGTGGAGGCCTCTAAGGCTGCTGCTGGCGGTGAGGACGTCAAGGAGAGCGGGGAAAACGGCGGAGCCGAGGCAGCTGACAAGAAGGGCTCCTACGTGGGTATCCACTCGACCGGGTTCAAGGACTTTTTGCTGAAGCCCGAACTGTCCAGAGCCATTATCGACTGCGGTTTCGAACATCCATCTGAAGTTCAACAACACACGATCCCTCAGTCGATCCACGGTACAGACGTGCTGTGCCAGGCCAAGTCCGGTTTGGGTAAGACTGCGGTTTTCGTGCTGTCCACACTGCAGCAACTGGACCCGGTCCCAGGCGAGGTGTCTGTGGTGGTTATCTGCAACGCCAGAGAGTTGGCGTACCAGATCCGTAACGAGTATCTGAGATTCTCCAAGTATATGCCCGACGTCAAGACCGCCGTCTTCTACGGTGGTACCCCCATCACCAAGGACGCAGAACTTTTGAAGAACAAGGAAACGGCTCCCCACATCGTCGTTGCCACCCCAGGTCGTTTGAAGGCTTTGGTTAGAGACAAGATTATCGACCTATCTGTGGTGAAGAACTTTGTCATTGACGAATGTGACAAGGTCTTGGAAGAACTGGGCATGCGCAAGGACGTCCAAGATATTTTCAGAGCTACCCCAAGGGACAAGCAAGTGATGATGTTTTCTGCCACGTTGTCGCAGGAGATGAGACCCATTTGTAGACGTTTCTTGCAAAACCCATTGGAGATTTTCGTGGATGACGAAGCTAAATTGACCCTTCACGGTTTGCAACAGTACTACATCAAGTTGGAAGAGCGTGAGAAGAACCGCAAGCTTGCTCAACTATTGGATGATCTAGAGTTTAACCAAGTTATCATCTTCGTTAAGTCTACTAACAGAGCCAACGAGTTGACAAAGCTGTTGAATGCATCCAACTTCCCAGCCATCACCGTGCACGGCGGTATGAAGCAAGAAGAACGTATCGCCCGCTACAAGGCTTTTAAGGATTTTGAGAAGCGTATCTGCGTCTCGACGGACGTCTTTGGTAGGGGTATCGATATTGAACGTATCAACTTGGCCATCAACTACGATTTGCCTAGCGAAGCCGACCAATACCTGCATCGTGTTGGTAGAGCCGGAAGATTCGGAACCAAAGGTTTGGCAATTTCCTTTGTTGCTACAAAGGAGGACGAAGAAATTTTGGCCAAGATTCAAGACAGATTTGACGTCAAAGTTGCGGAATTCCCAGAAGAAGGGGTCGATCCTTCTACCTATTTGAACACCTAAATGTTTTTGCAATCATTAAGGTTAAGTTTTGATTCAAAGAGATAAAAGTTTGTGGTCTAAATAGATGTCCCCCAGCTGGAATGGACTGTATGTAAAAATTAGGGAAAATCAACGCTGTCATGAAAAGCTGCAGACTTGCATGCGCCGAAACTTGATGTGGTCCAGTCATTACGCCGATGCCAACTCTAGTAGATTAACCAGGGCAGTCATTAGTGGTAATACGAAAAGTAGTGTCCCCATCATGGTATTTCCTGTGAGGTGCCATTCACGGAGTTGGTTCTACGCACACTGGTCATTTGGAATGCTTGCTTATTGAAAGAGTCGGATGTGGGAGTCAGGGATGAGGTACCACTTCCTGGGTAGCTCGAAATTCTTAATTGTTGGTGGTCGATTGCGGAGTTTTGCGGCTGCTGAGGGTGCTTGGTATGGTGCTGGTGATGAATTTGAAAGCTGTCGTGGGATATATCAGACTCCGTGTTATCAGAGTTGATTTGGGTCTCATTTCCATCGCCGAGGACTCGAGTAGCCAGTAATCCAAGGGTTGCTAACATGTTTGAATTTCGACGCTGCAGCTTAGATGTTCGGCGAATGCGAGAAGGCTTGCCTATTGATTGGGGTGTGTTTCTCAACTGCACCGAGTTTGGTATGGAAGAGTCATTCAATAAGCGGGCCATTCTATTGATTTCCTTGTTCTTCTCCATAATAGTCTCTCTATATTTCGCCAACTTCAGATCTTGGAGGCGTACCTTCTCATGCAAATCATGCGTTTCCATCACAAGCTGGCATCGAATCCTCTCAAATTGTTGTTTACTCAGGTTTGTTTCTACCTCAAATCGGGATTCGGAGTGCTTGAAACTCTCCGTGAGCATCATATTTTTGAACTTGAGTCGTTTAACCCGCTCTCGAGACTCTCCAAGCATCTGATTTAGATCGTCTAGGGTTTTCACCAGCTGTGCCTTGGAACAAGGAACTACACCATTGGAGTCAGCTAAAGGTTTATTTTCGGCGCTCGCAGTGCATATTCGATCCGAGGACTTGAGTTTATCAACGAGCGACTGTGCTTCATCAATCACCGCCTGAGTATCTGAAGGACAAGGTTCAGAGAAACTCTCCCCGGATTCGTGGCTGGATTCTATTGACTGAGGTGAGTTCGCAGCCATGTGTTCCTGGGAAGCCGGCATAGTTTTCCAAAAAGCTGATGCCGCTGCTTCACCAATTAAAGTCAACCTTGTGTATGTATAGCGGAAGAGATTTTGTCAGTCAATTCAATTACCCACCTTTAAGATGCTCCATTGCTTCGCGCACCCACACTAATTCGTTTCTGGCAGCTCGGGTTTGTTCACGAGCGTCGCGATATTTCGCGTCATAAACAATAACAGACCATGGACGCGACGCGTGCCGAGGAAATTTCAAGCTGACTCAACTAAAGTATCCATGAGTCCAATCTCATAAGAAGGTGTGCCAGTATGGTACAAAGTTATTAACAACTAGCACATCTCACACGCTTGAATTCAGGTCTGCAATTCGCCCATCAACTCTTGTCTTATAGCTGTGTGTGGGACCGGCTATTTAGTTACGGTGAAGCCATTGAGTAATTTTGAATTCGAGTAACTTCAACGATGTTGAATAATGATATGTGCTATTGAGATATTTTATTGAAGCCAGCGTTCGCAGCTTGACGGCGAATTGAATTAAGACGGATTGTGCGCGGGATATGATTGGCTTGTGTTTTTTTCTCCAAAGAGGTCGTTGGAGCTGAAGCTCTTTTAAAATACGCTAAACTCAAACGATGGCCCAAAAAAACTGTTTAAAAGGTGGTTTGAAATTCGCAGCTGAAGTACCAAGCGTCCATCTGTTAAAAAAGGTTCTTCGCCTTCTTGGTATTATCCATTGAAATTCATCTGCCAAAGAAGGACGCTTGCCTCAGTCGAATGCTTTGACCACCAATTTGTCCTGCATGTATTCGGCTGGTGGATACAACACAATTGGAGCCATCGCTATGGCTAAGTCACCGCCTCACAGCCGAAAGGCGTGGACCAACCACTTTGCCCAGATTGGTCCTGGCGACATATCGCATGGAGTTGCACATGCTCATGGATACACTCGGCCCGTATCACGTAGCCCGCCGCGCAGGACCGAAATGACACATCGCGATCATATACAACATTTACCCTCGATTAAGTTATACAGTATGATAGACAGTAGAAAACAGTAGAAATACCAAGATGAATGGTAAATAGTCTCTTTTGGCTTGGCTTGGTAATATATATATACCGAAATGGGATATATGTGCTTAACGGTAGGATTTTTGGAATCTGGAACGGGCACCCTTACCACCGAATTTCTTTGGCTCTGGTCTTCTGGAGTCAGCAATCAACAAGGTTCTGTCGTAAGTGGTGAAGATCTTCTTCAATTCGTTCTTGGATTGTTCGTCGACAAACTTTTGGTGGTAAGCAACCAAACCCTTGGCAATGGCTTGTCTGATAGCGTAAACTTGAGAGACGTGACCACCACCGGTGACTCTGACTCTGATGTCGATGTTGGCGAATTTGTCCAAACCGGCCAAGACCAAAGGCTCGTACACCTTGAATCTTAGGATTTCTGGTTCCACTAGGGTGATTGGGGAACCGTTGACCTTGATCAAACCCTTACCGGCCTTGACGTGGGCAACAGCAGTGGCGGATTTCTTCTTACCGAAAGTCTAGAAAAAAAGATTAAGTTAGTAACGGGGCCTCGAAACACCTGTGGCAGAGCGCCAGAGACCGAGACAAGGACATGCAGACCGCAGTGACACCACTATATTCACTCCCCCCGTGGAAAACCGATGGTTGCTGCCGAAAACGACGTCCAAACGCCGCTCACAAGCGGTGGGGCCGTAGTTTCACATCTAGAACTCGACTTTCCACACGCCGCAGCTTCCTGCCAGAGGAATCGACGTCCCTCCTCCATTTCGCTTCCCAGCATCTATACTACCCGTCCACGTCCTCCGGTACAACATAACGTCCAAATTCGTCTCATCTCGCTTGCCCATCTCTACACTATGCCTCACGCTCACTCGCGGCTATCACATACTTGAACACTTGGGACAGTAGACATCTTTAATTCCTCTATATCGTGATGATACCCTCTGGTTATATGCAAATACTAAATAAGACCAAAATCAATCAATAATATGCCCGAAACCTAGCACTGTACCCGCTGTTCCTGGAATGAAAGTTTTCACACGCTACTGTGATTCGATACTGGTGGTACCAAGTTCGCCATTACCCGGGCAGAGCCGGCCTCGGTGCTTGGGAGGCCAGCTGGCAGCCTAGCCGGGAGTCCTGGTACTGGCCCAGCTGGGAAGCTCCTGCCTAGGCTCTGGCCCTGGAAGGAAGCGCTAGGCAGAGCATCCCCCCTAGCCCTTACTGTTGACGGTGCTGGCCATCTTAGCTCAACACCGCGACCCAGCCCCAGGCGCATACTACCGACGCAAAATGAGCACCCAACTAGGGCACTTTTTTCACACCACGCAACTTTTTCCCATCTATTCTTTAGTGTCTGGGTTGTTATTCTATAGGTTGTGACTGCTTTAGGGCTAGGCTGTGACTGCTAAAAGGTTTGCGTCCCTGCTTTTTTTTTCAGGAACTGAAAAAAATAGAGAAACAGCGTGAAATACAGCTTGATGGGAGGCTCATGGAGGCTAGGCAGAGATGCTAGTGGGTAGGCTGAGGGACGGCAGCACAGTACTCTCCCACTAGCTCCCACTAGCTCCCCACCAGCTCCGCCTAGCTCCCAGGAATCTCCTACCAGGATCCAGGACCTCTGTCCAGACCTGGGCCACGGTGGTATCGCGTCCTGTCTGGCCGCCCACTCTGGCCTCGGGCTCTCTACCGTGTCACCATGTTCCTAGGAATATCAAATTTCAGATATATCCAAACGATACGGAACTTTTGACCATTTGATAGGTACAGCAGCAATCAAGTTAAAATGGGTATGTTGAAGGGCACAATAAGCTGTGGTAACGGGTCAGCGCACGCAAGAGCGATGGGCTGCAAATGTTGTGGGAATTGTGAGCACTTTTGAATGATCTCCGTGCCATACAGACGATGGAAAGATCTGTTGGGCCGGAATGTGTTGGGATTACGGGGGGTAATCGAGAGGGAAATAGACGTAGAGCTCTGAGGCGCGAAGGTGCGCTGTACGGATGAATTGGGAGTAGCTCCCACAGCCGAACGTGGGCTTGCTGACCCGCCACCATCATATTGCCATATGGCATAGTACTAACCTGTCTTTTTTTGCAGCTATCTCTAAGAACCTTCCAATCTTGAAGAACCACTTCAGAAAGCACTGGCAAGAGCGCGTCAAGGTGCACTTCGACCAAGCCGGTAAGAAGGTTGCCAGACGTTCTGCCAGAGCCTCCAAGGCCGCCAAGATTGCTCCAAGACCTTTGGACTTGTTGAGACCAGTTGTCAAGCCACCTACCATCAAGTACAACAGAAAAGTCAGAGCCGGTAGAGGTTTCACCTTGCGTGAAGTCAGAGCTGCTGGTTTGACCCCAGCTTACGCCAGAACCATTGGTATTGCTGTCGACCACAGACGTCAAAACAGAAACCAAGAAATCTTCGACTTGAACGTCCAAAGATTGAAGGAATTCCAATCTAAGATAATCGTTTTCCCAAGAAACGGTAAGGCCCCAGAAGCCGAACAAGTGTTGTCTACCGCTGCCACTTTCCCAATCGCCCAAATTCCTGCTGAACAAGGCACCAGAGCCGTTGAAGCCAGCGGTGAATCTGCTTTCAGAACTTTGAGATTGGCCAGATCCGACCAAAGACTACAAGGTGTCAGAGAGAAGAGAGCCAGAGAGAAGGCCGAAGCTGAAGCTGACAAGAAGAAATAAACCGTTTTAAGAGCTTAATAGGTCATTCTTTTATGTAAATTGTATAGTTGGAAGCCACTGCAACATTAGAATCGATCTTTTGTGTGGTTAGATGTCGTTCAAACGCCCCACTTTTCAGCATGTTGCACTATAGTTTGCCAACCTATCGAGGTGTGTGGGTGGCAATCCTAAGCTACGGCGCGCACTTCCGATGCCTCTCCAGTTCCCGAAGGAAACACTGGGCCAATTGTTCCCAACAGTGGCAGCGCAAATATGTACCGCGGCAGATGGAACCGAACACTCACACCATCAAAGGAAATGTCCTCCTAACTTTCTAGAGTCCAAGCTTAAATTAAAGCATACACAAGTATTTTCTAAATGCAATCTAAAACCCCACTCTAATCGAACAAACCGAAACCCATGTCGTCGTCGGATTCTTCCTTTTCTTCTTCCTTTTCTTCTTCGGCAGCAGCTTCATCGCCACCAGCAGCGGCAGCAGCACCACCGGCAACTGGACCGGCACTGGCGGCACCAGCAGAGAAGTTGGTCATCAAGCTCTTCAAGTCTTGGGCTTCCAAGGCCTTGGAGAAAATGTCAGCCCAGATACCTTCAACTGGGACGTTGGCGGCAGTGGTCAAAGTCAACAACTTGTCAGAAGAGACTTCGATTTCAGAGTCAGCCAAGATCAAGGCGGCGTAAGACAAAGCGGTTTCAACAGACATTTCTTGTAAGGTAAAGTGTGAATAGAGATAATCAAATTAAGCTTACTGGACAAGCAGACTATTTCTTTGGTTCTTTAGGCAAGCAGAAGAGAGAACTAATCAAAAGCCAATGTGGAACTTTTCACTTTTTCGATGCCCAAACTAAAATTTTTTTTCACAGGATCCAAAAATGTTTGGTTCGTACATTACGAGCTTGTGAAAGTACTCGTGAGGGCGGGTAACTCAGGTATTTGTCTTGAGAGTACTTAAGTACTTTCGTACTTTCATGTCACGTGGTGTGCTTAATTCGAGCGTACTCCCGTAGCGGCGATGCCAGCATCGATGCTAGCATAGATGTGAGTTGACTTTTTTTATTGATGATGGGTTTAGTCAGATACCCTCGAAGTCTATTTTGTGGGGTTACTTTCTGCCAAACTCAATTTTATGGCTTGTTCGATCATTTCATTCTCAATTTCGGCCGCTGTGGCGGTGGATGGCCATCTACCAGTATTAACTTCAGCACGATTTATCGGTTCCGGATGAGGTGGAGAGCGCGAGGTGGTGTGTGATCTGAGACTTGAACTTTCCTGATGACTGGGCGCTACTAATTGATGGCTGACGTGAATGGCCGTAGCGTTTGCGGATCTTCTAGCCAGACGCATACGCTCTTTGTTGAGCTTTATTTGCCAGTCCGGACGAAGCGAGTCGGAAGTAACTACCTGGCGATCCGAGGCGGCCAATGAACCCCGGCGCGTCGCTTCTTTCTGTTCTGGATCCTCACTATCAGTCACGTGCTTGTATGTTAGAGGCACGCTGCCCTGTAGTCCAACTCTTCTAGTCACAACAGGTTGGTATGTGATCCCAAAATCCGGAGTTGCACAGTAAGGACAATTTGTAGGCTCAGATGTCAGCAAATTTGGGTCTCTTTCAGAATCGTCCGCGGGTGTAGAACTGTCGTCTTGATCATGGGGGAAATGGGGCTCAGCTCTCTTAATCTGAACAAAGCATTCACTGCAGATTAGCTGCAAACAACACCGTGATACATTGAGGGGCTGTGGATAGTATAGGAAGCAAATAGGACATTCGGCACCCGTGCGATATAGGTCAAATTTCAAATCACCACTAGGCAAACTTGAGAAGCGCTGCCCGTCAACGGCTCTCTTGGCTTCGAGCTTGGTTTCAAGGAATTTCTCGTTTTCCCTCTCCTGCCATAGTATGCGCTTCTGATACAGTCGCGCATTAAAAATCTTGCTTCGCTGCCGGCGCTGCTCGCGACGAGACAGAGACTTGTCTATCAAGTATTCAAAGTCGCTCTGCGACAAGTCTCCGATTGGAACGCCATCGAAGGCCTCCAGGTCTTCGTTGAAGGGCGCATGCAAGGGGAGACCGTCAACGATCTTGATCAATTCCTCACGGCTCCAGCTCTCGTCGAAGTCCTGCAAAGGTGCATAGAAAGGGGCAAGCCGTCTTTCTACAATGAGGCTTTTCACGACGCTCGCGTCGTAATCCACTTTTTCCAGACTACTGGATCCGTACGGAGCCAAAAATCCACCGTCCACTGTCTCCTGGTATTTCACTGTCAAGTCCTTAACATGTCGTTCCTTTAGTCGCTCTTTTTCCTTAGTAGACTTGCGTTTGTAAGGATTTGCTCCGCTGAGGCTTTCGGAAGACTCCGAACGCCGTCCAGCGGTCAAGATATTTCCAACCATTGACGACGTCCGTGTCTTTCTACTCCCATTTGGTCCACCACTAATAGTCCTGCTACTCGGAAGAGCAGATGAAGTGCTCAGGGAGCGATTGAATCTCACTGCATTTTCGTTTTCTAGTTTTCCTGGAACGTTCCCCATGGCTGTCGCACACAATATTTGAAACGTCGGAGGAAATTGTTTACTAAAGGTTCAAATTCAAATTCTTTGTTCAAACATTCAATTAAAAGGATATACTCCAATTACAGCGCTGTCAGAGGCACGTCTTTGGCGCTTTTGTCCCCTTTTTTGAATGATTCGGGTTGTTCCATTTTTATTAGATAATTGTAGTTTATATATGTAACCATCCGGAACATTTGAATCGGCTTATAAAGGTGATACTCAGCCATTTAATCATGGGGAAAGAAAATAAAAAAATCATGGTACGAAGACTCTCTAAAGAGACTCAAAATACAGTCTCGTAAACAGCAGATGTCTGGCATTTCTTGTGTTTCTCTTGATAAATATTTGGAGGTTTCAGTCACATCTTGAGAGCTATTGCGTTGGCTGAACGCGAAGCATTTGGTAACACAACGGTTTTTACTTTGAAAGATTGTGGGAAATTGAAGTAAGCTACGTTGGTCCTTTACTGCAGAGTCTGTTTTGTAATCGCAAGCTCTTTACGCAGTTGCTTTTAGTGTTGATCCATTCTTAAAGTATATAAGTCTACATGTGTCGGACATAGAGCCTGCTCCATTCGCGTGCCTCTCCGTAGCTCACCTACCAATGGCCCTCAGCTTTCAGTTCCTTGGAAAGCTGTTCCACAGACTTGACAATTCTCTCAACAATGGCATCGACATCTTCCTCGGTGATGATAAACGCTGGCGCTAGCAATGTAATGTCACCAGCAACGCCATCGGCATTACCTTGCATACCCATAACGCTTAGTTTGTTTTCGAAGCAAACGTGCTGGAAACGGTGGCCGATGTCAAGCTCCACAGGGAAAGTTTCCTTGGTGGTTTTGTTCTTCACGAATTCTAGAGACCAGAAACCTCCAATACCTCTCACATCGCCAACAATGTTGTCCTCCTTGAGCAGGGCCGCTTGCAATTTGGAACCCATTAGGTTACCCATCTTGAAAATGTTAGCGGTTAGACCCTCGCGCAATATCTTCTTTTGAACGCCAAGAGCCACCTCACAGTTGAACCCGTGGGAGGCGTATGTGTGAGAGCCAAATACGGCATTGGAACCGTTGATGTAGGCGTCTCTGATCTTTGGGCCCACCAACACACCGGCAATGGTAACATAGCCAGAACCTAGGGTCTTACCGACGGTTTGGATGTCAGGAGCATCTTCGGGACCAATGAAGCTTTCCCAACAGTTCAGCTTTCCGTTAGGGTTGCATCTTCCGGTACCGCACATAACCTCGTCTAGCATGAAGATCACATCGTACTTGTTGCACAATGCACGGATTCCGGACAGGTAACCCTTGGGAGAAGGAGCCGTACCCAAAGAGGATCCTGGCAAGGTTTCGACCAGAACGCAAGACACAGTCTTGGGGTCGTTGTCCAAGATGATCTTCTCCAAGGAGTCCAACAGACGTTGAGAATACTCTTCTTCAGTTTCGCCCTTTTGTTGGTAACGGTAAGGGTAGCACACTGGCATTTTCAAACATGTGTTGGTTTGATCGATAGAGATCTCCTTGAACAAATCCGCACGGCCACAGTGAGAGATCGACAACGCACCTAAAGTGAATCCGTGGTAAGAAGTGTCTCTTGAAATGATTTTCGTCTTTTCAGGGCAACCACGTTCCATTTGGTATTGTCTAATGATTTTCATGGCGTTCTCGTTGCTTTCTGACCCGGAGCAGCACCACAGAGCAGCGGCAAAAACACCTGGGGGAGAGTTATCGATGTAGAATTTGGCCAAGTCTTCCGAAGGTTTGTTTCCGATGATGGAAGGGAAAGTGTAGGTGTGGTTTTTGGCCGCCTTCTCAATAATTGGCAGAACTTCTTCGTCACCCCATCCTAGTGCTCCGACAGCAGCACCGGTCACAGCGTCCAGGATATCGTCATAGATCTTGCCATCTTTCTCGACTGTCATGCGCATACCTTTACCGCTGACTATATGAGGGGGTTTCTTGTTGATAGTACCTTGGAAAACGTAAGATTCGGTAGGAAGTGTGTCCGTTGTCATTGTAGAGGATTATTTGATCAGTTGTTATTTGCTTGGTTGCGAGTTTGTTGTTGTCTACACAGCAAGAGATAAAGGAAGCCCGGACGCTTAAAGAAACATGATCGAATTGAAGCGCTTTAAATACTTTTCAGGACAGTCCCTTAAGTTGACCTTCGGCGCTTTGTTTCCATTATCTGGCGGGAACTTCCACCCCATCTGTCCATAATAGGGTTGCCTCAGATGTCTATCTCAAGGGATTAGAGCGCCGATTGGAATATACCTTTCAGATAATGATCTTGTTACTATCGGGAATATCTTGACGAACCCATTTCGGAAGTAGTTGCTTGATGTAGACTGATGGCCTTATCTTGCACGTGACTAGGTTTGGAAGGTGGTTACTATCTAAGTGCGCGCGGTTCGGTTTTCCCAAAGCGGGCCAGGGAGTGGTTGTCGGGAACGAACGACGGTGAACGTAAGCGTCGGGAACCACAATGCTACCGCTCGGGATTGTGTAGACTGGACTTCAACTTATGTCTAGCATAGTCTAATTTTTACTCGTCTGGCCGGTTTATTCCCTGAATATCATGAACTAAAAAAAAGTTGGACTAGACCGGGTTTGAACCGGCGACCTTTCACATGCGAAGCGAACGCGCTACCAAAACTGCGCCACTAGCCCATCACACAGGTGGAAAACCACCCGCTGTACTGTCAACCGCTTGGCCACGAGGGGTCTATGCGATTGTTTCCTGGTTTAAGGACTCAACCTACTGATAGTTACTGTAAGCTGGAGGATAGCAACGTGACTAACATCCTTGACCATAACTTGGGTACTATGGGATAAATGATGTCTGTGGATTGAAATGTCCGCTTGAGTCTTCCGAGCTCTACATTCAGCGTTATTGTGCAAGAGCAGACCCTGCGCTCAGGTCGAGTATACCTGAGACCAACATTACGGCCAATCATGAAATTTAAGACATTGTCTCCTGTTCTTGCGTTTCGTGCCACCTTGAGGCAGGTGTGGCTGTTATGTAAAATTCTCTTGCTGTCATAAACGAATCCTTCATTACAAGCTCACTGAAAGGGACCGCTAGACTCCCTACGTGTGTGGAGATCACTTATATATAATGCCAGTTAGGTATTTTAAGTTGATCAGCGGGCGCCATTGAAGGCACCTGCTTCCGACATAAAATTTACTTTGCCTCTATCTGAGCTAGAGAGTTTACCAAAAGCATCTTCTGTAGAGCCACTAGTGTGAATAGCAAGTTAAAGACGCCTTGTGGTAGCCAGTTGAAATTGCACTGTAGGTGGAAGCTAAAACAGCCTGAATTCAGTCACAGACATTACAATAAGATTATCAATCACTGTTCGCCGTGGCACTTTACACTCGGCGACCTTGCTAGCTCCCACTCGACCGCCTTCGCTGCGCTGTCACTGATCAGTATATTCTCCTCGTGTGTAATGATCTTAAAAACGAGCGGGCCTATTACACATGTCAACTCCCACGCTTCGTAATCGCATTCACACCTTACGAGACACCAAACAGCCCTGACACGACTGGCCATGGGATGGTTCTCAAAGACTAAACCGATGGACGATCAGTCCAAGCCTCCTTCTAGATCTTCCAGGAAACAGTGCTGGGAGTCTAGGGATGGATATTTTCAATGTTTGGATAAAATCTCGGTGGTAAATGCCCTGGAACCCAAACATCAGAGTGAGATCCAAAAAAACTGCAAGGGCGAGGAAGCTAAGTTCGAGCAAGACTGTGCGACGAGCTGGATCAAATACTTTAAGGAAAAACGCGTGGTGGACTACAAGCGGGAGAAATTCATGCAAGAGATGGAAAGTAAAAACGCTCAGCAGATCGATCTTTCGGGGATGGTAAGGCGCTGATATTTGCTGCGAGACACACCATTCGACGATCGCACCGGTGTGTCTACCCTAGGGGAACTGATGACTGAAGAAAAGCCTACCTACAAAACCCCTCTGGGACTAATTGACAAAACGCATGCTCACTACGTATACCAGCAACGTGCATGCACATACGCACATACACATATATACACCTTTACATATTCGGATCATACATTGACTGCCAGAAATGGGCGATACAGAGTTGGGAAAGGACTCGCAGAATTGAGGCTTGGCAATTTTATGATAGAACTGAGTATAGAGGTATACACTAGGAACCCCATTTTTTGACTAGCGCACCGTCCTGCAAGAGGCTAGGTCTGTCGCCGAGTGTCACCCTAAGGATAGAAACTGTGATGCCCATCGGGCAGCTTAAAAACCTCGTTCAGCGCGACCTCTTTCAATTGCGCGTCAGCTATTCTCCGCAGTACGCCCTCAATGTGTCACCCCATAATATTGCCTATAGCGGTTAAAACCGTTGGCAATTAGTAATTAGGGGGGTGCGTGGTCTTCATTGTTGAGGAGAGAGCGTGTCCTAAAAATTAGTATATAAGCGGCTGCTGGTCCCCCCGTTTTCCAGTCACCTCGTTGCCACTTTTCTGTCTCTTTCGTGTCTTTCACTTCTCTCCGTCACACAGATAATTATCGTTTCATAGATTTGAACCTATATAGTTTAGTTACACCAAGTTTATATAAGAAACCAGACTAACCTCTCCCATGCAGCTAGAGTTATTGAAAAGGGCCGGCAATGTGGCGATCGACGTGAATCCAGCCTCTGGGGTTGATATTCATATGACACAGCACGGTTCAAACTGGTTGTGGGCCGTGTTTTCGTTGTTCGGCCTGTCGGCGCTTATCTATGCCGCCCTATTCGTTGTCTACGAATACAAAGGCAAGAAATTGAACCACTATGCAGTGGCAGCACCCCTAAGTATATCGTTAGTGATGGCATTTTCCTATTTCACGATGGCGTCTAATCTGGGCTGGACGGGAATCCAAGCAGAGTTCAACCACCAAACTACCTCGAGTCAGTTTTATGAGCCAGGTATCAGGCAGATTTTTTACTCGAAGTACGTGGCGTGGTTCCTAACGTGGCCTATTCTGCTTTATCTCACGGAACTGACCGGTGTTGCGACTAAAGATATCGACACTGTGGCGGAAAGCCTATCGTTCGTTGAGCTTGCTCACAGCCTTGTTCTGCAGATTTGCGGTAGTTGGTTTTTTATCATTGGCCTGTTGGTGGGATCGTTGATCAGATCCACGTACAAATGGGGATATTGGACCATGGCAATTTTTGCTCAACTTCTGGTCACCTTCATCGTGTTCAAACACCAGTTGCGGGACTTGACCTGTGGTGGCTTGAAACTAGTTCTTCTTCTCTTTACGCACCTGTGCATTTATCTGTACTTGATCGCGTGGGCCCTAACTGATGGCGGAAATGTCATCACTGTGGATGCAGGACACGTCTTCTTTGGGGTCTTAGATCTGCTGGTATTTATTGTGGTCCCCGGCTTCTTAGCAGCCATTTCTATTTCCTTGGGTGATTTCTCCAAGTTGACCTTCAGGCGTGGGCATCATGGCCATGATTTGGAAAAACAGGCTGACGTTGAACCCGTTAGACACTCTGGGGAAACCGAGGTTCCTGTTGCCAACGACACTACTCATGTTGCTGGTACTGGGACCGAGCCCGTGGTCACCAACGATGTCCCTCGTGATCCAGTGATTGCATAGAGTACAATGCAGTCAACGTACCTTTCGCTTTCTTGCCATAATGTTCCCGGGCAATATAGTTCCGCTACATGACATACGTGCTTCACCAGTTGAATACTGACACCCTTACTGGCAATCCGATGGGAGGCACACTCTCATCCGACGCAACGCACGTTGGAATTCTCTTTTTTGGTTATGTCCCTTATTTCTCAAGATCTAATATGTAATGCTTAATACCTTAATTATACTTTGGCTGATGCCTTTTTAATAAGTTTGTGGGTTCTCCGCGCATTTAACAAAAATAAGCTGCTTGACCAAAATTATGAATGATCTCCTGTGTCATAACAAAGAACGTGACAGTGACTCTGCAGTAACGAGCCTTACATTAAACACACTGGTCTACCCTTAACGAGGAGTGCGTCATCAACAAACTAAAATAAACCTTAAAACCTATGTAGTATTACACCTAATTGAGCATCCCTGAATTCACAAGACAGTAACTGTTCGTGTGACCGTTGGTGCCGCGTCTCTTTTGTCATGAGCATGGTGCGAGTCGTCCCGCTTGGATTTGGAAGAACTCTCGAAGACTTCGATCTTGGCCTTAGCGCCATTACGCACGGTTACAACGCAGAAATCTCCTCCACCGGCCCCACTGGAACCATCGCCCGATACCTCGTTAACACCGTTCTTCGAAGGATTGATCTCACAGGGCAATCCGCTGCATTGGGACTCATCATCACAGGTGACTTTTACTCCATACGAAGGCATGGTGTTCTTGAAAGGACAGGAGTCTTCCAAATACACGGGGTTCCAGCCAATCTTGACGTAGGTGTTTTTGGAGTCGTCCATGTTGGCCCCAGCCACGTACGGCGCCCAGTTTCCTGCTGCCTTGGAAGAGGACCCCCATTTGCAACCGTCGGACACACTCGTTCCTGGCGAGTTGATGTAGAAATGGGCAGCTGTCTGACACCAGTAGTCGGTGCCTGGAACCGCCAAAGTCTCCTCCGATCCGCTGTCGACGAGCGTGGGGATTAGCATCTCCTCGTTCCCGGGCAAAACAGTCTGGCAGAAGGCCACCCCGGACCCCGCGCTGTTCTTGGCCGAAACAGTGCCCTTCCCATCGTAGCAGTAGTCGTTTTGGGAAATAGGTTTCTGCAAGTTTCCGCTCTCATCGCAGTACAGCCCTCCATATTGCGACTGCGGATACGAGTAAGATTTCGCCTCTGGATCCCACTGGCCGGCTAGCTGGCCCGGGCTACACGCATAAGGACACCAGCTTCCGTACTTACAAGACTCATCCGAGCTCATTGCCCATCCGCCGTTTTGGCCGCCTGACTGCACTGCCACCATCCCGTCGTGGTCCGGGAATGAACAGGTCCCGTCGCGGCGGAACAAGTGCGATACCTCTTTGCCATGGACCTTCTTTCCCAGCTTCTTGGCATGCTCATGGTTGTGGAGGTTGTTGTAACTATCCACAGCCTGCGAGCCCGTGGCTAGTAATACGAGTAGCGTTGAAAAGCAGTACATCCTGATCAATCCGATACTAGTAGAATTTCTCTTTCTCAAGTTGACTGGTCTTCCTACAAGCCTAACAACTCCCGAAACCAACCACGCACCAGGTGCCGTTGCGCGATCCTATTATATACCTGAATTGGCCCATTTTCAAACATCCACGTTCTACTATCCCAGGCTTCTACTACGTATACTTGCGCACCAACACTTGTCACCCAAAAGCCGATGAATGTTCTCTTCGCTAGTCTCTTGGACCACGACTCAAGCCCCACTACTCCATCACTCTAGCTTGCCAAGGGTTCGTTTTGACGAGAACAGTATACGTACACATATGAAAACTTTTTCTCACTCTTGTGAACACTTTGCCTTCGCCTGGGCCATTAGCTGTAACGTCAGAGTAGCCGAAGCTGAGAAGTCAAGTTAGTCTGGTCTTACAATACCCGAAGAAGCGAGCAGCATGTGATGGCCCTTAATTGTGTAATTTTTTTTTTTCCAATCTCGAGCTCCAGTTCCAGAACAATGGCAGTGATAATACCTCTTGCTTAATAACTGGCGACTGCCATTCGTTGGTGGTTGTTTGGTCGCCTTACAGACAAACGACGAAACATCAAGTCAGCCTAAATGGGTAACCATATTGCATAGTGGGCACAAGTGTTAAGCTCGCTTTTTTTTTAAATTTTTTCAGTGCTCTTGCGGTCAAGCTGAGCATTGGCACCGGTTTGTAGGTGGTAGGTGGTAAGTAGATAGGAAGCCCGGAAATGCGGTTCAGAGGAACGCAGCGGCGAGTGTGCGTCGAGAGGCCTCGTACGTGATATCTTTAAGTAGACGGGGGGGCTGAAGCTGGCACGAGTGATAAGGAAACATATCCGGGTAGCTAGGAACCGCAAGCCGAGAACAGAAGATACGGTACCGGCCAGGTACATCACGTGACCAAACCGGATACAAAACGGGTCGATCACGCGGCCACTTCAGGTATGCGCCGGGTGCTGGAACGAGTGCCTAGCGGGTAGTTTGAAGTAGGCGACCTGGATACTTTTCGGATACCCTGTGACCGGCGTGCGGGTCAGTGCCAGGTCGGGTCGGTGCTACCCGGAGACGTTGTCCGGATCAAAAACCAGGTACCTACCGGATTCTGAAATGGGTAGGTACTAAGTGCCAAAATGTCCTCGTCGTGGGCGTCATACCAAGAAAAAGTGACCAGGGAAGAGCCATATGGCCGGACGCGCCAGGAAAAACGCGCGCGACGCCTAGGATCTTCCAACTCTCGGGAGAGAAGGGAACTGAGACTGAGGTAAAATTCGTCTCTACAGCGTAAGTACTATTTCTGCCTCACAAGGCCGCCCTGCAGGGGTAAATGATCCTAAACAGCAACGGACCCGATAGATTCGAGCCCCGATTAGAGCCCTCGATCCCACGGCCAGGCTGGCGTAGAGATCAGGAGGAAACGGGTGATGGCCAGCGCTCACCGAATCGAGATTCGTCAATAGTGACCGCCATCACCAAGTCATCACTACTACTAATACACAATTTAAAAAAGCCGGTGTCTATAACCTCTAGTGTCACATCTCCTGTTCATCTCGCTACGTCGAAGAAGAACACAACCATCAAACCATCAAGCGGCAATGCAATCGAGCAAGGAGATCAGAATCATATCTTTGCTTGTCATTGACACGCTGTTTTTCTTTCTGGAGATAGTGGTGGGATATGCGGTGCACTCACTAGCGTTAATCGCAGACTCTTTCCACATGCTGAACGATATCTTCTCGTTGATCGTGGCGCTGTGGGCGGTGGGCGTGGCGAAAAACAAGGCGGCAGACTCCACGTACACGTATGGCTGGAAGCGGGCCGAGATTCTCGGTGCTCTGGTCAATGCGGTATTCTTGATCGCGTTGTGCGTGTCGATCCTCATCGAAGCAATCCAGCGGTTCTTTCAGCCACAGGAGATCGACAACCCAAAGCTGGTGCTTATTGTTGGGTCTGCGGGACTAGCCTCCAACATTGTGGGGCTTTTCTTGTTTCACGAACACGGCCATTCCCATGGTCACGGTCACTCACACGGTTCAGGGGCTCACGACGAGGAAAGCGGCCACAGCTATTCTCACGCGGACTCCTTTGCCGAAGAGTCTTCCCAGGACATCAACGACATGCTTCCCTCGACCATTGTTGAGACCTACACCCCTGAAGCGTCTCCTTTACTCGGTAACAAGGATGATCACACCCACAGCCATGCCACTCAAGGCAAGGCCCCACAAAAATCCCACAAGTCTCTTAACATGCAAGGAGTTTTTTTGCACGTCCTTGGAGATGCGCTGGGGAATGTAGGCGTCATGGCCACCGCATTATTCATTTGGAAAACCGATTATTCTTGGAGGTTTTACACTGATCCCGCCGTGTCATTGGTGATTACCATCATTATTTTCTCTTCTGCCTTGCCCCTGGCAAACAAAGCGTCGCGCATCCTTTTGCAGGCCTCGCCTGCCACTGTTTCCACGGAAGACGTGCAGAAGGAAATTTTGCAGGTGCCGGGTGTAGTTTCCGTTCATGACTTTCATATTTGGAATTTGACCGAGTCTCTGTCCATCGGTTCTATCCATGTTGCCATCGATTGTAGCCCCGAAAGGTTTACAGAGGTTGCTAGAACAATTAGAAACATTTTCCACCGCCAAAACATCCACTCCGCTACAGTTCAACCCGAATTTGTTTCCGGCGAGGTGAGTGACGACACTTCTAAAAGGTTTTCTAGAATAGCTGGAGGTGGAGTTTACGGCTCGTCGTTGTCTCTGAGACCAGATGAAGCAGTCAATACATCTTACGGCACAGGGGAGACTCGTTGCATAATTGATGAGGCTGCCAATTGTAATACGGACAATTGTTTGCCTCCTTCTTGACGTTTATAGCTAGAACATAATATTCAAAAGACATTAAATTATAATATGTTGCTCATGCCTACTCAAGTCTGGACCTATCTTGGATGAAAGTTCCACCTCCAACAACTGCGCTTGTTGTCATGTCTGAATCAAATTGTCGAGCTATTCGACAGCCTTTATATAATACATGCGTGCTATAAAATGTGAATTCATCTCATCTCGAAATACCGTTTGTTCTTGAATTAGCTGAACAAATCGGGCGCACCTAACCCACCGTCTTCGGGTTTAAATGATCATACGTCTTTATCCCACCTCAGTTTTTTGGCTTTTTCGAGTCCAAGACAAGTATGACTGGCTCGATATTCGTATTCATAGGCCCTAATAATCGCGGCGTCTTGTCCCCCTCGGGGACTGCCAGGATCGCTCTCATCCAAGCAAGAATTTTGCCGCCTACTAAGTTGAAGTTGATCTTTTGCTCTTGCATGGAGTGGTATTGTAACTCTTTCGAGCCTATTAGCAGGCAAAGGTATGTTGGCATTGCTTGCATTCATCTCAGTAGCGAAAACAGTGGCATAAGCCAAAGAGCCATTAGAAGCAGTCACGACATAATTGAGCGACTTTGTGTGGGAAGGTCTCTTCAATATTGGTTTCACACCCTCTAACTTAATTCGACTTCGGCAAGATAGCTCAGGCTTGCAACATCGGAGTTGTCGCTGGCGCTCACCGTTGGCTTTGGAATAGGACAGTAGCAAGCCCGACCTATTGGATGGCGGGTCTGATGCTGGCTCCTCATGTAGTGCTTTGTTCTCGAATGAGACGGAGTAGGTAAGTCCTGTTGAAAGAAGAGTTTCCTTACTCTCTCCGGAGCTTATCGAAACATCTTCGATGGGGCTGGATTGCGCAGGGCAATTTGTATCGTTACTTAAACCAAGGTCGTCGCTCAGAGATGCGTCATCTGAGGGTGTTTCTATGCCAGACACGGCAACACAGACAGTGTCAGTTACGCGATCAACTTTCGATGCCACACCTTTAAAAGGCTTGATCCGCGAATCCTGAATAGAGCTTAATTCATGTCGACGAAAATGGGGTCTAAGCATGTCTTCCGCTTCTGTTGCCGTTTTCAAATGTGGCGAGTCCAGTACGGCTGCTATTACTTGCGTCTTAGGTGTTGATTGAATCGTCAACCGATAATCACACCATTGGCTTTGATATCGGTGATCGTCCACTAGGTGTCTTCCGGGCGTAGAGGGGTAAGACAACGCACTACTCATACTAGCAGCGGACTAGGCTGTGATCTGATCTTTACGAGTTTTTTGATTTCCGTCTTGGCACCGATTCAGCCATACAAGGTGCACACAGCTACTACCGTGGTCCTTACCAAACTGTGAGACAACGAATGGTTACTTTCCAGGAATTGCCTCCATTTTCGATGTCAGAGGTATTTTTTTGTCTTAAGTACCCTGCCTCTGTACGCCGCACTTGATCTATCTACACCGGAGCCTTTAGGAGTGTGACACTGTTCGCCAAATATTTTTACTGCGGCCTGTCAGTGTATGCCCAACGGTTGAGAGTAAAGGACAGGTTTGTCTTTGTCTACCTTTTTTTTTCCCTCTTGCCAGTCACAGTGAAATGCTCGAAAATCTACGAGATCTTCTTAGATAGGCACATTTGTCGACGGTCTGATCTGTTTATGTTTATTTACCACAGGTCCCAATTTAGAAAGAGTATATCCAAATATTCCTACCTTTATGATGTCATCTCTTCCATTCCAGGGAATGCCCGAGGACGCTGTGAAAATCAATTCTCATGACAGAACTATGGGCGTACGATTTTATTGATCTCGATATCATCATCATGCTACATGCCGTCTGCCATAAGTTAAGCGGCGATTACTGGCGATAGAGTGACTTTGAGAACCACATGAACTCCCCAGGTGTGGTTTTTACAAAATTGAGGGGGAATGGGTGGGCGATTCGGGAATAAAAAGCAGTAGTGTGTGAACATTTCAACTTGGAAGGGTGGAATCAGCTTTCAGAAGTGTTGAAGCGTTCTTTGGGTTTGCAAGCACTTAGTACACCGTCTATCATGATTTAACATTATGCGCCACTTGAGGATGAAGTGATACCAAATCAAAATAATACTACCGACAGCGTCAGCGTCGGCAGTCGCCTGGGTGTCAGAATACAAAACTCAGAGAGCCCTCCCAGATTTTCGAGACGTATATAAAGGAGGTTCTATTTTGTAGAATGTCTTGAAGCTTATCTCATGTGCGGCCCACTTTCCCACTCTCATTCCTTGGAAATATGTCTGGAATCCAAAACGTCGACGGTCAACACGCCAAATCAGTGGAGCACGTAAAGTCGTACCCATTAGTCAAACAAACACATGACTTCTTTGTGCAGCTGCCTGCAACCAGGATCTTGGTAGCCAATACCAAGCCTGTTTATGACAGCGTCGCGAACTCGAAGCCCGCACGGTGGGTTGCCCCCGTAACGCGAATGGTGGACTCGGTCGCTGACAAAGGACTGGAGATGACCGACAAACTCATGCCCTCTTTGAAATCCAAAACGTACCACGACTTACGGCAAGACGCTGCCTCGCCTTTTGTGTTCACCAGGAATGCAGTAGTGAAGGCAACTAATGCGACCGTAAGCGCGGCTGACACCTATGTCTATGAGCCAACGCATAACAAAGTGATGAAATTCAGGCAGTTCTACAACGCCAAGTTGTATGACACGCACGGTAAACCTCTGGTGAGGAGTTCGATGGACCCTCTAGTAGCACCTTGCAACCAAAGGCTAGAAAATATGACAAAGTCATATTTCCCCGTGGGTAGAGAAGTTTCTACCAATGGGTTCAGCAGCGAGATTTCTCGCACCCTGGCTCTCAGTAACAACTTGCTACAACGTATGTCTCCTATCGCGCAGCGGAAGCTTGTGAACTTTGTGATGGCTCCATGCACTTACACCCAACACGTGAACGAGGTGTTTAACAAGAAACTAGATGAACAGGAAGACCTGGGCATTGCCAATTCCTGGAATGCCTCAAAAGGTGCGATCTCTACGCTGAATAAGGAGACTTTGGATTACGTGAAGAGGACGAGGACCAGGACTGTCCGCGCCGTCGACCAGTCCGAAATTCCAGTGTCCACGGCGGCTTGAATCGTATGACCTTCATCTCATATCGAAGAAACACAAAAAAGAACATCAATGCTAATCTCTGAGCGTTTCCAGACGTTGATGTGAAATCGCGAAGCCAAGTTAGACGGTTGGCAAGGCTAAAAGTTTACATAAATAAATAAAGCTGAAACATGAATATGATTTCGAGGAATGGCCAAACTTTCGCCACTACAGGTAACGTAGCGTGTTGCACACAAACCAACCAAACCTTGGTGGAAAGACGCTTTGAAAGGAACAGTCTTTTCATCTTGCAACATCACAGATGGAACTTAGAGTGAGCTGATCTCCATACACACACAAAACGAGTGTCCGTCCACAGTTACTTGTGACTGTCACAAAACCCATACATCTACGAAGAATCACATTTTCAAGAAAAATTATAAATATTCCAGTGCGTGATTTTTCAGCAGGACTTTAACAAGGCGATGGCCCAGCTCCCTTCCATGCACAGCCAAGGAGTCCCTAGGCAGAGCACTCCGTCGTGGGCAGAGAATCTTACAAACCTTCTGCCTAGTCTCCCGCCCACCAATGGGCTTGCCAGGACGGACTCCCGTATCCCTGCTAGGCAGGACTCCGCCTGGCATGGTCTCGATCTCTTTCTGCCCAGCCCAATGGACCATCCGTAGCGGGCGCCTGGCCTCTGTCGCATCACCACGTTAGCGCAGTGAGCGGACCAAAACTTTTAGAAAAGTGATATTTCATTGTCCATTAGAAACCCGCTTTCGTTGAATTACCGAACGTAAGGAATCAACTGCGAATCAAAGAGTATGTGGTATACCGCTAGAGATACGAACAGATTATGAAAAGTGCCGAAAGATAGTAGAGGAGTTACTACGTGGGAGACCGATATGGCTTGAAAAAGAGTTTATCGTAATAGCCGAGGGTTGCATGTTTTGACCGAGAGATCTGTTTGCACAGGATGAATGGTGTGGTGAAAGGGTTGAGTATCGACAGCCAGACTTATACAGTGTGGCATAAGGACGATACTAGAGCAAATAAGGGCCCATCTCCACAATAGGCATTTTTCAAGCAATACGCCCTACCAGTGTTCACACGGCGCTTTTCTCCGCTAATAAGACTGTTACTAACTTCTTCTGATTACAGTGGCTCGTTTGAATGAATACCAGGTCATTGGCCGTAATCTGCCAACTGAATCCGTTCCTGAACCAAAGTTGTTCAGAATGAGAATCTTCGCTCCAAACGTGGTTGTTGCCAAGTCTCGTTACTGGTACTTTTTGCAAAGATTGCACAAGGTCAAGAAGGCCTCTGGTGAAATCGTCTCCGTTAACGTCATCAGCGAAGCTCACCCATCTACCGTCAAGAACTTCGCCGTCTGGGTCAGATACGACTCCAGATCTGGTACTCACAACATGTACAAGGAAATCAGAGACGTCTCCAGAGTTGGTGCCATCGAGGCCTTGTACCAAGACATGGCTGCCAGACACAGAGCCAGATTTAGATCCATCCACATCTTGAAGGTTGCTGAGATCGAAAAGACCGCCGACGTCAAGAGACCATACGTCAAGCAATTCTTGACCAAGGACTTGAAGTTCCCATTGCCACACAGAGTCCAAAAGTCCACCAAGACTTTCGCTTACAAGAGACCTTCCACTTTCTACTAAGCAGATTTCTCAGCATAAAGGAGAGGTCCGGCATAAATTTTTATGGCCCGAAGATGTATAATCTGTAGAATTTTTAAAATTGTTTCGAATAGAACGGGATAACCGAACTGCCCACCGTTAACGATTCGCTCACTACTACAATAAGTATTAACATTTGGGCGTTCGTGATCGGACTGACCTGATACATAAGGTGCCATGAGGTGTTTTAAATTGGTACGATCCTTTAATAATTTACACCAGTACCCTAGATGCTCGCAGCTTGCGCTCCGAGGGTGATTAAGGTTACTTGCTGGCTATGAGAGCATGTGGGATTAATGGCTGGCTCTCGGGCTTTTCGATCTTGTGCGTAGACAGTGATATGGATTTTTATCGTGAAATTCCATCCTAGCAAAAACAACTTTATGGACACGAAATAGATTACAGGTCATTACTGACTCCGTTGATTTAGTTGCCCATATTCACAACCGCCACATAGCTAGCGTATGGTGGATCTCCAACCCAGTGGAGAGGGCAAATTTGATGCTTCGGGCCTATCAAAACGTGCCAAGTTCGGTAACCAAGCAGACAGCAAATCAGATAGCAAATCAGATGGGACGGAGACGTCAAAACTCCAGGCTGTGGGTGAGATACCGCATGAATCTAACAGTGACATCCACCTACCACTCAGTCAGATCCATTTGAAAAGCCATGAATGGTTTGGAGATTTTATTACCAAGCATGAAGTACCAAGGAAGACGCTGCATTCTTCCATCGGATTTGTTACGCTCTATTTATATACCACGGGGGCAGACTACCGGAAGGTAAAGCTGCCCTTGATTGTGGCGTTTGGCATTATCTTTTTCCTAGATATAGTGCGCTTGAGGTGGCCGTTTTTCAATAAATTGTACTGTAGGTGTGTTGGCGCACTCATGCGGAAACGTGAAATTCATGCGTACAATGGTGTTCTGTGGTATTTGCTGGGATTAATCTTTGCATTTAGCTTCTTCCCGAAAGACGTGGCTCTTATCTCCCTATTCCTACTGAGTTGGAGCGATACCGCAGCATCGACGTTTGGACGCAAGTTTGGACATCTAACCCCAAAGCTAGCTAGAAATAAGTCCCTAGCAGGCTCTATTGCTGCATTTCTAGTCGGATTCTCCGTGTGCTACATGTTTTACGGCGTCTTTGTGCCGGGTTATGCTCATGTGAACTCCCCCGGCGAAATCAGCTGGTCTGCAGAGACAAGCAAATTGTCTCTTTTCCACTTCTCGCTGCTGAGCGGTGTCTTAGCAGCTTTCAGTGAAGGAATCGACCTTTTCAACTGGGACGACAATTTCACCATTCCTGCATTATCAGCTATATTCATCAACACCGCTATTCTCCTTACCAAGAGGGCTTAGGCGGAAAGACAGTCTGTATAAGTTTCAAATAGAATTTAATCCTTCGAGTCCTGGCCATGCCCGTTGATATTGCTGGTGCATGTCAAGGGTTTTCCTATCAGGTGTCGCCAAAGTAGAAAGTGACTAGCAAAGGCTCTGTTCCATGGCATCACCCAAGCGTCTCCTTAGCCAGCTCAATTCGGAAGGGTGGCTATATCAAAATAAAACCACCTTGAAGTAGCTTGGGCTATACACAATGCAAGCTATGGAATGAAATGCCTACTTAAATTTGGTGGAGCAAATTAAAGAAGAAACAACGAGCTCAGCCTTCTTTCGATAGAAAATATCATCCTGAGATTGCCAGACTATGTACATCACCAACACAAGGTTCTCAAATTCGAATGATCGAAGACCACCCTGCTATCGTGGCCTTGACCCGCTGTCATTCGTAACGTTTACAGCTCATCACTGTCGTCGTCCTTCCTTTTTGGTACGTTGAAAAATTTTAACCAATTTTCGATGGAGCTCATCGATGGAAAACTTTTAGTGGAAATTTCAGTCCCATCGCATCTTTGGAAATTCAACCATTGAAGATCCGTACTTGGTCCAACCGTATTTGATTCAAAGCTTCAAGTATCGTTCGTGTTTTCGATTGCAGTGTTCCCTTTGTCTAGTGGCTGTTTTTCCGAAGAACGAGGATATACCGTTGATATAGTAGTAGGCAATTGTTTTCATATTGCAACTAACAAGAGATGGCTTACGTGTTGACTGAAACCTCAGCCGGTTATGCGCTGCTGAAGGCATCGGACAAAAAGATCTACAAGTCATCAACTTTGATCCAAGACCTAAATTCGTCGGACAAGGTTTTGAAGCAGTTCAAGGTAGCTGCCTTCTCGAAATTCACCTCTGCTGCTGAAGCTCTGCAAGAAGCCAACAGTGTTGTGGAGGGTAAGGTTTCCACTCAGCTACAAAAGCTCTTGGACGAAAGCAAGACGGACAAGAAGGCTACTTTGGTTGTTTCTGAAACCAAACTGGCCAATGCCATTAACAAATTGGGCCTCAACTTTAGCGTTGTTTCCGATGCAGTCACTTTGGACATATTCAGAGCCGTGAAGGAGTATCTGCCGGAACTGTTGCCAGGAATGTCGGACAACGACTTGTCCAAGATGTCCTTGGGTCTTGCACACTCCATTGGTCGTCACAAGCTGAAGTTCTCCGCCGATAAAGTCGATGTCATGATTATCCAAGCTATCGCTTTGTTGGACGATTTGGACAAGGAGCTTAACACATATGCCATGAGATGCAAGGAATGGTATGGATGGCACTTTCCCGAGTTGGCCAAGATTGTCACCGATTCTGTTGCTTACGCCCGTCTCATCTTAACCATGGGCGTTCGTTCTAACTGTGCGGATACCGATCTAAGTGAGATTTTGCCTGAAGAAATCGAAGAACGTGTCAAGTCTGCCGCTGAGATTTCCATGGGTACTGAAATTACCGCAGTAGACCTGGACAACATCAAATGCCTGGCCACCCAGATTACTGAGTTTGCTGCTTACAGAGAGCAGCTATCTAACTACCTGTCTGCTAGAATGAAGGCTATTGCCCCTAATTTGACTCAACTCGTTGGTGAATTGGTTGGTGCGAGATTGATTGCTCACGCAGGATCTCTCATTTCCTTAGCCAAATCTCCTGCTTCTACTATTCAAATTTTGGGTGCTGAGAAAGCTTTGTTCAGAGCTCTGAAAACCAAGCACGACACTCCAAAGTATGGTTTGCTCTATCACGCTTCTTTAGTTGGCCAAGCCACAGGTAAGAACAAAGGTAAGATTGCCAGAGTTTTGGCAGCCAAAGCCGCTGTGTCTCTACGTTACGATGCCTTGGCTGAGGACAGGGATGATTCCGGTGACGTTGGTTTGGAATCCAGGTCTAAGGTCGAAAGCAGACTGTCTCAGTTGGAAGGCAGGGACTTGAGAACCACTCCTAAAGTTGTCCGCGAAGCCAAGAAGGTTGAGATAACCGAAGCTAGAGCCTACAACGCTGATGCTGATACTGTCACTCAAGTTGCTCCAGAAGATTCTGACGAAGAAGACGAGGACTCTGATGTTGAGGAAGAGGACAAGAAGGAAAAGAAGGGCAAGAAGGAAAAGAAGGACAAGAAGGACAAGAAGGAAAAGAAGGACAAGAAGGATAAGAAGAGAAAGAGAGATGAAGACTCTGAGGAGAAGGAATCCAAGAAATCCAAGAAAGAGAAGAAGGAAAAGAAGGATAAGAAGGACAAGAAATCCAAAAAGGAAAAGAAATAGATATTGAAGTTCCGGTGAATCGCTTTATGTTCAATCTCTCAACTACAACGTCAAAAAATTGGAAACCCATGGGTAATGGAGGATTTAAAACGAATCCCTAGTACCATTCTCCCGCTAGTCATAAATTGTACTTTTCTGTCATACATGTAAATTAGTTATCTTGGACCGCAATGGTGTACTATGAACCCTAGATCCATCATATAAATAAAAAGCGATGTGCTCAACTCATCTTTACATCTGCCCAGCTCCCATTCCTCAGTCATTCTGCCTTGAGAAATTTCTCATTTGGCTTCATATAATTGTATGAGCGGTTTATAAATAATGAACGGATTAATCATTAAGTCCAGCTTTATTACAATTCAATTGAGATTGAAATTCAAGCTACAAAGGAAGATGGCCCAGCAAGTATCTTTGTCGATCGAAGAAACCAATAAACTACGATTGTCGCTGGGTCTGAAACCTATAGAGGTAGAAGTCAGCCATAAGGAGACAAACTCGGCAGATGATAACGATAGCGTTCCACTAAGCGAACACGAGAGTACAAGCAAAAGTAATGCTACTGCCGACAAGCTATCAAGGCTCCGGTGGAACTTAAAAAGAGCACAAAGTAAATTACAATCAGATGTGTTAGTAGGTGGGCTTAAAGACGATGACGACAAAGATTGGCTAAATAAGGTTGGTGCAAAGAAAAGGAGGCAAAATGGCCCCGCTCTTCGAAAAAACTATCAAGAAATGGATCGCGAAACTTTTGAAAATGATGAATTTGATCCTAAGGTCAAAGTTGTTCACGAAATGTCTCAAATGACGCCGGGAAGCGATGTAATTCTCACTTTACAAGAATCGGAACTAGATTCGGAGGGAAAAGGGGATGTGTTAGTTAACGAAGGAGCACTGCAAGACGCGCAACAGGCAAAGAATGTAAACCTCAAACGTCTTAATCAGGCTAGAAGACTCGGAAAAATATCGGTATCCAAGGGTAGCTATGAAGAGGGGAGTGATGACAATAAGGAATCCGGACCTTCATTGTACATGGTGGAAGGTCGACTCGTCGGTCCTGAGTCCCCAGAGAATAGCCCAAAAGCCCCTGATAATAGAATGACGACTTCGATATATAGAGATACAGAAGAGAAAGAAGGAGATATCTCAGGACCCTCGGATTTTGCGCCGGTGAAGATTAAAAAGCGTAAAAAACTCTCAGGGCCTAACGTCTCGAGCAAACGATCAAAACCAGTCCCTCAGAATATTAAGGTAGAGCTGGTAGACGAGGACTCTGTTGACGCGGCTGACGCGGCTGACCAGGAGTTAGAGGAGTTTTTGAAAATACAACACTCTGCCAATGCTGGCGAAAGAAAAGCGCAGAAATCAGCAGAGGAAATAGTAAAAGAGATTGAGGAGGAGAAAAGGGACAGATCTGCTCGTGATGCTACCATTGCTGGTGCTCGAGGCTTCATCGTTGATGAAAACAGTGTTTTTCTGTCAAAGTTGCAATCCAGCTTGTTGACAAAGACTGATCCTGTCAAATTTGAAAGGATTGATCTAACACCGGCATCAACCATTGGGAACGCAATTAAAGGTGACAGCGTTCTCTTTTCCGAGGGAGAGCAAAAAAAAGAAGAAGAGGGAGGTGATCAAGGTGATCATTTCGACGGTGAATCAAACCAAGCAAACTTTCAAGATGGGCTTGCTTCAACTTTGAATTTTTTGAGGGATCACAATGCCATTCCTCCATTAGGTGTCAATAGTGCCAAGAACGGTGAAAAGTCGAAAGAGCTTGAAGAGCTTGCGCTCAAACAAATGATCGAAGCAAGGGTATCTAGAGAACGATTCGCACAGGAGCTGTCTGAGGGCAAGGTAAGGTATACACCGGATGAACTGGATAAAATCCAGCGTCTACACGAGCAACAAGTCAGCAACCGCAACCACGTGCTACAGAGAGAGCGCCTTGTTTCTTACAATCCCGAGGTGAAACTTTCTTACAAGGATTCGCATGGTAACGAACTGACAACTAAAGAAGCCTATAAGAAGTTATCGCAGGCGTTCCATGGTACTCGATCAAACAGGAAAAAGTTTGCGAAGGCGCAACAAAAGGTAGAAAACAGAAACAGGCAAAATCAGAGCTACATAGGCTAAACAGGTGTGTCCATTAGAATTTGCAACTGATATACCCCAAAATTGTCCAGAGCAGGGTTGCAGGGTTGCCGTGTAAAATACAAAACAGCGGTTTAAAAAAAAGTGGACGAGACCGGAGTCGAACCGATGACCTCTCCCATGCTAAGGGAGCGCGCTACCAACTACGCCACACGCCCTACTTTTGAACCAAAGTAGCTAAAAACAATGCCAATATACATCAAACGTTCATGTGATTATACAAAGGGATTTACTCCGCGGGGTCCTTTAGTGGCAATTGAATATCTCTAGAATTGAGTACCACAACGTGCTGAGTGTTTGGAACATCATTTATACGCTGAATTGCTTTTAACTAAGCTTATCGTTTCTTCTACACATTTATTCTGCTTCTTTCTGGACATTGTGACTGGGCCAGTATATCCTCGAGAATATTGGTAAAAGCTAGTCTACTGCAAACAAACAAGACAAATAAATTGTGTGTCAACTGACTCCCAAGCTCATGAGTTCTGAAATGTTTATACTGGACTAGGCTGGCTTCACACTTAGCAAGCTTGATCACGTGATGGAGGGAAGAAAGAAAAACAAATAACAGTACATATGAAAAATATCAGGACATTAACCAACTCATCGCGACTTTTCGAAGCAACGTGTTTGCCGTTTAAAAACCTAGCATCAGGACCACCTACTGCCGATCTTGGAACAACAGGCTTCCATAATTTTGGGAAAACTCCTTAAAAATCACTGGAAGAACCTACAAAAAAGCCGATTTTGAATCCAAAAAAAAGCTACTGGCAAAAGCTAGTCTTTCAGCTTCTTTCAGAAATACAGGTGTCACCATCCGCTCTGATCCAAACATTTACACTCGCTCATATTCAAAACTGCAGTTGCTTGCTCCCTAATTAAGCAACATATCAGTTTACTCTGACTCTCGCTAAAAATAACATTGGTTGGTATTTCTTCTTTCAAAATGATAACCACCCAGAGTACAGTCCAAAGTACGACCACGAAAAGACGCAGCTCTTTCACCACAAACCTGTTTGACCCGAAGCTATATCAAGCTCCTCCTCTGCCCCAAAGCGGTGTCAGGTCATCCAGTCCGTTCGTGTCGCCATCACTTTCGAAAAAGTCAAATACGGCCAGCCAAAGGCAAAGGGCCCAAGAGGGACTAGCCTCACACCTTCCAGAGCATCTCAGGGAATATTTGCCCATTGTCAACGTCAAAGTCACGGCACTTTGCGGCGTGTGGTATGTCACGTCGTCCCTTTCCAGCAACCTTTCGAAGGCCATCTTGAGCGACTTCCCACACCCTGTGGCCCTAACAGAACTACAATTTTTAATTAGTGCGATGCTATGTGTGCTCTTCGCAACGCTAGCAAATTGGTTGAGCTCCGAGACTAGAAAGGCGGGCACCTTATCTCAGGCTTTACTTGCTTTCCCAGAGGGAATTCTACCCAGTTATCTGAACGGAGATTTCAAACTATGTGTGCTTAACAAATTCTTAACCCCATGCAAGCTGGCTTTGGCAACAACATTCCCCATGGGTATTTTCCAACTTGTCGGCCACATCAGTTCTCACAAAGCCACATCACTTATACCTGTATCACTAGTACACTCCATGAAGGCACTTTCCCCGATAATGACCGTCTGTTACTACAGGGTTTTCAAAGGGAAGCAATACAACACGATGACTTACCTAACTCTGATACCCTTAATAAGCGGGGTCATCATCACTTGTTGGTCAACGCATGGGAATGCCAAACCCACTGAGTCTGTCGGCGAACGCAATTTTCTAACGGGGCTTCTGTTCGCCCTGCTATCTATGGGTATCTTCGTTACTCAGAACATCTTCGCCAAAAGTATTTTGACAGTCAGAAAACAACGAGGAATCCTTCCCTCCAAGGTGGAAAAACATTCAGCATCGCATGAAAAGGAATATTCGCCTCTTCAAATTGATAAGCTTACAATTTTATTTTACTGCTCATGCATTGGCTTTGTTCTAACCGCACCAATATTTGTTTCCAACGAGATTGTTAATCTCAATTCAACACACAGCGTTTTCAGAGATTTCAGTGGAAGAACATTAGCTTTGGTAATTATTCATGGTGCCACACATTTTTTTCAAGCCATGCTGGCTTTCCAACTAATTGGAATGTTATCACCTGTCAATTATTCGATCGCCAATATTATGAAACGTATAGTTATCATTGCGGTAGCCCTTACGTGGGAATCTCACCTCTCGTTTCAGCAAGTATGCGGTTTGTCCATGACTATAGCCGGACTATACGGTTACGACAAATGGGGGGTGTCTAGAAAGTCGGCGTAACTGGCTGCTTCGCGTGGATTCTCACGATCTGGCCAGATCAAATCATGCAATTTCAAAATATTTCGAAGGCCGTTGTAACTAAACGATATGAGGACAAATTAATTGTATAAGTTCTTATTATCATCATCTATAAAGTCTACACAAAACACTGTAGCTTATTTCCTAAGCCGTGTCGCTTAATGCTTGGCAGCCGGGGTCTCGCCAGTGAGCTTACCTACAAACTCTCTGGCCATGTCACCAAAACCGACCATAAAGACAGTTTGCCATACACCCAACCCGATTCTTGGTGAGACACCACGGTATAGACCCTTTAGACCACTGCTTTGGTAGATATACTTAAAGGCGGAGACAACACCCAACTTTTTTGGTCTGTTTGGGTCGTCCTTCTTAGACTGCATTTCAACTCTGATAACCTCGATTGGCTGATTCCAGGCACTCAAACCACCACCGATGGCGGAAGCGCAGATTTTTTCAACTGCAGTAAGCTTGTCCTCAGGGTTAGTCTTGCCTGTCATTTTTCTGATTCCTTCTTCCACCAATCTGGAGAACCCGAAACGCGAACCCCAGTTGGTCATCTGTCTGATAGCCACGGCGTTAACACCCTTGTTGATACCTCTGATACCTTCTCTTTTGTATATGTCCTTGAAGGCTGACCACGAAGATTGTGGAATTGCGCCAGCGACAGCAGACTTGGCCTTGGTGATCTCAACTGTCTTCATACATGTACAGAAACCCATAGTTAAGTAAGCTTGAGCAACACCCCCAGAAACACCACCCATGATACCAGCTCCAAAATTTCCCAAACCTAATCTCTTGAACTGGTATTCAGCTTCTGCGGCGACAAACAAAAGAGCAGCACCCTTAGTGGAGGCCTCAATCCATGCCCATGGAATTAAACCCTGGTAGAAACCGAATACACCACCGCGAGCCCAGATATGTTTAACGGATTGTAGAAAGTTCAAATTACGATTTGCAGCCATCGTGGTCTTGGTGACCTCAAGGGGCTGGCCCAGCGTGGTCACCTCGCACATATTCAGGGCCGAACCCAACAGAATGTTGGAAAACGATACTGGCTTTTTCTTAATTTCAGCAGGTTGTTGAGGAGCAAGTGACATGGTTTACTGATCAAGCCTTTGGTTGTGGTTACAAGACAAGCAAGCTTTCCTTCTCTACAATGGCTTTTTTTAATAGTCATTTTAGAGGGTAAAAAGTGTGATCAAGTTGTCCACAATTTTCTTATCTGCTTCCTATTCCGTATAAAATTTTTTAGGTTCTAATATAGCGACAGGATATACAATAAATTAATGTCGAAAACCATCTTAATTCGTGTCATCCCAAGAAAAAGCGTTTAGAAACTTACCCACAGGCCGAATTTATCAACTATACGCTGTTCACCACTTGATATAATACGTACATATTTATATGTCAGAATTCCTTGTCTGCCGTGATCAGTTTCGCCATCTGAAAAATAGTGCACAGTACTCGGCTGCAGGGCCATTGGCGAACATGCTTCTGTAGTGGCAACATGGCCTTCATGAAAATTAAGAGAGTTTCACTGGCTCAATAAGGTCTGAATACGGCCGTTCCAGCCGGTGTATTTCCCCGTCTAACGACGATATTCGCGGAACTTGAGCCAGTGCGATACGCCACAGCCTTGCAACAGATTCGAAGCGTACTCGTTTTCATAGTAGTTCTGTAATTTGCCTGTTCCTTCAATATCGTACCACCCTTGGTGAGACTTGAACATCTCAACCCTGACATAGAGTAACGGCACCGCCAGTCCGTTCATGACATTTAGCCCATCGCGAGTCAAGAAGTTCGGTGAGCTCATCACCAGTATATGCTGGTTCCTCTTGCTGGCGGGCACTGCGGAGGAAAAAGCCCCCATGGTTTCGCGAACCTCCTTGCCCGTTATTTTGGCGCTGGTAAAAGCCTTGCACTGGACCAGGACGTGCAAAGGCTTAAATTCGCGACCGGAATTCAATTTGTGGAAAATAGGTTTGAACTGAGCCCCACTCACTGTCATTTTCTTCGGTATCGACGATCCATCAAGCTTCAGTCGATCGCGACATCTGTTATATATTTTATCCACAGGCCACTCACCGCGGATATCAATCCCTGCGTCGTAAGAACCGCCACAGATCTCGAGGCTATCCATCGCCAATTTTTCCCCCAGCTCTCGGGCTACTGTATGTTCGTAAAGCGCTCCCTGATATAGTGTTGATCCCACGATGGCCTTATTTTCCCGGAGGTACTTCAAGATTGCAGTATTGTGGTTTTTCCGACAATTCGCGGTCCAAACTCGATTTCTCGAGAGGCATCGTTTGAGCATATCAACTTTTCAGCGGTCTTAGGATCGTCTAATCTTAGCAACAAGCGGTTCTGGAGTCACAGCAGCCGGTTGAAAGAGCATACCTGCTGCTCGTTTTTTGACACAGTGCAACTATTCGCGATGACTTGTTTTATTGTTGACAAAACTTGTCATTTTCTCCCTGCGTGTCGCAAATAAAAAGTTCCCTCCTGCCAGCCACACGACCGAGGCTTATTATGCTTGTTTAGTATCACTAAAGCCACCTTGGTTGAATGTAAACGATGGTTCAAGTGCTATTGCGTGAATGCTGTTATTTAAATCTGATAAATGGGATCAGAAGTGCTGCGATTCTTGAATCCTTTTTGTATTACTTTACTAGCAGAAGAGAAACACCAAAATCTCACGAGAAATAATCTGAATGAGGTGCTTGGCTTGGTAGCACGTCAAAACGCTACACGATTTTAGCCGGGGATCCTGGGAACGATCGCCAGGACTCAGTTCTTTATACACTTATAGAAGGCATTACGCATGTCCAGTCGAGGACATGGAGATCACAGTTCATGCAAAAGATAGGCGGAAAATATCCCAATTCAAGGCAGAGCGGCGCTTGGGCTAGTAAATGGGCGAGTTGACTTTGCTTACTGCCCGGCATACGTGTCACACTGTACGTAATGATTCCAATTGTGGTTCAATAATGGACGATGTTCCGATTGTGGAACCTTGGTTGACTAACTCTCATGCAATAGGCTACTGAATATGCCATCTCCCAATGCCTCTCCACTGCCCAAAGACCTTGATGGAGGTTCCACGAGCGAGAATGGTGAGCAAGTTGTTACGGTATTTGATTTGGCCACGGAGATAGAACAGTCTTTGAAGAAAGTCCTCTCAGAGGTTCAGGAAATTGATAAAGAGTTTCAAAAGCAATTCGAAGCTATTGACAGACGCCTCAAAAGTTTTGAAAAGTAATTACTTTACATCCCTGTGCCTTCAAAATCGTTCAATTTCGATTGATCGGTTACGCTTCTCATTGGTATGCATGATGTACACGGTCTTCGTGTAGATTTCACGGTACATCGAAATCCACTGTACGTTGTCTTTCGCAGAGCTCACAGAAAAGTTCCTATGTGGTTCGACGGCTGAGATTTGTGATGAAAGGCCTACTACAACATGCCCGCCCTATGAAACGAGGGAACGATGAAGTATTATATAAGGGAAGTTCCTTTGGAGGCTGCATACTGTGACCTTCCACGCATATGGTCGATATTCATGATGATTCTTGTCGTCTGAAATATATAACTTGAGTGGAGAACTGGTTTGCTTGATAGTGAGTGCAGTACACAGACACAAAGAAGCGCTTAGATCTTACCAATATCCAATTACATATGGATCGCCAGAAAGCGTAAAACAGACCTTGGATTGCCTTCTTAGTAGATCATCATTTTTAGGTCACGTTGTCACCATCGATAAAGTTGTCCATATATATTATTATATGCGAAGTATACCTTCATCAACCTAAATAGAACGGGCACAAATAACCGTTGTACAGATACCTTTTTGACCTGGTCCACCGCCATGGGTAGCTCCCACAAGAGAAAACAACGACAAAAAGCAAAAAAGAGCCTTAAGGATCAGAACAGTGTTAATTCCAAGCGGGATCTGGTCAAAATTGTAGATGAGCTTAAAGCTCAAAGGCAGAACAATATTAAAGGTACAGATGAAGGTGGTGCTAAGGGAGAAGAACAGTCTGAGAATGGAATTATACCGTCTAACCAAGAATTAGGGCAATTTGAGAAAATTTTTGCCCACTTCCGACCAGGGCTAATAGAAAATAATGGCACCAATGGTGCCCAATTCACGAGAGCAGGAAATGGCGATCACAAACAAAATGACAACAGCGTGAATCAGGTTGCTACTCTGATGGGTGGTAACACAGCTATGGGGGATACCGACAACGATAGTCAAGCAATTTCGGTACGGAAAAAGCGCCAGCAGGCAAAACCTACGCTAGCAGATTTGAAGTCCATGGTAATATACCCAGAACTAATACAGTGGTTTGATTGCGATGGCCCGAACCCACTACTACTAACTAAGATCAAATCTTCTAAGAACGTTGTTTCCGTGCCGAGTCATTGGCAACTTAAGCGAGAATATCTTTCGGGCAGATCGGTTCTTGCCAAGAAACCATTCGAACTTCCTGACATAATTCGCCATACCAATATTGAAGAGATGCGTAATACCTTGCCACAAGAAGCAACTGAGGAGAGAAGCCTCAAGGAATCGTCGAGGGCCCGCATACGACCCAAGCTGGGCAGCCTCGACTTGGATTATCGCAAACTTCACGACGCTTTCTTCAAAATAGGAAGACATTGGAAACCGGATTACATGCTTCCATATGGCGACTTGTTTTATGAAAATCGCAACTTAGAAGACGAACGGAAATGGCGGAAAATGGAACGCTCTTTACGTCCTGGACGCTTGAGTAAGGATCTACGGGCCGCATTAGGGTTGCCCGAAGGCAAGCTTCCTCCCTGGTGCTCGAAATTTAACGAGTTAGGAATGCCACCTTCCTACTCAGATTATAAGGTAGCTGGCGTAAATTGGGACATCTCTAACTTGCATGGAGATGTTTACGGATCGCTGGAATCTAATCGAGAGTCGCCGCAGGATATACCCTTGTTTGGTCAGATTGTACATCTAGACAGCGATAGTGATAACGATATCGATGAAGGCGATCTCAATAATGAGCAGGTTAATACTGACAAAAGTATCAGAACACAATCGGTCGATAAGGATTCTGCAGACAAGGAAAAGCAGAGGGAAGATGCAATAAGGGCCGAAAGCATGAAGGAGGTTTTGAAACGTAGGAAACAGAATCAGCCAGAACGTCTTGAAGGAAGGGAGCAAAAACGACTATACTCCGTCATTGAACAAAAGGATGAAGGAGATAAGTCTCAACTAACCGGTAACTCTACAATTTACGACATCGGGGCTTCGAAACGCGCATTGGGTGAGCAAGACTCGTTACCTTATAAATATCCTTCTCGATTGTCAGCAGCGCCAGATTCAGGTTTAGAGGAGAAAGATCCCAGTGAAACAAAAGAAAAACAGAAGTTCAGGTTCTAAACTTTTGCGGTTGATATACAGGTAAGACCCAAGTTTATCACTAGGAACTACACATTGAGCTCTTAGCTCTTGGTAAATAAGCACCCGTGGCATTACTAGAAAGAATGCAACCCTCTCTATAAACAATGCGACCCTTCACTATGGTAAAGCGTGGCCAATTTGACACTTCGAAACCTTCAAAAGGTGTGTAGTCACATGCATGTTCCAATAGCTCATTGCGAATGACCGTTGGTTTCGAAGGGTACTCCGTTTTAGTAGAGTTTGGTGGGTACCAAATTACGAGATCTGCATCACTTACACCCGGCAAAATGGACCCTTTTTGTGGATAACAACCGTAAAGCTTAGCAGGATTTGTGCAGTTCACCTCCACAAATTTCATCATGTCCTTCATGTTGCCCTGAGAGTAACCATATGTAAATAGTAAAGGCAGCCTGGTGCAGACTCCTGGCAAGCCGTTTGGAATGTATCGAAATCTGCCGTCCTTTCCATCGTGGTAAGCCCTGTGCTTGGACGCCTTCGAGATTTTATCTTGGTAATAATATGGACAATGGTCTGAACCAACAATGGTAAATGTACCATTATTGATCCCATCCCATATTTGTTGTTGACACCCTTCGGGCCTGATAGGAGGTGAGCAGATATATTTGGCCCCTTCGAAGTTTTCGACCTTGTAAGGCTTGTCTCCACCTCCACAGGAATGTGTTTCAAGATCGACCGCCTCTGCCTTCACGTAAGGCAAAGCCCTGCTGTGGTTGCACTTTGTTACTTCGTCAGAGAGCAATGCGTATTGGGGACAAGTTTCGGCATAGACACGAAGTCCTCGCGCTTGTGCCTTGCTAATTGTTCGAATCGCGTCCGGAGAAGAGACGTGAACGAACAAAATTGGAGTCTGAAGTGTCGACGACAGAATGATCGCTCTATTGGTGGCCTCACCCTCGATCGCTGGTGGTCGTGACACACCGTGGTAGTACGCTTCGAGCAGACCCTTGGATTCTAGGTCCTCAATCATCCATTTAATTATATCACCATTTTCAGCATGGACCATAGTGGTGAAACCATTCGATCTCGAAGCGTGCATCGTAGTAAGAATGTCATAATCACTCATCTGCAGTCCAGGGTAGGTCATGAAAACTTTTAAGCTAGTAACTCCATAATCATGGTAAACATTCTCCAATTGCACACCCAGTAGCTCTCTACCTTCAAGTGAATCCTTTTCGACTTGAAATAGGATCAAATGAAGAGCGTAATCGCAGTACAAGGTTTGGCGGGCATATTCGTCGACAGTATTTTCAATTGATTTTGATAGGGCCTTAGGGCCAGTTTGAGACACATCCTGAGTAGCAAATGCAATGACAGTAGTAGTCCCTCCAGCTACAGCGCTTCTCGTGGCGCTTTCCATTGTATCGGCGACTTCGCCAAGAAGTTTTAACGGCTCATCGACGTGGACGTGGGCATCAATTCCACCAGGTGTAACGAATGCACCTTTAGCGTCAATGATCTCTGATGCCAAATGTGCTTCGATATTACCAGCTATGCACTCGATTGTGCCGTTGCAAATTGCAATGTCGGCTTGGTAAAGGTCACTGGCAGTACAAATCAAACCATTCTAACTTCACGGTTAGTGAACTCTAGCTCCAGTTGAAGAAGATATAAGGTGAGGTAACTTACTTTTATCACTAAATCATACATGTTAGGTTGGTTGGCGCTGTTGTGGGGAGAGTGTACGAATGAGAGCCACTTCTCTCGACTGTTACGATTCTTATCATGTCAAATCTTATCTTATCACAGACCCTGATCAGATCACTATTTTATTTCATGTCATTTTATGTAAATGATGTCATTTCACGTCAAAGTCAATAGAGCACGTACTGGTGTAGTTGACTTATGATGAAGACAGGTGGTGGACTTCGTAGTATCTTACACGCTCTCCTTTACCCCACAAATGAGTGAAAAGAGAACATGTACTCTTTTTTCATTGTAACTGAACTTGAGGGGTCATCACATTGGGCCCAAAATATCGTACCTCACCATGTATCGGTAGAGCATTTCTCCTCTTCAATCTGGACTATTTGGGCCCAAGATGTTCTCGCCGATATCCGTATAGCAAACGACATATTGGTACGAAGTGATACCAGGATCAAGCTCTCCCATTCTACGCTACTTGGACCCACTGGAACCCAAATTGATTTCCTGAATAACAAAAGTTAGGTTAATTACCTCTAGAAGAGCTGAAGTTCAGTCTTAATAGTAGAGAGTGCCCAACGGGTTTATTTATCTGAGAATAGAGATATGAAAATTCCATACTCGTGGAAAATGCTACTTTTGAAGCGAAAAGAGTAGTAAAAGTTCAAGCTCATCGCCAACATTCGTGACGATGAGCACCAGGAATCAATAGTTAAGAACTCCACCTAAAGTGAGCAAAAATGTCCAATAATGTGAATCGAAACTGGGTGCCATCTGAAAGCGTTCCAAACGCGGTCGAAAACAAACGAAACGCGTATAGCATTCACAAAGGAAGTCAAGATGATCTAGAGCTTAGTAACGTTTATCAATATTCTCAGGTCCTGCAGTTAGAACATGCAGTGACGAACTTCCTCGAATATTTTAATAAGATCATCCAGCTCTCTCCGAATTATAAAGTCTACTTGGAGAACGTAGATTCATTGAAGACCACTAGTGTTGAGATTCTTCCTGCTATGCTGAGGCATAAGCTTAAGTGCGCTGCTGAACTGGCATCACTCAATGAACTTGGAAAACTGCCGTTGCTGGATGAGTTAAATGCATACGAATCAAAATTTTCCGCTGCTGACAGAAAGCCCGTTTTGCAAGAATTGAATGGAAGTGACATTAAAAAGTTATCTGCCTCGGTGAATAACGAGATGGTCAAGCACTGGAATGAAGTATCTAAAAAAGCACAGGAAGATGAGGAGGAAGATGAGGAAGAGGATGGTTACGAACCGGATGAGAGCAAAAAGAAGTGGCCCCCCAAACTACCAGAAATCAAGAACTCGGCTATTAGGGCCAGGGTGTTTATTCACAAATCAATCATTAACGATAAGCTGTACTTGTCTGAACACGACATGATAAAGGCGCATAACGAACGTTTGGAATTTCTAGGTGATTCGATTTTGAACACTACCATAACTATGATCCTGTACAATAAGTTTCCGCATCTTAGCGAGGGCCAGCTTTCAAAACTCAGGATGAAACTCATCAGCAATGAGCGGTTGAAAAAGTGGTCTTTTCTCTACAAGTTTAACGAGAAGCTTAGAACTAACATTGATAAATCATGTGAAACCAATGAGTTCAAGCAAGGGAAGCAAAAGTTATACGCCGATGTTTTTGAAGCCTATATTGGTGGTTTACTAGAGGACGATCCTAAGCATAACCTTCCAAGAGTGCGGAAATGGCTCAGTAAACTGGCTCTCCCAGTAATAGAAGAAGAGGTAAAGAAAGATGACGACTTGGACTTGACCGAAGTAGATGTCAACTCCAAGAAGACATTGTATTCTTTGATCGGCTATGCCGCTCTAAATTTACATTACAAACCGGTTCAAAAGCCCACATCCGAGAACCCTATTGCTCTTGTGGAGTGCCGTATTAAAGACGGTACTGTACTAGGCGTGGGGAAAGGGAAAAATATAAAGACAGCGGGCATGAGGGCAGCTCAACAGGTTCTCCGCAATAAACCTCTAATAGAAAAGTATGCAAGCTTTAGAGCTGCGGTTCCTAGGTCAGATTCTGTGGTGAAAAATTTAGCTGGGAACAAGCGCCCTAACCAGGCAGATGATTTTGACGGCTATACTTCCAAAGAACATCCTTCGAAAAGGGCCGATCAGGGTTTAAAGTCATCTTCAAGCAAGATAGTTCCTAATGCAGATGGTTCATTAAGTTTAATATAGCAAATCGTTAACAAAAGAACACAATTATATTACATCTACTTCATCCTGTGACTTAAGCTTTTTCTCTGTGTGGGCACTTGGCGAAAGGCTTCCTTCGATCTCAGGATTAGGTGTGTTCTCTTTGGCTCTTTGTCGCTTTTTCTTGTGATTATCAGGGCCTTCGAATTCTCGAGCTATTATAGCAAGGAGAGTGTTCGCTCTCTTTGAGATTTCTTGAACACTTCTTGATTTGAAAAACCAGTTGAATTCGAATAAATCACTTGCCATGATTTCTTGCTTAACCTTTTCGTAGAGGTTCTCAGCCGAAAGCCCTATATTGTAGATAGTTACCAAAATGAAGCGATCTTCAAAATGGTCAAAAGTTTTGCGGGAGTTATTAGGTGGGTACGGCACTATCATGTTGTAGAGAGGATCTTCATATTGTTCAACCTTTTTCTTGAGCAGGTATTCCTGGTTTTTCTGTCGATCTGCTCGTCGTTCCCCAGCTTCGATGGAGTTTACGTATTTTTCGTGGCCTGGCAATTCAGTGAACCTCTCCCAAAAAACCTGTGCATATTCCTTGACATCGTCAATAGTCTTGTTGTCCAAGGTGCTCGCAATTGAAGCATAATCGTTTCTACCATATCTTCCACAACTGTTAATAAAGATAAAAAACTCTTTCTTATTCCAATTGGTAAACGCCTGGTCAACGAGTTGTTGTTTCAGATTGCTATCTTCATCTGAAAATTCTTTTGCGCTGTCAATTTTAGCTTGCTCCCCAGCCACAAGCCTGTCAAGTTCCTCAGCCGCAACGTCGAGTTCATCGAGGATCAGATCATACGTCGAGACTCTATAGTTGACTTTCTTTTTGAACCATAGCTGCTCTTTTTCTTGTAATTCTCGTACCTGGGGTGGAAAAAATTGGTGTTCTTGGATGTTAATGGTCTTCGGCGGTTTAACAGATCTCGGTTGAGGGCTGTTCTTGGAAGTACTATCATAATCTTTGGATCCATCTTCCGTTATATAGGATTGCTCTCTCCTTCTTTCACGGCGAGATGGATTGATCCAGTTTCTTGTTTGGTCCTCGGGTTTTTTTTGAAAGTTTTCTCCATTCCATTCATAAGCAGATTGGTCTCCTAAGCCGTTGAACTTTTGCAGGTCATCTAATCCAAGCTTTTCGTATTTGGCGTTAAGTCGCAGCGTTTTCTCTTCACCTTTTCTCAAAATATCTTCAATGTCGTCGTTAACCGTCATCTTGGAATGATTTCCAAATACGTCTTTCGCTCCAAATTGAATCATGTCCAAAAGGTCGCCTTTTGAATTACCAATGGAGGAGGTTTTCTTACCAACCCCCTGCTGAATTACGAGCTGGTCTAAACGTAGCTTCTGTGCTGCTCTTTCAATAACTTTCTCCTCAATTGCATTTTCTGTAACAAATCGATAAACGTGCACCTGTTTCTTTTGTCCAATTCTGTGTGCTCTATCCATCGCTTGCAAATCTGCCTGGGGATTCCAGTCAGAATCGTACAGTACAACAGTGTCTGCAGTCACAAGGTTGATTCCCAGACCGCCTGCTCTAGTGGTCAACAAAAAAATAAACTTTTCTGACCCCGTTTCATTAAACTGATCGATAGCTTCAACTCTGTCTTCATGAGACGTTGACCCGTCTATTCTACAGTATTCGTAATCTCTGAAAAAACAATAATCTTCCAGAATATCTAAAAGTCTGGACATCTGACTGAAAATCAAGACGCGAGAACCAGCCTCTCTCTTTTTTTTCAATAATTTGTCAAGAACGATCATTTTTCCAGCATTGTAAACTAAATGCTCGTCTGTTGTATATGGCGGCCCCGGTTCAGCACCTTCGAAAAGATATGGATGATTACAGCACTTTCTTAGCTGCATAACAATGTTAAGTAGCCTCGTATTACCCTCGCGTTTCCCTATTGCTCCATTGACAGCATCCAAATCCTTTTCTAGGAGACTCTTGTACCACTGAACTTGCATCTGAGTCATGCCCACATATAAGTTAGTTTCAATTTTTGGTAACAATGAAGTCTCTACTTCTGATTTTAGTCTTCTCAGTAAAAATGGGCTCAAAACGGTATGAAGTTGCTGTACGACGACATCCTGGTCTTCTTCACTATTATTTTGTTCGAACCATTGATCAAATACATCTGAATCACCAAAGATATCAGGAAGTAAAAAATTCAGGAGAGCCCACAACTCGTGAAGGTTGTTTTGCAATGGGGTACCTGTGATCAGGAGTCTGCCTCGTGAATGAAAGAGGCGTATTATTTGAGACAAGGTACTCTGCTCATTTTTTATACGGTGTGCTTCGTCGATAACCAGATATTGCCACATCAATCTTTTTAACGTGGATTTTTCTTTTATGACCATCTCATAAGATGTTATGAGGATGTCAAATTTGGCTTCAAGCACAACTGTATTTAAAATCTCTCGGCGTTGCTCTTTATCACCACTTAAGACAACAGTTTCGACTTCGGGCGTCCACTTGGAAAACTCTCGTTTCCAGTTGTTAAGCGTGGATTTCGGAACTATCACAATTGATGGGCCATCAATATTCTTGGCGTATCGCAAATAACCCAGGAAAGCAATTGTTTGCAAAGTTTTCCCGAGCCCCATCTCATCAGCAAGGATACCCGAGAGTTTGTTTTCATAAAGGGATAACAACCAGTTGACACCCTGGATTTGATAATCTCGCAAGGTCCCGGATTTTATAAAACTCGGTGATTCCGTGAGGACCTCTGTAGAATCAAGGTTGTCCTCTTCTTCCTCCATTAATTCTGCGTCTTCCTCCTTTTCACTTTTCCTATGATGCCTCGAACTATCCGACCCACTGCCTGCCCGTTGGCCGTGTGAACTCTCCTCAAGATCAATGTTCTTGAGTAACTTTTGGATGTTCTTGTCTTGTTTAGCTCTCAAGCCGATAAAGTGACGAAATAAATCAGTCAGTTTAAGTAAATACCTAAAACGCTCATAGGTCTCTTCTCTTGCCTTGTGTTTCTCCACTGGCACTTCCGAGTGTATAAAAAACCGTTTTTTACGCGAAGTCCAATACGCTTTGTCCTTAACAACTTCATTATCCTCCATTGTTGCAAGATTCCAAGTCTAAGTTATAGGAAGGCCGGCCTATCCAATTTATTTCCAATTCAATGTCCCATTCAAGTTCAATGCGAGAAAGACGACGCTGATCACAAGTAGTTAAATATTTGTTTGAAATCTGGAAATTGAAAATACGATCTGTATATAAATAAGAAAGAGGTGGGTAATGATGAAATAAAGCATTCTCACTATGGACCACCAAGAAAAGAAAAAGGAGACTCAACTTATAGCACAAGAGACTAGTGACAGTGTAGAAGGAAATTTCTCAGCCAAAATGAAAATCAAAGTGAAGCTCTGACAACTTTGTAACTAGTAGTAGTTAAACTTATGAAGAGAATGTCTCTCTTTCGAAAATCTTAAATGGCCGCCTTTGCCCCTGGTCGCTCTTTTTTCAGAGGCTTACGAGAGCGCCCCGCTTTGTAGCGCTCCTTGGATCCACCCGTCCCAAAAGATCGATCTGCGTTAGACGTCCCTTGGCCATTTTGGGGCACCTCTGTTTCTTGATTCTTAAGCTGCTGCTGGACTTTTTCAGACTCCTCGGCCCACCACTTTGCAAAACGCTCTTCTTCAATTGCATCTTTGAGAGATCTGGCCGGTTTCGGGGGAGAAGTCTTTGCGTTGGCCAGGTACAGGGGGATAGCAGAGCTTTCGCCCATGCTTGTAAGGCCAACAGATGAAGGTTTTTTCTTAATGTTTTGCTCCTTAAGAGACTTAGATAGAGAGGGAAACTTCGCAGAGGATGCTGCGTTTAATGTCTGAGTGGCCGCGAAGGACTTTCTGGAAGAGTTGCCACCCCAGACAGCCTTCTTTTCAATTGGAGGGTCCGTATTGGTTTCCGCAGCAAGTTTAATTCGTTCCTTTTGCGACAACTTTTTGACACCGGAGAAGGTAGCGCTGTTGGATTTAGAGCCATCAGCAGATGATGGCCGTGGGGATGGCGCTGCGGGCGGCCCTTGGGATGTATTGGAAAGAGAGGGGAACATAGTTTGGCGCGTCAACTTTGTAGTAGAAGCCTTCACCCTCGATTCTGTGTCCAACGGATATTCTTTAATGATGGAAGAAGTAGGACCTTCGAATTTTGCCATATTGAGGCTGTCACGCGGGTTTTCCTTGCCAGAAACTGATGGCCCCCATTCATCTGCAATGGATGCTTCATCATTTCGATTTTTCGATGCCCTCCGCCTGCTTTTCCCAACTGTGACAAAGCCCTGATCATCCAAATCTGAAAAATCGTGCCCAATGGCTTCCTCATTATATTTCGTCAAGAGACTGAAGTCCAGCCCTGCAATCTCCAGTCCTCTGGCCTCCGCGGAATTAGATGAAGGTCGCCGCACATTGATCAGATCCTCTTGCGACAAAGATGCTTTCCTATTAGAGGATGACCTTCGGCGGTCTGTAGAGAGTTTCGCACCAGTTGGCCGCTTAAGAGGAAGACCTAAATCAAAACTGGGCTCAAATCGATCAGAAGGGTTCATAAATATGTCATTGAACTTTGGCCGACTTTCTTGAAAGAGGCTTATTAAGTGGTCCATCTGATTTTCGTCTTCATATGATGTATTGCTTATAGCTTTGCCATTTATAACTTTAGCTCTTGAAATGAAACCCTCCAAGTATGCCCACAAATGCGAATCGAAAAACTCCTCAATAATTTTGGAGTTCTCCTCGGAGAACAGTAGTCCAATATTGTGGTGGATGAACCAGCAGCATTCTATTAGAAGCGTCTTAGAAAGCAAGCGATGGGCGTTAACGAGAATCACCATCACTGTACTTGCGTCGATATAGTCTATTAGGGTAGTCTCGAGGTAGTACTTGAGATCGGCCATCATCCACTCATCAGATACTTGAATTACTCCCAGTACGAAATTAACGAAAGACTTATAATCAGTAAAATGACAATGAGTGAAAAGATCCTGAAACGAAATTCCATGAATATATTTTAAAATGCACGTCATCTCATTGTGTGAGACGTGCGGCATGTTGATCTCTGCTGTATGGCGTACACGTTTAGCCCAGTTTTCGGAAAACAATGTCGCGAAGTAAGCACTCCTGCTCTGCAGCATGAACGAATGCACCTCAACAACATTTTCTCCCGATAATCGTACTTTGACATCGGGACATGTCCGAAGCAGAGAGTTGCCACTTCCCAAAGAATGGTCTAGAATCTTAGAAAGAGCAAACGAAAGCTGGTCGCCTCTAAAAGTGCTCAAATGAAGGTCCAATGCCTTGACAAATATTTTAATCGAAGTCTCAAGATCCTTCTTCTTCGTCGTGCCAGGCAAATTGGAAACTGTGGGAACACTATCCGTATAAAGATAATGCAAGGCATAGCAAAGGGATTCGGGTATAAGCCTTCCAGAGCTGACTTCCACAACGGTCTTACCATTTGTTGGATACAACTCGCCCTTTAACTGGAACGAAATGCCACTGTCATTTTTAGGAGAAAACATTCCGAACTCAGCCAAGCTTGCAACAAGAAGAGGAACTCTTGCTTCAAGCAATATTCGATGACATGCACCAATGTAACGATAAGTGGCTCTATCCACAAAAATGACATCAAATTGCGAAAAATCTACACTGCCCGTCAGCGTGGGCTCCCACTCCCTGGAGAGACCTTTTGCAAGGTATTCACGGTGGGTGGGCTGATCAGCTCTTGCCCACCTATTCTGGAACAACTTCCACAGTTGATCTCCCGTAGTAGGTTCGGCTCCTGTATATTCAGCCTCGTAGTGTGGTGAAGAAGGAGAGTCCTTGCTCTCGTGGACCCTGCCTTTAACGAAGTTCTCGAGGATGTAGCTAGATGCCTCCCGTTTCTGTGTTCTATAACTCAGGGGCTCTGAATTAAGTTTCTTCGAAGGGGCAGAGGCCATGGTAAGAGGAGAAAATGAGGATATATCATTGTAGAGGTTTTGTTTGGGAAATGCCGTAGGAATCATATCAATCTCATCTTTTATGACTGCGAAGGATGAAAATCGCGAGTCACAGCTCACCATAGTCACTTTTCCAGAGATAAGTTTGTTGTTTTTGAATTGCTTGAATGAAAAGCTTGATCCAGTAGTGGCTTTGTAAATGCAACCCCCCACTGTACATAAGATGACTTGACCGTCAGTGGACACATCGAAATCGAGACATTTATTCCAGCCGTAATGCGGAACCCAGTTCTGGGTGATCGGCAATGAGTTAGGAAGCTTTGACCAACCATGGGCGGAGCTGTGTAGATAGCTCGATTGTAGAATTCCTATACTGCCACTTTCGTACAGAACGCACAGGTTATTGCCGTGTGAATGCGTACTTTTGATCTTAACGACCCTGTTCTTCTTACTCAATGAATTTGGAGTAAAAACGTCAAATTGGTTCGAGAAGGCTTGCTTCGAAACTATTTTCGGGATGTTAAACTTCAATATCTTGAAATTATTCAGGACGCATAACTGGTTATCCCCATAGAGGATAAAGGTAACGAACTCGGTGCATGAAAGCTGTTTCACGTCTTGCACAAAAGGTGGCAGTTTCGTCATCATAGGACTTGCAACCACTTTGCCCTTGTGACCCATAAATTCTGAGTTACAATCATCGTTGCAACTTTTTGATGTTCCCATTTGGCCCACATTCAGTCCCCAGCAATATAGATTATTTTGATCGTCAAGAAGACAGGAATGAACCTTAGAACAACTTACGAACTTTGCGCTCGAAGAAAAAGTTTTCTTCCAAGGGGAGCTGCCTACCTTTTTTGGTTTTGTACTGCATGTGTTATCCAATGCCGAAAAATCAGTCTTTTTACAATTGACAGATGTAGTGGAGTAGCCCAGTTGAGAAAAGCGGTTCCATCCCCAAGTCAAAACTTCGCCACCTGTCGTCAGTACAATGGAATGGTGGTCACTGCTATCTAGCTGATGGACTCGATGGAAATCCAGCTCGACTTTCGTGTGACACAGATTAGATAACTGGGTGCTGCCATTTCCAAGTCTCCCTCTGCTTCCGTTTCCTGCTGTAAGAACATCACCATCAGCGGTCAGTATGAGCGAGTGGTATCTTCTCATCATGACAATTTTGAACCGAGCCCTGTACCGTGGATCGAAAGCTGACAGCGTGTATTCATTGAACTTGAACAGTTCTTGCCTATCTTCAGAATCGCCGGTACCAAGCTGTAGATTTACATTGGAGCCTGTCGTAAACAGTTCGCGGCCACCGCGCAATTGTTGACAAGCATACCGCATGTCCCTGATACTATGCCTTTCACGCCTCGTTGACTGACTTCCCTGATGTCTCTTCTCCCACCTCATTTCGCCGCCTAGAGGGTCAGTATCCTCGACATCATTGAGCTCGGGAAACAAAGTCTCCGGAACCTTTTGGTAATTCCAAATGTCATTGTCAAATTGGTAGAGTTCAATAGGTGTGAGGCCCTCGCGATCTTTGAGGTCCCAAACGCTTTTCTGATTCGCACTGTAGTCTGCGACACGCTGCCTTTTCCATCTCTCGTACAGCTTGAAAGCCTTTTGTAAATATCCGTTCCTTAAGCACACATGCAATGGAGTGTATCCGCTTTCCGCCTCATGAGAATACAGATCTATATCGCCTAATCGCTTTAGTCGAGGGTGACAGGCCAAAAGGTAAGACAAGTCTCTTCCAAAAATGTCCTGTGAAGCTGCTTGTTTCTTATTGTTCATCAGACTGCTTGTGTGAGGGTATAGGGTGGGCGTTAGAGTAACATTAGAGCGATGATAGCCTTAAGGTGGTTGGTGAAGCAAGTAGATTACCACGCAGATAATTTAAAGGCAATTAAAGTGGTGTCGAAGAATACAAAAGTACTCTTGTCACGACCACAAGCTAATCTACTCAACGTTGATCAGGGTTAGGTTTGATGATGCCCTGACGATTGCTCTCATACAATATCAAACTCGCTTCCTTTCTCTCGCTTCAGCCTATCATTGTCGATTGTGGGTTTCATGTAAGTCTCAAAGTTTGGCATGTAATTAATAACTTTAGGCATTTTGCCTTATAAACGAAGACAGCACTTGGAATCACCTTGGGCACAAATCGTAATTATGCTTGCACCAATAGAATCGTCAGTTTACTTTGGTGGGCGGTCAAGGCTAAAAATATGGTATCAGATGGCCAAACTTTTACCAACTTCTTGTAAAGCGCACATGCTAACAAACCCGCGGGCGCACTAGTATGACACGGACATGGTTGAGAAATTCTAACTATCCCGAAAACCGGAGTAAACGATGAAACTCTTCATGCCTACAAACGCGTACGACAGATATCTCGGACCTACAATTGAAATTAATTATTACCAAAATGAAATTCAACCAAACAAACCTAAACAAAACCGAAAAACAAACCCGACCCATATTATTCCTTAAATTTACCTTAACACCAATGTGCCTTATCTATCTAGTAGATCCTATATTGTATGAATGTCTTTACACTACATGTAAAATTTTTGTGACATAAATGCTCTGTTCACTCCTCTTTCAGATAACCCTTTCAATGGCCATGGACTGGACAGGAAGTTCAAAAGCAACCGCAATCTTGGCATTGGCACTTTTAGCCTCTTGGAAAGTAGCAATGTTGTTGAAGTACTTGTCAAACAACACAGCGGTATCCATGGGCCCGCCCTTGGCCTCTGGGTGGAACTGCGTAGAGAAAATTGGTCTCGAAGTGTGAATGATACCTTCGTTGGAACCGTCGTTCAAGTTCACAAAGTACGCGCCAAACGAAGTGTTCGGTAGAGAGCTGACGTCAATAGCGTAACCGTGGTTTTGCGAAGTGATGTGGCATTGGCCAGTAGTCAAATCCAAAGCCGGAATGTTGTGGGCCCTGTTACCGTACTTCATCTTAACCGAAGAAGCACCTGCAGCAAGCGCTAGCAATTGGTGACCCATGCAAATACCGAAGATGGGCAGGTGCTCGAACTTTGGTTCGTTCAAGAGATGCTTCAAGTTGGCGATGGTCTTGCCGCAAGAGGCAGGGTCACCGGGACCGTTGGAGATGAAGACACCGTCGAACTGCAAGGCGACGTCTTGGATAGGGTAGTCGTGAGGGAAGACAGTGACGTTGGCCCCGCGAGACACCAAGCAGCGAACAATGTTCTCCTTCACACCGCAGTCGATGAGGGCGATGTTCGTAGCAGCGCCGGCTGGACCGGCGATGTAGTAAGGCTGCTTGGTGGAAACCTGGGCGACGAGATGAGACTTCATAGTGTCCACGTACTCTGGAGAAGGCTCGCCGTTGTCGACGACGATGCGGCCCAAAGAAGACCCCTGCTCACGCAGGTACTGCACCACGCTGCGGGTGTCCACGCCGGTGATGGCCGCGACACCCTCCTTGACACACCACTCGGAGAGAGACTGGACAGCGGTCCAGTGCGAATACTTCCACGCGTACTCGGCCACCACGATACCCACCACGTGCACGTGAGGGCTTTCGTAGTACTTCAACAGGTTGAACTCATCGCGGGCCTCTCCGGAAGGCACACCGTAGTTCCCGATGAGTGGCTGCGTGAAGACCAGAATCTGGCCCTGGTAGCTGGGGTCCGTCATGGACTCCGGGTATCCCACCAGCGACGTGGTGAAAACAGCCTCGCCGGCTGCTGACTTCTGCGCTCCAAACGAGATTCCCTCGTAGGCAGGGCCGTTTTGAATCTGGAAAGATGCTTTGACAAAGTTTTGAGACATTTTATATCTAGCGCTAGGGTGTCCTGTGGGTTGTTATGACCGAATTATTCAATCCGAGCTTGATTTCTAGTGGCTGTTGGTCTTCCAGATGTGGTCCGGCAGATAGTCTTGGCAAGTGCAGTTAGTCAAACAGAGCTTGAACATGCACAAAAAAAAACCAAGAAAGAGGATAAAAAGATATGGATAAATTCTAGGAACAGTCCAGAATGGCAAGAAATCTCAAGAAGGTGCTTCAGCTTATTCAATGCCAGCTTCTGCTCACCTATTATATATGCGATGAGCTCGAGCTTTTTTCATTGACGCTGATGACTTCTCAAAATTTTTCACCAAATTTTACGCTTTTTCTTTTGCACAGGGAAATGGTCCTTACAGAGTCAGGAAGCAGTAAAATAGTCATTGTGATGTCAGAACGAGCTGAGCCGTCTGGGATGATGGGGAGTCATCGTGCAGATGAGCCGCAGTGTACTCGCGATGGCCATCGCGAGCACGAGTACAGTGGTGCGGAAGGAGGAGCCAGTGGCCATGGTTGTGGGACAGCGCGTTGGTGGGACAGCGCGTTGGTGGGAAGGCGCGTTGGTGGGAAGGCGCTGGCTTCTTGGGTTATGATCATCCTTCCTTCAAACTTCTGTGGGCCAAACAGCAAGCTCGGGTTTTAAAGACATTGAGGACCGGGATGATCTTGGATTGAGCCAGGGTGGCGATGGATGGCGCAGCGAAGGAGTGTAGGTGGGAGCGGTTGTCGCAGAGGTGGCGGACAATAATGCGAGAGTATTAGTGGGGTTTCTGTCATTGTGGGTGGGCCCGAGGCGGCACAAGGTTTTCGTCCATTTACCCAAGCTTTCAAGCCGGAAAAACCCCAGCCGCAGTATCCAATGAATTGGTGGTGTCTGTTCACTCAGACAAGACTCAACTCCCTTTCCGCCGCACGCTCTACCGTGGGATCGGAGAATGACAAGCACCGGGGCCGTTAGAAATCCACGAAATGCGACAATATCTCATCCTCTTGACACAACCATCCATCATGGTAGTTTGGGATCGCTCATTTGGTCGCAGAGGAGTCCGCTCACACATGGTTTCGTGTAAATATTACTCATCACTTTGTACAATAATGGCGTCGCATTTTATCCGTCGATATGACTAGCATGACGTGTAGCACTCTTCGCGTCGATACCTTTCCTCGTAATCCCTCTGCTACGCATAGCTTGCGCGATCAATAGTCATTCGGGTGCCTTGGTATGCTCATCGTAGAGCAATACCATTTTTTTGAAATTTATGGTTGGCCAAGTCACGGACTGTGTCCCGAACGTAGGCCCTTATGAGACGCCCCATTCCTGTGTAATCAAGCCTTTGAGGTGAAAACAGATTAGTGACCGAACAAAGGAGTTTCAAGCTATAGAAAGTCAAGTTCTCAGCCGCATACATCAATGAAGTTGAAAAGTTTGTGAACGCTAGTACCGAGGATGTAAGAGATGTGGCGATTTAACGTAACGGCGGGGAACTTTAGCTAGTTGCAGATGGACAAGCAGCGGTGCCTTGTTTTCATGTCCACTAGAAATAAATTTCTGGGAGTCAATTATATGAAGTTATGAGTGGATATAAGGACTGAATGTCGTTAAGCCCTGCGTAAACTATAAAGTGAGTCACCTGTTTTTTGTTACACGCTGACAACGAGTTGCTGATCAAAAGTACAGTCGTAAGAATCATTGATACTTTTGTAAGGCCCTATACTAGTTTCTTTGGATTATATATTCTTTTCGGAGTTGAATCGAAATGGAGACAAAGAAGTACGAAGTGATCAGAACAAATAAGACCAGGCAACATCGGACTTTCTACCTGGACCTGCATCTGCTAAGATGTAATTTGAGAGCCCCTGCTGGTGAAATGTAACGCAGGACAGCGCTATGAATCATAGTATTCATCTGTAGCCACTTACAGACTTTGAGCTCGAAGTGACGGTTTAGCCTCTTGAGCATTACCATCTTACCTTATGCCATGTCAAGAGTAGTTCCGTTCCTGCGAACATGGTGGGTTTTTTTTACCTCAACCTTAATCAAATAGTTACTAGCTGTGAGTCAGAAAACTTCGAAAATGGAAATAGGGTTAATCCATTCGTTTCATTGAAGGTCATCCAGTACCAGCACTAGATTCACTCTCTCTATTCAAGATATCAATACCACTTATGCGCTTGCTAGCAGGACGAGAAGATACAGGCGATGGCACAGTACTAACTGTTTTTAAGGGCCTGGGGACGAAAATTGTCGAAGTGTTCGAGGGTTGGTCTTCAGCGACATTCAGCCTTGCGATATAGGGCTCCTTCTCCATAGCTGCCAATTCTAAAATTTTATTGGAATTCCCTTCCGAGCAAAAAAGGTCGCTTATAGCCCTTGTCATCACCTCCCTGTCCTGGGGTTTTTGGACCCTACTCCGAGCAAACAGATGGTATAAGGGAAAGTCGTGTCGATCATAAAATATTCTTTCAACGGCTTTCGCTCCACAATGCTTAACAAGCCAGCCGAAATGCTCGCAAAGTACCCTCAAATTAAGCAAGTTCTCTTTAGGGGCTCTTGCAAGCCCCTGCATCCCCTGAGTTTTGACCCGCTCATAGTAAGCCATCGGAATAAGACTGTCAGGCAACTCCAGTAGCCAGTTTTGCAAGGTTCCTATGACGTCTGTTAGTTCTTGCGTGTTTGCGGCTAGAAAGTGGGTAAGTGCTGCGAGGTGGTCGCCCTCTTCTGCTTTAAACTGTGTGACTAATTCGCGACGAAGCCTTGAGCTTCGCTTCAGATCTATCGGTAATGACCAGGCCCTTAAAACCTCACTTGGCTCGCATTTCTCAAGCCAATTTATCAGGACCTTCATCACTATAGCTATTCCAGTTTCGTCTGATTGCGAATTTCGCAAATCTGTGTGAAAAATCGCAGGCCCCACCATATAGCCATTAGCGTTATACTTGGAAAACGTTACCCCAGGCTGTGGTACATAATAGCCGACTGTACTATGATTGGCACTCAGAATCCTCTTGGTTTCGTTATTGCCGTCGAGCGCAACTTGGTTAGCCGGCAGCGAAAATGAGTCTTGTATCATTGATGATAGCGTTATGTTAACTTGTATCAAACAGCTATTTTTTCGATGAAACAGTTTCCAATAATGGTGCATGGCTTTTTCAAGCTCTATTTCTAGTTGTGAGCGCCAGTAATCCAGGTCCTGACAGGATTGAAAAAGTTGCGTTTCGATTGCTGCAAATTCAATGCGCCTCAATTCCAGCTCCTCCAAAGTGGTGATCTTATTGTTCTCTGGCGGTTTGCCACTTAGTTTCGTTAGAAACTTGTTAATCACAGCACTAGTCTGCTGAGTTTTTACGCTCGAGCTGGTTTCTACATTTAGTTCTACATTTCCCCATGTGTAGTATTCATCAGCTGTGAAGCTCACCCGTGTCCCTAACACTGTTTGGTAGGGTGAAATAACTTCAGAATTCAAAAGGGTCTGACCTATTCGTTCCATATTGTATAAGGAAGGGTCGATGCTAGGCTCCAGACGCCTAAGAGCTTCGAAGAGTTGCGTACTAGAGAAATACTCAGTAGGCAAGCCCGGAAGCGGAAACAACCTTTTTGAGATTTTGGTAAGATCCCTGAGTTTGCGACAGAACTTGATCATGTCATCTCGAGTTTGGAAAATGACCCTTTCATCCAACGAAAATGGGAACGAGGTTGAAGGGTCGATTGAACCCTTGGACTTATCCCCACTTATAATGTCTGTTGTCGCAAGCTCTCCACTACCCAATGTAGAGAGCTCTTTCGTGCAAGCTTCCCTCAGCTTTTCAGCCCTAGTGGTCAATTCTTGTTGCTCCTGTTTTGCTGAAACGAGACGCTTAGTGTAGCAAACATAATTCTGGCTCAATGACTCTTGGGATTCTTGAAAATACTCTTCATATTCAAAAGCTAGGGCTTCTAAAGGAGCCAGACAAGTCCGTTCCAATTTTGAATGATTGACGTTGTCGAGTTTTCGATGTAGTTGCTCCAACCAAAGCGTTTGAAATTTCTGGAGATCACTGCTCAGAGATTCATCGTCCCCAGAGCAGGCGGTTCTTGCTATTAGATCCTTCAGTGACTGAACTGCTGGCGATATGGTGTGCAAATCTAAGGTTCTGATCAAGTCAATGTTCCGTCTCAACTCAGAGATGTCACTTTTGGTTACGTTTAGAAGTGAAGAGATACCCGCCTGGTAATCTTCTGACCAAAAGGTATAGCCAGAGACCACTTGAAGTGTATGTTCCATGTTTATTCTTGTTGACGAGAAGGACATCTCATAACTAATTAAGCACGAGTGTTAAAGCATCGTTATATAACTGTTGGTCGAAAACAACGTTGAATAGATTCCGTTTGAGCAATCCTTATGCCCGAAATCACGTAGTTTCTACAGCCTTTGTTGAATTTCTTTAGACAGAGTGATCATACCTGCAACCGTATTTACATTTCTTAGAAATGGACCATGCCGAACCTATCTGCATTCTGATGGCGAGGAAATTCGCGTGAAAATAGATTATATATAGCCTTTGAGACTGTGAAACAAAGCACGCTTAGGAACATCCACACTGCCTGTTGATCCAGGTGAAAACTAGTTGAGTCCAATTTGTTCGCAACGTTTTGATGCTATATCAGGAGACCGTAAAACCATGCCAATTTCCTTCTATATGACTCAGACCACAAGCCTGCCCCTGTTTGGATCGATATCATAGCCAAACACACGCGCTAAGATATAAAAATACTCCCTTATGGAGTCTATTACAACCCGGACCAAACCAGTGGCCTTTTTTCTGAATTTAGGTGAGTCTTTGCCCAAATCTTCATTCTTCTTTGTCAAGCCTGAAGTTGTCGTTGGCAGGACGTTATCACCTGCGGATAATGAGACAAACAATGCAAATGGGACAAACCAGACGCATATGCCGAAGAAAGATGCCACTTCTGCAAAACTAGCTCTTCTGCGGGGCAGATAGTTGGGATCGTATCGGAATTGGGGAGGAATCTCGGTGTTATTAAAGTGCTGGAACCATAGATAATGATTAAGTCCGACCAAAATACAGCTTGCGAGGAATGTCACGCTTGTCAATGAAATGAACGGGAAATGCTTGAGGTTTTGGAAATATACTAAGTAGGACGCTATGGAGAACACGCTTAGCTTGAAAGGAAAACCGTCCAATACTAATAGAAGCACATGCAGCGAAATTACCGCATAGATGGCTTTAGTCAGAAATCGCTTCGTCGGCTCTGAGTGTTCTTCCACCAGCTCACTAATGTAGTAGAGACCAGCAGCAATGGACAGGGTCAAAAACAAGAATCCTAATAACGTTCCTGCATATGACAATGCCTGTAAAATCATTGCAAGGCAGTAATCAGATGGTTAGTTTCAAATATGCTGTGTGTTAACAACTGTGGATCAGTACGCTGGTGTCAACCGTAATTCTGACAGAAATGCCAAAAACAAAATGCGTATTAAATGATCTACTCGTTAAAATCAAATAATACACATGAGTGAACGAATGGTCAAGAAGAAACCCGGCAAGCTACTGTATGCTTTTCAACACTTATCTGCTTTTATTTTAACATGATATGGAAATCATCATAACATTTGTTTTGGCAAGCAAAAAAATTGCCACCTGCCAGAATTGAACTAGCGACCTTTGCATTACAAGTGCAACGCTCTACCACTAAGCTAAGGAGGCAAGATTTGATAGTTCATTTTCCCAACCGCACCTAATGGATTTATCTTGGCAACTCTTACTTGTGTCTGCAATCATAATCCATGCGACCTTCACTTATGTATCATGATAGGACGTTAATATTTGCTATGGAGCTATGTTGGTATCAATGCTTACAACCGTGTGAGGATACTCGAAACTCACAAGTCTAATAATTCAAAGTGGACGTACCGAGAGTTCAATTGTCGACGCTCTTGACGTGAACCAAATTGTTAGGTATGTTCTCCTTCTCAAATTGCACTTTTAAGGCAAGGCTGCTCGCTTGCGCTCTGTACTTTTAAAAGTGCAAGCGAGCCTGTGCCGAAAAACAAGTGTGGAGTGTTTTTATTCGAGGCGCTGAGGCGGTAATATAAATAAATTGCCTGGGCCATTAATGCTCTTGGGTGTCGCCAATGCGGATTGGCTTCAAGTGGTGGCGGACCGCTGTCCATGATTCAAAATTACACATCTATTACCGCTTACACTATATCGTCCACCCACGAAATGTCAACATTATTTTCATCTAGAATATCCTGATATTCATTACTAGCACCGAAAAGCTCCCTTGTCAGGTTGTCCATGTTAGGAACTTGGCCATTGCTAAGGCTGATGTCCAAGATTGCATTGCTGATAGTTTGAAAGACGTCAGCGCACTTGGCGGCGAACACCCATTTCTCACCGAAATGTTGTAAGATTTCAACACACTGTTGAATCTCAATTTTGCATTCAATGAGATCAATACTCCACTGACATAGACAATAAAGCATAGTATTGCAAATTGTCAAGGTTCTCAGCAGCGTTATCCAGTTCAATGGTTGCAGCTTCTTCTTGTACAGTGAATAAGTATGTTTTAGAGCCTGAAGGCAGAAGTCGCCCAAAATCGAAAGCGATTCAATCGGAGGTTTGGGGATCAGAGCAGAGGGTCGGTATAACATGATTTGTAGCTGAGCATATCGCATCGCTAGCCAAATATCCGAGGTATGGAAAGATATGCATGAGTTTCCTTTGCTGTTTGATGGGAGTGTGTTGGCCTCCCTTATTTTCGCTCGTTCTTTTTCATATAAGGCGTCGATCTGGTTTCTCAAATCGTCAATGACCTCTTGTTTCCCACTGGCCGACAGCTTCTGTTTGCCAGCCGCGACGCTATGCACTCTTTTGTAAATGATCCCGCCAATTCTTCGGAGAGCAATCATCATCTTGGTTACTTCTATGTCCTCAGCTTCCTCCGCAAACAAAGCGTGGGGCAGCGGGACACTTATGTCATCGTCGTCGATCGCGGATATTCGCCCCAAAGATGTTGAAACTAAGCGTTCAAAACTGTAGAAGCTCCAGAAGGCTCTATATCTCATCTCCACATCGATCAATGACATATATTGAATTTTCCTAGTGGTGAGAGCACGATGCAGGCCCAGTCCGATAGTTAGTCTCATCACTATACCACTTATTGTCCAGGACGAAACGCCTTGTGGCTCAAAAAATGAATATATACCCAGCAGCAAAAGGCAAGTAATTGTTTCTACGTTTTGCAAGTGCATGACTGGACAAAACTTCTTCATCGCGAGGTAGGAGAAATGTTCACTCAGGTCCTGTTCGTCATTGTGCAAAATGCCCGCTCTTTGCAAAGTCGTGCATCCAATGGCCATGACCATGTATACCTCAAATATAAATGTGTCTTCAAAGTTCCCCTCCATTTCGTCAAAATCCCTGATTTTGGAAACCCTATTCAAAAATTCAATCTTGTTGAGAACAGGATATGATCTATGATTGTGCTTGAAATATGCTGCAATAAACCTGTCGTACAGTGGCCTCTCGAAATGTTTGGTAGTGCCATCTGATTGCACAACGCTCGAATGCCTGCCACCTTTGAAAACCGCCGCGACATTCTCTATCTGCAATGACGATGCTCTTATGGGAACGGATTCTTTTTGATGCATTTCGTGCAAAAGAAGCCCGTCCTGGTGGAATTGTTTTGGAGGCGAGTCTCCGGCAAGCGTAGCGGCAGGTTCTACAGCGCTATGCAGCATGCTGAGAACAGAAGGGGGTCGCGAAGGCGGTCCGCTCTCCGCTGTGCTTTCTGGAAGTGCTTCTGCATAGCTGGAGCTTCGCACCAACTCGTCCTTAGGTGTAGCCAGAGACTGTTGGTCGTAACTGACTCTACTACGCTTAGTTACCAGCTCGCCGCTGGAAACCGAAGTCGCTCTGTTTCGCTCCATTTCTAGTTCCCGTTTACTTCTTCTTGGCGCTCTTCCAGGATATACACATCGCTCACCAGCCTTAAGACAATTGACACAAACTGGTGCTTCCTTTGAGCACCTTTTCTTGAGTTTCCTGCATCTAGCACACGAATATGGTTCACATGAGGCCCTTTCGGGAGCACCCTTTGCATCGGTAGCTATACTCATCAGTTCCATACTACTCCTGAACCGCCGGAGAGTACGGTCGTCCCAACGTCCACTCTTGCCGATGCCTGTTGTTTCCTGATCAAGGCAAGATGATGATAATACGTAGTTATATTGATTAGCCAACGTAGCATACAGACGCGTACGGAGTGATAGATTTGGCCTGGCCATCAATGACAGTTCACCGTACGATGGCGATGAGAGTTGGTTTACGAATAGCAGCAGAATGCCGGTTTGATGAGAGATATCTTGATTAAATGGCTGTGTCAGGAAAGCTCAATGACATGCTAACGTCCGAGCACTGCTTTCGGACAAACCGGCCCAGGCATAGTGACCCCACGCCGCTCCAAAAACGACTGCCAGCATTAACCACCCATTGTAAGTCATGAAAACCAGCATCAGCATGAATGAGAACCCGACAGAAGCACCGTACCAGACGGCCTTTTTGAGTTTCATTGTTCTTCCCGCGTTGGTGCTGTGGGGAGCGACAGACTTGGTGGAGTAGTATTTCAAATATTCATACAAATACGCTAGTATCGCGATTGCAGCCATGCTCACCAATAAGTGCCACACGTTTCGAATGTGCCACCATTTGAATACGACGCAAGTGTTCTTGTAGTTCCATGTGAATAGCATATTCATCGAGCACATTTCCTGCGTGCCGTGGTCGGCATGCCCGCCGTCCATTGCAGAGTGGGAGTACGAGTGAGAGACCTTAGACGCAGATTCCATAAGTCGAGAGCACAGATGGGTTACTTCTTCAGATGGTAGTATATTCCAATATGAGGTTCACGAGTATTAATTAAGTGACAGTAACATGAGAGTAGTTTTGATGAGAGTTTTGTACGAAATGGCTTGCTAGCGAGGAATAGGCCCGGGAAGGGTTTTGACTAGGATGGAAGCGTCACATAATGATATAGGAGCTTGACAAATTTGTTCTTCGGAGCTACTTCCTTTACTATCACTGTCACTCTGAACTCTTGACGGACTTGGATGATCAAAACAGGCGCAAACGGGTGTGCGCCGCACTGACTTATCGGATAAAAACGTTGCGTGCTCAGTGCTTGGAATACTTCTTGCGGTCAAATTATTTAGTATCTGGTTAGTTCGTGAACATATTGTGCCAATTACTCACAAATTTTGCCTGTCAGCAATTGATTATACTTTAGGGTTGAGAAGCTGGAAGGTAATATATAGTTGGTCCTTGAGGTAGCTTAAATAGATCGATCAATACTGTTGGCCTATTGACCATGTTATCGGATATGCTGAATTTCCTTTTAAACAATACTTATGTGCTCATTTTCTACAATTGTGTCACCACTCTAAAATGGCTCTATAACGACCGTCTTGAAAGCAGTTAGTTGGCAATGCAGCCTAAACTTTTATAAATTTGTTGTTATATTTCGTTAAAATCTTACTTCATAATCTATATAAACTCAATCGGTGTCTTGCACTTACAAGTTGTGACCGGCGTGGAAGTTCTTACCAGCGTAAACAGCCTTGGAACCCAATTCTTCTTCGATTCTCAAAAGTTGGTTCAACTTGGCCAGTCTTTCGGATCTGGCTGGGGCACCAGTCTTGATTTGACCAGTTCTCAAACCAACAACCAAGTCGGCAATGAAGGTGTCTTCGGTTTCACCAGATCTGTGGGAAACCATAACACCCCAGCCGGCAGCGAAAGAGTCGTTGGCAGCCTTGATGGATTCGGTCAAAGAACCAATTTGGTTGACCTTTAGCAACAAAGCGTCGGCACACTTCTTCTCGATGGCGGTCTTGATTCTGAGAGGGTTGGTGACAGTCAAGTCGTCAGCGACAATTTGGACACCGGCGGTCTTGTAGTAGTGAGTCCAGGCTTCCCAGTCATCTTCAGCAAATGGGTCCTCGATGGAAACAATTGGGTACTTCTTGACCAAAGAACCGTACAAGTCGGCCAATTGGACACCAGTCAACCACTTGGACTTGTCAGATTCTGGGTTCTTGAAGTCCAAGTCGTACTTACCGTCTCTGTAGAATTCGGAGGAAGCAGCGTCCAAGGCGATGCTGACCTTACCTTCGTAACCGGCGGCCTTGATGGCGTCGACAATCAAGTCCAAGGCTTCGTCGGCGGTCTGAATGTTTGGAGCAACACCACCTTCGTCACCAACGTTACCGGCAGAAGCACCGTACTTCTTCTTGGTCAAGGACTTCAAGTTGTGGTAGACTTCGGAACCGATTCTCAAAGCCTCGGAGAAGGATTCAGCACCGGTTGGGGCAATCATGAATTCTTGCAAAGCCAAAGCACCACCAGCGTGGGAACCACCGTTCAAGACGTTCAAGAAAGGAACTGGCAAAACGAATGGCTCGGACTTGGCACCGGATAGGTCGACCAAGTGTTGGTACAAAGGCACGTTCTTTTCAGCAGCGGCGGCCTTGGCAACAGCCAAGGAGACACCCAAGATGGCGTTAGCACCAAGCTTCTTCTTGTTGGCAGTACCGTCTAGAGACAACAACAATTCGTCGACGGCACTTTGGTCCTTAACGTCGACGTTGGCCTTGATCAAAGCTGGAGCAATGACAGTGTTGACGTTGTTGACAGCGGTCAACACACCCTTACCTAGCCACTTGGCCTTGTCACCGTCACGAAGTTCGTTGGCTTCGTGCACACCGGTGGAAGCACCAGAAGGGACGATAGATCTGAAGGTACCGTGTTGGGTGGTGACTTCGACTTCGACGGTTGGGTTACCACGAGAGTCGTAAACGTATCTAGAGTGGATCTTGGAAATGGCCATTGCTTAATAGGACTTTGAAATTTGTTCAGGTAATTGAGATAAATCAAGTACTCTGGAGACTGAAAACAGAGGAAACAAATTCCACACCTCAATATCGAGGAACAAGTCGGTGGCGGCCTTTTTATATACCATCCACTTACGGTGACCTGGTATATTCACACCTCGCACCTAGCAAACTCACACCACAACATTTTTTCGCCTGGTTTCCACGCGGGCTTCCAGGAAGTTGTAAGTGTGTGTGATCTTCTCTTCGGGCTCGTGCTCAGTCACTGTGTGTGGCAATTGTTTAGGCCTGACCATATGCCATATGCCATATGGCATGGCCTAACAACCACAGTGGTAGTAGTGGTGGTATTGATGAGTTTTTACTCAGTCTGGTGATAGTAGAAGATAGCGTGTAGATCCTGGCCAGATACGATTAGCTCTTTTGGTCGTCTAGAGCGACGAGAAGCCAAGGAAGCTACCGGAAGCTCGAAGAAGCCCATGACGTAAGCGCGCATAAAGAGGAAGCCGGGAGCGCGTCTGGCACGTGATATACAAAAGGTTTCCAAGTTGTTTCCAGACGGTTTCCAGATGTCATGTTGCTAGCACGGATGTGAACGACGATTGTGACGGGTGACTTGACTTACAGGTGAGAGTGGGTACGGGCACTACTTACAGGGTAAGCGAATATCGAACAAGTAAGCGAGCATAGGATAGTTATAGTAGTAGTAGTAGTAGTAGTAGTAGTAGTAGTAGTAGAGGCTATGCTTGACGACTTCAGCCAGTAAGTAGTGTATAGTGTCCACTCTGGCCAGAGAACTTAGCAAGTTGTCCTTGCGTGAATGACACTGTAGCGTGTTCGTGAGCACGACACGCGGGGGAAGAGCACCAACATGGTTGTAGAGACTCCTCCTTCTCTAGAAATATCCGCGATAGTTTAGTGGCTAGAATTCGGGCTTGTCGCGCCCGGGACCGGGGTTCAATTCCCCGTCGCGGAGTCTTTTTTTATTACAGCATACGCTTCAAAAGTTACTTCTAAGGTTCCACGTCTACACTTAAGTGTGCCTTTATCTTCCAAAACTTCCAAGGTTATTTATACAATATGTCCCAAATTACAAAGCCGTATTCATTTGATATCTCTTACTTTTCCAAAAATTTCAACTTCTCCGCCATGAATATCACCGGGCTGGCGCCACTGCGAACCGAGCCATTATTACAGTAATAGGATACGCCCTCAGCAAAAGCACTTCTGTGTTGTGAGAAACTATCCCAAATTAAGCCCAAGTATTTTTGCAGCTCGTGCAGCTTTCGCAGCGCTGCTGCCTCATCGTACTGATGATCGTCGGAAAATTGACCCTGATAGTAAGAAAATAATCGGACATCCATCATGCAAAGGGTCTTCCTCAGTGACGTGACAAATTTACAAAATCTGTGGACGATGTCGGTAATTTGAATCAGAAGTCTTACCAGAGAAGCATTGGTCAGCAAAGAGTGAGCCATAATTTGTGTCAGGAAATCTTGTAGGGCTAATTGACACGCATTCAAGTCAAAATTCGAAGCCGCATTTTTGTCCATGCGAGATTTCAGAGGTGCCCAGCTGCTGTGTATCACGTCCTGGCATGTGTACTCCAGCACAAACTTCATGAACTGTGTCATGCGGAAATGAACTGTTCTGCAACGTCGAATCCAATGTTTGACGTCTTTACTGAAGCCAGCATGCCTCCATATCCGATTCTTATTCAGCTCAAACCAGGTATCCTGCAGAATTTTGTTATAGTAATGAAGGATTCCTAAGTACCTCTGAACCATTTGGTATTGGACCATGCATGTTTTCGTGATTATGGTGTTCAATGGGAAGGGGACAATTATTTCAAATTGTAGATGATGAATTGTATGCCCAAATTTTTTGTCGTGCGCTGAGGTGCCTGAATCGAGATCCTGCAACTCTAAATCTCGTAAGAGCATGTCACGTAAATTACCAAAATTTTGAGCCTGCAACAGATCCGGTTCATTTCCCCCGTTTGCGGTCTCAGAGGAGAACTGCTCAACGATACGGTAAAAGCTGCGATGATCGAGTTTCAAGTTCAGTAGAGGAAGAACGATATTTGAGGTTCTATGTTCCTGCGATAGTTGGTAGTCCAGAAAGGATCTTTGTAATTTTTCTTGCACCACGTCACTTCGTAATTTGGTGAGCTCAATCAAAGATCGATTGAAAAAGCTCCGGAAAAAACTAGGATTGTTGTAGAAAAAGAAGTTCTGGTGAAATTCCCCGAGTCGGTTTGCTAAATTATAACCGTCACAGAATAGGCCTCCTACAAGTTCGTTCGCACGTTTGTAGTGAGCATCAACGTAGAGTGTAAGCTGTGTTCCCTGCGGCAGATCGCGAAGTGGCCCGTAGCTGTTTGCTGGTGTCACACCTGTCAAATCGCGAAAGTCGCAACATTGGCGGAAAAGATTAAGCAATTTACCTGTCATGAGTACTTTAAACGCAATATCCTTCTCCTTGAACTGTTCCATAATTCCATCTCTGCGTATCACATGTTGGGTGTCCCACAGCCTCTCGCTGTTCAAGGAATTCAAGGTAGTGATTTCTTGATGTGATGTGGACCTCATGGAATCCGCCACCATAAACTCATCGTGGGGATCGGATAGGCTTCCGTTTGTAAGCCACGTTTCTAACATGACACAGTACTGACTTGAGATACTCGAAAGCAACTTCTGAAGAAAATCAACATTTCGCTGATTCCCCCAATTGCCTTTCAGTCTGTCTTGAACCATTTGTAAAATGACCCCTCCCCGCGCGTGTATATTGATCCTGGAGTCGGTCAAGAACGGTGCAATACCGGAGGAGTCAATACCATACGCTGATGGCGCATAGTGTTTTTCCTTCTTCAGATCTTGTATGAAATTGTGAAAATCCGCCTCCTCTCGATTCATAAGGGCACGTCGGCTCATCTCGCGTATGACGTCCTGTACTATATCATAAAGCAGCTGCGCTTTATAACCACATGATTTCGTTAGCATTTGTCCCAGTTCCCTGATACTGAAAGAGGGATTTGACCTAAATTCTCCCTCCGCGACGTCCACAATGAACCGCATGTAATCATGCGCCAAAAACTGACGGATCTCGTAGCACAAACGATGCAAGATAGAGCCGTAGACCGGTTCATTATAGCGTTCGCTGAAACACGACAGTACAACGTAAATTTTTCCAAATTTGACCATCCACTTGGCAAAGCTTTTTAGAGACGGATCCATGTTTTTGGCAATTTTAAAGTCCGGTCCCCGTATCTCATCACCTGGGCCTAAACGGGGCTCGTAGCTGTTGTTGTACCTGATGTATACGCCTTCCATACCCACAAGTACGTTTAAAAGATCCCTTACCACCAGTGCTTCTTGAACTCTTGCGTTTTTTATCTGTTCTAATGGATACGATTTGACCTTGATTTGAGTGCTGGTTAATGGTTGAAAATTGACCAATCGAGACAAAAACTCATTTTCTGAAGTGAGCTCGAGAAAGCAAACATCTTCAACATTGTTTCTAACTTCCATGACCTGAGTGCGAACCTGGCAGCGGGATTGTACCCGATGATGGCTGTTCAATGTTTATGTTTTGTGATTTTTCGTATGCCAATGTCAACAAAAAATTAAAGCTTAATGTATAATAGACGACTATGGTCTATGACACGTAAGAAAAATGACACATTCGCCTAAAAACCGGGAGGTCGATGCAGTAGAATTAATGCGCGCTCGAACATCATATGCTGATGCGACTGATTTATTTCAGGACTTCAAAATTTGCAAAATGGCTAATGGGGAGAATGAAGAAGTGGTGTGGTGTGATGGTATATTTAAGGACAAAACCAGCTCTTAGCAGGTTTTCAAGACCCAGACATTGACACTTCTGGTCTTTTATTAGATATAAAACACTGTTTGTATCATTCACGAGACCCCGGCGATTAAGCATCTCTCTCATATACTCCATGGGTGTCTAGTTTCGAGGTTGACCATCGCAACAGGTTCAAATATACAGACACAAGAACTAACAAAAGCCTTAACTACTAGTTACGCCAGAGAGCAGCTGCTGGGAGCAATGCGCCAACTTTAGTATCTAATGAGGGCCTCCGCCATGCCGTTCTTAAGTTTGTCCACACCCAGCTTATTCATTGGATATGCAAACTGGGATGCAAACCGGTCCCATAGCTTTGACTGCAGGTCTCTCACCATTAATATATAGCTTCGCTTGTGGCCATTTCAGTCATGTATGTGGTGCGGTCACCGGGACTCGAGCTTACTTACTTATGCCAGAATAATTCAACTGAACTGAAGTAACCTCCCGTATCAACTGGAATATCTTTAAGAGAATCAGTGCCAGTAAAGTATGGGCGCACACAGGGAAATAAAAATAAATAGGTATTTTACAGTTTTGTTGATAAGGAGGATAAACCTTTCTCATGTATCGAAAAGTGGGCAAAATACCACTGCGCACTTTGATAATCGCTTTTAGCTCGTATTCTTCAGGTGGAAGCCATGGGGTAAGAGCATCCATTGTTGTTGTAGTAAGATCTCTTCGCCCTCACCAAGCTCTCACCATTTATTATTGTGTCGCTGTGCCAAATGGCTAACATGAAAATTAGGAATAAAGTCGTTGGAAGCGGACTTAAAAACGTAGGTTGAGACCAGCGTCGAGTAACAGAACCCATAGATAGATGCGCTTCTAATTACTGAGCCGAACTTTATTTGATTCTCTAATTGTTTCTTAGTCCAATTAACTCAAGAGCCCCAGTCATGAGTGGCCCAAAGTCTTTTTTCAACCCACTAGACAGATCGCAGATCTCTTACATTCCCAATGAGAGAGAAACGATATCGGATAGCCAGATAGCCCAAGAAACTGAGAGCGACACCGAGAGCTCCAGTTTTCGCAGTTTCCCGAGAGTATCGGGTGAACCGCTCTCGTCCCGGGATTCAGAGTCCTCACACAGCATCTTCAGCGACCAGTCTCACCCGACCACCTCCTGGAACTCCATAGACCGGACAGATGGCCTCTCCAGTATCTCGAGTGGATCTTCTCGGGGCACCGACATGAGTCACGGTGTCCGCTACAAGGTCGTTTTGAAGTTCTCGCAGCGAGAAGTCAATCTAATTCGCAACTCCTGGACGATGATGCTTAACGATGACTTGGCAGGTGACAGGTTTCGTTCAGTGGTCCGGCAACTGTGGTCTGATTTCGGGCCCGCTTCATGGGGATCTTCCTCCAATGGTCCTAACAGCTCGGTACACCACCGCAAGAGCGCCGTCCCTAGTGTGCGCTCTGCGCGAAATCCCAGCACCATGATTAACACCAGCCGAGTTGGGAGCTCGGCCACGAGTATATCTTCCTCAGGGCCGTCGTCGTTGGCAAAACAGCAGGTGGCAGTGACACCAGCGCAGTCGAGCAACAACAGCGCTTTTGCGAGTTCCATTTTTTGTCGTCAGTTTTACGGAAACCTTTTGTACATGGAACCCGCGATTGAGACTATGTTCCCTTCCATCAGGCACCAAGCTGTGTCGTTTGCTGGTGTTCTCACTATGGCTGTGAATAACCTGGACGATTTGACCACTCTTGAGGCATATCTCAGTAGTCTGGGGAAACGCCACTCGCGCATTCTCGCCATCGAGCCTCCTCACTTCGAGCTGATGGGAATGGCTTTTCTCAAAACTATCAAGGACCGGTTTGGCTACCACAGTACTTTAGAACTTGAAGAGACGTGGTCTAGGCTGTATAGTTTTTTAGCCAACAGCATTTTACAATTTGGCATCGACCCCGTGTTGAAGGTAGACGCTCTGGATAACGATGTTATATTTCCTCTCCCAGAACAGCTTAAGCCCTCCACACAGGCGCCCGCCAATAGGTTCCACGCTCCGGCTCCTCCATCTTCCACCCATCCGCCCTCAGATCCAAGTATGCGGCACAGCTTTAAAACCGAGCCCGTGGCCAAGCAAAAGCGTGCTTCGAAGCCAAACGAAACTACAACTCATGCCGTCAAAAACACGCCTGCCATCCCTACGAAGGGCACCAAGCCCGCTGTACAACGCAAGGCTGGGCACCTTCCCGCACGGTCACTTTATGCCAATACAACGAAGAAGCAAGAGCAGGACAAGGACTGTGTTATAATGTGATAATCGTGTTATAATGTGATAATCGTGTTATAATGTGATAATCGTGTTATAATGTGATAATCGACCCAATATTCATCCTATTGATCAGCTTACACCATCACGCCGCCTTGGTGACCCGGCTTACCAAAGGGAATTTCGCTTACATAGTGCAAGTTTCCATCTTTCGTTATTATAGCCGGCTGCACAAGAGAATGTATTTCACGAAATTCTTATCCTCCTTCTGCTCTTGAGCTTACTTCGGGATGAAGCACTCACCTTATGCAGTTTTCCAACATGAACGGTTCAACGGTTGAGCCGTGCCAATGTCCGTTCTCAAGTAATTTGCACTTATGCAAGTGCTGCCTTTGTTCCTATTAACTACTTAAGTAAATATTCTGCTGGTGAGCAAGAGCATGTCGTGGTGTAATGAGCTGGTCTCCAGCTGACATGTTCGATGTCACAGCCCTCGATAAACAGCGCTTTACGTTAGACCTTCCAGACATCATCTTTCATGTCATTTTGTAGGTTTCTGACCGAGGTGGAAGATTCCGTATAATGTGCACAATTTATGTTAAATGGGAACGCGTAAAATCCAAAATCCTTCTGTAGTGGTGTGGTATAGGTTGATATACTGGTGAACTTACCATCCTACCGTAAACTCACCATACTCTGGGCGCATATTGGTGTGATTGAGGTCATTGTCAGCTGGGTGCCAAATTACAGTAATAACCTAGCGTTAGTGCTGGTTGTTGTCAGATCACTGAAGGCAAAGTGTAGCCAGGGACAGAAAGATGTATAAACACCATACTGGATCGAGGGACGAGGGTGAGAGATATTGGAATGATCCTTTCTACTCCTCGAACTCGATTGATAGCTCAGACCATGCCAGAAACTTCCGAAACTCAATACTACCATCAAGCATATCTCGAGAAACCAGTTTCGAGTCCGGATTGAGGCTCCAGGCTACTAACTTACACGAGTTCGGGGGAACGCAAACACAGGGCGCAGACGACTGCCCCAACGAATATTCCGATTTAGACGAAACAGAAACGAAAGATTTGAAGATAACAGCATCGCCGTCTCTCAGCGCACTTTCCGGTATACTCAGTGAAAGAGCTAAAAAGGTGGGAAAACGCAACAACAATAGCGTAGTGAACGACTCTATCAAGGAAGAACCGCAGGATACCGAGACAGCTCATATTTCCTCAGTAAATGAATCTCCGAATTTAATCGACATAGGCGGCTCGCACAACAATAGTTATCCAAGCTTTGATCAAACTCCACATTCAACTGAAAGCCAAGAACAGCCCGACTTCCTGACTACCCCAAAGCTGGATCCTCCCACGCCTCGGGTCGAGCCTGCGGTAGCTGGCTTTGACCAGAAGGTAAGCGTTGACCAAGAAGGGTCAGCTTCACCTGATCTAGAAGAACTTTCGTCGTCTGTTGACCATGCAGCTGAGAATCGTACCATCCATTCCTCCAAAATCGATGCACAGTCGAGTCCTATTATCACGACGCACCCATATCCCAAGCAGCAGGCTGCCTCTTTGAGATCCTTCTCAGCCATGTCGATAGGGTCAAGAGCGTCGGTGGATGTTGTGGGAAGCGAAGCCAGAAAACGGAAGAGTATTTTTTCGTTTTTGAAAAGAAAACCTCAGAAATCTAGTTCTTTTGTTGGTTCGAACACCGATGTCAACGCCGTAGTAGGGACTGACTCGTTAAGCAACGAAACATTTGACAACGAGACAAGCGAGCTACCCAGCTCAACAAAATTGAAGAAAAAGTCTTACAGCAACGGCAGTATCTTTAGCAGTTTCAGAAAAACCAAAGCCAATAAGAAGGACGCCGACGATGGAACTCTACAAGTACCCAAACAACGCAACCGTGTGACCTCTCAAAACTCCAGGCGCACTACAGAAAATTTAGGCGATACTCCTGTTAAACGGGACATTCGTTCTAGAAAACCTACACCACTTGACTTCGAACACCGTCCGCTCGAATCGCAGTCACAGAATCCTCAAACCTCAGAAATGAACTTTTCACAAGACCCTCTCGCAATTGGCGAAGTAGGCCACGTTAGTTCTTCGCGAGACCAGGCCAAAGAGTCGGACACCACTACCGACTTTGTAAAACAAGCGCCTGATATACCTAATATTGATCTATCCTCGGCGTCAGAGTCTGCCAGGCCTTCCTCCCTCGATGAAGAAATGGAGAAGGCAGATTCTGGCGAAGTTTTATTTCCAAAGTCACTAAGCGCACAAGAAGTAGAGTCGATTGTGTCATTGGAAAGGTCTCGGTCTGTGAAATCTAATAAGCGTAATTCTTTGAATTCACATCGAAGGTCTCTCACCGATAATATGTCCACGAAAGCTCAAAATGGTGGGATGTTCATTACGGAACCATTGGCAGTAAGGCTGTCTACACCTGATTTGACAAAGTCACCCGCTAGCAGTATATTGAGGAATGGGACATTCGATAGCCTTGAATTTTCTCCTCAAAAGACCTCCAGCACGGCACGCAGTCAAAAGGGCCTCGGAATAACGAGCGGTACCCTTCAGGCTGAAGACAAGGACTTTTCGTTTACTTCCATTAAGCAGCAATTGAATGACCTCACAGTTGATACCTGCAGTGAAGGGGGCGACGAGAAAAACAAGAATCTCATATCAACTCCTCAGAGTGAAAACTTCGAAAAAGAGTTCATGTCAGATATAATGGAGTTCGCCAGTATCATTGACTTTGACAAAAACCTGGATTTCAATTTAGACTTAGATCCGGCTGATACGACCTATCACTCTTTAAACCCCTCTGAGACAAAGTACAATGCCTCCCAGCAGGTGGACGACACGTCGGTAGATTCAATTAATTTCGGTGCTAATGATAGCTCCCCAAAACTCTATTCTGGGCAGGAACCTGAACACGACGGACTTATAAACCCCCAATATAACCACACATCACAGGCGAGTAGCGAACTGATAGCGGCTCCCGAGCAATTTGGAAACAGGCCAAACAATGAAAGCCCGCGCCCCTATCTACCGACTAGTGTGAATGATGACGATGACGATGACGATTTTGAAGGGGAAAATTTCAATCAACTAGAGGATGCAACGAAATCAAATGACGCTACCAATGGCCCTAGCTGGCCAAGCCCAATTATGGGCCCCGGAAGGCCTTTGTCCCTTTCTTTCAAAGGATTGCGTGGAAATCAGCTCAACAATCCCTCACAAATCTCATTTCTCAAGCCTTCACCAACCCATTACTCGGATTCGGATTCCCTTGAGGCGTCTAGAGCCAAGACCGTTGCATTTTCGTCCAATATTATACTCTACGCTACCTACACCGAGGAAGAATACGATAGACACCCGGATATCGCGACTTGTAACCAATTAACCCCGCAGCTGGCCCAGATGATTAAAGATGAACTCAATATGCTGAAGGCAGAGATGGAAATTCATGAAGAATCAAGATGCTACACACATTTTTATTGAATATACCTACAACCATAAAATCATCAGGGCGGCTTCTCGAAAAGAGGCAAAAAGTGGAACGAATCGTTGTCTTCACTCAAAAATTCAACTCAATTAATGAAAGCTCTACTGGATTACACTACTTGTTACGTTTGTGGCATCTGGCCTAAGTTCAAAATCGTAGAAAAGTATTGGCAGAAAATTTGAAGTTGTTATTGCAGGTCACGGTCCTCGATGCTAGTGAACCAAGCGGCCAGCAGTTACAAGACTTATAAAGCAGCTTAAAGATGTCATTTTATAGCAAGGACTATCCTATTGCATACCCAGGTCTTCTTATTTGTCCAGCCTTTGAGTTAGGCGAGAAAACTACTGATTCCCAAGAGATTATCAGGTACATCCCCGGACATGGCGTGGCAGAACAAAATTATGAACTTAATGGGCATACAATGAAAGCCCTAACGGCTACACTCATTGGCAGCATTGATTTCGAAGAAGATGAGATGGCGACACAAACCCCGATCCCGACTACTGAAGCTTCGAACGACGGTGCATCAAAAGAAGGCGATGGTCAAGAAATTAGTGATAACGAGGCCGGCGGCAAAGGTGAGAGAAGATACATCGTAACTGTTAAGGACCAAAATGCGCTTGAGCGCAATGTTAACGAGGATTTTGCGAATAACCTGCCCCGCGAAGGTAGCATTGTTCTCGTTAGAGTAACGCGCATTTCGCTGCAAAGGGCAAATGTTGAGATCCTTGCAGTTGAAAATAAGACCTTGCCGAAGGATTCCGGGGTTGGGAGTAATGGGACTGGAGTGACTGCTGCTGGAGGGGGATCTGGGGCCGCAACCTTCTCGGTTTCACAGGCATCCTCCGATCTAGGAGAGACATTCAGAGGAATCATTAGCGCGCGCGACGTGAGAGCCACAGACAGAGATAAAGTAAAGATAATGGAGAGTTTCAGACCTGGCGATATAGTACGAGCCCAGGTTATTTCGCTCGGCGACGGTTCGAACTACCATTTATCAACTGCGAAGAATGATTTGGGGGTAGTGTTTGCCCGGGCTTTTAACGGGGCCGGTGGTCTCATGTACGCAATTGATTGGCAAACGATGGTCGCGCCATCTACTGGATCCATGGAGTTGCGGAAATGCGCAAAACCATTCTGAAAGATGAGAATAAGGCATAACCGGCCAAAAGAGGACTATATATATATATACAGGGCCTTGACATCTTATAGCATAAGCATTATAATATTATTACTGATTTTTCTAAAACTCAAAGATGGGCATTCTATCTAGATGGAGGAAACGGCTATGACGACTTCTCAACAGTAACGGCGTCCGGATTTCTCTCAAACGTTATTATTTCTCGGGCGACTCCACTGGGTAGAGAAGGTCAGGATGACTGCCTCTTAGGTCGTATTCACTTAGCCCAACCAAGCCTCCGAATTTTTCGAATCGCGACAGGTAATGGGCCCTCTTGCTTTCCGCGATTTCTAGTAGTTTGGGCCAGTAAACGTCATGAGTGTACGTGAAATCTAGAAGGCCGCCGTAAAGTCTGTCCAATTGATCTTCGGGAACATACTTGGGGAACGGTTCGTCGAATACCAATTTCTCACGGGTCAAGGGATCAATGAATGGGTGAATCATTTTCAGAAAAGTCCACGCCAACCACGGGATATTGGTGAGCAGGGCTTTCCCTAGTCTTTCTGGGTAGTGAGTCTGCAAGATGTGTAGTACCTCTTTTCCGACGCCTATAGGGGGGATCTTGCTTCCACCTGAGACCTTGGGAACGTCAGCGTGCTCTTTGAAGTCAATCAGCAGCGCAAGCGAGTCTTGTCCCGGAGGCATAAAGTCGATGACCCTTTCCAGCATGAAAACAAGGTGCTGAACTTGACGATGCGAGGTCTTCGTGTTTTGACGACCGGGCTTGAGGTATAGGATGGGACGAGCATCGTTCTCGAAGCCCAGCACCACTTGCTTTCCGGTTTCCTCCTCTTCCTCCACCATATTGGCTTTCAGCGAGTCGCCGTGTTCCTCACCCATCTTATCTATGCCAAATTGTCGTCTCCATGCAATCGACAGCTCAATTCTAGAAATACAGTCCTGCACATCCCACTTGGTGGCCCGTAGGTACCTCAAAAAGCAATCCCTAGTGAGCCAGGCTTTTTCTTCCGACGAGAGTGTTTCCAGCTGGCCATCGTCGTTTCCTCCACCATGCTGCTGTTGCTTTTCCGACGTTGCCAGTTTTAATTCTGCATCCTGGAAGTGCCGGAGCACCTCTGCGTACTTAGCATCCTGGTCAGGCGTCAGCTTCGACGTTTTTGCCGGCTGAATAGATTCTGGCAAGTCTGCAATGGGCGTTTGTATCGAGATGAGCCGAGAAGTGTCTACTTCTTCTTCTTTCTTATCTTTCTTACGTCTAAACATCCTGCTGCTGTATTAAGTTCACCTACGCACACGCACTACCCAGAGCTGGTAAAACCGATTATTTAAGTGCTATCAAAACCTAGGTGCTTAGTTTTCCAGATATCAATGAACTGATAGAAAATACTTTCAAGCAGATTAAGATATTCTGTCCTTTCCGACCTTGGATTCCATATAAAGATGGTGTAAGATGATAACGTGCAGAATCCAACAGCGTTTAAAAACCCGATGCCCGTACTCGTGAAGACGAAGACCCGAGACACGAAACTAGACGCAACGCCAAATCAACGAGCTTTTCTACGAGATTCACGGATTAGAAAATCAATGAGATAACTCACAGTTCCGCCGCCGCACGCTTCCGTGCTCATAGCGGAATATAAAATTTTTGAATCTCCGAGAGGTGCCAGAATGGAATAAAGCGATGTTCGTAACGAGATGGTAAAACGAATAAAGCTGACGTTTGAGTCTATCCAACGTAAGTTTCCGAAAAATGGGACAGATGTAGGAGCTTGTGCGGAAGCCGTTCGCTAGTGACATGACAGATAAGCTGGTGTTGAAAGGAGGTGTCACACACGTGACTTAGAGGACGACCTGGTATCACTGTGTACATTTGTGTCATGGTAAGCGTGAGCTCAAGTTGAAGCCTGCCAGTCTCATGAGGGCCAGTGGAAGCCGCATGCGAGTCTTTTGACATGTCACATACGAGCATATTATCAGAATGCCATCTATTCAACAGGTGCTTCTTAAAAGTTGGAAACTCGCAATGGCCGCATTACCTACTGAGTTTGACATCAATTGCGCAAGATTTCTCGAGAGTTAAACTAGCTGCAGATCCTATTCAATATGAATTTTAGACTTTAAAATAATGGGACGGGCTTTCGGAGACCCCTTTCAGGCCAAACCTTGCTCCGGCAATAGTTAACCTTGGTATTGAGTTTGATGGCAAGATTTTGAGCTGGGACCTGGCAGGCTTCTAGACTAAAATTGACCTGTTTGAACCAAGGTAGAAAATAACTCCACATTAATTAACGGTGGACCACGAATAGTGATGTTGTTTATCGTCGATATTTGATTTGGACCCGTCATTTTGTTTTATACTGCTCAGCCAACGTGGCTCATTAAGTTGCTCTCCCATGCACAACACAATGAACTAGACTCTTGTCTGGGTACTGTCCAAAAAACACTGGAAAGGTTTGGTGTGCCTAGGGTGGAAAGGTATGGAAATTCAATCAGGAATGTCTTTCATAGCGCGGTTGTTCAAAAGTGGTGCTAGAACACGCTTGCTTGGAGTGTGCATAATGTGCCCAGAGGCAATTCACGACCACTAGTGCAAGTCTCAAACTTTACCTCGCTTTCGGTCAACAATTTACTACATTTGCTTTTGGCGGCCACACTACCTCTGTCACCAAGACATTCACCAAAGCTGTATAAAAGGAGTGCTGACCAGGATCCTTAAGACATCACCGTAAAGTGGGAAGGGTGCTCACAAATTCTTATCTTCAGGATGTACACCTATCACAAAAATGCCCAGTCCATAAAGTGCAAACGATTGCTGTGAAAAGTACGAGTCTCTAATGGCCGGTAATTTCATAAGGAGCGAATGGAAGCTGACCCTTGATGCTACATTCTTAACTGAACACGTTAGTTGCGTAGGTTGGGCGCTCCCAAGTATTATCTCTCTTCGAAACTGCACCGGAAATAGTCTCTCAAACATACGGGCCACACAACGCCACCTATATAGGCATCGGTACCAAACTTAATGACATACTTTCCTAAGCTGTCTTCTTTACTTGGCTGAAAAATGGTAAGGAGGAAATTTGACGGTTCATACGTCTACTATTCCAAGAACCTTTCGCGAGTGAGCAGTCATTTTACAAGAATCGCGCAGCTTTAAGTGACACTAAATCACAATATGTTCCCCAAACCCTATTACATCAAGATCTCATAACCTTTGAATGTCAATGTCATTCATGCATGTACAGAGCTAACTATTATATACATTTCAATCATAACAAACCTGCAAGGAGACTGATCCCAAACACTGTGAGGAATCCAAAAATACTGGATTCCGAGTCCATGACAGCAGCAGCGCCATTAGCTTTGGCACCCGAGGAAGTAGCAGAGCTAGAGGCAGAGTTAGATCCACTGTTAGAACCCCGGATAGAAGTGATTGTGCTATTAGAATTTGATTTTGTGGTGGCATAGGCTCCCGAAGACAACGTAAAGATATTCCCTCCTGTGGTGATCGACGCTGAAGACGAAAAAGTCGACGAATACATAGGTGCACTTGTTGCCCCCGGCACTGTGCTAGAGATCACCTCTACATCTTCATCTCCGCCGTCGTAATTTGCCTGCGCCATGGAAATCTGCATATTGTCAATGTCAAACACCACGTAGGCAGCTGTCAAAAAGTTATCACCCAAAATGAAGCTACCCGACGACTGTGGAACCATTCCTAGGGCACATTGACTCCCACTGCTCGTTTCGAGAACGTAGTTTTTCAATGAACTACTAATTTGGAAACCGCCAAAGTCGAACACAAACGAGTCCTCGTCAGAAATCTCGGAACAGTCGAAGAAATACAGTCCACTAGATGAGCTATAAGTAGCATCGAGGTTGCTTGCCACTGCACTCACCAACGAAGAAGGCAAGTAACTTAATGTGGACCCAGAGTCGAGAACGACTGGAATCTTGGTGGTTGTGATCGTTGTCCCAGTTTCGTTGACTATCAAACCGAGACCTTGCAAGGTAACTTCGAAACGTATAGGGTTAGCATAGCCCTGGCTTTTATATGTGTTGATAATGGGAACGGTATAGAGGTTACCGCTGTATTTGCTGTGGTCCACGGCACCAAATAAGATGGAGCCGTGGGATGCGTCCAACTCGTCTAAAAACAGCGAGAATGCTCTTGTATGGATATCACCCTGTAGCTTTAGCGCAGATGGGAAGTTGATGTAGGTGTATTGGTCACCGGAAGTGGATAAGGTATTGGTAGATTCGAGTTCCTCCATACCGAGGCCCAAGACGCCAAACTCCGAAGTACTTTCGTTTGCTACACCGAAGTTCACCCTAGGTATTTCGATGTCTTGGAGGGTGATCCTGTCGGAACCCCACGTTCCCAACGCGTAAGTACCGTCACCGTAAGAAATATAGAACTCTGTGTCATTGGATTTGAAGGTCGAAGATGAACTCGTGGCAAAGGTACCCCACTGGGAGCACGACAACGTGGCATCACCAGAAGGAACAGAAGTGCTGGTAGGAGTATCGGTAGCCGACACAATATCGGTCGTGGTAAAGTCGGCTGTCAAAGATGAAAACCAGCTGAACAGGTCTTTATTTTCTAGATTGGCATTTTTCTTGGAAGAGGAGCTGGAAGACCCAGCACAGTACGGATTATTGGAGCCCATTACCCACAGATCCGAAGACCCTGTGTCGATCAGCAGGGTTTGATTTTGGGCTGGAGTTCCAACACCAATCTCCACCGAGTAAAACGTTTGTTCGTTTTTCAAATACACTAGAGCTGTTCCATCATTTCTCTTGAAGATGTTGGCAGACCCAGTGGCCCCCAATTGGGCTGTTTCTGCGGAATCACCTCTCAGTTTGCCAAAGTCGAACTTGACGTATCTCTTCATCGGCACAACCGACACCAGCTCCGGAAGGTCCTCGCGAGCCACCAGCGAGCCAAAAGCACCTCCTAGCGCCAGAGAACCGATAAAAGCACCAGAAAACTTCATCCGAAACCAAAAATTCGAAGAATACGCCTTCCTAAGCACTATTTTCTTTTTCTGCTTACTTGGTATCAACTAATAGTGCTCAAAAAAGAATTCAATTTGTGAGCTGGCAGCTAGATATCAAACTCGTTAGCCTAGTAAATCAAGCTCAACAGGAATGGCGCCTTTTTGAAGTCTCGAAACTATTCAACCAATGGTATATTCTATTTCGGCGGCCTTGACTTTATATAGATTTTCCACTTGGAAGGTGGCTTGAAGAAATTTGCACTCCGTACGGGGACCTCATCACCTTTCCATTTGGTGTGTCACTTTATTAATAAAGGCCTATGGAGTTTGTTCTCCATACACAGGTTTGGCAATGTTCAAGGCAGTGAGCCCTTAAGTTGGTCTACTTTAATGATTGTGTGTCAATTCGAATCAAGCGCCTGTTAATAAGTACTTAGCGTTTGTTCCTTTGTAGTTAGCGTTTGCAAAAATTATTCGTGCTCTTGGGCCCACTCAGACGGGAAAAGCTTCTTTGAACTGTGGGTTACTCTGTAAAGGCCACTTCACATTTGGGGTCGAGTATCTGGAGTATAAGAGCTTGGAGGCGTTCGTGTTTTCCGCGTGAAACACTAAAAAAAGAACTTCGGAGTATTTCATACCTTTAGTCGTGCGGTGGAGCCAGCTGTGAGTGGATAGATACCCACAAAGCCCTGCTTACGCGAATTTGGTGCACCCCAAAATTTGGCTGGGGGGGGATATCCTCCTAGGTGGAGTGCATAATAATGAAGAGCACGGTATGTACTCCAGAAATTCTTAGGTCGAGTGCTTTTGTGGGCCACAGAGGAGGTCACACGCTAGCGAGTGGATGTGCCCTTACAGCATACAAATCGTCTGCATGACGGGCTTACATTCTTTTAACGAATGTTGGCTACGTAGAATAAATCCTTTCTTCAACCACGGGAAATTCATTTGGAATGGAAGGAGGATTTGTAGGTACTTGTAGACACCAACACCCGATGTACCGTACCCTCAACCGGGACGGAAAAGCTTGTTCAAAAAAAGTACATTGGTGGATGCGAATGTGTTTACTCCCGTTTCTGTGCTTGAAGCAGATGCCTTTTAAAAGCGTCATTGGTATTATTTTGGGCTAAAAAACCGGCTAGGAATATGCAAGTGGACGTCACCACCAAATTGACCAACAATCGTATACAGATGAAAGCGCCACGAGCCGAGTGCGGTTTTGTGTGGAATACAGCTTGTTCGAGTTATTATACCCCCACGGCCATCAACTAGCGGGCTGTCGCACCTATGGCGAGATGGTACATTCCTGCTATGGCTATTCGAATTTTGCTTCTCGAGCAAGAGCAGATACCAGCTGGGAAGCATTCATCTCCCGACACAGACGGGCCTCTGCACCGGCCCAAAACGCTCCAAATTCCCCTGTATTTCTATGGGCACGATCCAGCGCATCCAATCTTTTGGCTACGTCGTATGCTATTGGGTAAGCAGGAGGAGTTGGAGCATTTGGAGATTCCCCATACTTGACAAATTTGTTCACAATTCCCCTTGCGGGCCTCCCCGAGATCACGGAGGTAAGTTTTGACTGGGTGACGGTTTTCAGCGACTCCCTGTACTTCACGCTCGTAGCAGATTCAGGACACAAAAGAAAAGCAGTACCCATTTGAACACCTTCGGCACCTAGGGACATCATGGCCTGTATGTGTGCCCCATTCATGATCCCCCCAGCTGCTATAATTGGCGTTTTAATGCCATCTTGAAGTAATTGAACCAACTTGTTGGTAGTAAGCATCTCATCTGCGACATTCACGTCAAAGACACCACGATGACCACCTGCTTCAGCACCTTGAGCAACAATGAAATCGACACCAGCTTCCTCGATGGTTTTAGCTTCGCCGAGGCTAGTGGCCGTGGCCATTGTAAGGATACCGTTCTTTTTGAAGCTGGAGATCCATTCTTTGGATGGTAGTCCAAAATGGAAGCTAACAACGTGGGGTTTTTGAAGAATTAGCATTTCAAAGGTTTCCTGATCAGTAACAAAAGATTTGTAGATTTCATTCAAGTCTTTCGGTGGGTGCGCAGCACCCAGTTCTTTGAAAAGAGGACTCAGATGCCTGATCCAATTCTTCTCCTTCACGCAATCACGTATCGCAGGCTTATGGCAGAACACATTGACATTAAACGGCTTTGAGGTAAGTTTTCGTACTTCCAAAATCTTCTGTTCCGCCACTTCGCAACTACTTGCACCGATACCAATAGAGCCCAGAGCGCCCGCGTTCGATACTGCGGCAGCCAGCTGTGGTGTTGAAACACCTGCCATTGGTGCCTGAATGATGGGAATTCTTACAAGCTGGCCTAATCTCATTATCGGGTTGTACTAGATGTATTTTGTTAATATGGATATGGCTGCATTTGTTTAGAGTTTTTGTAGAAAGGTACAAAGTAAAACAAAAGCACGTTCATTAGTACACTCTTGCGATGGTCTTTAGACCAATTTCTTAAATCTAGTAATGGTGATTCACCGGGTAAACTGGGTCTGAGAGTTAAAGAGAACAGCATTTCCTATTCTCTAGACTTTATTTACTGGGGCACTGCTGAGGGGAATGGCACCCATTTGAACAGCTCAAAAGTAAAGTGCCCATGACCGTTCCAAAATGGTGATACTCAGCGATTTAAGATGGTCAAACGTTCAAGTGAATTCTAGGAAGTACAATTGTGGGTTGGGTGGTTGTGCGCCAGAGTAAAATTAAGTGATCTTGTATATATACATAAATTCTAGCTGGCCGGCATGCCTGGCTGCTCCTGTTGCCAAAGCCTTTTTGAGTTAAATGGTATTTTATCTGAACAATTAAGTATACTTTATATCATTTTAAGAAATTAATATATTTACTATAAGCATTTCCCTTGTCATCATGTTCATTCAAGATCTGAACATCTCCCAGCCATCGGGCTTTTTCATTTTTTTGAAGTCGTAGTACTCTTTTGTACAAGAGTAGCCCTGGAACGAAAAGTCAAGCATCCGCGAACAGGTGCATTTATTCTTGTGCCAAATATCTTGGTCCAAAGGGCAGTTGTTGAAAGGGTGGTGAAAGTATCCAATTTCTGGGAAATAATGTACTTGTTCACTTGGCAAGAACAGGGCGGCAGCAATAGAGTGTACAGGTGCATCTCCCCAGCGTTCGTAAAAAAATCCACCGGCCTTATCAAGATGTTCGAAGTACTTTCTATAGGCCTCGGACCTCCAAAAGTTGAGACTGGCAACTTCAAAGTTAGACCAAAAATGACACAAATTGTAAGTCTCCCCGTGGTCGTTAGAAATGTAGTCTAGCATGTTGTTTTCAGCCAGATACTCAGGATATTCTTTAGTGAAGTTCATCGTTGTCTTCCAGAGAGTCTTGATGGTGGATTCAAATTCTTTGATGGAAACTGTAAAGCCGTAAACCTTGTTATTGTCCTGCATCCACTGGAAAACATCGTAGTTGACGTCGCAATGGAGCTTCGTGCTAGGCTCCACGCGCCAGTAATAATCGTATTTTTCCATGAGCTCGTGTCTCCAAAAAAATCCGGACTCGTATCGGCACATGTGGCGATAGCTCTCAGAATCCCCATATATGTAGTCTGCAGTAGCTCTAACCTCGGCAGCTCGTTCTTGATCGATCCATTCTGGAAATGACCAGTGTTCTCTAGGAATTAAGCCAAATTTGACGTCAGAGGAAACAACTTCACGAATAGCCTCTTTGAAGGGGTCCGAAAACGGTTCATTGTTTAGAAACACGTATGGGTAATGAAACTTTCCATTGAAACGCTCTTCCAAGTTGGTTACCGTCTTTACGATCTCGGCCAGATCTTCGTTTCTAACAAGGGAGACAAATGCTGCTTTCACTGTGGCATTTACCACGTTGCCGTTCTTATTATCTTCTATCACGCCAGTTATCCCCTGCTCTTCCTGTTGAACTTCCTCGGAGTCCGCTAACGTCGTACCGTCTGCGTAACCTTTAAGATCGGTTTCAGGGTCTGCCTGGAGTGATTGGTCCTCTTCAGCATGTTTTTCTTCTGTATTCCACCAGTCTTTGTAGCTATCAACCAAATCTTTTGTACTATCAACGTAGTAGGTTGTCATTTCATGACCTGTAGCATAGAGTACTACACCAGATAATCCCAGCACCGCTATTAAAAGGAGACATAACCTTGTGAGCCTTTTACCTAACCTTAGTCCCATATCAACCCCAAATTGTTGTTAATTAGCCATGCCAGTTGTTTCGGTCTCTTGTAGTGGGTGTCAGTTAGTCTTAATATTAATTTCTCCGTTATGTAAATATTAACAAGCCAAGCTTTAGGCGTCAAAGCCTCATCCAGAAATTCGTGGCATTGAGTACACGAAATTATCGTAAAATCAAGCTCGGGCTCTCTCAGCATAACCAGAATCATGACCAACTGGAAACTCTTGGACAAACCCTTCAAGAAGGAGAAGTAGCACGGTTCGCTCAACACAAAAAGCATCGAGAAATCTATGGAAATAAGACTAGCGTTAGAAAATTAAGCCTCACCAGTCTACCGAGATTAGTTACCGGGAGACTGTCGGCTATGTCAGATATGCGGGCTAATTCGATTGAGTCTTGACGCCAAAGGTTGCTGCCTATCCTAATTATCTGTGTGTCAAAAATAACTAGCAGCCCGGTGGTGCAGTACATTCATATGCTTCGAATTGTCCCACTTTGCACAAGACTTACACGAATAAGTTGAAGCAGTGTAAGCTTTCAGGATTCAAAGGCAGTAAAGTGTATATTAAAATGGGCGAGGATGCACCTGGCACCTTCACATGCAGTTACCTTTTTACTAAGTACAGTCTAGTCGCTCACCGTTGAGGACTGTCGAATATATAGGCATTCGGACGATCTTTTCCTTTGTCAAAGATCTGGTCCTGTGGAGATGGGGTTGTAAAAATGCTAGATTTTGTTGATCTCTTTATTTTTGTTGATTTCAGTTTCACCCTCCCTGGCTTTTTCTCCTGGGGCAAATGTACAGGCTGTGTAGACGCATTAAGAGGTTTTGGCCTTGATGGGGGTTTTCTTCGTTTCAAAAATGGATTTGGCTCGTTGGATTGACGTTTAGCCCGAGGTGGAGTATCAGGCTGCTTGGGTCGAACATAGGTCGGCTTTCTGACGGCTGTAGAAGTTTGCGTCATGGCTGTACCTGATGCAGCGGGAACAACTTTGGCCTCGTTCTTGCTACAGTTATGGACTCCCAGGCTCCCGACTTGCCCCCCAAACGCAACACGTTTGACAGGTCGTTTTGTAATGTCGAAACCCCCACTTTTGAAGTGCTGTTGACGTTTCTGATGCTCTTTAAAGGACTTAACAAATGGACTCGACCTTTCACTGATTTTGGAAGTTGAGTTGACTCTCTTTTCACAAAAAACTGGATCTTCTAAAGCAACAATTTGATTTTTCTGCTTTTCGTCGTGCAGCTCTTGCATACGCATTCTTAGCCTTTGGGTGCTCAGTTCTTGTTTTCGTAGCATTTCCTCTTGGTATTGGAAATAGAGCATCCTAGAAGGAACTCGGTACTTTTGAGATTCTGGGTCTTTTTTGATAGCAAATCTCAGAAAGCCCCTCATTAAATCTGCATCTCTTAGGATACCTGGATCGTGCAATTCCACAAAGGACACATAAAATGCCATTATCTCGTCTCTTTTTCGCTGGAATGCTTCGCCTACATGTAATGGGAAGTCCATGGCCAACAAATTTCGCCATATTTCCTCATCTTCAAATATCAGCAGTACATTAGTTTCTTCCAGCTTGCATAGGTGATCCACTTTAAGTTTCATCAGAACGTTGCGTATCAACCTGTAGGGAACGTTCGCTACGTTGGTGATTGCAAGGTGATTTCTCATTAAACTGACCTCGCATATAGAGCGTAAACTACTAACTTTCAATCGCTCTTCATTCATCTTCTGCTGCTGGATGTGAATGATTAGTGGACTATAAGCTCCTATCGTCCTAGATTTTATAGCTATAATATTATATTGACAATGGTTTACGATGACTTTCATGTGTTTAATTAATTTGAAGACCTGTCTAGCTTTATCTATCCATAGTAATCAGAACAATTTCTAAAAAGTACTCTTTTCTTATGTCCCGTTCAAGTATCCGAAAGTCGGAAAGCTGCCTATGAATGTGTCTAAAAACCAGCCGATTTGTATCGGAAAGCCATATAACTAGGTCGCTTTATGAGAAAGCTATTTACATTTTTCATTGAAATGTTATCAAATTACCCATGCTGACGCTCTATTACCCTTCTCGTTGATCCAAAATGTCCCCCACTATGCTAAGTCTTATTCGCCCCGAAGAGCTTTGATTACGGCAGGTCTTCTCATCATATGCTTAGTCCACTTGTAAACTTCTGGAAATTCAAGCTTAATATTTATCCCAATGCGGTCAACAACGTTGTTCCAAGGGACGAATGATAAGTCTGCTACCGAAATCTTTTCCCCAACCAGCCAGACAGGGTAGTCAAAGAATCGACTACGAGATAAGGGGGTGGTTCCTGCAGAATATGCAGCAGCATTTTCGGTATCTAGTTCCATAATTAGAGCTTCCCTGCGTTCAGCGAGAGCCATCTCCACAACTCCATAAACCCTCCGTACTTCATCAGTGTATCTGTCAACAGCACTCTGCACTTTTTGAGAATGGAAATATCTAAAGTGGAGTGCTTGACCTATCATAGGAGCATGACCCGAGGTTTGGAAAAAAAGCCAAGCTGTAATCTGAGACTGATCTGCCATATTATCGGACCACAACACTGGATCACCTGTTTCACGATAGTAGCGGTTGACAAGATGGAGGATTATGGCGCCAGATTCCCAAATAGCAAGATTTTCCAGGGTGTGATCAATTAAGGCCGGAACGCGAGCATTTGGATTAATGGCAACAAAGTCTGGTGCTCTGTGCTCACCCAAATTGAAGTCCAAAAAAATAGTATTGTAAGGGAGGTTAAGTTCACTCAACGTGATGGCTACTTTGAATCCATTTGGCGCGGATCTATGAGAAAAAAGAGTGTAGCCTTCATCGGGTTGATTTTGAAAAAACTTGGTAATTCTAGAGCTGTCTATTTGGGCTGGTCCCATATATGGTTGTTGCTGTTGTTGCTGTTGTTGCTGTTGTTGTTGTAGTTGCTGCTGCTGCTGCTGTTGTTGTTGTTGTTGCTGTTGTTGCTGTTGTTGTTGCTGCTGCTGCTGCTGCTGCTGAGCCTTCAAGGATAGCAACTGTTCCGCCTGCTGAGCGCTCAAAGAATTTCTCTGCACCTCATCCAGCAACTGCTGACGATTCAATCGGCTAAGAAAGTCGATACTGATATTACTCTGATCTGTAGTCGTGTTGCTATTTCCCAAATTAACCTGGCGAAGCGCACTTGATAAATTGGAAACGGCTGTGTTTCCAGAAGTACCACCAACGGGTGTCTGGCGCTCACCCGCAATACCCTGCATTTTGGTAAGAAAACAAGACTGAAAAAACAAGTTTAGAGTGCCACTTTTTGAACTTTAATCAACAATCTACCAATCTGAAAGCTTACCAGCCCTCAGAATACTTATTATAAATGCTTTTGAGCAGCGACGACTTCCGTTCACCTGCTCATGGGCTTAAATATCATAAATAAAAAAGTTTTCTCAACTAAGGATTTCAAATTAAACCATGACAGTGGATACACGTGATTCTATAAACTCTAAAGGTGAATTCTGTTGGGTTCAGCGATGTCCTATAGAGATCGTCACCCAGCAATTTTCACATCATAGTATTGGATAGTCGGTAACAAAGATGTGACCATACAAGCTCGAAAGAAAGTTACTAAATTTTTCGAGCCTTCCTGGCTGACTTTTTTGACTTTACCTTTTTGATCGGCGCCGCGTGTTCTTCCTGTTCAATATGACTGAAAAGAGAGTTTCTGGTACCAAACCGTGCGCCACAGATCTGGCACATATGATCCAAACTCATTTCCGGCCCTTGGGGCAGAGTTGAAGACGCCTTATAATCATTCTTTTTACCTTTCTTAGATTTCTTGGATGCGCTCCAACTTTTTCCGTCGTCGCTATCCTTGACCTGACCTTCATAGTCGAAGTCCAGAGAGCTGTCTAGTTCCTTTAACAAGTCGCTAAGCTCATCCCGTTTGTTCTTGCAGCTCCTAATACGCGGTGACGCTTCAAAATCGTTGTCTACTTTGTCATCTACCCTGAAGTCACCAGTGGACGAACCTGCGTCACTGACGTCAGAATTTAGCTCTGAATTAAGGCTGCCTCCCTCACCTTTTTGTTGTAATTCTTCGGATGCAATAGTGCTGCCTATCTCGTCCTGTTCGGGTGGGGAACTTATTGCATCACTTTCCATGTCCGAGTCATCACTTATTCCTTCTAATTCTTCTTCAATCCTTTTGAGCTCTGCCTCAAGTTCCTGAAGAGCCATCTGTTTTTCATCTTCTCCCAGAGCCCCTTCGTTGGCAGAATCAAAGTCATCCACGTCAGAAATTGCATCTAAGCCAAGGGTCAGGTTGTCTTTCTGCATTTCTCTTTGGATCAGGCGCAAGTTCTTCTTGTGTACTTTTGTGGTGTTGTGGTTCTCCAACTGAGCAGCAGACTTGAATGTTTTATTACAGATAAAGCACTCGAACGTCAAACCTTCGCCAGAAGCACCTGTATCGTCTTTCTTGTTGGAACGAAGCCCTTCATCATACTGTTTTTCAATCTCGCCCCAATCATAATCATCAACCGTTTGCCAGCTTTGCAATTTAAAAGGGTCACCAGCTCCCTCTGATTGAGCTTTTCTGTCTTTTTCAATTTGTCGTTGTAAGTCCTCTCGCATTTTCCTTCGCTTTTCTTGCTCAAACTTGGCTGCACCCTCCTTCATCCTGGTGTCAAATTTTTTGATGAAAGAAACAAAGCGTTTAACCGTTTTGTTGTATTCGCTTTTCGCCTGTTGCCGCAGCTTTTCGTTACGCTTTTTCAGTTCCCTCTTTGTGCGTCTATCGTAATTGCTGGAATACATATATTCGTCCTTCCAACTAAACGTTTTTACAGTACTAAAGCCCGACCAAGCTCGGTAAAAAGCTTGGAGATGCTGAAAGTCCGCGCTTGAGTCGCCAAAAACGGGAAACAACATCGTGGGCGCGTCTAGTGGTCTTGAATACTTTTCACATGCACTTCGGTAGCTAAGGGTGTTCACGTCTGATTCAAAAAAGGAATCTTGATAGCCGTCATATTTTGGAAGACCTTGCATTCGGCCAAATCGAACCTCTTCCCCGGCAAGCTTGGCAAACACTTTTCCAGCCACTTGATAAAATCCGGCCGGCGAGTCGTCAATCCTTGAGTAAAGGCTCGTATTGAAAAATTGAAGAAGATCCTCAGTGGTGATACCTGTTACAGCTGTATCTACTTCATACTCGTCGCCGCTTCCATAGCCATCGCCGAAAATGTCGAAGTCATCCCTCAAAATTTGGTTCTTATGGGAGTCGTACCAAGCCCGTTCTTGGGGGTCTGCGAGTACTTCGTAAGCTGCTCTTATGTTGGCAAATATTGCAGTGGCCTCGTCAACGTTATTGGGATTCTTATCAGGATGATACTGAAGCGCCTTTCTACGATATGCTTTTTTCAAATCAGAGTCCGACGCAGTAGTTTCCACATCCAATAATTCATAGTAGCATGTCTTCATTTCTACCCATCAAGCATACGTGCAAAACAATTGACCATATACACGTATATTCAAGTTGCCGAGAGCCAATCCACTGTTTGACTACTTGCAGAGCTCATCGGGACCGCTACCGCCAACCAAAACTTTTTATCACCAATGTTCGTTCATGGTGATGATACCATTCTGGAGCTAACGGCCCTGTACAGATTGTCCAAACATGCCTCGAGTGGATGCTCCAAATGGCATATATCATGATTTTCTTGATATTGAGCGTAAGTGGAGTTTGTGAATCGCTTGATATCTATGGTTTCACGAAATATCATATTGTGCAACTTGTTGGCGAAATGTAGACAGATGCTCTTTTCATAGCGAAGGTAGATCGCCACTAAGGGCATCTTTTTAGTTATCTTGGAAAGCGGAATTTCAAGCAGCAGGATCAAATTTTTGACCACATTTTGTAAATCTACAACATCCATGTCGTTAACGGCGTCGACCATCAAAGACTCGTACTCTCTTCGGGTCAGGTGTGGTCTGACTTGCGAGGCCATTTGAAAAGTTATGCGTCTGGCAGGGTTTCCACAAGCTTTTGCCAAGTCCCGGCGTAACTGAACTAATTCGTCCTGCGAATTTGCTTTGCTTGCCCGTTCCTCGTCGAGACGCCCAGTTAATTCCACTAAAGTGCATTCTTGTTGTTGATTGAGCACTTCTAGTTCCCGCATCTTTTCTTGGAGCTCCATATTTTTTTTGTTTAAATGCTCGACATTTCCGGATAGTTCTAGAACGCTCTTGCACTGATTGTCGGCTAGCTGAAATTTTAGACGACTGACTTCATCACCCAACGCGCGGAGACGTTTAATATCTGCTTCCTTATCTCTGAGGGAATCCTGCATGTTGGTCTCAAGATCGACAACCCTTGCTGCCTTGTCCCTGAGCGTGAGGTGTAGTGCTTGAAGTTCTGCATCGAGCTGTGTTACTTTAAGCTCTTCAGTTGCAAGCTCATCACTTAAATCATGAGTCTTAACCTGCCATTCATTTTCAATGCTCTCTTGCAATTTCGTTACCATAGTATTTGCATCCTCCAATTGAGCCATGGTGGCTGACACCCTATCTTGCATACTTTGAGTGAGGAAACCTATCCTTTGAGGATACTCGGAAGTAAACATCGAGTCCAATTGAGTGCAGTATGGGCCCTTATTATACTGTTCCAGTAATATATTACCGAGGGGCGTTTGGAATAGTGTAATATTCTCTAGAAAGCCTAAAAGAGATCTTTTCTCTTGCACTGCAGCATCAGCCTCGGAGACTTTAGCCTTGAATGAATCTTCAAGGCTTTGTATTTTCTCTTCTAACTGCTGTGAACGCTTTTCTGCCCTTAGGACACTACTGGTTTCTTCTTGCTTGTTGCGCATTGCTTCCTTCTCAAGTTTGCCTATTGTCTGCAACTGTTCACCAGCTAACTTTTCCAACCTATCGACAACATTTTTCAAGTCCGTATTCGTCGCTTCTAACCCAATCCGCGAGTTTTGCAACTCCGAATGCTGTTTCTCCAGCATATCATAGCGAATTGTAATCTTTTCTCTGCCTTGCTCAGAATCCATGACCTTTCTTTCTAGATCGAGCACTTTGTTCTGATGGGATTTTGATTGGCGTGAGAGTTCAACATCTCGCGAATTCAGTTGCTGTTTGAATAAATCATTTTGTGCTGCCAAATTGCTTATTTCTGCTCTCAGCTCGGAAATGCTTGTAACATTTGACTTACTTTGTTCCTCCATGTCATTTTGTAAAGCAGAAGTTCTCTCCTTCAAATAAATTACTTCAGCACTTGCGCTTTCTAGTTCAGAGTTTCGCTCGGCCTCGCGCGACTGACATTGTTCGATTTCTTTTGCAGCCTGAGCTTTCAGATTGCAGACCTCTATTTTGCGTTCCTCAAGTCTTTTCGACATGTCCTCCTTATCGCTTTGCAAGCAGTTGATAGTGTTTCGCAGTTCCGATATGGTCACTTCGCTAGTGTTGAGATTGTCTTGCAGGGTGTAGACTTCACCTTGTAACTTTTGAATGCGATTATTAGATTCTAGATTTATAATGTCGATGTCATTTTTGAGCTTTCGTACTTCGGCGTCTTTCAATAAAACCTGCTCACTAATTCTTCGCAGCTCCTCATTGCTGATTGCATTTTGGTCTTTCATCGTCTCTGTCACTGCCTGCTGAGCGTTAAGTTGCTCTTGTATGACTTCGACATTTTTTATTAGATCATTAGCGTCTTGTTCCTGTATCTTTACGGTTCTTTGTAACTCGCTTATTTTCTGATCTCTGTGGTCTGGGCTACTCTCTCGTGGGTAATCTTCAACAGTTTCACTAATGACTGTTGATGTTTTGATGCGAGATTCATTCTTTTGCTCTGGCTCTCTATCATCCAGCATTTCGACATCCTCTCTTTGAGCTTTGTGGCTTTCCACAAACTTTTCTTTCAAAATATCTCGCGGCTGCGTACTTCGGGTAGAGGGAGCCGATTTGCTCATGTTGAGAGGCGTAGACTGAACTATTAGATCGTTGATGGTCTGGTTGTGAGGATGCTCATTTTCAGACACATCTTTCATAGGAGTGCTAGCGCCCAAATTAGGATCAGCAGTCGTTGCTCGGGCGCCTGATGGGACTCTCCGCACTGTAGCTCTTGACTGGGTTGATTCTTGTGCTTGTTGAGTGCCGGTAGAAATGCTTGAAGTTGAATCGATAGACCCTGCGCTGGATATGGCATCTTGGTGGATAATGCCTCTTTTTGCATCCAATTCACGAGCAATTGCCAGAGCTTTGGTCTTAGCATTAATCTGGTCAATGAAAGATTTAAAACTGAACCCATTCTCTGCTCTAAATTTGCCTAGAGAAGTCCCGGGCTCGTCGTTTTCGTCAGAGGCTTCATCGTCGTAGTCGAACTTCTCATCCCGTGAAAGACTGGACATGGCACTTTGATTCGCACTCGTATATAACTGGCTATTTCTTAAGCCCAACATCCGCTGAGTTCTTATTGTAACCGTGATCGAAATACGTACCTCCGTTTAGTGTGTACCTGATTTCAAAGTGCTTTTTGTGCTTAGTTTTTGTTTGTTGATGTCAGTAAAATGACAGTTATTATCAAAACAAAGAGAAATGAATTGAAATGAAATGGGTTGAAACAAATGTAATCGGATGTAGGACGATGTGAATCGCGATCGAAGTGTTTTGAAAGTAGTACAGACAATTTGCGAGATTCAATCTACAAGATTTAAAATGGTTATTAACTATGTTCCGTCTATACTTAGCGTTATTAATCCTTGATCAGAAATACGTAGAAGGTACATTGGCATTGAAACACCCCCTCCCCTAAACACTGACGTTGTTGTGCTGGTCCTTCAGACGTAAAATACGATTAAAAATCGAGCAATTACTCGAAATTCCGACAGTGTCAGATATTTTTAGATCTATATACTAGTAATCCTCCGAGACCTTCCTAGGTCGATGTACCTCATTTACCACATTAATCTATTACCCACTTTGGCGTAGACCAGACTTAGTATTCTTGACTTTTGCAAAAATAGGCTCACTAATACCTTGATTGCCTTGGGCACCAAGACCCTGACCGCTAGACCAACCTAATTTCTCGAGCATTCTTCTACCAATATTGTCTGTTCCAATCTCTGGGGCGTCTTCGCCAACGATTTCTCCTTCTTTGACGTGAAACTTAGCTTTTTCAGAAGATTTTTCTGAAGGAAAACGATCCTCGCGAGGTTTACGAACGTCAATTCGCATGAAAATTGGTCTTCGTCTCAACAGCTGAGATATATAGTTGTAGTTCGGAAGCGCCCATTTAGTCTTTTTGACCTTCTCAACCATAACGTGTGTCTTTCCGCTCTTGCCAACTTTTCGACCCTTCATATTGTAAGCCTCGGCAAAACTCGCGACAGTTTTGTTTCCATGAGGGTCAAGCGGTGGAAAAGACATTGAGACCCTATTGCCAGCAAGAAAAAACTCAAATTCGTCCTTGATGTTCTCAACGTGGAATCCATAGGGGTACTTTAAAAACAAATCTTCAGAATTTCCATTTTGCTCAGAAACATAATCTTCCTTACTATTCCTTTTACTAGCTTTTTTCTTAGATCGAGTGGATAGCTTATCTTGAAGCTCGTCTTTTATACCTTGATCTAAGTCCAATTGATCATCAAACAGCAGTTTCTTTTTGCCTCCCCTACCACTAGTCGGTATACTCTTAGTTTCGTACGTCTGATTACGAACTGCTTCATACTTCATGCTGTAGGCAACCAAATCCTCGAGATCATCACCTAGCTCATCATCGTCATTGTCACTAATGCAAAAAGCTTTTTCACTGACATCATCTTCGGCGCTTTCAGTTTCGCTTGCCAACATAGTTGCTTCTTTGGCAATCTTGGCTTCCAACTGATCTCCCTTTGTCTCTTTGGGTATAATTGAGTCCATAACATATTCCAGATAGGGTCCGACACGATGATGCGGCAGCCCCAGTTCAAGGACAAAGTCTGTTAAGTCGTCTTGATCGACCCACCTTGGTTCAAAATCCCCGAAGTATTGGTAATTGCTGAGGTAGTAGGAGTTTTGTTGCGCGCCGAGACGTATATTGGTGATGCTCAAATCAGAGACGTTTAAAATAAAATCTTCATCTAGAAAACCAAATGCAGGTGTGCGATCATCGATATCATTTTTCGTTTCTGAATTGCTGCCTTCATCGTTCAAAGTAAGACTTTGGATAGTAGAGGAGAGCATAGGAGATTCCCTTCGTGTTGATGGTACAGTGTACTGGTAGCCGTCCTTGCTCTCCTGATCTATCTCTATGAGGTGACCGTCATTATCGCTGAAGTCGTCAAAATCGTCAGATTCTGGATCACAGCTATCATAAAAGCCTTGCGTCGTTGCATCATGCAATGACTCTTCTTCTTCCTCTAATCTGCCCTTGAAAGGGTGAGACTTTTGACCCGCTACTACCACCGAGGTAGAGCCATCTTGGTCTTGGACTAGCTCAAGCTGCGTCTTACCTATTACTAAAGTGGGCTCGAAGTCTGTATTGATCGCCTTGTTGGCTTTATCGTCAGCGACATCAACAGCTACAGTTTTAAGCTTAGCAGGCAGCTCTGGAGCTTCATCCACAAAGAACAGCTCTTCATTAGGTATATCAGCTGCAAAAGTTCTTTCCCCTCCGTTTTCATGTTGGATATTAACAGGCACTTCGTAGCCTTTTTCCAAGTCTTCTTCTGAATTCCCTTCAAAATCTCCCTCAGCAGTTGAGCCGTGGATCGCCGCAAACTGAGTAGAGTCTGCTTCTGTTTCTTCTTCTGATTGTGCTACCTTTTCAGTTTCTACCTCCAGTGTTTTCCCATCGTCTGAGGATCTTTCAGGTGGAATCACAGCCTTGAGTTCATTTCGAGCATTATTCAGCTTGTCAATCAATTCGCGAGAAGGATCGTACGTATCTTTTGCTTTCACGAATTCTACAGGCCGCTTCCTGCGTGGTAAATCTGATTCATACTCATTTTCCTGAGCCTGTTTGTGCTTTCCAGGTCTGAATCCACCCATATGCATCGAGTTTTGGCCATAGTTATGTCCAAAATAGTAGTCATCTATCATATCGGCGTTACCTAGATCTCCTCCTCCCACGGGGACAACGCCTCCGTTGTATCCACCATTTTTACTTCGACTAGAGACCTGCTTTCTTATATTCTTTGCCTTTTTGAAGTTTCCACGACCTCCTTGACGTCTGCCAGTGCCTCTGGCGCGGTAATGACCATGTCTCTTAGCCATTGCCTTTTAACTTATTTGTAGTAGCGAAATAGAATAACTAAGTAGTCTATAACAATATTGTTAATTAAATGCTAAGCACCTGATGTTGAGAATCTTTTAGAAACTTTAAAGACTTTCAAATCTAGGTATTTCCAAAGGCCAACATACTTCGGATTGATGATTTAAAGGGAGCTACAAGCTGGCTTCTTCTGGAGCGCTCTCAAACGGCAGGTTATGGAACTTATGCATCTGTTGTTGAAGATGAAAATTAATGATCCGATCGACGGTTCTGTTGTGTAATGGAAAGAGGATAGCCTAAAAAATGCAACATTTGAGATTAGTAAGTTGGCTCTTCGTCTGAGCAAAATTGTATTTGTATCATAATAGTTACAAGCATAGTGGAAGACAGGTGTTGGCGGCTAATACGTTTCCAAGCGTTCGAAACGCTAACCACCCACAGTTCTTGCCATAGGTTTTGAAATACCATAATTGTGTATGTGGCTAATGATTTGCGAATAAAATTTTGCAGCTTCTGTTCCTGGTGAGGAGGTAAATGCCTTCATTGAAAAGGCAGGAAAATTATTGAAAGTTTGCAGGTGTGAACTATTTGAAGACGCCTCTGCACCTACCACTTTTCTTAACACGCAAAGAAACTACCGAGACAAAGGTACAAGATGAAACTCTTACAATCAGTCGCCGAGATGATACAATATTTTAGTGCCTCTTCGGTATCTCACGGAACTCTTGTGGTTTGAAAACATGTTAGCCTAAGTTTCACGCAGCTACCAATTCCAATAGGTGAACAGGACTTAAAGAACATTGTAATTCAATTTCAACCCCAGCAATACGACGAAGCATCATTGTCCCGATAATAATAACCATTTGTCCCCTCTTAAACTCAAGCCCTCCCTTCAACAACACAATTGCCCAACAACGTTGTCTTTTCCCAGCTAAAAATACTATTTCATTATACAATCGAGAACCAGGGCTTACAACGCGTTTGGTTGGATCTTCCCTGGAATCCTCACCTTCTATCGAATTAGCTTGAACAATGTTCGTGCGTAATGCTGATCTGATATATCCATCTCAAACCTTAATTTTGAACACAGCAAAAGGTACCACACAAGAGTCGGCATGGACTTCTTCCAGAAAGTATCACAGCAGCTCTTTGAGCTGGAGAATTCGGATACCGTTAATGAACTTATAATACTAGGCGAAAAGTTCACTTCTGTTGACAATAATGGATCGGAAGGGGAACAAGCTGCACCATCAGGCGTCTTAGGAACGTTCTTCAACAGAGACAGGGGCTGGAACCCTAAGTTCTTGGTTTGTGTTCAAAGACTGCTGCATTTCACGTACCGTACCAAATTTGAGCCCATTCCCAAAGACCCAGCGGGACCGTCGCCCATGAATTTCGGAACGCTATTTAGGGATAATCCTCTGAACTCAATCGAAAGTGCAATAAATCATCCGGACTGCTTTTGCAGCGATATAGGCTGGGGCTGCATGATTCGAACCGGACAAGCTTTGCTTGGTAATGCACTTCAACGGCGCTCACAAAGGTCCCGGGACGCGTCCGAGAACCGGGACGATACACAAATTATCAATTGGTTTGAAGATCGTTATTCCGCGCCGTTTTCACTCCATAATTTTGTTAAGGAAGGCCTGAGACTCTCACACAAACTTCCAGGCGAATGGTTTGGACCTTCGGCTACGTCTAGAAGCATTCAAAGCCTGGTGAATGCGTTTCCTGAGTGTGGCATTTCGAAATGCTTAATATCAACTGACTCTGCCGACGTGTACGAGGATGATATTGATCCTGTTTTTGCCCAAGACTCACAATCTACCGTTCTCTTACTTTTGGGTGTGAAGTTGGGTCTCGATAATGTAAATTCACGCTATTGGGATGATGTACGACACATTTTACGGTCTAGGCAATCAGTGGGCATCGCAGGTGGGCGTCCTGGCTCTTCACTTTACTTCTTTGGCTATCAAAACGAGTATCTGTTTTATCTAGACCCCCATACCTCACAATTGGACCTTGCTTCATTATATTCATCACAGGAAAAATACGAATCTGTGCATTCAAATCGCTTCAATAAAATTCACTTCTCCGAACTCGATCCATCAATGTTAATCGGGGTACTCTTAGAAGGCTCTGACGACTGGGAAACCTGGAAGCTAGAGGTATCACAATCACAGATTATACAGGTGTCACCCACAAGACCCGAGGAATATTGTCTTGATGATGATGGCTTGGTCAGTGAGTCTGAAGGAGACGACGAACTTGGCGAAATCCGAGACTCTACATTGGGGGATGAGTATGTGGACGTGGCACCAGCTGGTCAGCAGGCTGACCTGTCCTACAACGAAGATGAATTCCAAGATGTCCAGTGCAAAAATCAAAAGATATTGATTGTTGGTGATCACGACAGCACAGCGCCTGATACAGAAGTGGAACGTGTACTTGTGGGCCAAGAAACCATCCCCTTGATAATATCACGGGAAGCCCAGCAATCCACGACTTCTACGCTATGAGTTGCCAATTTTTTATTATCGCTCTATTTGTTTTACCAACGCTTCCTTCAAAGTTCGCACTGGGTAGACCGCTTTTTGTTTTTTTGATGGCGTATCTTGTTCATTGCCACAAGCTGAATACATGCTGTATGAAAGCTATGAAGTAGATATGACATAAATTTAGTGTAAATTAGAAGGACACGATACAGGCGGTTTAAGGTTTAGGATCAGAACAGCACTGCTCGTAGCGTGGAACAAGCACATCCGAAAACCGCAAACAAATTTATGTGACTGTTTTATGCATTGGGGGTCTGAAAATATTCTGCCGTACACGTAATTTCAAAGAACTGGCCCTCACATTACAATATCAGAAGAGACAGCCTTCGACCAGAAATGCTGCTGTAACTTAGCACAGAATCAAAGAAGCTATCCTGATTTCAGTTCATTTGGTAGTCGCACAAATTGATCGACTTGAGCTCTTAAATTCAGACTCTGCAACATATGGCTAAAAGCTAAGTACGCGTGCGAACATCCACGGGTAACCTTCCGCTTATAAACAATGTTAGTATCTTTCACGTCGCTTCGCGTTCGTTAAGTTCAATTTTCGTGATATGAGATATGATCTTCCAAGATCAGCGGTTTTCCAAAAGTTTAGAGACTTAGTATAAACCAAACTATTTAGACATCAGTAAGTCAGTTGTAGTTAGTCTCACAGCACGCTTGGCAACCCACTTTCTAGATGGCTTCTGAGAGGAACAAAGATTTCAAGTTTTGCACGGTATGTGCCTCTAACAACAATCGATCGATGGAATCGCATCGGATTCTGCAAGAAGCTGGATACGACGTTTCATCATATGGTACTGGATCGGCTGTAAGATTACCAGGTCTCTCAGAGGATAAGCCCAACGTCTATACTTTTGGAACGCCTTATAACGATATATACAACGATTTGCGTTCGCAATCTGTCGATCGCTACAAGTCCAATGGCCTACTAGAAATGCTGGACCGGAATCGCAAACTAAAAAGAGCTCCCGAAAAATGGCAAGAAGGAAACAAAGTCTTTGATTTCGTTATTACTTGTGAAGAGCGTTGTTTTGATGCTGTATGCGAGGATCTCATGAGTCGTGGTGGTCTGCTCAACAAGATTGTTCATGTTTTCAATATTAACATTAGAGACGACAATGAAAATGCCAAGATCGGTGGTAAAGCAATACTTAAACTCGCAGATATGCTTTCAGCTTCAGCTTTGACTAGTGAAAATTCTGGTGAACCATTTGAGGACACTGTCATGGAACTGCTGAGCCAGTGGCAGGAAATGTATCCGAACCTACCTCTGCTGTACTCTCCTGCATACTATTGAAAAGAACGGATTACTTCAAGTACCGTGAAAACCTGTAATTTATAATCGCAAACCTAAAGATCAACTACACAAGCTAGGGAAGACCTGTTTCCCTGCAACCCATACCCGAATAGTATTTCTATCGTCACCGGTAAACAGCCATTTCGCCAAAAGATCTTCAAAAAGACCTTTATTAGCTTCATCTTGATCCTCCTTATCCCATTTGGCGTGTTGCCATTCGAAAACATCCACTCTGGAGTCGGCGCTTTCTAGGTCTATCAATTGTGTATCGAATTGTTTGCCAACTTCAAAACTCCCTACCTGTAAATCCATATCCATTACTTCTGCTCCTCCGAATGTAGATAGGTACAGAACATCGTTGACCGAAAGCTTGATATGTTCCTGTCTTTCTGTGTCGTGCTCTTTCATTGCCAAATGTCTCGAAACTAGCAATGCTTGCCTAGCCGTGCACAGTATACTGACATCGAACCCGCCTGACAAATCCGTTCCCAATCCCACTTTGATATTATGATCCAAGAAACGGCGCACTTGACACTCGCCGGAAGTGATGGATGAATTTGATATTGGGCAATGCGACACTCCGGATTTACGCTCTTTTATTAATTCCAATTCCTCATCCGACAGATGAATACAGTGTGCCAGCACTGTCTTGTCTGTTAACAAGTTGTGAGCATCATAAACGTGGGTATATGAGTCGGAGTCGGGGAAAAGCTCTCCGACCCACTTGAGTTCCTTCTTATTCTCACTCAAGTGGGTTTGAATGTGCAGCTCCTGCTCACTGGCAGTTTTACCAAGCCATGCCATGAGGTCACTTGAACAAGTTGGCGCAAACCTCGGAGTAACAATTGGTTTGATTTTGTCATCTTTGAGATCATTTCGGATATAGTTGACCACTTTCTGAAGGGAGTGTTGGCATTCAGAAAGCGTTTCAATGTAATACTCAGGAGAATTTTGATCCATGCAAACCTTACCAATAAAGGCCCTTTGACCTCTTTTGGCACAAATCTCAGCCATAAGGTTGGAAGAGTCGGCGTCGATAGTGGTGTAGTAGGACGCTGTAGTGGTTCCGTGAGCCAGGGTCTTGTCTAGAACCCGGTCATAAATTTTGCGAGCGCTTTCGAGGTCCTTGAGGCCAGCTTCGAGCGGAAAAGTGTATTTTTCAAGCCAGTCGAGAAGTGTGGACGATCCAAAGATCCCGGCGTTGGGATACTGCGACGCATGGACATGCGTGTCTATGAAGCCCGGGAAGAAAAAGGTCGAGCCTTGCCGTTCTAAAGTATCCACCACCGTGATCTCCCATGAATTCAAACTCTTATCGAAATCCTGGGCGTCTTGCAGAGGATTTTTCGATTCCGGCTTTATGAACCGGATAGTTCCGTCCGAGCTGACACCCAAACTTGTTCTTGGACGGATTCTCAAGTGGCCGAGTGTAGGGGTATCCACGAACGTTCCAAAGAACACTGTAAATCTGGACATGGATAGCGATGCGAGTAAACAAACAACAAAAACAGGTCTGATACCAAGTGAATGATACTGTGTTCCTAAACGTCAAGACACTTCAACCAGTTTCACGTCTTGTTCATGTAATCTAAGATCGACATCGAGTGCAGCTTCTTTGTTCTTGTTATATACATCCAATTGTGAGTTTAGATGTTATCTGCCAGCCGGGTCTGCCGGTTTGTTTGACGGCAGGCCCGGGTGGCAGTTCCGCAGCGATGAATTAACAAAGTTAACAATGAAAAAATGGGCAAACCCGCAAGAGTAACAACAATTACGGTGACGCTGACCATCGTTACTTTTTGTTATGGTGGCGTTCATGGTCTTTGCATTATTCCCGCTGCTTTCATGCGCGTACAAGTCTGTATGAGACTCTAGCTATGGAATGGATTTAAATGCAACGCGAGGTTCGGCAGGAAAAGATGTCATCCTATTGAAAGCATCATCTTTGAAGGCTCGAAATAAGACAGGCATTAGGAGACCCCCGCAAGCACCTGTGTTTCACTTATGCTGTGTGGGGGCGATGCGACACGTTAGTCCAAAGTGACATTACCGACGTTCATGAAGTGAAAAGGGTAAGCTCGAGTAAACTCGAGTAGCCAGCCTATTAGGACTACGAGTAGAGTAAACAAATTCGTATAATGTTGTACTACCTCCATTCGTATCGTCCAAGATGTCGCGGGCCAACGTGGGCAAGCATCTGTAGATCAAACCATGGCATAGGGGCTGCCCTACACAGTGAAGCTGTATCGGCAGTGCAGTTCTGTGCATCAAGCCCGAAGCGGTGGTCTCATTGTATTGGAGCGAGTCAACGTCGGCAGTAGAAGACTTGCTGGACGGTTGGTTTGATTCGTTGATAGACATCGTGTATAATATTCTGACTGCTTCATACTAAATCTGCAGCTTGTAAAGCGACTGCTAGCTATCTCTCCGTGATTATGTGGGCTATACGCGTGGGCCATGTCGAAGACACATGGCCGGTGCCTATCCAAAATTCTGACGAACGAAATCTGGGTGCGGGGTGCAGTTGGGGCTTGATAGTCCACCAGCTCCATCCGGCAGAAGCTAATTGAAATGGTCAGCCAGCTAATTCCGGTGTAGTCGCTGCTCCTCTGACTCTCATTAGGAGATTACTCGCCTGTTACAATTTTATTTTACTGACGTTACCTATATCACTTCGTACTACTATGACACTAGGTTGAAGATCACCATCACGCAACTCGATGCCATCCAGAAATTACTAGACCACTAGCGTTCGGTAGTAGTCTAATCAGATTCATTGCTGGATGGAAGCTCAAATGGATCATAGCTCGAGCGATTTCTTTCGTGTGTAGTGATGTGATTCAATGGGCCTGTGCTCAATCGGTTCTGGTGAGCGTAAAACCTCCAATATACCCATGTTGAGCCCCTACTCCTGCTATGCAGTAGTCGCTGTATCTCCAGCTCAAACTGGTCGTCCACATATCTTCAAAACTGACGTTTTATAGGCATTCCCGCACTCGGGACCGAGTTTTAGTACTACGCTGTGAGGGAAAAAACACTTTGGGTCCTAATTAAAAATTGCATATTTAAGAACAAAAAGCCAATCATCGTGCTTAATCCACTCACATAAGAAATCGAAGACATACTTCAATCATTTTCTCAGGTACTTGGATACAACATAGCACTGGACATTTTGCAGATTCAGCGTAGTGCTACTTATATTCTTTTACACCAGAGAAAACTCGTCAATACGGCCTTTTTTGAACGTTCAAGCTTCCCCGCTCGTTCTCACAGCTCCTTACAGACTTCAGCTATAATTAGAGGCTAAACCTTTGCCCTATCACTTTTTCCCTAAGGTCAAATTCCCATCTTTCACTCCGCGATGTTGAGATCGAGTGTTAAAGTTGCCAGACCAGCGTTAAGCTCTGGCGTCAACAGACGGATGTTGAGCTTCGCCGCCCCACAATTCGGTGGTGTCTTACAGTCCAAGAAAGCGCAACTGCAGAACTTCAGACTGTCGAGCTCGAGATACGAGTCGACAATCGTCAAGGTTCCTCCCATGGCCGAATCTCTTACTGAAGGCTCCTTAAAGGAATTTACTAAACAAGTTGGCGAATACATCAAGCAGGATGAGCTTTTGGCCACCATCGAGACCGACAAAATTGACGTCGAGGTCAATGCGCCAACCACCGGGAAAGTCACCAAATTGAACTTCCAGCCGGATGACACTGTCACTGTGGGCGACGATTTGGCTGAGATCGAGGCCGGTGAAGCACCTGCTGAAGGAGCAGGTGTTTCCGAACAAAAGGAGGCTCCTCAACCAGAACAAAAGGAAGAGAAGGCTGCCCCTGCTCCAGAACCAAAACAAGAGCCAAAACAAGAGGAAACTAAAAAGACCACTCCTCCACCTCCACAACCTAAGAAAGAGGCTGCTCCAAAGCAACAAAGTGCTCCTGTCGCCAGCTTCTCTCGTTCCGAGCAAAAGGTCAAAATGAACCGTATGCGTTTGAGAATCGCTGAAAGACTGAAGGAGTCTCAAAACACAGCTGCCTCTTTGACAACTTTCAACGAATGTGACATGTCTGCTTTGATGGATATGCGCAAGTTATATAAGGACGAGATCATTAAGAAGACCGGTACTAAGTTTGGGTTCATGGGTCTGTTCGCTAAGGCTTGCACTTTGGCTGCCAAAGACGTTCCAGCTGTCAACGCTGCTATTGATGGAGACCAAATTGTGTATCGTGATTACACTGATATCTCCGTCGCTGTCGCCACACCTAAAGGTTTGGTTACCCCTGTGGTTCGTAATGCAGAATCCTTGTCCGTTTTGGAAGTTGAAGAGGAAATTTCTCGTCTAGGTAAGAAGGCTCGTGACGGAAAGCTAACATTGGAAGACATGGCTGGTGGTACTTTCACCATTTCTAACGGTGGTGTTTTTGGCTCCCTGTACGGAACCCCTATCATAAACCTACCTCAAAGTGCCGTTTTGGGTCTGCATGGTGTCAAGGAAAGACCAGTTACCGTTAATGGTCAAATTGTTTCGAGACCTATGATGTACTTGGCTTTGACATATGACCACAGACTCTTGGATGGCAGAGAAGCAGTTACATTCTTGAAGACTGTCAAGGAACTGATTGAGGATCCAAGAAAGATGATGCTAATGTAAAAGCATTTATGGGTGCATCAATATAAGCATGGGAACCGGTCTCAAAGCAACTTCTAGAGGCTCAACGGAGTTGTGACCTGTAAGACGGCCGAGAACTTCTGAAATTTTGTCTTCATTTTTAAAATATGCATGAAAGCATAGCCATATAATACGCATGATAGTGGACGCCCCCAAAAGCATTACCAGAGTCAAGCGGAAGCCAGGAACTTGACCTTTCCAAGCTTCAAAGTATTTATCATTTATTTATCCTTTGTTTTTTAAATTCCATTCTGTTAAGGGTCTTATTGAATTAGCGAGCTCATAAAAAGGTAATATCTAGATACTTTACATCATGACAATCAGGGAGCTCCTCTTTGTTGACAAGGCCAAGTTGAAGCATATCTCCCCAGAAAATAGCCATTCTTTCCCTGCCAAAATCGAGGTTGTCAAATGAATCACTATCCACACCTTCCGTAACGTCATCGCCATCGGCACCTGCTTCTTCGCCATCACTATCGAAAGTAATAACGTACTTTTCTCCACCAGGGCCTTCCTCAACTGCTTTTTCCTTCTTCACTTCATTCAACGCACCGCTTTGTATAATTCCCCAAGTTGCCCAGTGTAGATTGACACTACCTCTTTGTCTAATCACATCGTTGTAGAGATCTTTAACTTCTTCATCTATACTCTTCTGCTGGGGTTGGCGTTTGTGTGAAGCGTAGGAATACATGAAGTTTAGTAATTCTTCCTTGTTTGGGTAGATGCTTGCGTCTGCTTTTGAAGGCTCTGCACTGTTATAGTCGCATGTCCACTCACAAAAATGATCTGCCAAGTCAAAGGCTGCTCTATTTGCGCCAGCATATTCAAAATCAATGACAATCAACTTGGAATCTTGCTGTTTCTCTTGATTGGATGGCCTTATTATTTGTTCCAGTGAAACATTGGACGAAGTAGGGAAAAGTGAGTCGCAAGTATCCGCAGATGCAGCTGATGAGACGGGGGTTGCAGCGGACGGTACGACAGGCGAGGAGAGGAGCAAATTTCCGTGTTGTGCATCATTGTGACAGAACACCAGAGAATGTGGACCATCCTGGTACGCTTCGTCTAACCATGCGCGGTACCGAGCCACAGCGTCCAGAAAAAAAGGCCAATCTTTACACATTAGGTTCTTCCTTACATTTTTGCCGTCTTTGCACCATTTCGATCCGCTAATACTCTTTATCCACTTGTCTAATCTCTGTAAGCTACACGATCCTTGCGCCACCTCGAAGGGTAGGAGTGGGACCCCGCAATGTAACTCTTTCATTCTCCTGGCTATTCTTTGTGAAGTTTTCCATTCGCGCACTTCTTCGGCCAACAAGTTTCTGGAGTTTTCGAGAAACTGCTCGAAGCGGCCGTTCGTGAAGCATCCATACAATTTGGGCCCCACATTGTGGGAAGACAAACGTGCTATAACTTGTAATTCATAGTCTCTGTCGATGAGATTCACCACGTTAGGACCATACACCCGTAGCAACAGCGAGGGCAAAGTGGGATACTGCACCTTAAAAATTGCGTTGGTTAGCGCGCAGGTAATCTTAGTCATAGACACAGACTCTGGCTTCAAGTGCGTTGTGTTAGACTTCTTATTGTACCACTTGGGAACACGCAGCGCTTGCGCCAAATTCAGCACGTCTTTCTTCAAGTACTCCAGTGGAAGAGTGACGTTCAGCGTCCCCTTCACAAACGGCACATCAATCGTCTCATGCGGGCCACCGTCCAAATTCAGGTGGCCCAGTGTCTGCGAGATATCAAGGTCAGCACTAATGGTACGTACGAGCCTGGGCGATGATTTGACCCGTGGCAACGATTGTCTACGACCACTGCTGGCGGACCTTGATCCCGATCTTGATCTTGACCTTGCGTGTCTCGACCTTGAGGGCTTTTCCTGCATATTCGTCACCAATATTGACTTATAGTAGTAAATATATGTGAAGCCTTTTTCCTGCAAAAGTCTCCCTATAGCAGTGGTGTTTGCTGGTTCAACTCTTACAGTAAAGTAAAAGTCTGTTGTTCAAGTCAAGTTGGCTTTACTATATCTTCAAATATTTCCATGTGAAAAATATGCTGAAGTTACATGCCCTTCGTAAAGGAAACCAAGGGACCAAAAAAGAGAACTAGTCACAGCGAGCACTCTGGTTCGAACCATCCGGCAAGCATTTTATAGGGAAGTGCGAGCAAAACCGGTATCTTAGTCTGCTTGTCCAGTAGTGCAGTAGTACTCTCGTTCTGGTGGTAATCGTCCAGCCGAAAGGAAAACGTCTCTATCAAAGTTAGTGTTGGGTTCATGAACCTACTAGACCAGTACCTGAGCGAAGAAGAAGAAGAAGAAGTCAAGTCAAAAGCCGCATTAGAAAGAGGCATTGGTATACGTGACAGCCAGCCGCGTTTGAAACCTTTGCCGGATCAAATTCTAGATAAATATCATATCAGTCCCAATATCGAAAAATATAGCGGGGAAGATATGAACACAATTGCGCGGGGCTGGACTAGCTTCGCGTTTGTTGAAATGCGACCTTCGCATCGGCAGCGCTTGCAGATTGACTCGCTGGTGCACACCGTGGGCCTGCAATTGAGGTCGGAAATAGGACTGGAATTCCAGCCCTTGCATATCAGTGAGCTGGGATCGCCGCTACCATTACATGTGTCCCTGGGACCAAACTTCAGCTTCCAAACCTCCCAAGAGCTAAATGCGTTTGCGCAGATGCTGCAGGTCGAAACTTGGCAGAAAATGAATGCCCCGTTCGAAGTGGGTTTTGAGCCCATACTGCAAATCTACGACAATGTGGACCGCAATGCCTTGTTTCTCGCGCTGGACGTTTCACAGTCCGTGAAAAACTCTCATATTCGTCGACTTTGGACGGCCGTCCAAGAAAGCCTGGACTTTTCTCGCCGTTCCGATGAATGTGCGGCTTCCCGATGTGCCTGGACTTTCGAACGGTCACATATGTCAATCGCCAGAGCATTTCTCAAACCACCATCTATCAAGGCCGCGGGGGGTCACACAAGTGCTGAGCGAACGTTGGATGCGCAGTATCGCCGGACTATCGAACAGCTCAATATGCTCTTGGCAAATCGCCCGGTGGACCGCAGCGTGCTGGACTCCTTGAGATTTCAATGTAGTGGAATCAAGCTGACAAAACAAAGGTCCAACTTGTGGATCCCCTTCGGCTCGGACACCCAGTAGTGGACGCCCGTCAAATGCCAAGATGTTCAACTCGAGGCGCTTGTGTACCGCCGATATGCATAGATCATGTACAAATAAGGCAATGTGCTATTATGTCAGCACGTCGGTGCATAACCGCCGATTTGTATCACGTGAATATGGTGTGATATATTTGCATGTGTGATTGTTTTTGAATTGCCCAATGGGGGGAAATAACAACATTACCACTTTCGGTGTTAGATCTTCAGAGTAAATCTCGATGTCCAAATCAACTCATCTTGACTATCCCTCACGAGAGACACCTCCAAAGAAGTATTGAATTGCTACAAACTTAACCCACTTATAGTCACTATAGGCCAAACGGGGTTTTCAAAACATACTGAAAAGTGGTCATTGATTGTTGGTAATCCAATTAGTTGCTCTGTACATCAGATCAGCCCGGCACCCGATACACTGGACTTTCATATTTTTGACACACTGACGGACTCGAAGCTTCTGCAAACAGAGTCTCGACGTTATACCATACTATCGGTGAACTTGTGAGTGAAACGGATTTTATCGAGAGATTTAGGGCACCAAAGGTGCTGACACGACACCTTACTTGAATGCTTTACATTGTTTAAAAGCATTTAATAAGCGCTACATTGTATAACAAAGTTCAAGAGCAAGGATACTTCGATCGAGGACCAGGAGTCGCATTCACTGACACTTAGCTTAAATTTCGCTTCCTCGTTCCCCGTTGATAGCCTCTTTTTAACACGAAATATGACCTCAATGAGAAACCAGTGGTACAACAACGCTGACCTTTTGAACTTGGAGAGTACCGAGGCGGCAGATGTGGACTTCACCGGAAATCTAAACACAGTCCTTGATCCTGGCTTTGAGGCCAAGAATTACGACAATCTTAATAGTACTCTCGCGGATACTGACCTGGGAAAACATTTCTCTAGCAATTATGAAGACATTGACGAATTTCTCACTCAGGAACTGAAAGATTTGGATATTCCTATGATACCCCAGAACTTTACGTCACAAACTGAGATTGGATACCATGCTGGGTACGACGCGGTCTGGAACCGCGAAAATGAACGTGCCGCTGACACTCCCAGAAAATCACACAAGCGTGGCCCCAGCGGAACTGCGATTTTTGGGTTTGCAAACCATAATAAACAGCTAAGTCTTTCAAAAATCGGAAGTGAGGACTTCGTCCCTGATGGGAGTTGCTACGCAGATCAATCCTCTAGCGACGACCCTCGCCAGCTCGAAAAGGATTATAACTCGCATGGGAGCAGCTTAAATACATTGATTTTGAAACAGCAGGAAGAATTGAGGTTAGCATTGGAAAGACAACAGCATATGAATTCGCAGCTAGAAAAACAGTTGAGATCCAGTCAGCAGCAACAGCAGCAGCTCCAAATGGCTCTCGAGGAGCAAGCTATTGCAGCTAAACATATATCTTTGAGCAGGTCCCCAATGAAAACTCCATCATCAAGAACATCGCAGCCAGACGAGAAGAATATTATTGTCACTAGCAACAGTAAGAATGGTGTTTACAAATTTCCGCCACCTCCAGAGATTCGCGATCAAAATGGAGTAATTTCGCCCGTTTCAGGAACCTCCGTCAACGGCTCTCCCTGCCGCAAGAGTCAGCAAAATTCAAAAAGTCGTTTGCTGCACTTAAATGGCCATACTAGCTATAGCGACAGCGGTGACGACTACTCCAGTCCAGAGAATATCTTTGGATTAGTCAATAATAAGCCTCAGATCTCCACGGACACCGTCGAAAGGATGAGCAAGTACTTTGAGAAGATGAACGGTCAGCGCATTAATGGACAAGATCGTACCAACGCCAAAAATCCGATAACGCCACAACAACAGATAGTGATTGGCCCAGGAATTTCTGCGTCATCATCGCCGCGTGCCGTTGGTCGCCATGCGGCCAAGGAATCAATTGCGTCGAGCGCCTCGACAATACCACAGCTTCACGAGGAAGACGATCGCAATAATATAGGACAGGGTCCACATGGAGCAGTTGGCTTGGGAATTCAAATGAATCCAAAATCTCAGTCCAAATTTTCCCTCAATAAACCCCCGCCTTTGGATCTTTTGCCTACTATACCAGGTTCTTCTGACAACACACCAATGAACAAGATGTTTTCCACCGGAATGGATCGAAGTGCCTTCCCGCAGAAGCATGTTTTCCAGCATACCCCAGTTAAAAATTCAGTGAACCCCTCCGCAATGGGTCAATCTCAGCGTAGATCGCCTCCCTCTAGACCCATTTTCAAATCGTTGAAAGAAGATTTGAAGCCACCTACTGACGAACTTGACCAATACGAGGGCGATGACTACGAAGATGAAGAGCCTGAAAGCGAATTTAATGTCGCTCAATCTCTCTCGCCAATATTAAAGTCCCAAGGAAGGTTCGAAGGATCAAGCCCATGCATAAGTCATGCTAATTCTGATGAAAACAAGTATCCTTATAATCTTGCTGATCATGACCAGGTAGAGCGAGAGCATGATCTACAACATCTAAATCTATCGAAAATTACAAAGAAACCAACAACACTGCCACCGGGAGAAATTGACCGCTATGTGCTAGAGTTATCAGATAAGACATTCAAATGTCTTTTCCCCAACTGTGGCAAGACATTTAGGCGTCGCTATAATATCCGCTCGCACATACAAACGCATTTAGAAGACAGGCCCTATATCTGCGATTACGAAGGATGCAATAAAGCATTTGTACGAAATCATGACTTGATAAGGCATAAAAAGATACATGCAGAGAAATCCTTCATATGTCCTTGTGGTAAAAAGTTTGTCAGGGAAGATGCCCTCATTGTTCACCGCAGTAGAATGATATGCGAAGGTGGGAAGAAGTTCAACAATGTAGTAATAAAGAAATCACCTAGAAGGCGAGGACGGCCCAGAAAAGACGGTACTTTTAGCGGTGCCAGTAGCCCGGTAAAAGAATCCATAGCTCATGGAGATGGTTTAGTTGCCATGCAAATGGAGGAACAGCTTCGAAAGGAACTAATAAAGAATGGCTTACTGGCCACATCCTACTCCGTTGACAACTTCAATAGGGCTTCTGATGAGGTATATACAGGTAGATAAAGTCATGATATAAATTAGGAAAATCGTGCGACGGATACTGAAAGGCGTACATCATCGCACTGTGGAATTATGCAGATCTATATGAGGACTATACCAACGTTTCAAAAACCCTTTTCTTGACCTTATTATCTTGAGAGGTTGGTGCTGTGATGTCATCCGCGAAATCAAAATTATGCTTCAAATTCCATTGTTGCTTGATAAATTTCAGACCTTGCAGGTTGAAACCAAGATCATCAACCTTTAGCTTAATTGAATTTCTCAACCCTAGCTTGATCCTGTCAATTTGGACTTTCAAATCTTCATTCTTCTGTGAAAACAGCTCCTTGTGATTCGATTTTATGATAAAAAACAGTACTCGACAGATTAGAGGGAGACGGCGGTGCATGATGTTTGGCTCATCGATCACTAATTCGATATATTGCAGAAAATTCAGCACATAGGAAAAAGGAAGAACCAGGAGAGCATCTTCGAGCTGTGAGGGTTTGATTTTAATCAAAACATCCATGATATACTCTAGCGGTGTTCTTTGAACGGCTATCAGTATGCTGTTGGGCTGTGGGACACCAGGTTGTGCGCCCGTTTTTGATTTCTTCCAGACTTTCATTGCCTTTTCATATTCCAACTGTAAATTAATCTCTCCCATTCCAAGGTCAAGGGCTTCAACCAGCCTCTCGCTTGCCTTTAATGATTCTGTAGTCTGTTTGTGAACGTCGGTAGCTTGATCATCAGCGACGCCTGCATCATCCTTTTGGAACATATCGTCGCCGTTTCCATCATCCAAAGATTTCAATAAAGTTTCTTCGTAAACCTCGTCCGATTCTCGTTCCCTCTCCTCTTCTAAAAACACCTGATCATCTGTTTCGACCCAAACGCGAACACTCTGATCATGTGAAGCAGAAACAACAGTTCTGGCATCCTTTGACACTGCTAAAGTCCAGACTTCTTTCTGGTGGGCGGCCAACTTCTGAATGCATTCGAATTTGTCACCATCCCAGTATTTCACCAACGAATCTTTGCTGCAACTGAAAAAATTGTGAGATTCGGGAAGAAAGCAAACCTTCATGATAGAATCATTGTGGGCAAATAGTGATTTATGACAGTCTCCAAAGTCGAGTCCCCATATCTTGATGTTTTTATCTGCCGACGAGGTGATCAATAATTTGGAATCGAACGATATATCAATTGATAACACTGGCAGTTTGTGTCCATAGAGACTCAAAAAAAACTTCTTTGAATCAAGGAAAAACACTTTTACTGTGTTATCAAGAAGTGAGATAGCAAGCAATTTGTCGTCTGGCGAGATTTTGATAGCCAAAATGTCGTCATTGAGTTCTAAGGTGGTATCATGTAACAACTTCAACTTTGGAACGAATTTATCAACAGAGTCTGGAACAAGTTCTTGTTCGACCTGGAAATCCCAAAAACGTACCGTTTTGTCTGCTGAGCCAGTTACCAGCCTCTTGCCATCGGTTGTGATATCCAATGACCATATAGCCCCGCTGTGGGCCTTCTCTGAACTCAAGAGAGTGGATGAAGCCAAGTCAAACAGGTGGAGCTCACCTGTTTTGGTACCCAAAGCGACGAGAGCACCTCCCGGTAAAAACTTGCATGTCAAAGCGTAACCACACTCGAATGTCCTTATGCAACGCTTAGCTTTTATATTCCATATTTTTAGGAACCCATTTGATGCCGTGGCCAAAAGTTTGCAATCATCACTGATATCAAGTGCACGCACATCCGTACGATGGCCTGTCAAGTCTAAAGAGTGCAACTTGGATGCAACAGGTGAAGAGGGCTCTCTCTTTTGGTAGGGGATCGAGTAGTAATCGACAGTGTTGCCGCTTGTAGTTACAACCAGATCTAGCTTAGAGGAAGTTGTTGCCGCCCAACACACTGACTTAACTTTATAAGGCGACCTTATTACCTGAAAAGAATGCATGACAAATGAAGGGAAGGAATCCCTCAAATTTTGCTGGATATCATCTTGACTCAAACCTTTTTCGCTGAGCCTTTTCTCTCTTTTTTTTACAGCCTTCGAAATTTCTTCGGAACTTCTCAATCGAAAAACTTCAGCAGTTCTATCGGCGTTTTGAACAAAGAAAAAAGTAGCAGAATCATTTACAGTAATGAACTCAATAGCTACTCCCCTCTGTTTGCTTTGCTTTTCATAAACTCCCTTCTCCTGCAGCATATTTCCTGGTCCTCCATCAAGGTTTAGGTTCCAAAGTTTGAGCTGACTATCACCACCGGCTGTGACAACAAGATCCTCGTGTACGCCCATGCTCCAACATTCACCGACATGTGCCATGTGGGTTTCAATGCATTGTTGGACCTTCAGGTCCCAAATTTTAATCAGGCCATCTTTCGATGTACTCATCAGCCACTCCTCGCCATAGCACCATATTCCTGTTATCGAGTCTTTGTGAGACCGCAGCTTGTAGAGGCCAACTTCCCCAACTAAATCCCATACGATAATGTCAGAATCTCTAGAACCCGAGATTAGCCTGGTTCCCGTTTCATCATATTTTAGCACAGTTATTGCTGACTTGTGCCCATTGAAAGTAAATAACACAGACTTCGACAGCAGATCCCAGATTTTTATCGATCCGTCGGCATACCCAACCGCCACAAGATTCGTTTCCGAGTGGTACTGCAGAAACGTAGTTTCCGGAGGTTTTGTAGCCTTCGCATCCGCAGCACCCGGTGGTAGCCCATCGCTGAAAGTCCCTATTAACTCACCAGATTTGATACCCCAACAGTTTACATTTTCCAGTGCGCCAGTCAAAACCTGTGCAGATGCATTCCTGGATTCAGCAGGAATCCACAAGCAATTTGAATTGCTGGATATGACACTCAGTATGGACTCCTGTTCAAAGCGCTGATAGGATTTAACCATTGTCTTCAATCTTTCTGGCAACTATTCGCTTAGGCTGGCAGCTTTGTCATTTCTTTAGCTTAACACAGCACTCTTAAAATTTTTTTTAAGTCGCGATGACCCGTTGATAGTGATATCAGGTCAACATCAGAGAACGGGCGCATAGGTGGACAACAACCTTAGACGTCAACTACTGCCCGCAATTTAACCGTACTTCTGCTTATTAGTTCCATATGCTAAGTCAGTTGTCGAGAGATAGCCCTGCACGTAGTTGGTTTGTGCCTTCAAGATAACGACTGGTTCTTATTATCAGAATTACCAGTGACGGCCTGCGAAGCAGCTGCTTGAGCCGCAGTAGCTGATTTTGCAGCTTTTGCTGTATTGACACCTTGAATCTTTTGATTATAAGACGAAGTAGGGTTCCACTTTCGAGTAGATCTAACTTCATCGGCAGCGTACCCAGGGATGCGGATGTTCCAATTACGTTCTAAGTGCAGCTGGATGTCACGCACGTCTAAATTGTCAGACTTCCTATGCTTAGCAAGACGGCAGGAGAAGCTCGTCACGTTCGTAATAAAGTCATCAGCAAGATCTAAGAGTAGCTCTTCAACGTCGCCGTCGATGGTAGTCTCCCCATCACCTTCATCTATGCCAACAGATTTGACAAGCTCTCTTAACTTTCTCTTTGACATTACCCTTTCATTGTCAACCTCATATGGTGGTAATTTAGTCATCACAGGCGTGTTCAACGCAGCTGCATTCATAGCACTTCCTCCTGTGATTGTAGGTCTATTTGAGCGATGCACAACAGGAACCGGCATCTTCTGCGCCACAGTCTCTGAAATAGGTACGGAAGGATTGGGCTGTTTGAATATAGCTTGTCTCCCCCCAGAGTTGGCATTATTGGCGAGGTGGGCCGCAGCATTTACAGATGTCACTTGGGTGGGTGACCTGCTGCTTCCCCCTGTTCCAGGTTGAGGTGCAGAAGGTTTTGCCTGTTGTTGTTGCGGTTGTTGTCGCGGTTGTAGTGGTGGTTGCTGTTCCTGTGGTTGGGGTGTCATTTGTTGTTGATCGGGGCTTCCTGCGCCAGCCTGCTGTGGTGCGGACGTGTTCGACGCACTTGCACGCTGCTGTTGTGTGGAAGCTTGAAGAAATCGTTTCAAGTTTGGATTTGTTGCGGCGCATTCGATGTAGAAGTTCTTTTTGTCCTCGCGAAGCTTTTGACTCAAGGCGCGGAACGAAACACCAAAACCGGTCAGTTTATTAAGAATTTCGGCCTTCTTTGTCTCCAGCTGATTTACAGTAGCAGGGTTTCCTTGTCTTTTCTTAATTTCTCCGTCTAAGATTTCGACTTGCTTCTTCAGGTACGCATACTCGCTCTTGATATTCTCACCATTTTCGTGAAAAGTTTGAATTAATCTGCCATATGCTTCATTCTGCTGAGGCGTTAGCAATGTTTGTATATTACTGGATATCGAATTGCCCGCTGGCAACCCATTTGTTGCTTGAGAATTCGTCGGCGTGGCAGATCGAGTTTCCCCGCCTTGGCTGGGTCCCGCTGTGCCCTGGGAGAGACCCTGTGGGGCCTGCTGATTTTGATTATTGTAAGCAACGTACATGGCCTTAATCTTTGAGGCTCTTCTCAACAGTTCCTGGCCCTGGGGCGTGGTTGGACCGAGTCTCTGGGCTTCATTAAAATATTGGCGGTATCGCAATGCCAGATGTTGCACAGAATCGGGAGTTAGCTGCTGAGTGGGAGGGCCCTGGACATTATTTCCCCCTTGAGAAGGCTGTCCGGAATTTGGGTTTGTCGACATAACTCAGTTTGTAAGCTGACTAGTATGTAATGCCAGGAGCGTAAGAAAAAGCTGGACGACTCTCAATAAATTACTATCAAAGCACGACTAAACTTACCTTCACAATCTTGATGGAGATTAAAGTCGAGAATTGAGGTTTAGAAAGAGTTCGCTAGGCCCTGGTTAGGATCGCGTTGCTGTTCAATATGTTGTTTCCGATGCTAATGTTCTAAGTTCACAATTGTTAGTTCTGTTATAACACTATATACGAATATCAAAACGTCACGAAAGTACGCGAAGCTCTTACGGCAATGGCACAGAACTACAGTCTTGGAACAGATATTGATTCAAGCATCCCTCCCAGATGGCTGTTTGATATCCCTTCCTTTTTGGTCCTGTTGATATCGGTTTCTCAAGAAGTTCCAGCATCAACGGCACAGCCACCAGCGGTATGGATCATTAAATGGACAGACGAGCCTCAATAATCATAGACAAAAGGGAAAGGCTTACCTGAGCTATCTGCGCTTTCACCGCTTTTTTTTTAAGCTGAACTGTTAAATTATGTGGTTGTAGGCTGCGTCCTGTAGAGCTTCTGCCGGCATATATGTCGAATTCAAATCTTGGATCGGTATTTCTTCTGGCTCATGGCCTTTGTTTCCAGTCCGCTCATAACTCTGTGCCAACATCTCCACAATAGTTCAAGATAATCTCCAAAATCGGTAGTCAACGGCATTAGGCAAAGTATGCAGAGTTTTATCTTTGCATGGCGCAAAGGAAGCATTTGCTTGCCGGAGTATCATCGCTTAATATCCTCTTGCTGTATAGTCTTTTTTAGACGATCATGGAATGCATAGTACGATTCGGCATGAACAGTTACGGATGCCTGCGTTACGAACTTTTTTCTCCCTCTAAAAGACACTTTGTCCCTCTAAGTATTCGTAAAATTCATCTATCACTAGAGGCCAGGCATCTAGCTCACTGTAGGATTCCTTAAGAGTCTGAGTAGTTGGATACTTTTTGACAAACTTAAAAAACATTTGCCATACGTCACGGTTGATTGACTGACAGCCACAAGCTTTTAGATATGAAAACCACTTGCTTAAAATATCCTTGGAAGGGTTGATTGCGTATTTTTTCTTTCCTTGGCCTTCGTTATCGAAGAAAATGTTCCAATACTCCTGAGCCGTTTCGATACTTACTGACTTTTGCCCTGGATCCACAATGAGGCCGAATGCATACTGGTAAATAGTCTCCAAATATTCGACGTCAAATTTCAGTTTCTTCTCCTGATCCTCTAACCTATTCCTTATATCTTCGAGAGTTTCGCAGGTCTGTATGCTCCAACTCTCGATGAACTGATCACCAGAAATTGGTTCGTGAAAGCTAGTGCAATCCATGGTGTGAGCCAAACAAAGGGTAAGCGGATCTTCGAGCTCGAGGCCAAGGTCACTCACAAACTGGATCAAGCCGTCCGTCAAGATACCACCATGGCCGTCAGTGCTCGTGTATCTTTCGAGCAGATTCAGCAGCTTGTTGGACACCTGTCGAGTTTCTGTGCAGTAGCTACCATGGCAGGTATCATAAAAATCATTTAGCGCATAATCAAGGGCTCCGTGGTTGTTGGCAAGGAACTTTCGCGCAATTTGTCTTGGACAATTCGTCAGAGCCACAAATTCAGAAATGTCTTCATCTCTCTGGCTTATTGTTAATAGGTCTTCATATAATTATCCTCTCAAAAGAAGTACCAACTTACCACCATATCTCTTACCAGGGACTACTTTTTATCAAATGTGAGTGAATGAGCTGATGTTGAATTTGCATAAATTGCACTTTAAATACACAAACACAACTGGATGAGTTGCTCTTCTTTGAAAGATATTTGAGTTGATGGTTTCGACGAATGAGGAAACACAGCTTGTTGAACAACTGCATTATACTTTAGGTGACCTTGACGCATCTTTCAGTGATGACTTAGAAGGATTGCTGACTTGGCTAAATCCAAATGAGACCCAGAGCAACCACCAACTCCGGCCGCCCATACTCAGAATAAAAAGTGCGATAAAGACACTAGTAAATAACAAAAATGCACAGGAGCCATTTTTGGATTTACTGCGACAATTTGTTGTCTATCAAACCCGGGTCCATTTCTTCTCCAATTTCCGATCATTAGTTCACTTTAAAGATTTACAGAAATTAGAGCGCTATTACGAGTTTCCACTTCGCTTTCTTGAACTTTTCGGGGATGGTGAATGGACTGAAGAGATAAGCGGCTTTCGCAACTATCTTATATTCTACCACCCCGTCTTGGCTAGAAACGTCAAGTTGCGACTTAAGCAACTCATATTGGAAGATGATTTCGAGATGGCCATGAAAGTTTACTCTTGGCTTTGCAGTGCAGAGGGTCACTCTCTAACACAGCTATTGGTCGATATTATTCTCGCTAAAGTCAAAGTATTTGCATCAAAGGAATTTAGCGCCGAATTCACCAGAAGATTCGTGATCATGGAAACGTATAATTCGTTCATGGCCAGCTTTTGGTCAACCTTGAGTACTATGCTTGAGTGTCCAGAAGATAATCATGAAATTACTAAAGAAATCTATGAGTCTTTTGAGGCTCAATTCATCGAAATTAGGACCAGACAAGCTTTTGACATATTCGTTACCGAGTACCCAAACTCCAAACCAACGCTACTCGAATTAAGAGCTGTTCTTAAATCTCCTTCAAAGTACACTCAGCTTATAACAGAGCTCCTCGTTCAATTTGAGGCCAGAGTTTTGAAGCCAAGCGTCACAACTGTCGAGATCTTGCTATCATACGTCAAAGCAATCAAAAGCATATTAACGGTAGACATCTCCAACCGCTATTTTCAGCTACTCACCAACTTTGTGCGTCCCTACCTAATGGAAAGACGTGATGCAGTTGTCAGCTTTCTCAATGCCATGCTTGGCATGGGCACCATCGAGCACAGAGAATCGGGCACGAAGGTGTCGCAAGCTAATATTACATCACAGCTATCTAAAGAGATAAGCGATTCCTACCAGCCTATTTTTACTACAACAATGGAAAGCTCATCGCACTCTCAGCAACAGTACACTCCTATCAGGGCTACAGGGGAACCCGTCTGCTCACAAGTTATCGCACGCTTTCTTGAATGGAGTCCAGAGCCTTCTGACTCTATACAATTTAATGGAGATAATTCTTTCATGAGCGAGGGTATATTCAACATTATTATTGAACTGTTCGACTCCCGCGATGTTATTATCGCGGAGTTCTTGAGGCTTTTCAAAGAAAAGCTTTTCAATTTGAGAGGCTACAGGTTGGAGACTAATTGGCACAGTAGCCTCAAAATCCTGAAGGAAAGAGTTGGCTTAAACAAATTTTCCAACGCCCAGGATTTTTCAAACGTCAATAACATAGATGTCATGTTGAGAGACATAAAACAAAGCGAGGACTTATGCTGTGAAATGCATAAAATCCCTAATATTAACGTTGATATAGTCCCCAAGATAATATCGTACCTCTTCTGGGGCATAGTGTCGGACTCTGAGTCTTCCTCACGAGAGGTAGTCTTACCAACGAAATTGGATCATGACATGACTATTTACAAAAACAATTACGCCAAAATGAAAAAAGGGCGAAAACTTAGGTTGCATCCAGCTCAAAGTCTCGTAAAAATTAGACTGACTTGTGCTAATGGCAGAACCTCACGCCATGAGGTATCTATGGATAAGGCTGTTATATTATCTTGCTTTTCAAGTGAGCATGAGTCAAAAAGTTTGACCCTTGAAGAAGTATCGGCGAAGGTCGACGTCGAGAAGGAGTTTGTGCAGCAAGTATTAAATTTTTGGCTCCAGGCATCTGTCTTAACCTACGACCACGAGTCGGGACTGTATTGTACGCTAGATCATGGAGAAAATTCTGATGACGTGAAATCTTCTCGAATGCTGGGCAGCACGGGCAGCACTATTCATGGAAGGAATGATAGCGGCGCTGCTGCGGTACGCTCACAGCAACAGGAGCTTTTTCAATCCATGGAAAGGGTATGGCCGTTTATAAAAGGAATGCTGACAAACTTAGGGAGCATGAAACCAGAAAAGATCCATTCTTTTTTAAAAATGGCTGTTCCCAAGGAGATGGGGTTCACAGCAACGGTTTCCCAGCTAGAATCATTCTTGTGTCACATGGTTGATGAGAATCAATTAGAGAGTACAGCTAGTGGGGCCTTCAAGCTGGTAAAGTGAGCTTTATGAGAGTTTTTCTTTTTTGTGTTATGTGCCGTGATACTCATCAACAGGTGGAAATTAAATTACTACTACTCTCGTACGCAACTGGGAGAGATACTTCAAACCTTGCTTATCCAGTCTAATAGTCCTTTTATTAATTTACGTCAATGGTTAGCAGCCAACCAACTAACGAACGCAATGAAAATAAAAGGTCACTGCCTCTACACCTCGTGCGTAATTGTAAAACTTTTTCTTCAGTTACTAACTCAGGTTTAAAGACTAACTAGGATCAAGGAAAACTCATTGAGGGCCGAAGAACAACATCGCCATCGAGACAAGTGGTGCCTTGTATGAATTTTTCGTGCCTGTATCTTCTGAGTGTAATATGCCAGGATTTTCTGTGAGCAATACTTTACTTGGGAACTTGGGAACCGTTTAGTATGCATTAACGAATAAAGTCACCATTAGTTACCTAGCTTAGGCATCAAATAGTGCTTATATCGACATATTGTCACTTTATACTACACTGACATAGGATACACAGTCAGCAACCGATGCGCAACCATCGGGCTCTTCGGAAATTTGCGGACATCCTGAATAGGTCAATGACATGATTGTGTTGAAGATGTTTCATCTATACATGTTTTGAACCAAGTGTGATGGTTAGTATCGTTGTAGAGTAACCTGTCACCGACTTAAAAACACGTCTCGGGCGTCTAGAAGTCAGGAAGGCAGGAAGTCAGGAAGATAATTGGGTCGCCTTTCGAGGGCCTTCGGTTTTCTTTCTGGGCCTGCAGACGATGATTTGAGCTACACTTTGCTCTTTTAAAGCTGTGCTAACCTTGATGGGTCCGTCTGATGTGATGCTGATTACGGTGCTATATAACTGACAAATGGGATTAGTTTCTCAACAACCTTCAGATCTAAATGCCCTTAAGCAATAAGGATTGTACGAGAACTAGCTTCTTATCCTTATATATCATTGAAACTGGCTTGCGCTAGCTCTCACTAGAAAGTTTAGATTCGGTTATTATTCGGTTTGGTACACTCAGTGCTATAATACTTTTCATTAGTTTACAAGTTTAGTTGGCTTTCATGAACCACTTTTGAAGAGTTGACGTGGTTAAACTGGCTTAAACGTTCTTGGATACCCCGAATACTGTTGCGATTGGTATTTCTTCCTTTTCAGATAAATTTTGGCCATCAAGGTGAAATGGCTGCGGATAATAGCGACGAGCCCCAAAGATCTAATCCTGAACCTCCGGCACGGCCACCGTCACTTCTTTCTAATCTCAATCCCAGTGCTACCAGAAACATTAGGGTTACTATTCAGTATGCAGTTCTAGACCATCGAAGGCTTAATCCCGATGGCAACGAGCCTAATGAAAGTTTGAGCAGAGTTCCTTTTGTGTTGAACTTTACTGATGTACCCTCTAGCGCCACGCAAGAGCGACTCGAACAAGTTGTAGCTTTGGCTTCGAACGTGGCGATAGGCCGCCTGCATCGCAGATACAGCCGCCCGAAGGGTATCACCAAAGAGGCTTTCGAAAAATTGCCGGTAGTAAAGCTGGCCGAGGTTGGCCAGAGTAGTTGCAGCATCTGCTATGAAGATTTTGTCGAGGAGATTGAGGACTCGAAAATAGATGGCAAAGAAGGTAGAAAGCGCAACCAGGAATCAGAAGGCGATGCTGATCGTGAGTCCAGTGAAGCGAAAAGAGCGAGGTTGACTAATGCTTTTGATACAAATGAGCCACCTTCAGAACTACCAGCCCAGAGCGCTGCAGAACCATCATCTGACTACAAGAATTCTACAAGTGAAAGTTACAAGCATTCTCCAGTTCAACTACAATGCAACCACATATTCGGTCGCGAGTGCATTCGGGAATGGACTAAAGAACACAACTCATGCCCGATCTGTAGAGCTAGTATTGTACAGGCGGATGGCTTAAGTGACTCCGTCAACAGCGCGGAAGAGGATGAGGAAAATCTCTTGGATCAACAAACTTTCGAGAGGATTAGGACTATACTCTACGGCCCAACACCCAATGGTATGAGTCAGCAAACGACGTCGAATACTAATTTTAATGCAAGTACAGATACCGGTACAAATACAAATGCGACCACGACCACGACCACAAACACTACATCAAACACAACCATAAACACTGACGCAAATGCTATCTCCAATGAGGACTCGCCTGCGCCCTCAGGTGCTTGGCCGGAAACCATGGGACCCTCGGCCAACATTTTCATCTTGAGATCATCTCAACTCCCTGCTGCGAGTAGTTCCGGCCAAACTGCGAACTCCAACGTAAGTCAGTCTGCATCCAATACTCTTCACATCCCCGCTACCCCCGTGACGAGTCCTCCATTGGTGTTAGACGTTATGAGACCGGGCGGCATAGGAACTCTTCCTATTTCATTCGTTGCTATTCGTCGAAGAGATTCGAACCAGCAACAAGACACAGAAGGTAGCAATGATAGCGCAAACGCCCCCAGTGAAACGACGACGCATCTGCCTGACGGAGACCGAAGCACAACCAGCACTACCTTCGGACCAAATTCTACTGCAAGATCTGCTTCAGGGGCGGACCGCCCTATGGATTCAAGCCGTATCATGACATTGGTAGACCACATTTTAGGCTTGCCCAACAGACAACAACTGAACCCGTCAATGCCCACAGCGTTGTCAGGGGACCTTCCGGAGCAACTTGGCACCGCTGCTGTTTCCGATGCCACGGTCTCGGGTGGTGGCGAAGAAGGGGCGCAAATGGAAAGCGCTGCCACCCGGCGCGGTTTCATTTTCAACAGCATTCTTGGTTTTGCTCGGAATTTGGGCAATCTCAATGAAAATTGGCGTAGTTCTCCCAACGGCCAAACTTCGAATGAGTTATTCAATACCGGTGTGGCTAGCCAGAGAACCGATGACGGGGTGTCAACAATGACGTTCAATGGCGAAATGCCTTCTCCTCCATCACAGCGCTCCAGCTCTCAAGGGAGGAATGATGAAGCTGCATCGAATTCCAATACTCAACAAGGTTCTGGCCAGCCCGACACTTCCCTATGAAGCGTCAACAATCTTCTCATATGTAACATCGTCACAACGTGCTCAGAATATCTCTAATGCATATTAATAATGTCATCCTTTCAATTTATTTCAGTATATAGCTGATTATCTTGTTCGGCTTCCAATTGTTGAATTAATAGTTTCTCTCTCTATTGCAGAACTACTCAAAAACCTTACTTGACGATGGCTCTCTGATGAACAAACAAAGAAGTAAAGTAAAACTATAAGATTCACCATGTTGAGGTACCATATGCAAGGCTTTAGTGGGTATGGCATCCAATACTCACCTTTTTTTGATAATAAGATAGCTGTAGCTTCAGGTTCCAACTTTGGCCTAGTCGGAAACGGTAAATTGTTCATCTTAGACATCGATAACAAGGGTAGAATGATGGAAAGCAAATCGTTCCTGACTCAGGATGGGTTGTTCGATGTGGCGTGGAATGAACTGCACGAAAGCCAGGTCTTAGTGGCTCAAGGAGATGGGACTTTGAGACTTTTTGATATAATGCTCAATGACTACCCCATAGCTGTCTTTCACGAGCACAGTAAGGAGGTCCTAAGTTGCAATTGGAACCTCATCAATAAGCACCTTTTTGTAAGCAGCTCATGGGATGGTTCAATCAAGGTTTGGTCCCCGGCCCGAAGCTCGAGTTTGACTACTCTGGCACCTCGCCCTAATAATGCAGTGCATAACAACCTTCACCCATCAAAAAATGTTCCTATTTCTAGCCAAAAGCAGCACAATGCGCTTACTAAAAACAAAAAATGTATATACCAAGCCCAATTCTCGCCCCACGACCCCAACTCTGTCATGGGCTGCTGCAGTAATTCCTATGTTACGTTGTTCGACCTGCGACAACCGTCAAACTCTAACCAATACAGCTTTCTAGCACATGCCGGAATGGAAACTCTGGCGTGCGATTTCAATAAGTACCGACCCTATATCGTGGCCACTGGTGGTGTCGATAATATGATTAAAATCTGGGATCTCCGAATGGTAAGGAAAATGAGCATAAATTCACGTCAACCCATGAGCGTTAACGAAATAGGTGGCCATGACTTGCCCGTGCGCAAGCTTTCATGGTCTCCTCATCATTCAGATATCTTACTTTCCACATCCTACGATATGACTTGTAAAGTGTGGCACGACCTCAGTGTTGAAAACGGTAAACCAACGGGTAAAACTAACAGCGTAGACCCGGCTAAGGGATGTCGGCTTGTGTTTCCTCACCACACTGAATTTGTTTTTGGTGCTGACTGGAGCCTATGGGGCCAACCAGGGTATGTCGCTTCAACCTCCTGGGACGGAAATGTTTGCGTATGGTACGCATTTAGTGGATAACTTCATTCACTTTTGTCGATTAGTCAGTGTGCTGCCAAGAGTGTAGTAACCCACGCTTAACATGGTATTGTTGTCTTAATTTCACATGTCGCTGGATGAATTGATCGATAGGTAAGTCATTTTTGGATTCTAAGGCGGTGGCTTGTGATTCTAGCATTGACAGTTCGACCTCCGTCTTGTTTTCCATAGCATCATTGCCGTAAGTAGTAGAAATCAAGTGGTTCAGTTCCTCCCTGTAGGACTCGTGTTCTTTCTGCAAATTATTAACGTCATCCAAAAGCGAAGACAACTGTTCTTTGCGCGCTTCAAGTACCTCGAACTCTTGCGACAGTTCTTGGAGCTCCGTTTTGAGTTTTTCGCAACCAGTTTGAATATCCGAGCATCCTTCAAATCTCACGACATAATCTTTAAGATGGTCTCCGTAAATTGACGATAGATCCTCAAGAGTGCTTAGAGGCAAAAGGTTCGTATTGTCTGGTAACGGATAATTGCTGTTACGCGTATCTGGAATATTTTGATTAGGTTTCGGGGGCAGTTCGGGTTTACTCATACCAAATGAACAACTACTTTTGAAAGGTTGATGGAAGTCTCCACCTCTGGCCCACAATCATATTATGTGTACAGCCGTTTTCAATGATTTTGAGAGTAACTGCTGAGCTGTATCATTGACGGTGATATTTGAAGGCGGTGGGCCGCGTTGTCCTCCTGTGTCGCGTGGTAAGCGCACTACAACAATTCGTTTTTGTCAATTGCAGTCGAAGCTAGGTTGCTGAAGAGCTCGTTCAAATCATTCATAGACATTGCGGATATTGTCCCGCATCTAACAATGGACCTGGTGTCAAAGGGAGACTCCACACTTTCCTCAGGATTGACTCGACTACAGGAACAGTATGTCCATGTATTACAGTACCATCATTTCTACAAATTTCGGGAGGAAAAATTTGGGTGCACTAAGGGCTAGAAGATTTAACAGGTCCACCTTTTTGAGCATCCAGATTAGTGAGCCTGTTGGTGAGGTCAGTGCCAGGTCAATTCTTTGTATATATGTATACCACTGTCCTCCGCTGGATTGGTCATCTTGCCCATTCTCCTTTTACTGACGTTGTCGATATCACTTCTCACTAATCTGACACCGCATGGTGTTCATCATCCTCTTTCCTTCATATATGTTAGATAACGATTTGAAGGTCTAATAAAGCTCCCAAATTTGCTTAAATGCAAACTATGGGAGTGTGTGCTTAAAAGAGCTGAAGAGATAGTAATAGTTTTAGGTTGGGCACTAGCGTGAGACACGTGATGTAATCTACCTCTTGTGGTCTACTCGTTAATAATGCGGAAATCTAACGAGACGGCCATATACCTACGAAAACGGCCTAACCAAACTACCACCAGGATCAATCGTCCGACCGTGTCGTTAATTGAGCAATTGACAATGTCAGTGCCGTTGAAACCGCTGTCAATCGACTTTCATAACAGGCAGCTGGATTCAAAACAGAAGAAGTTTCACGCTAACATTGAAAGAGCTTTACAGCATTTCGATTCCGTGACGGAATGGGCAGATTATATTGCTAGCTTAGGTAAACTTTTGAAGGCGCTTCAGAGTTGGACACCGCAATTTCAGAACGTGAAGTATTACGTGCCGTTTCCCTACCAAGTGAGTAGACGGTTGTCGTCATCCTTGTCCCCTAACCTGCCCTCTGGTGTACATTTGAAGACCATTGAAGTCTACAGCTTCATCTTCAGCAAAATAGGAATCGATTCTTTGAGTAGAGAATGCAATATTTGGGTACCTGGAATCCTACCTCTTATGTCTTACGCTTCGATAACGGTGAAAGGACCTTTGATTGAGCTCTACGAAGATTACCTGAATCAGCTCTCTCCCTCTGCGTTGCGTTTGCTCATCAAGCCACTATTGGCTAGTCTGTTCCCTGATATTGATGATGAGAGCAGCGAATCGCAACCTGCCACCCTCAATCTTTTGGAGACCCTTCGAGAAAATATAGCAGACGAACCACTTTTCTGGCAGAGCTGCTTTATGGTGATAATCAATAACAAAGAGAGAAGACTCGGCGGCCTCGCATGGCTAACCAAATATCTTCCTTCTCTCAATGCGGTACCTCACAAAGTTCAGAGAAACAAGACTGGAGCGGATACTTCGCAACGGACCGCTGAATCAGTTCAAGATTCACCCAAACTTAAACGTCAATCAGCTCTGGATTTGTTACTCCCTGCAGCCAAGGACGTTATACATCCAGAACCGGGCTTACTGATGCGGTGTCTGTTATGTTGCTTAGAAGAGGACAACGAATTACTTATAAAGAGAGGCATTTTAGACCTTCTGCTCCAACGCGTTAACCTCGACTCACCTGTTCTTCAAGAACTGTCTTCTAGTTCCGATCGAAATCTTTTAATGATGAGCTGTTGCAAAACTATGTTAACAAGAGACATGTCCATTAGTAGAAGAATATGGAATTGGCTATTAGGGCCGGCATCCATTGGAGAAAAGTCTCAAAAGCAAGCAATCGATTCAAACGACTACTTTTCGCGTTATGGAGAAAAAATGCTAGAGTCCGGCCTTCGATTGATGATAGATCAAGAGGATGAAGCGCCAGATGCCTACAAAATCTGCCTGGCTGTTATGGACCGGTGGGAAATTGCATCTCGCATTATACCGATAACATTCATCCCACTCATATCAGCTGCATACCAATTTCGATCTAATAATATCATCATGAAAAATGCGTCTGCGTTCTTTGATGCAGTTGAAACCAACATAATTTGCAGTCACCTCTTCGAGACTGCAGTTCTGCGAAAAGACCTCAACCTTCTCAAATTCATCCTTTGTAATTTCAAAATCGGACATGATGAAGAAATAATAATTCGCCATTTACCACTGCTGTTACTGGCGATCCTTTGTCGGCAAAGCGACTTTGATGACGCTATGTTTTTAACGGTATGTGACATTTTGATAAACTTTATTCCGGAGCGTGCCTACCTTCCTGTCGAACATTCAAGCTTCTGTTCGGAAGCCGAGCGAGAAATGCCGGACGTGTTTTCTTCCATAGAACGTTTTTATTCAAGGTTTTTGGGAACGGCATCGGTCACACACTTGAATGAGTCATCAGACTCAGGCCCTCCTTTCTCAACAGAAGACTTGACGTTTTTGATATTTTCAAAATTACAAACTTGCCTTTTATCCTACTCCAAAGAAGCATGCAATTTCAATATCTGTGCAGACGTATTTGTGACCTTTATTGATAAAGTCCCTAAAACTTACGAGGAAGAGAAACGTATAGGAGCTTATGGTGCAGGTGAAATTGCCAGCAATTGTTTGGTACGGCCTATTATCAAACAGCTATTTGACTCCAAACAAGTCCTAGAATCTGGTTCTAATGAATCTATTTTTGGGTGGATTGCAATTTACAACAAGTACTTAGCAATCGAGCTTTCAGTGATGGAGGCCGCTATGTTAAGCAAGACGCTGGTTAAGGGCCTTTGGCCATACTTGGTGGCTTCTAATACGCAAATTGAAGCAGTCAAAAGCTTGGACGAATTGTTTACATGTCACCAAGGAAAGTATTTAGAAAGCGCACTTTCATTCGCTTTTGTCCAAGAATCAGATATCAACATTAAAATAAGTGCACTTGACGCACTCTGGATTCACTCCGAAAATGTTGTGTGTTTGGCTCGAAGACCGCTGGAGCTAGTCTTGGATGAGCTATTTGACGACCAAACTCCAAGCTATCTATGCGTTTCGCGATGGGTGTCGGGAGTCATCAAGCAAGGTCATTCGAAGAGGCTCTTCCATATACTTTGTGAAAATCTCTTGAAGCATTGTTTGCTCCAAAAGTCTTCGTTAGATGAACTGGATGACACTGACTCATTTGTTTACTACTGCCAAATTCTCATTAATACCTTGCAAGTTGATCATTCGCTCGTGTTGAAGTCTTTTAAGGCGGAACAGACTTCATTAGAGCACACGGAAGATTGGGAAGGTGAAGACATTTCTAACTACAAAAACCTTGCGATTGCAGTTTCAATCAAGTTTTTGAAAATCAAGAATACTACAGGCTCTAGTGTTCAAACTGTTCTAACCATGCTGGACATTCTTCTTGACAGTACAGAACAAGACTTTCAGAATATCGTTACCTTCCTCCTGGATATAACCAGCAAAACATTCAATGCTTCAAGTCAAGAGTCAGATCTAATATGTGTCTCTCTGATGGGCATCATCTCAAAGGTTCTCGCTTTATCGTATCGTGAGCAGATTAGGTTGGGTATTCTCGCAGACCACAACTCTCACCTCAGATATATCGATTTTCTAGTGACAGGGGTTTCTGATATGAGAAGACCTCTAATCATAAATTCCTATGTCAAACTTTTGTCAGAAAGTCTAGTTTACTTCCAAAGTTCGATATATTCGATCATTTTGCCCTTGACAACCTCAATCACAGGTTGTATAAAGACACTGTTTGACGGTGGTAATGAAAAAGGCGAAAATTTCCAATCAATAGCCTATCTCCTCAATGGACTACAGGAGCTCATGGAGATTTCTCATAGCTACCTTTCGGCGGAGGAGAGTGGTGGGCATATAGGAGCGGCCCCTTCTAGAAACGAATTTTTACAAAATATGGTCGCCAATGTGTTCTCTAACGACACAAGTGGTAATGACGCTAGGCTTCGACATGAGCGCGAAATTGTGGTTCAATCTTATAAACTAGTCGTCCATTGTTGTCTAGATATTTGGAATTGGGCACACTTACAATCAAAAAGTCAAGGCTTCGAAAAATCTGAATTGGAGGCAGGTCTTTTTCAAGATTCTTCACATCATCAAGCATACAAATATAAGTCGCACTCTAAAAAGCTTCTGAGTGCACTTTTCACATTAGAACCCTTAGAAGTCCTAGAAGAGCTGATTTCGTTGCATCCCGATAACATTAGCCTGACGTTAATCCAATCACTCGACGGGAACAAACCCATACTTACTCTCCCCCATCTGTTTCAGGCCATCGTCTACCGCTGTAATAAGCTTTCAGCGGTTAACTTCTCTAACACGACCGCATCGAAGGTCTCGCCCAATCCCCTTTTAATTAATCAACTAAGTGCCAATACCTTGCTCAAATTTATGTTGAATTATATGACCGAGCTTGAAAGCGCCGCTGTTGAAGACTTCTACGGGGATTTTTTGTTGTTCATAAAAGAGATCTCAAATTCTCCTCAGCATTACAAGAATCTATCACCTTTGTTGTTGAGGATGGTTGCTTTGATATCTGACAAAGTTCATCATTCAAGATTTGGGGAAGAGAGAAAGGTCAAAAGAGAGCTCTCTGATACGTGTAGTAAGTATCTTCAAGGTGCATTGGCCGAGGAAGTCAACCCCCTTAGCTTGGAGGTTTATCGCAACCTGAAGTTTGTCTGCTCGAGACTCAAGTACATCGTTGTGGACTATCCATTAGGAGACAAGTTTAATTCCTGCCTTTCTACTATAATTCAATCTGCGATCAGTCCAGTTTTCAAAAAGCAACAAGGGAAGACGATACCAGCGCATGTCATTGATTTGCTGTATACAGTCTCGCAGATGGCAAGCAAAGTCAAGGCCTTCAAATCATTGATTAACGACGCATTCGTCAGTGACAAGAAGTTTGCATTATTCGAAACGCATCCATTATGGAGCAAGATTGTTTTCGAATGGTCGAATTATGCCGATAATAAGGAAAGACTCATGATTGATTTACTTGCATCTATAAGCACGAAAAGCAACGCGATCGGGCCAAATATCAATCCGTTCACCGCTTGGAGTGACTCGGAGATTGAAATCAAATGTCACGACATGGTGCGCATCAGTTACTTGTTGCTCATCTCCCCTCGGGACTATTATCTACTGAATTTCAAGACTGTGATGGTTCAATTAGAGCAAAATTTGATGTCAGAAGATCCTAAAATTCGATCGTGTTGCTATTTGTTATTGAGATGTGTTTCACTGCAGTTTTCACCTCTCCATTTTGCGGAGTATTGGAGCATGCTTTCATACCACTTACAGACTGGCTTACAAAAATTCTACGAAAGCTTACAAATGCAGCAAGACACCGATGCAAACGTTGTACTACAGTTAGCGAAATGCATTGATTTGATTTTGACCCTGAACTTTGAAGAGTTTTCAGCGAGCTACGAATGGCTTTTTGTCATCGATACCATAAATTGCATCTACAAGACTGATCCGTATATCAGCTTGGCCGACGAAATTAGCGATTGCAAGGATTTCATGAAAAGTGAGGCCAGTGAATTTGAACTAGCGGACCACTCCAAGCATCGAGCCCCATTGCTGAGAGGTATTCGAGATATTCAAACCCATACGCAGTTAAGAAAATTCTTCTTGACTCTAAGCTACGCCCATTATGAACAAATGTATTCTCTCGAAAAACCGGATGAAAGTACTTGTCGTGACGATGTTTTTGGGGATATCTTCGCTTTTATTGCGGGTTAGCGGTGGAATTTATAAATACTCAGGACTTCCCATCCTGCTTTTCGGTATTCGACCAACTCACACGACCAGTTCTGCAGTTGCATGGCCTTTACCACCTCTTGTGGCTTATTTCTAGCACAAAATAGCACATAAGCAATACCATTTGGGGCCAAGAACTCATCCAAGCTATGGAGCAGCTTCCATGTGACTACCATCCCATCATCGCCTCCCAAGAGAGCGAGGTCAAGCCAAGCTGCATCTTCTTTGCCTTCCCCTGTCACTGATAATTCCTCCGTCGGTATTGTTGGTACGCTCTCCGCCGGAACGTACGGAGGATTGAACACTAGTAAATCGATTTGCCCTGAGCGCAACGATTTGGCCATATTCATCCGAATTGGGCTTAAAACATTCTGGTCGCACTTGTTTAGGCTGGCGGTGTCAACCATCGATTCCATGGCCCAGGGATTTATGTCGGTAGGAAGGTATATAGCATTTTTATTTGGAATCCTATTGTGCATCATGAATGTTGTGACCATTCCAGAACCACAACCGATTTCAGAGACCAAGTTCATCTTATCGCCTAAAAACCTACGTAGAAATTCCTGGTCCTTTTCTAAGGCATCCAACATCAGGAAAGTGTCCTCTGAAGGTTCATATACCTTGTCATAATCGCAACGCACATGAGGCGTGGGCAACATATTCACTCTTTGTGTGGAAGAAGAGATCGAATTGTTCTTGGTATGTAAAGTAGCCAGGCTCGATTAATTAACATCGTTGAGCACTATGTACGCCCTGAATAGTACACGCCGATGAGTTAAGTTTAAAACAAAACCTACAACAAGAGCCCACGGAATATGTGAGCTGGGTCACAGATCAATATTCATTTTATATGTTCGATTCATTTCCTGTTTTTTTTTAACACATAGCAATCAGCTAAATGGGAGTGATGCCCTCTGTTGAAGAGCGTTTCTTGAATATTTGTTGACTTATCTCTGCCGTTTTTTAGGCCCTATATGTAGACGTCCTTGGTAGCGTTCTTTAAACCCTGAACTAAGGCTGTCAGACATCTTTTAAGCTCGTACGAGGACTTGATATCGGGTGTATTTTCAGTTCACACATTTTATATAGCTGCGGTGCAACGTCAGCCTTTGAGCATGCAATTGCGCAATGATTATCATCTTTTTTCCGCTTTGAAGCGTAGTCTTGAGAGCTATAAACTTCTGTGATAGTCGTAAGTGTCAGCGGACTGTCACTTAGTACAAAACGTGTCTTCTCGGTTTCTCAAAGAGTCCTGTAGCTTCTGTTGATTGGAGGTGTGCGCACATCTTCGTGGCATCATCATAGCTCGCGCTCGCGCTCGCTCTCCTTAAACCGACCTTGAGATACATATCGAACAGCCACGGTCGGCCAAACTAGCTTCCAAATGATATATTTCTCAGCCAATCTAACACGCAATATACATGCACTAACCATCTCCGAATAGTAAGCCCAGGGGTCTAGGGCCTTCACGGTATGATATCAACATCTCCCTGAAAGTCGCTTCAAGAGGTGCTCTTTTTTCAAAAACAGCTTTTCTGTGGTCTTTGCAGATGTTTATTCCTGCTTCTCATAAATTCGATTCAGCTCAGTTGAATGGGTTGGCTTGATCCTACATGAGGTGGTTCAGGTTTGGTTTAAGATACCGTCATCACGGCAATCCGGTTTACCATTTAAATAGTATATTGAAATTTACCACTGTAGAAAAGCGACTTCAGCCAGAAATCCCACGAAAGACAATCTCCCCTAGCAAAAGCCTAATTAGCAGGCTATGAAATTGACTGTCAAGACTTTGACGGGCAAGGAAGTAGATGTGGTTGTAGACTCAACGGACAAAGTGTACCGCATTAAAGAATACCTGGAGGAAAAAGAGGGAATTCCACCAAGCCAGCAGAGGCTGATCTTTCAAGGCAAACAAATGTATGTTGATGAATAACGCTATGTTTGGACGATCGAAGTCATCCTTGTTCCTGTGGCAAAAGTTATACTAACGACGGTAACAATCCGACAGTGACGACGAGATGACAATTTCTTCTGCGAACTTGAGCACAGGGATGCAACTGCATTTGGTTCTAACGCTCCGCGGCGGAGCCTGATTCTGAAGGGGATCATTTAGCCAGTGTCGGCTCTCTTGATTAGTTGAGAGAGGCTACTGAAATTTATGTAAGAGTGTATTTGGCCTTTTTGTAGCTTAGAAATGCCGTTTAGTTGATAACATCTGTACTTACTCGGAGTACCAGGTACTGACACCAAGCTTTGAGAAGGCGGATTGTTTGAGATGGAGGTCAGTTTTCTGTCTACTTGGGCCAGTAATCATGTATTTTATAATTAAATATATGGCCATAGTCTATTTAGAACCAGAAGGTCTTCAAGCTACTACAAGGCACTAGAGCCGGGCAAACCTTGTAATGGAGTCCCAGATACATCAGCTTTCGCATCAGGATGTTCTCAAAGACGCGTTTGCCAGCAAGGTGGAAGTCAAGCCAACTACCAGGGCAGAAATTTTGGACCTGGAAGAGCTAAAGGACTACCAAGGACGCAAACGAACGGAGTTTGAAAACGTTTTGAAAGTAAAAAGATCGGATATCAAGCAATGGATGCGCTATGCCCAGTTTGAGATCGAACAGCACGATCTGCGAAGAGCGAGATCGGTGTTTGAGAGGGCCTTGTTGGTCAACCACAGCCACGTACCGCTATGGATAAGATACATTGACGGCGAACTGAAAGCCAAGAACGTTAACCATGCCAGAAATCTGCTAGAACGAGCTACGAGCTTGCTGCCGCGTATTGACAAGCTTTGGCTTAAATATGTGATTATCGAGGAGAGTTTGGGAAATATTTCCGCAGTGCGTGGTTTGTTCAGTAGATGGTGCTCACTGGAACCTGGTCGCAATGCCTTCACATCATTCGTGGAGTTTGAGACAAGGTGTGGTGAGTTCGCCAACGTGCGAGAAGTTTATTCGCGCTACGTCTTGGTGCACCCTTCTGTAGAAACCTGGCTGGCGTGGATAAGTTTCGAAAAAAAACACGGCAGCGTCGATACGATACGGCAAACTCTGTCTTTAGGACTAGATACTTTGAGCTTTTACAACTCTACTAGTCCCGAAGATATCGCTACGATTGTCAACGTTTTCGCTAAGTGGGAAGCCTCACAGCAAGAATATGAACGCGCCAGCACTTTATATGGTCTTGCTACACAAAAGTGGCCGAATAACGAAGTCTTAGCATCTAATAGAGTTCAATTCGAAAAAATGTACGCTGTGGACTCAAAACTGGACGAATCAGTTGTGGAAAAGCGCAAAAGGGAGTATAGATCAACACTAGCTACAAACCCTAGAGATTACGAAACCTGGTGGATTTACCTTGAACTGATCGAATTACATTACCCTAATGAGTTGGCGTCTGCGCTAGAAGCTTCGCTGGCGAACAATGCTCCTCAAGACGACACGAAAACCACGGTGTGGCGGAGATATATTTATTTGTGGATTCGTGCTCTCATCGTCTTCGAATTAAATTTCGGGCAGTATGGAAAAGTTCGGGCGATGTTTGAAATATTAACCAAAGAGATCATTCCGAACAAAAGGTTCACCTTTGCCAAGATTTGGACAATGTATGCTAAATTCGAGTTACGCCAAGGAAACGTCACGACAGCTCGCAAAATCTTGGGCTGGGCTCTGGGAACTTGCCCGAAGGACAAGATCTACAAGGACTATATTCAATTGGAATTAGACCTAAAAGAATTTGACCGAGTACGAAAACTTTATGAGCACTTTCTCGCTTTCAATCCATATAATATCTCAACCTGGCTATCATATGCTGAACTTGAAGATAATTTAGGGGACGAGGAGCGGGCGCGTGGTATCTACCTCATAGCCATGTCAGAAGCTGTTGGTTTAAACTATGACGGACGCTTCAAGATCTCGAAGGAATTAATCAATTTTGAGACTCTTGCTGGTGAGTATACCAAGGCTGTTGACGCATATAAGGACTTGTTAGAATTGAGTTCGCACGACGTCAACATTTGGATAGAATTGGCGGCGTTCGAAAGCTCTATTCCCACAGCGGAGCAGTTGACTAGCAAACTAGACGCCTCTGAAGTTGTGGATGATGATGAAGAGGATGGGAAAGCAGAAGAAGAGGAGACTTTGGAGGTAACCGAGACACATAAATTGAAATCCAGACAAGTTTTCCGAGATGCGATTTCCTACTACAAGAAATTTGGGGATAAGCGCAGTAGGCTTACTGTACTTAGGGCTTGGGCTGATTATGAAGACGTTCATGGGACACCTGAGACCCAATCCGGAGTTCGAGAGAAATTTCCCATAGAGAAAGTAAAGACTAGGCAACAAGACGGAATGGAGGTGGAGTTTGTTGACTTGGAATATCCAGATGATAAAGATGAAGATAAATCCCAGGATTTTAAAGCTGATACAAAATCAAGGCTGTTGGCTATGGCCCAAAAGTGGCAAAGAGAGAAGGGTTCGTTATAATTTATATAGTGCTCTGTTCTAACAATGCGGTTTTCATAAACCCGGAGGACCACTTAGACCAGGTGGGCCCTTTAGCGGGGTGTTATCATTCTTATTCTCAAGCCGACCCGGAAAAGATGGTTCTGTTAGGTCGAGGCCAGGGGGTGCTCCCATCGATGGAGGACCCGAAATTCCCGGTGGCCCGTTACTTGAAGCGTTGACGATCTCTGCTGTTTCTTCACTGGAAGGAGCTCTTTGAGCTTGTGGAGCCGCCCCAACGTCTTCAACCGAGATACCCGGTGGCTTTTTAACGACAGCAGAGCTCTCTATCGAAATCCCGAGGGGACCTGCGATATTGGATGATGCTTCTTCAGAAGCTCCTGGCGGGCCCAAAAGTGTTGAAACAGCGGTCACATCTGGTCCACTTGAACTGTAAGCAACCGCATCCTCGTGAGAGCCGCGATTGAAATTACTAGCCGCACGGTCGTTTGTTGCACTAGGCACGGGCGATGGAAAGGAAGCAATTCGGCTGTCTGAAATTTCGGCAGGAGCTCTATTTGCCGGACTCTGGGAACCATCTCGGAAACCTGCGTCCCTTAGTTGTCTCGAACGATAGGATGTCATCTGAGACACCCGATCGTGGGAGGCACGGTAATCATCATTGGAGCTGGTATTGCGCCGTTTCCAATCATTTTCGGGACCCGGGCTATTGTCCACAAATGGTCGCTTAGCGGAATTCTCCGCATTTCTCTGATACATCATTGCGGGACTTGCGTAGTTAGCCGTCGTTCTTACAGCTGGAGTCTCAGATGTACAGTCGCGAGTTGCGTGCCCTGACTGGCCACACTTTTGGCAAATGATCGGCTGGTAAAAGGTCGCCTTGTTGGGACATTCGAAGCGTCTATGTCCCCGAAGACCGCACGTAGGACATGGTCTGTTATCTTCTCTCAAAGTACCGTTTAGTTCTGCTAGTTCTCGCAGCTGGCCTCTCTTCAACTCATTTTGGCCCTCTGGGGAGGTTACAGCTCGGATAACAACACCTTCGCACGCTTTTATTCCCTTCTGTACTTTGTCCTCGCTGTCAGCGCTGATTATACAATGTAATGGCTCTTCAAAATTCATAGCGCCCTTTGGGAGCTCAGCCGCACTTTTTCCTTCTTTCACGGACCCTTGGCCTCTAATCGAAATTTTGCACCCCGAATCCTCTTGAAGATTCCGAAGTGTATTGCCTCTTGGTCCCAAAAGAAGGCCCATGAAGTTGATGCCCGGGAAGTCGTGAATCGGAATGTAGTATTTGTCTTGAAATTTCGTAGGTCTTTTATAGTCATCAGGAGCCACAAAGTGCGGTATCATTTTGAGAGCTATTTCAACTAAACGATGTCTTTCGTCCTCTAATTGACGTTTATAGCGCTGCTCTCTGGTGTTCGTTCTTTTCCCTCGAGCGTCATAGACGGGCGGCGGTGACGGAGATCGGCTGCGACGCATTGGAGGATTCAAAATATTTAATCGCAGCTTCGTAGTGATTTCTTGAATCCGAAACATAACCTGATACGCCACGATTTGTTCTTGACTAAGTGATCCTGATACTCTTGTAGGCAAAGTGTTCTGGAAGCTCGAGCGTCCACTTCTTTCTGACTTGACACCCCAGAGTCCATCTGATTGCATTATTGTCCGACCCCTAGATAGGGCCTCATTGGTCACCATAGTGTATCCTTGTTGGTTCATTTGTTTGTGCCAAGATCTGTATAATGAGAAGCTTCTGCTGTAACTTAAAAATTAAGATTTCGTTGTGAGTGATATCGGTGTCAATGAACTGATAGTACCTGGAAAGAAGGTCATGTCCGAATCTTGCCAGCTAACCTCAAATCAGACTTTGGCCAGCATTTCTGCGACAGCTGCTTTAACCTCGTAAAAAATTTGGGATGGTGCCCCGTCCACAACGGTTTCCCCGTCGCTAATTTTGCGCACAACCACTTTTCCATCTATCACCAGAGATCCTTCGCCCTTGAACTCTGCGATGTGATTTTTTTGCAGCAAGCGCCGTTTGAGCTCGGCCAGCTTAACGTCTCCTATAGCTAATGACACTTTAGGGTACAGTCTTGGGCCATTCAAAAGCGGTCTTAATACCCATTTATCATGATGTGGCTGCTTCGAGTCACCATGTGCCGCATTGTCGCGAACTAAGCGGCCCACAACATGAGCAATGGTATACCCATCGCTGATACTTTGCCACTTGAGGAGCTGATCGAGTTCTGGATCCACTGACACATCTAAGGACTTGATAACAGTTTCAAAGGACGCCGGGGAATTGAACTCAAGACAAGTTACCTCCGAGACCTTTCCTATAAGTGCATCTACAGTCACTGTACTCTGGGCGGCCTTTGGGGCCAGTAACAGAACATTTCGAGGCTTCAGAGAGGGCCAAATCACAGACATCGACCGCTGATCTACCAAACTCGACAAATCGATGGCAACTACTGAACATTTAAGCGCGACGTTAGAAGCCGTTACAATCCTCCGAGAAGGCTTGTTCAGAGTTTCTAGATACGACACATCGTCGAAATTTTCCGCTTTCCTATTGCTGTTGCCCTTCACGCTGTTGTCGCCCCGTCTCTTCTTTGTGGACTTCGAAGATGGCTCTAATTCGTATGGATCTTCGTCTTCGTCATAGACCTCAGTAGATGATCTCTTTTCAGACTCATTAAGCTGGTCCTTGGGGACAAACTGGGAGAAATCAACGACATCGCCGTAATCATCTCTTTTTACCTTAGTTGGATGGAAGGGAAACATCTTGTGCTTGGCGGAAGCTTCAGAGTTGATGAATATGTCAATTGGCGTTTCCGCCGGCTTTACTGAAGCATTTGCCTTTCTGCTAGTAGCTGTTATAAAATCTGGTATGTCCTCGTCGTCATCGTCGTCGTCATCTCCATGTAAGTCAGGGACTCCTGAAGCATCTAAACCCCCATCGACTCCAGATTCTTTTCTCAACCTGATCAATAATTCGTTATGTTCATCGCGTCGTTCTCGTATTTTGCTTTCAAAAGCTTCAAGATCCTGAGCTTTCAGCGTTTCTAGTTTGCACGCAGGTACGCTTACCGTTTCTTTAAAAGCGATAGGTCTGATATTCAAACTCCTAGAGTCCTGTGTGGGGGTCAGTTTCGTCCACTGACTGTACATACTTGCCAACAGTGAACTGGACCCTGTTGTGTCTGAAAAAGGTTCAGTTAAAAAAATCGTCGTCTTTTCCGATTGACCTGATGCCACTATGGTGTCTTCAATGAGCTTTTCCACTTCAGATACAAAGCATATCTTGGGCCCAGAGGTTTTCTTCAGCTCTTCTGGCGTCACAATTGCGAAGCGAGGCCCAAGGTCAAAAGGAGATCTATTATTTCTACTTTCCCATATTTTGACGACAGACGAAGAAAGCCATTCTAGCATGCTTCTGGCGTATGTCAGGGTTCTCCCCCTGGAGTATGACACAAGAAATATTGGAATATCACTTTGGTTGCGGTACTTTCGTTGCTCGTAAACCATATCGTTGACTAATGCGAGTAAGTCCAAAAGCTTACCACCAATTTGCGTAGGAATTAGGGCTGTGCCGTTTCTCGATATCACTTCACGGAGAAGATCCTTGAACTTGGACGCACGTCTTCGATACGGCAATGGTGACCCCAGTCGAGTGGTCGAGGTGATGATCGTAGAGGGCCTCATAAGAGATGTACTTGGTTTGCCGGTGATATCCAAAACAGCAGCGCTGTTAAGAATTGTGTCCTTCGTGTGATTCCAGCGTGGTGCATAGATGACTTTATCTGAATAAGTTGTAATACAGAAAATGGAACCGCCCGGTGCGTACCCAGAATTATGAGCAACCAAAGTTAGTCCTTCGAATTTTGATTTGAGATCCAAAATTTGCGAGTGTTTCACGGTTAAAACATGGTCGAAGGCCTCATCTATATCGGATAGGTCCAGCTGGTTGGTGGCCACAGGGCCTGTGATCCCCTGAGAAGTGTATAAATCTAGAGTTGACACACGTCCCAGGTTCGCCACGGGCAGGGTAGCATATACTGCAATCCTAGTTTGGAAATGAGGAAGAAAGTTCATGTAAAGAGCTGCATAAGCTCCCAAAGACTCCTGAGTTGGATGGCAAAGCAGTATTATATCCGTTTGCGAAACCAATTGTGCCCAGAACTCCAATGCCCGCTCAAATCCCGCAGTGTTTCCATTCCACGCCGGGTCCATCATTATAGTGACGTTCTCGAATGCTAGGATCCCACATTGATGGTTTTTCGACTCATCCAAATGGCACGTAAAGCTGTAGGTCATTAGAGCGGCGAATTCGCGTTTGGCTAGTGGAACTTGAGCCTTGGATATGCTAAATCGTGAGTGCTGTAGTTGTCGTTGTCGCTATTCCGGAACAGAATAAGTTATTTGTTAACGTCTCACGTGATTGATATGTTTGGCCATCAAATATAGCCATCTATTTACTTACCATCTTGAAGACAAGGCTGGCACTTAGAGAAGATCGAATAAGGATTTTTGTTAGAGCTACCGATTGGTACTCTTTTAAGAACATCGAGTTGCAAAAGGGTAATGACCATTCTATTGCCAGTATGGTACGAAATGATACTATCGACGTCAGTAAAACAAACGTGGACAAGGTAAATAATGATTGGAGCGGCTCAACGTCGGTAGTAGTTAGCTTGCAGAACTGTTCGTTCACTTTGTTGATAGACATCTTGTACAATATTCTAAGCACGTGAAACTAAATCTGGTCCATATTGGGGACATATGGCCGCTAATTATACAAGGTTCTGGTGAGAATAATCGGGGTACGGGGTGCAGCTATAGGGCTTGGTAATCCAAGAACTCTATCTGCTGGATGGCTGATAAAATGGCTCCCCAGGGCGTTTCTGTATAATCGCTGTTTCTCTGGATCCCATTCATTGGTTATTTATTTACCTTGGCATTCTTATTTCACTGATGTAGGTTAGTACCACGACTTAATTTCCTGACACAGCTTGAAAATCCTCACTATGCAACTCGTCACAATTCAAACAGTTTTAGATCGTTATCGTCTGGGGATGGTCCAAAAATTAAAGAGTGATTTATTACCTAATGTTCACAGAAGCAGTTGTCCAATTCCTTCTATTGGCCAGGGCGTTCGTTTACGAATTCCGTCTAATTAACTAAGGAATTGAACTTTTTGGTCTAAAATACATGGTGAGTATTTAAAACATTATCTCATATGATCCGACCAGTACACTTAACGTATTTAGGTACAACGTATTACGATCACTTTAACGATCACGGGATAAGGATCAAGGATCAAGTAATATACGTTGTATTCAAGACATACGTACCATCGAGCGATGTGTACCTGATGAAACATTCTACGTGTGTATTCGATTATCACTTGATTTGAGTAGGGTTGTTCCCAAGATGATGCTTCCTCTCGAGATTTTGGAGCGAATAGTCGTATGCGGTCTAGATAGCTTTGAAACTGCAAAGGCCTGGTGCAAGCTCTCCCCGCATTTTAAGACCCAAGTGACACGAAATTTAGGAATCGTAGTGATCGCAGATAGTGACCGCACGAAGCCGCTTTCTTTCAGCAAGGATTTGCTGCACTATAACTCCTTGAGCGACGGTACTAATGTCCTTATGGTGAATACTGGATACTATAGTCGGGTTTCACTGAAGAAGTTTCTGGAGAAATACCAAAACTTACTTTTAGTAGTCATAACTGAACGGATGTTCAGTGATCTTTTACTGTCATTCTTCAATTGCGTTGTCGAAGAGGTCATCGCCATTGGGGCTCAGCATCGAAAGAATCTCTCGATCATCTACCACACTAGCCACTATTTTCTGAGCAAAATGTATTTTCGCCAACTGCAGGTCTGCAAACGGTATTTTCGCTTATGCGAGTTGCATCTGCTTGGTGACAACTACGCTGGTCAATTTAGCAGCATTGATTTGGACCTGGTGTTTGAACTCACCAAGATCCACAACGTTAAGGGCCTTTTCAGTCTGAGCATACTGAACCCCTCGAATGTGCTTATGGCTCCTAAACTTGAGTCGATCCGTGAGCTAGACGTCAGCGCGAGTGTTAATCCCGCGGAGGCATTTAAATACGCTCCGAAGCTGGTAAGAATTGACCAATTTCGTATTCCCACTGACCTCGATCTGGAAATTCCTTATTCCCTCCCCACATGTGACTACTTAAAGTTGATGAACTTCAATCCCAACGCAGCATACCCGACCCTATACGGTCAAGGTATACGCGGCGAATTGGTAATAGCAACATCGCCTAAGACCGAAGGTGCTAGTTTTAAAAGGTTGTTATTCCCAAATGTTAAGAGGCTGGTTATAACTTCTGTCATCTCGATTATCGAGGACGTCAAATTTGAAAATTGCCAGTTTTCTTCCTTGCGAGCATATAATGGATCTCACGCATTTGGACTCACAGACTGGGACAGCCTTGTAGCAGCCGGTGCCCAGCTAAAATCTCTGCAAGTGTCGATTGATACTTGTCACGACTTATTGACCTTAGTGCAATGTCCTTTCACACTAACGGACACGTTTGAGATTACATCAAAATCCGAAAGCACCAATGTGTTAGCGGTTAAGGATAACTTTCTCTCACTTATTGAGCAATTTAAAGCACAGTGCTCACTCTCATCCTGCGTTCAAATCAAGATGAAGGTGGCAAGTGTGTGGCAATGCCTCTTGTTGCATTTGATGATCATACCAAGCATACCGAAAACTGCTGCGCTTCGTCTGGATATCAATCTAGAACAATTGGAGGAAGACGTTGAACAGTACCTTAGTAAAAACAATATCTACAGGTATGAATTATTCCAGTTGGTTGGTTTACCCGCTGAGAATGGGAATTTGCACCTTGTACTCCCACAAACTCTGAATGTCACTCTAGTAGATAGCGACCCTCCGAAAATTGGGAAAACGAAAAGCGGTGGATCAGCGATGATCGAAGCCAGTATCAAAAACAACACAGGTTATATCATGCCTCCTGCAGCAGATTTGACTCAGTATCCGGTCTCTCCGTCAGATTTCCGCAGAAACAGTTTGGCGGGGAGTGATAGTGATACTGCCAGGCGTAACAGCATCGTACATATCCCTAGTTCGGTCTCAGAAGAGGCACGGGTGAGACGGAAGAGTTCTTCTAGCTTCGAGAAGAACTTGGCGTGTCCTATCTTTGATCAGCCTCATGAACAGCATCGAGCTGAAGACCAGATCCTAAACTTCTCATTCGCGGAAGGAAGTCATTTCTCAATTCTGGAGACCACTGAGTACATTGTTGATCACTGTCTCAGGACGTTTAGTCACCTCCAACAAGCATCAACATTGAGATTTAGGTCAAAACTATCAATCAGTCGTAATTGTCATTCTAATTTGATGATGCAAAGCTTTGAAGCAATGTTCGATGCTCTAAGTGAAATGGTCAAGCTGAGAACAAAGTACCCCTGCATGGGACACTTTGAATTATTCATCTTGACCAATTTTCAAGATGAAAGAGAGTTCTTAGCTGACTTGGCGGAGGAAATTAATGAGCTTTTGGAAATGGATGACAAGAAGGAGCGGGTGGCATTGGACCTTGAAACTATATGTGATGAGGCAGGGTTTCTCGCAAAACTTCTACTTCAGCCAGATTAATAAATTCATTTGACGAGCCTTTGAGGAGGTTGGCACAAAGCATAGCATCAATTAGTTTTAGTTTTCCGCTGAAGTAATGCCTTCAATCTTGAGCCCAGCGGCATATTTTTTTGGCAAGAAAGCATTTCCGATTACGACTCTCTTATCTCCTTTATATAGAAGTTTTATTGCTTTCTTCTTGATTCTCAGGATCTTTCTCGGTTTCGGCTTCGGCACCGTTGTCAAACTCTGTCTCCATTTTGTCTTTTGATGGAAGTTCTTTTTTTAAAGCACTTCCAGATGCTGCCTCTCTATTATTATTCACGCTTCCGACTGTCGGACTCAACGTGACTTGTTCGGCCTCATCGTTCGCTACTGCTGGAGAAATGGTGGTGGGCTCGGATTCTCGATCGATCACCTTGGGCGATGGATCATTATCAAAGTCGGACATGCCTCCGACCACTCGATCTGGCGAACTAATGAAAACATTACCGTTGAGGGTATTTTGGGGAGTGACATCTCCTTCCAAACTCTCTCCGCCTACAGCATAGCCCTCAGGTGCCTTGCTTCCTATATCCTGTCTCTTAGCAGGTGGTGACATATCGTGTGTAGCCTCGTCAACTTGTCTCTTGTTTTTGACTTCAAAGTACTCTTTGGCCACCTGCAGGATACCTGACAGCGTTGATTTCTTTGCTCGGGAGTTCTCAATGAGCTCTTCATGAAATAGCCCGGCGAGACCGGTATTCTCGTCAACATTGCTGAGCTTGAATATGTACTGAGATCTGAGAATCCGCAGTTGCTTCCATTGATTTGCGATGTCTTGGGACAGCGTCTCTTTTTCGAAGTTCATATTTTGATGCTCTAATGCTAAGTCTTGAAAAAGCTCTTGAGGGCTATTGTGGTCGGTTTTGATGACTTCAAGCCCAGTTTTTATTTTCCAGGCATTATCAAGCTTCTTATTACCCAGTTTCACCCACCCAAACCCTTTGAATTTGTCGCTGAAGGGCTGCACACTCTCCAAATGCTCTGTAGGAAACTTGAAGCCGTCAAAAATCTTGAACCCTTTCTTGACCTTCAAATCTGTCAATAACCTATCACTTTTTATAATATCACTTAAAACACCTTGGAAATTCAGATCGCGGGAAAGGTAGAACTGGTCAATTCTTTTTGTTATTAGCTCTGAGATTTCGCGCAGTGTTTCTTCTGTGCTACCATTCACTTCCAACTTGGTGTGCGCTTCCTCTTCACTTTGTTTGAAATTCGTTCGGTAAAACTTAGCTGTTGCATCGTCGCTAAGAATATTTTCTATCATGGTCGCGGTTACAAGTAGCTGACACACGAATTGTTTGCGAAAAAAGTCGTTGTATGGATCTTGTAGTTGCGACACCACTAACTCTGAGTCCCACGTTGGTTGGTCTAACATCAATGGCCGCGGGGTGTAGGAGGTGGGGGTTGGAGAAAACTGCGACCAAGTGTTATCGCGGCTGAACACTGTTGAAGTGGATCCATGGCTTGCAACATCGAGCGAGTTAGACTTCTGATTCAACCTCTCAACCCGCAGCTTTCTGAGTCTGATATGTGCGTAGAAATTAGATTCATGGAGAAGGATCTCATCCATTACAGGGAGCAAGTAATCATGTAGATTTAGCCTTTCATTAGGTGGGGAAAAGACCCATTCAACAGGGCATTCAATAAAATCTGACTGAATTTTCTGGAAATCTGTGAAAAAAGCGGAGCCTTCAATTTTGCGATTTCTAGAGTCCCACAACTGCTCTGGCAAGCCCTTGGCTACATTACCGCGCTTATTGGTGTTGGCTTGCTCCATGGGAGGCAGACACTGACATAAAAAGTAATGTATTTTCATCGAGAGCTCATGATGCTGCGGTGTAGCTAGTTTTGAGTTTACTCGCAGCGCGAAGAGCATTTTATTAATCTGATAAGTAACTTTGGAGAAAGGTGCTTTTATTGCGCTCAAAGCAGTTTGTCCATATTGCAAGTCAGACTGGCATGAAAAGCCAAGCTTAAACCAATCCAAGCGCGATTCAATATATGGCCAAAAATCCAGATGGCCCTGTGGAAGATTCAAGAGACTAAGAGCCATCTTGAATAGCTCAAAGAACAGCAACGTCCAAAACTTCACGTTTTCTTGGGACTCACTACTTAAAATTCTCATATGATGGCAGAAGTCCATGACCACTGCAAATCGTGTCAGTTTGACGTTGTGGTCTTCAACTTTGGCTATCTCCATGAACACCATTTTTAGCACAATTTCTTGGTGTAGTTCATCAAAATTGCTCTTAGAAAATGCTTCAATTGCAAGACTAGGCATTTCATCTGCGGTTGTAGTGCGTGACAGCACTGTCTTGTCCAAAATACTATTCTCAAAAAAAGCCTTCTGGACAAATTCAACCTCGCTCAGTAACTCAGAATCTGTTGCCACCATATTTTTAACTGGTAATTGAACCCTTGGATCGTGGTCTATGCCTGCATGTACGCACGTCTTATAGTTCATCAAGTAGGTAAGCTACAATGTCGACGTCTATTTCGTTGAAAGTGGTGATGTCATTATGTACTAGATAAACAGCACCTAAAGCGCAGATGGAATCCCAAGTCAGGCTCAAAATGATACTGCATAGCAGAGTAAGGACGATTCACATTCGACCTTGATAGTAACCCATGCATTATGACTGAAAGTGAGGTTATATTTGGGGTACTCTTGGTGAATTTCCATCATTCAAGAGGTCCGGAGGTAGAATATTCGTATGGACTGCCGAAAGATGTCGAAGCGGCCAAAATTTGGCCGTATTTACCCTTCCAAGCATTACCGGATGGGTCACATTCTTTTGAAGAGACCTTCACATATTTTACACTGGTGTTTAATGAGGCAAAGAACTCCGGACCACCCAGCGATGGTGCAGCGGCAATTTCGAGGGATGATGTTAACGAGTACACCACACTGTTCGCAATCTCCTGTTCAAGACAGATCCGATCAGAAGAACTAATTCAGAGGGAAGAAGATGTCACTCGCTCCACTGTGCAAAAGTCGATAGTAGTTGTCGCAAGAAGACCCATTTTCGGTCAAATTAAAGACAAGCTGAGCATCATCACGAATGCTTTCTTCTTACAATTGGACTTCACCAATAGGGCTATCATAGATACGTTATACGAAAACTTGGCAGCCATGTACCAATTATCTACTCCTGCCGATGAGTCACACTTATACGTCGGGCTATGTTTGCGTAAGATAATACACGATTTTGGAAGAGACACACTGATGATTTTGAAGGCAATCTTACTCGAGCGTAAAGTATTAATCTATGGCAGTAACGTGGAGGCACTGTGCAATGTTCAGTTTGGGTTTATTGGTCTGATTCCAAACCTTATTTACAATCTGAAAGACTGTGGTTCTCCTATGCTACACAGCTACTTTGAAGACTTGAAAGTAGCAGACTCCTTCAAATCTAGTGATCGACAATCAGTCTTGAAGTTTTTGGGATTTCCACTTCAGCTTTTCGGAGAGGGTGGATTCTTTTCACCGTATAGTCCACTTCAGCAATTAAACGATCTGGAGTCGCCAAACACCAAGTACTTCGTTGCCGGTACATCCAATTCCTTGCTGTTAGAGCAAAGCGATCGAATATGTGAGATTTTGGTTAACACGAACCTGCATTCAGTGGAAATAGTTTCATCTGATAAATCCCTCTCGAACGCATTGCAGTTATCTTCCCAAGACAAGAGATGGATAGACTCTATCACCTCTATTGTAAGCGACACATGGAACGAAGATGATCATACTACCCCCAAGAATATGCGATTTGAAGGTAGCGAGGATTTTTTGCGGTGGCAGTTTGAGGACTACCTGACAGGTCTGGTATCCTGCGAGAAGCTAGATTCATTCGTGAAGCTCAACGCTGGGAATGATATGGCACTGAGGTCTGTTCCAGACCAGTGGACCAACACAATCGACTCTTTTAATGCTAACTGGGTGAATGAATGGCGGAAAACTAATAACTACCGGGGTTTCGACAAATCAACAGATGACCGTATATTTGATCTTTTCCCCCCTAAACACGTTTGCAATTCAACGGATACATTAGCCAGCTTGCAGCAAAGGCTAAGCAAATCTTTTCAAGCACTCAGGCGAAAAGAACGCTCGGATTCTCATAAAAGCGAGGCGAGATTGCCATTGGAGCGCGGGGATAACATGAAACAAGGCTTAACATCGGCAATCTCCCAAGAGAATGATGCGATATCCTGGAAGGACTATTTCAGTAGGAAGAAGAAGCAGAAAAGACTTGCCAATTCTCTCATGTCAACGCACTCTACTACCTCAAATATGGGATCAACCCCTGCCGCAATTAGCAGCGCACTTCTCAGTCTTGGTCTCTCTCACCCTCCCTTACAAGACGACTTCGAGAGTACCCAGTCAAACAATAATACTAGTACAGGCCCGGATACCCTAGTAGGCGGACGAGATTCGAATAAGATTTCAGATGAAGAGTTTGAGAAAGTTGAAAGTCAAGTCTCTGGTGGAGAGGATCTCGAGACCAATGTTTGGGCTGGATAAGAGTATGGTATAGCTTATTGATTGATAGACGTTGTATTAGGACTAAGGTGCATGATTCATGAGTTTAATATATTACCAGCCTGCAAAACTTTTAGCAGTTGGGAGAATAGTCAGTGGAATGTGGCAAAGGAACTCCTCGCCCTCTAGGGACTGTTTCGCATGAGACAGGACACCATTTTTGTCTTCGTAAAATTCTTGCAATAAGTCTAAGCTCTCTGCTCGATCGATCAAAACAAACTTTACACAGAGCATCCACTTAAACTGAAATATGTCTGATTTGAATTGACTCGTCATTAGATTATTAGGGGATTTTTGAGGTAAAAGTTTCATGTGTATCACAGATGTGTCTTCGAAGCAAATGCTTCGACATTCGTCCATAGTTTTTCCCTGCTGCTTAACCACCTGTGAGGATGTTTCGAGAGCGTATTTTGGATTAACTAGCTCGAATGATTTGAGAGAGGTTGTTACTGCCGAAGTTTTATATTTCCCTTCGGTTGCAAAATGGATCGTCAAATCGATATTGTCAGCAGTCGTGTGAAAAGGATCTGACAAAACTACCTTAGCGATGAACGCCCCGTTTCGATTAATTACATACTCGTTCTGGCGATTACTGAGCTGTGGAACAAAATCTTCAGTATCGGATGGCTTAATGTCACCCCTATTCTCTTCAGACCAGCCTGCATCAACAAACTCTCGAAATGCTGTACTCAAGTTGTCCCGCACAGAAACAGCATCTCTCTTTATGGGACTCTGGTTACTCTCTTGTGCTGTACCAGAATCATCTTCCTCTGAAGTATCGTAGTTGCCGTCTCGAAACTGGCACTCCATCAATTGATCGACCAATCCTTCTCTTCCGTCATTCAGTTCCGCAGAGGATGCGTGGTCTCTCACCAACCCCTTAAAAACTTCCTTGCACTCCGAGTTTATGTTATTTTTATCTTCCATCGAGGACACAGATATCATCGAACTTTTGCGTCTGAGTAGAATGGAAGAACTAGACTTCCTCCGAGTTCGTGGACTGTCTTTAATTTCCTTAGCGCGGCCAGGCGCCGTGATAGTGATATCTGAATCCAGCTTAGACGTAAATTGCCGGCCGTTGCGATCCAAAAACGGACAAATATGAATATTGAAATCCGCGTTGAATGGGCTCAGAATTTGTGATCTAACCTCCGTCAGACCAAAGTTCAGAATATAGTGTATTTTCAACCGTTTTGAGGTCTGGTATGAGGGTGGCAGCTCCTGCGGTAGGCGAGGAGACTTGAATTGGAATGCTCTAGTTTGTCCTGGATCCAACATGACCTCCGAAAATATCAGCGTTTGTGGGATCAAAAGTATAGGCACTTTTGCCATCTCTACCTCGGGCGCCGCGAGTGATTCGCGTGCCACATCCTCCAAGTTGGAAAAGAGGATACCTGCAAATCCCTGTGTCGCCGAGGCTTTTCTTGTGGAAATGGCTAAAGAGCCCATCCCGGCTAGCTTGTGGTCGGTTGGGTGCTGAAAGCTTTGCGGATTCAAAACCTCCGGATCGTACTGGAAAAGCCCGTATATCTGGACGTAGCATGAGGTGAGAGTAACAGGGTTATGAAAATTTAGTTCCTTCTGTAATTGAGTAATTTGAACCCGAATTTCCTCCTGTCGATTCTTCTGTTCTCGCGTGAAAGGTCCCAGGATCGTTTGCACAGACCACGAGCGTCTCTTGTTGGCCTGCGCCTCTTTATACATTTCCTCCTGTTCCTGCTTGAGTTTGTGTATTTGATGCTCGAGCTGGTCTCTGGTCTGGGGTGAGCCTACGTGTTTTAGTCTAAGTAACACTTGTATGCTTTCCCCAGCGAAACTGGGGTTGGACTCGTATACAACCTCTAACTTGACATTTTCTGCAACATTCTTGGAATCCACGCGATGATTACGCATCGAGTAGGTTTTCACTCAGAGTAGCGAATCAATAGTTTCAGTGGATGACCAATTGTTTACCACTCAGTCCAACCTTGTTTTACCAAATCACACGTTACTTAAGTGCTTATTGACCCATATTTGTTAGGTAAATACTGTCTCTTGTGAGGTTCGAACGAGGACCGCACTGACTCCCGGAATTGTGCTCGAGGCACTCACAACAGTAAAACTAGGGATTAAGCTACACCACCTAATTCATCGATGAGATTTCGTCACAGGCCAAGAGCAGCAGCTTCAAAACTAGACCCCTATCCAACAGTTGACGGTGACGTACTGTGCGGGGAGGAAAAATAAAACTTCCTTTAATCTCAGCAAGCGCATCAGAGACTTAGAACTATTCCATCCGTTTGGTTTCTTTCACGCACATATCCTTAGTGTTATAGATGCTGTGATACTATCTCCATTGCCCGTGCATCAAGAATATGATTACCGATGAGGTTAAAACAGTCAAAAAAATTGAATTCCTTCCCCGCCAGGACTCGAACCTGGAATCTCCTGGTTTCAGAAGTGGATACAATCGTAGCCAGACGCCGTGACCATTGGGCCACGAGGAATAAGAAATTCGTTGCAGTAATTTCCAACAATCATCTACATATGTACAAGTAAGATGCATGTGAGTCGGGCATTGAGGTGTTTAGTCGTCGTGTTTTGCCCAAATCTATTCAGCGCTCGAATTGGTGCTTCCAGTAAATCCCTTGTCATGATCGTGCACCTCTCTGCTAAAAGATCTTTCTTTTCTCGACCTTTTTCCTGCCCTGTCAACAGAGATTTAACTCTTACTTGTTGTTCTCTCACCTTGAATATAAGTGCTTGTGATGGTTTCTTAGCTGGATCCGAGGAAGTTAAGCGCTCACTACTATGGTGGATTGATATTTTCTTTGTGGTTAATGTCGCCCATATATACCATGTTTGTCAGCCAATTATCATTTTTATCTCAGGTGGTATATATGTGCCTGTATATAAAGGAAGGAACTTACCCGAAAGTCGCCATTCACTCAGCATCGCACCAACTAACCATCTTCGAGTAGGAAGCGCAGCAAATACGGCTTAAAATCCATGGTATTCGCTAAGCTTTGGTGCGATTTTTGTCAAGACCAAAGCGGCTTCGAGCCTATTTCAAGATATGGAGATCTCACGCTCTGTTTCGTCGATGGCGTTTTGCTCAACGGTGCCGCTTTGCTGATGATCTTATTCGGATCGAAAGAGCTGCTGCGTTTGTGTCGCGAACCCCACCCAGGCGTGAAATATAGAAAACACTGGCTACTGTTTTCAAGAATGGCCCTCGTGTCTCTACAGCTCGTTTTCGCTACAGCCTCTTTATTCCAAAGCAGAACAACGGTGGATGTGCAATTGGCCTCAGCATCGCAAAGGCTGTTGAACCTGCTGTCTCTCATCGTGGCCCTTCCGCTTCATTTGATTGAGTACAACAGGTCCAACGTGTCGAACGGGGTAGTCATTTTTTATTGGTTCTTCGAGGCGTTCTTTGGGCTGTGCAGGGTGGTGAATCTACAGATAAGGTTGACATATGAGGGTACGATGCCCGTAGCAGACTCTGTCTTTAAACTTACCGTCTTTCAGTGTTTTGCAAGTTTTCTCATTTTAGGGTTGGAATCTTTGTTCACTAAACCCTCGCTAGGCCGAAACGAGTTCTCAAAATACACCAATCGCAGGAAAAACCCATATGACAGTGCTAACATCTTCTCTCGCATTTCTTTCTCCTGGATGACCCAAATGATGAAAACGGGCTATGATAAGTTTTTGACCGAGAACGATTTGTATAAGCTACCGAAGAATTTTGGTAGTGCTGAAATTTCCGATGTGTTTGCCAAACATTGGGACTACGAAGTGAAACACAGAACCAAGCCTTCTCTTGCGTGGGCTCTCTGTGTCACGTTCGGTTGGAAAATGGTCGTCGGCGCTGTATTCAAAGCTATTTTTGACATTCTGGCTTTTACACAGCCCCAGCTATTGCGCATTCTTATTAAGTTTGTGACTGACTACACTGAGAAGGCGGCAGCAGAGGAAATTCCAATAGTAAAGGGTTTTATGATTGCTATTGGTATGTTTTTGGTGAGTGTGATCCAGACCTCTTTTCTACACCAATATTTTCTACGAGCGTTTGACACTGGTATGAACATTAAGAGTGGTTTGACATCGGTAATTTATCAAAAGTCTCTGGTATTGTCCAACGAAGCGGCTGCTACTTCATCTACTGGTGACATTGTCAATTTAATGAGTGTTGACGTGCAACGCTTACAAGATTTGACCCAATGGGGTCAAATTATATGGTCAGGGCCCTTTCAACTGATTTTATGTCTGGTATCTCTTTACAAACTCTTGGGTCCTTCGATGTGGGTTGGAGTATTCATCATGATTATAATGATTCCCGTTAATTCATTTATCGTGAGGCTTCAGAAAAGGCTGCAAAAAACCCAAATGAAAAACAAGGATGAAAGGACCCGCCTGATTAGCGAGATTTTGAATAACATTAAGTCTCTGAAGCTTTACGCATGGGAAGATCCTTACAAAGAAAAACTAGATCATGTTAGAAACGAGAAGGAACTAAAGAATTTGACAAAGATGGGTTGCACCCTGGCGCTTGCTAATTTTCAGTTCAACATTGTTCCGTTTTTGGTTTCAAGCTCAACATTTGCCGTCTTTGTCTTCACTCAGAAAGACAGGCCATTGACTACTGACCTAGTGTTCCCAGCACTTACACTTTTCAATCTGCTCTCATTTCCGTTAGCAGTTATCCCTATGGCTATAACCTCCTTTGTTGAGGCTTCTATATCCGTGGGTCGTTTGCATTCCTTTTTGACGAACGAAGAACTGCAAACTGATTCTGTTCAGCGTAAATCGAAAGTAACTTCCAATGGTGATGTAGCTATCAATATTGGTGCTGACGCGACATTCTTGTGGCAAAGAAAGCCCGAATACAAGGTTGCATTGAAGAATATTAACTTCAAAGCAAAGAAGGGTGAGCTAACTTGCGTTGTGGGTAAAGTTGGTAGTGGTAAGAGTGCTTTAATACAGGCTTTATTGGGAGACCTATTCCGAGTCAAAGGGTTCGCCACCGTTCACGGAAGTGTGGCGTATGTTTCTCAAGTTCCCTGGATTATGAACGGTACTGTCAAAGACAATATTCTTTTTGGACATAAGTATGATGCCAAGTTCTACGACAAGACAATAAAAGCTTGTGCATTGAGTGTGGATCTATCCATTCTTCCCGAAGGTGATCAGACAATGGTTGGTGAAAAGGGCATTTCTTTGTCGGGTGGTCAAAAGGCCCGTCTTTCACTCGCCAGGGCGGTTTATGCTAGAGCAGACACTTATTTATTGGATGATCCATTGGCAGCTGTTGATGAACATGTCGCTAAACATCTGATTGAGCACGTTTTGGGTTCAACTGGTTTACTAAGTACCAAGGTTAAGGTGTTAGCTACAAACAAGATTTCTGTTCTCTCGATCGCTGACAGTATCACACTTTTGGAGAACGGTGAAATTACTCAGCAGGGCTCTTACCATGATGTAACCAGTGACAACTCATCTGCCTTGTCTAAAATTATTGCCAGTTACGGCAAAAAAAGTTTGAAAGGTAAGAAGGAGGGTTCAACGGATTCCCCTACTTCCGAAAGCAGTACTGTAGCCGAGGATAACATCGATCTCCGTAAACTGGAAGAGGACAAGTCAATTGAATCTGATGGGCGGAGCTTGCGTAGAGCAAGCAATGCAACTTTGAGAAGTTTGGGTTTTGGTGATGACGAACGGCCCTCGCTGAAAGAGCACAGGGAACAAGGAAAGGTCAAGTGGGAAATTTATCTTGAATATGCGAAGGCTTGTAATCCTAGACATGTCATGGTCTTTATGGTGTTTGTTGTCCTATCTATGTTCTTGTCTGTTATTGGCAATGTTTGGTTAAAACACTGGTCTGAGGTTAATACCAAATTTGGTGCAAACCCTCATGTTAGCAAGTATCTCGGTATCTACCTTGCTCTTGGTATAGGGTCCGCTCTCTCCACCTTGGTGCAAACCGTTATCTTATGGGTCTACTGTACAATTCATGGTTCACGTTATCTCCACGATGCGATGGCTTCAGCGGTTTTCAGGGCACCTATGTCCTTTTTTGAAACGACACCAATGGGTAGAATTTTGAACAGGTTTTCTAATGACATTTACAAGGTCGATGAATTGTTGGGTAGAACTTTTTCACAGTTTTTTGTGAATGCCATCAAGGTCTCCTTCACTGTTATTGTTATCTGTTATTCGACATGGCAGTTCATTTTTATTGTGGGTCCATTGAGCACCTTATACATCTATTATCAACAGTATTATTTGAAAACATCTAGAGAACTCCGTCGTTTAGACTCGGTCACCAGGTCTCCAATTTATGCACATTTCCAAGAAACTTTGGGCGGTATCAGTACTGTTAGAGGATATGGCCAGCAGAAAAGATTTGTTCATATAAATCAGGCCCGAGTGGATAATAATATGAGCGCATATTATCCTTCTGTGAACGCGAATAGATGGTTGGCTTTTAGATTAGAGTTCATTGGATCTGTCATAATTCTTGGTGCCGCGGTTCTCAGTATTTTCCGCCTCAGGCAAGGCACCTTGACCGCAGGAATGATTGGTCTCTCTTTAAGCTATGCTTTGCAGATCACCCAGTCACTAAATTGGATTGTGCGAATGACCGTTGAAGTGGAAACCAACATCGTCTCAGTAGAACGGATCAAGGAATATGCCAGCCTAACACCAGAAGCACCAGCTGTCATTGAAGATAGCAGACCAGCTGAAGAATGGCCTACTGAAGGCGGAATTAAATTTGAAGGTTATTCGGCACGATACAGACCTGGGCTAAATCTTGTGTTGAAAGATATCAGTCTGGACATCAAACCCCAAGAAAAGGTGGGTATTGTGGGGCGTACCGGTGCTGGTAAGTCCTCCTTAACCTTAGCACTTTTCAGGATTATTGAAGCCGCAAGTGGGCACATATCCATAGACGGCTTGCCTATCGATCAAATTGGTTTGAAGGACTTGAGACAGCATCTTTCTATCATCCCTCAAGACTCTCAGGTATTTGAAGGCACTGTAAGGGATAACATCGATCCCACCCGCCAGTTCACAGATGAGCAGATATGGCGCGCCCTAGAGTTGTCGCATTTGAAGGAACACATCAAGAGTTTAGGCAAGGAGGAACTCGAATCAGCTCTCACAGAAGGCGGTGGTAATCTTTCTGTCGGGCAAAGGCAGCTGATGTGTTTGGCAAGAGCGCTGCTCATTCCATCAAAGATTTTGGTACTGGATGAAGCCACTGCCGCGGTTGACGTTGAGACCGACCAAGTGATACAAGAAACGATAAGAACTGCATTTAAGGATCGTACAATTCTAACCATTGCTCATAGAATCAACACAATTTTAGATAGTGATCGGGTTATCGTACTTGAACAGGGTCAAATTGCAGAGTTTGATACTCCTGAAAATCTGTTGAAGAACTCTGAGAGCTTGTTCTATTCGTTATGCCATGAAGCCGGTGTGACAAAGGACTGATTTAAACAGATCAGTATATATATTATATACATATACATGTTAATGTGAAATCTATACTCCAGCTCACAGGAACGAGGGAAGAAGAGAATGGGCACTAAAATGCGAATCGAGTTCAACTCTATTGAAATTCTGAAGCGTATTGTGCGGCCTGATTTGCGTATGAATTCAAAGTATCATTCTGGCCAGTGGTATTTCCGTTTCCCTGTTGTTGTGCAGCCGTGGTAGCATGCGTAGCTGCTTGGCCATCTGCGGTTTGACCAGATTGTGCTTGCGAATAGTCTTGTTGCTGCTGCTGAGAAGCTTGAGCTGCCTGGGCCGCTGCGGTAGCAGCTGCAACCTGGTCGTCAAATGTAGCATTGGGATCTATCTGGTTGTCGCCGATCTGATGGAAATCCAAAATCTCGGAGTACATCATTACTCTCCAGGTGTCAACGGGTAAATCGGCATCATTGAAATGCCAGTCGAACTTGGCGTCAGCAACAGGTTCATCTGTTGGATCATGATATGGGGCCAGGTAAGGATGACCGAGAGCATCAGCTGCTGTGATTCTCTTATTAGGGTCAAAAACCAGCATTTTTTCCAATAAGTCAACAGCATCGGGCTCGATGTTCTTGAAACGCTCAGAAAATGGAACAGGATCTCTATGTGGCAGAGACGTGACAAATTTTAGAGTATTCACGGAGCAGATTGTGTTGATGACGTCCTCCGGAGGAGATCCCAATAGGTCAGTAATGATAGAAAACTGATGAACATGGTCCTTTCCTGGGAAAAGGGGTTTCCCCTCGATCATTTCCGCGAAAATGCAGCCTGCAGACCAGATATCGACTTCAACGTTATATTTTTGCCATGTCAACATGATTTCCGGAGCACGGTAGTAACGGGTGGACACATATCCAGTCATTTGAGGATCTTGGATTCTGGCCAAACCAAAATCACAGATTTTCAAGTCACAGTTCTCATTGATCAAAATGTTGCTGGGCTTCAAGTCTCGATGGATAACGCCGGCAGAATGGACATATTTGAGGCCCCTCAGGATTTGGTACAAGAAGTACTGTACAAATTGTTTCTCCAAGGGCCGCGTTTGCAGAAGTCTGTGCAAATCCGTGCCCTGCAACTCGGTGACAAAATAAATGTCCTCCAGTGGTGACAGAAAAATGTCCTCCAGGCAAATCAAATTTTCATGTCTAAGGTGCTTCAGCAGTTTCAGCTCACGGTACGTGCGCTTGGCCAGAACAGCTGTAGAGAATGGCTTCATGATTTTTTTGATGGCCACCGGCTGACTGGTATAGGTGTCGGTAGCTGAGCACACCAGGCCGAAAGCGCCCATCCCGACCGGGTTCAGCTCCGTGTAGCGGTTGGTGATCTCGAACACCGTTCCGAAGATCTGTGTCCGTATGAACTCTTCCTGTGCTGCCATTGTGCGTCGAATATTAACACTAACGGATCTTCCAAGGGGGATCCAAACCTTGCTGTAATACGATGGGCAGATGCGTAAACTTCGTCAACTCCGTTTTCTATCCAAGCAACTGCCGGAGCACAATGTCTCGTGTGTAAGAGGGCCGATGAGGTGTGTTTCCGAGACCAGACAGTTGGCTTTGTCTTTTGGTTGTAATGAGCTTCTAATCCGAGAACAACTGATTGCTAACGGCAAACGTAATGGAAAGTCACATCACATACCACGACCAGCCGCCATGGGCACTGTGTACGACTGTGACACGCCTGTCACGTTTTCCATAATTGATCGGCGCAAGCGGCGGCGAGTTGCTGGTCGAGCGAGTGAGAGCTGGAAGTGGCTATTGTTGGACTGGGTAGTGGTGTAGCGCTGTCTGAATAGCATCGAGCTGGGTCGTGGTAGCCTTCGACATTGTGTCAGTATAGTATAAAGTGATATCGGCGACGTCAGTAAAATGGAGGTGTGTAAACAATGGGAACAGCGGGAGCTGGTGGGCTATCAAGCCCGAACGGCACCTCTTTGGACAAGTTCCGGCCATGTGTCCAGATGCGGTCCTAATTTGTAGCCCCAATAACGGCGGAGCGGTGATCAGAGGTCGTTCTGCGGGCTGCAACGGGAAAGCTCTGCAACAGAATCTCCTTACAGAGGAAGAGCGATTGCACAGAAACGCCCTGGCCAGTCCAGCATGTGATCCACGATGTCTATCCACAAGTCGAGCGACTCGAGCCACTTGTTGTTGGGAATAATGTGAGGAAACTGATGGTGATGTGCGCCTAATCGCATAATGAGCGTCAGTAAATACGTGACACAGTGGTACAGAATGATAGTACACAACCGAGCCGTACAAATCGGCCTACCATCCAAGACAAGTCGAAGAGAACGTCTGTCGATGGCGGTTGATGAGTTAGAGCCGCAATCCAGATCTAGAGCGGATGATTAATAATCGTGATATTCAGAGTCACCGAGCGAGAACTGTGCAAATGCCAGGCGTTTATTCAGGTACCTGAACCAAGTAAATAGATGTTGGGAATAATGTGAATAAACTGATGGTGATGTGCGTCTAATCGCATAATCAGCGTCAGTAAATATGTGACACAGTGGTACAGAATGATAGTACACAACCGAGGCCATACAAATAGAGTTACAAGCTAAGACAAACCGAAGAGAACAACTGTTGTCCAATGGGATTGGCCATTGATAAGTTATCGGTAGTGTACGGCATTGAAGCCGTAATCCTTGGGCAATAGAATGATCTAGAATGGGTGATTAATAAATGTGTTGACCAGAGTAACCGAGTGAGAATTGTATAAATACCAGGCTTTTGTTCAGGTAACTGAACCAATTAAAAAGGATTCCCCAGACCCAAGCTACTCATCGTATAATGACTATGTCCGACAAGACAATTTTAGTAAGCTCTCTACTGGTGAATCAGATCCGCCTCGATAATGATTGTGGTACTCAGAGTCACCGAGCCACTCCCAGACTTTTGTTCAGGTACCTGAACCAATTAAAAAGAACTCCCTAGACCCAAGCTACTCATCGTATAATGACTATGTCCGACAAGACAATTTTAGTAAGCTCTCTACTGGTGAATCAGATCCACCTCAATACTTGTGACGAACGGCCTCGGAAGTAGGCTGTTGAAGGCTCTACCACAGGACAGCGTGACACTGGTTCCTTTATGTGTACGAAAAAGACATGTTAAAGCCGCAACGGCCGGGGGCCGTGGTGGAGGCGTGGTGTGGACACAAACCCCAGCTCTCCTCAAGTTGGCAATGCAGTGAACGTCACGGTTCGCCTTGTGTCACGTGACGCGCATGGGATATCCGCTGTGCCCCGGCCCCTGCGGACACACTGGCTCATCACTTTGTACTATTCTGACCCGCCAGGCCGTGCCAGCGGGCTCTTTTGAGTGCGCTGGACCACCACCCTGTGCGACCTCTAACGTTTCGCCCACTACGCAACTCAACTCTATTCAAGCAGGGGCCCACCGCCCACCTCTCGTCGTGTCTCTGTCGTACGTAGCGCGATATACACTTTAGACAGCCCGTTGCCGCGTTTGCGGCGGTCCAGCTGGTTTCTCCACAGGCGGTCCAGCTGGTTTCTCCACACTTGTGTCGCGCCCTCCGTCTGCCGAGGATACGCCTTCCCACACTTCATCTCGTAACCTCTGTCGCTTTTTTCTTGTTTATGTCGGGACTAGTGACTTTACCTAAGCGGAGACAAAATTCAAGCCAGTGCACCCATAGTTCAACCCCGGGGACCAAACAAAGACATACCCGTGCACTGCACAGCACATAGAGGACAGACGCATACAGGGTAGATACAAGATAGAAGGAAGCATACGGGGTAGATACAAGATAGAGGGAAGCATACAGGGTAGATGCTCACAGGATGGAAAGACATATACGGGATAGAAAGATGCTCACAGGATAGATGGGCGCTTTCAACACTACGGGTTGGGCGCTTTCAACACTACGGGATAGACGCTTTCAACACTACGGGATAGACGCTTCCAGCACTGCGGGATAGACGCTTCCAGCACCACTGCTACAGCGCTGGCTCGTCCGGGTAACCCACCTGCCTCCCCGACCTCACAGCACGCCCCCACCGGCCACGTGACCGCGACCCAAAATACCACGCCGCCCGCGCCCTGGCCGCCCGGGCCCAGACTCCCGCCGCGACCAAAAATAGACTCTTTTCCCCTTCCGGCGCGTCCTTCCCCTTCCGGCGCGTCCTTCCCAATCCGGCTCCTGTCCTGCCATGCGTCCTGCCACGGCCCGCGTTTCCGGTGTTTACGTTTACCTATGCGGTTACGTATCCGTGCCTCTGCGAGCACCGACGTGAGCCAGCGGCGAATCTTACCACCGCTACCCAACCAACGGTACGAGACCCTCTCGCCCAGTGTCCCTCAACCCGGTCCACCTCATCGCGTCGACACGGCAAAGAAAAGGACCACCGAAAAACGTCCCATCGCCCTCCGTCTTGTCGGGCCCTCCCTGCCGCTTCCATACTAAGCAAACCGTAAACAATAATTGCTTGTGTGAAGCCACGTATCTCTCTCAGACACCAGCGCGATCCCACCACAAACGGCTTATCTCGTACGACATCGGCCACCCGCGCTGGCCGCGTGCAACCAAAACTGCAAAAAAAAACACACACTCACAAACCCAACCGCAACAAGGGGCGTGACCCGGACGCAAAAGATAGCGTAAATTTTTCGCCGCGGGAACCAAAGCGCAACAGTATATAAGGGGAAGGGTATGAGCCTCGAAGAGATCCGTTGTCACCTTCACTTTTCTTACTCTCTTTTTTTTTTGGTTCTTTTCTCTCCTCATAGATATATATCTTCAGTCACTCGCTTACCCACCAATTTAACAATGCAATTCTCTACCGCCGCCGCTGTTGCCACCGTCTCCGCCGTTGTCGCCGCCCAAAACACCACCACCGTCGACATGGAGTCCACCACCTTGGTGACCATCACCTCTTGCGAGTCCCACGCTTGCTCCGAGTCCGTGTCCCCAGCTTTGGTGTCCACCGCCACCGTCACCGTTAACGACGTTGTCACCCAGTACACCACCTGGTGCCCATTGTCCACCACTGCTGCCTCCAACGCCACCTCCTCTGCCGCCAGCTCCACTGCTTCCGTCACCTCTTACACTGGTGCTGCCGCCAAGGCTTTGCCAGCTGCTGGTGCTTTGGTTGCCGGTGCCGCCGCTTTGTTGTTGTAAGTTTACTGAAGTGAAGATGGGCCTGCACGGCTCGGCTTTTTTCAGATAAATTTATGTTATTATAATTTGTAATGCAACAAGAAGAGATGGTTTTTTTCGACGCAGTTTTAATCTAATCGATCCCAGGCGGGTGTGTGGTGCGGTGTTGGGCGCGCAGAATCGGAGCGGGGAAAACATCCACGGTGGCAGCTTCGCACGCGAGCGCCCTGTTTTCGTGTTTTCCTGCGGTCCCTTTTGGAGTCTCGTTTCCTGAGCGCGATCACAGAAGCACTTTTGCAGCAAGACTGTTCACACTTAACTTGCATTGAAACAGAAAAGATCAAAACCCTTTTTTTTGTTTAGAAAAGAAGAGAGAACTTCTATTCGTCAAGAATTTGAATTTTTATTTAGTCTTTTTAAATAATTTTGGGTGTTTATAGTTCGTTAATCAATTAATTGATTTGGTAATAAGTTGTTTGCCGACAGTTTGTTTGGCGCTCGCTCGCTCCTCCCTGCGCGCGCGACCCGAGCCTTTGCTGTGTTCTTCCTCTTGTCCTTCATTTCTCAGCATGTTGACTAATACAGTCCGGTCCCCAGCGTGAGCTCGTGATTTAGGCTTTTTTTTCCCGTCCACTACATATTACAGTACCTTCGGCGATGGAATACTGACTAACGCTCTCACGCCATCTTCCTGACCGTTCGATTGTTATTCATGGCATTGTCTTCTCGTCTCACTCGTCGTTGTCTCCCGCAGTCCGTGCAAATTTCAAAATAGTCTCTCCTCTTTGTCTTTCTCAACACACCACCACCGGTCTCCGCGCTACCAACTGATGTCGCTGTCGCTGTCACTGAAACCCAAGGGCCCATTGCCTCCGGAGCAAATGTTCTCGTTGCAAGTCGGAACCAAGCTGTTCCAAATCTCGGGCTACTCGCTCAATTCCGATTCGCCGAACTTGTTCACCCAGTACTTCTCCGAAAACGACGCTTCGTCCACGCTGTTTATCGACCGATCCCCACAGGTGTTCAACTTGATCGTCGACCATCTGAGAGGCTACACTGTGAATATCCAGGACGAGACGCAATTCACTTTTTGCTTCTTAGACGCGGTGTATTTCAGATTGCCCCGTCTCCAGGACCTGTTGAAAAACTCCGACTACTACTACGTCTGCGTGGGCGGCAGACACTTCAAACTGCCCAAGACGCTGGTTTCGCAGACCGGCAACTTCCCTAACTACTTTGAGATGACCTGCAGCTCCTTGTTCGACGACGTGCAAGCCATCTACCAGACCATGAACCTCGCCAGACCTCCGCCCCAGTCTCCTCCCTATGTTAACCGCTCCCCCGAGTTTTTCGCGGATCTGATCGGCATTCTACGCGGCGGGGTGCTGGACCTGACGCCCGAACGACGCAAGTCCTTGATTCAAGAATGCCGATACTACAGGTTTCTGCGACTAGAACAACAGCTGGTGCCATGCCAAGTGAAGTGGAATCCCATCCTGCAAGTGGAGGAGATTGTCATTAATTTGAGCGACATTAAAGCCAAGTTTGTGTCACTGCCGCAGCCCGAGGTCAGCTCCCCTTCCGCGGACGAACCCACGGCCAAGAAACGCCGCTTGGCTGCGAATTGTGACTGGGAATCTGTCAAGTACAGACGGCCCTTCGTGGACGCCGATATCACATTTGCCCGCGAGCTTATTTTCCAGATTGCCAACCTCGAGGCCACCTTGTTTTTCATCAAGAATTCCAAGACTATTCATGTTGCCATCTCTGGTCAAACTCTATCCAAGTTCAAGATGGTATTTCAAAGACTTTTGAAAGAACATAATATTGAGATATCTACTTACATGAAACGGGGGTCTATCCTGGTGCTTCCAGCCTGTCTCTCACTGTGCTCACTACAAGTGAACTCCGTGCCTTGTCGGAACGTCAGCGCGATGGTCGAAGAATTGCAGTTGACTGATCAGGTGCTTGATTTCAACAATCCGAGTATTATACCCCAGCTAGTACCCGGTCTTAAGCTGGATCTGACCAAATCGCTGTGGAAATTGGGTGTTAGCGAGAAAAAGATAATGATGATAGCTGTGAAGGCGGACGCAGTTTCAGGGCTCAAAGAATATCACAAAACGTTGGAGTACATATGAAGGACAGTTTCAACTCTAAGCATATATATTAACACCACTGCATACAAATACCTCAGTCCAAGAACCTTCGTAAATTTGACCAGCCACCCGTGAGATTCGAACGCCGGCCACAGTTTGTATGTATAGGCAGGCAATGTGATAATAAAACCAGTGAAACCTGTCTGATTGCAGCCACGGCCACCCTGCGTTTAGCCAAGGTTCGCTTTGTACACATTTTCCAAAAAAAAACAAGTAAATCTCTTTGTAAAACGGTTCATCCTTATGCAGGGGAACTGCTGATCATCTCTGTATTGTTTCAAATTGACCAAATGTCCCATTCCACCAAAGTGGGTGGGACGGAAATTAGGTTGGAAAAAAACTTAGATATACTTCGTTTTGATAATATAATCATTGACGGCATGACCTATCATCCGCTCATCTCGTAATACGCCTTAGTCAAAGAGAATCTAAAAGCGAAACTCGGCTTCGGACTATCGATCGCCTCACTCAAAACAGGTTATAGCGGTTTCATGCTCGACAAACTTCCATACGAGATATGGGAATGTCTTGCTCGTTTTTTGGCACAAGGTGACCGAGTGTCACTTACGTACGTCGGCTCATCTGTTCGAAAGGCAATTTCGCCAATTATCTACCAAAACCTATTTCTAAATGAGAAGCCGTCTGTGCTTAGTGATTCAGATCCTCTTCTAACGAATTTTTGGTCTGTACTGAACATTCGTCGAGCACAGTACGAAGAAGCAGACCAGAAATTGACAGCGCTGATTCGAACCTTGCGAGAGTCACAGCTTCTCAGCTCTTATGTGGAGATTATTCAATGTACCTGGCACCTAAATACTGTGCTTATAAAGGAGCTGCTATGTGTCTTGGGGATGCAGGCAGTCAACCTGAGGCAATTCCGGAATTTTTTGCGCATTGAACTTATTGATCAGTTGGAAATTTTAGGGCCACAATTACAGTCTCTTGTTTTGCCACCCCCCGGTGTTTTACCGCAGGAGAAGGTTGATCCATTTTATCTGCCCCGAATTATCAAATACTTATCGCGACACTCGCTCGAGAATATCACATCGCTAAACATATTTATGGACCCTGGCCTTTTCTTTGGTAATGTAAAACCACATTTCGGGAAGTTGCGGCTGAGGGAGCTAGAGTTAAGTCTGAGGGACGACAACTATTCTTTAGAGTCTTTCAACAATCGGAGATTGAAGTACAGCGATATTTTTGACACCCGCTATCTTGAGAAACTTACGATTTTATCATGGTACGAAAACGACAACGTTGACATCTATAGAAAGTTTTTTCTGGACGAGCTACTGGCTTTCAAAAACCTCAAAGAGTTGACTTTCATGTCATTTTTCTTCAACGATAGCTTTCTGCGAAAATGTCTCCAAGCCTTCGCCCAGCTTCGGCGCCTAAAGCTTGATTACATGTTTAGTCAGCCAATTCCCCAGAATACCATTGAATTACTTGCTCGAAGCCCTTCACAAAAAACTTTGCAATACCTTGACCTTAAATTTCGTCCGTTGGACCCTTATCTTATTACCACCAACGACGGCGCTGCATCCCACTTCGAAATAAACTGCTCCTGTAAATGTTCGAGGTGTCAAGAAGTCATCAAAGACATTATTTACCAGAAAGTTTTTCCCACACCAGCTTCTTCAAATATCCGGAGCATAGAAGATATCCCAAAGCGAGATATAATTACCAGGATAGTATCAGTATCCCCCATAGTTCCGTACACCCAATTCGTCGATTCGCGACCAGGTCTTTCATTTGTAGGCGATCCAGTGGAAGATGCTAGGCAAGTCATCAATGAACTGTTAGGAAGAAGTTTGTTGACCACGGGCGATATCACCAAAGTTTATCATGCGCACTTACATTCGCTAAAGCGAACATTCAATTATTTTCTGCAAAGATTTCCATCTCTAAGATATCTTACTGTCAATGATGTTCCCACGTCCGTTGAGGAAGGTCCCGGTGGTCAACTGTACAACAAACCCATTTACCATAGCCAGTACTATGAAACCAATCAGATCTATGAAGTAGTAGATGAGGAAAATTTGTTTGATTGAATTGAGAACGAAGATCGGGTTTATAGAAAGATATATGATCAGGAGCTGTTGAGGTGTTACATGGCTCCTGACCATTTTTTGAGTTAGGTGTTGTGCACCGTCGCTTAAGTACAAAGTGACTTTACTTCGAATAATGTAGTGACCACAAGCAACGCCATTATTGACAACAGAGTGATCCTTCCGGCAAGCATTCGATCGGAGATCTTAAAGCGGTGAAATGAATGATGATGACGGTGACAGCAGGCTGCGTGGGTCGCCTTCCAAAAATGTTTTCAAAAGATTGAGCACCTCCCCTGTAAAGAAAATGTCTACAAACCTTAATAAAAGTGGGATCAGGGCATCACCACTGCGACGCAAGCCCAACTGGGACCACACCATAGGCTTTCAAACAACTCCCAAGAGATTGAAGTCTCCACCGTATCTTCAGAGCTTCGAGCGCTCCGCTGGCACGGTGAGCGTCGATCGCGTTCACTTTAGCAATGATCCAAACGACGAGTCAATCAAGCTCTCCTTTCCAACCTCTCCCGTGCGAACTACATATGGAAACTCTGTCGCACCTGGCGGTGACGGATCCTTGAGTAGAATTAGGTCAAGATTCAGCGGCGGCCAAAGGTCGCCATCTAAAGCATTAGACAGCGCTAGATCCACCAAAAGCTTGCAAGCACTTTCAAAATCTACACGTAATTTGCTACCCGAACTTCAGGAGCATGATAGTGAGATTAACCACATCACCGCTGTCGAGGACAATTCCCCCAATATCACGAGGCAGAATACATTGTTAAACTCTGCACTACCTCCCAACCGGGACCGACCAAACTTTAAAATCAAGAAACCACATTCGCCGCATCGCCACAAAACTGTGAAATTCGAGCCCATTACTAACGAAAAAGAAATAAAAGAACAACTAACAAATATCTCAGCTTTATTAGCTAAAGTTATGGAGCGACAAGACCAGCTTGAGGCTAAATTAAACTCTATAGGTCATGGCTAGCCACCTATATATCATCCATACAGACTATTCTCAGTCCCAAACAGACTGCTGTAAGGGTATTCCTAGTTTAGCCTTTAAAACCCACATGGTAGCTTTTGCGTCCTCGGAACTGTCGTGCTCGCCGGTTTGAATACGTTTGCTCACCGCTTCAAAGGTCAAGTCTTTAAGTGACGACTTGAATTTTCCCCTGGGATACAAAATGGCTGTATCTATGATCTTCTTATGAATCAGTCTCAGAACGTTCAGGTCATTTTCCATACCATGCCCTATCAAAATGCTGTTGGCATTAATCATTTTATTATTGAGAACAAGCTCCAGCATTTTGGCAAATGATACAGACTTGCTCTTGTCAATAGTGTGGACCCCACTAAATTCGGAATTTAGATCTATCACTTCACCAAAAGGTTGCACTATTTCATCAAAAACCACTTCACTCGAAAAAAAGTCTACAACCGTTAACCTGATTAATTCGTAGCCGCAAGACGTGAAAGCCATTTCACAGTCCAGTGCCAGCACATTTATCTCACCGTCAACATCACTAGTGTTTCTGAAGGGCGAAATGTTCGACATAGCTTCAAACGTCTCTGCTCGGAATACGTGATGCGGAAGAGTTTTGCACCCCAAAGCCAGGAAGGAAGTGGAAGACGTCGTTTCACCACAGCAAGCATATTCTCCTTCTCGGGTCTCACGATTATAGCGTTTTCTTTGCACATGGAATCGGCAGGTGGCCGGGCTCATAATTTTGATTTTATCGAATTTGGAATTACAGCGTATGCAGGTGGTAAAATCACGTTCAGAGCCCATAGCGGATATGCAGCCCACAGTATCCACCTCCCCCAAATTTCCAGTATTATATCCATTGGCTGACAAAGTAGGCCCGTCAATCAAAATGGCCTCCAAACTTTTCATGACAGCAGCCTTCGTCAGCTTATCCTTGACTCCATTTCGTTTACTCCGCAAACCCGAGCTACCGGGCTCTTCCAACTTGCCTCTTGTCTTGATCAGGTCTCGTATCAGCACACTTGAATTGAAACGATAACTTTGCCCAGAGCCGCTTTTGCGCGCTACGCTCGCTTCCAGCTCTATTGCACGTTTTCCCGCGTTCGATGTAGCATCTTCAAATTTCTCCAAGGTCTTCACAATTTTCTGGAGAACTGAGTATCGGATCTGATAAGGTGCCGGTTGAACCTTCAAATCCACAGGCCGTACAGTCCCCATGGCGTATGGTTCAGGTTGAAAGTATTCTCTATGCGGTCCTTCTGGACAACATTACTTCCGTCGAGGCACGGAGTGGTGTGCCAATACTGAATATTTCGTATTTATATATCATCACAAACGGCTCATCGCGATGAGCCTTTGAAAAATTTTGGGCTACAAGCATCATTTTATAACAGTTGAACAGAACGATCCCAAAAGAGACAGAGAATCAGTTATCATAGTAAGGTCCATAAGCTCTAGTGCTACTCAGCAGTTCTTATTGGTAACCTTTTAAACTTCCCTTTTTAACTATCTGGTAATGTCAAAGAACCAGCTTTTGGTGAGTGCCACCGTTTGCAACAAACGTGCCTCATTGTACAATGGTCACTTTGCAAAGAGACAAGTGTCGGACTATGCAGAAATAGATTTCCAAAAGAGTCCCACGGAAAACTTGCAACATATTTCGCAAGTAGCTTTGAATAGCAAGTTTCCATTGGCTTATACCTTTATTTTTAGACCGGTATATTTGGATATGGTTGCCAGATGGGCGCTTTGCGTGTCGGATGCTAAAGATCGCAGCACTATAGTAGCCGACAGACTTGGTCAAGCAATTGGGGTCTATCCCGAAACGGCAATGCTGTGTGACTATTTTCTTGACCACCACCACCAGCATCTGAATTTGATTTTGGACATGGGAGAGTCCCAGCCGGAAAATTCGTTGCACCAGATTTTATTGGCATACTACCGATTTTTACGTTTCGATTGCGAGCGTTTCTCTCGCTTTGTGGCCCCACCAGCTCTTTACAAACTGTTGCAAGGCAATTATGCCAACAATGCCATTAAATTGCTTTCAGTCAAGTTACTTTCGATGTGTTTGAGATTGGCTGAGCAAGCAACACTCGATTTGGTTCACAAACACACGAACATGTCCGAGGACTACTCTGGTGTATTTGGCCCTTACGATGGCGATATCGAGGTAGATTACCGATTTCTGGAGCTCAATGAGGCTCAAAGGCTTGCCAAGTACCATGATTTGTTGAATGCCTACAAAAAGTGCCACTTCGACTTGCCCAGAAGCCGCACTCAAGACTCTTTGGTCGTTTCCTCTCATGACCTGAGCTCCCTTATTGTGATGGTTTACGGTACCCTAATTCCCAGAATAAGCGGAAACGCGAGAAAACACGATACAAGCGATATACAAGAAGGTTTCGTACCCACCGAAGAAGCTCTTGCTTCCATTCGTGCCTTAAGCAAGTCTATACAGCTCTCTAAGCCAGTGATGCTAATCGGTAAAGCTGGGTCCGGTAAGACATACCTCATTGATTATCTTAGCAAGTATACCGGAGCTCATGAATCGATGATCAAAATTCATTTAGGGGAGCAAACAGATGCTAAACTTTTATTGGGAACTTATACCTCGGGAGAAAAGCCGGGGACTTTTGAGTGGAGAGCTGGCGTATTAACCACTGCTGTCAAAGAGGGCAGGTGGGTGTTAATTGAGGATATAGATAAAGCACCGACTGAGGTTATTTCAGTGCTCCTAACGCTACTGGAGCAGCGCCAGTTGAGTATTCCGTCCAGAGGTGAGACAATTAAAGCTGCCAATGGCTTTCAAATAATTGCTACAATTAGGACACCAGGCGATGACGACAAAAACGAATCCCAGTATAAACCCGACCTAATTGGTATTCGGCTATGGGATATCGTACGCCTCAAGGAACCCGGCAATGACGAGCTCCTGGTGATCTTATCCAACAAATTCAGTGCTCTCAAGAATCTAGTAGGAAGGTTTGTGGAGACTTACAATGCGGTACGAAGGATATATTCAAATCCACAGTACATCTCTATGAACAGGGGTGTTCATCCTAGGGTGGTAACTCTGCGAGATCTGGTGAAATTTTGCAGCAGGGTTCAGACCATCTTCAAAAACAACGGCATCAAAAGCGCAGAGGAACTAATACCATCCCAAGTATACGACGGTATTTTCTTTGAAGCCGCAGATTGTTTCGCATGCGCAATTGGCGAACAAAGAGCATTAAGACCATTAGTTGAAGCGATAGGAATTGCCCTAGAGATACCTGGCTCTAGAGTAAACCTTTACATTTCCAAGCATGTTCCAGCTTTCGAAGAGGATACCTCATCTGTACGCATTGGCAGATGCGTTCTTGCTAAAAATCACGTAAAACTGCTGAAGAAGTCGAGTAACGACACATCTTTTGCCCGAACGAATCATTCCTTAAGACTTATGGAACAAATTGGGTCATCGATTCAGATGTGTGAACCTACCCTGCTTGTTGGTGAGACAGGTACAGGTAAAACTACTGTTGTTCAACAAATGGCGAAACTGTTGAACCGAAAATTGACCGTAATTAATGTATCTCAGCAGACAGAAAGTGGGGATCTGCTGGGTGGCTTCAAACCAGTTAATACGAAGACAATAGCGGTTCCTCTATTAGAAGATTTCGAGAGCTTATTCCCTGCGACCTTTTCGATGAAGAAGAATGAGCGTTTTTATACTATGCTTCACAAATGCTTTAACAAAAATCAATGGAAAAATGTCGTCAAGCTTTTGAATGAAGCATTCAAACTGGCTAAAAATCTGCTAAGTGATGACCACGACGACTCCTCAGACAGTTCGAAAAAAAAGAGAAAGCTTGACTCCTACAGGAAGAAAAATTTGATGGATAGGTGGGTTGAGTTTGATCAAAGAGTCAAGAACTTTGAGGCACAGTATTCGTCCATCGAAAACTCGTTCGTATTCAACTTTGTCGAGGGCTCTTTAGTTAAGGCTGTCAGAAATGGAGAATGGCTTTTGCTAGATGAAGTTAATTTGGCGTCTTCTGATACGCTCGAAAGCATATCAGATTTACTTTCGGAGCCTACGTCTCGAAGCGTTCTGCTTTCGGAAAAAGGACAGGCCGAGCCAGTGAGGGCACATCCGGATTTTCGTATTTTCGCCTGCATGAATCCAGCTACCGATGTAGGGAAAAGAGACTTACCTGCTGGAGTTCGGTCGAGGTTCACAGAAATTTATGTTCATTCTCCTGACCGTGATATTACAGATCTTCTATCTATTATTGACAAATACATCGGGGCGTTTAGTGCTAGCGATGAGTGGGTTGGAAATGATGTTGCAGAACTGTATCTAAACGCTAAGCAACTCGCCGAGGCAAACAAACTGGTAGATGGCTCAAATCAGAGACCACACTTCAGTATTCGTACTTTGACTCGTACCCTGATTTACGTCCGAGATATAGTCAAAATTTATGGTTTGAGAAGATCGCTATATGAAGGTTTTTGCATGTCCTTCCTAACATTACTCGATGAGAAATCAGAACTTTTACTGCAACCATTAATTGAAAAGCTAACCTTAGGAAGGCTAAAAAATCCAAAGTCGGTGATGTCACAGTCCCCAGCATGCCCTGGGCCTGAATATGTCCAGTTCAAGCACTATTGGATGAGGAAGGGACAACATGAAATCCAGGAACAACCCAACTATATCATTACGCCATTCGTGGAGAAGAATATGCTCAATCTCGTTAGAGCAACTTCAGGACGTAGATTTCCAGTTCTAATCCAAGGCCCAACTTCTGCGGGCAAAACTAGTATGATCAAATACCTTGCCGATATTACAGGCCATAAGTTCGTGCGTATAAATAACCACGAACACACGGATCTTCAGGAATACCTTGGAACGTATATGGCCGATGACACAGGTAAGCTTTCTTTCCGGGAAGGTGTATTAGTAGATGCTTTAAGAAGAGGACATTGGGTAGTGTTAGATGAGCTGAACCTAGCCCCTACTGATGTACTAGAAGCGTTGAACAGGTTGTTGGATGACAATAGGGAGCTTTTCATACCCGAAACCCAGGAAGTAGTACATCCTCATCCAGACTTCATGTTGTTCGCTACGCAGAATCCACCCGGAATATATGGCGGCCGTAAGATATTGTCGCGAGCATTTCGGAATCGTTTCCTAGAGTTACACTTTGACGACATTCCACAGGATGAGCTTGAAATCATTTTGAGGGAGAGGTGTAAAATCGCACCCTCATATGCTCAGAAAATAGTCGAAGTTTATCGCCAGCTCTCTATTCAACGATCTGCTATGAGATTGTTCGAGCAGAAAAATAGTTTTGCAACTTTACGTGATTTGTTTCGTTGGGCGCTGAGGGATGCAGTTGGCTATGACAACTTGGCTGCGAATGGATACATGCTGCTAGCAGAAAGATGCAGAACGAAGGAAGAGAAAGTGGTGATCAAGAATATCCTTGAAAAAGTCATGAAGGTAAAGTTAGATATGGAAAGTTATTACAGAAGCCTTGAGAACAAAGACCTGCAATCCATGCCGAGTTCCATTGTTTGGACCAAGGCCATGCATAGACTTGCTGTTTTGGTCTCAGCTTGTTTGAAGAACGATGAACCAATTTTGTTGGTAGGTGAGACGGGATGCGGGAAAACAACCATCTGTCAATTAATTGCTGAGTATGTAGGATCGTCCCTCATCACGGTGAACGCCCATCAGAATACCGAGACAGGTGACATACTTGGTGCTCAGCGACCTAACAGACATCGTTCCGACATTCAAAATCAATTGACAGCGCTTCTAGAACAAGTCTTACATTGCCGTTGTGGAAATTACTCTTTGGATGAGCTTTTGGCCCTCTATGACCAAGAAGATAAGAGTTCACTTTCTCAAACAGATATTGAAAGAGTGAAAAGCTTAAGGGAGAGCCGAGAAATCTTATTCGAGTGGTCTGATGGTCCCTTAATACAAGCTCTTAATGGTGGCCAATTTTTCTTGCTCGATGAAATTTCCCTAGCCGATGATTCTGTTTTAGAAAGGCTCAATAGTGTGCTGGAACCAGAGAGAAGTCTTCTGCTTGCTGAAAAGGGAGGCTCTGATAGCCTAGTCCAGGCTGCCAAGGGATTTCAGTTTTTTGCGACTATGAATCCAGGTGGTGACTATGGAAAAAAAGAGTTATCCCCCGCCCTTAGAAACCGGTTCACCGAGATATGGGTTCCGTCAATGGAAGACTTTGAAGACGTGCAGCTAATTGTTAATTCAAAACTCCACGCGGAGGTGTCGGTTTTATCTAAACCCATCGTCGAATTTTCCAAATGGTTCGGCGAAAAGTATGGCGGTGGTAATACCAACAATGGTGTGATTTCTTTGCGTGATATTTTGAGCTGGGTGGAATTTGCCAATTTTACTGCGGAGAAATTGCAGAATAGTTATGCAGCATTAGTCCAAGGTGCTGCCATGGTATTCATTGACACACTTGGAACAAATAATACAGCCTATCTGTCTGATAATGCGGAAACGCTCAAGTCACATAAGCTAGATTGTTTGAACGCGCTGAGCCATAGTGCTGGAGCCGAAGTCCATCATTTATATCAGAAACAACCTTCTTTAGTTGTTAACGAGCATGATTTGCAAGTGGGACTTTTTTCACTAAAGAGAACATCACTTGCGACACATCCTCAGTTCAACCTTAATGCCCCAACCACTATGAGTAATCTAATGCGGGTCGTACGAGCTATGCAGGTGAATAAACCTATTCTGCTAGAGGGAAGCCCTGGTGTTGGCAAAACTAGTCTAGTTTCTGCTTTAGCGGAATGTACAGGCAACAAGCTTACTCGTATCAACTTGTCAGAACAGACAGATTTGGTGGACTTATTCGGGTCAGATGCTCCTGGTGAGAGAACTGGGGAGTTTGTTTGGCGCGACGCACCTTTTTTGAGGGCAATGCAACTTGGAGAGTGGGTGTTACTCGATGAGATGAATCTCGCTTCTCAATCTGTTCTTGAGGGTCTGAATGCTTGTTTAGATCACCGTGGCGAGGCATATGTCCCTGAGTTAGATAAGTCGTTTTCTAAACATCCCAACTTCACCGTTTTTGCTGCTCAGAATCCTCAACATCAGGGTGGGGGCCGAAAAGGTCTTCCTAAATCGTTTGTGAATCGATTCAGCGTCGTATATGTCGATTTGCTTACTCCTCAAGACCTTTTCTTGATAGCTACTCACCTTTTCCCCAACATCGACCACAAAGCTTGTGCCCAGTTGATCGATGTAATTGCCACGCTAGAAAATGAAGTCTCAGATCGAAAACTCTGGGGTCACTCAGGTTCTCCCTGGGAGTTCAATCTGAGGGATACTCTAAGGTGGCTCAAGCTGCTCGACACACCGTCGCTCTCAAATAGACAAGGGCCCATCGACTACCTAGACATGATTTTGACGCAAAGGTTCCGGACAGACGATGATCGCATCAAGGCTAAGAATGTGTTTGAGCGGTTTTTTGGGAAAATCGAAAAACGAGAAAGCTACTTTCAACTCACTCCAGAATATTTGCAAGTGAATGGGGAGCTCGCTTTGAGAGATGCTTTTTTGAATCATACAGCTCTGGAGGGCTCCATTTCTCTTCAATGCAATTTTGGTATTTACGAATCAGTTCTGAGGTGTGTTAATAGGAACTGGCCGCTTGTGCTCTGTGGACCAACAAATTCTGGGAAAACTGAAATTATCAAGTATATGTCGGGAATCCTGGGAAAGAAGCTTGTGAGCTTTCCCATGAATAGCGACATTGATAGCATGGACATTTTGGGTGGATATGAACAAGTGGATTTGAATCGAAAAGTTTCACAGTCTGTTGAGAGGTTAGTTACGAGTTTGAGGCAATTGATAGCAATTAATTTGGGCTCTGAGAGCTCGGAAGAAGATGCAAAGGTAACAGCACTTGAATTATTGCATTTCTTGACTACCAGGTCAGTTGAGATATCTGAACTAGAACAGTTTTTACCACTTGTCGAAAAGCTAACCTATTTCTCTGATGATGAGAGAATCGGCTTGGCTCTGGCTGACTTTCGTTCTTTACTGAAGAAAAGAGACGTCCCATCCTCCGTCACCTTTGAGTGGTTTGACGGCTTACTATTGAAAGCTATGGAAGAAGGATCTTGGCTTGTGTTGGAAAATGCTAATTTATGCTCTCCATCTGTATTGGATAGACTTAATTCACTTTTGGAAACCAATGGGTCTTTGATTATCAACGAATGCAGCCTGGCCGATGGTCGGCCTAGAATAGTTGACCCAAATCCCAATTTCAGGCTCTTTTTGACCGTAGACCCGAAGTTTGGTGAGCTATCGCGGGCTATGAGGAACAGGAGTATTGAAATTCATGTCGACAAATTGGCTAAAAGAGCCACATCTTACGACAAGGCCACCCTTGGGCGCGAATTTTTTGCCGAGGCTGGCGAAGCTGATGATGGCTTCGAGGGGATCATGAGCTGTACACCTCTATGTCGCTTTGTTCCCGCAGATAACTCTGAGATTATGCAATTTTCGAAACTTCACGATATTGGCATGATTTCTAATCCGAATACCTTTGAAGCTGTCGTATCCATATTGCCACAATCGGCTTTTTTTGCTTTGGATGGCTGGATGTCGAATGTTGAGCAGACGAGCTATTTCGTGGAGGGCGGAAACGTCGAGAAGTATGTGCGATATGCAGGATACTTAAACAAAATTGGCGTTTTACAGAACGTCTCACATTTATCGCGCCAACTCGTTTCCAAGTTTCTCAACCAAAACGATTTTTTCGGTGTTAGCCAACCCTTATTACCATCGCTCAACTCGTATGTGGCCGGTGGGATAGCTATGGACTGCTCAGCTATTACCTCTTCCGAGCCACTGTATTTCTTTGAGGTCGCCAGAAAATTGTGTAACTTTGCACAACAACTCGATGACGTTTCGAGAAGAGCCCAACACGTTAAATTGAGAGACCTTAATTATCTTGAGTTAAGTGCAGCCTACGATATTGGTCGAGCGATTAAGAGAACTCCTCAAATACCCATCTTCAAAGTTCTTGCACAGCTGTACAAAAGCATTGTGGAGATGATCAGCTCAAATGAGCTATTTATTCGCCAAAAGGTGTACAAGGACTGTTTTGACTTGTGCGCTATTTGGATAGGTGCCTTTGATACTTCAAAAACCCACAATTTATCCAAACTAAGAGCCTACCAGGAATTACTGTTCAATTGGCACCGGGATGCGACCTACCAAAACTCAAGCTCTCAGGAAGTTCTAGAAATGGCCCAATTCTTAGGGAGTTCACTGTCAATGGATACTGGCAGGTCTATCACTCTCATATGGAACGCATTCCGGACAAACAATCCTGGCTCCAATATCGCCTGGAACCAACTAGAGAAGCTGATCAGTGTATCTCAAAAATTTGATGAAGTTGTTCAAAAACAGTTTTCAGACTCTTACGACCTCATTAGTAACTTGAGATATATCATATTGAGCCTTAAAGCAGATATTGTGTCAGATACGGCGACTGATTTTGATGGTGTCTTGGAGACCTTACAAAATGGGATTTCCGAGCTCGAAAGCATTTCGAAACGATTTTTGAACCAGAGAAAACATCACTTTAGGCCCGAATTCGATGCACTGATGCGAGTTCTATGTCATACTGACAATGCTCAAAGTCAAACAACGAGAAGTTTAGTCTCATACAGTTCTCTGAAGAGCGAAACGTTCCTGGAGTTGCAGAAGGATAAACTGAGCCACCCGGCGGTCTTCGAATTGCTGTGGACAAAAGATGATGATGGCAAGTTCCATTCCTTCACGGGCTCAGTATTTGATAGCTCCATCTTAGAAACTATCGTGACTAAAGTGACCTCCTTCAAATCTATCAGTGGCAGTCAAATTCCACAAGCCGTAGAGGACGCATCTGTTTTACAAGAAAAGTTAATGTCATGCTCAAGTTTGGTGTTGTCTGACAAAATAAACATATCCAAGAAAACTCTATTCGACTGGTATAAGAAGCTTGTTTCAGTTCATGTGGATATCAAAGCATCTGCCACACTTGATGAGATACAAGAGGTGCTATCCGACTGCAACGACGAATGGTTCAAGCGCATACATCAGGACTTTTTGCTTGCTGCGGTTGTGACCTCTTTGGATTGCGCCAATCTCTTTACGCTGGGTAAAGCCTGGATTTTGTTCTCGGCTGGTGCGCTACAACTTTTTGCACCTAGCACACCATTCGACCCTGCTATTCGTGATTACGTCCTATTTGATAACTATCAAATTAGGGTATCAATGTCCAAGGAGCTTGCGCTTTGCTGGGAGCATTGCAGAAGGGCCTTGAGCGGAGACGAACCCATGTCAATGGAATTATCCCTTGAATGCACTGGTGACATAGTCCCACCTTCCAAACCTAGAGTTTACAGACCAGAAAGACCCATTGATCCTCTGTTTGAAGAGTGGAATGCATTCATAAGGTCCACAGTAGGTTTGGAATCAGTAAGAAAGCTAATGGCTGCACTAGAGATGTTTGATTCTATGTCAGATAGTCAACTCAACTTGTTCCAACAAAATTCTTCACAGTTTTTGGATCGTCTGAACTCGAATTATCGTGTTTATTCTGATTTGAATGACATATTCCGCGGATATGTTTTGGGAATGAAATTTGGGTTTGACTTAATGAGACAGGGCAAGCCAGAGGAGAGAAAATCTGTCAAGCTTTCTCCCCTGTGGGCTATTGATTCGCATGTTATAACGTGCCCACATCAGATCAATACCTCATTTGGCCTTCTCAAAAAGCTATTCAGCAAAAAAACCGTCAACAATCTAAGTGTTGAACGCATTTCCATATTTTACTTGAAATTGTTCAGTTTCCACGGAAAAGACAGTCGTCTTGTGAGTACCTTCGAAAATTCTCTTCAGACACTATACTATAGATGGTCAATGCGCCGTCTGCAGGAAGAGAAGACCGAACAAGGCAAAAGTGGGATCTACAAATACGATGACACTGATTTTGATGTGGAGTCTGACTTCAAAAACATGTTCCCCGACTATGAAGACGTTGTTCTGGTTAATGCTTCCGGTACGCAAGTGCCTTCTGATGTGACAGTGTTGAATGACCTTTATTTTGAGATTGCGACCACTTATTTGAACCTTTTCAATAGTGAAAGTCAACTAACCTTCACGGACATGATCGCGGAAGGTTGTAAAATATCCGGTGACCTAACCGAGATCGGAGTAGAGTACATGAGCCATTCTCCTAGACCAAGTACCTTGACCCCGGTCTTACATCAGTTGTCTCGAGAAGTAAAGAGTTTCCAACTTCCAAGAGAGTCTGAAAATTTGGACTTCTATCGCGATTCGTCTGTTTATGAAACAAAGCGAGCAGGAGCCATTGTGGAGAAGGTATGGATTTTAACTGATAACCTCTTAAGTCAATGGCCTGAACACTCGACCTTGAACGATTTGTCTCGAGTGTGCCGCGAGTTCATGGAGTACTCCGCCGATACTCCAATTGCTCGACTACTGCAGAAAATCGAGCAAATATTCACCATAGTCACAGAATGGGAAAAGTACGCCTCAGTTGCAGTCTCGCTTGCTACGTCTGTTAGGGAGTTGACAAATTTGGTAGTGTCCTGGAGAAAGCTAGAGTTGAGCACTTGGAGTAGACTATTCGATTATGAAAACCACATTTTGAACAAAAGTGTAGGAAGGTGGTGGTTTCATTTATTTGAGACCATCATGGTAGCTGCACCCAATGAAAACTCTGCAGATGCTATTGAGGTGCAGGATGACTGCAAGCTACTTGGTTCCTTGAACATATTCATCAGTAAATGCACCCTCGGTGAGTTTGGTGGTCGTCTTGCCTTAATAAAGGCATTTGCCAACCATTGCATATTAGCTAAATGCAAAGCGGAGCGAACTACCCATTCCCTGCTCAATGTGGTGACCTTTTATGAACAGTTTCTGCCAATTGTCGAAAGCAGCCTGGAAGATGGAAGGAAAAAGCTGGAAAAAGAAATTTCCGACATAATCTTGCTTGCTTCTTGGAAAGACGTGAATATTGATGCTCTCAAACAAAGTTCGCACCGTTCGCACAATAATCTTTACAAGATAGTAAGGAAGTATCGTACCCTGCTGTCACAAAGCGTCTTGCCTATTATCGAAAGTGGGTTACAGAGTCTTTCAAAAGCCAGCTTCGAACTGGACAACTTCTCCGAAAATATGGCCATGACTTATGAAGCGGCAGAAATGAACAGAATACTTTCAAACATAAGCTCTTGGAATGATAGGCCCTCCGCCTTGAAAAATCTGGATTTAAGCACAAAAAATATGTCATATCACTGTAGTGTGATTGAGGCCGAGGAATACCCCGATTTCACTATTTTCGCCAAGGACGTGTGGGAAGACGCTGATCGATTGCGTAAGGAGACTCCCAAAGTCTACAATAAGAGAGAAAAGAAACTTCTCGCAGCTTTGAAAATACAGAAGGCGAAATTGCTAAATGATTCTTTGAAAGAACTAAAAAGAATGGGTTTGAAAACAGGTTTCAGGGATGACATACGTAAGGTGCAAGAATCAGTGACATTAATTTTGAGTTCTATTGATTCGTTCAGAGATAGCGCACTTGCGGGATGTGACGCTCAGTTTTTCCGTATTCTCGAGCTCATTCCCCGCCTGCGTTTTGTTGCATCTAGTCCAGCAGAGGACGCTCCACTTCCTGCGATTGAGAGGGGTATGGCTGTATTTGAAAACTTGGTTTTCCTATTGATATCTAGCAGGGGCACTTTCCGAGATTTTGCGGAAAATTTCAGCCTTCTTGCTGGTATGCGATCACGTCTAGAGCAAGTGGCAGTAACAAAGGATGTTTTAATGCACCGTCCTTTAGCAATGAGCTTTGATAATTATTCTTTCATCTGCAAGTGGCTACCCAAACTTTTGAATTACGCTTCTGAAACTTTGAGCCTCACATTTTCTACCTCCGAGGAAAATCCTCTGTACAACGTTATATCTGGCGCTGCCGAAAAGGTGATGGAATATCAGTCATTGATCCATGATCAACAGGTTTTCGACGGAGGTTCGCGAGCCCTGCTCATTGAATTCAGTGAATTTTGCGATGACTTGTCAGCCAGGCTTTTGAAAGCCAGCTCCTCAAAAACTGCATTCTTGGCTCGCATTGTCATCGAGTGGTTAGCCGAACAGCGATCTTCCCTGCAGTTTGATGAGAGTCTCGAAAATGCTGAAAATATCGAGATAGTTGATCAAAGCTTTCGCAGAGTAAATACTTCGATCATGCTCACAATACAAAAGCTGCTACAGGATAAGCCCGAAAAAATTGTAATGGATGAAGACAGTTGGCTAACTTCTTCTCACCAAAGAATTAATTCTGTCGCTAAGCGAGTGACCTCTTCCAAAGTTACTATGAATATGAAGGACGCCTTAGACCTAATTTGCTCCCAAAAATATTCTAAACGTACATCAAGAATGATTACAGCTATTGTGCAGTTTACAATGCCAATGCTTTCCAGATACAACCAACTCCTAGTCTGTCTCATGAATAGGATCAAGTGCCACTATGATACCGTATCCCATGGCACCATCATACTTGGTGGGATACTTTACAACCTAGGAAAATCTGGATTTTGTTCACCAAGTCCACCTGACGAGGAGACAGAAGACCAAAATTTGCAGGACGGCTCGGGGCTTGGTGACGGTGATGGCGCTCAGAACAATTCAAATGACGTTGAAGAAGATGAAGATCTGCTGGAAAATGCTCAACAACCCGACAAAGAACAGGAGAAGAAAGAAGATCAAGATGAGGACGAGGAGAATGCCGTCGATATGGAGGGGGACATGGCAGGTGATTTAGAGCAGGCCAGTGGGGAGGACGACTCCGAAGATCATGACGATGATGAGGAGGAAGACCTAGACGAAGAAGTAGATGATTTGGATGAAGATGATCCCAATGCTCTCGATGAGAAAATGTGGAACGAAGACGCGAAGGAATCTGACAAAGAGAAGGAGGCCAATCAGGCCCCACAGAATTCCAATGAAGACGACGTTCAAGCTGCCGAAGGTAACGAAGATAATAGCGCTGACGACCGGCAGGAAAACCAGGAGCGTAGCGAAATTGATGAACAAGATAAGGAGGAAGAAAGAGAAGAACAAAATTCTGAACCAGAGTCCAATGAAGAAGACGAAGGCGTTGGGCAAGATGATGAAGTCAGAAATGACGAATCAGACCAGTTAGAGAATCACGTTCCGGAAGTGGAAACCATGGATTTACCTGAAGATATGGACCTGGATTCTGGCGAAGAGGAGAGTGGTGATGAAAATCACGCCGAAAGTGAGGGCGAATTAGACGACGGAATGAGTGAGGAGAACAAAGAGCAAAAAGAAGAAGACGACGACGAAGAAGGACAGGGAGCGGAAGGGGAGGAGTCTGCGCTCCCTGATGAAAATCGAGATTCCATTGAGGACGAAAATGAAGCTGACGAGGATAAAGAGGATATTGATATTGATGAACAGGAACATGGAGAGGACTCGGAAGAGGTAGACTCCGGTAACAAAGACGACCAGGAAAATGACAATGCAGCTTCAGATGCCGAACTTGCCAACGAGGAGGACACTGCTAACGACAATAAAACTGGCGATGACATGGACACTCAAGAAGCAGGGGGGGAAGACAACTCAGAGGAAAAGTTAGAGGGCTTAGATGGTGTCGAAGATATGATGGAGATTGACAGTCAAGACTTCGAATCCACTGTTCAGCAGCAGAGTGGCGCTCAAGGGAAAGGAGCTGATGCTGCCAACGATGAGGAGGATGAAAATGTCGGCAGCTCTGGAAATGCCCAACAGCAGCAGAATGAAGATTCCAAAGATGAAATAAATGAGAACTCACGGCAAGAAGCCAAAGAGAGCCTGAAGCAACTTGGTGATAGTCTGAAAGAATTTCATAGACGCCATCAAGAAATAAAGGAGGCTACATCTACAGAGGATAAGCAGGAAGAGTCAGCGTCGAATGATCGCCCTGATGAGTTCGAGCATGTGGAAGGTGCCGATGCGGATACAAATACTCAAGCACTGGGCTCTGCTAACCAAGATCAAACGACGGCCATCGATGAGGAAAAGGCAATAGATGATGATATGGAGGACCTCGAGCATGAGGACAAACAAGAGGAAAAACTTGAGGATAGCGAAAGGGAGCTTCAAGCTGAAGAAAGCGAGACAAGGGAATCTCTCGACCAACCGCAAGACAAAGATAGCCAAGGTAAGACCAAAAGTGCTTTTGCAGAATCTCAGAGGAACTTGATGGAGCAGAGTCCACTTTCTAACCTTGACATGGTTGAGACGGATATGAATGATCTTGATGAGATTATTGACGCCATCGATCGGAAAATTATAATTGAGGAAACTAGCGCGGTACCTCCCAGGGCTTTAGAAGAAGCCAGACAACTATGGAGGACAAGTGAAATCGAGACTGCTGAATTGGCCGCCGGCCTTGGGGAACAGTTGCGACTCATTCTGGAACCTACGCTAGCCACTAAATTAAGAGGTGACTATAAAACTGGTAAGAGACTCAACATGAAACGAATTATACCATACATTGCGTCCCAGTTTCGCAAGGACAAAATCTGGTTGCGGAGAACGAAGCCAAGTAAACGTCAATATCAGATTATGATCGCAGTGGATGACTCAAAATCCATGAGCGAATCAAAATCTGTAGACCTTGCTTTCCAAAGTATATGTCTGGTGTCCAAAGCACTTACTCAGCTGGAATCGGGTGGTTTGTCGATTGTCAAATTTGGAGATACGACGCACGAAGTCCACCAATTCGACCAAACGTTCGGCGTAGATGCTGGTGCAAAAATATTTCAGTGGTTTGACTTCCAAGATACTCGCACAGACGTTAAAAAGCTGGTTGCAGAATCTCTTCGTATTTTCGATCGTGGACGGGCTACAAATAACGCCGATCTATGGCAACTGCAGATTATAATCTCCGATGGTGTGTGCGAGGACCACGATACAATTCAAAGACTGGTGCGTCGTGCGAGGGACAACAAAATCATGCTGGTTTTCGTGATTGTCGATGGCGTAAACTCTTCTGAGTCGATCATGGACATGAGCCAGGTGAAGTACGTTCCCGACCAAAACGGAAATTTGCAGCTGCAAGTCGAAAAATACTTAGATACCTTCCCATTCGAATTCTATGTGGTGGTACACGATATTTCAGAATTACCAGAGATGCTTTCCATCATTCTTCGCCAGTATTTTTCCGAGCTTGCCTCTGCCTGACGGCGAAGTTACTAGCGGGAGATGAACATAGAGTTCTCAGTGTACATAAGCATAATTGATCGACATTTGTAGTGTATAGTTAGCGACATGCTTGTGGAAAATGTGACAAAGACCTAGCTCATCTGTTTGTTTTGCTTACCCTGGCGCTGACGCCGACATGCCGACTATAAAAAGCTGAAAAATTTAGTCTCATTTTGAGAATTTTCAGTTGACTAGATTTGAAGCACTGAAAGTCATACCAAAGATCTTCCTGCGATACTTCTCCTTCAAAGACAGTGCTCCTTGCTAGGCACATGAAAAGGTTTTGAACCAGGTAGTTCACCGCTTTTTTTTAAGCCAGCACTAGTCACTGCTCAAGGTTCGCCACCCCCCCTCTCCGTAGTATACTGTTCTTACGAATTATGATGATGATACAAAATTCAATGCTTGAAGATTAACATCGCTGTGAGCATTATGATTTCTCAATAGACTACAACGGTATCTGATATTTTTCGCCCAACCTGTAGAATGAAGTGCACATATATAAAATGATAGTAGAGTGAATGATGATACCATCTGAGCCTAGAAGTAGTCTTGAGCATTAGACTTGCATTCAGTCCTGACTCGACGGACAGCAGAAAGGGACTGGCAGAGCGTCTTGTAGTTATGGGATGTTAAGATGAAATTGCACGATCTCAAAATACGGAACTCATCACCAGACGTGAGAGCATCACTCTGCATTAGAGAGACGTCAAGATGCCCAAGTACATTCCCAATGCAAAGCAGTACAAGCACCCGCTTCCGATTCACCCGTTGGACAATCTTCCGCCGTTAATCTCGCACAACCCACTTTCGTGGGTTTACTGGCTCTACAAATATCTATCAAGCACAAATCAGTTGGCAGTCAATATTCATGTTGAGCTGTCCAGTGGCAAGCATATCACAGTCGCAGATCCCAACGAGATGCTCTATCTGTGGCGAAATGGTTTCTTTGGAACGGCACAACTCTCTCGAAGTGAGCCGACATGGAGGCAAAGAACTTTGGCCCGCTTGGGTGAAGAGGATTCACCACAGGCGCTAGAACACGTCACCCAGCAACGCCGGTTGCAGAGACTAGAATTCAAACGACAACGGGCAAGTTTCGAAGAGACGAAGTTGAGCTTGAGACGCCAAGGCGTGGATGAAAGCGAGATTCTCCAGCAAGAACGGGACTTTCTCAAATCTCTCCGAGATCGAGAGATTCAACTTCAAGGGCAAAACGCAGTCTCTTTGCGAGACTCGGATATCGAGTTATTCGATAATGAGGACAAGTTAAAGGAGCTTGAGGTTCTGGAACTCATGCCCGTCGAGGCTGTTTTCCTCACTTTTGCACTACCTGTCCTGGACATGCCAATCGCGAGTTTGCTAGCTTCTCTGTGTGGTTCTCGTCCAACTTACGATGAAATTCACGAACTGTGCATCAAGTACGCGGCTTATCATCACTATCGATCGCATGGCTGGTGCGTGCGATCCGGTATCAAATTCGGGTGTCACTACCTACTATACAAGCGCGGGCCACCGTTCCACCATGCGGAATATGGGGTCATGGTTCTTAACAGCGAGGATTCTATGGACTACACTTTCTATTCTAGCATCGCCCGTGTACTTGGTGGAGCAAAGAAGAGTTTCATTCTGTGCTACGTGGAGTTGTGCGAGTCCCAGGACACTGTACTGCGACATTGGAACGCAGGTCGCTTCGACCGGGTGTTTGGCAGTTACAAGGTTGGAGAGATCATGTATAGACGCTGGGTACCGGGGAAAAATCGTGACTAGGCGTTGTTTTGAGACTTACAAAGGCAAACTACCTACACAAGAGTCGGCGTTGTTGATGTTGATGACGATAAAGACGACAGCAACGACGACGCCGGTGATGAGAAAGATGATGACGATAATGATGATGATGGAAGACCGAGTGCGCAACACGAACTGATCTCTAGCTAACCTTTGAAGGCCGCCTCAACCCACCCACAGTCCCTGAGGCCCTTGTATTTGGCCTTGGGGCCCTTGGCGGGATCGTCGTATACTGCGTTCAATGCAGCGTCCTGCGTTGCTGGCTTGGAGATACACATGTACTGTCCATCTGGAAGGACACATCGCAATTGCGATTTTGGAAACGGACAAGGACAATCGCCTGCAGACTTGACACATGCGAGCGTATCGGGACACAGATAATCTGTGCACGCATTGTTGAGAAATTGGTCCTCGTACTCAACTGGTGGATTCTGCGCCTGTTGCTGGTGTGTCCCATGGTTAAAGTCGAAGAAAAAGCCGGAAACTGCAGAGGCTAACAAAGCCCAGATGAAAATCATTTTGCCACTATCCTATTCGTCTTAGGGCAATACTTCAAATTTCACGTTTGAACACGCCCTTGGTGCCCTTGAGATTGTCTAAGTTGAGTGTCCTATACTAGGTACGTGTTAGTAGTTTAGCGTTATGTCATCAATAATTGAAAAATCTATTACAGCTTTAAACATCCAAGTAGTGATATCTACCGACAACCATATGAATACGGTACCTTATTACCTCTTTTATAGTCTGAGAGCATGTTTTTGAAAGTCAGACAGTTTCAGGACGCCTATGAGCGTATTTTGAAGTATTCCTCGTCGCATTCGGCGTGTCAATTGGTGATATTCGTTTCGTGTTTAAACATTGACGCGTTGTGCGCCAGTAAGATGCTTTCCAAGCTCTTCAAGAAAGAATTGATACAGTTGCAGTTGGTGCCAGTGTTTGGGTATTCGGAGCTGAAAACATTTTATCAGAAGTTGGACGAGAACATCAACAGCGTTATATTCGTGGGCTGTGGTGGAATGATCGATATCGAGGAGTTTCTGGGCGTGGACGAGGAGGAGGATAACCAGAACGAGCACGCTGAATCGAGACGCAAAATTTATGTACTGGACACGCACAGACCGTGGAATCTTCACAACTTATTCGGGTCGCAGGTGGTGACCTGCTTTGACGATGGCACGGTGGAGGAAGAACTAAAAACCCAGCAAGAGGCATATTTCAAACTGACAGAGCTGGAAGAACAGCAGGACACAGACGAAGAAACGGAGAGCGGCAGTGGTGAGGAAGAAGATACCGATCACGATGTAGAGGACGATGAGGAGAACCTTGAGGAGGACGACACCGACGAAGACACTACAAGAGACGCAGTGGGCGACGGCGAGGACGTCCAGAAGGACGAAAACAATCAGGAGGCCTCTGGGAAGAGGCGCAACGCACAGAGTCACAACCACAAGCGCGAGAGAAAACTTCGAAGAAGTCTTATCAACAAATATGAGGCGGTTCTAGAAGACTACTATGCGCAAGGCTCGTCTACCTCCAACTCGCTCTCCATCCAGGTGTACTCGCTCTTATCGGCGCTCGGAGAAACTAGCATTGCATATCTGTGGCTCACTATCCTCGGAGTTTCGTCCCTGGACGTCGCATATCCTCATATTTACAGTCAATTGCTTCCTCTGCTGCAGGACGAAGTTAAGCGTCTTTCCCCTATCGAAGCGTATAAGACGCCAGATACACTCTCGTTGGAGATCCAACCGGATTACTACCTCTTTATGCTCAGGCACTCGTCTCTCTACGATAGTTTTTTTTACTCCAACTACGTGAACGCTAAGCTGTCGCTATGGAATGAGAATGGCAAGAAGAGACTACATAAGATTTTCGCGAGGATGGGAATTTCCTTGTCCACGGCTCAAGAAAACTGGCTGTACATGGATAACCGGGTCAAGAGAGAACTGGGGACTATTTTCGATAAAAACCTAGAGAGGTATGGTCTTCAAGATGTGGTACGAGATGGTTTTGTTCGTACTTTTGGCTACCGGGGTGCGATTAGTGCAAGTGAATACGTAGAGTCGATAACCGCGCTTCTAGAAGTGGGCCAAACGATTGATCCAGAGGACATCGTCAAGAGCAACAGTTCTGGCCCGGAGCCAGAAGAGAATGGGGAGCTCGCCGATGTCATATCCCGCCGCGAGCGCAAATGGGTCAGTAATTTCTGGTTGAGCTGGGATGCACTGGAGGGTGATATCGAACTCATGAATCGCGGCATCAAACACGCACAATTTTTACAACGCTCGGTTTTCAACACCGGCGTAGCCGTCTTGGAGAAACGGCTGATCAAGAACCTACGATTGTATCGTCTATGCGTATTGCAAGACGGGCCTGACTTGGAGCTATACAGGAATCCTCTAACATTAATGCGGCTGGGTAATTGGATCCTGGAGTGTTGTGCGGAGTCGGATGACCGTCAACTACTGCCGTTGGTGCTTGGTAGCTTGGATTCCTCTACCGAAAAATACCTAGTGGCCGGCATGGCTCCACGCTACCCGCGTGGCATGGACAAATTGGAGGCCAGTAAACCGCTGCTCAACAACTTCAGCGTTGCATTTCAACAGATAGCAGCTGAAACTGGCGCCAAAGTAAGAATAGACAATTTTGAGAGCTCGATAATCGAAATCCAGCGGGACGACTTATCGCCCTTTCTAGAAAAGTTAACACTGAGTGGACTACTATAGCCATTCTGGGAGCATTAAAGGAGAGTACAGCAACCCGCAGGCATAAGCATGCTGTCTCTTGCAGCTCGAAGTTGTGCCACATACATACCTAATAAATTAATATTATCTAGCATTAACACATCTAACGATCTACTAATGCTTACAGCAATGCCCAAGAAACATCTAGGTTCACCAGATCACCCCAGTTTTGAACTCCCATCTTTGCCGCCATGGAGAACACCCAGGATCAAGATCTTACACCATACGCCCTCCAGGGCGCCGTCATTGCTGGATGATAGAGATATCTTCGAGACGCCACATGAACCCAAACGCCAATCCTTCGACGATTCCGCCAAGAAATCGAGGAATCCGGATATATATGACTACACGCCATTCAATGACAAGGGTCTGCTCGCTGCGGGCAAAGTGGATCAGTTACTAAGGTCAGAAAGCGCGACCCATTGTTTAGTTTTCCACAAGGACAAACACAAAGCTTCGGATCAACCTTTTAGGCCTGATCTTGATCTTTGGTGCTGTGATAGCTCCGAAGATGAACAAGAGGGTGGTAGCATTAGTGGCTCGGCAGAATCGCCGGCCAGCAACAACAATAAAATCCCAGCTTTGCCGCCCGTTGAGCGACCCAACGTACGTAGACCGCACCACAACGCCATTTCCGAAAAAAATGCCCTGAGAGAATTCTGGGACGACTCGAAAATGGTCGACGTCTTGGACAGACACCAGGTTAACGACATATACACGGTCCTACGGCAGGAAAGAGAGCTGGTAAGTAAGTGCGAGCGATTGATCCAGCACGACGAACATTCACCGCCTCCCGATGAGACTGACCTGTATCGCTGGCTGCGCAGATACTGTCAAAATGTGTGGAATAAAGAGTCGTGGATGTCAAAGCCCCAGGACCACCGCGAGGATATGGCAGCTGTTGCAGGTCGAGCTAGCCACGATGGGCCCGATATCACGTGATAACGAGTCAAGGTCACAAGACTATCACGTGATACAGTATTTGCTTCCGAAATGTTAAAAGGGGCCATGAATTTCACTAGTATTAGCTACCTCTTTCAGATGAGTTGACATTTCAAGGGCAGAGACTTTTGAGTAAAATCCGTGAATTTGTCGCGCGGAGTGCTTTCTCTTCGATCTTATAGCTTTAAGCTTGGAAAGGAACAGTCATGAATATCATCAAGTTGCAGGTATGTGTATTCCATTCGCAGATGCGGACATTTTGCTAAGCAAGGCAGAAAGTGTCGAAAGTGTGAAAACTAACTTCAAGCAGAGAAAATTCCCCATTTTAACCCAGGAAGATATCTTTGGGACGATCGAAAAGTTCAGAGAAATTGATCTCGAAGACAATGGGTGGGTGGAAAAGGGCCAGGTGTTAGCAGCAGTATCGAAATCCGGAGAGGCGTCGTACGATGAAGCGCGTGAAACACTAAAACAAGTGGGAGTCGACGCATCTGGGCGTGTAGAATTAGACGACTATGTGGAGCTGATTGCCAAATTGAAGGACGCTCACGCTGGCCCTCCTCCGCCAACGACATTTCAAAGCGGCAGCGGCGCCAAGTCCCCAAGCAACATTCCAGTTACGCCGACATTTGCCGGGTTGCAACACAAGGGAACTGGTGCCCAAGCCAAGATTATTGTCGGTGGTTCGACGACAGGAACCACTCACACCATCAACGAAGAAGAACGGACAGAATTCACCAAGCACATTAATAGCGTCTTGGCTGGGGATGCCGATATTGGTCACAAGTTACCCTTTGCTACGGATACTTTCCAATTGTTTGACGAGTGTAGAGACGGTTTGGTATTGTCTAAGCTAATTAACGATTCTGTTCCCGATACAATCGACACTAGAGTGTTGAATTGGCCCAAGAATGGGAAAAGACTAAACAACTTTACTGCAAGTGAAAATGCCAACATTGTCATCAATTCGGCCAAAGCGATTGGCTGTATTGTTGTCAATGTGCACTCCGAAGACATTATCGAGGGTAAAGAGCATTTAATTTTGGGTCTTATCTGGCAAGTTATTCGCCGTGGTTTGCTCAGCAAAATTGACATCAAACATCACCCAGAACTATACCGGTTGTTGGAAGATGACGAAACTTTAGAACAATTTCTAAGATTACCTCCGGAGCAAATCCTTCTACGCTGGTTTAACTATCATTTGAAACAAGCTGGATGGGAGAGAAGAGTTACTAATTTCTCCAAAGATGTTTCAGATGGGGAGAACTACACTGTACTACTGAACCAATTAGCGCCCGAATTGTGCTCTCGCGCTCCTCTACAAACTTCCGATTTGTTAGCTAGAGCAGAACAAGTCTTGCAAAATGCCGAGAAATTGGAGTGCAGAAAGTACTTAACTCCAACCGCTTTGGTTGCAGGAAATTCAAAGTTGAACTTGGCGTTTGTGGCTCACCTATTCAACACTCACCCAGGCCTACAGCCTATTGAAGAATCCGAAAAACCTGAGATAGAAGAGTTTGATGCAGAAGGCGAAAGAGAGGCCAGAGTCTTTACTCTATGGCTCAATTCTTTGGATGTGGATCCTGCCGTGGTATCATTATTCGAAGATTTGAAGGATGGTTTGGTATTGTTACAAGCCTATGAAAAGGTGATGCCGGGCGCTGTAGAACAAAGAACCGTCAACAAACGTCCTGCATCGGGAAGCGAGCTATCGAGGTTCAAAGCTCTGGAAAATACCAATTATGCCGTGGATCTCGGTAAGTCAAGGGGATTTTCCCTGGTTGGTATAGAAGGGTCGGACATCGTGGACGGTAACAAGTTGCTAACTTTGGGCTTGGTATGGCAATTAATGAGAAGAAATATTGTCAACACGATGAAAACATTAGCTGCAAACGGTAAAGAGCTGAGCGATTCTCAAATCTTGAAATGGGCCCAGGAGCAGGTGACGAAGGGCAACAAGACGTCGCGCGTCAGATCGTTCAGCGATCCTGCATTATCCAATGGCCATTTCTTGCTGGATGTGCTGAATGGTATTGCCCCCGGTTACGTTGACTACGATCTGGTGACTCTCGGCAATACCGATGAAGACAAATATGCTAATGCCAGATTGGCTATTTCCATTGCTAGAAAATTGGGTGCGTTAATTTGGCTTGTTCCTGAAGACATTAACGAGGTCCGTTCAAGATTGATTTTAACATTCGTTGCTTCCTTGATGGCTTTGAAACAATAATGTCCAAATTGTGTTCGCGCATGTATTCTACGTTATTTTTTTAGAAAAAGATTAGCTATCTAAACTTGCCTTGAGTTCGTAATTTGATCTTTCAATTTCAAGTCCCACTCCTCCTTTAGTTTTCTAATGTACGCCTTAACGTCCTGAACACCGGTGGCTTCAATCTCCTCAGTTCGAATATATTCTAGTCCGTCTTTGTAAGTGGCTGACCCATACTTTAGTTTTTGTTGCTCAAACCTGGGGTTGGCCAAAGTAGCGACGTAGACAGGTGCATTAGCAGCGCGATATCCATCGATATTATGCCAAGGAGAACCCAGAAATCTTGCGAGATAGAAAAGAAGCAACATGCCATAGTAGCTCATGACATTCAAATATTTGAAAAAGGAGTGACTGATGAAAATTCCTGGTTGAACAACGTATTGCGTTATGCCTTGGTTTTTCAAATCGTTGAAGGTTGCTAAATGCAATAAATCGACCAACCTTTTAGATCCTTCATAAGATGCAGGGCTCTTGATCAGTTGGATGTCATCCAGTGACAAGTACTTCGGATCAGACATAATACTTGATATCCACACGACCACGGCCTTCCCGGCCTGGAGTTGAGGAAGTATTTTTTGAATCAAATAGTAAGGTCCGAAAACATTGGCTTGGAAAACAAGACCCATGCCGTCTGCCGACTGAACCCCAACCCTTTGAACCTTATATGTCGGATTAGTCACAGCTTCGATCGGGCTGGTGGAGACCTCTTTTACTGCCCCCAGCCAATCAATTCCACTATACACGCCCTGCGCTGCATTGACGAAAAAGTAATGTATTTCGCTGTACTGTTTGTTTAGATCATAGTATGCCCCTAGGACACTCACCATATCGGTGAAATCCACCAGCAAATAATCGTAGTCCACAGGACCCGGTCTTTGCTTCTTCTCCACAAATTTGGAAATCTGATCTATAACTTCACGGGCCCTCGGAAGAGTTCTGGAGGTAACAACGATCGTCAGCCGTACGTCATTGGCAACTTCTTCTATCAGGCGGTACGCAGTATTCAATCCCAGATTACTATGCTCGAACGTTAGTATCCAAAACTTGAAACTGTAACTAAAAGCAGCTGTAAAAGAGCATGGTTAACATACCTATTCGTACCAGTAATAACGGCTACTTTCCTATCGCCTGGCATCCTACTTGTATAGCTTTTTTGAGCCTGTATGGGCCCTTATGCTAACCTTCAGATGGTTGGTACAGTCTTTTTCATTGGGCTCTATTACAATACTGCCGAGCTAAACGAAGAGTGATCTATCCGTAAATGGAAATTTCCCTTTATAGAAAGTTACCCAAAGAAGTTCGAGATTATTACGTAAGCTTTATTAGACAGGTAAACCAAAAACGGTCGCTCACACCCTGTCAAACACGTCAACACATGCACAACCACAACCAGAGGGACATTCATTGCTCACTCTCCACCATTCCTTTGCACAATGGGCGTGCATAATGTGTTGGCAGCTACCGCAGGTGGAACAAAATCCTTCAATTTTAAGTTCGCAGTAGTTGCAGTTCACAATGAAAGGTGAAGTAGCTTCGCCTTCGACAAACTTATAGCTCATTCCTGTGGCATTGAGGGGGATAACACTATCAGGGGCGGACCTTGAGTAAATTGACCAGGAATCATCGGACGGTGCCGGTAGAGGAGTGTTAAATTGCAGCAACTCGGCTCTGTGGATCAATAGACCCCAGTAAAATAGCAGTTCAGCATACTGGTATCTATAAGACCTGTACTTCGATTCTTCTGCGGGATCTAATAGGGGCGGAAGACGTCCACCAATCAGGTCGAGTGTTTCGTCGTGCAAAATCTCGATCTTCACATCAGGTATCATGGAGCTCGGCGCTAGCAGCTGGGGTTTTGGTTGTTTACTTCGAAACTGATGGGGAGAAAAGTAGTCTTCGGATTTTACTGAAGAGGCTATAGACCCTTGGTGAGATCGAGGGAAGCCAGTGTGTAAATCGCTTTCAAAAGTCACTACATTGTTCTGCTGTTTCCTCGGAAACCTACCCTCAGCACCTATCTCACTCCAATGCGAACGCTCCATCAATATGCAACTTAACATGGCCAGCATCTGCACATTTTTAGACTTTTCGAAAAAACTCATTGCTTCTTTAACAAACCACCTATCCCCAAGGCCATCGAAACTCCATTCAAAAGTGCAAGTCTGCAATTCTTCTCGGTCTATCAGTAAATTGGCCATCATTGTCCAGCTGTGAGCTAAATCTTCCATGCCCTGCGACTCCGCGACATCTGCGTTGTGCTTACAGATAGACTCCAGCGAATCTCCGGTAAATTTATATTCAAGAGCTAGTTGTCTTTTATCTGCAATTAAATGACTAAAGTCTTTGACCAGAACCGTGTTCTTGAACTTTGGTGTCGAAGCATTACTTTTCCCGTCATCGGAAGGGATAAGTGTCAGATTTTTCCCAAAGGCGGAATAAACAGGTAATTTAGTGCGCAAAGTAATGTCACTACGCACAATGTCATTCCAGACATCTCCAAAACTGTCTGAGCTAGCATTGGAATCGGTTTCGCTAGCCATAACACCATTTTCACTGTTGTGTTCCGATGATGCAGGGTGCAGTTCCACGTACCTCTTAGGGCGGCTTGAACTAGCAGAAAGGTCATCTTGGAAAAGAATTTCAGGTTTCTGACCTTCTTTCGAGTTCACATAATTACGCTGGTTGAGTATTTGCAGATTATGTTGCTTTTTATCCAGCTTCCCTTCCAGTGCAAAAAAGCAGACCAATAGGCCCGACGAAGTCCAAGTTGCACCACATCCTTTGGGAACTGGTGTGGTATCTAGATCCAATTTTGTTTCCGTAAACCCCTCGATGCTCGTTTTGTCATCATACATAACACCTTCTTCATCTGATAGATCGGAGCTTCCAGAAGCAACATGAGACCTCATGTCAGAACTGTCCAGAGAAGAAAGGTCCTCAAACTCGGCCTGATCGACAACATCAAAATTTAATAGTTGTTCTTCATCTTGCAAGGCATCTAGGTTAATCTTTTCACCCAGCAGAAAACGTAGGCAAGCTTCTAAGCAGTACATTCCTAGTTCTGTATGTTTAGCAGATATTACCTGCAATTGGTCGGTGAGCTCCTTACTTTTAGATGCGCTTAGTTCACGATTCTCCTCTATTTTAAAGACGGGATCGTTCTTCTTGCAAGGGTAGTTAGGTGGAAAAATAGCCTCAATTCTCAAGAAGACGAGATCATCGGGACTTCGCTCAGACCAAGGCCCACTAAGGGTCAATATCAAAGATCCAGTAGACACAGATATTTTTTCGAAAACAACCTTCGGAAATTTGTGCCCAATCATACTCACTTCCTCACCAAGATTTTGAAGCTTGTCTTGCTCAAACAAGTCATGTGGAGAATTGGCATGGTGAAGTTTGACTCCCGAAACCCATGCCAGATGGTCTACTTTGTTTTTATCACGAGTGTCTTCCGAGCCTGATTTCGTTACGAAGTGTTCCTTCATCTGCCTCGAATAATCGAATTTATTCCGCGACATCGGCGGCTCTTGCCGATATGTGCTGTATAGGTGGTCAACTAGTGGGGATTCCAAGGGGGCAAATTGCTCGAAATGCACTTTTTTGTATGTTGTTTCATTAACGGGCCATAGTCTAAGATCACAGTCTTTAGACCAGGTCACCAGCTGGAACTCTCTATCATCTATCATGCTTTCAGAACTATGTCGAACCCTCCATAAAAAGTCGGATACACAGTCACTGTGGCCTTTGAAAACATAGATGGGCTGGAATTTACAGACAGGCTCAGAGCCGTTTTCAGTCACGCATTCTGCCAAATACACCGAATTATTACCACCAATGAGTGGCATTACACAGAAGCCTTTTCCAAATGGTAGATATCGTCCTCTGGCCACAGGAAAATCGGTGACCACTGTTCGCTGTGGCTCCTTGTCACTTATCGCATAGTTCCAGAATTTGACAGTTCCATCATTAGAACTCGACATGATTTCAGTCTCATTGAATTTATTGAAGTCGATACTATTCACACTGTTTGCATGGCCTTTCAAAGAATGCAATGGCGTACATCCTTTCCTCAAGTCCCAAACATAAACATCATTAGAATGTGCAGAAGCGATCACGTTGGGATTCTGATAATTCCATTTAACCTGAGACACCCCAGCAGACCAGACACTCGCACTGTAGTAAGCTCTGCGAGGAGAACGCATATCCCAAGAATGAACATATGTATCAATAGAACAAGTCGCCAGAATTTCGGGATGTTGAGGGTGGAAGTTGATATCTGATATCGCCCGAAAGTGCCCATGTAAAACATGCTCAATCGCATTAGAAGAGCTTCTTGCTAAATTCCAAACAAGTGCCTTTTGATTTGATGTGGAGACCACCCATCCCGGTTTTGACAGATGAGGTGACCATTGAACATCTGCTACTTCCCATGATGTTATATGATGAAGCCATCTTGGTGCAGAGAAGGGATCATCTAGGTCTACAACGTATAGTCCTTGTCTACCAGCTAAAACCACATCTCTGCCTGATGGACTGATGGATACAGCTTTGAACCTACCATCTACTCTGAGCGAAAGAGACTTGCCAAAAGTATTGGATAAATATGCATCATCTCCTCCGATATAGTTGGACATTCGAGCACGACCTCACACCATGCGTTTGTTAGAAAGCGCGGGATGTCGTCTTTTAATTTCTCGTGCTCATTGGGAGATGTCACTTTAATAAAAAACACTAATTAACCTTTTATAACTCTTCAAAGATAGAACACAGTAGAAAATACAACAAATCAGTTTTGGGTTACATAAACTACTCATATTGAAGCTGGACACTTGAGCTATTTTTTCTCAGTCACAGCTTTGAAAACAGGCTCAAATGGCGCCGTAATCCCAGTCCACAATTTAAACTGAGCTACACCTTGGTAAACCAGCATCTGGGCCCCTGGAATGACCTCCCAGTTGTACTTGGATGCAGCGAGCTCCATGATAGGTGTTACACTTGGTTTATAAGCTGCTTCGAGCAATGTAGGTTTGAACTTAACGCTGCATGTTTTAGCTAGCAGTCTTTCAACGCAGAGCAACAACTTGTCGTCTAAAGGCTTATCTGCCGGTACGCAGCTTACGGCAAGGGCAATATTCCCTTCAGCGATACTGTCAATTTGTTCAGGAGTCTCCAAAATCTGGATGTTGTACTCGGACGGAAACTGCTCTTTCAATTGGTATGATTTTTGCACGGTTCTGTTGACACTGTAGATGGTGGAACATCCCAACTTGTGCAATGCATATATGGCAGCACGAGATGTACCACCAGCGCCAATGACGAGACCCGAAGTGGATGCAACAGCCTCAGGAACCCCACTGCCCACAAAAGAATCGTAGATGCCGATCCAATCGGTATTATCTCCTTTAAATCCACCCGCAGGTAACGGAATGACTGTGTTGACGGCACCGACCAGTTTGGCAGACTCAGAGAGCTCGTCCATGTAGTTCATTATGTCTAATTTCAATGGGATAGTAACAGCAAGACCTCCAAGGTTTGACTTTGAAAGAAGCCGTTGCTTGACTTCCTCGGCCGACGATGTTTGGTGCTTCTCGAACTTATGTGGAAGACCCAAAATTTGGTAGGCAGTATTGTGTAAAGTTGGTGATCGTGAGTGTTCAACAGGAGACCCAACCACAAAGAACTCTTTCGATGAGATACCACCTAAGGATGAGAAAATTTGATTTATTTCGCGTACTGTCAATTGGCCAGGGGCAGATGCAGAAGGTAGTACGCTCGATGTGACTGGAGTTAGAACAGTATTGAAGACCCTTGACATCTTTCCAGCTTCAGTCATGTTGATCGCGATCAAAGGCTTACTGACGTGAGTGGACCTGAAGTGCTCCAGTTCGATGTTGTCAGAAAACGAGCGCGCAGTTCCCACAAACTTCACAATGTCCACATCGAGAGCTAAGGCCTGGTTGTATCTGTTTTCCCACTCGGAATTATTCCAATCAAATTTCGCTTGGAAGTCATGATGAGAGCCAATGATCTTAGTCCCTCTTTTGTTATTGAGAATTGCGTACTGAATCATAACAGGAAGTGTCAATTCGAGATCGATGAACTCAACTCCTGACTTCAAAGCTAGTTTCAATAGCTCGAGAAGCTCTTCTCGCCTTTCATCCGGAAAAAACCCACCTTGACTTACCGTCCTAACTGTAAAAATGATTGGAAGGGAATTCGTGACGCTGCGTAACATACTCAACTGTTTGATGACAAAATCTTTATCATGGGACTTTAGGTGATCGACACGTAGTTCAACTGCGTCACAACCATATGTGACTTCTACGAGTTTGTCCTTATGCTGGGTCAAATCGTCAAAGGTCAAACAAACGAAAGCAGACCTTGTTTGTGGAATGTGAATCTTGCGATGGCCGCTAATTGTACGAACGTAAGTCTCAAAAGTTTTTCTTAGCTGACCGAATTCAAAAGTGGTTGCACAATGAGGTGCAAAGAAGGAGAAGTTCGAACAGAGGTGATACCATTTTTCCCTCCTTTCCCACACGACCTGTATATCCTCCGCATATGCTGGCCTGGTAGGATCGCTTTTCAAAAATTGTATCGTTTCGCCGATGTCCCGATGCAAGTGCAAAACTATCCCACCATTGTCAGCAAATTGTTGAAGCGCTTTTCTGGACTCAGGACTCTCGACGATTCCACCTCCAGTCGATATGACGTGACCTTCGGGGAACCGTTCAACCGTTTCCTTGAAAATTTTGGTTTCTGCAGCACGGAATGCATCCCAGCCTTGTTCCGCCACAAAGTCTTTCACGGTGCCGCTTTGATATTCTTGCTCGAAGACATGGTCCAAATCTAATAGCCTGTAGCCGAGAGCGCTGGAACACCACTCACTCAATGTGGATTTACCAGCTGCGCGCATGCCAATAATGACGATTGTGTTTTGCGTATTATTTGACTCACATTCTAATGATTCAGCACCGTCTAGGTTAGCACCAAGCTGAGTGTGCAAGACGTCCCACCAGCCGGGCCACGTTTTTCCGGTGCAATGTCTTTCTAAAATTCTGACCGGCTGCTTAGAGGCGCTGTCGGAAGCGACAAGACCAGCTAGTAAAGAAAAGCTCATGGCCACACGGTGGTCGTCATAGGAGTGTACAGATGCCGGAACCTTCAGCTCTTTCAAAGACTCAACACCGTAAACTTGAATCCCATCAGGAAGCTCATTGGCCTTAACACCGAATTTTGCCAATTCTGTAACCATGGCCAAAATACGATTGCATTCTTTCACACGCTGATTTGCAATACCCTCAATAGTGGTGACATTTGAAGACCCTGGTTCCTTGTCATGAGCAACAGCCGCCACTACGCATGCAGTCAAAAATGCATCCGTCATGGGTTCCATATCAACATGCTTTAAGGGTTTCAAGGTACCGGCTGGAGGACCAGTTACAGTAGTTGAAGTTGCAGTTTGATCAACAACGCACCCCATTGGTTTTAAAACATCGCGAGCGAACCTTGCGTCACCTTGAAGCGATTCAAACCCAATGTTGGGTACGGTGACAGTGGTACCAGTCATAGCAGCGTAGGCTAATGGATAGGTAGCGGACGAAGCGTCACTCTCTATCACGTATTCAGGTGGGTTGACATAGTTGCCTTTTGGAATATGGTAAGTATGTGCTTCAGTCTTGGATTCTTCAACATGAATTCCAAACTTTTCCATCATGCTGATTGTCATATCAATGTACAGCTTAGAAATAGGTTTCCCACCCACCAGAGATAAGGTTACTGGCTCATCCGCGTAAGGTGCGCACATGAGAATGGATGAAACATATTGGGAGGAAACAGTGGCGGCCAGCTCAATCCTACCACCTTTAAAGTGGGATTCGGTATCAATTTTGAGAGGCAGCGAGCCTTCTTTGCTTAGGTAAGAAATCCCAGTACCATTTGCTCTCAAGGAGTCCACCAGTGGACCTATGGGTCGTTCCTGCATTCTTGCGTTACCGGTCAGAACTACATTCGTTTGAGACCCTGTCGATTTTGCTAAAGCAGCAACCGACGTCAAGAATCGAGACGCGGTACCCGCATTTCCCAGATATAGTGGCTCAGAAGTTGCTTCTAACGTTTGGCCCCCGTGTCCTTCCACGACTACAGTCTCTCCGTTATCTTCGAAAGATATAGAGGCTCCTTTAAGCTGCTGAACTGCGTGAAGCATATGTTTTGTATCGTCCGAGTGTAACAAGTTTTTGATCTTACATGTCCCATCTCCAAGAGCAGCCAAAATGAGTGCGCGATTAGAGATGGACTTCGACCCGGGTGGAGTAATGGTTCTCGCTTGACCGTTTTCCAGGGTTTTAAATGGGTGAACTAAAACTTCACCAGTCAACACAAACCTTAAGTCTTGATCGGAGACCAGATGGGCCGATGTACCGTAGCATTTCCCTATTGTTTCAAGAATGACTGCTTTTTTCTTAGAACCGTCGTTTTTCTTGTCAATACTCATCTTCTTCAATAAGACTTCTAATGGTGTTTTCTTGTGCAGTGTGAGTTCTTTGAACCACTTTTCGTCTGCAGAAATAGGGAGACCATATGCCGACAAGATCTTAGTCAAACGAGCCACTTGAGTCGGGGACAGAATGTTCAAGTAACGCGAAAGTTCGGCTTCTTTGATCATCCCTATCGAAACACATTCACCATGTAGAGCTTGGGGTGTCAGGATAGCTTCATAGGCATGTCCAATGGTATGTCCAAAGTTCAACAAGTTTCTCAAACCGCCTTCACGTTCATCAGATGATACAACGTGTGCCTTGACTTTGATACTCTCCAAGACCAACTTAAACACATGATCTAAGATGGATTGAATGTTTGTTACGGAAACTTGGTGAGTTTGGCCAGCGATTGAGACTTGCGTAGTCTTCGACGCATTCACGACGTTCAGAAAGCTATCCGCATTTTCCTCCAAGCGAGCGAACTCATCTGCGTTCCAGATAGCAGCGGTTTTGATAACTTCAGCAATACCATTGATAAACTCGCGTCTGGGTAAAGTTTCGAGCCATTTGATATCCACAAACACAAATTGAGGCTGCCAAAAAGCACCAATGAAGTTCTTCCCCAAAGGAGTGTCAACTGCGGTTTTACCACCTATGGATGAATCCACCATGGCCAGCAGCGAAGTGGGGACCTGTACTACACGCACACCCCTCATGAATGTGGAAGCAACAAAGCCAATCATATCACCAATAATACCGCCTCCAATGGCGATGATCACGGTGTCTCTAGTACAGCCTTCGCTTAGTAAGAAGTCCTCAATTTCGGCCTTCTGTTCTCTAGTTTTATGGGCTTCTCCCGGCTTCACCGAGTATCTCAAAAGCCTACACCCACCCCGCTCCACTGTAACACACAGCTTCTGTAGCAAGTCATTGTGGTATGGTACCTTTTCCACGTTTGTATCGTTAATGACCACATAAGTCGATGATGCACAAGATTTCACAATTGTTTCCACAATGTGGTCTGCGATGGAGTATCCGACATGAATACTCTCATTCCCCAAAATAGATACTTTAGATAGCTCCATGGGCGACACTTATTGGTAATGGCAGGAAGGACGATTCCCTTCAATTGCTCAAATAAAGTCACCTATTTTGTACTTGATGTGACAACGAGAGTGGGTATGACTGGCCCTAGTCATTCATCCATTACCATCGAAAAATTAACGACTGAAAAATATACCAAAGCACGTGACCAATGACTGAAGCTTAAGTAATCATTTTTAATTTATACGTTAAAAGTGATATGGGCTTATCACTTTATAGTTATCTGACATTACCAGGCGATCAACTGACCACGCTACGAAAGCTGTCTAAAAGAGCCTTTTGGGTCGCCGACAACTAGCATGCAGGTAAAATATGGGATTCTTATGTACAGGGATTGCCCACTTTGTCGTGGATCTAGCCTTGATGACGCGGAGATTACTTGAAGGGACGTCCTAGGATGTGTTCCAGTCACGTTATCCTTAGTGCTATAGCTGCTAGCGAGCCCCAGTGGCTTAATGCTGCGTATTACCTTGAGCTACCACTTATTTTAGGCAGATCTCGGCCTGCCGGTAGATGTGTATGGCGTAGCGGGTGAACAAGTCTCAAGCGGTCAAAGCATTCTATGCAAATAGCCCAACAATAGCTTCCAGCTTAGACCATAAGAGCCATGTCCACACAGATCAAGCGAGCCTCCAAGAATTGAGCGTAAAAAAATATTGCATTGATATCGCGTACACTCTTGGTAGCAAACATTGCCTAGTACCTTATCGTCTGCACTGACATCGCAGTCTTAACTTCATTCGGAGTGTATTCTAGACCTGAGGTTCAGCCAAAAGGTGCCTTTGTCATAGATGTTCGTTATTTCATTCACGCCCCGCACCACTTCATAAAACGGCACGCGGTAGAGCTTATCGTCATAAGGGTTTGTTGAGTAGAATGCATAGTTTTTGACACCAGCTGAGTGGCCCATTTGAGTTTCATCTTCTATGCGATAGAAATATCGCCCTGTTTGGTCGATCACTAACCTTCCCTGGCTCAGCATATCATGCACCACAAGCCACTTGGACTCCTCACTGGTAGTCATGCCATCACGAACGAGGACGAGCTGAAAGTACGTAAATACCATAAGAATGACGGCAAAGCATCCTAATAATATGGATAAAACCAACAAGGATCTGTGCCGATTGAGCCCTCGTAACGTCAGTAGCCGTAGAAACCCATAAGTTGTTAGAAAAACGTTGGAAACCAAGAATCCGTAAAAGAACTGATAATTTCCCAAGCCAATGCAATTATTAGCCCATATACAGTGGTGATCGGACAGCTGGGTGCACTGGTTGCATATTGCACAGTGCTTGGACCTTGCGTATTTCGGGAGTTTGCATGTTCTGCAGGACATGCCCGCATGAAATATCAGATTATCATAAGGTTCAGACGAGTGCCAGTTTCTTGATGTCGTGGGCCGCTTAGTCAATGTGAGGAATCCAGCGCAGATGGGAGCGGCTATTATCGTGGGAATGATCACCCATCGCTCCAGCACATACAAACGTGGCCGAACAAGCCCTTCAACGTCCCTGAAGTAGAGCGCGGTACAATATATGTACACGGAAAGGTAGAATATCGGGATAGTGCGAAATTTCCATCGGAACGTATTTACATCGACAAAAACAGGGTGGAAAACCCGCGTGTAGTACCACCTGAAAATCGGTTTATTGCGGAGAAGTGGCGAGAACAGAAGTAAGACAATTTGAGGTATTAGGAGACTCCACACATAAGTCTTGATGCTCATCTCTCAAGGTTGATTTCATTCCCACATAAATATATTATAGATTGTCAATAATTACATTATCTAAGGAAGAAGTCTCAAATTCAAAGTTACCAAAACTCAAAGGTCGCAAGTAATCTGCAATTACATAGTCTACAGATACTACCTGCCCCACTACTGTACAAGTCTTTAAAAGAAATGCTCAATGAACTAGCAACCGAACAAGTCTTGTTGTTGGAACATTTGCTGCGAGTGAACAAAGATGAACAGCCGCTTTTTAATTCTTTCATGCTTCGAAAGGATCAACTTCGACGCTGTAATGCAGCGTTATGGGGGTTTCGTAGCATGGAAAAGTTCAAGACGCTGTATCAACTGACGGAACTTCTGAAAGCCAGTCCCGTTTCTGATATCGTCTTGTACACACTGCTGGAAAAGATGACCTTCCTATTTGCCAAGGGTCCCCAGAATGCGGATACCCAGATTTTGGATCCAAGAGTACTGACAATGGCTCTAATAGACCTTCTAATTCGTGTGTGCCGTGTGATCTCCTCCGATGGTGTAGAAACAAATGTACGACGCTCTTTACGAAAATCGATTCTTGCAACGATCCAAACTCAATTCACCAATGTGTATGTAAAACTGTTTTGGGGAGAGATCGATGGATGAGAATAATACCATGTCGGGGCTTCATTCGGTATGCTGCATTTATTCCGATCCGGCCCGTAGTTCCCTATGAGAAAACGCTCGTCTTTGTTCCCGGCGATTCTGGGCAAAATAAACCGAGAAGACCCTTTTCAATGCTTTTAACATATTACCACATATAGTCCATAACGTTTTTCCAGATCCGAAGTGCTGTTCGTCTACCCAAAAACTTGCCTAAAAGCGGAAGCAAAACCCAGTTCAAAACCTGACTCAGCTGTTCGAGTGATTCTTCCCATTGTTGCTGAGCGGTGAGTAGTTCATAATCGTAGTCCACTTCATCTTCATATTCTTGCTCGTGGTCGCTCATATAATCGTCGTCTTCTCCCTCAAATACGTAGGCCAGTTGCTCGCTCGAGATATCTTCAAGTCCATCGGATGCTTGCGGTTCAAATTGTTCAGATAAATCTTGCTGCCTTCTGATTTCTCTCCAAATGTCGCCCATGCTTTGATGATGCTCTCGCTATGTTCCCACTGGCGGAAGACTTTCACTTTTTGTTGCGTTTGGAACATCATCAATCAATTCTCGAAATCAGTGGTGGCATGTAATTCACAGAGAAAACCTACATCTCAGCCTAGTAGTAACATTGTTTTCCAGACACGGTCCCAAAAACTGCGCACTATAGGTGTGGAAGAAGTGCTCTTGTTCAAAACTATGATTGGTCTGCGACATTACAGCGCACAGCGACCTTTACCGCGAAGGATCGCTTCGAGACTAATGAGACCACCCGCTGGCATTCCCCGAGCATCTGGCTGGAAACTGTATATGTCGCACATAACTGGGACTGTGAAACCGCGAATGACAGAACTACAGAATGAGATTATGGCAGCTGTGGATGTTTTAGGAAGTAAGAACCAATCGGTAGTAAAAGATGAGATCAATCAGTGGCATTTCCACAATGATCAGGCCCCAATCAAAACTCCCACTCTCCTTATACATGGGTATGCAGCGTCATCAATGGCGTTCCACAGGAATTTCTCCGGGCTTTCCCGGCAAATTCAGGATCTATACGCTATTGACCTGCCAGCTAACGGACTATCGCCGTCCCAGGAGCTCGACATCAAATACCCGGAGCCTCTAGCTCTAAAGGTGAACATAAAGGCAGATAAGTTTCAGATTCCCTACACAATCGAGTATCTTCCCCACAAGTGTCTGGTGCAGAACCTAGAGGACTACTACCTCGACGCACTGGAGCAATGGCGCCACGATAACGGACTGGGGGCCATCAACATAGTCGCGCACTCGTTTGGCGGCTACCTGTCCTTCAAATACGCCATCAAATATCCGCAGGCCGTTAAGAAGCTCTGCCTGATCTCTCCGCTGGGTGTAGAGCGCAACGTATTCTCAGTAAACAACCATTGGAGAAGTAACACTGAATATCAGCTGAATTTTGAAGACCCGGCTTCCAAGTTGTATCTTCCGCAGAGACCTGCGATTCCAAACACAATTTTCGAATCTCAGACGAAACTGCTGAGGAACTTGGGACCCCTAGGCGCCAAGCTGTGCTGGAACTACATTGCATCGGCCTACTCTCGCACCCCAAGCCTTAGCTACAAGAAGTACGTTTTCGAGATGTTCTACGGCAAAGATGGCCTGAGCCAGATTTCCAAGGACGTCTTCACAGGTCTCTTCACCAACCGTTTGTTGGCTAAAGACCCGTTGTTGGACTGTCTTGTGCATCTAAAGGCTGACGACCTACTGCTACTGTATGGAGATCATGATTGGATGAATCGTAGAGCAGGCTTTGAGCTGACCCGCGAAGCAGAGGCCATGGGCATAGACGCCAACTATAGCGAGGTTTCATCTTCGGGCCATAACCTCTTCCTCGACAACCCCGAAGAGTTTAACCAGCGCGTTTTACAATTCATAGCTTCTTAGTATGCACGGAATTTTACACACCCATCTACAAAAGCCCAGGCGCCTGTGGCGATTATACCATAAACAGAATGATGTACTTATCGCCAGCCTGGATCCAATCAAGAACAAGCTGGGGTTCCCGTTAACTGCCAGTGACTGCCGTGCTCTTACCCTTCTTCATGCCACGGTTTTGGGAAAGCGACATTTGTTGCGTTGTGACCCGAACAAGAGAACACCGATAGAGGAAAATCCACACAAACCCCAGCGAGCCACTGACTTTCGAACCCGACTTAAACAATGGAATTAAATTCATTGCGGATTGACTGAGTGCTACTGAGCTTTTCCATCAATCTTACCATTGCCGCTGCAATGCCGGCTGAATTCACTACACACTATATATAATATATAGATCAATTTCAGTCCACAGTGGAATGAATACCATTCTATGCCGGCCAAAGGTAAAATAGACCCCTGTAGCAGTTTATTGGCATATGGTATCCTTCACCGAAGATTCGTCTCCGTCATTATCCATTCAAAACCGGGGTTTAGCGTATGTTGTTCGTGAAATTATCAATGATTGACAGAACGGCTGATCTCAACTAACAACATCGGAACTCTCACAGTTGCCAAAGTTGCCGAAAGCGCAGAAGAAAGTGTAACCTAGAATCCCCTTGTTCTAATTGCGTGAAATATGGGATCCAGTGTGTCCCAATATCCAAGGATTTGAGAAGAAGACGACACTCTGTTGACTACCTGAAATCTTTGGAGAACCACATCGCGCATTTGGAGGCTCTGGTTCAAGACCTACGGGCGCAAAAAACGGATGTCAGCGGGAAGCCTGCGGGCTGCACTTCAGGAGGGGGATCCAAGTCTGTACCGTCGCTGGCCAGTACCGCCCCTCAAGGTGTTCAAGCCGGAGGAAGCATATATCCGACCAACTCGCTGAACTTGTCTTCTAATAGAACTTCAAAAGTTAGTGAGGACGCTGCGACAGAGACTCCACGGACCCGACTGAAGAGTATGTCACGAAGCCCGCTAATTCTGCGGGCGCTGTCACTTTTCTTCAAATGGCTGTACCCCGGCCACTATAGTTTTATTCATCGCGAGACATTTCTGAGTGCATTTTTCGGGGACCCTGCAACTAAGGCGTACTACTGTTCAGAAGAGCTGGTATACGCTATTGCTGCGCTGGGGTCCATTCTATCTGATAAAAACGAAGAACTGTATCAGCAGGGCCTACAGTACTATCATGTGGCGAAAACGATAGTGCTACAAAAAATATTCCAGCTGAACGACACATCTCTGGCAGGATCTACCTCGTCCTCGAAATTAGCCGTCATTCAAACCATGTTGTGCCTCGCATTTTTTGACATCGGCAACGGTGAAAACCCACTTGCATGGTATTCTTCAGGGCTTGCATTTCGCATAGCACATGAGATAGGACTCCACTTGAACTTCGAGTCCTGGAGTAATGTCTACGAGGACGAACTATCCAATCTAGATATCGAGGTTCGGAGCAGAATCTATTGGGGTTGTTACATTGCCGATCACTTGATATGTGTCCTATTTGGCAGATCCACCTCTTTGCGGATGTCCAATTCCACTGTCCCTGAAACTGATGAGCTTCCAGATGTCGAAACAGGCATTGAGGACTACGTTTACGACTCCTGTACAACATTGCCGATGGCAAAGCCTTTGAAGGAGTTGATTGTGTTGTCCAGGATCACTGAGCTGTTTGCGAGCAAGGTTTTCATACAGTCGGAACCAGTGTCACACAGAAGTCAACAACTTCTTCTTTTCAACGCGGAACTACGCCAATGGCGAACTAATCTCCCAAGCGAACTTCAGTGGTCAAAGGTGTCGTTGAAGAGCATCAGTGATTTCAATCCGACCATCACTTACCTCTGGTTCCATTATTACATCGTGCTGCTGTCTTACAACAAGCCCTTTATGGACGAACTGAAAGAAAGCCGTGTAATTGCCGAGGAAACCATAGAAGAGGTTCACTGCCTTCTACGATCGTTTAAAGACAAATGTGGTACGTTTGAGAAAAGCAGTATTTACATGATATATTCGGCAATCTTAGCCATACAATGTTGCACAACTAGTGAATTGGGCCAGAAGCTGATACCAGACCTTAAAGATTTTTTACTGTCACCTACCTTGAACTGTGAATTAGGCAGGAAATTTATGGACCAAGAAGTCGGTAGTTATGTGACGGATTTGTTCGGAACGCTGACAAATGGCAATGACTTTGCCCTAGAGTATAACTTTGATTTTACTTTATTGAATGAGATTGATACGCTCATTGGCGGCTCACAGACTAACAGGGTGTAATGATGCAATGAGAATTTTTGAATTAGTCCTGAGTACTTAATACGTTTATCGGCTGCACCTTTACTATCTCATGATTTAGCATGTACTCACCAATTAAATCCCCAGGGTGGTCAATATGGTCAAGAGATTGGAAGGGCGAGGTGTCAGAAATGAATTCTGCGCCAGAAGAGCCGTTGGCGGGTTTTACTTGGACCTTCTCGCAGCTTAAGCCGGGATAAGACAATGACTCTGGATCACTTCCCATGCCAATGGAACTCACTGGGGTAAGGGAGTCTGACACGGAAAAATTGCCAGTTTTCGGTGTTGGGCCCCGATAGTCCCTAACTGGCGGATCGTAACCATCTGAAAGGCGGAAGTCCAGTGCGCGTGTGGTGGAGTGACCCATGCACAATGCTTTGCAAACCTGATATGCGTCGTCCAAAGCGTGCCCTCCTAACGAGCTCTGACCGAGATTTATTGACAGAGTCGAATTTTCAAGTCGTTTGAGCAGATTGGGATCGCCGCTGTGTGGTACCATCTGGGTCAAAATTGAAACCATCAGTCCAATTCTGTCGGTTTTCCTCAGATGGTCAGGCTCACGATGCTCCACATCTGCGGGCCACCACGGAGGCTTGTACAAATCCCCTTTAATATAAGGAAACTTAGATTTTTTTTTTGGCTCCGCAACCTTGATCCAAGCTTTAGTAATGGCCTTGCAATGCATTTGCTTAAGTGCGGAAAACACATTTTTAAAATACGCACTCACAGCGTAAGGGTTGGTTAAATCCAAATCGTAGGTTTTTTTCACAAGAGGCTTATCCTTGATCTTTCCTAAAGGTGGGTGCTGTAATATCGCTTTCTTGGCTTGGCTTGACGGTAATTCCGTATCCACGATGTCCTGTGAACAAATGTATCTCGCTGTGAACTGAGGAGCTTCTACCCACATTGCAAACCGGTAGCCCTCCTTCTCCAAGCTTTGTAGCCTTTCCATTAGCAGGTCCATATCCAATCAACCTGTGTTTCGGATACCTATTCACAACTTTCCAAGCGAAATGATCGTTAGCAACCCTGGTATCTTCTGGAAGTCACCCTTGAAAGCACACTGCTTAAACACACGGTACAGGCATTTGGTCCTTCTTAAATAAATTCGTCCTAGCGTTTCACTTCAACTTATCCTAGAACAGTCTGGAAGTCTAAGTTTTGATGTTTAACAAATGTGTCATATTATATATATATGTATATATATATTGTATCGATCAAGAGTAAAACTCAAGCAAAACGTTGCATTAAGTTGGTTTCGAGCTAAACTAGTGTTAGAAACACCATAACATTGTTGGCAGCCCTGTCACGATTATTTTATCTGTATGGTACACGATGGTGATAAGGGCTACAGCCTGGAGGCTGTCCAGCTGTGGGAATTGGGCGTTTCAAAAGAGAAAGATGGTTTGATGATGGATGCAGTAGAATGCTACAGAAGAGCTCTTAAGATGGATGAAAGTGTAGAGAAAGAGTACCGCAAGATTGTCGCGAGCTCCATCACAAGCAAAGAGGTTGGATCTGTAAAACCAGCTCTCAAGGGGAGCACAGCTAATCACAAGTATGGAATCAAAGAAGATGGTCACCTTCACGATGGAGCCGGTGAGAATGATGTCGAAGCAGAGCCATTGCCGTGCTGGTTGCTTGAGAAACTGCCGGATGACATTCTCCAACAGATTGTTCACCAGATCGTTGCGACATCTGGCGAGAGTTGGCTTAATCTTTCCCTGACTTGCAAGAAATTCCAAGAGCTGTGCTTCAAGAAGCCCGATTCATACCGCACTTTCGCACAGCACATATATCCACGCCAGCAATATGATGATGCTTCCATGACCCTCAACGGGCTCAGTAGCATACTCGCTCTAGAGCAGGCACTCTGGGGCACAGACTACAGACGTATGTTGTCCGAGAGAGCCTACATTAAATTTCAAGGCTGCTACATCAGTGTGGTAAACTACCTGCGCCACGGTGCTAACCCAACGGGGTCTTCGTCGTTGATCAGTCCCGTGCACATGATTACTTACTACCGCTACTTGCGATTCTTTTCAAATGGTACATGTTTGCGGCTTGTGACCACTGACGAGCCATCCTCGGTGGCACGGCATTTCCATCCTAATCACCACCTGAAAGGTGCAGAGCTTTGCCATTGGTCGTGCTCGATTGACGACGATTTTTCTATCCTAACTGTCAAGCGTCACAACGAGAAATACCATTTTGTTGAGACTTTGCGAATCCAATCTCACGGGCGCCGAAGATTCCATAGGTTACAGTGGGTCAAGTCCGAGGCATATCAAGACTCTGGGGACCGTATTGACTTTTCTATGCACAGCGAAAAACCTTTTTTGTTTTCCAGGGTCAATTATCAGCGAACTGATCCCCCAAATGTCTCAAAAGAAGGCGGAATCCATCCACAAAATAACTCCCAACCTAACAATTCCTTGTGAGCATCCGGATCCTGAGGCATGTAGAGTTAGAATCTCATACAAATAGGCCATTGGAACTAATGCCCATCACATCGTCAAACGTGATGCTATTGTCTAGTTCGAGAGATCAGCCATGTGAAAAGAGAGAGCTACTAACTAGAACCTCGAAAGTGTCAAGCTACCGTCTAGCTCACGCATAACTAAAGCAAATCTAGTAGGCCTGGTGCCTCAATTAGCTGACACTACAGAAAGTAGAAATTTTGAGATGGAAAACAACCATCTCTTAGACATTTTTGACTATGATTTGGATATTGACTTCGAGACGGCATATGAGATGATCAATAATGAAGATCAGCTTAAAGCAAGGGTGCATCATAACAATCACATGGGCGGGACGATGGATGTAGATCATTGGAGTACTTCCGACGGCCGGGGGAAACTGCGAGAGGGCGAGAGTTTGCCTTTGTCAATTCGTATGGACGACATACAAGATCACCACAGCAGACTGAGTGGATTTGAGTCTACTTCTTTACTGTCCTATCATAATGGCCACAATCACCACGATCAGTCTGGTTTACTGAGCGAAGTGGAATCGAGTGCTATCGAGAGTTTTCTGGATAGTCTCATTTACAATGGCGTGCGTCCCAATAAGCACCCCAGAGTGTCTGACCATAAACCTATTGTAACAGAAAGCAGGACTTCAGAGAATAGGGAATCTATTATGCCAAAATCAATATTCACCGCTATGGGCTCACATCAAGGAAGTGATGATGCAAAGGCTGTCATAACGACATTAGAAACCGGCCAATCAAATGTTCGAAGCCCCGTGCCTTCTCGAGGTCACTCTGAAGATAATAGAACTTCAGAGTCTTTTACCCCCGGAGTGTATTGTTCTGGCCTAGAAACATTAGAAAATCAAAAGCTACCCCTGTCAAAGTGTGCAAGCTACCAACCGGCTGCTATCAAATCGCCAGATATTGTCATTCTTGACTCGGAAATACCGACGGATATACGGGGTGATGCTGCTAAATGCAAGAGGTGGAAGCACGTAGCCCTTGAAAAAAAACGTCGAAATGCAATCAAAGACTATTTTGATGACCTAGTTAAGCTTATCCAGTTCCCAAGATCCGCGATCGATGAGGCCCAATCGTTTTATTTGATAAACGAAAAGGCAGATGCTGAAGGACCCGCGAAGAAGAAATCCAAGGATGGCAAGCTCTCTGAAAAGAGGATACCTAAACATGTTCTGTTAAATTATCTACTTCAAGACATGGATGTTCTTTTAACGGCAAACCAACGTATGGAGGCGATGCTTCAATCCTAGATGCATGTCACGAGTTAGTTAAGGACCAGGCGTAAGACAAGGAGCTTGTTGATTAGGAAACCGCCTAATGTAGAGGAGTATGTTCATTAGAGATAGATTTATATATAACTTCAACCATAATTGTTCTTAACTAGCCATCATCATGGTTTATAGCGCACAGAATGTACTGCAAAGCCCACCAGCAATCACAGATTGAGTTCACTTAAAATGTGCGATGCTAGTTCTTTATACATCCATGTATTCCCTGACACCTTTTTGAAGTGGATACCAGCAAGTCCAACAATGCGAACCTTAACGATGTGAATTTCAAATTTCAGTGGTGGCCTTGCCTTTGTATCATTTTCGACAGTTGTGCCAGTAGTGCTATTCAGATTGTGCGCTTTTGAAGTTGTCAAAATATCGTCTTGATTTAGAGACTCTAAAGAAGCACTTGATACCTCAGGGATACTGCCATTACCATTATTAGGCGAGATGATGGACAAGTTTCTTTCGTGAGTACTTGCCGCCAAGGGAGTTGCAGCGACACCAGGTTGCTGGCTTCTATTCAACGAAGCTTGACGTCGTACCGATCCCTGGCGGGATATTGAGCTTTGTTGACCACCAACGGAGAAATTACGTCTATGAGAAGTACCACCACTGTTATTGCTGCCCATGGATGACACATCATTAAGCATTATTATAGGTTGCTGAGGTTGCTGATTGGTTGGTGGGATGTACGACTGCTTGTGCAGGCAGACGAAACCTCCCTTAACTTCCTTGAATTCAATGTTCAGCTTGTTCAAGACGGAGATTATTTTGTATCTTACAATAGGCAAAGGTTTAGAAGAGGTGGTCTGTACTGAGAAGAAGCCTTTCAAAAATAGTGAGCGTGGATAATCGATTGAAGGCATTGATCCCATAGGAGCTTTCGATGCAATAGCGAGAATTTCCTGGTCTGAGAGTTCGCGCTCGTCTTGAGCAGTAGTGACTTCGATGTTGTTCGCGTAGTCGGAGCGCCCATCGTCGCTGCTTTCCAAAAACCCATCATCATTCATGTGCATGACCTGATGATCCATATTATTTGAAAACGGAGGCCGCATCACTTTTACAGACTCACGACGAGCATGTCCCACAGATTTTGCCCTAGCAGATGGGTGCATTTTTCTGCCCTTGGGAACTGCAAGAGTCGGCAAGGGTTTATCCTCGTCGGTGATCTGTAACCTTTGAATTCCATCTTCCGCTTGCTGTTGATCTTTGACCATGCTTGCGGCGTTGGAGGGGAGAGCCGGGAGTTCTGCCTGTTGTTTGGTATTGACTGAATTATTTGGCCAAGGTGCTCCATACGACTCAATTCTTGTTGAAGGCACGTTCTCTGAGACCGTACGAGTATGTGTTTTCTTCATCGTCGTACCTGGGGCCTGCTGAGCAGAAAGACGCTGAACAGGTTGTTGCTGCTGAGCATGATGGGGTTGCTGGATCTGCTGAGATTGTGGTTGCTGTTGTTGTTGCTGTTGTTGAGATTCTTGATGCTGAGTGTGACGCTTTTGAGACAAACGTCTGAACATGGTACCAAATTTAGTCTTTTCAGTTGGCGTATTGTTTGGAGACGAAACTAGACGATGGCTATTTTCCGCTTTTTTCTGCAGAGCAGCAGTTGCCTGGTCATAATCATGAGATTGAGGAGTTGGAGACAGTACAACGTCAAGCTCAGTAGACGGGAATGCTGGGTCGAGTGGTTTTCTGCTCGTTGGAGACGTATGTGCTTGTTCAGGAAGTGCGAGTTTCGGAGGAACCATCACCGTAGGCCTTGGTTTGGTGGGGGGGTTTTCCGGGGGCGGGCTCACCACAGGATAAGGTGGAACCACGGTGGGCTTTTTCATTAGAGTAGAAGGCTCCCGTTTAGAAGGTGGCGGTGACTGTCCTGTAGAGGTAGCTGGTGACATTAGAGGAGTTGTACCTGGAGTGGCTGGGGCGCCCGCGATTGGGCCCGAAGTAGGGACATCCAAGGCTTGTGGAACTTGGTTTGCTGCCAAAAGAGCAGCCCTTTTCTGCTGCTTTGCGAGCTTCCTTTTCAAAGTCTCATCTACCAGATGATAGATAGATAGCAATGGATGGAAGGCGCGTGTTGGGTCTTCGTGTACGCCGCCTTTACTGACGTTTAACCAAAATTGCTTCACTAAATGCTGATATTCCGGATTCGCTAGTATTCTTTGCAGCCAAGCTGTCGCCTCGACGACATCATCAACAAATTCCAGTCTGTACATCTCTTTAATTACAGCGGCGTCTAAAGCCTCGGATGTTAAAGGAACCCGATGAGGGAGGTAGGACGGTGGAGGGAAATCGTATCCCCTTTGCATCCATTGATGATTCACAACCTGCTTCAAAGAGGCACGTTTACTAGGATCCACTACTAGCATTTTTGACAATAGCGAAATGACTTCTATCGATAAGTGTTGGGGATAATCTACTCTGCCTTGTTTGATCTTTTCATGGAGTACGCTGGAGTTTTCATCGTCAAATGGTACTTTACCACTTACCAGGACGTACAGCACAACTCCAAAAGACCAAACGTCGACCTCGGGACCAGTATAAGGGCATGCTTTTAGTAGTTCGGGAGCAGCGAAATATAACGAGCCACAAAAAGTGTGGAGTTGTTTTTTAGGATTGAACATGTTGGAAAGCCCAAAATCGATAATCTTTATCTCTCCTGAGGTGGAGATCATTATGTTCTCAATTTTCAGGTCCCGATGCACAATATTGTTCATATGCAAATACTGTAAAGCGGAGGCAATTCCGCGTGCAAATTTGCGAGCGCTACGTTCACGTAACGATCCATGCTGAATAATGTAATCGAGCAATTGCCCCCCAGACACGTACTCAAACAGCATGTAAAAGTGGTTGCTCATGGTACACATTTCAAAAAGACGACAAATGTGTGGGTGGTAAAGTATCTGGCCAAGAGATGATTCTCTGATAGTTCGCTTGTCCCTAGAAATCTCTTTTTCGAGCTTGTGCTCGCGCTCCATGATTTCCTCCTGGGTTCTGGGCGGAACCATATGGGATTCCTTGTGGAGGAAGGCCTTTGTGGCTCTGTTCACAATCTTGATGGCGCATACCTCGTGAGTCGTGCGGTGCCTTGCCAGTTTCACTTTGCCCATAGAGCCGGCTCCCACGGTTTCGAGGAAGTCCCAATCTCCCAGACTTTTCCGATGAAACTGTTTCGCGTTGGCGCTGGAGCTCTCTTGCCCGTTGCTAGCCGCAGTAGCTTTGGCGCTCACTTGTCCGGACCCAGAGACATCTACTGCGGGCATAAGTCCGGAGGAAGTGTCGTTATTGCCGTGACTAGAGTAGCTGGCGTGATTGCTGCGCTTTCCCATCATCCGTGGCGTGGCTGGCGCCATGGCCATGGAATTGGAGCTTTCGCCCATCCGGAACTCACGATTGACGTGGTAGTCCGTGTTTGACGGCATGTGGACTTGGTAAGAACAGAATGGGCCTTATCTATTTAGGTTCGATGGATTGTTTGATTGGAATTACATACTTTACAGAGAGCTCTCTAATCACAATTGATAATTATCCCTATACTATGATCTTTATCATTACGGACGTGTGGTTGCGACGGAGGAGTATAAACCACAGAGAAGTCCAAGAGGCCTATCGACTGTTTTAATCGGTCAGAATCCTCAAGCGTGTGTGATCTGAGGAAAGCGCAATGTTTGAAGTGTTCAATTAAACCAGACTAACAATTGAACCACACTTTCGAAATGGGTGAATCATGCGCGCGCGCCAACCAAACCAGATAACAAATGAAACACTCTTTCAAAATGGGTGGAACATGCGCGCGCGCCTAAACTTTTTCCCGTTGGCATCTTTCGTGCATTGAACGAGTGATTCATCCTAACAAAATCCTGTATATGTTTATATTTCCAGCACGACACATCATGCCGACTAGATAATCGAGTAGCTGACATGGACCTACCCTAAAAGCGTACAGAGCGATCACAAGGATCAATCACCACTCACGATATGCACGTGGTGCATATCGTGACGCTCATCTGTGTTCTATACATGGCCATGCATGGCCATACATGCACCTGCATTATAGTGCGTCTTTGTGCGTATCATCTAAATGTCTGGGTGTCGATATAAAAATCGTACGTAGCGACTATCAGAAAATGAGCTCACTTTCCACGTTCTGTTCACGTGATCGAGCAGTCTTCCTCGTGACGTTTAATGATTTCAAAATAACTTAAAACCGACCGCGAAGGGAGAACCAGCGTCGGAATTGGCGCGTCAGCAAAACGCATCCCCGCAGACACTGAACGCCTGCAACTATGTTACGGTTTGTCCAAAACCACACCAACTCGTCTTTATTTAGCTTGTCTCGCTGTCATTGCGCGTCAATCCCACACTGGAAAAATTATTGAAATTAATACTATATACCATATACCATATGTACACATCGCATCGAACTCACGATACCCGAATACAGCCTTGGCCACATAAAAACAGCAATCGAGATGAAAAGAGAATTGGAAGCTGAACCGATCTTGTTAGAGGAGTATTTGTCTGAATTGCAGATACAACAGTTATCCAAGACTCCTCCAGGACCGCCCGTGGCGGATGAATTGGTTCACAATTGGCACTACCAGTACGTGGTTTCCTGGCTTTACAATGTGTGTGACTCGACCTTCACCGCTGATCAGGGCAAAGCGATGTTCTCCAGCATTGCTTTTGACGAGAAACTGTTGCTCCAAGACCTGCAGTCGCAGGATTGGGAAGAAAACGATGTTAGTCTATACACGCAGGTACGTGAGTGCGTGTTGAAGACCGTGACTCAGAACAAAAAGGCGCAATTGAAGGAGTGGGACGTCGCCATCAAGTACAACTTGGCACAGTGGAATGCGGTGCTGTGGTGGGCGCAGGACCAAGAGACTAGATTCACGGATTTGAACGTGGTGCAACAGTTCGACGTGCTGTACGCGTGTATCAAATACATTGAGCGCAAGAGCCAAAGCTTCCGGCTCTACTTGAATGCGCACTTGGCTCAATTCCAGTTCCCGGAGTGTGTAGTAGGGGAAAGACGATCGATGTTTGTACTACCGGGCGGAAAGCTTGTGGAGAGGACGATGACGGCGCACGAGGAGGCGCACTTGCGGGTTCCTATCAAGTTCCGCAACTGTTCGGTGAGGTACGAGGGTGAGGACGAGGTGGAAGTGCGTCAGCTGGACTTTGGCCCCGAGATCGACGACTTTTTATCGCGACTATCGCTGGATTTCAAGGTTTTGAGTGGATCGTGGGGGGAATACTTGGGATATCTAAACGAAACTACAGACCAAGGTTTACAAGAGTTCCTGGCGCAGCAGCTGCCGCTGGTGGCAGAGAACGAGCTAAATGGACGGCGGTTGTTGGCCAACCGTGAACGCGAACGGTCCATGGCAGAACTGCTGGTCCGGCGCAAGCGTTCGTCGCGGCTGGTCGCCCGCGAAGAGGACACCAAACGGCGCGACCTAGAGTCCCGTTGGCTGGAGAAACTCGACGACCGTGACCAATATCTCCGGAGCCGCCAGCGGGCCGTAGCGAAAATGTCCAAGGCCATCAAGGACGTGATCTGGTCTCAATTGTGGGACAAGTTCGACCTCGATGTGAAAGTAGAGAAGCTTAGACGCCGAACCGTGGATGGACAGCAACTGGCAGCCACCCCTGAACCGGGCTCCCCCGGGTCCCTTGCGCCCGTGGACCACTACGCCTGGCTCGCAGCCATCGACCAATCCGTGCTGGAAAACGGAGAGAAATTCCACCACAGGGTCATTCAAGTGGACCCTGCGTTGCCCACGCCTCTCGAAGTCGACTCCCGGGAGCTGCCAGACGAATTGCTCATCACCCGCGAGGAACTATCCGGCTTGGCAAATCACGGTTTGCCCGTCGCAGACTACACCCCAGACTCCACTGACTGGGCCTTCCAGTGCCCGTGCCAAGAGGTTTCCGGATTCAATCTCAACGACCACGACGCCGTCCGCTCCCACACGCTCATTTGTTGCGATTCGTGTCTGCGGTGGCAGCACCTGGAGTGCCAGCGCGACGAATGGGTCGAGCTGCTGGGACAAGCTCGCCAGAAACCGCTTCAACGTAAAGATTTCGTCTCTGTCACGCTGGCTTCGCCCCACGCCCACGCTCACGCCCTCCACCGTGGCCAACGTCGCAGTGCGCGCCACGCTGACACCAACCTCCACCCGAGCCAGCCCGCTGACGCCGATCTCGGTCTCTCCTCGGCTCCTCGGCCCGTGACCCGAAAATCCAGTCTTGCACTGGCCAATAATACATCTGCAAATCTACTTCCAGAAACATTTGTATGCAGTTGGTGCATGCACGCTCTGGAAGACGATCTTCGGGATGCCTTTGTGCGCGAGCTGAGGCAGACCCGCGTTCAGCAGCGAAAGGCCCACGACGAGCGCGAACGCCGCAAGAGACAAAAAGAAGTGCGCAAGTCCGCCGCCGCCTCTACGGCCAAAAATACCGATGATGCTGGTGCAGACATCAATGACAATGCTACAGTTAATCCTACGGCGAATGCTACGGCCAATGCTACGGCGAACGCTACGGCGAACGCTACGGCGAACGCTACGGCCACCACCTCCGGCACGCAAAAAAAAACACAGCCGTCGCGTCTTCCCCGTTCCCAATTCTCGCACAGCACAAGCCACTTCGCCCAACCTTGACGTTACCTTCCCAGTTGTGAATTTCCGCATATTTTTCCTGAGAAAACGGTAACCTATGCGATTGACTGATCGGACAACAATCCGCTGCAGACCTTCTGCCAAGCTCTGGATGACGATTCCATTACAAGGTTTCTCCGCACTGAACACTAATCCGCTTCTGACGTGTCTAGCTTTATGTGTCCCTGTCCTGGGCTCCGTTCCTGCAAATTTTTCGTCTTTCTGTCATCCGTGGGGCGGGCATGGCACGCCCATTGCCTGCTGACGAAAATATGTTGGACGTCACGGTGACCCAGGCCCACCGGCCAGGGTGTGCTGAATGGGTTTAGTTCGTGATGGTACACAAGTTTCCTATTGTAGTTTCCTGGAGCCGAGCATTGCGATATTTTTCCGCACCACGACAGTGTGATGATTTTTGGTGATGCCCGACGGGTACTTGTTGGTGGTGAGCGAGCCATTTGAATTTGGCGGAAGCACGGCACTAGAGGCAGAGGCCGATGGGGCCAGGGCGCATACACAGCCACCGAATACTGGTTGTATTCAATAAAAGACAGTAAGTAGTTTGTGTGTAGGTAGTTAGTTGTAGTTGGATATTATAGTGAATGGGAAACACTCTCATAGACTACAGGAAAGCGAATTAAACCGACTAAGGAAGGGCGCCAGGAAATTCGGTATTGAGAATTGGAAGATGACCAGTATAGAGGAGTATAGTATATTCGGCCTGAAAAGAATGCTGGACGAGGACATGGACCGCATGGCAGGAAGGAAAGAGAGCAAGAGCCGACTGGTGAGGGCGTTGGGCATGAAGGTGGCCAGCGGACTAAGCCTGACTCCATCGCTGAGCTCGGTGAAGTCGCAGGTTAGGTCGCCCAGAAGTCCGGCGAGCTCGCTGTGGTCGGGCTCGTCGTTCGAGGCAGAGCTGGGCTCGTACGACGGCTACAGCAGCGGGGGCAGCTTGTGTGGAAGCAGACAGAGCTCGATGGGATCGCACCTGCGGTCGTTCAGGATGTCTGGGAGCTCGCTCACCGATGAGATCGAGGACGAATGGGCAGAGCCTGCAAGCAGCATGCTGTGCGGGCCGTCCAAAACGGGGCCTGGTGCGCACGGTGCTGCCGTCGCACAGCCCGTGGAGCACCATCCGTTGTGCGACCAACAACCAGCCGGCACCCGCATGGCCCTGTCCACCGAGCCCACGCTGAGGCTGGTCAACATGCAGGACCTGGACCTGGGGGACGAGTATCTGGTGAGCGACGTAGTACAGTTTTACAGTCCAGTTTTTCAGCGTGCAAAAGCCAGCAGTCCCACAGTCACCACAACGCCTCCCCGGAGGGCTTCCGTGGATCTCACAATTGACCCTCATTCAAACGTGGGCACCGCGGCCGCCGCCCCCGTCAATAATCGCAGAAGGTCGTCGCTCATCATCGAACCCGACGTTGTGGAATTGGAAAACTGGCCCACTCAACACCCCGGCGAACTGTACCTCAGGCCGCCACCTTTACCTGCCCAGCAGGCCACAGCATCATCCGGATTCGCATCACCAAGCACCGCACTCTCGCCGGCTACGCCCACTCCCAACCGGCGTCTGCGACAACAGACATTTAATCCAAACTTCCTCAAGCTCTACGCGATGGAGACGTCCTCAAAGGCCTCCGATTTGATACCAGACCTCAACGTTGACGAGCAAGTCCTGCGGCGACTAACCTTCCAGGACATTTGGAACCTAGATATTCCTTTTTCCCCTCAAACGGCCAATGTCAGTGTTCGCGACATCAAGATCGCACTTATTACTCGCAAGAAACTGTGGTCTGAGATGATGTGTGAGCCACGTCTGGACCTCCACGGTGACCGTGCCCCATGGAACCTAAAATTCGAGGTTGAACAATCAACTTCAAAAGGGCAGTCCGCTGCCTCAACGACCCGCTCTCTGGTTCGGGTAAACTCAGAATTGAAACCCTGGATGAGCGTTACTTCAGAACGGATGTTGAGGCCCGTGGGGAAACTCCAGCTGACTCGCGCCAGGCCCGGAAAGGAGACCCGAGAAATACAGTACGTGGTCAAAGGTTGGTGTGATTCCAGATTTACAGGGCAATAACTCAGGAGCAATTCAATTAGCATCAGTGGCGCTGCTCCAATAAGCGTCACCGCTGGCATCTGATTGCAGATCGCCGGCATTCATTTTGCATATTTAGGATAGATAGACATAGTTTGGCTTTTACTTGGCATTGTACAGACATTATAAAGAAGAAACATACTATGGCATGAAATCGGTGGCCATGAGTAGTGTGACACTCAGCAGGCAACAGATGAATCAAGCCGAGAAGCGTAAATGTGCTACCAGTATCCATCAGATGCTTGATGACTTGTATCACTGTGGACGTGCACGTTGATGACGGACAATCAAATTCGAGACAGTTCCGCCGCTCGGATAGAGCCCAGTCGCCAATCCTTTACCACTTCCAGAGCTAGTCGCTGTTGCTAGATTCATTAACTTTTTGAAGTCAAATGTCCATTCACCAGGACCGAGCACCGGAAAACAACTCATAAACATGCAATCTCAGAAAATTTGGCTAAAGCAAAATCAAGATTTGTTTTAGCAGGATCAATAGGTGCATTTGATTTCGGACAATACATTGAGGCCACAATGCCACACATCCTATGTCGCGAATAAGTTCTCTGGGACAACCTTCGGATATACTGTGACTGCCGTCGTTGTAGACGAAGGTATGAACCCAAATTATCACAGGTGGCCCACCTTGTAAATGCGATGCCACTTCACTTAACCGAAACATTATCCACCGCATTCAGACCCTGGATATGAAACAATATAACGGTATGTTCGGCACTTGCAATGAAATTTGATTGGCTCTAGGGACTAAGCTAACGACGCTTTCTTCTCAGTTACGTTTATCGAAGTCTTAAAGGATAAAAAGGTCATAGCCACGTACTTTCACAACCCGGGGGCCGGCTACGGGTCCTTGGGGAGAGCTGGCCAAACGGCCAAGCCTGAAGTGTTCCAGCGGTTGACAGAGGAATTGGTGGTGCCTAAAGTGGTACCTCTGGAGGGCAATAAGGTCATCAAAATGTCGAATACATTGCTGGATGGCTTTGAATGCTACCATGGAACCGATAGTGAGGGCCGCATATGTGTGTGCTTCTCGCCCGTAGATGTACCCAAAATTCTTCCGCTGCGAATTTTGACTGATTTGAAAGGAATGTCGAATAACTCGGACCAGGAGCTGGATTCCAACGTCCGAGCCATTCTTCAACAATTCCATGAGGAACTTCTGTCTTATCATGACTCTTCCACCGCAGAAGCCACCGAGCAGGACTTGCAGGATGTTATCCAGCTGATGAACGACAATATTGACAAGTTTCTGCAACGCCAAGAGCGCGTCTCACTGCTGGTGGATCGCACCTCGAAGCTGAATCAATCCAGTTATAATTTCAAACGCAAAGCCGTACGAATCAAAACCAAGATGTGGTGGAAAAACGTGAAGCTTTGCTCCACACTTGCCGCCGTAACTGTAGTTGTCGTCGTGGCGATTTTGGGGGCCGTTCATTATATGTAGCATGAAGATAAATGTGATAGGTGTAGGTTAGATAAACCCACAACAACCCATAGCCTTATTTCTTTTCATTCTTGCTGGAGTCGAGGTTTCTTAGTGCTTTCTGGTTCTGTCTCAGCACCGTCAATGGGTTCATCTTGGGCCGCCTCTTGCTCTACAGTTTCAATTTCGTTGTCAGTTGGTTCCTTCTGGAGCGTTCCTGTCTCCTTCGCGACGCCCTCCTTTTTCTCCAGCTTCCTCATCTCCAAAGCATGCTGGTACTCATCTAGTCTCTCTCTCACTAGACCAGTCAGCCCCTCAAGTCCACAATGCCTGAGGGCTTCGAGTATGTCGTCCACGTTACAGCTTTTCCTGCCTTGGTATAACGACACGTTGCGGGCATATATCATCAACCGATTTACAAAGACAGTGGCTGATCTCTGGAGGGCCGTCACTGCATCCTTGGACAAAATGACCTTTTTCTGTTCTTCATCAGCGACGCCCACGTCCGCGCCTTGCACAGAACACTCTTTGGCTAGATTGACAATGGTGCTACGTGGGAACAGCAAATCTTCTATCGAGACTTTTTCATTCTCCTTGGTACGCTGAGCAGCGCTCGACTTGCCACTACTTGGGTCCTTTTTAACGTTCTTCGGAGGCATACTTGGTTCGTCCCAAAGACATTTGGATGGACGACTTCCAAAGTGATTTAACAAACCTAAAATAAACAAAACCAAAGGGTATAACAACCAAATAGAGACAAGGCAGGCGCAACGGGCGAAGCTATCAGAGCTTTTCGAATGTCTCTTGTTTTAACATTCGGCTTTAGACTCAAATGAGGCCATGTTCAAATAGTGTTATATTCTGACTAGAATATCCGCAACTCTGTCAGAAGTTGCATCACCCTGCTTCGATAATTTACAGGAGGTCATTTAAATACACTCAAGACTATTTAAGTTTGTACCAGAGTAGCTAACTATCTTTCAAGCGGGAGGTGCGGACTTGGTTCTTTGATGACAGTGGAAAATTTTCGACTTTATCACTCTTATATCAACCATCCTCAGCTCATCGTCAGCTCATCGCACACATAATACAAGCGCTTGAACAAGGTTAAGAGCCATGATAAAGGCAGCCATCAACCGAATCAGAAATCGTTTTCTGAAGCCAGTCACAAACTCTGGCTCAGATAAGTACAACATTGTTACCGAGGGCAAAGGACACATTTTGTTTCCAGAGAAAGAGACCGTATTCTACAATCCCATTCAACAGTTCAATAGGGATCTCAGTGTAACGTGCATCAAGGCCTGGGATAATCTTTACGGACAGACTAAGCAGGACAAGAACAGAACGAGAAAACATGGCAAGAAGCGAGGTGCTGATGACTCCCACGAGGTGCTTAAAAAGCGTAAACTTCAAGATGGCAGCAGTGAAACTGCTAGAAAGCCTGACAAACCTTACATCAAAATTCTAGAAGCTCTTTCCGCTACTGGTCTTCGTGCCATCAGGTATGCCCAGGAAATCCCGAACGCAAGAGAAATTGTTGCCAATGATCTGCTTCCCGCAGCAGTTGAATCCATCCAAAGAAACGTGGACTACAACGGGGTAGGTCACATTGTGAAGCCTAATATAGACGATGCCAACGTCTTGATGTATCGCAACAAAGCTTCGCACAAGAAATATCACGTCATCGACCTCGATCCATACGGGACTGTGACCCCGTTCGTTGATGCTGCGTTGCAGAATGTGGAAGACGACGGATTGATGCTAGTAACATGTACCGATCTGTCGGTTCTTGCCGGTAATGGCTACCCAGAAAAGTGCTTTGCGCTTTATGGGGGTGTCAACATGGCAGGGCACGATGCTACACATGAGAGTGCACTGAGGTTGGTTCTCCATTTGCTGGGTCAGAGTGCCGCAAAATATCGGAAGAGTATCGAGCCAGTATTGTCGCTGAGTATCGATTTCTACGTACGTGTCTTTGTGAAGGTCAAGACCAACCCGCTTAAGGTTAAAAACTTGCAAAATAATTCCATGATAACCTATATGTGCAGCGGATGTGGAGCTTATCACAACCAGAAGCTGGGCCGTCAGAGTGAGCGTGAAACCAAAAAAGGCAAGAAGTTTCTGAAATATTCGTTGGCCCAGGGTCCTCCTGTGGACCGGAGATGTCCCTACTGTGGAGGTGCGCACCACTTGGCAGGTCCCATGTACGCAGGGCCTCTGCACAACAAAGAATTCATCAATGAAGTTTTAAGAATCAACAGAGAAGAGCACACCGATGAGGTCTACAAGACCCGCAAGAGAATCGAGGGTATGTTGACTCTGGCGAAGAACGAGTTGGAAGCACCATTCTATTTCACACCCAATCGCGTGTCATCTGTTCTAAAATTCCAGGTGCCAAGTTTGAAGACTGTGGTTGCGGGGCTGGGCTCTTTAGGCTTTGAATGTTCTTTGACTCACGCACAGCCATCTTCTTTGAAAACCAATGCTCCTTGGGAAGCGATATGGTATGTGATGAGACGCTACTGTGAGGATAACAAGCTGTGCAATTTGGAGAAGATGAATCCTAATTCGTTTGGCTACAAAATCCTGACCAACGACGCAGTTGTTAACCGCAGCGAATACGACGGTAAATTGAGCTTCGACGAAAACGAACATAGTGGTAACGTAGAGAAGTTGCGGAAGCTAAAAATTGTTCGCTATCAAGAGAATCCCTCTCGAAACTGGGGACCAAAAGCACGGCCTACTTAAGCACGCCCCATAATACGCAATGCGAATGGTATAAAACATCATTTTTCCATTAAACTTCGTTAAAGGCCCTCATCGGCGAATATATATAATATGAATCGTAAGGAAACGGTTAAATCGTAATGTCTCGATCCAAAGATGAGCTCAGCGTACCTTACTTACTCCAGGTTATTGCGCGTCTGAAAAGCTTTAATTGCAAAGGGCCACCCAAACATGGTCACCATAAAGGCTGACCAGATCCCCACTGTAGGCGCAAGCCTTTTGGCTTCAGTGATGGCCCAAGATTGGCCTATTCTTTTGTGCGAAGCCCTCAGGATGATTCTATTGGCAGACTTGGGAAGAGTTGCGGCGACAGCGCGGTTGATAGACAGAGTTGAGGATCTTAGAATTTGAGAAGATAGCATTTTGCGTGATGAGTTTGTATCGTCCACAGATGTGATGATGTTATTAAATAATGGTTCAAGACTTAAATTCACATTCTGGTACTACATCGTTATTTTCGTTTTATTTATATAAGATTTCTCTGAGTTTTTAGTCTTACTGAGGAGCTTGAGATGGGGTTATAGTTGAACATACCACTTTTCCACGTCGCCCAAAGGAAGATATCGTGTGTTTGTTAGGTTTGTCCTGCAACTGCATACAAATTTTGTTGTAGAGACGTTCAGGCTCACGATATTTCCGGCAAAGTGGTGTGGTGCGAGTCCGAAATCTGGTGATATTTTTCAACCGCATATTAGGTGAGTACAACTGACGAGTACATGGAGACAAGAGAGCCAATAGCGTACGGCCTAGAGAGTGAGGACGCCAGTGATTAGAGCTGGCCAAAGCTGCATGGATAATACGATGATAGCCATGCATAACTATGGCGAGATTTCATTTTCTTGGTTTGCGAAAACCGTCCTCAATCGCTTCTGTGCGTTCGTGGCCCTTTCATCTGTAAAATCGGACATACATGTTAGGTGGGAGGAAGTTATATAGACAGCGTGTATTGCGTGTAGCAGGAGCAGCTGAGCTTACGAATCCAACCTTCGTGCTTATTAAATTCCTTCTTTGTGCCAATCTGTCCTCTAGGCAAATGACAGAAGAATGCAAAGTGATATTCGCAACGAGGTGTTATTATGAAACAAGGCTTCCGGCTCTGGACACTCACTATCTGAGCAAATGACTTTATGGGTACTTCATTTGACACTTGACCGATCGGTCCTTCGTTTTCACTACCCAGCCTTTTCGTTTCACCTAAAAAACACAAACCACTTTGCGTTTGTCCGTCACCTACGAGGAACCCAATTCTTGCCTGCACTGCACGATACCCGCTCGTGGTTCTACCTTATCCGGAAGCTTCTCCTCGCAGAGCTTCCTATTTTGTTCTATCCACCGACGTATGCAACCTATGCTCTTGAATAAAGGCGCAACTGATTCCAGTCAATACGATAGCTGCTAGACAAAAGTTAAAGGTAGCTCTACACGCCAAATGGTAACACTCGACCAGCGTAGACTGTATAAATAATGGCGCACCGTTGTGTATCCATTCAGCAGAATGAGCCGCCCTTGATATAAACCCCCTTAGCTCCGATTCGGGATGCTCTTTAGACACCAAACTTAATACTTTCCGGTTCAATTGCGCATTCAAACAGTTACGGAATATAGCGGCACCAATTGATACCCCCAAGGTGCAGCCCGTAGAACGAAAGGCGTATGAGATAGACGTTGTTGCAGCTTGATGTTCATGAGGAACCGCGGCGATCATTGCCAACAGTGTCACAGTAATTAGCACAGACACACCAAATCCGGGAACAGCTTGTAAAGAGTATTGTTGCCAGGTAGGCATCGCAGCAGTAATGAAGTTGATTTGGACCTGTCCCAAAATGGCGACTGCACAGCCCATCATTGTAAACCAGTAGTATTTTCCAGTGCGCTTCATATAGTAACCAGCTCCTAATGAACCACCGGCAATGCTAAAGAAGCTCGGCAAAGCTCTTTCACCAATCGCTGTAGGTCCCATGTTCATGACGCTTGACCAATAAACGGGCAGGTAAAAATTCGTTGTTATCATCCCCATAACCGAGAAGAAGTTTCCCAAGCTGCCAGCCAAAACTGATCTTTCTCCTAAGAACGTTATCGGCAAAATTGGATCCACTGCTACATAAACTTCCACACAGACAAAAATCGCGCCCGCTACGAGAGTTACACCGCACAGTAGTACGAACGATTTGGAGTCGTATGGGATCTCCTTTCCTCCTAGGGAAGATGTGAGCATAAAGAAGAAGAGAAATCCCACCAAGGTGACCCCTCCTTGCCAATCAAGGTTTTTCAAGTCTTGGGTCCAATGGTGCGAGCGGTTTTTTTGGGCAGGCCGTTGAGGCAGGTTCAAATACAGAGTAATTAGCGTGCAACTAATGACGCAGATTGGGATTTGCATGAGGAATGCCATTCTCCAGCCCCCACCGTGTTCATTGAAAAAACCTCCAACGAGTCCTCCACAGCTCGTACCAGTAGCGAAGAACAGGTTACAAATTCCTTGATACAGAGCACGATCTCTCAATGGAACAATGTCACTGGTGGTGATACTGGCCATTGAAGTCAGTCCACCCCCACCAATTCCTGCGATAAAGCGTCCAACGACCAAACACCACAAGTTTTCACTGAGTCCGCAAATCAAACAACCTACACCAAAGACAACGTTACTAAAAATTAGCAATGGTTTACGCCCCAGAACATCCGAGATCTTCCCATAGAGTGGCTGAAAACATGACGTAGACAGCAAATAGCCAGTTGCGATCCAAGAAATGTTTGGTAAAGCATTGAACTCCGAGGCAATATGTGTCATCAGCGTCGAGACGATGGTGTTGTCTAGGGCAGCAAGAAAGATGCCTAAATACATAGATGTCATAATAATCTGGATCTTGGCATGCGATAGTTCAGACCTATCCTTGCTCTGTAGTGCAGTATGTTCATTATCGCTTTCGATTGTTGTGGTGCTGACGTTTACGCCTCCCCCAACATTGCCTTTGAAAGTGGATCCGTAATCAGAAGATTTAGGAGTCGATTGTTGGACATGACCTTGTAATTCACCTGCGATCACACCAGCTAATCCGCTATAGGGGCCCTGGATCTGATCGAGCTCATCCGAGGCGGGTAAATCCGAGGTGGACATGTTTAAAGCTTATCGTGTTCCGTCCTAGCTTGATACCCTGAGCCTTAACTCTCAGTGAATAGAAATTTTTAATCTTTTGTTGAATTTATATGCCTCAGGAATCGTGTTTTAGTTTATGACTCAACCAGGACGAATGCTCCTTGTATGCCATTCGGTTAACGGGCTAAACAGTTAAGATGCTTTTTAATATTTCATTTTCCTTATCTATGACTGATAATGATCACCTGAAGATTAAACCAGAAGACATGAAGGCACTCCATACATTAAACAAAGTACAGCCTCTCGATATCATCTAGCTTTTAGCAGTTTCCTTGATAATTTTGTTGTAGTGATTGAAACTGTTACAAATAAGAGTACCCGTTAGTTACGAAATTACAATTAATTAATCTGCAAACTCCCCTAGCTATACATACCTGGCTGAAGAGACTTTCTCTATCAACTTCTTAAGCAGGACCTTCTTTGAGATCCCATCGAGAAAAATCAGGCATTTCCAAATGAAAAAATGGCGTGTTGGTGCCCGTAGCGGTATAGACGCTAGACGATTGATGTTCTTCGTCGTCGCTTCTAGAGGAGGACCGCAAAACGTGGTAGCTTGAATGGCCAGCTAGCAGTGATTCGTCCGCGAACTCCTCATTGACAGTTCCAAAACCCACGTTGATTAGACCACGTTTAATCCACGGAGAGATAATGCCACTAAAATGAAACTCGACCTGACGGTCAGCATATTTGCTGACAGCTTTACGCAGGTCCACCAGCGTCTGAAGGCCCGTAGAATCCGTCTGTGCAACCTGTGACCAATCCAGGGCTATTACGCGCAAAATTGGGCGCTCATCGCGTGGGCGTTCACCGAGACTGTTTTCATAAAAACCAAAGCGACCTTGGGACTTGGAGACCAGTTTTTGCAAAAATCTTGGAGGAGTCCACTCGCCAGGATCATTCCAACGCTTGTGTGCATCCAAACCTGTGTAAGAAACCTTCCCACGACGAGTTTGACGTACCACTTCATCAAAAATCAAGTTGTACAAGCGAGAACAGTTGACGTAGGTCCAGCTTTCGCTGGGACGGAAAACAATGACACCAGGAGGTGGGGGGCGGATGGTAACACCAGGATTTGTCTCTCTATTATTTTGGTTGAATGGAACCCACTTTGTATGGAATGTGACCAAAGAATCGGGTCTACTTCTAGGTTCTAAAGCCTTTGTGGTCTCATAGTCCCCAGAACCTGGAACCTTGAAATCGGTTTGGCCCTTGAGCTTATAATCTCTAGACTCATCAGAGTGAGATTGATAAAAGTTCACGCCACCGTCATTCAAAGAAGTCTCGTCGTCACTTATCACCACTGGGTTAAGCACCTCAGCAACTTCCACCCGGCCCAAGAAACGACCACTGGGGAAAGCCACCTTCCAAAGCAGAGTCGCCATGGACCAACAGATAGCGAAATAAATGCCATTTTCAATGCTGCTGAAGACGGTGATAAAAACAGTGGCAATGAAGCAGATAAAGTCTAATGGATTTGTACGGTAGAAGCTCCAGGTAGTTTTGTAGGATGCCACCAAATCGCTTACAGCGTGGATGATAACAGCACTCAAAGTTGCCTTAGGGATAAATTGAAATGCAGATGTCAGACAATAGATGGCCAGTAGCACACAGGCACCTGAGAAAAGACCGGATAGCGGTGTGCTTACATTACATTTGGCCTTCAACGCAGATCTTGAAAACGAACCAGTGGCAGGGTAGGCGTTGAAAAAAGTCCCAATCAAGTTCGTAGCGCCAATGGCAACAAGCTCTTGGTCGGGTACAACACGATAATCATTAACTCTACCAAAAGATTTGGAGATTGCAATGTGTTCTAGCAAAAGGACAATAACAGAAGCGGGTAGATCTGGTGCTATCTTGGACAAGAGGCCCTCTGGAACGGTTGCAACGCCAACTTCTTGCAACCCTGAAGGGACAGTTCCTAGCAAAGAGATTGGAGCTTTTTCCTTGTGACGCGAGATACCCCAGGCAATAGCTGTAAAAACGATGATAATCACAGCGTTTCTCAGAGCCTGGGTGTAAAAGAAAACTTCGTTCCAAATTTTGGTGGTTCTTGGGCGCTTGGAGTAACGTTCAACCAACCTGGGACCCCCAGTGTTGCATCCCCATTTCCAAACGTAGAGGAGAAATAGAGGAATCAATCCAAATGCAGCATCTAATTTAGTATCAGGAAGGTGTTTCAAGGTGTTAATGATCACTTTGTAAGTGCTAGTACGAGTGTTCACCTTTTTGTTATACCCCATGAGACCAGGAACTTGACCCGCGATAATATTGAGAGCTGAGCCCGTCATAAAACCACCAACGGCCGTGGCGGATATCAACTCTACTAGGAACCCAAGTCGTAAAAGCCCAACCGCAGTCGCGATGATACCACACAATAGCGCAAGCGCTGTGGCGATGGTTGGCCCGGTGATGTCAGTGTCATCGGGTAAACGTGCTGTCACAGATGCGACAACCTTCGCAGTCTGTAGCGACATCACCGCAACTGGTCCAATACACACATCCTTACTTGTTGCGAAAAAAGAATAGATGAAAGCACCGATAAAAGAGGAGTAAAGTCCATACTGTGGAGGCAATGTTGCAATCTGAGCGTACGACATCGATTGAGGAACTAGGACACAGCCAACAGTGATACCTGCGACCAAATCTTGGTATAACCAACGTCCGTTGTAGTGATGAATCCATTTTAAAAAAGGAAACAAATTGTAAAAGTAGTCACCAACACGGCCCAGCGTGAGGTTGGGTCTAATGGTTGTGTTGAACCATTCGGGAATCTCGACCTTGGACTCCTCATAGGCTGCTATGTGCGTTATGGAACCGGCGATCGAGGCAGGAGGATACGAGTGTGGCGACTTTCCATTTTTATCGAGGCCATCGTCACGCTGCTGCTGGTTGGAGGTACTTTCTTCACCGCTGTAGCTAGCAATTTCTTCCCTAGCAGTGGCTTTACTTTCGTCCTTCTTGCCAAGACCGTACTCTGCCTCCAGGGCATCGAGGTTAGACATATTAACAATGGGAATGGGTAGCTACGTTTCACAAAAACTCTGCTGTTGAAGCGATAAAAGTATGTCTTTTCAATCAGCCTGGCCCACTCAACCTTGGTGATGTTCTCAGGTTGGCGTGGGTTCTGCTAAAGCTCCACCATGCTTCATATATAGTGCTTCTTGATTTTGTAATGCGCTTCTCTTCATCTATCACCACCACAACCACGAAGTCACTGACTAAAAGGCTGTGGCAGCACTCGTTCAGATGCTACTTTGCTAGTTTTGATGTGTAAGCACCACATCCACATCACTGTCGTCGTTCTCACATGACATTTCATGTATTGCCATACAGTCGCCATAATGAACTGAAAGAATAGGTCCTGAGGGAAAAACCCTAACTAATTTAGCTGCAGCTTCAGTCTGCATAAGAATTTGCGATTTCGATGCCACGAGTGTGAGCTTGGAAGCTATGAGATTGGACGGAATGACTTCCAATGTAGACACCAGTGAATGAACATTCGCTGTTCCTGATTCGGTTTCGTGTAAAACGACGAGCTTTAATGAAAAGTCATTACATTGAAGAAATGTGGCATCAACAATGGCAGATGAGATAGAGGAGCCGAAGGTCGATACAGGCGAAGTAGTTGTTGCTGCCACTGATTGAAGTGGTAGCACAGATACTTGAAGGTTGCTTGTCCCAGGGCTGGCCGTAAAAGCGACGAAGAGGGACCCCGATTCATCGCATGTCGCATCTAGCATGAGTGAAATGGGCTTAGGATGACTTATTGAACCACCCTCGGTCGAAGAAACATCGATTAGTTCCAACACCCATGGCTTGGTGTATACTTGGTCGATACGATGTGAGCACGTGACCACGGTGTCTTGGACTCTACTATGTAGCGACTGGATTTGACTACTGGCGACTGGCGCGTCGGCCACCCTCCAGGTTTTTTCGAGATACTCTCGTATCTGAAGTGCGGCCCCTTGACGACCGATTGGCTTCTTGTAGTCTTCATCCACACATTCCATCACCACGTCGAAAAACCAATCTGCGAAACTTCCGTGTATCGCGGACTCGCGGTTTAAAGCGACAGCCCACTGAAGCACATCCTTGAGTACGTCCTCGACAGCAGTTTTCAGTTCGTCAACTTGCGGGCTAGCCCACTTTTGTTCGTCAAATTCGTGCAATTCCGTCATTTTCTGTAGTCTCACGCTCTTGTGTACGCCCTGGAGCTTTTCACACATCAATAACAGTCTCTCGCAAGCAGGAATAATCGCCACTGCTAGTATATTACTAAGGTCTCGGTACATCCGTGAAGACAACTGTTTCCAGCGCTTGTAGTTTTTATCGCCGATACTACTGCAAAGCCAATCTTCGAGTTCTAAAGTCACATAGCCCGTAAGAAGTACCTCACATAACTGTGTGTACAAATCTGCGTCAAACGCGTCGGTAATCCGTGTTAAAAACACGGCATATGGCTCGATCACATCAGTCTTACACACTGCGATGTTTTCAATTAAGTATGAGCACAGAGATCGAACTTGGCCGGAGCACTTAACAAGTTCCCCCATCAAAGGAGATTCGAGTAAAGGAAGCCGTATGTACTCGATAGCCCCGTTGCTGCCCACCCCCACAAATGGTCCGTGTTTGTTCTTCGGCGGCAAAATCTTAAACATGTCAGTTATACCGCTTTCAAAGCGCACGGTGATCTGATTTCCAATATTCAAAACATATCCCGGCTTAATAGTCCCAGTGTTGCTTCCCTTGTAATGCGCCAGAAGTATAGCAGTGTCGGGCTTGGTATGCTGCCCCATATCCCAAGACTCTAAAGGAGCCATTGAAACTTGTTTTGAATCTCGTACAATGCGAACCATGCCGGGCATTAGAGCTGGTAAATCTGTTTCCAAAGCTGCATACGTCACTGGGAATTGATCCCATGCGCTACGCGACCAAACAGCAAAGTCGAGAGCCACATTTTCCTCGTTCTGCCAGGCAAGCACATTGATGACTTGTCGTAGATTTCCACTCGTAGCACAGTCGTAAATCTTCACTGTTCCGTTCGAGTAAAATGTCGCAAACTGTTTACCCTCGGTCTGGTCCCATTGGAATCCTATAACTTGTTCGTGATCCTTCAGTTGGACAGTCCCAATTAGCTGATCGTCAGTCGCTCTATGTATTGCCACAGTTTTACCTCTCACTACTAGGTACAATGCCAGTTTTGGGTTCCATATCACGTCTTCGTGCTGTCCTAGCTTGGTGATTCCCTTGAGATGCCATTTCACCATTCTATTTGCCGTCTTGACGTAGCGATAAGTTCTCGAGCAAAGTCCCCCAGACTTTTTGTTCTCCTGATCTCCTATTTAGCTTTAATAAGCCTGTCCTGAACTACCTTGTGTTCTTTTTGGGATTGATAGACTGGCGATGATCCAGGGCTCTTTATTATTACTGTATTAAAGCTGGCACAAATAAGTAGTCTAAACAGTTCACCAGTGAACAAGTGTGACCATGGATATAACCTATCCGCAAGAAATGAACTCTACTACTTGCTGATGGCATTCTGAAACTCTAGTTGCAACCATCTATCATCGTCACTCCTAGCAATGCAGCATACCAGGGCATTGAAGCATGCGAGTAGTTATCCTTACAAGTTAAAGGTTACCGCTCACCTCTTTCACGATATTCGAGTTCTGCATAGGTTAAGCTCTTCCTGGAGAGGCGGAAAGCAGTAAGTGTCTTTACGGAGATGGGATTTTTCTGACAAGGCGGTTTCTTTCACCTTTCAGTTATCAACTTCGAAGCAAACTTTGTCCACTGTACTATCTGGATTCATATTCTCCTTTTGAGAGTGCATTGAGCTATAGTCTACTGAACTTAATCGGTAACAAGGCAATGGAACATAAAAACAAAGCATTTTGGGGCATTTGTGGTGTTTACGAAGCTTAAATCGGCGAAGTCTTTAAGTACAGAAACAGAACCGCACTCTACTAAATCACGATCAGATCTTACGCGAAAAGAGTCACTGGTCTATATGTAGCATCCCAGCCCGAACGCCAACCACTGATTCTTTTTTCCGTTCAGATTCCACCAAATGGCTACGACACAGGAGCTACTCGAGAATACCAGCCCAGTTCAAGAGCAGCTACCATGATTCGTGGGGGAACCTAAAAGTGAAGGCCATGGCTGTCAGAAGTGAAGCTCCCTTCTCTATTTAGTCATCTTTAACGTACCTGGCGCCAGCGTTACCGTCTTCTCTCTAAGTACAATCTAGAGATTCAATGACGACGTAATGGCAAAGTGTCATTGTACCTCGCCAGTCACTTGTTGTTCACATCCTGATCGAACAAGTGCTTTTGGGAAAGACAGTCAACCTACCATGTTCAAAAAGGACCCTCAAATCAAAGCTCTGAGCAACCTGAAGAATTCTGAACGCAAGAAAGTTCAAGCTCAGTGCCAAAGTCAAACAGAGCTTTCTGATTATACTTTCCCCTCTCAGGTTATTAAACAGACCACCTTTAAGTCTCAATTATCAGCTGGTACCATTTACACCGACGAAAGTAATGTTCCCATCTGGTTTAAAGAGAAATTCAGTGATTTACTGTATCCAACTGTATACACCTGTTGGAAGAGGCCCACGTTGCTCCCTGTGGTGCTGGCACATGAATATGTAGTCGAGGAAAAAGTTCTTAAGGGGGCTAATCTCATGTTGCCGGGCACTGTACCGCCGTTCGATCCCAGATGTCGTAAAACGCAGCTGGTGGGTATTGCAAGCACACGAACACCAAATGTAGTGAAAGCTATTGGTATAGTCCAGCTGAATTTGCCAGAATATACACGGGTCATTGGAGAGTCTGGAGTTGCTGTGGAAATCACACACACTTGGGAAGACGGACTTTGCCGGATATTCAAGGCAAAAGTTGAGCCTCCAGAAGCTGGAGAATCTCTAGAATCCGAGAGTGATGAGCAAGATGAAGAAGAGAGTGAAGAAGTATCGGGTGCTGAAATAGGGGAAGCGATTCCCAAAGAAAGTGACCTACCGGTGACAACTACGTCAGATCCTACACCCTCATCTACTAGCACAGACCTGGAAAATATGGCTGAGCAACTCACGACACTGCGGATAGAGGATGTGGATCATTTGTTCACCAGATCCCTGTACTATACGCTTACCACCGATCCAAAGCTCGAAGTGCCAATGAGCAGTTCAGTATTTGTATCAAACCATATCTTACGCAACTTGCCTCCAGTGGATCCTTCTGAGGTGAATATGAAGAAAACCACATGGCGAAAGACAGCCAAATTTCTCAAACATTTTGAGAAAGAAGGCTTTCTCAAGCTGAAGGGGAAAGGTGATGATTTGACAATTGTTGGGACTGCCACTAAAGATTCGAAGCACGAACTTTCAAAATTCGAACCCTACCGGGTAGGAAGTTTTGGCGCGAATAGCTCTGGCTCGAAGGCAAATGCTCAAGACAATTCTCAGCAAGCAATGATGAGTGCTATAACGTTATACAAGCCGATCAGCAGTGCCAAAGAATTTTTGAGAGCAGCAGACATGCGATTAGATACTTTATACACTCAGCAGGAGCTCAAATCGGGTGTCGACCGATACATCGCAGAAAAGAAACTTGTTAGTCCTGACAACAAAGCTGCTGTGAGACTTGACGATCTGCTATTTGCAGTGGTTAATCGTGCAGTCAAGAAGGAAAATGCTGTCCGTACTATTACTAGAGCCCAAATTATGGTTCCCATTTTGAAGGGCAATTTCTCGGAGCATTTTGTTGTTCTCAAACCGGATGGTAACCCGCTGTTCAAGCATCCATTGAAGGGCTCAATTCCAAAGGTAGAGATCGTTACCGAGATGAAGATCGGACGTAAGGTGGTAACGAAAGTGTCGAATTTTGAAAAGTTTCAAGTCGATGCTCGAGAGTTAGCAGAGTTCTTGCGTAAAAAATGCAGTGGTGCCACAACAATTGGAGAAACTACCACGGCACCAAAGACTCTAGAAGTGACCGTTCAGGGCCCACATGGACCTGCCGCTATAGATGTGCTCAACGACTACGGTATTCCCACTAAATGGATCAATTTTGTCAACAAACTCAAGAAAGGAAAGAAAAGAAGCTGAAAGAGATATAGCCAGAAGGTGAATTCAGATTGATCAAATTGTCATGTCTGGGAGATTATAGTAAGTAGGACGTGGCCCTTTATATGAACGAATGAATGTTTCTTTGGTAGACAGTTTCCATGTCCGAGTTCGAGGCAGCTGACTTTATGTGAAAAAAAAGCTAAAAAAAAGCGAAGTCCATCGCTCTCACCAATGTCGAGGTGGTTTAAATAGAACGGATTGGGGGCCAGTATGTTGTCCAGAGTATCTAGTAGACTGGTACCATTTTTGAATAGGTATGGTACTAGAAATTTACACGTTTTCCCCTCAGTGAGGGCCGAAGACACGGCCAATTCCGTTGTATCGAAACTCTCAAAAGATCAACTTAAGAAGAGAGAGATCAGAAGGCTAGCCCAACGCAAAGCAGCTGCCAGAAGACCTGCTAGCGACCACCCTCTGTACATGCCAGTTATGAAGGCCCTGCGATTCCTGAGGGCCGCAGAAGTGGGTCAGCCACTTTCACAACAAACTCTAAGTTTGACAGCCATGGTAATATCAGAGAGAGGAGCACCGCTTCTAAATGGAAATCTAGTTTTGCCTAAGGCTCTGAAAGACGTCAAAGTTGCTGTTTTCACAAATGACGAACAGCAAGCGCGTATGGCGCGTGAGAAGTTCAACTGTCACTTGGTTGGCGGAAGTGAGCTTGTTGAGGAGATTAAACAGGGCAAAATCGCTTTGGATTTCGATAAGAGTTTCGCCACACCTGATATTGCGATAGCCTTAGCCTCTCAGCTGGGGCGGATCCTGGGCCCCAAGGGTCTACTTCCAGCTGCGAAAAAAGGAACAGTTTCCGAAGATCTGGAGGCACTACTCAGTGATAGCATGGGCTCTTTGCCTTTCAGACAGCGTGGCAACAACGTTAGCATTGCCGTAGGCAAGTGTTCCTTCACCGACAAGCAGGTGCTGGAGAACATTGTAGCGGCTCAAAAGGGCATCAAGTTGGCGTTGGCAAATCAAAAGACGAAAAAGCCCAGTCTTCTTGGCCAAACGACCCTCACTTCTACTCATGGTCCTGGCATAGTCATTGATTTCGCTTGAGTATCTAAAAACAACACGGCACTGCTTGTATATAAAATAAATATCTGCCCACGAATCACCACCTGAAGACATGCGCTTGCTTATACAGTGTTGGACACCGCTTTATATATTTACAAGTTAAAGGTATTTCCTAATAATGCTAAAATTGATATTGTCGGCTCGAGCTCCGCCATCGGCCGCAACGTTATTTGGCGTTTGCCAGCACAGACTTAGAGAGTGAGTGCGATCTTGCTTCTTTTTCCACGAGCTGAACGCTCGTGCTTTGCATCCATAATCGCTAGTGTGTCAGGTACCATCTACCCTTTTCACGACGTCTCTTTAAAACCTTGGAGCCCTGCTTACTTTTAGCTCTTGCCAGAAACCCGACTCTTCTTTTTCTCTTCAATGTACTTGGTTGAAAAGTGTTACCTCTACTTTTCCATCTTCTCTGAGTGAATCCAAATATCGAGTTAATTAGTGGAAAGCTTTGAGCAGGCTGGCTAACAGTTCTGTCTGCCATTGAAGTGCTTGTAGATTGTAGCGGACTTGAGCGAAGTAAACCGGCATTGAATGGTGAAAAAGAGGATACCAGCGAGAAGTTCCGTCTCGCTGAAAATTGCAATATTGATTTGGTGAGAAATGACATGGCACAAAATTGGTGTAAGGAACTGTCCAAACCAAGCTTTACCACACCTCCTCGCAAAGGATAAATTGTCTTACACTTGGCCCGTCTTCTCTTTCACATAGGAATACAACGATAGGAAAATTTTGAGATCGTGGTTTGTCTCGAACGTGATCTGCGACAGTAAAATCAACAAATGATAGTGATTCATCGCCGCTGAGACGATAGCCCCGGACAGGCATGCTTTGACTAGGTAGTAGCAGGTCTTTTAGACAGGGTTCGTAGAGCCTTTGTCCCCGAAAAATTCTACCCAGTGTTCATGGTGAACTCTATATCAAACCTGACCTAGAGGACTTTTTTGGCGGGGGGAATTTGAGAAACCATTCCCCGGTTCGGTCCGAAGCATTGGAAGGGAAATTATAACAGTTCACTGAACATTACAGTCTTTTCAGTAGAGCACTCACTTCAAATTGAAGGTCTCTAGAATTCGACGGCTCTTTTACCACGTAAGCTCCCTTGCAAGCACGCCTATACATGCGCTGCAGGGACCGCTTACTCGTGACGCAACCAGTAAAGGGAGAGGGGTCCTCGATTATCTGCTGGAGGAGCTTTTCATTCCCCAGCGACAGCGGCGGGTTGTCCACGGCCAAAACCTTCCAAACGTACGCAACCTTGCGCTTTAACAAATTGCGTATCCTGGTTTCCGCGATGTCATGGCCCAAGGGCTTCATAGGTATCTCTACTACAGGCGCTGCCACCGCTTTGCGGTTTTTGCACAGGTGTGGTGACTGCTTCAAAAACATGTAGTGCAGAAATATGTCACGAAAATGGGCATTCCGTTGGCCATCTGTAAGAGTGGCAGAGCCTGGCTCTCTGGCCCATCGATGTTTTGAGAACTCCATGCGTTCCAGTACTTTAGGGTTACAATTGTTCCACAGGTGTCGCAGCGAACCCACCTTTGGTGACTCCATGGACAACAGACTGCGATGAAACTCGCGAGGCCAATGGTCCCTCAACTCGCCATAGTTCTTGCGAAACTCCACAATGTGTGACGGCAGATCGTTAGTCCACTGAAAGTATGTTTTATGAATTATTGTTTCAAGTGTTTTAGAGTCCTCGTACACTTGATACCTGTGTAGCAGCTCTGGCAGCCCGAGAATCGCGCCCTCCGTCACCTTCCTTGACAGCAAGTCCACAGTCCGGGCGTCTAAAGGTAGGGACTTTAGATACCTGGTACATTTGTAACTGGTGCTCATGAACCGCAGAGCTGGGCGGCGCCCTGAGACAGATGTGCGATGGCTGGAGCTAACGTTGTATGATTTGACGCTAAGTGCCAGGAAGTCTCATGAGTACGCAGAGAGCGAGTACTCTCTTTGTCATGTGACTTTTGGCCGTTCTTGGTGATTGTCGTATCAGATGAGGTTTCCCTTAACACAAATTGGATAAACAAACAGATTGTGACCTGGTTCGCGCATCGAGCAACATCAGAGGATCCTTGACCTAAGGCCTAACGCCACATCACACAGTTCAAAAGCTTTATTCGCTATTTTATTTTCCATGCCCCCACCAGAAGATAAGGAAAACGCGTTTTGGTCGACTTCCAACGCGCCTGTTACGCCAAGGCATCTCACGAGCAGGTCTCAGTCGTTTCTCAAGAATGTCAAAAAATCGCCAAAAGAGCGTACCGGGATGACCAGGCGACCACTTGCAAGCAAGGACAATAACAGGACGACTGGATTGGCTGGTCAGAAAGATTTGCAAGCTCACAGGAAAAGAACGAGGCCAATAGTCAACCATGCTGGAAGTTTTATCGGGCACGCCGGGAGGCCGGGCCAAGTACCGACTTTAAACCCTTCGGGCGCCCCTCGCATTAAAAGCCTGGTTTTGAAAGACTCGTCAGGCTCTCGGGATCTGGGAGACCCAAGTGGCGAGTCTGATGAAGCCGAGTATGAAGATGACAGCAACCCCTTAGCTGCCAAACTGCGCGGCAAGCTTGCAGCCCGTAGCGAGGCGGCCAACAGTCATGGGCAAGTTTGTCGCCCTGATTCGGACGAAGAGCAAACGGGACTGTTAAGCCGACTCTCCGGCGGCGCCGGGATTCAAAGTCTACTACATGAGAATTCGAATCTATTCCCATTGCAAGAGGGCTTGGAAAGTGAAGGCAGCGACCGCGAGGTCGAAACTATACCGCCCAGGCCGGAACCGCTGCCTTCAATTCCGAGCGGCTATACTCCATTCACAGATGAGGATATAGCCAAACTACGGTCGCCAGCGGCTTTAAACCTCCGGCTCAACCTAGGCGACGATGACGAGGACGTTGAGGACACCCACAGTATAAGCAAAAGTTCTCGCTTGCTCAGTTTAGACCCTATAAATGACAGCCCAGACTACCCGGATGATGAAGACACACACGATAACAAGCGATACCATGTGCCACAAGCTGACGTATCGAAAGCACAGGTGCCACTATATCGCGAGGCAGAGGCATTTCAAATAGAGCCATCTTATTCGGGCCATGGTTTAACGGCGGAAGAACTCGAGTCACTGTTGGAATAGGACGGCTAAGTCATGAACGATAAGTATATTTGATTAGCATTTTATTTTCGTATGTACAAGGTTAATAAAGGAAGTTATATACAAGCGGTTAGGATTGTGTTTTTTTTTTTTTCGTCTATACGTTCATAAGCTTCGTTACTGTTGTGCGCATTGCGGTCCCTCCGGTTGCGGTTCCTCGGATATGTAAGTGGGTAGGTCGTCTGAGTGTTTAATAATGCTAAAATTCGATGGGTATTCGGTATTTGCCGGATCTGCATTCTGAGAGCTCGCTGCGGCGGACGATGTGCCCGATTGTGGGAGTATGTTTCGCAACGTTTGTAGATCTTTTCGCTCGCTGAACCAGTTATCTGGGGGAAACTCAATCTCAACCCTAACATACATGTCCCCGAATTTGTCGCCCTGATCGCTCAACGGCCAGCCTTCATTTTTCAGACAAATAAAATTGCCCGGTCTCAATACCTGCCCAGTGGGTATTTTCAACCTGATGACACGGCCGTCCAAGTGAACGCACACATCTTTTTCGAACCCACATAGGGCATCTGCGAGTGAAATGTTCATTGACGTATAGAGATCCTGACCACGGCGTTCAAGTTTGCTGGTGGTGCTATCCTCATTTATATCAAAAATCAAGTCACCGGGAGTTTTCCCGGGCTCCTGATCTGCTTCGCCCGTTAAAACGACCATATCGAGGTGACGAGAGCCACGCGGGATGTAAACACTCAAACTTTTAGCCTCGGAAGTAACTCTTTTGCCGTGGCATTTCTTGCACATATCATCGGATCGCAGTTGTTTGCCCAAACCTTTACAACCATCGCACTGAACTTGTTCTCTTGTGACAAACCCTGGACCCACTCTTCTTAACCGCTCCTTCATACCAGACCCTTCGCACTGGGCGCAGTTTGCGGCATGACGAGCTTTTTTCCTTATTCCAGAGCCCTCGCAACGTCCGCACACGACATTACGCTTAGATTGGAATCTCACCGACCGCCCGCTGTACAACTCCTGCATAGAGAGCTTCAGAGCGACGTGAGCATCAGCGGTGCGCGATGTGCGATATGTAGACCCGTTCCCATCATCGTAAGCTCCTCCGCCTCTGCCTCCATTGGCGAAATTACCAAAGAAACTGGCAAAATCCCCATCTTGATAATCGTTTTCATACCCATTGGCGTCCCCGTAGGTATCGTAGTTATGGCGCTTCTCGGGATCGCTCAAAATCTCATACGCAGCGGCTACTTCTTTGAATTTGACCTCGCTTTCCTCGCGCAGCGATTCGTCTGAGACTTTGTCGGGATGGTGTTGCAGTGCCAATCGTCTGTAGGCCTTCTTTATGTCTTCTTGCGAAGCATCCGACGTGAGACCAAGCGTTGAGTAAGGGTCCATTGCCCGGTTTTGGCGTCGATGAAGCAGAGATCTTTGGTTCAATTCAAGTGCCCGAACTTGGAGCTGGACGATGCTATTGTCACTGGAAAAGTTAGTGCCATCGTGGTAGATGAGACGAGCTAGCCTGTCATTACGGGTTTAGCGTCTGCGCGGAAGACCTCCAGAGGGCAGAGCAAGCTCTTAAGGCTTGGGATAACTTGCGAAGACTAATCGCCTTCAAAGGAATGTAGAGGCCCTACTCTCCGTTCAAGTATCTTCTTTGGCACCGGTTTCATGAAGATCACTTTTTCCGTGCTTGTCGCCGGCGTCACAAGCGTTGAACATTCTGAGCCTGTACCGGTCTTGCTGATGATATTACACTTGCTGGTTTGATCATCAGTGCGAATATCACCGCGTAGCTCCTTCAGAGGCTTTTCTCTAAACCCAGTAAGCCTACCTTCCTATTTCAAGTTTTGGAAGATCTAAGAGACCTTTGGAAGACAGGTAAGGGACTACAATGCTCTTGACGGTTTACCTGGTGATAAAATACCAGCTACCCGAAATCATAGCATAGCTCCTCACCGTTTTTTTTCTGGTCCATTTACTGACGTGAAATGCTTATATACATATCACATATTAATGATAGACATCCCATAGTATAAGAAATAGCCTTAGCCGCGCTGGTTTTCACAACTACACACCACTTTCAAAAACACTAGCGGGCAACGGTCACCATATGAAAAGTGCAACTAGAAAATTCACTGCTGTACTGAGCACTAGAACCAACACTCTTGTCCTGAGCATTAAAAAAACATGACTCTTGTTCTGAGCACTAGAAAGATTACTGTTGCCCGATCTCACCATGATATTTCAATTCCAAAATCGCCTCAACAACCCACACAATGAGTTTAAAGCATTGACACGCATCTCCCGAACGACTCTCGGCCAGTCGCTGCTGGGAAACACTCGTTGGGCCTTTGATATCATCCAACTTCCACATTTGGCACTGGTCCCGGAGCGGACTTATAACTCCGCCCGGGCCCTGGTACACATGCGCGCAAAGTCGTAGTCGAGATAAAAAAAATACGAACCTGCCTGCTTATCGTGACTCGAAATATACGGTGATAGTTGTTGAGATGATCCCGCCGCATTTGACGGTATTGGCAGCTTGGGAAAGACTATAAGATGAAAGCCAGTGGGTGGGAGGGAAGTTTCCTTTGAGAAGTTCAAATTGGCGGGTGCTTCATAATAGTGAAATTTGCGCGGTGAAAATATTACCACAGGTGTCTTGTCTGGGGAATTTTTTTCTGTTAGTCATAATCAGAGACTTGTTGATATAATTAAGTCTTTTGATAAGCACGGAAACCGCGCTGCTTCTTTGAACCTTAACCTGAAAGTCATTGCGAAAGCTGAAGGTGCCTAAAGCCATTCACTAATACAATTGAAAGATGCTTAGATCCGTCGCCGTTGCAAAGACCCGATTGCCGCAGTCCAGGCTAATTTTGCGCAATTTGAGCGCGAGCGTTTCGCTAAGGAAGGAGGCCAGCAGAACAGCTGCGGCTCCACTAGGCCGGCAAAGGTCAGTTTCGGACATCAATGAGTGTGTCTTGAATGCAAAATATGCTGTCAGAGGTGCCATTCCTCTTCGTGCCGAAGAGCTTAGACAGCAGCTGGAGGAAAACCCCGGGGCCCTTCCCTTTTCCAAAATAATCAACGCCAACATTGGGAACCCGCAGCAACTGGGTCAAAAACCGTTGACATTCTATCGCCAGGTGCTGTCTCTTCTACAAAATCCAGAGATCATTGAAAGGTTGAGTTCCGATGAGCTGTCCAAGGCGTACCAACCTGACGCCATCAGGAGGGCAACTAGGATGTTGGAAGAGGCCGGTGGCTCTATTGGTGCCTATTCCGGATCCCAGGGTGTCCCTGCATACCGCCAGTCCGTTGCAAATTTCATTGCTGAGCGTGATGGAGAACCTGCCAACGCCGACGATATTTTCCTCACTACCGGTGCGTCTGCTGCCGTTGGTTACATTCTGCAACTTTTCTGCTCGGGGCCCCAAAATGGTGCCTTAATTCCGATCCCCCAATACCCTCTATACACGGCCACCTTGGCGTTGAATAACGCACAGGCCTTGCCGTACTACCTTGAGGAAGAATCTGGCTGGTCCACTGACCCTGAACAGTTCGAGAAGATCATTAAGGATGCTATCAATAAGGGGGTAACACCAACGACTTTAGTTGTGATCAACCCAGGCAATCCCACTGGAGCCATTCTGTCAGAAGAAAACATAGAGGGTATCTTCGAAGTGGCAGCAAAGTATAGTTTGGTGGTTATTGCTGATGAAGTATACCAAGAAAACGGGTTCAATGATGTCGAGTTCACTTCTATGAAAAAGGTTCTGAGAGTCTTACAAAAAACTCAACCTGGCTCTTATGATAACGTCCAATTAGTCTCATTGCATTCTACTTCCAAAGGTGTCTCGGGTGAATGTGGCCAAAGAGGTGGTTACATGGAGTTAGTCGGTTTTTCAGATGAAGTAAAGCAAGTTATTACTAAACTAGTGTCGATTTCATTATGTCCCGTCGTAACCGGTCAAGCCCTGATGGATTTGATGGTTCGCCCACCAACGAAGGGGGATGCGTCTTACGAGCTCGATCAAAAAGAAAGAAACGACATCCATCGTAATTTAAGCGAGAGGTCTTCCATGCTTAACTCCGCATTTCAAAGTCTTGAAGGTGTCTCTTGCCAAAAACCACAAGGGTCCATGTATCTGTTTCCTAGGCTACACTTGACGCAGAAGGCTATTGCCAAAGCTGAAGCTCAAGGAATCGCCCCTGACGAATACTACTGCAAAGAGTTGCTAGAGCACACCGGGATTTGCACGGTCCCTGGAAGCGGCTTCCGCCAAGTTCCCGGAACTTACCACCTAAGAACGACTTTCTTAGCACCAGGAACCGAATGGATAGAAAGCTGGAAAGAGTTCCACGAGAAGTTTTGGGATGACCATCGCGACTAGGCCATATAAAAAATACCTGTGTTCATATAATAACACGAATAAGTTATAAAGTATAGTACAATTCCGTCTAATCATTACATCAATCTTTTACAGCTCAAGCGACATCTCATCTCTAGTGGCGGCTTGATTGAAAGAATCACTGGCCTTCACCGAAGAAGGCCCACCAATTTCCGGGCTCAGCTGGGCATCGGGCCTGGAAGAATGAACTAACAGTTTCTTAACCGCTGAAGATGGCGGTTCGAAAAAATTTTGAGCCCTCAATGGTGAAGAATTGACTGGAGTAGCACCATCGACAGGTGTGCCTGACTTGTATATCAGATCATGCTCATTCTCCGTGGCCATATGTTCCTCGTCTGGCATCAAAAAAGCACTGGCTTCATCCTCAAGATACAGTAAGCCTTGCCGTCGTCCATTATGGCGCAGTTCAACAACATTGCTCGCCCAAAGCTTTTCGATTAACTTTTCTCGTTTAAGCTCGAATTGCTTAGAATAATCGCTCATCGTACTACATAGCAGGTCTCCTGGAACTGCTAGGACTCGAGTGTTATATGTTAAATTTTGTTCAGCGGCCCCTTTTTTTAAACACATGTGCCAACTATCAAGGCAAGACTTGTTATCTGAATTGAGCTGATTGAGCACCCTTGTGATTCCGTTCTTTTGAAATGCAACAGATTGGCTCATTCCCAACCCCATTGTTAACGCGTAGCGACTTGCGATCGATTCGCACATTTCAAAAAGACACTTCCTATCCAAGGTACTTGTTTCGATGAAAATTGGGATCCGCGGTAGTGACAAAAGAAAGGTTGATAGCGCCTTCTTCAAATCTCCCATATGATCGCTTTCCAGAGGTTGCATCCATACAAAGCGTGAGTGATAGTCTCTGAAATACAGAAAATGGGGATATAATGACTCAACTGCTTTTGGGAAAGGTGTTATTATTTCAACGTGGATTCTTTCGAGTGGCAACAATCCGCTGTATATATTATAATGCCGATACTTTTGTTGCGGCTCCAATTTCTTGTCGGCATTACATTTCGAACAATACCTGATACACATTTGGGTGAAATCTCGAGTAATGTTCGCAAATTGCAATTTCAGAAACCGATGCAGTCGGCGCCAGTGTATATGTTTATTATTCAGGTGCCCACAAAGAATTAAATCGAATATCAACTCGGGCTCACACACTATCGTGTCTTTGTTTTTATGATCGCGAACAATGCCATCAGCATCTAGATAAAATCTTCTTTTGATCAGCAGGAATTTCGTTTCGATGTTTTTGGCATGCAGTCTGTCACTCGTGGCCATCAAAGTGTCCTGACTCAAGGCAGACGTACGGACCAGTGTGTATTGCTCCTGAGTAAGCTGGCCCTTCACGGATTCCAAGTATTTGATAAAATCCAATCTTCCCCGTGCCAATAGCTCCAAATCTAACTGCTTGGCATGCCTGTCGAGTGGCTCACCTATTTGGGGCATCGCAAATCCTTCGCTTTTCGATTTTTTTCGAGCATCAATCTTTAAATCTTCGATTTTACCCATACACCTCCCTTTGCTACTCGACGAGCTCACCACTGCTGGACAATGGGCGTATCGCTCTGTATTTTGGGCGCTAATGACCTCAGTTTTCGTCATTCACTTGAAAATCTTCCAGGCCGGATCACGAGATCAATCCAGCTTCTTGACACTGGCACAATCGGAGCTTGAATGATAATTCGGCTCAGCTTGTTCAGCGACGTAACAGCTGGAAACTGCTACCGATATCCATACAGGAAGCCATCCAATGCATACAACAAACCACGTCCAACATCCGAGATCATTCCATGCAGAGACTAAATTGCGGATAATATCAAATCCTGAAAGGTTAGTTTCAAAGATATTTGCGAACGCACATGATGCGATAAATGGATTCGTAGCCAAAAGCAGTAGAGAGTTTTTAATGCGAAGTCTGGAATTGGTGGTATTTTGGATTTTAATCATGGGAAACGCCAAGAGACCAATTCCGAACGCCAGAGCGAAATTAACTACCAATAAAGACGTCAAAACAACGCTCAGGTAAAGAAAAGAGATGGACTTCAGCTGATGGGCCTGTGCAATGGAATTACTATTGATGGACGGGTACAAGGGTGCCATTGAGGTCAAAACCGATACAGATATCAACGCATGTGGATTATTCCTTTGCAGCAACACCTGAGATACTGCGTAGGACGTCATCAGGCACGCGATAAACCTAGTAACAGTCTGAAGGGTATCGCTTGATCTGGCAGTTCCAGAGGTAATGGATTTACTCCCCTTAAAAAAGTGGTCAAGGCCGGCCATAATGAATGCAGCGGAAAAGGCTACCGCCGCGGGGAGATAGCTCGCAATCGAAACAAAGTTTTGCGGTGCCAGCAGAAGATAGAAAAAAAATGACTGATGGAATTTTTCGAGCAAATTGTTCACAGATCGAAACATGGCCTCTGGAACTCTACCAAACGTGGTGATATCGAAAGGACCCCCAGATCCGCGTGCTCTCAACACTATAGATTGGATTCTGTATCCACTAAAGGCTTCATTTCCGTAGCAGGCTTGAACACCGGCGAGAGCCATTTTTCTGACCCCCAGCAGTAGCTGCTTCATTTTTCCGTAGTATTCGCGATCTTCCATCTCCGATTCCGCAATTCCATTTAACGACACCCTCATTCCTTCATGCTGCGTAATGTGAACTGCAACATTCACAAGATCCAGGTTGGGAAGTTCGCCATTCAGCCCCGCATAAAAAATCTCGACATATTTGAAAAAGTCATTGGCGCCTGGGTAGTCCAAGACAACTGCAGATTCGATGGACCCACCGGTTAAATCGAGGCTAGTATGGTATGCATGACACCAGGATCTGAGACTGGCCTTAGGATCCTCGCTGAAGACAACGATAATATTCTTGGACCACAATGGCCAGCGTGAAAAATATCTGGTCAAGGCAGTAGCCAATGCTGTTCCACCGAGGTTGAACTCTCCGTCCCCGTTGTGCCACGGAGCAGCCAGGACCATGGCTTCGGTTCCATCACCTCGGGGAGCATGCCACACGCCGTATAGGGAGTCGCCGTGGTCAGCGTCCTTGTGAACAGCAGTTTTAAGGCCAATCTCCTCGAGCCAACCTGCCAAGATTACGTTTTTCTTGTCAACGGGCTCGTTTACCAGCAACTCTAGCTGTGCCCTGTAGCCGCGCAGCAGGTTCCATTCGGTCTCCCTGAAGTAACTGTATGCCTGTGATGGCATGAGAGCATTCTCTGAAATGTACGTGTGCCTATACTGGCCCTCTGACGGCAGCCATAGCGCAAGATATGCCATACCTATTAGGCCGCAAAAAAGTGCGAGCTTCGGCAGTAACTGTATAAACCGGTACCACAGTCCCAGGTCCGAAGCCCGCCTCTGCAATTTCTCAAGCAATGCCATAGTTCAATACTCCAATCGCAGAGTTTATGTCCAACCACAAAGGTGTCAATTGTCACTTTACTTACATAGTCACTTGTCAATGGGCACCTTTTCATGTTGAAGGATACATCGTATAAAATGATATACACAGTTTCTTAATGACAATGTAAATGTACTCGAAGACATTGTGAGAGTTCAGTATCGAAGTCCCTTGAATGTACTTTATATGCGGTAACAGACAGGGGTCAAATGCAAAATGGTCTATGCAAGTGATAGTCTGGATGCGTCAAGACAAATCGAGCGCTGTCGCCACTGCTTGAAACCCTGAATGATCACGTATGCAGTGATCCATAATATCAATTTAGCGCTATTGCGTCCGGGCATGAAGTTTAATTATCTGTCAACGAGGCATAAGCTCATCGCATCTAAGCTCCAAAGAAAGGTAGACTTTGAATGAAGACGTGATAGCTATACTCGTATACAAATTTCCAATACACCAGGCCGGGTACGTTCAGCATGCAAAATGAGTTCAAAAAAGTGCCTCTCACTTCAAACCAGGATTTCAGTTGGGCGTTCTTGATTGATTGGGTTTTGATTCTATCGGTGTCTATATTGGCAGCTTTCTACTTTGGAAGAGCTTTCGGATTTATAATTACAACGTTACTAGAATGGTTTGTATGGAAACGTTACTCTGTTAAAATACAAGTGCATTCACTGAAAATCTCATTTTTGGGTGGCCGCTTGTTTTTCAAAAACCTGACTGTGGTAACCGAAAATCAGACTATTTCAGTTCTGCAAGGTCATTTAACTTGGCGATATTGGCTGTTCAACTCCAGACAAACGTCTTATGAAAGAGCTCAATGTGGTGCCACAGGAAGTGATAACAGGCCCTGTCGATTTAAGTTTGAGTGCCAGGGTTTGGAGCACTTTATCTACAATAAAACCCACGCGTTTCATCATGTGAAAAGCTCACTATCCACAGACGAACAAGCTCGCTTTAGGGAGTTCGATGAGTTTAACGAGGATGGACATGATTCTTTTCACAATAACGCTTCTTCCACCCAATCATCTACGCTAGCTTCAGATGACAAGAATGCGTCCAGCTCTACGGAATCCTCTCTGAATCATTCATCTTTACCACTCCCTCCGTTTCTGCGGTCATTGCCGCTTGAGTTTGATGTCCAGAAAGGTGCGATCGTCGTGGGAAACAAGCATACCACATCTATTCTCATCTTGAACTATGATTCACTTCATGGAGTTCTTGACGTTGGAATACCGAACAACAAGCTAGATCTTTACAAAATGCAAACCCGAATAGAGTTCAATAAATTTCGAGCGTCACTCAGACCAAACCTGGCTTTCAGTGCAGTATTGCCTTTGCAAACGCTAGTAAGAGCCGAAAAGCTCAAGGGAATATGGCATAAGTCTATCCAAGTTTTACTCAAGGCGAAAGATGGACGCTTTTATGACTTATATCCTAGGAATTCAGATCCACACCACATTGTTCAGAATCCTTTGGAAGAATGGAAAGGTTTGGGACTTTATAGGAAGGAGGACGATGCAGCATGGGATGATGCTTTTAAGTTTGATGTGTCGAAACATCAATATGCCAAGTACACGAAGTTAGTGAAAAGCGAGAAACTTGTTGTCGATTATTCGTTCGATAGCCCCGGTGTCACCCCTAGCCTCTCGTCACATGCAGCTAGTGATTCGACTAAACAGGATGAAGCAGACCGACCGCCAGATTTCTCTGTCGACATAAAACTTTTTGGGGCCACGATACATTATGGGCCCTGGTCACACAATGAGCTTCTCCCTATTCAAAAAATGTTTTCTCCAGTGATATCAAGGGACAGCAGACCTCTGGATATCCCAAAGGCAGGTTCCAAGCGAGATTTCGTTAGAAGTAAGCTCTCAGTAACGGTTGCGAGCTCCAGCATCCTTCGTATTCCCACACGCGAGGCAAGCAAGGATTTGGATTTTTTGAAGAGATTTAGGGAGACTCAAGATGATTCCCGACCTTTTGGGTGGCTAGAGATTGTTCTAGCCAAGGGATCTGAACTTACGCTTGATTTTGCGATGTGCCCAACATCATCTGGATTTGAAAACATCTTAGATTTGCATATGGAGGAGCCTGAACTCCGAACAAGTGTTAATCATGACATTTTGTTTAGCGCTGTATCTCACGATGTTCACGCCCAGATTGGGTACCCTTTGGGCTGGAACCAAATGGCAGAATGGAAGTTCGATCTCGCTTCAGACCAAGCCCAATTTTTCATTTTGAAGGACCATATCCATTTACTAGCTGATATGATCTCAGATTTTGGATCAGGAGAGCCTACACCCTATGACTTATTTCGTCCGTTCATCTACGAGTTCACCTGGAACTTCAGAGGTTATTCAATCTACTTGAATGTAAATGACGCAAATATTGTTAACAATCCTGTTGATTTCAACGAGAATTCTTATTTATCGTTCCATGGCGACGACCTTCGGATGGAATTTACTGTACCACAACTAAGTGTGGCGGGAAATAGTACAACAGTTGACTATAAACTCTTCACATCGATGTTTAGACTTCGAATCAATACCCCAACATGGAGTACCCTTCATGAATTTATGAAAGATCAGGAAGTGGGAAGGTGCCATGACTTCACAATGTCAGGCTCTTACCTCTTCTATTCTAAGCTTGATGTTGACAATACTGATACCATTATTATTGACTGTCAAAGTAGATCGACCACCCTCAAGTGTTACGGTTTTGTGGTTAGGTTTTTGATCGGTGTGAAGATGAACTATTTTGGGGATTTTGCTCATTTTAAGACAACCGAAGAGTACATGGAGGAACTTCGAGGTGCCAGTGTAGGTAGAAAAACAGCTTCTGCTGCAATCGAGGACTTTTTAGGCATAATAGATTCCTGTGGCCGTAACTCACAGTCGGAACTGCCTCATCTTAACAGAGATGCGGTTTCAGCTAGGAAAAGCTCGTTGAAAAGAATGGTCAACGAAAAAGACGTATGGTTCACATTTTCTGTCAGAGATGGCTGCATTGCTCTTCCAGAACAATTATACGACTGCGAAAGTTGTTTCGCCTTTCAGTTCGATTCTTTGGACATTGATGTCCGCGATCTGAATTACTATATGGACCTACAAGCATCATTTTCGCCTATTGAGTTCAGACGTCTGTCTACGTCGAACTCTGATGGAATATTTGGACGCACGACAGAGAGGAATGCCGAAAGTTTTTCTCTTGGGCAGGCTTCGGACCTTCACATTCATGCGCATCGTCTTTTTGGCTTACCTCCCGATGAGGAAACTTATGTCTGCAAGTGGGACTTTGCTCTCGGCTCGCTCAAGATAGAGTCTGATCTGTCTTTTATATTACAATTGACTGAAGCTTCAAAGAAGTTAATCTTCGGTTTCAAGGATTTTGAAAACATCATGAACTATGAGTCTACAAATATATTCGATTTGACTTCTGTCACTTTTGTCACCGATGAAATGACACTAAGCATTCAAGACACTTTAACAATGCACGAGATCTCTGTAGAGACGAAAAGACTGAAAATGACCTTCGTTGATATGGAGAACGAAGCCTATTCAAGTAGAGTGGATGTTGACTTAGCCCTGCTCTTGATCAGCATAGTTGAGAAAGAACCTAAGGAGAAGCTAATTGGATTATTCAAGACGTCAGGTAGAGTTACAAACTTTTTGCAGTTGGCCGATTTAATGTCACATACCAAAAAACAAAAAGCTCATATCGCTGCAAATGATGCACCTTTCCACCGCTGCCCCTTTTTGTTGCCCGGTGCTATCCAAAACTCTGCAACATACCGAGAACTGTTTGGCTCCATACCTCCCGGGGTATCAATTCCTTCTGTTGCAATACCAGTGACAACCGCAAACTGGTATCAAGAAATGATTGAGTTTATGCAAGCTGAAAAGGACCTTGATAGAGTTAGTTGGGGCGAATTTTTTTCAAATGGAATTGGCACCTCGCCAATTGCTGCTTGTGAAGGGAGCAATCAGCCACCTCTGTCGAGTACAATCAAGCTCCCCATCCACATGGACGAAGCCGATTATGATTCTGAGTTCTCCAATCTCGTCATGAGCTTAGATTACGCAGTTCTCAAGTGCAACCCTCACTGCCATCAACTGCTGGAGAGCTTAATGAGCCAACAGTACTCAAACTTTGTGGAACAATTAATGGATGCCAATGAAATGAATGTTGTTCTTTACTTCATAAAGAAAGCCATGAACATCAAAGAATCAAAGAGATTCAAGATATTAAGTCCTCAAATTGAAATAATTCTTGGTGAGTATTTGGATGAACATGATGCTCTTGGCAACTTTACGTCAGCAAAAATATGTTTACGAGGGCTTAACTTGAATGCAGGCCTAAAGGAAAAGGTTGATGCAAGTGACCCCCTGGAAGATTTTGATGTAAAACGCGATCAAGAGATTACCGCCCTCGTCAAGATACCATCCTTGAAGGTAGATGTGTGGGAACAAAATCACTCTTCATCGTCAATCAAACGGGGTTTTGTTTTTTCTTCTGCAATAAATGAGTTAGAAGCGTGGTTTCTCGAATCAGAGAAGAACAATGCATCTATCAATGTCTCATCTGTAGATAATTCGATGAATCCCAATGCAGTGGAAACTTTGCTAATATTTGCGAAGGGTTTGATCAATGATTTCGATAAGCTCTTCACTATATCTTCACAGTTTGATAATCTGAAGAACGAAGCAAGGAAAGACTTTTTTTACCATGTGGCAATGGCGAGCGAAGAATATCAAATCATGCATGATCCACCGGTCATCACTAAGCCCGCGTATATCACCAGGGTTCCCAATCAGCATGTGAGGGAAAACAGGAGCTGGAAAATAGTCACTCGATTGCGACACATTCTAAACTATCTCCCTGAGCCTTTGGTGGCAGACCTGTATGCAACCATCAAAAAGCGCACGCTGATAGCACCGGCCAATGCAGGCACTAGATTTCTAGAGGTGTTTTCTAAGTGGAGAAGTTGGGAATTCTTCGACGTAGAAAAGTGCTTCTTTTACAGGAAATCTTTTGGACAACAATTGGGCTCTGAAAATGGCGCGTCTGAGTTCAACGTTAAAGTGGGACTTGGCGTGATTTCATACACTCTTTCCAACGCTACGGACGAAGACGGAGACACGATTATACTTAAGGACATAATTGCTCTCCACACTTGCGAAGGAAATCCTGCTGGAGCTCATCAAGATGCCCCTCGTGAAAAATCTTTATCCCTTACAATCAAAACAGCGAGGATAGTTGTTAGTGAAACCGCCTTGAATCTCAATATATTGCTGGAAGCGTTCTCATCACAAGATGCAAGATCTTTCGATTTTACTCAACAACAATACCAATCACTTGCCTTTGAGCATATGAGCTTTATGATCGATCGATGCGAAGTGCAGCTTATTTCGAGAAGTGAAAAGCTCAGCTTCAAGTCGTTTGGTAATTGCGCAACATTTGGACGCCAACAATCAGGATCTAAAGTGGTTTCTTTCATTACCTCATGGGACTGGCTTGAATTGGGCTTACGACATCACAATAACGTCTTGTTGGACGTCTTTTCAAGAAATGGCTCATTGACCACTGTACTTGCCTCTGTTGAGGATGGGACGTCAAGTGTGTTTGATTTCCAATCCCGAAAGTTGCGCTTAAAGTCTCACTCGACAACCGAATCATACTGTGGCTTTATCAGCTCAGTAGAACGTTTACAGAACGTCTTGCGATCTAGAATAGATGTCAACCAACAGGTTGCAGCTGCATCGTCCACTCATGATCCAAAGGGCACGGCCAGCATGAGGGTTCGCGTGAAGGTCTCTCATTTTGCTGCAGATATTGCAATGATTACTCCGCTCTCCTTCTCAATACACGCAACTGAACTGGACACCATCTTTGAGCAAGCTGGAGGCCAGGAGATTCAGATCAATCTTGGTGGAATAGACTTGGAAGTTGGGTCATCAAAACGGTGCCAACAGTACTTAAAATGGTCCCAGTCTAGACTCGAGTTGAGATCGAACCTGGTCTGTGGAAAGAATGCAAGCAATACAATAACAGTGGAATCTGAGCTTTCCAAGCTCGAAGTGTGCGAACCCAAAAGTTTGTTCACAGTTGCTTTGGAAGATTATCACGTTGCCAAGCAAAGCTTGCATTCTCTCGATGTAGCTCTGAGAGCTTTACAACTTCACGGAAATAAGGAATCCGATGATCGAGCCACTTCCTTCCCGGGAGTATGGAACATCTCCTTGAAAGCGAAGTACGCGGGTGTTCTGTTATCTCTAGGAGCGAGCAGCTATATCTTGGAATTAAATCAGCTGCTATTCAACTTGTCTGGTAAAGACCATCACTTACAGAACGACTCCAGGAAAGGCGATCACATCCAAGGGGAGATTTGGGTCAACAGTATGGCCTTTTTAATAAATGATTCGCAGCTATCTGCGGGGCTCGCTAAGCTGATAGACATCGGCCTGGGTATCAAGGTTGCTCAAGAGTCGGAAGGTATCGTCAAGTCTTTAGAAATTGAAAGCTCGCACTTCAGAATTGCCATATGCCCCGTTTCTGTGATCAAAGTTCTGCTTTTGGCGTTAGAGATCTCAAATTTTGCCTCAACGCTGGCGCCCAGAGAACATTCCTCAACAGATGACCCTGGTACATTAGCAGGTATTTTAAAGGCATTAGGTGCTATACAGTCCATACACATACTGTCATACAATTTTTGTGTCGGGTGGATGTTTGACGTGGTTGGAGCGACTCATCCAGGGCTTATCTGGGGGTATCAAAGGGTCTTTGCCGCTCATGAATGGCCTCATGGTAAACTTACATTACTGGATGCGTACTTTTCAATGGCTCGGGGATACTCTTCTGATGATTTTTACGCCACGGATAGTGAGGTAAACAAATTCAATCGTAGCTTCTTGCCAAGCACGCAAATTTGTTATTGGTTTGGAAATGTGAATTGCGCCGAAGAATTGTTTGTGAGGGTGACTGGCGAAAGATTGGATGTCAGCTTCTTGTCAAAAGCAATTGGGCTTGCGGAAGGACTTCTGAAGTCTGTACAAGAATTTGAAGACCTTAAGAGAACCCAGCTTGATCCACTTCTATCCTCTGTAAAGGAGAGCGGTCGCCCTTCGTCCCCGTCAAAGCCGATTAAGATACCTGGCTTTTTCGGAATAAAAAGCCTCAACTGCGTTGCCCGATACGCAGGCGGTGTTTTCAAGCTTTACTCTCCAGAGGATGTCAATTCAGGCATTGATCCATCCTTCCAATTGGAAAGTCCTTCTGTTGAGGTCATATTTGATTACAGAAATACGCCTTGTGATCGTCGTTCCCATAAATTACGGGTCCTAGCCCACGTCGACAGATCTCATAACACCATTTTCCCAACTTGCGTGCCTCTCCTTGGAGAATTAGCGAGAGACGTGAGATGTTTGATGAAGAGCTTCAATGTGAGTTCCGAAAATACGTCATCCGTGTCCAACGTTCAGGACAACATCAATTACAAAAACTTATTGAGAGACTTTGATATTTCATTTCAGACGAATGTCCAACAGCAGCTGATCAGTTTGAGTTGTGAGCCGAAGGCCAAAGTTCAAGCTGATATCGGCTTTGACAAACTTGTGATTAAATTGTTCACTAATGATTTGGATGTCCTAGAGCCATTGAGCGTCTCTGTCGACATTAGAAACATCATGGCGACATCAAGGCACATTTTCTCTAGGGAGATCAGTACGTCCATTAAAATTGACCAGTTACGATTCGTGTTCTTCTTAACACATCCAGACGTCATTCACACATATGGTATTGTGCACATTCCAAGTATCGACGTCTACTTTAACATCAAACAACTCCAAGACTTGAATGTTTTCATTAATATATGGAAAGTTGATAGCGAGGTTTTGTCTCAACGAGAAATGGCTGGCAGTTCACCGTCGTATTTATCAGCAGAGGGAAGTCTGACCGCGAAACACAAAAAAGTAACGTCAAATAGTTCATTTCCTTGGAACTTTGTGATGGTCATTTCGAAAATTAAGGGCGATATTGATTTAGGCGTATCGCTTGGAGTGCTCAGTCTTTCTACTGATAGAATGTGGGCAGTGACTGACCATTATTCAAACTGGACTCAAAAGTTAAGTCTAAGGCTAGAAAGGGTGTCCCTTTCCTCTGACGGAAGGCTGGGTGGAACGCTGCTATTGCGAAACCTAAACTGGATGTCCCAGGTTAGCTGGCCAGTACATGGCGGTGAATTGCAAAACCCGCTCATCATTATAAACATTGCACTTGAGGAATTTGCACTAAAGCTATCTTTCGACTACCATTTGATATTGATTGCTAGCTTGGAGAATTTTAGAACGAATCTTTTCAACAAGCGAGACCCAGCGGGATTATCTAGAAATCTCATGTCCGTGTCAGTTTTTTGTGAAAACACCCATATATTTGCAACGGCCCTTGCACCTGCAAACTTGCTTGATGTCTACAACACAATCCTGAGAATGCGAAAAGATAATAAAAAATCTTACCTCGAGACACTTGGAGATTCGAACACTAAGGACACAAAACAAGTTACTACTAGCCGCGAAATTTTGAGCTCATTAAGTTTCTTGCGCACAGAACTAGATGTTAAATTAAGCTTTTTCAATGCCCAAATATTTCCTAGTACTTTATTCGATATGGAAGTGCTCACATTTAAAGCTGCAAATCTTTCCAGTAGCTCCCAAATTGAGAGGCATAAAACGTTGAAGACCCAATTAAGTTGGCAGATTCACGATGTGAAAATAGCTCTGTCTACGTTCAAGTCTCAACTTCATGAGAAAGCAGCTTCTCAAATTGGCGTCAAGGAATACATAAAACATGGATCTCAAGCTCATGGCGGAACCATTTTGGTTATTCCCGCTATTCTGATTAGTATGACCACCTGGCATGATTTAACTACGAATAAGGTCGAGCTGTTGTACGGCAATAAGTTTGGAGGGAAAGTTGGGATTAGATGGAATTTGGGATCTATTGCTTTTTTGAGGGAAATGTGGGCTACTCATGCAAGAGCACTAGCTCTTAGAAGGTCTCATGACGAACAGCCACGAAGCTTGTTTGAGGATGAAAATCTCGAAAGTAAGTTAAAGGATGTGGATCTAGGAGATAAGTATACATATATCCCTCTGGAAGAACCTCAGATCGAAATACCACAAACAAAAGACCTGGGCGAAGCAACCCCACCTGTGGAGTGGTTTGGTGTTAATCGCAATCAGTTCCCTGGACTGACTCACCAGGCGATTATAGTTCCTCTACAAAAGCTCGCCCACATCGCCGAATATGAATGGGCTAGAATATTTGGGCATGCCTAACAATCTATCAATGTTACGAAATTGACTACATTAGTCTCTAGCTATCAGGTCTTTGTTTTGAAGTGCCACACTCCTTGTCATATTCTTGTTTTTGTAAATACCAACAAGTTGTTTGGCCAATTCGAACATATTGTTTCGCAGGGATATGACTATAAATTGTGCATTTCTGGTTCGTTCTTTAATGTAGTTGGCAACAATCGAGACATTTCTGAAATCTAGGGCAGCGTCGATTTCATCCATAACATATAGAGGAGTTGGTCTGTACCTGTGCAAAGCAAAAACAAGTGCTAAAGAGCTCAAGGTTTTTTCTCCGCCACTTAAATTAGAGATATTTCTCCAGCTTTTCTTCGGTGGCATGACGCTGAAAAGCACACCTTCGGAGAATGGATCTAAGCTATCCACCAGCTCGAGCTCCGCATTGCCACCCATGGTAATCATTTGATACATCTCTTTCAAAGTCATAGATATTTCATTAAAACCATTCATAAATTCATCGAGTCTCTTCTTTTTCAAATTTTCACTGGATTGACTTATTTCCTCTCTTTTGCTTACGGCTTGGTTCAAATCAAGTTTCCTTGCTCGAAAGTTAGCGAGACTTTTAGCGTACTCTTCCAAAACCTCTATGTCGGTCTTGGCATTATCGATATAGTCGAGAAGCTGGCCTATCTCAAGCTCAATTGTTTGCATATCGAAGCCCTCTAACTGCTCGTGAGACAACGTAGAAAACTGGGAAGCGGGGGCGTCAGTGTCGATCTCCATTGAATTATCACCATGACAAGAAGAACGCTCCCCATCTGTTGGTAGCAAGCTTGCTCCATCAGTTATAGGTGGGTATGCTTCGATTGTTCTGCTGTCTTTACAAGGGGTGCAATTACCGCCAATTACATTATCTTCCTGATCAGAAGTAGTGTTATTCGCTTTATACTCGTCGGGCAAAACATTTTCGTCGAGCTTGAGGAGCGTCGAGGTGACATCACGAAACTTCAATTCGTCGATCTGTTTATGGAGCGAGAGATCATCTCTTTCAACTTGCCTTTGAAGGTCGTGTAGCTTCTCTAATTGATTGTTAATTTCAACCTCCAGAACTTGAAAGTCGTTGTTCTCGTGAGATTTTAACTCCAGTTGCTCTTCTAATGATCTCAATTGGTCTTCTGAGTGTTCAAGCTCGTCCGCTAAATTCTTCAAAGTTTGCTCAGTTACTTCAATTTGCCTCCCTGCTTGAGACAGCATTTCTTCTGTCGAAATAATTTCTGACCTGTTTGATTCTACTTCTTTTTTGAGCTCCTCTTCTTGCTTTTCTAGCCGCTTAATATCACTTTCGGCCTTCTTTATTGCAGTTTTATCTCTCTTCTGTTTATTCAGGATAATATCAATATGTTGTACCATCGACTCGACTTTCGAGTTTTGTATTTGCAAATCTGTTCCGCCTATTTTCATAATTTCATCCTGTAACTGCTTAATTGTTGTCTTCTTTGACTTCATCTCTTCTTCAAGACCCTTACATTCTTTCTTCAAATGCTGTATGCGAGATTCAGCTTCGTCAAGCTCTTGATTAGATGAAGCTTTTGAAGTCTCCTCCTTGCGCAAATTCTCCAACTTTTGCTCATTTGACTTTATTTCCATGAGCAGAGATTCAATATCCATATTTCGTTTTGATATCTCAAGTTCAAGATCAGGTTCTCTATCTTTTAGCTTCTGAAGTGTCGTTTCCATCTCATGTAACGTCTCGGAGGCGATTTGAAAGTTATTTTCCCGCTCCAATAATTCCCTTTCGATTTGCTGGACTTCCTCCGCGGTGAAAGTTCCCATTGTATTGTGGCGTTCTGATTTCATCATTCCACTGGCCTTATGATTACCGCCCCCAGTCATCGCACCCGACAGATCAATTAATTTCCCATCGAGAGTAACCACTCGAAATCTCTGCTTCCCATATGCAACACGATTAGCTTCCGTAAGATCCCTTGCAACCAACGTATCCCTCAGAACAGTGTAAAAGGCACTCTTGAACCTCTCATGATTAGGTTTTACCAGGTCAAATAACCTGGGAACATTGCGGGGGGCACCGACCGGAAGAGCGTTGTGGGTCCTCAATTTGTCAAGTAAAATGAATCTCGCATATCCTAGCTTGTTTTTTCTTAGATATTCGATACACTGTTGACCACACTCCACACTATCCACAACAATGTCGTCGAGTCTCGGGCAGGCAGTAGATATCGCCACATCATACTTGTCATCGATTGTCCCCAAATCTCCTAGACGACCATGAAAGCCCTGTATACGTCCAGATTTTTGAAGCCTCAGAAGTGCAGCCAGAACCTTATTCTTGTTCTCAAAATTAGAAAGAGACGACCTGGCATCTACGCTGCGCTGTCTGTGCGCGTTAAGGACAGTCCTCATCTCTTTGATCTTCAGCGACGCGCTGTTACACTCACTTTCACCAACAGTCAATTGTTGGTTGACTTGTTTCTTTTCAAGAATAAGCGAATCGACAACTTTTCGAAAATTGGTGGCTTTCTCGTGTGTGCGTGCAATGCCTTCTTCAGTATCTATAATCCCTTGTCTAACTTTAAGATGTGATTCTTTAAGCACAGAAACGGTGGTTTCCTCCAATTTTATCTTGGACCTCTTGGCTTGTAACTGTAGATTCCATGGCTCAAGCTCCTTTTCCAAAATTTGTATTTTTTCTGAAATAGAGCTAGTTTTACCTCTCAATTCAAGCTTCAATCCATCCAATTTTTTTTTCTGTTCAGCCAAAGAACTGTTGTAATCAAGCAGTTCTTCCGAATACCGGCCCTGATCCGCCAGCATTTCACTAAGCCTCGCCTTTGTCTTTTCCACACTCTTGCGTGTGGTCTCTTGAGATTTCTCAAACCTAAGCTTCTTTTGGTTCAAATTCTTCAGGTTCTCCTCGGCAGCTATCCTGTCCCTATCGAAGTCGCGTTTCTGTAGCAATTTTTCATTTTCTTGGTCCCTATCTTGCTTCAACTTTTGATTCTGAGCTTGGATTTCAGTTTCTAATTTCTCGATTTGTTTTTGATATTCAGCGTATATATCTCTTTCCCGATCCAATTTCGAATTCAAACTCGATATTTTATTTTTTGTGTTTAGTAGCTTTGTGCCATTTTGCCATAGCTTGTACTGCAGCAATTGATTTTGTAGAATAGTCAATTGTCTTTCCTTCTCTAAAAACTCCAAAGCTTCGTCTTTTCCAGATTCCAAGGAGCTTTTCTCACGTTCCACAATTTCAAATCTATTCTCCTTTTCCTGGCATATCTCGTTTAAACGTTCCATTTCAATCAAGGTTTGCTCGATGAGCGGCTTATACTTTGCCGTACCAATAATGCTTTCGAGGTATTCCAGAAGTCCGTCATCCCCCTCTTTTTCTGCCTTTGCTTTCATTTGAGCTATACTTTCAACTTCACCTTGCAAAATTAAAAATCGTTTATGATCCAAATCAATGCCTTCCTTTTGTAGAAGTTGGGTCACTGCAGTGAAAGTGCTCTCTTTATTGTTAATATAGTACTTTGAAACGTTGTTTTTGAGAGCCTTGCGACTAATCACCAGTTCTGATTCATCTAATTTAGTGGTGGTCCGTCCATCTGATTCATCCTGAACATATTGGAAGTGGACATCTACTTGACAAAAATCAAGGTTTGGGAACGCTTCGGATTTGTGAATGAGATCTGAAAGTCTCCCTTGCCGCATTTTGTTAGCACGAAAACCAAACACAAAAAGAAGTGAGTCTATCACATTAGATTTACCAGAACCATTTGGACCTACTATGGCAGAGAAGGAGGAGTCGAATGGCCCTACAATTTGAGTTCCGGCATATGACTTAAAATTTCGTAGCACCAGGCTTTTTATGCACAAGCGCTTGACACTATTGTCGCCTCTCTGGAGTTCTTGTAGTTGTGCTTCCAATCGGCTCTTTTTTGCAGGCGAAAGCTGGATCAATTCCAGCTTTCTGGTTGGAGATCTGTTAGGAGAACGTGGAGGCGACTGTGAATAGACACGGCTTCTGGAACTCGAAAGTTCACTTTTGAGAGGCTGAAGTAGTGGCACATTTGAAGAGGACGAAGTTACAGGCTGGGATATCGCGAATCGCTTCTCAGGGGATCCTAGGACAAGCTTTCTGGGAGTTCTTGATCTCGATGCCCTCGTCACGTCCATAGACTCTTCTTCGTCTGACAAGCCATCATCTTGAAGGTTGCGGACTTTCTGTTTTTTGGACAGTGGACTGTCCATTCCTGGCCAGTATGCCGAGCGGTATTGTCTTTTACGGCGAGTACAATCTTGAGTTCAATGTATGTTTTTGATATCGACGTAGATCAGATCGCCTCGAACCCATCTAATTAATTGACTTGAAATGGGGCTATCAAGTTGCACGAAGGACATCCAAGATAAATCTAATGGATCCGGCACCCTCGCTCATGAATAACAGGGCAATGGCGCTGTGTTGGAATTTCACTGGTCGGCCAGAGGAATATTCTTTATGATTTAGCAAAATCGCAGTGGTCTGTATCGATCAAAAGGGATGCGGAAAGGCATTCCAAATCGTATTTGCTTCCAAGGGCAAGCCCGTAGACTCAAGGCCCCATGAAGTGATAGGTACTGACTTGGAATCCGCCGCGATTTCAATTTTATTTGATCGCGGGCGCGGTAATCCCGATTAAATCAAGAGTAACTAATAAGAGATTAGCCATAGATTCGCCCATCCGTAGTGGCGTCCGCAATATCAATACGAGACGTCACCCTTCTCTGTCAAGACTTTTCAATGCCGCATTGGAATCGGTGCTTTGGTTGGTGTATTTGACCTAGTCCATCGCAAATTTGAAGTTCAAAGTCTCTTAATGAAATGGGCGTGGGAATATCATGTGTGGTCAGCGCTAGTTGGTACACAACTGGAACTATTTACAGCATACAACACAACATGGTCATCTACAGTACATCTACTCGACGTTCGTGCTGTTATCAGAAAAAATACTGTTAGGATTCTGTTACATACAACTTATAACTAGATTGAAATTGATCGATTAATCTAAACAAAACAACTATTCACTGACATAGTTGATGGAGGAAACACCGTTAGTAGTCGATAATGGCTCATATGAAATCAAGTTTGGGCCAGCTAGTGTTGGAGAGCCATATAGGGCGTTGAACTCAATTGCTAAAGACAAATACGGCAATTTTCACCTCTCAAATCAGGTTCGCACATTAAAAGATATATCTTCAGTTTCCTTCAAGAGACCGCATGAGTTAGGTCAGTTGGTATCATGGGAGCTGGAGACGCAAATATGGGACTACTGTTTTTACAACCCAGATGGGTTCCAAGGTTGGAGCTTAGACACCACTAAAGGAAGGCCTTTGGTGGCATCAGAGGCTTGTATGACGATACCGGAGCTAAGTAAGAATATGGATCAGGTGGTTTTCGAAGAGTATGAGTTTTCCTCAATGTTCAAAGCACCCATCCCGGTTTTTGTGCCCTTTTCTACGAATAGCGAGACTACCGATGTGTTTCAGGTCAAGGAGGATATGTCCACGGACAACGGAGCTACATTGGACCAGATAGGTCAGGAAGGGATGGCTTATAGGGATTTTCAGCTCGTGATAGACTCCAGTTACAATTGCACATGGGTTGTACCTGTGATCAAAGGGGTTCCGTACTACAAGGCCGTCAAGAAGCTGGACATTGGAGGTCGATTTCTAAATGGCTTTCTGCGAGAAACACTTTCATTTCGTCATTATAACGTAATGGATGAAACTTTACTTGTGAACAATATCAAGGAGAAATGCCTCTTCATGAGCCCGAGCTCATATTTTGACAGCTTTCAAACAAAACTGAAGACGGCTAAAGAGTACGTACTACCGGACTTCAGCACAAGTTTCCAAGGGTATCTGAAGAAAGCGGACCAGCGGCTCCCTGACGACTCCCAGACAATTGTACTGGAGGACGAATTGTTTTCCGTTCCCGAGACTTTCTTCCACCCAGAGATCGCGTCGCTTCTCAATCCCGGAATTATAGAGACCATACTCGAGAGTATATCCATGTTACCGGAGGCTTTCCGCCCTCTGATGGTGGGAAACATCGTGGTCACGGGCGGAAACTTTAATATACCGAATTTTGCATCGAGGCTCACTACAGAGCTACAACGCCAGTGTCCCACGGACTGGTCCTGTCGGGTTTTTGTGTCTCAAGGTGATGCAAGTACTTTTGGATGGCATTGTATGAAAACGTTCTCCGGCACACAGAGTTATCGCGATTCCCGTGTGACGCGGGAAGAGTACTACGAGCATGGGGTGGATTGGTGTACCTCGAAACGATTCGGCTATCAGGCATGGCTATGATTGCAAGGTCGGCCTCGGACAGCTTTATGTATAGGGCCCATTTTGTACATTTATACGTTTGAATAAATACTCATCAGCGCCATGAAAACTTAAACCTTTACAGACACTTTACAAACAATTGCCGCCGGACAAAAAATCCACAACAACAAACAAAAAGCTCGGTAGCCTCACCGCGACCGTCCAAGCATCAAAAGAGGCTCCACAGGTTTTGCGTGATAGCCCTTTGAGTTCTTGGTTCGCAATTTCAGATTTTGCCGCCGATGCGCAAACGGCGCCTGAAGAAAACGAACCAAGACCTACTTTTCGCAATTACTTCAGAGCAGACCATCCACCCATGAACCTGAATCAGTACAATACCCACTGCTAACATCCACATTTCGCTATGACCCGTTCGCAGACAACGCCATATATGTCCAGTCACAAGCCTTCAGTCGGTTTTCTAGTCAATTAAAGATTCTCTACTCGACTTCAATTTTCGCGACTATGACGTGTTCCCGATGCATGTGCAATTTCAATCAATCAACCACTCAATTTCACCAATAACAACGTGCAACTGAGCAAACACACGTTCGTTGCACATTCGGAAGTTGCACGTGAGGCCTGTACCCCAGAGCAAGCAGCTCCAGCCCTTTAGCTCTACGAGAGCCGGGTATGGGACGTCTTCAGGAATATATTTTGAAACAGCAAAAAAACGTAATTTTTAAATGGGAAAAGAGGGTAGCTGTTGACCCGGCTTGCATCTTTTTAGGGTGGTGTAACGGCTCTTGAGACGATTGTTCGAGGATTGGTATAAAAGCGCACAAAATTAGGGTACTATATTCCTATCAAGATTCACAATTCCCAGAAGGATCCTACTTTACACCGGCTTGATACTATTTGCGGGACTTAGGGTACAAACAAGTTTTCATCAACAGATTTAGGATTGTACACGTTAGCTTTAACAAGAGAACATCGGACATTATTTGCCAACTAACATAATGCACTCAAGAAACTCAAGAACGTCGCGGTCTTCAATCTCGATCTCGCAACAGAGAATGATGTCGCACTCCATGGCGGGTTTGGCGTTGGAGCAGCAAAAATTGCTATACTACATAGGTGTAGACGTTGGAACCGGTTCTGCTAGGGCGTGCATCATTGACAGCATGGGTAACATTTTGTCGTTAGCCGAAAGGCCCATCCAGAGAGAACAGCTAAAGCCCAACTTCATCACTCAATCATCGCAGGAAATTTGGCAATCCGTGTGCCACTGTGTTAAATCCGTGGTGCGGGATTCTGGTGTTCCTAGCGAAAAGATCCACGGTATTGGCTTCGACGCCACATGCTCCTTGGTTGTTGTGGAAGAAGGCACCAACAAGGATGTAGCAGTGGGTCCTGACTTCAGTAATACCGACCAAAATATCATCCTGTGGATGGACCACAGAGCCACGGAAGAAACTGCCGAGATCAACGCCACGGGCGACAAATGCCTCAAGTACGTTGGTGGCCAAATGTCTGTGGAAATGGAAATTCCAAAAATAAAGTGGTTGAAGGGTCACTTGCCCGATGGCAAGTTCAACCAGTGCAAGTTCTTCGATTTAGCAGATTATTTGACTTTCAAAGCTTCCGGCAAAGAAACACGTAGTTTCTGCTCAACAGCCTGTAAACAGGGACTGCTTCCTGTTGGCGTTGAGGGCTCCGAGGAAGGCTGGTCGCGCGAGTTTTTCAACCAGATTGGCCTAGAAGAGCTGGTCGAGGATGACTTCCGCAAAATCGGTGGTGCTGTTCGCAATAGCGACAAGGGCAAGAACTTTTTGAGTGCGGGCGAGTTCATCGGGGCTATCGACGAAACTGTTGCTGAAGAGCTGGGCATTCCTAACCACTGTGTTGTTGGGTCCGGTGTCATCGATGCGTACGCAGGCTGGGTGGGTACCGTGGCCGCTCGTACCGATGTTTCCATCCCAGCCTTGGCCAAGAGCGACCAGGAGAAAGTTGGGATTGACCGCGCGACAGGCCGTCTAGCTGCCGTGGCTGGGACCTCTACGTGTCACATTGCCATGTCGCGTGACCCCATTTTTGTAGATGGTGTGTGGGGGCCATACAGAGACGTTATGGCCAACAAATTCTGGTGTGCCGAAGGTGGCCAAAGTTGCACAGGTGCTCTGTTGGCTCATGTTTTGACCACACACCCGGCTTACACCGAATTATCACAATTGGCTGATGCCGCCAGTGTGTCCAAGTTCGACTATTTGAACTCGCGTTTAGAAAACCTAGTGCAAACCAGTAAGTCGCGCTCGGTGGTTCATTTGGCGAAACACTTGTTTTTCTACGGTGATTATCACGGAAACCGCTCACCCATCGCTGACTCGTCTATGCGCGCTGCGATCATCGGTCAGTCTATGGATAACTCGATTGACGACTTGGCCCTGATGTATTTGGGAGCTTGCGAATTCATTGCACAACAAACCAGACAAATTGTGGAGAAGATGATAGATTCTGGACACCAATTGTCCACTATCTTCATGTCCGGAGGGCAATGCCGTAACGGTCTGCTAATGAGACTGCTGGCTGATTGCACGGGACTCCCCATTGTCATTCCAAGATATATCGACGCTGCTGTAGTGTTTGGCTCTGCATTGTTGGGGGCCGTAGCAAGTGAGAGTTTCGACATGAGCGGGAACAAGTCTGCTCTGTCAGTCAGCCGTAAATCCTCGATTGCTGGAGACCCCTCGAACCAAGGCTCCGGTAAGAAATCAGCGCTCTCCAAATTTGGCGGCGTTGGCGGAGACGATTTGCCTTCGCCATACACCGCGCCCTCCGCCACTGCCAGCACGTCTCAGATCGCATCTACTGTAGGATTTCCATTCCCGACCGCCGATGAGGGCCATCGGTACGACGAATCCTTTGAAGAATCTCAAGAAGACGGAGCCGAGCTAAACTTCAAAGCCCAGTCCAAGTGGAAAAAGGACATGGAGGACCGCATGAAGGGAAGATCCTCAGACAATGGAGACACCATGTGGAACGTCATGTACACCATGACAGGTGGCGGTAAGGTTGTACAGCCCTGCGCGGAGACCCATCCTGATCGCGTGTTGTTGAACACAAAATACAAGGTTTTCCTCGATATGGCCGACACGCAAAGGAAATACAGAAGAATGATTGACGATCTGGAGGTATAAAACGCCTCAACTGATAGAGGCCGTGTATACACTAATATACTATGATAATGTGAACAAATGAGCAGTAACGCAGACTCCGGTGGCGATAATCCCTGATCACGGGGCCGCCCGTCGATGCATCTCTGCATGCCGGGTAAGCTTCGGCGCAGTAGCCATTGTGCTTCTGAGTATCGAAATGAATAGCAAAGACACCCACCGTACACCTCGCGTCCCACTCGCGCCGCGGCCGGTGTATCATTTCCAACAAATGCTTCCCACAATTGCTTCATTAGCCCTCAATGGTAGCCAGCCCGACCTCGCCATCCAAGCTGCCTTGTCGCTATCCTGCCGACTCCACGACAACATCACACGCCCTCTCCGCCCAGAGCCCACTGGCCCACCTTCACACACCCGCACACCCACACACCAAGCGATTTCCAGCCGGGATCCGTACACCGCACTGTTTTTCTAACGCTGGTGCCTATCTTTCATAGAAGCTTTCCACGCATATAATAGCAAGTCCCTGAAGTACCTAACGACGACGAAAATCACAGTTTGCCGGTTGAGCTCCGGACACCAACGGGAAGTGTTTACATAAAACCAAGACGCATTCTACTAGAAAAAGAGCTGCCAGATGAAGAGGTCAGCCCATTCTGGCTGATGAGAACTTGTTCTCGTGGCGAAAGTATTTGTAACACGTTTGTCTCTCGGAAAAAGGGCCTTTATAGATAATTTCTTGAGTCGGCTAGTATTGCTCTTGCAACGGCTGAACGGTGCAAAAGCTTAACCTACCGGCACACAAAAAAAAATAAATTTATATAGTAGTACAGCTCCGAAGGCTAGGACAATGTGTAACTGGTACTGGTATCTGCTAGTACGGCAGATATACTCTCAATAGACATAGGTCGGACTCTGGGTAAGACGAGGTGTAAGCTGACAGTATTTGGAGTTTTCCAGGAAGGTTTTGTGGTTTTTGTTATCTTATATTTTGGTAAAGTATCTAGCAAGTGTACGACTTATCCAACACTGGATATAAGCGAGACTAAAAGTGGAAAGCAGTACGTTTAGTGGGCCAAACAAAATTCGGCGAGGAATCCCAGAGGCAACAACAACGTCGTGTCCACGCCGCGCAGGTTGGCAGAGATTATCGGGCGGTCCTTTGGTTGTGTTTTGGCTACTTTTCCGACGCACAGACAAATACGCCACAAAGACGAAATTCACGACGGGCAAGACAAGCGTGGTAAGACAGGCGTGGTAAGGCTCAGCGGAGCAAAATCTGCACTTCCACACCTCAGGGGCCATGTCACAGTACAAGTTTGGTCCGTCTCCCGCGAACGTCACCCAGCACGTCGCGCACAACAGCGAGTCCCCTAACCACCCATCCACAGCAGGCGTGGGATCTCCGGACACCTCGGGGCGTGGCGTAGTGGCGTCCGCTACCGCTCCCGCCTCTCTGCCGGCGCCACGGTCAGGATCGCCCAGTGTCCCGCCGGTGCGAACGTCCAATCCCGTTGCACAACAACCGCTACCGCCACGGTCGTCGGCTCAGGCCCAAGTTCTTGTTCCGCAGCCATTCGAACAGTTTGCCGAGTCGACACTTTTTCTCCTCCAAGAGACGCTTTCGAACATTTTGATACAGATGCGCAACCGCGAGACCACCCACGACTGCTACACAGCAGCCACGGCTCGCCACCATAACCGTCCCGATTTCTTGGCTCATATTGAAAACATTTTCAAAACTCTAAGGAACTACCCAGCAGAAATCCTTTCTGCCATGTATATTCCTGTGATTCTGCGCTTTTTTAAATGGTGTTTCTCATTGCAACAGCCAACACCGGATCCGCGGCGTAGTCGATTCATCGTGACCACAAAGAAGGGAATAGCGTTCTTGATGGCCAATTGGAACGAATATGGTTACAACACAGCGACTCTCTACCAGGCATTCAAGGCTCTTAAGTTGCTGCAAGAATTGGAGGCGACTTTGCTCCCGCAGAAGCCGGCCGCTTACACAGAACAGCCCGACGAAGAGGCGGACAGTCCGAATTGGAGACCTCTGGACGATAGTCAGCTGGAGCGATTGATTGATTCAATTGGTAAATCCTCAAATAGCAGTAATGTCCCCGTTTATCAAGCACCTGACTATTCTCATATGCAAAACACCAACCTCTCGGACTTCATGCCTTTGGACTATACTGGCCAGCTCACGAACATCAACAATCCTGCTTTATCCACCAATCAGCCAATTCATCCACTCTACGGAGTTCATCAGTCTCCACTTCCTACCTCGTTCTCCGAGATCCACGAGCCATTTCCCGGGCAATCTGGCCCATCAAACCACGGTCTCCATGAAGAGCAACCTGCGGGAAAACTGGATCGTTTACTCTCTCAAACGATTCCCGAGATATTCCATAGGCTTAATTCATTGGGGGCTGCTAATGACGAACTGCGGCGCCAAAATAACCTATTATCCGAGGGCCTTCAAAATTTGAAATATCAGTTTACATATTGGAAGAACAACCCTGAGGATGTTTTTCCTAAGACACCATCGCCAATTTCTTCCAACCAACTAAGCTCACAGCTGAAGTCTGACTTGCCCGGGAGTTTACTCCCGGGCCATCCAGATCCAATAGATCTGTCTCATGTTGTTGCGAATGAGGGTAAATTGGCTACAGATGCCGCTGGCCGCCTGTCTATGCCTTACGATAGTATGCTACCCTATTCATCATCAACTGCTGCATCTGGGTTTATTAGTGAGATGCCTAAGCCTGCTCATTTAGCAGAACAGACGCCATCATCTGTTTATGCATCGCAGTTGCCACCCGTGGGATCAATGCAGACAGCAGTTCAAGCCAATCCCGGCAGACTTAGTAGCAGTGTTAGCGTTAGGATTCCTAGCAAGAAGCCTCGAAATAAAGTCCGGGAGTTTGCAGGAGCTACACTAACCAAAGGCGAAACCTATTTACCTCCAGTTACGCCCAATGGTAAGAATTATTTGGTGGACGAAGAGGGCAAACTAGCCATTGTGATGGCCAATGACCAGAACTCAGTCTACGGGATGTACAACGAATATTATCAATCGTTGAGGCCCCAGATCGATTCTTATGTGGCGGACTTCGGTAAAAGGAGCCTAATGCATTTCAAGAAAAAACGCACCTTTCAGAAGAAAAAGGCCTTTGTTCAGTGGGTTGAACGCATTTCGCACTTCAAAGATTTAAGCCCAGAAGATGTTTTGGATCTGATTGACGAAGTTAGGCTGAAGGAAAATAGATCAGTGGTTTGGTCTTGTAATAATTTGAGTAATATGAAAGAGGCATTTGTACGATATAAGCCAGATTTCCGCGACGTGGCGTTGTACGATACGGATTAACATTGAGAACAGAGGAGAACTCGTGCAATAATACTGAACTTTTCTGTTTCACACTCTAACTTGAACTCAAACGTAAGCAAAAATTTCCGACTAGGTTACGTTGTAATGATAAAAAAAATTATGGGCTCTAGTAAGAGACATCGGCCCTTCAATGATTATGTTGAGCTCTGAGTACTATGGTAGAAGCTGCAAACAGCCGTCCATCGATGTTTTTTCGAAGGTAACGTTTGTCCCGAATGACAGCTCAAGCCAAATTCACCTGTACTTACTAACATAAGGTGGAAAACTGTACTCATCTAACTGTCATTAGAGTAAGCAGTGGTTAAGTGGAAATGAGAGAAATATTGTTGGATTCTTCTTAACCACTTATCCGGACTGTAAGGCGTGCCCACCAAACCTAATGACAGTGATGATTGGCGGACTTCTTATTTGGGCAATAGATACTACAAGCAGCCTTTCGACATTGCCTCCTTTTAATCCGGTATTCATTATTGATGCCCCTTCCGGCTTGGACCTAGCATACGGTGATGATAGGGGTGACACACGCGCTTCTAATTCAAATCTTCAAGATTTTACATACCATCGAGGCTATCCTGGATGACATTTGGCATGTGCTGAAAGAATTTTATGCTGTGGAAGTGAGCCATGTATTCGCCATGTACATGTATTTGCTGATGACACAAGGTCTTAACTTTGGTGCCAACGAGAAGTCCAGGCTATTTTTAGTATCAAGGCTCCAACAAATTTTCACGCAAGCCATTTGGCCAAGATACTGAAGACACGACAGCTGCCAACATCGTCTAGTGTAGTGGGGCTTACAACCTCTGCCTTGAGTGCTAATATGAAAAGGCATCATAGCGAGTTCAGTCGCTCGCGCTAAACCGCAACTAATGTCCTCGGGCACCATAGGATGCCAAGATCCTAAGAATGAATCAAGCTACTTAAGTGAAGAAGCTATCGGATCAGATTTTCGCTTAATAAAGGGCTGATAATGGCACCTAGTGGTAGCTTTTCCCATGCATCTGCCACCCAAAAGAAACTACATCCACAATTGTATAAAGTAATAAGTTTAATTAATTCAAAACTGCCTCCAGAATCCACCTCTAGACCTGTATAGATCACAATAATGAAGAGAAGCGAGAATGCACGCAAGCAACGTATTAGTAGTTGTTTCAGCAACCAGTTCACCAAGTTACTGCTCTGTGGTCACTTCATACTTATCCGACATCGTTGACTCTCTGTGTTTATTAATTACTCATTCAGGTACTCCAGGCATTTTCATAAATTTTTCGGCGGAATGCAATGAGATCAGGAAATTGAAGCTCAAGAGATGTCCATATACATCGTCAAATATACTTCGATTGGCTAACAAATTTGTTTAATTACAACGTTGTCGTTCGATTAGCATCCAAATATTGCTGATCGAACCTACGAGCAGGAGATTTTATCTTTCAAAGTTGGCGTTCTTGTCCATTTATCGAGCAACTGCATAGTGAATTACTTTGGTCCGCATTCTATACCTCTACAAGAAACTCAGGGCAGTTTGCCTTCAAAAGAAAGAACAATTTGTACTCTAGGCTCCAAGGTCTCTAAAGATTGAGAAAAATGCGCGTCCAAAAACTCCTAGGGCTGTCGAGCGCTATCTTAACCGCCGGAAGCCTTTGCGCAGGGTCCCAATTGGTTAATATAGAAAAGCAATTAGGTATAGATCGAATTGACCTGCCTCATCTAGACTTATCTGCAAGCTCCAACAATAATATTCAATTATTGGGCAACTTTGAAGACCTGAACATTTATCGCTACTCCGGACAGTCTAATTTTACCGGACAAAGAGAATCTAACTCATCGAATTCTCAAAAACTAATATATCTCTCTAACAATACCCTGGTCGAGCTATACTCCCCTTCTAATTCTAATGAGACGTTCCAAGTTGACCATATAGTCCCTCTTGGATCAGATTCGTTTATTCTGAGTGGTTCAGGCGTGATCGACAATCATAAATTAGAGCGCCAGATTCTTTTAAATCTGTCCACACTCAGTTACAAACCTATTTTTGACCAAGATTTGAAACAGGTGAATGCCATCGAAGTTGTAAATGATAAAGTCTATTTCGGAGGCACCTTCACATATGAGTATTCTAACCAAACAGTGCATAGTATCATCGCGTGGGATGCAATTCAGGAAAAAATTGAAGTGCTACCTTTTGGAGGTTTTAATCCAAACTCTAATGTGAATTCTATTATCCAATGGGATGAAGAGAACTTAATATTTGCGGGGAATTTCACTACAGTAGAAAAAGAATCCGCCCTCATGAGTAACACAACATTGTCCAACTCATCTAACACAACAGTTCCCGAGCTTTCTCACGAAATCTCTTTGAAGAGTGCTACTATGTCTTCTACAGGTGAAATACACGAAGATCAACTAATATGTCCGTCACTCTCATCAGACAGCCTAGGATGGCTTCAAAGAGACACTACAGAAGGTGGATTTGAGGTTACTTTAGGAAAGCAAACACGGGCATCCAAAATTCGCGTTTACAATTCTCCAAATGAGCAGGATCAAGTATCGTTGTTCCGCGTCTTAACATCTCCTGCCAACGGTATAATGAATCTTACATACCTCGATCCATCGACCGGGAATCTAAAGTCCTGCGATGCATGGTGTCCACTACTGTCCACCTCGAATTTGACGGCAGCTGCGTCAGCAACCACCTTAACTGAAAGAGCAAAATTTTTACACAACCGCACGACTGTTGAATGGTCCACGCTTTTTCAAGATTTTGCTTTTGTCAACGACGTGCCTATCTCAAGTTTGAACTTCGAGGCCTTAGCTTCGTATGGCTCTAATGTGGGCCTCAGATCAATTGAGTTGTTTGAAGAACAAATTTCTGTCTATGCCAACAATTCCCTAAATTATCCAAGCTGCGAGGCTTCATCAAGTGAATTCAGTGCTGAGCTGTCACCATCTTTTTCGTGGCATCAGGGTTCAGCACAATCCTCATATGTTTACACGACTTTTGACAATACACATGCCGAAACTCCTTCTGTGAAATACTCCCTCAATGTACTCTACCCCGGAAACTATACAATTAACCTATTAACACCTGGTTGTCTTGCCGATAGTTCATGTGATGGGCGTGGAACTGTAAACGCAACGTTTTACGATGGTTTGAACAAAAATCTTTTGTCAACAAAGATTTTATACCAAAACAACGATTATGACAAATACGACAATCTTTATGCGGGCCACCTAGAAGGAAGTTACGAACTGGAAGTCATATACCACGAGCCCATTGTTAGAGATGCGGATCAATTTACCATGGTTGCTGACGAGATCGAGATCTTTGTTGTCGACTTCGCCTCGTCCGTCTTTGACTATTCAGATGAAACTGTCTTTAATGGTCTGGTGCAGTACAGCGTGAACAATCAATCGCTCTACACCCATGGGGCAGACCACAACAGTACAATTGACCTGGCCAAGTATGCACAGACTGTATTTCCAAAGTATTCAGAGCTCTATGCGGCTCGATACAAAGAAAATCTGACATTGCTAACTTCTTCCGGTGACATTTCTACCTTTAAATGGGATTCTAACTCCAAAGAATGGAGTTCAGATGTTAGCAGGATTGGAACAAAGATAAGAGGGCTGTCAACATTTTCAGGCGGTCTCGTGATAACAGGATCATTCAACGAATCGTCGACAGGCGCTTTGGGGTTCAACGGTACACTTTTCAGTTTTCCCGTCCCTGAGTCTACGAGCCGTGTCTGTAACCTAACATTAGAAGGCCATGAATTTTTAATGTTTGATAATCATTATGCCATTAATGTGTCAACACAAGACGTGGCCAAAAATACTTCCAAGCTTTCGTTTTCCGCTTCAAGTTCAGGTTCAAACTACGCAAATGACATCTTACTCCAAGGCGATGTGGTCCGCAATGACTACACGGAACTTAATGGCGCGTTTCCGATTTCACCTCAATTAAGCAAAGCAAGTCAGGCCCTACCTTTGTTTTCTGGAAAAATCCCATACGATGCCATCTATATTGACAATAGCACTGCTGTTTACAGCTATTTCAACACGCAAGCAAACTCAGGTTCATACGGCGCTTTAAGCGTAAAAAACAACTCCCAAATATCAGATCTATCTTACGAGTGGTCCAACAATGTTGCTGCCATGGCATATCTGGAAGATGAGAGTATGTTAGCAATTGGACTAGAGAAACAAAGTATTGGGCCCCAATTTATATTACGGAATTTGAGTACTAATGAGAATGTAGCCGATTTCTCGTGGCACGATGAGGTATCACTCAACGCCTTCATATTTTTTGAACGCAACAATTCAGTCCTTGTTGGGGGCAGCTTTGCGCTCAATGACACGAACTGTTCGGGTTTATGCCTTTACAACTATCGTGATATGCAATGGTCGGCTTTTTTCAATGATTCAATCAGAGGCAATGTCAGTAGCATGCAATTACTGAACAAGACATGTCTCTTGGTATCCGGATCGTTCAACGTTAACGGTACAAGCCATGCAAACATTGCCACGATTTCTTTAGAAGATGGTTCTTCTCAAATTATTTCCGAAGGAGACGAGATTGTGACGAGCTATATTAGTACCGAAGATTCTTTAGAAAACTCTATTGCTGTATCGAAGCAAAAAATCCGTGGCTACGCAAACGGCGGATGGAAAACCATCTCATCTGAATTTACAAGTGATTCGGTCTTTGGAGAGGCGCATGCATTTTCGCTCGCTGAAAATTCAGGTAGGACAAAGAGGCAGAACTCACAAAAGGTAATCGTTGTTACGGGAAATCTCATTCATGAAAAATTCGGTAATATCAACGCTGCGATTTTTGATTTTAATAGCTGGTTACCTTTCTTGAGTACTACCAAAGCTATATCAAATTCCCTAACAAACTCACCCCAAATTTTTAGCAATCAAGATATCTCTTCGAAGAATTCTTATGATGGCTATTTGCATAACATCGTTTCAGGAAACCCTATAAGCTCAAGCGGACCTTCATCGCATCCATCTGCATCCTCTCAGCCTATGCCTTCAAATAATACGCAGAGTTCAGGGAATATAGATCGTGGTTTCATTGTACTTATCGGCTTGGCGCTTTCCATGGCCACATTGGCAGTATTGGGAATACTGGGTACTGCGCTTTCTTATTTTTTTGGCGACTCAGGCGATCGGTACCAGAGTGTAAAACCACGTATTGACGAGAGTGAAATGATCGACACCGTTCCACCCGAAAAACTAATGAAATTTATTTGATTTGATGTTATTTTGCATAAGAGGATACTATAAACTGCACCCTCTATATATAAAAAAGGCAGGCCTTTGTAACAGTAATACTATTAATTTATCAAAATACTACAAAACGGAGGGAAGATGCAATTATGATTCATGAGATTCAATCTCACGTCGCAGTCGTTGCAGTATTGAATTATCACGTTGAGCGAAACCCAAGTGAGAATACATCGACTCGACATCCTGATAGGACCATGACGCTTGCCTCCACTGGCGAGCCTTCGCCCATTTCTTGGCCGCTATTAGCCTGAACAAAGTTGATTTGCGCTTCCTGGTAAGTCCCATAGATGCCATACAGTCTTGCTCTAGTTTGTGGTCGTAAGGCTGGAGGTCATCGTCTGACTCAGCATCATTTGGTACCTCCACATCATCAACTTGTTTTTCTGTTACCTCAGTTCCTTTATTATCGTTGCTGGAAGACTTGCTTTTCATTCTAGGATCAACTTTTAACGCATAGCAATATGCCAGCCTTTCCCATATCACAATTTGTGAGAGTGATCCAATCGTACAGTCATCTAGAATGGTCTCTAGATACTTTATAGCATATGGAGTTGCGGTCCACGTATCGCTTAAGCTCAAAAACAACTCAGCAGCCATAAGCATACATCTGGTCTCATAACTTTGTGCAGATTGGTGGGGTGTTAAAGCGGTAGCGCTTTGAGAGGATATTTTACCAACCGGTTTCTTGCCGGCACTGTGAGCTTTTTCCGCACTAGAAGCTTTGCCAGAATTTTCAGAGTTTGTTGCAGCTATTATCTGACTATTGATAATAGCGTTCCTTTCTTTGGCTTTGTTGGCCGAAAGCTCATAGGATTTCAATGCTCTCACGATTAGAGGGTCAATGTCACTTTTGATCATCTTCAATGTAACTATACTTTGAGCCCCCATGAGCACTGAAAATGCACACCACTCCAAGCAAGGTGCTAGATACTCAGGATATCCCTCAAAATCTCGAGAAAGAAGTTCATAAGTTGAATATGCCGTTTTGAAGTCCGAAAGCATAAATGACCAATCTGCCAGCTTCCGGAGTAAGAATTCGTTTGACGTCGCAGCAAAATATGCAAGTCCTTGGGAATTATGGGTTGCAGAGTCATTGTTGGCAGCAGGTGCAGGATTCTTGGCCATCAGCCTCCGGAAGAACTTTGAGTTTGGGAAAATTGATTTTCGCGGCTGTAGGATTGTTTCTTCCCAAAACGATATCTTTCTTTTCATGAAGGGAATCAGTAGCTCATCCAGAAAAGACGTAATACGATCATAAATGTTCTCAACTAGGGTCAATGGAAGACTGTACCTTTCATTCTTCATCATCGATAACATCGTCTCCTCTAACGAAGACATTACAGGCTGATTTAATGCTCGCGTCGCTACATTTTTGTCAACACTCCAGCAGGGCAGCAAAATACTCTCGACAAACAACTGCTTCTTCAGCATTTTAGCCAAGGAATTACAAGTCTCAAACTGCTCTCGAGAGTTATCTTCATAGCACAACAAAAAGACAGGCAAAACATCATTAATGTTAATGAATGATGGAAAGTGGAGCGTGTGATTGTGCATATTTTTAAACGTGACTAAGAGCTCGCGCGCGGTTTCATAGTTTTGCCCCTTGGATATGTCTAGTGCAAGCAGCGATGCAATTGGATGATTGAACGATTCGTAGGGAGACAGATGTGTAGTTGACGAAATCGCAGTTGTAAAGAACTTGTGATATAAGGAATGTTGTAGTAAAACATGTGGCGTCTTAGGAGTAGTTTTTTGTTCCACAAAACTCAGATAGTGCTGCAAAAATACCTCCAATGAATGATAATCAAAAAGCAAGTCGTGAGACTCTCTGGTTCCTATCAGATCTGTTAGTGGCCTCGTAAAACGCAAAAATCGTGAAGATGATCTTTGAAACAAACTATTTGTACGCTTTCTGCCCTGCTGGGTTGAAGTAGGTTTTAGACTCGATTGATCGGTATTGTGCTCATGGCTTTGCTCACCGTCTTCTTCGTCACTTTCAGCTTGATCCTTGTCTGACACACAGTCTCCAAAATGCCGAAGAAGCATGTAAAGGCTATCCATGCCATAACAGTCTTGTACGTGCTGGTCCAGGTCGGCATTTGAAGTGACAGTGACCACAGGTGATACTGCCCCGAATACGATCTTACGCGAAATCTCTTGCGGTACGGGCTCTACAACCGAATTCAAATGAAACACCAGGTTCATATATCGCTCATAAGATAGTGGCATTAGTGAAAATAGAGCTATGAGACTTGACTTGAAATGCTACTTGAGTTTCGATCCTTTGACGATATAGCGAAGTCCTTTTAGTGGAAATTACACGACTAATAAAAATTGAAGGTTTTAGCCCTAAGCATAAAGCCCTAACAAGAACAAATGGAAGTGACGAAGAGCGGAAGGGTTCGATAGCTATACGTAAGGCGATCCTTCAATGTTAAAAATCTCTTGAGGCCATCGAAAAATGACCTCAAGAGATGGTTTCTTTCTCTTCCATCAGTGACACTTATTTTCCCTGTAAGGAGTCAAAAGGGGCCAACCTTAAAACCACGAAATACCAACTACTTTTGATATGTTACCTCTCATTCTTGGCTCACTCTACCAGCTGCATCAAAAGGGACTCATTTCTATCTTGGTCTTGGCTTATGCGACATTATCTCGAAGTGAATTATGGCCAGTATCTACTATAGTATTCCGCTATACAGTGGTGGGACTACGAGTGGCTACGTAGCTCAAAGAGGACGGGGTGGAAAGTTTACCTGGAAATAGTGGCTTTCCACCGAACTACGATTCCCCCGCACGCCGAAGGCGATCACACTTACGTGCATGCAGTAGCGATATGCATAGCTACCCGAACTCCCAAAATATGAAGACAAACGATCGTTCTTTAGTCTGGTAGTAATACAAGTTCCGCGTGATTATAATTGTGCGTATAAACGTACAGCTTTGACGAATACCATCCACTACTAGTCACAGTCTTTCGAAGTCTGTCTCGCATCGATACCGAACTGCATCACGGTGCCATTAAGAGTGTCCAAAAGTAGCTATACGGTCAATCGGGACTGTAGCGAACCAAAATAACATGTTCTGCCGAAATGGCGTCAGTTTAGTATAAAGTGATTTAGATATGGCAATGCAATGCTAAGCCTGGTCGAGTTACTATGGCCTTTTGCCGAAAGAAGGATCTTCCAGTTTTCCGAGAGACGTTTCTATGTGGTCGCATTATATGCTTTCTTGTCACTCATTATTTGATCTGATAGCAGCACACAAACGACAAAGCACAACAATGGGTTCTTGATGTATTTATGAACCCATTTCAAAGCCTTCGCTCGTCTCGAGCATACTGATATCGAGAGTATTCTCACAATCAAAATGCTGGGGTTAACAAAATGAGGCAATTCCGCGAATTTTTAGAAAAGCGTATAACATGATACAACATAATGATTGATCTTCAAAACAGTGTTAAATATGTTGGCCTAACATCTTCGGTGTTAGTGTTGATTGTAGACCTATACACCAGATAAGTAGTGGCGCATCATCCCAGTTAATTGATCAATGCTGAAAAGTAGCGTGATATTGGGGCTTTGGCTTGTCTCTTATGCCCAATGCTTCTATCTGCCGGGCGTTGCACCCACCACATATCAGGAAGGTGACGAAATTCCACTGTTAGTGAACCATTTAACTCCATCTATGTTCTTTCGTCATACCGATGAAAATGGCGAGGACATGGGGGACAAGGAATCGTTCTTATACTCATACGATTACTACTATCACAAATTGCATTTCTGTCAACCTGAAAAGCTTGAAAAACAGAGAGAGTCTTTGGGATCCATCATTTTTGGAGATAGAATTTATAATTCGCCATTTCACATCCAAATGCTCAAAGACCAAGAGTGTGTCTCACTGTGTAGCCAGAAGATTCCGGCCGATGACGCCAAATTCATCAACAAGCTGATTTACAATGGATTTTTCCAAAATTGGCTCATTGATGGGCTGCCAGCTGCTCGTCTTTCACATGATGGTAGAACAGACTCAGATTTTTATACCCCTGGGTTTGAACTAGGGCTTGTTGATGTTGGCGGATCTAAACTGAGAATGGGTGGCCAGAGTGACGCCCTACAGTCCGAGTCTCAATCCCATTCCAAACAGGTCGATGAGGAGGATTATCTTCAACCGCCTTCAAACGCGCGCAAGTTAGCAAAAAGAAAAGTGGTCAGTGACCCTTCGGCTTTAGTCCAGCAGATTGAGAAAGCCTACTTTGTAAATCACTTTGATATTCAGATCGAATATCACGACCGCGGCAATGGCGACTATAGAGTTGTGGGCGTTCTGGTGAAACCAGTTTCAATCAAGCGGGACTCTCCAGATTCTTGTGACATCACTGGCGATCTGCTGGAGCTGTCCGAAGAAGAAGACACGCAAGTTCAATTTTCGTACTCGGTCAAGTTCATTCCCTCTACTACCGTCTGGGCCACAAGATGGGACAAATACTTGCATGTTTATGATCCAAAGATCCAGTGGTACTCTCTCGTGAATTTCTCGCTAGTAGTGATTCTGCTATCCTCTGTTATGATTCACAGTCTGTACCGCACTTTGAGGGACGATTTGACGCGTTATAACCAGCTGAACCTGGATGATGATTTTCAAGAAGAAACTGGTTGGAAGTTGGTGCACGGCGACGTATTCCGCACACCAAAAAAATCGCTTCTACTTTCAGTTCTAGTTGGATCCGGAGCTCAACTGTTTTTGATGGCTGCTTGTACAATCGCCTTCGCGATGTTGGGCCTACTCTCACCATCTTCACGTGGGTCATTAACCACCGTAATGTTTATTCTATATGCGCTGTTCGGTTCTTTCGGTGGTTTTACATCCATGGCAACTTACAAATTTTTTGGAGGTGAGTATTGGAAGGTCAACATGCTTCTCACACCGCTCTTGGTTCCAGGGTCCATCTTCTGTGTCATGCTAGCGCTAAATTTCTTTTTGGTTTTCGTGGAATCCGCCGGGGCAATCCCATTTGGAACGATGTGTGCGATCTTATTGCTGTGGTTTGTATTGTCAATACCGCTGTCAGCGGTGGGCTCATTTGTAGCTCGTAAAAAATCTCGTTGGGACGAGCATCCCACTAAAACAAAACAAATTCCAAGACAAATCCCCATCCAACCATGGTATTTAAAAACCATCCCGGCCACATTAATTGCAGGTATTTTCCCATTCGGATCGATCGCTGTTGAACTCTATTTCATCTACTCCAGTCTGTGGTTCAACAAGGTGTTTTACATGTTTGGATTCTTATTTGTTTCCTTTTTACTGTTAACCTTAACCACCTCCCTGGTTACTGTTCTGTTAACCTACTATTCCTTGTGTTTGGAAAACTGGAAATGGCAATGGAGAGGATTCTTTATCGGAGGAGCTGGTTGTGCCAGTTACATTTTTATCCACTCGATACTCTTCACCAAATTCAGATTAGGCGGCTTGACAACAATAGTACTTTACTTAGGATATTCACTATTGATTTCCCTCTTATCGTGCATTATCACTGGTACCATCGGCTTCCTCTCTAGCTTATGGTTTGTTAGAAGAATTTACTCCTCGATCAAGGTAGATTAGAACTTCTTGAAAGCCTAAAAAGAGATTATTTAGATAAGTAACTTGGTTTGCACATTCTTATGTACTCGTGGAATAAAGTTAAGCTTCTTCAGCACTGTCCATAGCACACACGAATCTACCGCTAGAAATTTATTGTTAGCTCTAATAATTTTTCAGACCTGTTATGAAGTATTTGGCGTATTTGTTAGAGTTTTCAGTCGGGAGGAGAAACCAAACAAGATGTTTTGAATTCATGGAGTGAAATCGTCAAGCGACCTTCAAGAACTGTCATTAACTTTTTTTGGCACGACAGGAATAGTAATAATGACAGGACCTGGGCCAAAGGCCAAACTATGGCCCATGGACTTAGAAACAAACAACAGCACGAGGTAATCCCCATTAGCCTCGCTTGAGATTACAAGATGACTCGAGGCTTGTACAACAATGTACCAGTCCTCACGGTTGAGTCAGAGCACAGGAAAAGGATATATAAGAGGACAGGTAGATCAGAATTGATAGGATGATTATCTATAGTAGTAAGCTAGCCAATAGTAAATAATGACGAGATCTACCGATTCTAAGAGCCATCAGGTAGATTCAAATAATAGTCATGATTGTTCGCTACAGGCACATGAACTAAAAGAGCGTATGAAAATTTACCTAGCTACCATAAACTTATATCTAAGGTCTCTTGGCCCAGTTGGTTAAGGCACCGTGCTAATAACGCGGGGATCAGCGGTTCGATCCCGCTAGAGACCATCCTAATTTTTTGGTACCCATAAATTAATAATAGTTGCGTAGCTAGTGACTAGACCACTTGATAACATCGACTGGCACATCGGTTCAAATAGCTTCTTCGGCTTGCTTCCGTTTGTTGGTATTCCCGTTAAATTCTCCTCTCTCGAGGGCAGGACCCTAACTGTAAGTACATTCGACTAGAAGCCTTTGGAGCATGGCGGAACAATCAACGGATCCGGTTATCGAACGTCATGAAAGGAGTGATGCGGCCTATACCAGCGAACAAAACAAAGATCTGCTAGAAAAGACCAAACTTCTCCGAGATACTTTAGACTTACTTTTAGATAAATCTGAGGCTCAAAAGAAGGCTTGCGATCAATTGGCACACGAAAACAGATATTTGCAAGACTATGTGGAAAACCTGATGTTGCAAGGTGACGTGCTGGAAAAATAGGATGTAACGTCCGAAAGTCAACAAGTGCAAGGTCGCGCGGCACTTGGGGTGCGTGGAACTCCTGAAATATCCATACCCATCACACATTCTGTCTTTTTCGTTATCTTTGATTTCTGCGCGACGTTTTAGCGACAGCTGGTATGGCTATGCACAATATTACAGTATTTAGAATCTCCTTCGCATGTCTTCCATTTTGTACTGCGTTACAGAATAGTATGCTTTCAAGAAGACGGCCAAATCAAAGTTTGTCACCTCGGTAGGGATACGAGAATGAATAAGACCTGTCATGACCCAGATTTCTCACACGATGAGAATGCCGCCTACCGCGCCGAATTTCTAAACACTGGGAAACCTTCACAAGGCTGTGAAAGATTGAATGTAGAAAAAGAACCACAGGCACTCCATCCAAATGCAAAAAATGTCAGGAAAGGACGCAGAGCCTTCGACCCAGAACTACGGAACTTGGTTGCGTATTTAAAACAACCGGAACCATTACAAACACGAGATGGAAGACGCGCATTTGAAAAGACCTCCCGAGACTCTAACGGTCTTTCGCCCGCCCTGAAATTGAATAGTCATAACACAAAACTGGAGCCTTTCGTTCCCATCTGGCTTAGAGATGACCATGTTCTTTCGCAGGATCATTTTCTGGATCTATCGCCTGTCGCTCAAGAACTGCCAACAAGTGTTAATTTACCACCTATGTTCTGCGAGGAGGGGGCCGAACGAGCATTAGATCCGGATGATTACGAAGGAATCTGCCTCGCGGTCCTTCAGGAAGAGTTTTCTAGGGTGGTCGACAATCAAATTCCCGTCTTCGAAAAACAACTGGAGTTAGAGGAGAAGAAAAGTAAGCTCTCTTGGTTAGACTATTGTCTCTATTGTTGCTGTGGCTTGGACAAAACAGGGTATTTTACGTTGCTGAGAGAACGAGAAGAGTTTCAAGCTCGACCTTGGCTCAGATTCGTAGGGCGTAGCGCTGTAGACAGTGATGACTCAACAGAGAACGACGGAGCTCATTCTTGGATAGACGGCTACGATCCATGCCAACTTTGATCTTTACATAAATCCCTCCTAAGTTGAACACATATATATTATTTGTGGACTCTAAACCTCTGCAAGTGCCAATCATTTGGTTCCTGATTATCCATACTCTCATTGAATGGCAAACTCTCCAACATTTGCTCCCAATATAGGCTTCCGCCGGCCCAGGGACCCAGGGTGTGTACTATGTCAAAATCTGGACTCAATGCTTCCCGTAGGCGCACTCTTAACCCCACACACTCAGAAGGGAGCCCAGTGATTACCACATTTGACCTCAGCTTTTTACGTACATCCAGCGCCAAATTTTCGAAAACTTTCCAGACCATTGATACTATGGGAAAATCGTCGAGGTCAAACTTTGTAGCGTCTCTTTGGCCAATGAACTCATGGTCTATCAGCATTCGTACCTTTTCCGTGTTTTCGTCGTGACTGTTGTGATTCCAAAGAGAGTTCAAGAGCTCAATGATGTCTGTGTCTGCGGAGCACACCCGCTTGATTTCATTGGTGAGATTTGCGCCACCTTTCACACTCACTTGCAAGTGATAATCTAGGATTCGGAAATCATAAATTGGTGCAACTATTGAATGTTCCCATCCTATGTCTATAACTAACCCGTCACGTACTCCTCCGGCAACAAGAGATGTTAAAACGTCAGGGATAAATGTGACGCTGCGAACGCCAATATCCTGTCGAAACATTTGATAGAACCATCGTTTTTTCTCCATAGGTATCAAAAGATTTTCTATCACTAAAACATCCGTCTCACTGTTGTTGACCATTAGTGGATCCTGTAGCCAGGTTCGGAAGAGTCTCAACATGGTATCTTTGTCAAACACCTCTCCTGGACTGCGCACATACCTCAAAAGAGGCTCGTATTCCCCACATGTTCCAGCCAACACAACCTGCGATCCTAGCTGGACAATAACATGGCTATTAGCCATGGCATTTTCACTTTTCTTGATAAAGTATTTGAATTCATCAGGCGTTGTATTATTTATCCCCCATGGAAATTGACCTTCTGTTAAATTCACAATCAAATTACAGTTGAGAAAGCCAAAAAGATGGGGGCCATCATATCATTGCCCATTACCTCTGGAGCATCTTTCTTAGCTTCCTTTTTTGGGTCTCTTTCCTCGACCGTTTTAGTATCGTCATTCAAGTCTTTGAGCGGTGGGTCTAGCTCCTTGGCTACCCGACTCAACTATGCGGCGCTATTGTTGATAAACTCACTTATATCCTGGATCTCAATGTCATCAAACTACTCATTCCTGTGGTCTAATAAGAATTGTAGCTCTACTGGAGAGTGTGGGTTCTTTACGGTTCATCGTTTGAATTTTGCGCTAGGTGTCATGCATTTACTACTGTCGTCAGTGATGGTAAACGTGAAATCGACAACAGATCGTCGGGCGTCTTTGCAAAACTCATGGTGGCTGGTAAAACTAGTGATTTATGCACTCCTTGTTGTGCTTTCGTTTGCTATCCCTAACAGCTTTTTTGTATTCTTCTCGAAATGGGTTTCAGTACCTTCCGGATCATTGTTCATTCTGATTGGATTGGTTCTCCTAGTAGATTTCGCCCACGAATGGGCAGAGAAGTGCATTCAGCATGTTGAAATGGAAGACGAGAACTCATCGAAGTGGCAGAAGTTTTTGATTTTTGGGACGAGTACCATGTATCTGGGGACGCTTGCGATGACGGTTACCATGTACGCAATGTTTTGCCACGACAACTGCACAATGAATCAAGTTTCCGTGACCGTCAACTTATTGCTAAGTATCATCACAACAGGGCTCTCCATTCACCCCAGAGTCCAAGAGTATAACCCCAAATGTGGCCTTGCACAAAGCAGCATGGTTGCCATATATGGTACTTACCTGACGATGAGCGCTTTGGCTTCCGAACCCGATGATAGGCAATGCAATCCATTTGTGAGATCTAATAAGACTCGCAAGTTTAGTGTTGTTCTTGGATCTTTGTTCACATTTGTGGCCATTGCTTACACCACGACGCGAGCCGCTGCCAACTCAGCTTTCAATTCCAATGGGCAGCAAATATATCTTGGAGGAGACGATGATATTGGATACGAGGGCGTCTCTCAAAACAGAAATGAATTGAGAACCGAGGCTATAAGGCAGGCCGTCGAGGAAGGTGCTTTGCCGGAAAGTGCTCTATATGATGCAACCTGGGCGGATACGCCCGATGAGTTGGGAGACTCGGGTGACGATGAACGTATTGCAACTCGATACAACTATTCGCTATTCCACATAATTTTCTTCCTCGCTACACAATGGATAGCTATTCTCCTAACGGTCAATGTGACGAAAGATGACGTAGGGGATTTCATTCCTGTGGGTAGAACGTATTTCTACTCTTGGGTCAAAATAGTTAGCGCATGGATATGCTATGGTCTTTACGGCTGGACATTAGTTGCACCCATGATTTTGCCAGATAGGTTTGGTTACGACGAATATTGAAGCTAAGGTGTATAAAATAAAGGAAAACAGGTTATACTCTCCCAACATCAGTCGTTGGCATCCGTAATACCTTGCTCACCGATAGTGTACACGCACTCTCTTTCTGGCATATCAGGGCTATCCTGGAGTTTTGCGACTCTTTCATCACCTCTTCCCTTTCTTAGCAAAATACGAGTAGCACTGGCATGCGCCAAGACATGCCCTCCGACCGGCTTCCTGCCATCGGCACCAGCAAATAGGGCAGATGCACCTGGATCAGACTGGACTTGATTGGTCATGAAAACGGCCACATTGTATTCTTCTGCGATCCTATTCAATCGGGATAGGTGTTGATTCAGTTTTTGCTGACGTTCGTTCAGCTCACCTCGCCCGCAATAGTCAACCCTGAAGTTTGCCATAATCGAGTCCACAATTAACAACCGATACTCACCCGATGATAATTCTGCCCCTAGTTGCTCTAAAAGCTCCATTTGGTGCTCACTATTGAGTGCCCGTGCGTAAGACACATTTTCTAGACAAACCTCAGGGTCTAAATCATATCTTGAAGCAATCTGTTTTATTCTTTCGGGTCTGAAAGTACCCTCTGTGTCGATATAAGCAACCCTTCCCTCTCCGCCGCCGAGCTCGCGAGGCAGCTGAGCTGTAACGCACATTGTATGGGACATTTGCGTTTTACCACATCTAAACTCACCAAAAACTTCAGTGATACTCATAGTCATAATTCCACCTCCTAGTACGCTATCGAGTTGTTTCGACCCAGTCGAAATAGCGAATACACGCCTCCTGATATCTGCTTGGATGGTGGCCGGAATGAATCCCACTTGAATGATTTTCCCGGCAGCTTCTTTCACTTTTTCCACTTTTACCTCACTCAAACCCTTGATCTTCAATAAGTTGCGTCTTGTTGTGGAAAGGACAGTCTGAACAGGTTCCTCGTTAGTACAATTATTACAAAAGGGTAGGTTCACGTCATCGTCAACCTGATGTACGGTCTTAACGGTATTCGTACATTGACGCTGTATATTCCAGCTCCTTTCAATTTCTGTAAATCGGCAGCGTTGATGCCATAGTTTTGAAGTTCATCCACACTAATAATGGATGAAGCTACTGCTTCTGTAGTTTCTGTTTCTGTTGACATTGAGTTTCGGCGGCTAAATTGAGTCTGGCACAGTAAACAAACGTTATCGGAAAACTTATATTCGTGGTTTATTTCAGCTTTATCTACTCTCAGAAGGGCTCAAAGTTGAGTTAACAAGTGCTATCGAGTATTTTACCTCTTCTTTCAACAAGTGGTTTGTAGAACGACAATTTCTCTTGTGTGCATGAAGTCTAATTTTATATCCATTAACTCAAGAATGGGAAGCTTGGAAGTATCTATATGTATACGTATATATATATCGGGACAAGATGCCACGATTTGATCTTTTTGACCTTGCTAAGTAGAGAAGTTGCCCGCCTGGAACTGTCAAGATGGGTGATCACCTCTTGAGACTACCCAAGAACATAGCCTCGGTTTGATGCCTGTGATGTTCGAATAAATCAAGTATAATGTACAAAGTAAAGGGAAGAGGCGAGGGATGGAGTAGAAAAGAAACATTTTAGGACATTTCCACATCCTGCGCCACGCCCGCGTTTCTACGGTCGGATGCTGATTCCCTATTGAGTGGCTGTGTTTCTCTTATGGAGAAACCGAACCTCTTGTCTTTTGAAAGTTCGGCCAGCTGGAAAATACCCTGCACAATTGAGTCGTCAGTGTTCAGTTGGTAATTGGAGTGTATCCAGCTGGGCTGACAGGTCTTGTTGCCGCCAGAGAGTCTCAGAAGCTCTGATTTGCCAGTGGGTACAGCATCGGCAGTACAGAGCACCACGGTGGCACTTTGGCGAACAACGGGGACGTAGACAGCATGTTTGAGGAGCGATTTCAACTTGAGGGACGAAATGCCGAGGCGGGGCAGCGGTAATTCTTGTCCTGGTAACGTACGCTCGGCGGCATCAATTCCGTGGGAGCCAGCTGGGTTCGCTGTGCTGAGAATTTTCTCCCATGGGACACACTTGGCGAGACGAATAGGGTTTGGAATGGCCAAAAAGTTGTTCAAAATCTCGCTCATACCAAGTCTGTACGACTTCAAATCTTTTGAGATGGCCTGAATTTCGGGAGCTCCTGTGACGTTCACATCGACAGGGAAGTCGTCACTCAAATGCGAAAGTTTAATAGGGTAAACGCCCTGTCTGTCAATTTTGCTCAGTAGCTGTCTAGACGTCTTGAGCTTCAAGGTATGGGAATGGGCGAAATCCCTCACAAATGCACCTGGTCTAGCTACTAATTGGTCGGCTCTGTGGGACTTTCCTGAGAAGTTGTCAGCATTTTCCAGAGTGACCAAACCTGAAGCGACGCCATCTAGCGGAGCCATTTGGATGTCGATCACGTAAACCTCCCCGGGGGTTACAGTAAAGTCGTCGGTAGGAACTGCAGAAGAGTTGTGGAGGCTTGAAGGCTTCACAGAGACTAAATCTTTTGTTGCCTCGGCCGACTTTTGCAGCATAGCCAGTTCCTGGTGGGACTCATACCAAGCCACACCTTTGTACTCCCGCTCGGCCACTATACCCTCGTTTTGGCCTGCCAAGAACCTTCTCACACGGCGCACTTTAGACCCGGGAACGACTACGCAGTGGTAAGCGCTGGCGATGCTGTCCACAACAGTACGAATTAAATGACCGGTTATTTGGCCACCAGCAGAAAGAGAACGTGGGGTTTTTTCCGGGGTCAAAGCACAGGCTAGAAGAGACACAACCGTTTCCATTGCAATGTGGACCGCAGCGTAGGCGTCGGCTTTGCCACCCAACAGAGGGCCAGTGGGTTTTACCTCTCCATTTTCTGATTTCTCCGTAGGGTAAATGACCATGGAGTGCGACACCTGGGCAGTATAGCCATCGATGTGAACCCCCAGCGAAATTTTCACCACATCTCCAGGGGCCAGGTACCCATCGACACATCTTTTGGCACCAGCGACAGAACCTGTTCCAACAACAGATTTGTTTGCAGAGCGCAGTTGCTCCACGTCGTCCAGCTCAGGACACCAGCCGGAGGCAACCTCGTCTACGTCGATTGTCGTAGGGTGGGAAATTCCACGCTCGGCTACTTTGTTCTTATAGCGAGTTTCCAAGCATGTGGTTAGGAGGCTGTCTGCCAATAAGCAAATCTCGTGGATGGCCAGACGGCCGCTTGGGTTTGCCTCACCCTTGTGGTAAGAGTCATTGATCAACTTGCTCACGAATTTCAAACCTGTTTGGGTGATTTGTCCCGCGGTCCGGTACTTGTCTAGAGTTGATTCTTGCAAAATGTTCTTACCATGCAGTAAAACTTGCGTATCTTCGCGGGAAATTGCCAAGGCCATCTTCAAAAACTGGGAATGCCTGGCGACCGATCAAAGAAAGCTTCCCAAATGGTGTTTCTCTGTTCTGGATATGCTCACAGTGGGATGCGATGAGATGCTCATCTCGAGCCCATCGATTGGAAAACTTTTTCCTACGCTTAGCGATGAGCCAGTGTCATTTTTACGCCAAAGTGATAATAATCACGTTCAATAATCAAACTACTGGCCATGGAAGCTAGACCTTGCACAATGCTCCATCCGCATCTTCAACGGCTGCATCAAAAGTCTGTTTGCGACGAAGACGTTGACTGTTCATGGACGGCATCGAGGCCAAGCAGTCCTGCAATGTCATTATGGTACAAAGTGACATGGACATCGAGATTGGTATCGAAATTTCCGGGTAGTTTTCAGATGCCTCCCATCTCGGTATTGGGTGTACTTTAGGTGTGCCAGTTGACCGAAGCCGGGTCTCACTTCCAGAACGGATGGGCCGGTGACAGAGCCGATTTACACGAACCTGATAGAAGCAGAAGTTGCAGAGCCAGAGTCTAGAGAGTTTTTTCTCCAAGCAACTGTCGAACCTATAGTTGCTCGGTGTACCTCTGCTACCCTCGAGATGTCCGGGCACAACACACCGACGCACTCGCCATTTCTAATTAGCTACCGGCGCGGTACTTCTCATAGACAAAACGGATACTTTCCGGGTATCATGTGATCTGTGTGCAGGTATATTCTCGGTACCTGCCGGCATAACTTCGGGTCTTCTCAAACACTTCTTGAAGAGCAGAGAAAGTTGTGAACTCAGTTCCAATTCCAGCGGAGCAAGCTGAGACAGCAAGGGAGTTATTGCAGCCGACTCTACAATACTCTGCAGTTAATTACGACTCCCACTGGGGTTGCTCGTTTGCGCAGATCTCTCAGATGACATAATCGTGAGACGTGATCCCTCAGATATCATGTTTAAGGTCACAGAGAGCCGAGTAAGGCACATTGAGCTCGACGGTGGCTCTGCATTCGCCACATGTGAGCACAAATGACCCACCAGTTCATCCAACCTCGCTCGTCTGACTTCAATTTCTCTGTTTATTTGAGATGTGCCTTGGTGGACACCCAACGAGGGGGCGACAGTGGGCTAGTCCTGCTTCCACTGGTGTACAAAACATGACCCAACCTATTCCACAGCTCTGAAACCAAGCCTACACCGTGTGGATGCCAAACTCTATGGATTTGGGCTTGCTTCATTCTCATTGGCCGAAACGCTCATTTGTTGTGTAGATCATTGTCGACGAGATTGGTTTCTTGAGAGGGTGAAAAAACCAACAATATCGCTGGACATACCACCTCGTTCCCACCAATGTTTACTTACAAAAATCCAAGCTCCAAAACCCAAAGCGATTGATTGGATCCATTGCACAGCAACGGATATCTACAACGAGCAACCTCAGGAATAGGCCGAAGAACGCTTGAATTTAGCCTCTGCTTGCTTGAACCAGTTCCGTTTTTTGTTTCCACGAAGATTCTACAATGATTAGAGCCGTGAGATTGAACACTGCTGTTCTGCAAACGAAGAAGACAGCGGCCTCCGCTGCCATTGGATTGAGACGTGGTCTAGCCACCACAGCAACCCCAGATGCGGACGAGACCGTGGAAATTACGCTTCCCGACTCGTCGTTTGAAGGCTACATGTTGGAGCCCCCTTCTTTGACGTACACCACCACCAAGGCCGGTCTATTGCAAATGTACAAGGACATGGTGTGTGTCAGACGTATGGAAATGGCCTGTGATGCGCTTTACAAGGCCAAAAAGATCCGTGGTTTCTGCCACTTGACTGTGGGTCAAGAGGCCATCGCCGTTGGTATCGAGAATGCCATCACCAAGAAAGACACTGTTATCACCTCTTACCGTTGTCACGGCTTCACCTTTATGCGCGGAGCCTCTGTCCAAGCGGTCTTGGCCGAATTGATGGGCCGCCGTTCGGGTGTTTCTTACGGTAAGGGTGGTTCTATGCACTTGTACGCTCCAGGTTTCTACGGTGGTAACGGTATTGTTGGTGCCCAGGTGCCTTTGGGTGCCGGTTTGGCCTTTGCCCACCAATACAAAAACGAAGACGCCTGTACTTTCGACTTGTACGGTGATGGTGCCTCCAACCAGGGTCAAGTGTTTGAAGCTTTCAACATGGCCAAGCTTTACAACTTGCCTTGTGTTTTTGCCTGTGAAAACAACAAATACGGTATGGGTACTGCTGCGTCAAGATCGTCGGCTATGACCGAGTATTTCAAGCGTGGTCAGTACATTCCAGGTCTAAAGGTCAATGGTATGGACATTTTGGCCGTCTACCAGGCTTCCAAGTTTGCCAAGGACTGGTGTGTTTCTGGTAAAGGTCCTCTTGTTCTCGAATACGAGACCTACAGATATGGTGGCCACTCTATGTCTGACCCAGGTACCACCTACAGAACCAGAGATGAGATCCAGCACATGAGATCTAAGAACGATCCTATCGCTGGTTTGAAGATGTACTTGATGGAGCTGAACGTCGCCACTGAGGACGAAATCAAGGCTTATGATAAGGCCGCAAGGAAGTACGTCGACGAACAAGTTGAATTGGCCGATGCCTCTCCAGCTCCTGAGGCCAAGATGTCTATTTTGTTCGAAGATGTCTACATCCCAGGCACTGAAACTCCTACTCTAAGAGGCAGAGTGTCTGAGGACACCTGGGACTTCCAGAAGAAGGGTTTCGCTTTCAGAGATTAAATTAACGGTGCCGTCGACCAGAGACATTTGTGCGTCTCGCAACAAAATTTACCCCTGAACTAAAAATCTACGAAACTTAACGTTAGCAAACTTGTCGCACAATTCTACTCGACAGTGTTTCTAACCTCTCGCAGCTGTGCTCCGCTAATCGAACATATTCCATACACGAACAAGAACGACAAAGAAAAAAAAAAAAACAAAAACAATGCAAGGTAAACGAAAGCTCTTATTGCCTCGGCTCTTCGATCTCCCTCACTCTCTCCTTACTATCAACAACCTTGGATACCTCTCTCTCTCCATCACTCTTTGGTTGTTGGTGATGATTGATTTTTACGCTGGCAAGACTAATTCTCTCACTAGATTGTTCCTGAATATTTATTAAAACTCTCTCCATACCAGTGAACAGTAAAGGGGGATGACACTAGTTTTTCCAGCTGGATAATCAAAAGATAAGGTGGGTTGAATAGTCGGCGGTTTCATTTCAGATACTCTTTTTGCTGCTACTTTTTTTGTCATTACGCTGCGGTGCTAATTATGCGTGAACTCAATCAACTAAGAAATGGGAAATGTGGTGTTTATATGGGTTTTGGACTTCACTTTTATATAAATCTAGCTTTTAAAACTTCTTTTGAGTATGCTATTCCTGGATTTCGTGCTACCTGCGTAGCGCATGCCAGACTTTCATTTGAGGTTTTTTAGGGATGTTTGCTGAGATAGTTTCACCATCTGATTTTGAAACCTGACTGGCCTCAAAAAGACACTGAGTTCAATCATCTTCCGGTAGATCCGTAGGGCCTCAAAGTAGTAGCATAAGTGGAAAAATTTGGAGTAGGGGTCGTAAATGGCTTTTAAGTAACCATGTTGTGAAAGAAATGCCTTACCTTATGGATTCATTTAATTAACCATTTGGCCATCAATCAACAAATTCAGATGATTTCCTCAGGTTCTTGTCAAGAAGAATTGATTTTTCAATTAGCCAACATTGGCGGATTCACCGCCCCAGGAAAGACAGCGAATTCTTCTGATACCAGCACGACACCAGGCTCATCAAGATCCAGGAAATGGGGTGTAGCCAGATCACAGAAAACCCCTGGGATCAAACATCACCATCAGCTGAGTCCTGCTGCACATTTCATGGGTCGTAAGACCTCGGATGTGGGACCTACAACCTCGGAAGGCACCTGGGGATCATCCACATTTTCCTCGCCACGCAGCCGTTCACTGGGATTACTGGAAGTTCCTTCAAGATCCACTTCGATCCCCAATCCGGACTTTAAGACGATGGCCAGGCCCTGTATACTCAAAAATGTCACTAGTCCTTACCATGATTGGAAAACCCCCAGCAACACAGGGCGTCCTCCCCCGCAATATGGTGTCAAAAGTACTCCACCTCGAGTAAAACCATTTGACCACCCTACGCAAGGCACGAGCAAGAAGTCATACGTGCACGAGCCATGTTGTCTCTGTTTGGAGTCTGTTTCCTGTCGATCTTTCGGCGAAAAAGTTGTTCCACTAGATTGTGGGCATTTGACCCACGAGGAATGTATCACGGCTTATCTTGAGTGCCCAACAACCCACGATATTAACGATCTCTTCCCGATTTGTCAACGGTGTGAAGGCAGCATTCGATGTGTGCCTTCTGAAGTTGAACTTCGAGACAAGTGCATTTCGCAGGCTTTGATTAGAGGGAGCCCTCTAGCGAAGAAATTCTCGGATTGGGATCCCGGATCGGCATCGGCTTCAAAGGCGATTCAAAACCCTAGCATTGATTCTACAAGCACCATCAAGAATTATCACTTTGGACCGACAAGAAGTGCCTCCAATTCCAAAAAAAACGTCAAGGATTTGTCGCTTCAACTTTCCCCATTCTCCAGTAACAAAAGTGTTAATCGAGCCTTGAGGGGTAGCCTTCTTTCTGGCATTTCCTCGATTGTCTCTTCAGTCTCCACACGCTCTCCTGCAGCAACGATGAGCAACTCCCAGAACTTATTAAGCGAAAGAGTACCGTTGGCGATCCTCAGGTCATACTACTCGCAGCTTTTGCTGGACAATTTTCCTGAAAGCCTAAAAGCTTGGGAATTGGATACCAAATTTGGTCCTCTAAGAATTGTCGATCGCCTCATGTTTTCAGAAGACGGGAAAACCTACCATGATGCATGTTGTTACCTCTATGCGGACGCATTGCTGGTTGCTCTTGTCTCGCCTACTTTTGACCCCAAGAATTCGGTAGGACTGAGGTTAGAAAAGTTTCTAGTGCAGCACCCTTTGTCTCATGTTAGCGTTGATTCCCTCAATTCGTCGGTGCTCAAATGTACGATTTTAAGTGCAATGAACAATTACAAGATAATGCAAGGATCAACCATATACCTCACCGAGACATTGAACTCAGATCAAAGCCAAGTTGTAGAGAAGTGGATTTCGGCCTTACTGAACGAGGAAATGGCATTTAAAAGTCTAAATTTTTCGTCGACTTTACCTCTACCTCTCTTTGATACAAGCTCAAGTTCATCAAGGCTTACAGTGGTCAGGACCGATAGTAAAAGCGTGGACGTCGACTTTTCGAGCGACATTCTTGACACTGATATTATTGTTCGTCACAGCCTTGCTGATGAAAATCATAATTCTCGCAGAACAACTATCACGTCGCTCCTTTCACTCAAGCGTGATCGACCTAGCAACCTTGCAATAGTCCTACAGTTAGAAATAAGTCGGTTAAAACATGACGAGCTAACTACAGCAGTAAACAGCATGCGAGCGCTCGTAATGAAAATGCAAGAGACAAACATTTGCATAGTCGATCAAAATGCCAGAATCGTTAGCCAGGGACCTGCTCAGGAGCAGATTGCAATACTGGCAAATTTAAGTTCAGAAATGCCAAACTCTCCTTATCCCCAGTTTACTCCAGAACTCTTCAAAGAAATTAGTTGCATCAACATGAGAGCAACTGTTGGTATTGCCGTCTTTTCAAATACATCGGTAGAAGAGGGCAAGTCCTGCCTTTTCATGGACTTCGGCTGTTTTGCCAACCCGAAGAGGACAAGGCCCAATGAATTGAAAGCTCATATCGGGTACTTGAATTTCGATTATATGGATCTTGTTGAGGAACTGGTGGAAGTTTCCTCTTTCAACGACATTCTAGAGACTCTCTGTTACTGTTTTAACATCACATTTGATGAAGATGATGGTGACTGTGACGATGATGATGACCATGACCATGACCATGACCATGACGACGACGATGACCATGACAATGAAAATAATGATGACGATGCTAGTGAACATCGATATTATGATTATGATAAAAACGTGTGTACTGGCCCGCGCGAGCGGGCTTCTGAGCTCGAACAGTCGGACATTCCTGACTTCGTGCGTGGTAACTCACAAGTCAGGAAGCCAAATTATTCAGCACTACCGAATGACTTGCCCAATGCTGGAACTCCCCAAAGGACAAAGCTCACTGGAACAAATTTGCGGGCAAATCCACCCTCACCTTTTCCGCAAAGCAACGGAACCTTATGCGAAAAACGTGAAGTACTGTCGAGCCCCTCGAGGACGACTAGTAAAACGTCCACATCTCCTCAAAGTGTGGGCAGTTCGCTATACTCGCCCACGCAGCTGTCGGGTGAGGAATTGCTTGCGGAGCAACGTGCTACCTTTCAATCGCGCCGGTCGGTCGTACGATCGCTGCAAATAGAAAGTCCTCTTTTGTTAGATGGCACAGGGGCTATGCCCTCGGAAGAACAGGATATTGCACAGAATGACGGGCCCAGATGGACTTGCTTCTTTAAAGGTATAAATAAAGCCTTAGACGAAGCTATTGATTTCAAAAATGACCTTGGAAGTAAAGCGGACTTGTCACATTTCGACCCATCGGTCTATGAATACATTTAAGGCACTTACTTACCTTAAATGTGTTTCATGAATTATGAGCTAGTACTCTGGGCCATTTCTCAATCTCTCTAGTTCAGAATGAATTCTTAGAACCCATTGATCCCTTTCTTGTCTCGAGCGTGCCATGAAAACTAATGCCCGGCCAGACACACCAAGCCTAGTAGCCAGATGGATAAAGCCAGGGTTCTTCTTCAAGTCGTCTTCCATGCTTAGCTCGCCAGTCTCAGATGTTCTTTTTTTAGACTTGGCACAATCTGCTTTTGGTGAGGTAGCACCAAGAGTGTCTGTCGAGCTTGCTGTTCGCCAACGAGTGTTAGAGCTTTGGCTAAACAAGAAGCTGTAGTTAGAGACAGCTCTTTTCGTTCCGAACCACAGAGTAAAACACCTTGTACCTTCGCTCTCGCTAGATCTCCAACCATCAGAGTAGACTCGAGGGAGAGGTTTTTTGCCCGGATTCAAGTAATCAAACTGCTTATCGCGTTCCAATAGGTCCAAAGACGTCAAGTTACCGGAATATACGTAGCATTCTTCAATAGGGATAGTAACGTGGTGGCGATGGTCGCAAACCTTCTTTGAATAGTTTATTTTACCGCTTTTAAAGTACTGATAGAGAATCAAATAGCCAGGAGTTAGAATAACAAAAAACTTTTTGAAGGTGGAATGTTTGTGATTCTTTTGATATAGAACACCATTCGATATTATTGGCCTCATGATGGCTTGTGCGCTTGCGTTGTGAATTTCATCATTGGCGACTCCTCTATCTGTAACCCATTTTGGTGTATTTTCGCTTATATTAGATTCCTCGGATTCCGGCATCTTCAGATAGTTGAGATTTTCTACCTTGGCCGACCACATTGATCTTGTATCCTCCGCTTTTCGGTGCTTCCAGTAAACGCTTAGTGAACTTAGTTTCGAGACCCATATATCCGCTACTTCGGGAGAGGGAGCTAAAAGTCGTACATGTAGGCCATTACTCATGGATAACGTAAAAATAGAGTTAATGGTGTCATCAACCGATCGAGATGTCTTCCACACAAAATTGTTGGCGCGGGCTAAAATTTTGAATCTCAAGGTGTTTTTTTGTTCCTTAACAGGCTTGAGTTTGCAAACCGATACCACTTCCGTTAAATCAATGACCTTGTCTGCTTTGATGATGTGGGCTATCTTTCTCCACATAGCGGTTAGTGCAACGTTATCTTTCTCTTCGAAATCCTTCGGATTCATGTTTTCTTCCAACCATTGTATGTGGTTATTCAAGTCTAGCGGGTAAGGGTTGTGTTCATATGCCTTCGGTATATTTATCATTTCCTTTTCTACCTCCCCGATGTCATAGGAGCAGTTTTCCGATTTGCTCAGAAAATGGTCTGGAAGAGGTGGTAGTCCCTTGAAGGAATTCATGAAAAACAATAACCCATCAGAACTGAAAAAGTATAAGAATCGATAGTAAGCTGTGTGGAATATATTTTCGGTCTCTCTTCCATACCTGTCGGTACATTTCATTAGAAATCCCTCAACGCCACACGGTTCGGTCAGAGTCTCTCCACTGTTCAACTTTACACTCCGCGGATAGTGAATGACCGACCTAAATTCCAGTGAATGTGAGTTTCGCAGGGCCATACCCCCCACTGTCAGTTCATATTGATCTCGAGAGCACCACTCTAACCTATCATAGTGTTTCCAGCACAGCCCTGTTATTATATTTGCGTGGGCCCATTTCGAAATTGACTTGACATAACCACTCTGGAGTAGTTTGTTCACAATGATGAGTTCTAGGTATCTTGTTAAAGGAAATGATATTGGCTTGTATCCTCTTGGCAAGTTCAGCAATTTCAATTCCTCTTCTTCGACATATGTGCGTTTATCTAGATGGTCCCGAAGTTCTGTGGGCAGTGGAATATCTAAGGTAGCTGGTGCTTCTGGTATATTAATTGTAACTCTCTTGGGAAGACTAAACAAGCCCAATGACCGTTGGAAAAAGAGAAGCCAGTTTTCCGCTGAAGCTGTGGAGCAGCATTTAAGAAGGTAAATCCTTAGCTTTTCAGGGTTCTCAGGGTCGTTCCCGAGAAAGCCTTTGTTCCCATCTACTGTCGGGGAAATTCGTTTGATCACATGAATTGTTTTGTCCAGTGTGTTGTAGAATCCAACCATACAAGATACATCTAGCATGAAGTCCATAGAGTTTGCTCTAAATCTCTCTTGGGGTCCAGTATGCTGTTCAACCTCAGGAATATTTTGATCCTTGTAAAATTGCAGATAAAGAGGTGCTTTCGGGTCTCCCGTGGTTCGAGCAACTAGTATGTACTCCTTCCATCTGTCAACCACTCTTGTGTCGATCGGCTCTACTTCAGAGAATTCTGACAAAGTCCCTTTAGCCGACGTAGACGCCTTCACAAAAACAATCATTTTCTCCATTTTCACAATTTCCCCAGCTCGATATTTTCTAAAAAATCTAGTCAAATCTGCACCTAATCCGCGGCCCACGTCAGAGAGCAGCTTGCTTTCCAGTTTTTCAAGACGCATCTTTTTTCCCGCAGTGTTGGCTAAGTTTCTGATATCAGCGAAGCCACGCTGATGAGTCTCTATGTTACTAAAATCTTGAAGTTGCTGGCGTGTCAAATTGTAGGGCTCCGGGCTCAACAATTTGAGCTTATTCTTCTCAGAAGTTTTTAAACGTAGATCAATCACGGAGTCATCCTCATCTGAGCTGCTCGCGCCGCCGCTGAGTCCCAGTTCATCATTACTAGTGTCTTGGTGGAGAAGTAAAGAGTTACTATGTCGCTTGGGCCTCTTATCGACCTTAAACTTCACGAGTCCTTTGCTATTTGCCGAAACAGGCGAACAGTTTATATCGGAATGCGAAATGTGTTGACTATATTCTTGGAAAGTCTGCGGTATTTTATCGTGATTTTCAGAACTTGACATTACGCACCCACCGTCAGCCTTTTGATGGTTCATCTCCGCTTCGCGCGTGCTTAATTCAAGGTTTATTCCCAATGCTTTCTCACTTCCGTTGTGATTTAATTCCATGGAAGTTTTCGAACCAAAAGCGCTGTCTTTACAAGATTCGCGTTCGTGATCTTGAGGTCGCTTAGTTTCTTTGAGGAGAGCCTGGTCGCAATATAAACCCGATAACGAATCACTGTACGCATCGCTATCTCGACTGTTACTCGAGTATCTGTGTTCGTGCCCTTCTTGTAAGACACCCAACGCAATGCTATCGTTAAAATCTGTCGACGTGCGTGACTGTGAAGATTTTGAATGGCCCTTAGAATGGGCATCCTGCCAAGAATTGAAGCCAACTTGAGGTGCCTGTGAACCCTCTGCAATATTTGTCTGCCGCAAAAAAAGCTCTTGGTTGAGCCATTCATCCTGGGCAGTAACCTTCTTTGCTCGACGTGCCTTCCGTCTGGATGGCGATCTCATAGAGTTCGCGTATTTGCTAGCCATTTGTACCCTTCTAGCAGCACTTTTGAAAGTGAATTCGTACAACGATCGCAGTATGTTGTTTTTGTGCTGTACATACCACAAGTGGGGCACTCCGCCAAGAAGCAGTGATTTTGAACTCAGCGAAACCTCAACAGGGGAAGCATAGCTAAGTCTGAATGCTGTGAAAGATCCTCTGGGTATCGAAATCAGTGAAACTTCATCGTGATCTATCATTGAGAGTCCCTTATCCGAGCAGATATGTCTCGCGTAGAGCTCGTCATCTAGGGCTATACTTTCAAGCGAAACTCTGTCATGGCCCATCACCTTGTCTTCTACAGTAGATCCAATACGGGAGGTTTTAATTCAAGCTGACTGCAAAGAGGTGTCATTGCTAGAGAGCACGAGTACTTGTGGTTGTGTCAGATCCCCGCCCCATTTTAATAAATTGCCTTACCATAGAATTGGTATACTCGTGGTGTGTGATATATTTGGACGGTCTGATTTGAACGCCAAAGCCCTCGGTTGCTTTCTCCCTTTGGCGCTCTCCCTTCACATTGTCACTCTTTCTGTGATCGGAAGTAGGGACCCAGGTTGTTCTCTGGTAAAACTTATTTACAATTTTATGTTTCGGACGGATAGTCTAACATTGAACCGCAATTGAGTCGCATACGAGCGGCTTTCCCCATACATATAAGTGCCAAAACCAAGTGGATATAGATAAAATTACTGGCCACCATGCCAAATGTTAACTGCCTGCCAGTGCACAATATAGTTCATGGTATTTCCCTACTTTACTCTAAATAATATCATCTGCATCTTCCCCCACCGCGATCGAACTACCTTCAGGCCTGAAATTGTCAGGTTCCTGAATGCTGGGTATAAACTCCACGACCGTGAATGCAATACCGGCCACAAAAAGTAGCAAAGAGATTATAATTTTCAGCGCGCCTCCGTAGCTTAGAAGAAGTGACAACAGTATTAGACACAATCCTCTGCCAATGAAGCTGAAGTAGAACGAAGCGAACCTGTATAGATTTGGGGGAACCTTGAACTCGAGATAAACAATCGGAATTGCCAAACCTAATGCAAAAATGGCTTTCAAAAATGCTGGGAAATCCGTCAGTAAATATGAAAGCTGCGATAAAGCCGAAAAACTGGCCAGCGAGCCAGCTGCTAAATTGGTTGCTTTAAAAATCTGAGGAGAGACGTTAGACATTGTAGAAGAGGTCAGTAACAAACCCAGTTAATTTGGGTCACTTGTAGTACGAATTGAGGTGTGGAATCGAAGCTTTGCAGATATTACAGGTGAAATTTATTCCACCCCCCGACTTTTTTTCTCAAAAGAATACCTCAAATGCCAACTTTTCTTCAAGGATGTAAAAACGAAAACTTAGCCTTGTTATGGAAAAATCGAGCATTTTTACTTTCACCGGCACACAGCGGGCAGGGCATGTTACAAGAGATCGAATTTCTCAAGTATATTCACGTTATAGAAAATTATAGAGGCCGAGTAGTTTTTTTAGAAACTCTCCCATTATACATCATCGTAAGAATGCCCAGCGCTCTCAAATTGCTGTAGAAGGAGGAAGGAAAATTTAAAGGCAAGAAGAAAGGAGAAAGAGCTAGAATTGGAAATTGAGAGGTAAGGGCAAGTTTGAAAAGGGTGAGGGGGGCGTAAGCGCGTGCGCATATTGGGGCTATTTTTGTAGACATTGATTGGGTTGGGTAGCTTGATGGGTGGAAGTAAAGGGCGGGAGAAAAACAAATTGAAAACGTAAGAGAAGCTGAGCAGTACAGATATCAAGCAGCCACAGGAATCACCCAAAAAGCAAAACCTCCGAACCATTCAATCAGTTAGTTATTCTCCTTCTCCATTCTCACAACATACACACAAAGGGCAAGCAAACAAAATAAAAAAAATTAACAAATTTTATTACTTCATTTCTTAAACCGCACACAAGTTTACTCCTGAGCACCCTCGGTATGCTGTGGCTCATCTTGACCGGCCTCAGACATGTCGGAAGTCCACAAAGTCAAGTTATCTCTCAACAATTGCATGATCAATGTACTATCTTTGTAGGATTCCTCAGAAAGCGTGTCCAACTCGGCGATGGCATCGTCAAAGGCCTGTTTCGCCAAATGGCAGGCCTTGTCTGGGGAATTTTGAATTTCGTAGTAGAAAACGGAGAAATTCAAAGCCAATCCTAAACGAATGGGGTGGGTTGGAGGCAACTCGGTGGTGGCAATTTCGGAAGCTGTCTTATAAGCTTCCAAAGAGGCGTTAGTGGCACCGTCTCTGACGTCTCCAGACGAAAACTCAGCCAAGTAACGGTGGTAGTCACCCTTCATCTTGTAGTAGAACACCTTGGACTCGCCAGTGGTAGCGGAAGGAATCAAATGAGCGTCCAACACAGATAGGATATCGTCGCAAATCTTAGTGAGTTCAGATTCAATCTTGGACCGGTAGTTGCGGATAAGTTTCACCTGATGGTCAGACTTGTCCTTGGCCTCCTCTTTTTGTTCGATCGACGAGACAATTCTCCACGAGGCACGACGAGCACCAATTACATTCTTGTAGGCGACAGAAAGCAGATTACGCTCCTCCACTGAAAGTTCCTGCCCAGACGATGCCACGTCCTTCATGCTGTCCACCATTTCTTCGTAACGTTCGGCTTGCTCGGCAAGCTTGGCCAAGTAGACGGAATCTTCGCGACTTTGTGACATGGTTGATTTGCAAAAGTATCTGTGAGAGTTAAAGCTGTTAGTAAAAGACTTCCGTGGGGTCTTATGTGGTTGTAGAGTTCCGCTAGGAGTCGTGAGTGAGTCTGGTATGTGGTATCTCAGCGCACTGCGTTAACCTTCGATCGGTTATTGTCTGTAAAATAGGGATCAACCTCTCAATCAAGATCAGATGCTTCGGGTCAGGAAATTAGTCAATTGTGTGTGTATTTATGGTTCACGTAGAGTCCCGAAGAAAGCGATTTTCTTTTCGTTTTTTTTTTCCCCTTTCCTCTTTCCGTTCTATGGTAATTTTTTCCCTCCTTTTCCGATCCAACATACGAGAAAACAAACTCGCATCCTCAGAACAGATGGGCGAATATACCGAAATAGGGGCGCGGTGAGGAGTGGGAGTTCATGGCAACGCAAGATGTCAATGACAAACAGTTAAACAACCAAGGCGACCAAAGTGTCATTTCAAAGTCACTACCGATCAACTTGGCTCGCAGCGATAAAACGATAAGGTGATAAGGACAGAATGCCGGGCCTTAACTAAGGTTCGCGGAAACGGCGAATGACGCGAGCTATTCGGCTTACGAATGGTGAAGTTATACAGACCCAGACTTTACTCGCACATCGATTCTGTTGCTTTTCTGCCGTCCTTCATCCCATTGTCGGACCAAACCTGCAATAGACTCGCAAATGACCCGCACCACACCCGCACGCCAAGGCTTGGCACTGTCGCCTCAATAGGCGTATCACTACTTACTGGAATGTTGCTGCACTTTCATCGAAAGCATTCACTTCCGACGTAAATCATTGCATTGTCCATATTGAAAGTGATATCACTGTTACCATAAAATCTCGCTGTCTGTATGATCGAGCTCCCCCACTTCACCAAAAGAAAAAAAAAGAAAAGAAACACCATCCGGGAACACTCACACGACGCCAAGCTTACCCGTTCTCACCGCCTGTGCCTTATAAAGATACTCAGAACACCATATATTCCACACACTACCTCCGGCATAGGCAACCAACCGGTTTACAGGCGAAGCCAGCCAAGAGAATCTGTTCTGAAGTATCACGTGCAAGATTTTCTCACGAGCCTGGGCTCATTTTTTCCCCCTAATGTATTATTATTGCCCCTCAAATCGCGCCCTCTTTTGCCACCGGCGTGACATATAGAGTGCGACAACTTACGTCGCACGCACAATACACCACTCCGTTCGACAGACAGAAAACGCGGCAATTCGGCGAACTTTAACATTTGTGAGACACTCACTAAGCAACGCAAGGCTGGCAGACGCAGATTCCGCCCAATTTCAGCAAAAATCGCTGGCTCCTTGCGCCACACTTAGTGGGGATCGGAAATGTAATTGACTCTCCCGCGCGGACGCTCGCCCAATTCACAGCTTCTTGGCTACTCCCCACAACCATACACTTTGAGCAAAACGCTACTTGCACATCACTCATTATAACATACTATTAGGGACCGGTTATCTCTTGTCTTTGAGAAATTCGTGAAGTGTTGTGTAGAGACGAGTGCGAGTGTTTATGTATGTTTGGTACAACTTTTTTATGGGAAGCAAAGAGCCCCCCCCCAAATACACCAGATCACCATATACGAGACGCATAGTGCCCGAGCCTCCGAAATTCTTGATGCAGGCGGAAGAGGAATACATTTGGCATTCGTCGAGTTGAGCGAGTACTGACAAGATCATGATGAGCTTTGGGACATAATATTCGAGTCGTCGGAGCAATTGGAGGCACTTAGGAGATTGGAGATCTAGATATATATAGATCTCCTTCGCCCAACTTGCAAACGCTATGGTCCTATAGTGTAGTGGTTATCACTTTCGGTTCTGATCCGAACAACCCCGGTTCGAATCCGGGTAGGACCTTCTTTTTTATCCAAGATCTTTTTACATCGGACTGTCCCACACATCGTTCCATTTAGACACGCTTCGAGAACTTACTCGTATGGTTGTGAATTTCTATTCTCTATCTCTATACATGGCGCTCTAGTACTCGTCAAGGGCATCGAATACCAAGCCTTTTGTCTCTAAATACTCAACGTAATCAGACCATAGGGCATCGCCCTGTCTCAGCACGTCTTTGCTACCAACCACCACTAGCCCGTTTTTGGCCCTTGTCAGCGCTACATTCATCCGCCTCCTATCCTTTACGAATCCAATTTTATTCTCGTTGTTGCTCCGAACACACGAAAACAGGACGAATTGTTTTTCATGCCCTTGAAAGGAGTCTACGGTAGCGACAAAAACACCATTCACAATGTTGATTGTGACTTTGTTGCCGCTCCCTCCAGGAGATTCTCCACCGCCGAGAACATCGTCTTTGTCCATTTCTTGTTCCATGGCTTTGCCCGTGGGATTCACGATGGGATCCTTCACCAAAAGGTCCGAGATCAAGTCTCGCTGAGAAGAGTACGGGGTGATAATACCAATTTCTGCTCTGTTTACTTTCTTGTCCATGATCAGCTTGTGCAGAATCGTCAGGATTGCCTGGGCCTCGTGCTTGTTATTGTAAGTAAAACCGCGCATGCCACGCTTGGAGTTGAATACTTTACTCTCCGGCCCCGCATTGCAGTTATAGAAGAAAAGTGGATGCGCTATTCCTGGCCAACTTTTCTGCTCCGCGCTCACACCGTCCTTGAGCATCCCGTTATAAAATGTCTTGATGGGGAATTCGCTGATGGCAGGGTGCATCCGGTACTGCGTGTCCAACATGTGTGGTTGCTCATATGTACCGTTGGTGAGGATTCGCTCAAACAGAGACATCTCAAGTTGAGGCACATTGCTGAAGCTCGATAGTTGCTTTTCATCGCCAACAAAAACAAATCGTTTGATACCCGGTAGAGATAGCGGAACCAGCGTGGACACCTCAGAAGATTGAGTGGATTCGTCCATGATCACCACTGGCAGCTCTTTGATCGCCTTCAATTGACGCCCACCAGAGGCGATATTGGTTGTGAATATGATTTGCGCCTGTGCCACATGCCTATCCGAAATTGCGTTTTGTGTTGTTAAGAGCTTGTTGTACTGATTTTTGGAAACGAGTCCCGGAACCCCAGATCTCAGTTTGCTAATGTTGTCCTTCATATCGGTGGGCAACTGCTCGTAGACGATATTGTGTAGACAGATTTTTCCTAACATATGGTCATTGTTATACTGTGCTTCTTTAGATTGGGACAAAATTCGCAAAATCTTTATGTCTGGTCTATTGACCATAAACTTCTCTGCAATATTATCAATGGCGATATTGGACGCCGCAACACACAAAATGGGCAATGTGTGAAAGCTGTTCATGACTTGCAGAATAATTTCTTCAATTGTAGAAGTCTTACCTGTACCTGGCGGACCCTGAAGAACGGTTACACTGTTGTTTAGGACATGTTGAATAGCTGCTTTTTGAGAGTCATTAAACGTTTCTTTGGTAAACTGTAGTCTGTTGTTGAAATTTAGTTGCTTGATGCGCTCTTGGCCTAGGAGCAGTTTGATAAACTTGGGATTTTGCACCCTAGTCATGGCGAACATGATTCGGTTTACTTGGGCCGAGCAAGGCAGAAGTTTGAAATGCTTATTTCCTTCTCTAATTGGCAGCGGCACCTTGTTCCATGAATAGAGCTCTAGAAGAATTGTTATGCGATTTTTCTTTGAGTCTAATTCCCTTACGTAAGTGTACCAAACGCTTGATTCGTCCTGATTGGTGAGCATCAGCGGTTGTTGGTTCGTGAAAGGAAGACGACCTAATTTCACTAAGTGGGGTGGCAATAACTTTTTGACTTCCTCGCTATCGGACTTCATCTGAACAACTAAAGCTTTTTCTTGGGAGCTTTTGGGCCATGTAATCTCAAAATCCTGCAAAAAATCGTTTTCCAATCTTTCTTCCAGAAAGAGAGCGAACGAAAACTCATTGAAGTAGTCCTCTAGATTAGGGTACGATTTTTTGGGCACATACTTTGTGAAGCGTTTCAAAGGCTCACCTTCTTCGCAGTCCTCTAACGCCGGATCAGCAACTACCGGCGCTGCCTGCGCAGCAGCAGCTTTAACAGAAGATAAAGGCTGTCCCTTTTTGGCTGGAGAATCGATATCTTTCTTGCCAGGTGTTTGCTTGCCCTGCTTTTTGGCTTTGTTACTTGCGGCGTTGGACTTGGCCTTGGCACTAGTATGCTTCGTAAGTTCTTTGCCCAATTTTTTAGTGGCTGGGTCGCCGCTTTTTGTATTAGGCCCTTTTACGCCCGTCACCGGCTTTGCGAAAGTTAACAAACGAGATGCTTGCTTCTGAGCAAATTGTTTAGATTCTGTATCGAGGTGGGTCTTGGAGCTTTTGAAGCCGGGGGACACTTTGGAAGCGCTTCGAGAATCGTGTTGTTTGTTCCCAGAAGGGTTGTTTGCCTTCCTGTTATGTGTTCCATTTCCAACCTTTGGCTTACTTGTAGATGCCGCAGGAGCCTTTTTTGCCGCCGACTTTCCATTCCTAGATCCTGACCCTTTGCTTCCCGAGCTCGCATTGCTACTCGCTTTATTCCTCCCAGACATACTTGCGGGTTCATTACTGGATGCCTTCACGCCTTTAAACGATCGCAAACTGAGGTTTGCATCGCTGTTTATGGTGCTATTGATCTTTTTTGTTTCGTAGGCTTGCTTAGCCATTTCCTCTAGCCTTGTAAGCGTTTTTTTGGGTCTTGGCTTACGAGACGAGGTCGCACCTCGTCCTTTGCTCGTGGATACAGTATCGCTCATTGTTGGATCGACCTTTTCTCTCCGTGAATGTAAAAGCTGAAGCGCAAGTTAAATTTCGTCAAGTTTTTATGTCAAGTCTTATTATATATTTGTTATTAACATTTGCTTTGAAGCGTGATAATCAGCACAGACTTCATGTTGACAGAACCATAATAGCAACAGCTCGATGCCATGAACGAAGACCTCAATAGCTCCGGAACATGAATATCAGCTCATGAAAGGGTGATATTGAAAACTCATACCCATCCTGCCTTTCGTTGAATTATGAAACTTGAGATCCTATGTGAAAAAACCCATCACATTGTAACTTTGTGTGCAAAGCTAAATAGACAGCGAGGCTTGATGTGCAAATGAACCTGAAGATCCTACGTGAGATATATCCATCAGAGGGAATAAAATGGGAGAGGGACTACTGTGTCTTCCACACGTTGGATAAGCGCTTTCAATTTATTCATTTGTCAGTTCGATTATTTATGTTAACAGGGCACCTTATTGACTTTCCGGCATTGGAAACCTTACTCAACTCCCAGAGACTTGCGAATAATCATTTCAAAGATGATACAGAGCCTTTATAAGAAACAGTGGGCCCCAAATATTCTGTTGATGCCGCTTACTAATAGAACCTTGTGTGATTGGTCAGTGATCACATGACATGGAGCTGTGTCTTTACAGTCATTTTCTTGGTAGTTCAAATGGCTAGCGATGCAACTTGTTAAAATAAGAGTTGGGTGGGAGCACCGTAACAGTTAGATTCTTCTTGTTACATATTCAGGTTCACATCGGATACTAACTCCCAATATCTGGAAGAGGAAACTACGCTTAGCTGTGGAATTCGAGATATATTTCAGCGGATTTTAAAACTTCAGAATAACCTTTTCAAACTCAAACATATACCGCCATGACTGTTATCGATATCACATCTCAGGACCAATTCACGGAACTTACTACGGAGAATGTACATGGTAAACTCATTATCCTGTATTTTCACACGTCTTGGGCAGAGCCATGCAAAACGATGGGTGCAGTTGTGAGTGCGTTGAGCGAAGAACCTGTCAACAAGGAAGTGCTATTCTTAGCTGTAAATGCTGACGACAACGCCGAGATAGCAGAGCTATTTGAGGTTTCTTCCGTCCCTTATTTTGTGCTAGTCCGAAATGGAACCATTTTGCAAGAGATCTCGGGTGCTGATCCCAAGGAATTCGTAAAAGCGCTCAGCAGATTCAATGGTAGCCTCGCCTCCTCCAGCTCACAAACAGCCCCACCTGCTGGTCAGACAGACTCAACCACCGAAGGGAACGAGGAAGATGACGGAGAAGAGGAAACTGAAGAAGAATTGGCAGAAAGATTGAAGAAACTAACAAAAGCTGCACCTGTAATGCTATTTATGAAAGGTACTCCTTCGGAACCCAAGTGTGGGTTTTCGAGACAAATGGTTGGTATCCTGCGCGAATACCAAGTGAGGTTTGGGTTTTTCGATATTCTTAAGGACGATTCGGTCAGACAGGGCCTGAAAAACTTTTCGGAATGGCCAACTTTCCCTCAGCTATACATTAGCGGTGAGTTCCAGGGCGGTCTGGATATCATCAAAGAGTCTTTGGAGGAGGATCCAGAGTTTTTTCAGCATGCAATGAGCACGTAAATGATACACAGCATTAGCTTCGAAAAGATACCATCAATTACAATGATGCTATATACGTCAAAAATGGTGCTATGGAACTGATTGTTCTTGTTTGTTATGTAATGCAAAATTTAAAGAATGAGGAACGAGCCTCAATTTCGTGTACTGTTTGTAGTAGGCTTGCGAGGTGATTGTGACGCCAACATGTCATAAAAAGTATCATCATCCTCGTCCTCGAAGCTTATGCCGTCATCTTCATCATCACTATTGATGATGGGATCTAAGAGTTCATCAGCCACGTTAACTTCAGTTAATTCACCAGTGGACACTTCATTGAACGTGAAATTCTGCGCAACAACCCTTTGGAGGACAAGAGTTTTTGAACTCGTGTATCTAGATTTTAAGTCCCTTTCTCCGAAAGCATCCTGGCCGGCAGTCACCAAGCTCAAGTCGCCTCCAACGCGACTCAGAATGTCCACTTGCTCGTCACATTCAAATATATCAGAGTTAGCGGCAATGAGTGCTTCTCTATCAGAAGGAGAGTCGAGAGAACTAATGTAATGCTGCAGCGATTTTTTTTTGAAATTTCGACGTTTTCTAATGAAAGGTGCAAAATAACTGAAGTATAGCGCAACGTTTCGAAAGCTATACCAACAACCGTATCTTTTCATTGTGGTATAAGAAAACTTGTCCACGTCGACCTCAAAATTTCGGCACATCTTCCGTACTTTAGAGTCTCTGGGAAAGTAGGATTTGTTATGCGATGACCTCTCATCTTTTTTGTTACGCGAGAAGGTATCTCTGACGGCCCTCAAAGGATATTCTGTTGCCTCGGCCAAGCTTTTTGCCGAGAATTCCACTGACATTGTATCACTGAGGCTTAGTGAGCCAGTAATTTCAGCGGCGCTCCTCAATGGAAAGTCGTGTTTGTTGAAGGCTGAGTAATTTTCGAGCAACCCAAGCTTGAAGACGTCATTCATGTTGAGCCCATTTGACAACATCAAATCGTTAACCATTTGGTTATCGTCAGTTATATCGCTGGACCCATACATGACTCGCCCTAGGCTCTGAAAAAGGGAGATCGATTGCTCTCGTGTATGGTTCTTTGAGAAAATCGGGAGCGACGACGTCGCCCATAATTGCAAGGCGCCAGTAGCTGATCGAATATCACCACAGTGTTCCACAACTGAAGAAACGAATTCACCCCTATGTTCCCACTTCCTGGGCGTAAAAGATTGTTGCTCACGTATACTAATATCGTTCAAGTGTTTTTTAAGCAGGGTTTTATTGATCGGATTGAATTTTATGCGCTGAAGCCCTGGGTGCGCTAAAACTTCAAAGCCCAGTACGGTTTCTGCTATAAATTGTGTATCGATGCCAAAAGTATTGTTACTGTTATCACCCGCTTGCAGCTCACATTCGCTGAGACTTATTACTAACGGCGGTAGGTGTGGTTCCCCATTACAAAGCCACCGGAGTAAAGACTGCTGAAATTGAGTTCGCGTGCTTAGATTGAATATATTTGGTAGATCTTCGATCAGCAGCACTGCGAGATTAGATCCCGTCCGATATCGAGACTCCATAAGAAACTGGTCAAAATGATCCCCTTTCGACACACCCAAAGGGAAGTTGCTGCCATCATATTCTATACAGCAGGGGTCACCGCTGTTACTGGACACGGAAAACGTACTTGCCGATTTCCATCTGTATTGTGTCACTAATTCTTCTGCCAAAAGCTTTATGCAGCTGCTCTTCGAGCACCCTGCCGGGCCCGTTAACAGTAAAATTCTGCAAGAGCTTTCTCCTCGAATCATGGGCTCTAAGAGGTCTCGTACATCTCGCAATTTTCGCTTGTGCAGCACAAGATCAGTGGAGTGAACAGGTCCGTATTTTGCGCACCACTCTTCAGCTGCCTGGGGTCTCTTGAATGCTGACCGTTCTAAGCTCAAATTTTGCCTCTTGACCGCCACGGTGTCATTATCTTTCGGCGAGACCGTTCCTCGCATCTCGTTGATCTGCGAACTCAATGAACTCAGAGTGCGCTTCATATTTGAAATCAAGATCGTTATGGTGTATGACTGATCGTTCACCAAGCTAGCAGGTCGAACTTGAAGAAACGACAAATATTAGGTGCTAGCCTGGGAAATGACCTGACTTATCAGCACATATAGATACAGTTTTATCGGGCCTTGTTGTAGCTAGTATAACTTACAGTACCAGCTAATAACATATAGCTTTGTTCGTCTAAAGCGATTCACCTTTTTAATTCTGTAGAAACCATGGATGTATGGGCATCCTTCGTACTTCATAGGAAATGGCCGTGTCTACACCATCAGTATAGTTACTTGACTAGTCTCAAATTCTGAGTTTGCTGTGAGACAAGGCTATAAATCAGTCGACATGACCCAACCAGATGCGAGTGCCAATGACAAAAAAATACGGGAACTATATAGGTACGATGAGATGTCCAATAAAGTGCTGAGGGTAGATAGAACATTGCACTCCCAAAAAACAGATCCCTCAAGAGACGCCGCACTTTCTCAGCCAAGATCAATGGCTGGGCGCATTTCTGTGAAAGAAATGGGTGATGCTGCCAATTCTGAAGCTAATGCAAGTGAACAGGGAATCCATAGAAGAGAAGTAGACCAACGTGAAGAGAGATATGCCTCTAAACAGATGCCTGAGGCTCCTGCTTCTAGAGCCATGAATTCGACCGTTCTTGGTAGCGATTCGCTACAACAACTGCGATACCATCCCTCCAACGAAGTGAATACCAGTAGATACGAGAAGTTGGTCCAAACGATCTCGCAGCTACTGGGAGATGATATGCCTCACGACGTAGTGCTCTCAGCTACTGATTATGTTCTACAAACTTTGAAGGGTGAGAAAGAAACCGGAGGAACTGGAATGGACCAAAAGTTATCGGAAATTCAAGATAATCTCTCCGTGCATATATCCCAAACAAGTTTCCACGAGATAATAGAAACCAGTAAAAGTATAACCGACTATTTCAACGCAGAGAACCAAAATGGGGACAGTCAAGACGTTGACAGAGGCGTCGCAATATTGGCCAGTGAGGATGAAAGAGAAGAAAATGAGAGTCCCGATGGCAATGCTTTGATGACAGAGCTGGAAGAAGGTGAACGGGAAGAACTAGACGTGGAAGAAAGGTCTACGGAATATTTAACGAACAATGAATCAAAATTAATGGAACAAGATCAAGACTCTCAGGATATTGTTATGTTCTCCAATCAGTCAGATATACCATATAACCTAGAGGCTGAAGTCCCAATTTTTGACGTTGACGAACAGTTTTTGTATCGATGCCTTTGCGCAAATCTGAAAAATGATCCAGGCCAGCTTAAGACTCTCGCTGAGAGCTTGCTTGGTATTTTGGGCAAAGACGAAGCAGAGATAGAAGTCGAGATTGTGAGGCAAATTCCTTCCAAATACAGAAAGCTTATTGATTTTCTGCTTGCAAACAGTAAGTCTATATTTTGGGGAACTCACTTATCTCATGCATCAGCTGAGCGGGAATCTGATCTATTAGCTCACATGAACAGCATTGGCCTGACAAATTTGGTACGAGAGTACGAAGGGAGGTCAATGAGACCCAAGAGGCGACTTAGTTCAACTGCGCTTAGCGATGACCGCTCAGAAGAAGCAAAAGGAGAAGGTGACAAGAAGAAGCACAAGAAATCCAATATTCCCGAACTCCTTAACTTACAAGAACTCTTATTTCATCAAGGTTCAGAATTGTTGACTAGAGCACAAGTTACCTTACCTGCAGATTCGTTCAAGAGAGTGAAGCCGTCTTACGAGGAGATTCACATACCTGCTCCCTCACCTCCTTCAGAAAAGTTTGAACCAGTGCCTATAACTGCTCTTCCTACGTGGGCCCGTGTAGCCTTTCCTGCCAACGAGACCACTTATTTCAATAGGGTTCAGTCAGAGGTATTTTCCTCAGCATTTGGAAACGATGAGAACATGCTAGTTTGTGCGCCGACGGGTGCAGGCAAAACAAATATAGCAATGCTTGCAATCCTGAGAGCCCTATCACACCACCGCAACTCAAACCAGGGCACCTTTAATTTGAAGAATTTCAAAGTGGTCTATATAGCTCCTCTGAAGGCCCTGGTACAAGAACAAGTGAGAGAGCTTCAAAGAAGACTCACTTCTTTTGGCATAATAGTGGGGGAACTTACAGGGGACTCAAATTTGACTAGCCATCAAATTGCCGAATCTACTGTATTGGTGAGCACTCCAGAAAAATGGGATATAATTACGCGAAAAAAGTCTGACAGCAGTGTTGCTAACCTTGTTGCGCTACTCATCATTGATGAAGTTCACCTTTTGCACGATGAGAGAGGTCCTGTAATAGAAACAATTGTTGCCAGGATACTTCGTAATCCTGATACAAGAGACAGAACAAGGATTGTGGCATTATCGGCAACCTTACCTAATTACGCCGATGTAGGGCGCTTTCTTCGATTGAGAAAGGAAAACTTATTCTTTTTTGATTCCTCTTACAGGCCATGCCCTCTAGCCCAGCAGTTCTGTGGCATTACGGAGTCGAACGGAATCAAGAAAGTCAATGCAATGAATCAAGCCTGCTATGATAAGCTTTTAGAGGTCGTGAAAGAAGGCCATCAAGTGATTGTGTTTGTTCACTCCCGTAAAGATACTGTAAGGACGGCTTTATGGCTAAAAAATAAGTTACTAGACGAAGAGAACCTGAAGTACTTTGTCAAGTCAGAACCAGGATCAAGGGAAATAGTTCAAAGAGAAGCCGAAACTGTTTCTGACACTTCTTTAGCGGAACTACTACAGCACGGGTTCGGTGTCCATCATGCAGGGTTAAGTAAGTCCGATAGGTCTCTTTCAGAAGACCTTTTCGCGGACGGTCTTTTGTCCGTGCTTGTATCCACTGCTACACTAGCCTGGGGTGTAAACCTACCGGCCCACGCAGTAATTATTAAGGGTACTGACGTCTACTCCCCAGAGAAAGGAACGTGGACAAAGCTATCTCCTCAGGATGTACTACAAATGCTTGGAAGGGCCGGTAGGCCGCGTTATGATACGTACGGGGAAGGCATAATCATCACCCAACAATCAAGTATACAGTATTACCTTGCAATGCTCAATCACCAACTGCCCATAGAATCGCAGCTTATCGCTAACCTTTCGGACATAATCAATTCAGAAATAGTCCTGGGCAATCTGAAGACTAGGAACAATGCGGTAGATTGGCTTGGCTTCACCTATTTCTTCGTTAGAGTCCTAGAAAACCCCGAGCTTTACAAAGTTCCCGAAAATCTCATCGAAGAAAAGTTATTGGTCAAGTACCGCGAAGCGCTAGCCCACTCTGCCCTACAAACTTTGCACAACCATGGCTTGGTGGTGTACGATTCCAAAGCTGGTGCTGTTCGTCCCACTGAGCTGGGGAAGATTGCGTCATTGTTCTACATCAAATATCATTCTATTTCGATGTATAACCAAATGATCAACGAGAACCTAACGTCGATTGAATTATTACGAATATTTTCCAAGTCCGATGAATTCAAATACATTCCAGTTAGACAGGAAGAGAAGATGGAGCTTCAAAAACTGTTAGACAAAGCTCCGATACCAATCCAAGAGTCCGCAGACAGTCCTCTCTCGAAAATTAACATATTATTACAATCGTACATCTCTCGAACAAGGCTAGATGGCTTTGCTTTGAAGTCAGATATGGTATACATAACGCAAAGTGCCGGACGTCTTACTCGAGCTCTGTATGAATTGAGTTTAAAAAGAAACTTACCAAAAATCGCCAAGATGCTTCTGAATCTTTCAAAGTCGATTGAGAAAAGGATGTGGATTACTAATTCTGCTTTGAGACAGTTCAAGAACTGTCCACAGGAGGTAATTCGACACACAGAGGCATCCTTTCTACCCTGGAATGATTACTTCGAGTTAACGTCTCCTCGTGAGGTAGGTGAGGCAATAAGATCAGAGAAAAATGGTAAACTTGTATATGACTTATTGAAAAGGTTCCCTAGACTGGAAGTGAACTGCTCAGTTCAACCCTTGACTCCAAGTCTTCTTCACTTTGATTTGGAGATTATGCCCAATTGGATCTGGGACCAACAAATTCACGGTATAAGTGAGAGATTCATCTTGATGGTCGAAGATGAAATGGGCGATAAGTTGCTATACGACGATAGCCTAACGGTACATCACAGATTTATTAATAAAGAACATTTTTTGGATTTCAACATCTTCCTAAGTCCATCGCAACAAGAATCCCTTCCTTCTAACTTCTTTGTGAGTCTTACTTCTGAGAAATGGATTCATAGCGGAGTAAAGGTACCTGTTTTACTGGAAGATATCAGATTACCCAAAAGATTTCCCGCCCCGACTGCTCTGTCTGATCTACAAACCATCACCACACTGGATGCCAAAATGGATGAATTTTCAGAAGCTTTGCCGTTCACCCAGTTTAGCAGAATTCAAAGTCAGGTGTTACCAACCGTCTTTGATTCTAATGAAAATGTTTTCATTGGGACAGCTGCAGGTAGTGATAAACTTACCATTGCCGAGCTGGCATTATTCAACTTGTGGCGTCAAGCTGGCGGTCGCTCGGTATATGTTTGTCCCTCCCAGTATAAAATCGATAGCATTTACGAAGACTGGAGTGAACGACTGGGCAGCTTAGCGGGAGGCAAGACCATCAACAAATTCCTTGACGACAACTTAGCTAATGTGAAACTGCTAGCAAAAAGTCACTTGATTCTTTGCACACCCCAGCAATTCGACTTTGTATCCCGTAAATGGAAACAGAGAAAAAATGTGCAAAACATTTCACTACTAATACTTGATGACGTCCATATGGTTGGCAACGGTATTGCTGGGGCTGTCTACGAGAACATTATATCCAGAATGAACTTCATCTCGGCTCAGCTCGAGACGGATCTTCGGGTCGTTGGACTTTCTAATTCGGTAGCAAATAGCAGGGAATTCGGCGAATGGATGAGGGTGGAGAAGGATAATATTTACAATTTTTCACCTCTCGATCGTGAACGCCCATTACAAGTAAAACTACAAGTATCCGACACTCCTGCTGGTTCCCGTGCTAACCTATTACATGATTTGCTTCCAAACTTAGAGGAATGCTTTTCTCATAGCCAAGAATCTAAGAGCATGATTTTATTTGTTTCATCTAGGAGTGAGGCGATCAAAGTCTTGACCGATACCGTCAGATATTGTGCTAATGGGTCTTTACCAGTAGAACCTCACAACAAAGAAATTGTCGATAGTCTGAGCTCTTTTACAGCTACCCTTCCAAAAGAGGCTTTTCGTCTAAAAATGGGAATGTTGCATTTGGACATGAGCCAAGCAGATCAACTTTTGACGAGGAAACTTTTTAGTCAAGGACACTTGAGACTTATTATCGTCTCTCGAGAAGTAGAGGTTGTGGGACTAAAATCTAACACGGTTGTTTTATTGGGTACCCAGTTCTACGAGGGGAGGGAGCATCGTTATGTTGATTATTCGGTTAACGAAATTCATAAAATGTTGAGCATTGCCACTTTGAGCGTAACTCACAACGAGGCACTGATATTAACGACATTAAGAATGAAGGAGTACTATAAAAAATTTCTAATGGAGCCACTCCCCGTCGAGAGCTTTTTGTATTATCAATTGCCTGATTTAATTTCGAATGAAGTAAGCACGGGTGTCATCGAAAGTAAACAAGATTGCCTTGACTGGTTGACGTACAGCCTTTTCTACAGGAGAATTCATGGGAATCCGAGCTATTACGGTGTGAAGGAAGTATCATCTATGGGGATATCTGCGTATTTAACGGAAGTTATCGAAGAAGCAGTCAAGGAATTGGTCGAAATCTCGATGATTGAAGCGGAAGATGATCAAGACGACGAGGATAACCATAATGAACACCACGATTCAAGGCTTGTTCCTTTGAATGGCTGCCTGATCAGTGCTCATCACAATGTTTCATTCACCAGTATGCAAATTTTTCATCGGATGTTGTCAAAGACCTCTGGCCTGAGGAGTATGTTAGAGGCTTTATCAAGCGCACTGGGTGAAGGTTCGCTCACTGTGCGTCAGTCTGACGGCGATATACTAAAAGCCTTATACGCCAAGGTCCCCTTAAAGGTCGTTCAGCTTACAGACTTCGAGTCTTCTGCATTCAAGGCATTTATTCTGCTACAATCATACTTCACCAGATTCTCGCTAAAAAATGATCTAAAAGCAGATCTACTGCTTATTCTAAAAGATGCCCTTCCGCTAGTAAATTCCATGGTTGATTTCTTAGCCGGGGAGGGGCACTTAAATGCTACCATCGCCATGGACATGTCTCAGATGTTGGTGCAGGGTATGTGGGATACGGATAGCCCGCTTTTGCAAGTTCCATACTTCACCCAAGGTGATATTGAAAAGTGCAAACTGAAGAACGTTGAAACAGTTTATGATATCATGGCACTTGAAGATGATGAGCGCGACGAGTTGCTGACATTCAGCATGGATGAGTTGACATCCATCGCAAATTTCGTCAACAAGTATCCAAACATTGAACTAACGTACTCTGTAGAAGGCTCTGGCCCTTACGCTTCAGGTGCACCTCTTGAAATTACTGTAACATTGACTAGAGATGAAGAGCCTGAGGATCTCCAGGTGGTCGCAGGAAGATTTCCCTCCACAAGGTATGAGGGCTGGTGGATCATTGCAGGTGTGCGAGAGACGAAAGAACTCTACGCTATAAAGAAGGTTTCTCTAGGTAAAGAGACTCAAGCTTTTAATCTCGAAGTCTCGCTGGAGAAAGGAAGTCACCAGGTAACCCTGTGGTGTTTAAGCGATTCATATGTGGATGCAGACAAGGAAGTATCCTTTGAACTTAATGTGATTTAGCTAAGTGTACTTAACATTTGGTTTGTATCTTAAGCTCTTAATTTTTGGTGTAATTCAACTAAATAATAACTAATGCAATTCTATGTCACCTTCCAAATCTTCAAGAGGCTCATCAGCTGTTTTCCCGCCAGAAACTGGTTCGAACCCATACCCCTTATTCTGTCGTTCGGTCTGAAACTTGACTAACTGATCATAACTCCACAATGAAACGCCTTCCTGATCCTTCGGGTCAGTTGGCTGCGCCATGGTTCTCAAAAACTGTTTTGTGTTTGCGATGGCCATATCAGTAGAGAGATTCAAGTCCGCATCAGCCAGACCCTGAGCTATCCATTTGGGTAGCTGACTTTTCTTTCTCGCGAACCTTCTGTCTGCAAGTACCATTACGCCGTAATCATCCTTACCTCTCAAAACTCTGCCCAAACATTGGGCCGCGTGTCTCATCGCGTCGAAGGAAAGAAAGTCGTTTTCTCTTATTTGATAATGTTCTCTCAAGAACTCAAGACGGGCCTTCAAAATACGCGACTCTGTATATTGAAACGGAATTCCAATCATGAGCACAGTGCGCCCAAATTGGTGGTCAAAATCAATACCTTCAGAGACCTTTCCTCTTGCAACAGACAGCAAAATTGCCCCGCGGCCATTCGAACAAGCTTTGCGGTAAGTTTCCAAAGCTAATGATGTTTCTTGGGCATCAGGCGTTTCCACAAGAATCAACTTGTACTTCCATACTTCGTCTAAGATACCCATGGTTTGCCACATTGATATGATACTCTCCATGTACAAATACGAGGGAAAGAAGACGACCATCCCATCAGGGGTGATCTTCGCAAACTCGACCAACATCGATCCATAGTTTCTGACAATACTTGGATCATTTCTAATCTCAAACCTTGAGGAAATTGCAACCTGATCCGAACCCTTAGTGACGATCATCGGTAGAAAGGATTTTTTGGCTAAAGTCATGGCGTATGATTCTTGCAGCACAGTCTCAAAGTCAAGCATCTTTGGATACATATCTAAGGGAGATATGGTACCTGATGTGATAATCACAGATGAGAACTTGTCAAAAACGGGTTTTATTGCGATCGACGCATCCAAACATGTAAATCTCATTATAGGATTAGGAACGGCAGCGTTTTCGATTTCGTAGGGCTCAATGATTAATACAAATCCATCTTCATAAGTTGAAATTAGAGTGGCAAATGTGGCAATGTCTTTAAGCGCATTAAACTCTTCGATATCTGTCACCTCTAAGGTTCTAACAAGAAGAGCTAGACGTTCGGAACAAAATCTCAAAGGCTTTTTCTCAATGAAAGTTAGTTGCTTTAAATGCTGAAGGAAAGAATTGGGGGTCTCCGATATGACGTGAAGGACCTTCATCCTTGTTTTGAGGTACTCGATAAATCGTTTCAGAAAAGAGACGAAATGTTCTGCTCTTCGAATATTACCAGGAACGGCCTCAGTAAGAAGATCTCTTGAAAGTACTGGGGATTCAAGAGGTAACTCCTCGGATTCTCCGATCATATCAGGGGCGCGCAGCCCGTTGACCAATTTCTCATATTCATCTTGTAATTTTTGAGAATCCACCTGTCTCACCTCTTGAATTCTATCCGTTAAGTTATTTGCACCCCTAGTTGCGCGCTGGAGAACATCATTTGTCAGATCAAGGGACAGGGACTCTATACATACATTATCAATGTTGTGAGCCTCGTCAAATATAACGATCGCGTCCCTTGAGACCTCCCGAGAAACTCGCTCAGAAATCTTTGGATCCAATAAGTAGTGATATGAGTAAATCATAATGTTGCACATTGATATCATTCGACGGACAGTAAAATATGGACACATCGTTCTTTCTTCACAATATTTGATGAGCTTTTCAAAAGAATAGACCCCCACGGGTACGTAGTTCTCTGGTTCCATTGAGTATAGATTCTCGTGGAAGTCACATAGTTCAACACTGGCGTTAGGATCTTGCTCTAGCTTTCGCTTTTGTTGTCCATTGGTCATCCTACGACATTTTTCGTCCACCACTGTTCCTTTCCGTTCTTTGCGGACCTTTGGATGTAAGCACAGGTTCTTTCTACTTGTCAAACCGAGACCCCGGAACGGCTCCTTGTAGCCCAGTTCTTTGGCTCGATAATCCATAAGTGACTCTAACTCGACAAGAGCTTTTTCAATTTCAGACATTGTACGCGAACAGTAGATGATTTTGCGATGTTCAGAATAATGTGTTTGATATGCTACTGCCAGTGACAGTAAAGAGACAGTCTTACCAGTCCCCGACGGCATCTCCAGTATGCTATTACCCCCGGCGTCCAGCGTTTTCTTGATATCGCACATATACTGATACTGCTCAGGATATATCTTCGGATAAGGGAAAATGACAGGCAAGTCATCGATGTAGAATTTCATATTGAGATTCGAAGTTGGTCAAAGTGGCAAGCAAGGGTGTATTCAACCTCAGCGAGATCTGTTCATCTGAAGAAGCTGCCTATATGATTTATTCAAGGAAATACACATCACGTGTGATGAACGTAAGAAATGTGTTATTGCCAGTGTCAGTCTCTAGAGCTGCACTAGAGAAGCTTTCACAGATACTTGGAGTGTGGACTGTAATATATGTGTATAGGACTTCTAAAGATACTTGGCGAAGAATGAGACAGCTCGGTGTCATGATTTTGAGCCATTCCCTTGAAAGTCATTTTGGGGGAAGGATCGAGAAAGAGATTTTATCGAGTTCTCAATTTCAAAAACATGAGTTTTCCTAAGAGCATTTGGCCGGTTTAATGAACAGAGTTAATTTCATATTTCAATCGCCGTTCATCCACCACCTTCCTAGGATTTTCGTCTTCAAACATCGACTAGGCGAGAATTGTTAAACCTTTTGAACCATTAAAAGACACATGGCGAAAGCCTCACCATAGGACCCACACAAGAGCACTATGTCTCTCTTAGGGGCGTAGAATAGTACCCTTCCGTCTGTACAGAGTCTGAGTCGACCGTGAACTAATCTTTTCTGTATCAATATTAGTACTTCGCGTGTAAAATTCAGACGTGTTTCAGCTTCTTTTGTATGATATCTAAAAGCTGTGGAAAAATAATGTCAGAGGTTTCACCCGACACTTTGTGAAGGATTCCAATGTCGGCGTAAAACTTTTTCAGCGGCGTCACAGTTTGTCGATAGCTATCCAATCTCTTCCCAAACACTTCCGCTGTATCATCTGGACGCTTTGTGAGGGGCTCACCTGTGAGGTCATCGAGGCCATCAACTTTTGGCGGATTGTAGGTGAGGTTGTAGATCCGGCCGCTGGGCACATGCACGTACCGGTTTTCTATGCGGTCCAGGATCACGCTTTCCGGAACATCCAGCTCTACCACCATATTCAGAGACGCCTTGTGAGGTGTCAACTTGGAACGCAACGATTTTGCTTGTGTGACTGTCCTCGGGAATCCGTCTAGAAGCCAGCTTGATTTAGGAGATAGCCAGCCCTTCGTGCTCAATTCATTGTGTACCAGTTCAGTTACAAATGCATCTGGCAGCAGCCTACCATCCGATATATAAGCCGCAGCAATGCGACCCAATTCCGTCTTTCGTTGGATTTGCTGGCGCAGCAGATCTCCAGACGACACGGATTCCAAGTGTTGAAAAGACGCCAAAAGTCTTGACGTCTGCGTTCCTTTTCCTGATCCAGGAGCACCTAATAGCAGCAATCGAATCGGATTCATAAGATGGACTTACAATGGCCACCTTTACTGGACAATTATTGAAGGGTCTGTGAGGGCTTGAAGATTGATCGACACTTAATTGCCATGCATATTAATATATCATAATAATATATCATAATAATCGACGGACTAACAACAACACCAACAACAACAATAAAGATTACAATAACAATAACCATGACCATAACGAGAACAGTAACGAGAACAGTCGATCATATATCCTACCACTAAACTCAGTAAATCCTGACGGTCCGACGGTGCAGTCCGCCTAAGAAGAAGCAAGAAGAGATGAGTCATTCCGGTAACGACATAGCAAAGTAAGCCAGCACCTGCGGGGCGAAGACGGATTAAACATTTGTTGAGCAAGGAAGAAAACTGGTTTGAAAAGGTGAACGCACTTTCGATGGTCCGAAGATCCAATCAAAAAGTGCAGGGCGAAAGTTTATGAAAGGGCCAAAAAAAGGCTTAGTAGCTTCCTCAATGGTGAGATTTGACGACGGTCGTCTAGCGGATGAATCTTCGATGTACGCGAGACGGAAGGAGAACAGAAATTAGGATCCAAAGGATGCATACGGATACCCACCGTGTCAAGCATCTCTTGCTCAAAAGTGGGATTTTTCAGGCCTTTCCTCCAACTGCGACTAGCCACAGACTCGCTATGGGGCACACCGGGCTTATCCATAGTAGCCACGCTGTTGGAAGCCCTCTCGCTCAGATGACCCTATTATCTACCTCGGCGGCTAAACACCCATCTCGAAGTGTTTCCCGGGCGGACTTATATCTCCGCCTTATATCGGAAATGCGGCCACTCGCAAATCACGTGATGAGATCTATCTCCGTCTTTAATGACCAAGCAAATCTGTCGTTGTTTGTGGCGGTGAAAAATTTTTTCCAATTGGGTAGGCGAGATGAGCATCACAGCCAAATTTCAAGTTCAAAGCCAGTCTTTGTCAATCTTCACCAACTTTAGTTGAAACAGAAAAACTAGCGATCCTTTACAGCCTCCCAGAAACCCACCAGTTTTTTGAATTTAAGTTACTAGAACTAGCGCAGCTTGGTCCCGGTACTTAAAATCCTTAAAAAAATCCAAAAAACTAGCAAAAAAAACCACCTTTTCCCACCGGTTTATTTTTCAAAAATAAAAAACCCCCAACACAACACAAAAGACTGATCTCCAGTGATTATCGTCTTTATTCTTTCACCCATATAAAGTAACTCGTTTCAAACTCTGGTTTTTTCTATCAGTTTGACTTAGGTTACCTTATTTCTGTGTCTGTGTGTTTTCTAACTCGTCGTTGTCCGTCTTTCAGCTAGATACTCCCACAGTTCCAACTAATTCCATAATGTCTGACATCACCGACAAGACCGCCGAGCAATTGGAAAAGCTCCAAATCCAAGAGGAAACTCAGACGGAGACCGGACCCGCCTCTGCCGAGTCCGAGTCTAGCAAGATGGAAAGCTCCTCCTCCGCTTCTCTATACGTGGGTGAGCTAGACCCAAGCGTTACCGAGGCTCTATTGTACGACCTTTTCTCGCCAATCGGCTCCGTGGCTTCGATTCGTGTGTGCCGTGACGCCATCACCAAGACCTCTTTGGGATACGCCTACGTTAACTTCCACGACGGCAACGCTGGTAGAACCGCCATTGAAAAGCTGAACTACACCCCAATCAAGGGCAGGCCATGCCGTATTATGTGGTCTCAACGTGATCCTTCCCTCAGAAAGAAGGGTTCTGGTAACGTTTTCATCAAAAACTTGCATCCGGCTATTGACAACAAGGCCTTGCACGATACTTTCTCCGTGTTTGGTAACATTTTGTCCTGTAAGATCGCCACCGATGAGACTGGAAAGTCCAGAAAGTTTGGTTTCGTGCATTTTGAAGAAGAAGAAGCTGCCAAAGAAGCCATTGACGCCATCAATGGTATGTTGTTGAACGGTGTGGAAGTGTACGTCGCCCCTCACGTTTCCAAGAAGGACCGTCAATCTAAGCTGGACGAGGTTAAGTCCAACTTTACCAATGTCTACGTCAAGAACATCGATGCTGAAACTACCCAAGAAGAATTCGAAAAGCTGTTCACTCAATATGGTTCGGTTACTTCTGCCGTGTTGGAAGCAGACTCTGAGGGTAAACTAAGGGGTTTCGGTTTCGTCAACTTCGAAGACCATGCTGCCGCCGCTAAGGCCGTTGACGAATTGAACGATACCGATTTCAAGGGTCAAAAGCTATACGTCGGTCGCGCTCAAAAGAAGTACGAACGTTTGCAAGAATTGAAAAAGCAATACGAGTCCTCCAGAATGGAAAAACTGGCTAAGTACCAAGGTGTGAACTTGTTTGTCAAGAACTTGGACGACTCTGTCGATGACGAAAAACTACAAGAAGAGTTTTCTCCTTTCGGTACCATCACCTCCGTTAAAGTTATGAGAGACGACGCTGGAAACTCTAAGGGTTTCGGTTTTGTGTGTTTCTCCGCCCCAGAAGAGGCTACTAAGGCTATCACTGAAAAGAACCAGCAAATTGTTGCAGGTAAGCCCTTGTATGTTGCTATTGCCCAAAGAAAGGAAGTTAGACGTTCTCAGTTGGCCCAACAAATCCAGGCTAGAAACCAGATGAGATACCAACAAGCCACTGCCGCTGCTGCTGCTGCCGCCGGTATGCCTGGTCAATTCATGCAACCTATGTTCTACGGTGTCATGCCCCCAAGAGGCGTTCCTTTCAACGGCCCAAACCCTCCTCAGATGGCCGCCATGGGCGGTATGCCAAAGAACGGCGTTCCCCCTCAACAATTTGGTAGACCAAACGGTCCAATGTACGGTGTTCCTCCTCAAGGTCCTCAAGGGGGTTTCCCAAGAAACGGTAACCAATTCTTCCACCAAAAGCAAAGACAAGCCCTCGGAGAACAGCTGTACAAAAAGGTTTCTGCCAAGACCCAAGACGAAGAAGCTGCTGGTAAGATTACTGGTATGATTCTGGACTTGCCTCCACAGGAAGTGGTCCCATTGCTTGAAAACGACGATTTGTTTGAGCAACACTTCAAAGAAGCTTTTGCCGCCTACGATTCTTTCAAGAAGGATCAAGATGCCCAGGCTCAAGCCGAGCCAGCTGTTTCTGCTGCCGAACCTGCCGCTGAGCAAGCTTAAGAGCATTGACCAGTTGTAATTCTAGCTTTTTGAGACTCGACCTCGTATGTGTAATTTTTTTTTTTTTTTTAAATAGAATTGTGGGAAAACGTTATTTTTTGTTGTAATGGACTGCGTTATGGTTGAACTCGTCTGCCTCGTATTTTTGAAGCGATTGAGTGCCGGAAAATGAACTGCCAACTTGCAATGGTTGTATATTAGTAGTATCGGGCCCATTAGTAGAACCGTTAGAACATAACTATATACGTAGGATCGGATTTAAGGTTGTGTGATTTTTAATTACCGTCGTGTACAGTGCTCCTCACTAATGTTAATTAAGCCAATTTGGTAATAAACTGTTAGGAGATGGCTAGTCTGTATTAACAATTGTTCTGGAGACGCGTGAGCATTCCAGCAATGGCATCACTTCCGAAAAGAATTATCAAGGTATGTTTGAGGCCCTTCAGTTGGGCCGTATATGCAGTTTTTAGGAGCCTTACCTCTATTTCTTCCCACTTGATCGCGAGTACTAACAAGGCATCTCTAGGAGACAGAGCGTTTAGTCAGTGATCCTGTGCCAGGAATTACTGCTATACCACATGAAGAAAATTTAAGATACTTTCAAGTTACTGTTGAGGGACCAGAACAATCGCCTTACGAGAACGGTGTGTTCAACTTAGAGCTCTTTCTGCCCGATGATTACCCCATGGAGGCGCCAAAAGTGCGGTTCTTGACAAAAATCTATCATCCTAACATCGACCGGCTTGGCAGAATCTGTTTGGATGTGCTGAAAAATAACTGGTCGCCGGCATTGCAGATCAGGACAGTATTGTTATCAGTCCAGGCCTTGCTTGCGAGCCCCAATCCCAACGACCCACTGGCAAACGACGTAGCCGAAGAATGGCTTCAAAACGAGGACAATGCCATCGCAAAAGCTCGCGAATGGACAAACATGTATGCTAGCAAGCAGTGAGAACCGTCCAGGGTCCACATTTTTTGAGAATTCGGGTGGAGTGTATTTCCTTCCCCACGCCTAGTAATGGTGGCGCTTTACGTCAACAGGCTCAAATTTATCGCTCTGGTTTTGTGGAAATAGCCCCCCTTGCTAAGTATAAGGGCGCGTGTTTGGTAAGAATACGTCAACACGCTACGAACTACACTTATCGCCATACTATACGAGGCCATTGATATATCTTATGTACATGAGCCAGGCGCACAGTTTAATTGTTGTCAAAAAACAAGGCGCCAGGATAATCGAAGCTATCACCTCATTCTAATAAGCCAGGATCCAAAAACAGTTCAACACCCGTATGTAGTCCCAATAGGTCGGAAAGATACGTAGTGTCCTGTGGCCCAAGTAAGTGTAACATCACTTCGTGTAATGCGAAACAGATCTTCACACAGACCTTGGATCCAACGATCTTGATCTTTGGCTCCACGCATACTGCTACGAATCCACAGAATTTGACGACGGGTTGCGACTATGGAGCTCCAAAACACAGATTCCTGACTGGGCAATGGAGCCTCATCATTCGTATATGGAAATGGCTGTTCCTAAAGTTCAGAAGACTTTCGTCGAGTTGGGGCCACTACCGTTCCCTCAACACCATGCGGTTAATAGCTGCTTGATCTCTGTAACGTATGTATGTGCATATATTCATGTCATTCCCACGTCGCAATCAATTTGGGTGGAGCACCAAAGGACCCAATTCCTCACATATACCCAAATGAGAGTTAACGTGCTCTATCAAGCCTCTAGCGAAGGAGTTTAGGATTGTGTATGAATGATCCAAAAAGTTGGCCTCGTTGATAATGCACAGACTTGCTGACATTTCGGACAACATAAAAATTTTAGGATATTTAATTCGGAAACGGCTCACCTTAAAAGACAGATAAATTACATATACAACGTACATACACGCTTATCTGTAGTTTACCAAGAGCGGTTGTGGTAAGAATTGCAGCAGCTTCTCGTGTACTCAATTGGGTGCTGTACTGGCCTCCAGAAGTCAATTTCTTTGAATTTCTTGGCAGTCATTCTTTTCGTGGAACGGAACGATGGCCGATAAAAACGAAGAAAAGCTCCCCCCAGAACCTTCATTTCTCAGAAAGGGCGATAGCAACCAGAACCCGTCGTCGCCTTTTCACGATCGGTTTCAATTTGAAGATCATATGGGAGACGCAACATTGGACACTAGCTTATTTGACCAAAGTGGAGCTTTACCTTCGTCGGCTCCGTCAACAGCGTCTAGAGGAGGATCGATTTTGAAGCGACAAGGCGAGCAGACAAAGAGGAAGACTAGCAATAAGATTGCTTTTGCGGCTAATGACAAACCAGAAGAATTCCAGGAGCTTTCCCTGGAATCAGACGGCGAAGATTCCAACTCCTTTACTGCTACTCCCCGCGTCGCACAATTGGCAGGCTTCCACGGGCCCGACGAGGTAGATCAGGTTAGCCATGATGAAGATAATGGAGATCGCCGCGATGATTCCGCGAATATCGACTCTCATGGCGTCAAGCGAATGCGGTGGGGTACTAAGCGCAATAAAAAGGGTACACCCAGCGTGGGCCGTGCCAAAACTTTACGATGGGCTAAGAAAAACTTCCACAATCCTTTTGAGGATGACAAAAAACCAGACAACGAGGGTGATAACTCCAGTAATAGTGACGATCTCGAAGATGGGAATCGAGCATCTGAATTACGGTTCATTTATTACAATACGCCGCTTCCAGAGCAGTATCTAGATGAAGAGGGGAAACCTATCATAGAGTACCCTCGTAATAAGATAAGAACCACGAAATACACGGCCTTGACTTTTTTCCCAAAGAATTTGTATCTACAATTTCAAAATGTGGCAAACGTATATTTCCTGATCATGATCATTTTGGGTTTTGTAGACCTTTTCGGTGTCACCAACCCTGGTTTGCAAACTGTACCACTGATTGTCATCGTAGTACTAACTGCCATCAAGGACGCCATCGAAGATTCTCAACGTACAATCTTGGACATGGAGGTCAACAACACCATTACCCACGTGTTATCTGGTATTTCAAACCCCAATGTGTCGGAAGACAATGTCTCTTTGTGGAGAAGGTTTAAAAAGGCCAATTCTCGAGTTCTTTTTGCCTTCATCAGATTCTGCAAATCACAAATTAGTAAAGAAGGACGTCGTGCTGAGGCTCAACGCAGGCGTGAAGAACATCATAAAATGAGCGCAGGCACTCCCCGTAATTCACTTGATACCGTCGGTAGTTATAGAGCCTCCGGTACATATGGACGCGATTCTTTGGACTATGATACTGTCGGACAGCTAGTGACTTCCGATGAAGCCAATGTGATTGATGAAACAATCACTCCCAGAAAAGACTGCAAATTTGTGAAGGACTACTGGAAAAGTGTTAAAGTGGGGGATATTATCCGTATCCATAATGATGACGAAATTCCAGCGGATGTCCTGCTATTATCTTCTTCCGACGCCGATGGGGCATGCTATGTTGAGACAAAAAATTTGGACGGAGAAACTAATTTGAAAGTCCGCCAGTCTTTAAGGTGCACACATCACATCCGGAACTCCAGAGACATTACGAGAACAAAGTTTTGGCTTGAGAGCGAAGGGCCTCACAGTAATTTATATTCGTACCAAGGTAATTTAAAGTGGTTTGATAGCAGAGACGATCAACTGAAAAATGAGCCCGTGAACATCAACAACATGCTATTAAGAGGCTGCTCGCTGAGAAATACTAAGTGGGCTATGTGTTTGGTGGTTTTTACGGGAGAAGACTCCAAGATTATTCTAAATTCGGGTGTCACTCCCACTAAAAAGTCAAGGATTTCAAGAGAACTTAATTTTTCAGTTCTTATGAACTTCGTGTTACTTTTCATTTTATGCTTTGCTGCTGGTTTGGTCAACGGTATATATTACCGACAGGACAATGTTTCTAGAGATTTTTTTGAATTTGGAACAGTTGCAAGTACCCCAGCAGGCAACGGTGTGGTATCTTTTTGGGTCGCTGTAATTTTATACCAGTCTTTGGTTCCTATCTCACTCTATATCACCGTTGAAATTATCAAAACTGCCCAAGCCGCTTTTATTTACGGTGACGTCGCACTCTACTACAAAAAGCTGGACTATCCATGCACTCCCAAGTCTTGGAATATTTCAGATGATCTGGGCCAGATTGAGTATATCTTTTCGGACAAGACAGGGACTCTGACTCAAAACGTGATGGAATTCAAAAAATGCACCATCAACGGCATCTCCTACGGACGAGCTTACACAGAAGCACTAGCTGGCCTGCGTAAAAGACAAGGTATAGATGTCGAATCTGAAGGCGCTTCTGAACGTGCTGCCATTGCGGAAGACAAGGTAACTATGATCAAAGAGCTCAACAGACTGAGCCCCAATAACGAGGTTGACGAACGAAGTCTAACATTCATTTCCAAAGAAATAGTACAGGATCTTAATGGAGCAAGCGGTGATTATCAAAAAAGCTGTAATGAGCATTTCATGCTTGCATTGGCGCTGTGCCACTCGGTGTTAGTTGAGAAGTCGAAAAACGATCCTAGTAAGCTGGAATTAATGGCACAATCGCCAGATGAGGCTGCTTTAGTAGGAACTGCAAGGGAGATGGGTTTTGCCTTTGCAGGAAAAACTAAGACCGGGTTGATAGTGGAGGTCCAGGGAGTTAAAAAAGAATTCCAAATACTTAATATACTTGAGTTCAATTCCACTCGAAAGAGGATGAGCTGCATAGTAAAACTTCCTGGGTCCACTCCGGAAGCTCCACCCAGAGCGCTATTGATTTGCAAAGGCGCAGATTCCGTTATCTACTCGAGGCTCAAAAGAAGCGCAGGAGCCAAAGCGGAGACATTGCTGGAAAAGACAGCTTTACACTTAGAACAGTATGCGACAGAAGGTTTGAGAACTCTGTGTCTTGGTCAAAGGGAGCTTTCGTGGGAAGAATACGAAACTTGGAACCGTTCTTACGAAATCGCTGCTGCCTCCTTGACGGAAAGAGAGGAGGAAATGGAAAGAGCTGCTGATAGCATCGAACGTGAACTTACCTTACTTGGTGGTACGGCTATCGAAGATCGTTTACAGGACGGTGTACCGGATTCTATTGCCATTCTAGGGCAGGCGGGTATTAAACTTTGGGTTTTGACAGGTGATAAGGTCGAAACCGCTATCAATATTGGCTTTTCTTGTAACTTACTTGACAGCGATATGGAACTATTGGTTATAAAGGCCTCCGGTGAAGATGTAGAGGAGGAAGGAAAACCCCCTTTTGATATTGTGGCCTCTTTGGTAGAGAAACATTTGAGAGAGAAGTTTCATATGACGGGTTCCTTCGAAGAATTAGATGAAGCTAAGAAGGAACACAAACCACCAACAGGTAATTTTGGTGTCATTATTGATGGCGAAGCTTTGAAATTAGCCCTAGAAAATGCTGAAATTGCCAGAAAGTTCTTACTTCTGTGCAAAAACTGCAAAGCAGTGCTGTGTTGTAGAGTTTCGCCCGCTCAAAAAGCTGCTGTGGTAAAACTTGTGAAGAATTCTCTTGACGTAATGACGCTAGCTATCGGTGATGGGTCAAACGACGTTGCAATGATTCAATCGGCAGATATTGGGGTAGGTATTGCAGGAGAAGAGGGGAGACAAGCTGTCATGTCTTCAGACTATGCCGTCGGTCAATTTAGATACCTAACGAGATTACTTCTGGTGCATGGAAGATGGTCTTACAAACGACTTGCGGAGACCATTCCAAGTTTCTTTTACAAAAACGCAATCTTTACACTGGCGTTGTTTTGGTTTGGTATCTACAGCAACTATGATGGGTCCTATCTGTTTGAATACACATACCTGATGTTTTACAATTTGGCATTTACCTCTCTGCCCGTTATCTTTTTGGGAATTTTTGACCAAGATGTGAACGATGTTGTATCGGTGTTGGTACCCCAATTGTACCGTGTTGGTATCCTAAGAATCGAGTGGAATCAAAAGAAATTTTGGCTCTACATGTTTGATGGTATCTACCAATCTCTCATTTGCTTCTTCTTCCCCTACCTGGTGTACTATAAAACTGCTTTAGTTTCTAACACGGGCTTGCCATTGGATCACAGGTATTTCGTGGGTGTTATCGTTGCCAGTATTGCCGTCATATCGAATAACTTGTACATTTTCATCCATCATTATAGATGGGATTGGTTCTCATCTCTTTTCAATGGTTTGTCTTCCTTAGTGCTATTCGGATGGACAGGGATTTGGTCCAGTTTTCTGACAAGCGGAGAATTCTACAAGAGTGGAGCCAGGGTTTTCGGCTCCCCCGTGTACTGGGCCGTGTTGTTTGTGGGTATTCTATTCTGCCTATTGCCTCGTTTCACCTTTGACGTTATGCAAAAAATATTCTTCCCAAGAGATATCGACATTGTTCGCGAACACTGGATGCAAGGGCATTTTGACCATTATCCTGAAGGCTACGACCCAACAGATCCCGACAGACCAAAAATTGACAGTTCGAAAAATAAACTACATGAAAATGCTCTCAACGAGAACATCGAACATCTTAATGCCAGAACCAATGATAATGCAATCTCTCGCGATACAGTTGTCACCGAAGATATTCCTATGAGCTTTATCCCCAGTACTGCGACCTCGCCCGGAAGATTTCGCCGTGGCTCAAGTCATCGAACGTCGCTCGACAGAACTCGAGAGCAAATGCGGAGTTCTAACGAATTGGATACACGCTATTCTGTTGAAAGAGCAAGGATGTCGCATGAACTACCTGGTGCTACTCGAGCCGAAGCTCTTATGCGCAACGAGTGATGCACCCCGTGCGTTGGGGCAATATATCTGTAATAATGTATGTATATTAGTCATGTTCAAAATAGAATGACAGCATTGAACGCTACAATGGCACTCGCACGCCTTCTGGAAACACAAAAAAATGAAAACGTACAGGACTCAAGTATCAAGTACAAGAAGTGCAATCTAGGAGCAAGCACTTAGTTCAAAGTTTCTCGAAGCCGAAGAGATGTCGACAAAGGGCACCGTCTCTAATAAGGGCACGTGATATAGATCATTCTGTACTTTTTTGACGAACGTTGAACCAGATGTACCGCGTACTGTTCCCATAGCACAGAATGATGGTCAGAGATAATCTCAGAAGCTCTATATTACATCACAGCAGTAAAAAGCATTCTATAGCAACGCTTGCCCACGATCTCCGGACTTGATCCCCATTCTCAACTAATCACGACAGCACCCATACAGTATATATGTGCCAATCACAGCTGTTCCAAATACACATTTTACTACTTGACAACAAGCATTCTCCCTTGGAGCCGATATGGGTGTCGTCTAATGATTAATCCTCTCTGTCAAATTACTGGATTTAAAAAGGTACACACTACGTAAAAAACGACTTAAGCTCTGGATTTTTTTGGATCCTGTAGGATGCTTGTTAGCTTCAACTGTTCACATACAAAATCCGGATCAACTCCACAAGTTTACAACCAGAGCTCTGGGTGTTATTTCGAGACCTAAGTTGGTGCCGGAACTCAAGTACACTATCGATCGATTATTCAGGAGATTCAAAAGCAGGAAATTTGGCTCCAGGAAATAGAAAATTTTTTTTCAAGGAGGTAGTGACTTGGACGCTTATTTTTGAAATTTGGATAGTTCAATTAGGATCGGAAGATCTCTGCGTGGGTTCAAATCAAAGGTAGACCTCAAGCTTGACCTGCTTTTTGTCTGGCTCCTCAAATAAAATCCTTACAGTTGTATCGGGCGGCTTTTTGATCACCCGGTACGAAAGAGATAGCGAGAGCTTGTGAGGAAAAGAGATAATAGCACCACCGCCGTTAGAGGACGAAGCGCCAAGAGGAGATTGGTAATCTAGCTTCTGAATGAGAAGCTATAAGGGAACGAGCAATGCTGCCAAGGGCTCTGCAGGTAGCTCGCAGTGCTCGACTCCTGTGGAGAATGTCAGCAAGTGGAAGATTCCGCACTATTACCGCAAAGCTGGGTCATCCAACAGCGGCGGGAACGTGATACCTAACGGGGAATTCAGCGGGAGCTTGAACCAGGCCGGTAAAGGACATCAAGGCGCGTCCGGTGGGAATATCAACATTATGACCACACCGAAGCACGTTCAATTGGACGCGAACGGCAAGAGGAACACCAAAAGTAAGCCAAAAAAAGGCGAAATGGTCTTTGTAAACTACACCGTGAAGGATACAGAGAGTCATTCGCAGTCAGAACCCCCTCCAGTGGCTGCGCCCGTCCCCAGCACCAAGAAAAAATCGTCCAAGAGTCGCATGCTCAAAATTTTCAGTGCTGTGCATGGTTCTGGAGGCACCAGCCAAGATGCACATGGGGCACTGACTCCGCTGGACACGTCGGATGGCTCTAATCTGTCAGAGCAAACATTGCAGTTCAATTCATCTTCTTCTACTCCGTCGTCCCAGGCCACGAAGCGCTCCTACAGTTCATTTTTGAAGTGTGGAACTATCGGCTCTGCATCGACCATCACTTCTCCTGTCATAGCACCTTCAGAAGACTTAGTTCCGAGATCAGCAACTTCTCGGAGCTTCAACAGCCCTCGCCCCGGGCTGCACCGTTCGTTGAGCTCCAATGTAGCTCTGGTCAACAACAATGGGAAAGCATCTCTCACTATGGGGCCCTCTTGCTCCGAGGCTTCATTAGTCAGCAAGCCGTCGCCTTCAAGAGAGAGATGCAATCCTTACATCAGCGCGCATCTTGATCACCATTATTTGGATCAATACAAAGATCATCAAGGCTCTCTCACCGCTTCTGGTGCCCCTTCTCACCCCAACAGCATGCATGCGTCTATGTCTCCTCGTCCTGGGGATGAAAATGATGCCTCGATTGCATTTAGTAAAATGTTCCCTAGGAAACGGGCCAACACAGGCGGGTCCATGAGTTCACTCGTTTCCGGTTCAACATCTAACAATCCCATTGGGTTGCACAGAAATTTTTCTACGAACTCGATTTCCTCGTTGGCTAACAAATACTCGCCAATCCGTACCGCTTCTCCCGGCAAAAACAGCTCTGTGAGAAGATCCAGTTCCCATAGGTTTTCGCGCGATTTTTTCGCCTTGCATAACCCTTCAAATTATGCAACTGACCCGTCTTCTGGTATGGATACGTACTTGGACGCTCAGGCCAAACAAAGACAGACGCACAAAAAGAAGCAAGAATCGATTTCCGATATCCGCGGCGTTAGCACGAATTCTTCTCTTTCATCTGCATCCACTCCTTGCCTATTTGAAACTTCTCAGAATGGCAACTATATCAACAATTTTGAAAGACAGAACAACACGCTCTTCTCTTTGGATCGCGAGAGTTCGCTGGAAAATGAAATTTTGGAAGAACAGGAAGAATCTTCTTCATATTCCCCCAACAGAGTATCCGCCGTGGGCTACATCCCCAAGGATAATTTAGAAATCACTGATGAAAGAGCTTCTGATGTTGCATCCCTCCAGCATACCAACTACAGTAGCGCCACGATGTTCTCTTCCTTGGTGAATTCACATTCGACTCTGGAAAGCACTGCGCCTCCAATAACGTTCCAAGATCAAAAGGAGTTTGAGAATCAAAATGTTGGGAATACACATCCGGATTATGAGGCTGGTGGCCACCAAGAAGCCTCAGATTATTCAGAAAGCCAGAATGATGATTTCTTAAACTTATATATGGAGCTAGATTTGGGGAGCAGGGCCGAATTTTTAGCTAGTCAGCAAGGTAAGATTTCACCTTACGAAAACGATGGGCCACAACATCCTAACACGTCATTCCAGGGTGATGTCTCCACCCTACACTCTATGCTGGATGACTCCCCTGCCACTCTAACCCACAATCCCGTTGGCTCTAATAAACGAGACCCAATAGAAGATCTTCAGCGCAACGAGCAAGTTCCATACACGAGCTTTTCTCATCGTATTTTGCATGATATCAATCAGATTACTCGTTCGATCAACAATGAAGAGCGTCCCAATGGCTCCACCAACGAGTGGGGGCATTCTCATCTTTGACATACCAACAGGGACTTTTATTAGGCTTAAGACATAATGATTTCTATAAAGTTTAACGCATCGATTGAAACATAATTCAATCTTTATAATTCATAAATTTCGTTAGACTGACGAGTCAACAAGGAGAATTTCTCGCACGAACTCTAAAACGTCCTCTTGCCCTCCTGAAGGGTTGTCTAGCTGCCATTTGATCATCTCTGAGACAACTCTACTCATCCAAGGTCCCGGTTTCAAATTCATCTTCTTGGATAATGCTTTACCGTCTACCAATGGCTTGAGGCAATGGGAGTTCTGGAGATTCTGGTCATAGACATACTTGAAAAACTTTTGATATTGCCCAAGTGATGATTCGTCTAAACAGTAGGCCAGGGCTAAATTTGCTAAGTGTGCCAGTTCCCACTGGCCCTTATAGGCTCGAATTGCTAAACCAATCTCACTCCTTGGCAGAGTTTTGTAATTCAAAACGATATTATTATACTCAGGGTGTGTCTCGACACATCTGCCAATTAAGTCCGAATCAGTTTTACCCAACTTTAAACCGTCCTTCACAATACTTTCTGAAAGTGAAAGCTCTCTGTTGAGGGCCTTCTGGGGGTTCCAAATAATTTTGATGCCTCGGAATGGTGCAAGAATCACGCTCAATAAGAAAGTTTGCTTAAAAGTCTTATCCATATACTTAGCTCGTAATTCGGAAAAGTTTTCAAGTAGTCTTGGTAATCTGTGGATCACTAATGCAATGTGTTCATTTAAATTGGCGTAAGCCTGGTTATGCTCGCTCATTTCAGTCATTTCTGCATTGTAAGCAATTATGGCTGGGTCGCTATGCCAATAGAATATAACGTTATCCAAGCCGGCTTCCTGTATAAGTTTTAAGCCCAACAAAGGATCAGGACCTTGTAGGGTCTTTTGAATTTCAATGCCAACCCTTTCACGAGATATTTTAACCTCTAACGCTTTGTTGATGTTTTTGTCTTGCATAGCAGCATAAGTTTCTGGGTCAATTGAAAAGCCGAATCTTGCTGCAAATCGAATAAGTCGAAGTACCCGCAATGGGTCGTCTAAAAATGTTTGTAGCGGTGGCAAAGGAGTGCGTAAAACGCCTCGTCTCAGATCTTCGAGGCCCGAGCCTGTAAAATCCTCAATTTCATCATGCTGAATGTTGTAAAACAAAGCGTTAAGGGTTGCATCGCGTCGCAAAGCATCTTGTTTTGGGGTTCCAAATTCCACAACAGGAATGCGTGACTCTGTTGTATATTCTTCGGACCTTAGGTTGACAAAGTCCACTTCGATGCCGAACAACTTGGTTGTTGCTGTTTCAAGGTGTTTCGATTTTTCGGGATTCTTATCAATCTTGTGAATTGAATGCGGAGTTATTCCATAGATATCGTGGTGGCGGTTCAAAAAATCGCTTAGTCCCAAGGCGAATTGTTCTCCAGACATGGCGTTAACGGCAATGTCTAAATCATGTGAGTCCAGTCCCAATAACTTGTCTCTAACCCAGCCTCCAGTGATTCGCAGCATCAATGGTTCTTTCTGTGGCATGGACTGATTATACTCCTGACTGTAGTCCTTTAGCAACGAACACACATCCTGTTCAGTTTTTGTTAAAGTGAGTTTTGATATCATATTCTTGTGCAATAGTGAGCTTGCAGCTCTTTTGAGCATCACCTGGGTCTAATCGGCAGCCTTAGAGGTTTCGAACAGTATCAACAAACCACAGTCGGCGGTACCGTGCTACGTTTGCCCAAACGCCATTGGGGAAGATTGACGATTTCTAAGATCAGTAAGTGAATACTGAGAATCGACGAGACCAAGTCACGTGGCGTTCACACATGCTTCTATAGAAATATGGCGTGGCCTTACCTGAACTCGCAAGTAGTTTGAACCTAGCTTATAGGCATTATTGAAGCCCTTTGAGAAAATGGCAAAAAGCTCTCAATTTTGGGCTGTGCATGTTAGTCACAGGTGCTTAGAATTATCTGTCATCGTTGTGGGGCGATAGTGTCATGAAAAATCATTGGGAGAAAAATATGACACCAGGTAGTCGACGTTCAGTTGAGTTGGGGAACCATATCGATGAGTGCTCAACGCATACACCAGAATAGGTTTTCGGGTCACAATCTATCAAATAAAAAGCAAGATTATATTCTAGTCACTTCTCAATGGCATTTATCTTCTGGAGCTCACCAAACTTTTGGAAAACCATCGATACTATCCTTCGATCAATATTGTGTTCCGCTCTCTGTCACTCGGGTGCTGTCGTTGAGTTTGGTAAAGAAAGCTGAAGCGGTCATTTTGGCGCACACCGGTGAAAGTGGGCGCAAATCAGACGCAATTAACGATGTGTACTGCTTCTCTTCGCTGGAAATGCAAGACACTTGTTGAACCTACCAGAGGCCAGTCATCTCCCACTGTTTAAACTGCATAATAATGAAGCATCAGTTCAGTGACAGTATAGTACGAAGTGATACTGGCGATGTCAGCAAAATAATATTCTACATGGCCAACAATCAATCAAAAGGATCTAGAGGAGCAGAGATAATACAAAATTGCCCTACCCAGTCATCCAGCAGATGGATTCTTGGACTGGATATATCTAGCTGCTCGCAGTTCATACCTGCAAAAAGTTTTGTGTGAGTACCCGCTACACGCCTCAGGTCTTCCTTATCCTCGAAAACATCACAGAGCTAAAGCTAGATAGTGCTGTACAAGCTCCACATCTAAGCAAATATAAAAAACTACTTCACAATGTATCCCAAAAGCTTGACGAACAGTAGAGTAGTTAATGACTTTATTTGCAGGACTTCCTCACGGAAACGCAAAAGACAACTCCTGGAAATACCTTCGGAAAGCTGTTGCACAATAGGCGTTAACAAAACCGCTAATGGTACTCTGAACTCGGCCACCGACACCTCCAATGATCATCTATTCGATCCTTGCCAGCGCCATCTTTTCCTGTGGTCCAATTCCACATCCGTACAAGGCTACCTGTGAAAATTTTAAGGGGTCGGGCTCATCTCTTCCCCATGCGACAAAGCCAAATTGATTGAACACAGACCTTGATTTGTAGAGGCTCTCAAGCTAGGTAACAAAACGGCTTCAACATAGGCGTTGCTGCCATTTTAAAAAGCCCTGTAATGAGTCGGACTGAGCCCCACAACTGGGAAGGTGGAGTCCCTGTATTCCGGCCGTCGTACGAAGAATTTAGGGACTTCCAGGGCTACATGACCAGTATCAACCAATATGGCAAACAAAGCGGGATAGTGAAGGTTATTCCGCCACAAGAATGGCTCTCTCAACTTGAAAAGCCTTTGGGGGCGGATACCTTGCAGAAAATACGGATAAGGTCGCCAATACAACAGCATTTTAACGGATCCAAAGGCGTGTTTGTGGTTCAAAACGTCGAAAAGCCCAAGACTTACAATATAATCCAGTGGAAGGATCTCTCCTATGATTACAGGTTACCGGAAGGAGGTAGCGATCCTTCGAAGGCAGCAGATGATGGTAGCGACACAGAAAGCGTTAGGAAATCACCGTCACCTTCGAAGTCTTCCAAAATCAAGCTGAGAAACCATGAGTCTTTTTCGCGGGAGGACTACGAAAAGTTCTCCAAGTGCTATAACCACGACAATTTAACCGAGTTCCAGGATCCTCAACGGCTAGATTTTTTGGAATCTTACTTTTGGAAGACGCTTGCGTTCACGCCTCCCATGTATGGTGCAGACACTTTAGGATCGCTTTTTCAGGATAAAGTGGAGGTTTGGAATGTTTCCAAGCTACCGAGTTTGCTGGATCACGTAAGTACAAAGGTGCCGGGTGTTAACGACTCCTACTTATATGCAGGGCTATGGAAAGCTTCCTTTGCTTGGCATTTGGAAGACCAGGACTTGTATTCCATCAACTATATTCACTTTGGTGCACCCAAACAATGGTATTCTATACCGCAAAAAGACGCTGACAAATTCTATCGATTTATGCAAGAACAGTTTCCTGAACACGCAGCCAAATGTGATGAGTTCCTCAGACATAAAACTTTTTTGATCTCACCGAAATTGCTTGAGAAAAATGGGATACGCTGCAACAAGATTGTTCACCATCAGAACGAGTTTGTGATTACCTATCCATATGGGTATCATGCCGGATTTAATTATGGTTATAACTTGGCGGAATCAGTGAATTTTGCTTTAGAGGATTGGCTGGAAATCGGCGCTAAGGCCAAAAAATGTATGTGCGTTGAAGATGCCGTCGGGATAGATGTTGGGAAACTGAAGGAAGATTATTTGAGCGGCAAGCAGAAGAGAGGTATAAGCGATATAAGGGAAGGGCCTCAAGACATTCGAAATTCTCCAAAAGACGCGATAAAGAGGATCAAAACTGAATCACAGGGCTCTCCTCACGTCCAATCAAGAAATGCGAGCGGCAACGAAAATGAATTGAAAAGAGAAAAATCTAATATCGAAGTGGTCTGCCCTACCCCTGGTCGGTCCTTGCCCTTCAACAGACTTTCCGAAAGGGAGGGTACGCGAATGAAGGGATTCAATGAATTGCTTCACCACAGCTCTTATGAACTTCAAGCAATGGAAGACAATCAGCAGCAAAGTGCTATTCGATCAACCACGCCAAATCCTGGCCAATACTATAGTGGTCTCAGCCAGTCAATAAGCCGAATATCGTCCCCTTTACTTTCCCGCATGATGGACCTTTCAAACATTGTTGAACCAACGTTGGAGGATCCAACTCTCAAGTTCAAAAAAAATACATCACTTCAGCCTCCGAGCCAACAAACTTCCCAAACACCACAAATTTTAGATGACCATGATGACAACATGTTGGCATTGAGCCTTGCCTCGATGGCAAGCGGTGCATCTTCACCGCGATACCCTTTGCCTCCCATCCAACCCAGGCCATATTCGCCTGCGGTAGCTGGCGACACGATGCTATCCTCAGGTCCAATGTACGAGCAAAACAACCCATTTAGTTATTACTCAACTTTCAAGAGTGCCGTCAATTCTCCACTACCAAGCTCGCCTGGACTATCAAACTTGCCTTTCATCAAGCGACTCAAAAGCCCGAATAGGGTTACACTCAACATATCGCGAGAATCGTCACGAAGTCCTGTTTCATTGAACACCGAATTCAAGTCTCCGCTGTCCACGAAGGTCCCTATAAATGGTTCAATGGCGATGAACTCCAATTTAAGTCAAGCTACTACAATTGAAAGATCTGCTCCTACGTCACCAGCAGAGTCCAAGTTTATGAGGTCAGAGTCGCCTCAGAGACCTGTTGCGCAATCAAAAATTAGTTCGGAGGAGATTGTGGTTAGTGATAAAGGGAAAGTTTATGTGTGTCAAGAATGTAGGCGACAGTTTTCATCTGGTCACCATCTAACGAGACACAAGAAGTCAGTTCATTCCGGTGAGAAGCCTCATTCGTGTCCCAAATGTGGGAAGAAATTCAAAAGACGTGATCATGTTCTACAACATCTGAACAAGAAGATCCCCTGCTCAGTGGAAGGCGGTGCCAGTCCTCCCTCTAAAGTTGTTGCACACGAGGGCATCACAGCCGAAAACAGCAATGGGGAGCATTACATGGATTCGCTGAACGGTACTGCTTTGAGAAATGTTTAAGGTCGAGTGTTACATAACAAGCGCATGACTGTCGTAAGAGTAGGAGGAGTTTTATAAGGCATGTGTATAGGATTGGAATTTAAAATGCGAAACGGGAAATAGATTAATAAGGATGGCCTCATACTCATTCAAGCCCTTCTATCATAGAAAACAAGGCTTTCAATACGTTGGCTTTAATCCTATTGTCATAAAATGCAGCGCCCTCGCCACAACCTTTGGTGCCAGCGTTCAGGCCATCACCGTAAGCCAACCTAACAAAGTCGCTTTGTAGACCCAACGGAATCATCCTGCTTTCATCGAAGCCGCTAGCGCCTTTTTGACGTTCCTTTATTAACAAGGATGTATGCTCCTGATTGTCGGCAGCATTTTGCGCTTTTTCAATTATGTGCTTCGAAATCCCACACATGGAAGCAACATGCATTCCAAAACTGCCCTCACTTTGTCCTTTGATTAGTTTATACAAAAAGGTGATGTTTCTGGAACTCTCGTCAACAAGAATATCCATCTTTAGTGGGATAACCTGTGGATGGTGTTTGAATCCCACGTTAAGCCCACCATAATGTGTGGCAAAAAATCCTAGGCTTTGTGTATGAGTCGCCACATGATGCAAAACGCTCTCGGCTATCGCAAAGCCGTCACTTGAGGAACCTCCTCTTCCTAACTCATCAAGAATTAGCAAAGATCTATTTGTAGCCGCATCTAATATCTTTTTGGTTTCCGAAAGCTCCACGAAAAAAGTTGATTTACCTTGAAGAATGTTGTCATTAGCACCAAGTCTGGTCATGATTTTATCTATCGGGGCCAAAACGGCACTTTCAGCTGGAACATAACACCCAATTTGGGCCATGATTACAGCAATGCATGTCATTCTCAAAACTGTAGATTTACCAGCCGCATTTGCACCAGTTAGCAGAGCAACTTGATGTGATTCGCCTCCTAAGTTAATGTCGTTAGGAATGAATTCTCTTGTTGTGGTAATTCCCTGATTAAAGCAAGGGTGTCTCAATTCTTTGAATTTTATAAAACCATTAAGTTTATTACCGGTATTTGGATCGCACTCATCAACAAACTGGGGCCGGCAACAAGGAAACCCGAGAGCTTCAGATGTTCTTGCTAACGATAATAGACAATCAATCTTTGATATAGCTGTCAAGGCAGGCATCCAAGTTTCTTGATAATGGCAATTGAACTTTTGGTATAATCTGCTCTTCAATCCCTCTTCAAGAACTTTATGCGTTTCACGAGCTTCAGCCATAGTTCTTGCAAGCTTAGCCACCTCTGGCGAATAGTATCTCTTGTTTGACTTATTGGCGCCCATCTGAATCCAGTCAGATGGAACCAATTTTGTCACAGTTATTGGGATTTCTATAGTGTAAATTTCTTTCCCAGAATCTTTGTACTGAATGTTCGCTGTCTTAAAAGATTTTTTGTACGATCTAAGGTGTTCTGCTAGTTCGACTTCGACATTTCTAATATGTTGTAAGGATTCGTCAAAATCGGGCTCAACTCCTTTTTCAGGAATTATGACGCCTTCTTCAACGGCCTTTTTTCTGTCGAATGCATGGCTCCAATTGTTGACATAGTTTTTCAAAGACTGGGGTATTTGCTTTATGAAAAGCGCCAATGAACCCGTCATATCATGCTCATTTACCTTTTCTGAAAGTGCCACAATAGTTTCAAATCCTTCAATAACTCTATTGAAATCTTTAATCTTCAAATTCCCAGAATGAATACGTGCTAGGAAACGCTCGAGATCTGGAAGTGCACTAAAAGATTCTTCAAGTATCTCTCTTAGATCGATGTTGTTTAATAATAAGTCAACACTATCCAGGCGCCTTTCTATGGCGTCCTTCTGCAACAATGGGTGAATAACCCATTTTTTGAGCATTCTCTTGCCCATGGGAGTTATTGCGCGGTTCAAGAGTTTGAACAAAGTTCCCCGGTCCGAATTGTCAAATGAGTTTCCAAAAATTTCTAAGTTTTGAAGAGTTACACCATCCAATACTAAGGATGTTTGAGATCTAATGGGATTATACTCTTTGATGTTTTTCATTGAAATCAAAGAGCTGTCAAGTTGGAGCCATTTCAAATAAGAAAGCAGTCCACCAAAAGCAGAGAATCCAACTTTCCTACTTTTCTCATAATATGTTTTCAAAATTGCCGGCCATTCATTCATGTCAGTGAAGTAGCGGTTCTCGGTAGAAGTTAGTTCATCAAAAGTTCGGTTGAAATCATAATATTCGTCTGCTGCTTTCAAATAATTGAAAAGAGCTTGAGGTTGGGCGTTGTACTTGACTATTTTGTGAGCCATATTGGATAGATTATTCTTCTCCATTATGATCTCTTTTGGCCTTACCTGAGATAACACAGTGTCCAACTTTGTACACTCGCTGTCATCTTCAAACTCCAACATCTCGATTTCACCCGTGGCAGTATCTATGAAAGCAACGCCAAAAAGTTTACTATCATTGTGGCCCGAAGTTTGAATACCATTCTCAATATCGTAAAAGTTGCCGACTTCCTCTCGAATTGCCAAGCAGTAAGTTGCTTGGTCAGACTGTAGCATAGCCGAATCAGTGAGTGTTCCTGAAGTCAGGACACTTTGTAGCTCGCGTTTCACAATTCCTTTGTTGCCATCTCTCATTTCTTTGGCAAGCATGGATTCTCTCTGGTCAACTTTAGCGACTTTGTAGCCATGTTGTATAAATTGCATGGCCCAATAATCAAATGACATTTCTGGTATACCAGCCAATTGCATGTTAGCACGCCCACCACCTGCAATTTTCAAATCAAATAGATGATTTCCCAGCATGGCGTCCTTCTCATACATTTCGAAGAATTTCCCCTTCTTAAAGAAAACAATACAATCCCACATTCTAGACTTTATCTCCCAATATTGCTTCTCGAAAGGAGTAAACTTGGCCCATGCTGAAGGTGGAATGTAAAGCGTTCTCGGATCATGGTCAGGATCATCTGTGGATCTTCCGTTAGCATCCTGTTCGTCTACAAGCCACTGATAGCGCTGTTCATTTTCCTTATTAAAACTGGAATGTTTTCCTTTATTGACTTTGCTAGGATTGGTATTTTGAATATTAGGTCTCCGTAACGGCAAGGGTTGCACGCTGGTCGTGGAGTTGATGCGGCCGGTGGACCTCGGTTTCCGATCAGAAAGCCGCAGTATATCCTCATCGCCGTCATCTTCCTCCTCGCTCGAGGGTCCGTGCTTTTTATCCTTCAGTTCGTCTTGCGCTTCTGAGGGACTTGCATCTTGATGATCATCCTCTTCTTCGTCGTCATCACTTCCTTGCCCATCCTGGGGTGGGACGTACTCCTCCTCCTCCCCCTCATCGTCACTTGATATTTGGCTTCTATTCCTCTTTCTTGGTTTTAATGCTCGTAAGTCCTCGTCGTCGTCGCTCGATTCTACATAGCTAACCTGTCTCTTAGTTGCCCTTTTGCCCTCGCCGTTTAGGCTCTCAATTTCGCTAGCTCCAGACAACACATTCTCCTTCGTCAGATGATCATTATCCTTCTCAATCTCGGGGAAACCACCTACCGTAGCCACCGTAGCAGATTTTTCGTCCGTCCCGTCACGAAGAGCTGGGTTATCCGTTGTCACCTTGGAATTCTCCAAGGTGGTATTGTCCATCACTTGAGTCGTTGAAGAATCTGCGGTATGATCCATGGCAGTTACAAAATCTGACTCACCATCGGTATTCATATCATTCTCCACAAATAAGGACTTTTCTAGAGGTTTTTTGATGGGGGTGCTTGCTGCTGATTTGTTCTTGCCGAAGAATGACAGTACTGAAGCCTGTTTGAACTTTTTTTGTGCCCGAAGACTGAGGGGACTTGAACGGTGCCATTTTTCGGGCATTCCTCGGTGTACTAGGAATCACCATTGTCAAGCAACTACCTTGAGTTTGTTTTCGGTGTAAGGACCGGTGGAGCTAAATGTTTTAGGGCCATGTACTTTTGAGTTTTAATAAGATACAATAGCAGCACGAAACGCGTGTTACCGTAAATTACGCGTTTTCGCATATTGTCACGTAAGTACAAAATGATACCACAAGCCAACTGGCAATGAGGTCAAAGCAAGCACACCCTTGTGATACTTTAGCGGCACACAAGGGAATATATATGACACAGCACTGTACTTCTACAAGGTTATTTAGTTGCTACATGGCTTTCATCCTTTGTAGCGCAGTTCAAATTCTATTTATGCTTGATTTGGCACACAGTAAGTGTGATTGAGCAATATATCAAGAATAGTTGGAACGTTTTTCAGACGACACCTCAATGTTTAATCATATTTACCGCGATCTATTGCGTAGATATCCAATCGTCTTGTGAAAGCCGTATGAAAGAATTCATGGTATTAAACATTGGCACAATGTTCTTTCGCTATGCTACTGTATTAAGTTGGCTTTTTGGGAACAGTCACCCCAAGTGACCACATTATTGACAATTATTGACCATTTGTAGCAAGAATCTTGTCGTACATCGCCAAAAGCTTTGAGCTCTTGACTTTTGCAGGCCAGTAGTGAGCGCTGAAGGCCCACAAATGTTTACGGAACTTCTCTGGTGCATGATTTTTAGATGCTTTTTTATTACTTTCAATGTGATCACCAATTGCCTTCAGCTCCGTTTTTAGTATACGCGCCCATTCTTTTCTATCCAGACCTTTACCGCCGCGACTCAAGTTTTTGAAGGAGTTTCTCATAGCCTGCATTGTGTGTTTACACTCCATTTCTTCCATACTTTCATATTCCTTGTCAGGAGGCGAATGTTTACCATGAGCATTTACAGAGTCCTTGTTAGATTGCTGTTTTTTTGCAGAGCCGCTTAGGGTGGGAGGACTTCCGTGGCCATCATCAACTTTTTTGGCTCTCTTTGTTGGCCCTGGACGAGAATCTTCCTTCTTGTTATCCGGGGTACCGGCCCTACTTCCTGTGGGCTTTCTGGCACGTTTCTTTGAGTTAGCAGACGACTGTCCGGAAGGTGTCGAGCTCCCGCTATTCGCTCCCGATGGGGTGAGAGGCTTAATTTCGTCACGCAGTGCTGCAAAAAGGTAATCCACTCTTCTTCCCAAGTGGACCGAGCCTGGAACTTTTTTCGACCCACCTGCCCCGCTGCTCTTATCTTTCTTGCCACCCGGACCACTTTCAGAACCTGCACCAGGTTTTGGAGTAGAGCCTTGTGGCTCATTCAAGAAGATTTTGTTTGAAAGACCTAGGAAAGGATCGTCTCGGATTTGAGCCCATGATCCATATCCGTATTTATTGATGCCCACCATCAATTTTTCGTCATCCTCCTTAGTCCACGTACAGCTCCAGTTTGCTACGGGTTTCGGAGCCTTATTGACGAATCTGAACTTCAGATTATCATCCGGATAGTTCTTACGCAAAAAGGCTGCTAAAAACTGCATTTCCTCAGGCCTAGATAAAACTGTTTCTGCATTTAATGACTTAACGTCATAAAACTCAAAAAGTATGGCTTTCTTCTCCTTTCTCTTTGCCGCAAGCTTTGCAACTGGACTGGATTTGTCTTTCTCATCTAATTGTTTTCCACTGGCCTTAAGCTTTTCTTTGTACAATTTGGCATTGGTCTCTAAGGTGTTAAACATTTCTGTACGCTTCTCATCCTCATATCTGAAGACCTTCCGAGCTGCTGAGGTCATCTCTCGATAAATCCTCGTGTATCCTTCAATAGTCTTCATGGGCAGTGATCCATCACCAATAAGTTCTTCGAACTTGTCCTCCAAATTTCCATACCGCAAAATACATTTGTATATGGCACGTATCTCTCTTTCCCCAAAAGAGTCCAAGTTACTGGTTTTTGTCTTCCGTTTAGCCCTGCGTGATTCATCTTCGTCATCTTCATCTTTAGTTCCAGCTCCATTCACATTAGCTCTGATTCTATTGAGAGCATTGTTTCTTCTATTCATTAGTTGCAATTGTTCCTGAACATACTCTTCGTCCTTCCGTTTTTGCTCTTCATCCTTCAACTTCTTTAATTCCTCCTCAGGGATGATGTCGTCCCAATCTACGTCCGCCTTGTAATCTGTGACCTCGAACTGCCTTAAAAATTCCTCACCACCTAGGTGTGATTCTCCTAAGTCTGGCGTAGTAACATGGTCCTCTGCGTGATTAAGTACGTCGTCAAGCTTGAGATCTTCAAGCTTTTTCTGATTATCTGTGGCTTTGAACATGTTTCCTGCGCCAAATTTCAAGATTTCTGAGAGCTCCCCGGCCGATGGCTCAGTTTTTTTATTTTGAGAGTAATTATTCCCATCCGTAACACCTAGGGAAATGATAGCATACTCTAAAATCATTTTTTTCCGAGCCCGTTCTAAAACCTCTTCTTCTACCGTATCTTTGGAAACAAATCGGTAAACCATGACATGATTTTTTTGTCCGATACGATGAGCACGGGCCATGGCTTGCAAATCAGCTTGTGGATTCCAGTCTGAATCAAATATGATAACTGTGTCAGCAGTCATCAAATTGATGCCTAACCCACCGGCTCTTGTTGAAAGCAGAAACACAAAGTCACTGGAATCAGGAGAATTGAAGTGATCAATAGAGATACGCCTCTGAGCAGATGGTACAGTACCGTCTAATCTTTGATAATTCACTCCCTTGATGTTTAGATAGTCGCCCAAAATATCTAGCATCCGAACCATTTGCGAAAATATTAAAACACGGTGTCCATCCTTCTTTAGTCTCGTTAGAAGCTGGTCCAGAAGCACCATTTTACCGGAAGACATGATAAGGCCACGTAGAATATTTTCGCGTGACATTTTACCGTCTCCAAATTTCGCTAAAACCTTATCCTCGGCAGTATCAAATAGATATGGGTGGTTAGAAGCCTTTTTTAGCTCGTTCATGATATTCAAAAGTGAAAAATGGACGCCTTTGGAGCCCGCTGAAAGCGCACTGTAGTTCTTCGTTAAAATGTTTTTGTAATAATCTGTTTGTACGTCTGACAGTTCAACTCTCAGTATGCGTTCTGTCTTAGAAGGCAAAGACTTTTCGACATCTTTTTTCAAACGCCTCAGAATGAAGGGCTGGAGCCTACTATGGAGATCTCTAATAAACTTTTCTTGATTGTCATCTTGGTTTTCAAAATCAATTTCTTGATCAATCGTAAATCTCCCTGGCATGAGAAAATTTACTAAGGCAGCTAGCTCCTTTATATTATTCTGTAGCGGTGTACCAGTGATCAGAAGACGGTTTGCAACCTTAAAGCTATTCAAAGATTCATATAATGATGATTCTGCGTTCTTTAACCTATGAGCTTCATCGACTGCTAGGAATTGCCATTTCATGGCGCTCAGTTCGGCACGATCCTTCAAAATATATTCATAAGTTGTTAAAAGAACATTGAACTTGGCATGCTTTTTTGTTTTGGCTTGGGGATTGGTGTAAAATTCACTTTCGCGAATCGCATCTCTCGATCTCTGATTGCCCATGAAATAAATGCAGTTGAGGTCTGGAGCCCATTTCTCAAATGTTTCTTGCCACGCTGGCATGGTCGAAAGAGGTACCACAACTAAATGTGGACCATTTTGTCGACGCGCGTAAATTAGCCAACTAATGAATGCCACAGTCTGTACAGTTTTCCCAAGCCCCATTTCGTCTGCGAGTATACCGTTATCATTTTTTGACCACAGAAATGCCATCCAGTTGATTCCGGTCAGCTGAAAATCCCTTAGTTCTCCACCTTTGACGAATGAAGGCTGTTCGTTTAGCTTTTCGAACTTGGGTCGTGATGGTCCATAGTTGCTAGAATATTGCGGAAGTATCTTGGAGTTTACTCTATTTTGAAAGTGTTTCACTTGATCTGGAGCCAATTTAACAACAACGCCAGCGTTTTCCCAGGTTGCTTCATCATAATTGAGGCGTCTCCATTTGACAAGATACTGCAGTTGCGAAGTGCCATCATCCAAAACAACTCTGTCACTGTCTATAACGCGCTCAGGTATTTTGTATTCTTCGAACTCGTCTAATCGACGCTCTTGTTCCAGATCCATCACCTCTAAATCCTCGGCTGTTGTGTAGGGATCCTCGCGAATCTGCTTATCAAGGATAATAAACTGTTTAATATAGTTATCGACCTTTTTGATTCCCTTGACTTGACTCAATCCGTCATAGCTTTCCCACGAATTGTGCAGATGTGATTCGCCGGTCCATTTAATTAAAAATTCATAGTTGTTCTTGCACATAGACAAATCTGGAACACCTTTGAACTCTCCAGCGTCCAATTTTAGCCTGTGCGTAATAAGTAGATCGACGCCACGTTCATTTTGGGGAGAGACAGAAGTGCTCTTCAAATCTATGAGGTCCTGTTCTTCATCCAGATCATCGTCATTAGTGGATTCTTCCAACTCTGATTCCAACAAATCCTCATCTGAGTAGTCAATGTTATAATTGACTGACTTGCCCTTCCGGGATGAAAATCTTGTTGGCAAGATAATGTCTTCGTCTTTGGGTTTGCTTGTTTTCTTGGGTCTACTGGGGGCTCTTTTCTTAGCCTTTGGCTTTCTTTGTATAGTTTCTTCGTCATCATCAACCATGCTTCCATCTTCATCGTCCTCTTCCTCCTCCTCCAGATCGTCTTCGTCCTCACTAAAGTCTGCAGCGTCGTTCTCGGAATCGTCAGCTTGCGATTTGGATATGCGGCTGCGCCTGGTAGTTGGTACCATATCTTCTTCATCCTCATCGGAAAAGTAGTGAGCCTGATGTGAAATAGTCGCTCTTCCTGATCTGCGGAGCCCATATAGCTCTGGATTATCCAGCATCTCCGTTGAGATGTCTTCACCAGCCATCGTTGTTAATTTCGCGTCTGCCAGGAAAGGAACAATTCCAAAACAACTGCGTAATACAACACGCAAAAATCCCGGAGAGGTGAATTTTCAAATGAAAGTCCTACAAAAAACCTATTTGTGAGACTCAAAAGCTCTAAAGGAAGTCTTTGCACCTCGCTCCTCTCTTGTTTTTTGGATCGTGAATGGCAACTACTTTTGTTAAATGAAGTGCGTTCATCTCCATAACTCGAACATTTCGCTAATCAAGGGAGAAAAATTTTATGAAAATTTACAAACACCGAACCGGAGGGTAACAAACTCTCAAGGGCGACGATTTGGCAATCCTGAGCTCCACAAGCGTTAAATCCCAATTGGATGTGTCAAAGTTTGGTTCTTACTACAGTGATATTCTACTTTGGAGACTTTTGTATCATTATACTAAAATGATCCTAGGTGACATCCTCCTGTAGATGGCAGGCCGTAAAGTGCGGCCCTTGTGCGTTGAGCAGAGTTGTCGGAAACTGTGTAACACACACAGCGACAATTACCCTCGCAGAGTCATTATTGCCCACTAGATAGCCCAACTGGAAGTAGTCGCTTTATGGATAGCTTGCTGGTAACGTCAAGTTCCATAACAGAAGGATATATAACACGGCCAAGGTCGTATCCACGTTCGCACATAACCAGTTTTGTTCCAATCTAATGCCGTTTCTCGTGTAAAGTCCGCCAATGAGCAGAAGTTTTTAAGTTTCTGAATTTTGAGGAATAGTAGCTGCGCACAGGGTGTGACCACTAAATCATATGTAATTTCTGTTGAAACTGTCTGTACCTTGCAAACTTCATGCCACTTTCGCACCTTCATGTAGTATACCAATGATTGCCACTAGTTTTGAAAGGTGTTTGCATTAAACATGCGGTCCAGGTCATCAAAGCTTCAACTTAACCCCTGAGTTGCAAACGCCGGCCCTAAGAGAGACTTGTTTCCAAAGATCTTTCTTATTATAAGATAAGTAACAACGCTTCTTCAAATTAAAAGGCGTCTCATATGCATCTGCCTACGAAGACTTGCGGAGCCGGGCGTTTGAGCGTTATTTCGTAATTTTGGTATCACGTAGAAGAGTCCAGCTTACCACCGATAGCAGACATTAAAATCACAAAAATGGAATAGAAACGAAAAAGTGAAGCCACTTCACTGAGTACAGTTCTTCGTGAAGCCTCTTGACCTTGGCGTGCATACTACACGAACCGGTGCAACGTAAACAGAACCGCCTTTCCTCAATACGAGAGTGGTTTCACAGAGGCAGATCAGACCCCACACGCATGTCTTCTGCGTTGCTTTAAAGCCAACGGTCCATTTTGACAATAAAGGCGTAGCGATCATAACCCTGTTATCCAGACATGTCAGATGGAGAGGTTATTTTGGTGTTACACGCATTAGGAGTACATTGCAAAAAAAAGTTTCAGCAAACCACGTATATAATACTGCTGAGCACCAAATGTGGTCGATAATTTGGAGGAATAAGAAATATTTTCCGATATTTCGGACCGCTTTATATACTCTATGGGTTAAGGTCGGGTAACTTCAATTTTCAGGGTCAATACAAGCAAGTAGTTATAAGCGTTACAAGGTCCATGTTGCTCAAAACAGCAAGGCAATCACTTGGCGTCAAGATAAGTGGTGAATGAGGCGGCAATATTCATTTTTGATATAAAGTTACTGTACAGCTCATATCGATTTTTGGGTACGCTGACCGAACATATACTTCTCTTCAAGATAAATTTGAGGCGAGCAGGAGTCCAATAGTATCAACAGCTAAATTATTATTTGGTCTGGGGTTGCGTAGCAAATTGAGTGGTTCCAGTGGTGTAAGGTAGGTGCTTAGATTCTTTTAAATGATCAACCCTACCGCGACATGATGGTACAAAGTGATCAATGAGCTTTGTTGAGCTTGTGTGCTACTATATACATTGAAACTCCCGACGCCACTAGTTAGTAATATCTTAGTGTATGTAAGCATTGTTGCACATGCATAAGTAGTTTAGCTGTTGCTAAATTCCATCCAATACCATGCGCGCTGAAACTCACAATACGATTTGAGAAACAATAGCTGCTTGAAACCTACTGAGTATCATTTGCGATCGACAGGTTTTTTGTCTCTATTACATCTAATTCTTGATATGCTCTAAGTTGTACCTTTTACTTGACCTTACTGGCGCAGTATCAGTAACAACTCTGGTACTCGAGTTGTACTCGAAAAATTTTTCAAGCTCATCGCATTGCTAGTAAAAAATGTCAACTAGATAGACTTCAAACCTCCCATAAGGTTGTATACTACCGTAAGTTCATCGTTACCGAGCGCGAAAAATGAGTGACAAGAATACCCGTATCGCTATTGTCAATGTTGACAAGTGCAAGCCAAAAAAGTGTCGTCAAGAGTGTAAGCGGTCATGTCCTGTGGTGAAGACCGGTAAATTGTGTATTGAGGTCACACCAACGTCGAAAATCGCGTTTATCTCAGAAACGTTGTGTATTGGTTGCGGTATTTGTGTGAAAAAGTGCCCATTCGATGCCATTCAGATTATTAATTTGCCCACGAACTTGGAAGCTGAAGTGACGCACCGCTACTCTGCCAACAGTTTCAAACTTCACAGGTTGCCTACTCCAAGACCAGGTCAGGTTTTAGGTTTGGTGGGTACCAACGGTATTGGCAAATCTACGGCTTTGAAAATTCTTGCGGGTAAGCAAAAGCCCAATTTGGGCCGCTACGACGATCCACCCGAATGGCAGGACATTATTAGGCACTTCCGTGGTTCGGAACTGCAAAACTACTTTACCAAAATTCTTGAAGATGACATCAAGGCTATCATCAAACCACAGTATGTGGATAATTTACCTAGAGCCATCAAGGGCCCCGTTCAGAAGGTCGGTGAACTGCTAAAGCTAAGATTGGAGAGAACCCAAGACGACGCCAAATATGTCATCAAGGCATTGGATCTACAGAATGTCTTGAAGAGAGACGTTGGTGCCTTGTCTGGTGGTGAATTGCAGAGGTTTGCTATTGGTATGTCTTGTGTTCAAAGTGCCCAAGTCTACATGTTTGACGAACCATCTTCCTACCTGGATGTCAAACAACGTTTGAACGCGGCACTGGTTATCAGATCGTTGTTGGATGCTTCCACTTACGTGATTTGTGTCGAGCACGATTTGTCGGTTTTAGATTACCTTTCCGACTTCGTCTGTATTCTCTACGGTGTGCCTTCAGTGTATGGTGTCGTTACACTCCCATCTTCTGTTAGAGAAGGTATCAACATCTTCTTAGATGGCCATATCCCTAGTGAGAACATGAGATTCAGAACTGAAGCTTTACAGTTCAGAATGGTTGATGCTCAAGACCAACTACAACAAGAAGATGCTACTCGTGCTTTCCACTACCCTAATATGCAACGTACTCAAGGTGACTTTAAGCTTAGCGTTGAAAGCGGTAGTTTCTCTGATTCTGAGATATTGGTCATGATGGGTGAAAACGGTACTGGTAAGACGACTTTGATTAAGTTATTGGCTGGCGCCTTGCCAGCTGACGGGAACGCCGAAATTCCAAAACTCAATGTTTCCATGAAACCTCAAACGATTGCTCCTAAGTTCCCTGGGACAGTAAGACAATTGTTTTTCAAAAGAATCAGAGGACAATTCTTGAACCCTCAATTTCAATCAGATGTTGTGAAGCCTTTAAGAATTGACGATATCATTGACCAAGAAGTGCAACATTTGTCTGGTGGTGAGTTGCAAAGAGTTGCTATTGTGCTGTCTCTCGGTATTCCTGCTGACATTTATTTGATCGATGAGCCTTCTGCTTATTTGGATTCGGAACAGCGTATCATTTGTTCTAAAGTTATCAGAAGATTCATTTTGCACAACAAGAAGACTGCTTTCATTGTAGAGCACGATTTCATCATGGCCACTTATTTGGCCGACAAAGTCATTGTCTTTGAAGGTACACCTTCCAAGAATGCATACGCCAGGGCTCCAGAAAGTTTGTTGACTGGTTGCAACCGTTTCTTGAAAAACTTGAACGTTACCTTCAGAAGAGACCCTAACTCTTTCAGACCTAGAATTAACAAATTGGACTCTCAGATGGACAAAGAGCAGAAGTTGTCTGGTAACTACTTTTTCCTTGACAACACAGGCGTTTAAAGCCCACACGATTTCCCATTTTGCCTCCCAGTTTTTAACGACATGAAATGTACCATATTTTTCCTTCTCTCCCTATTTATATGCTTAGTGTCTATAGATTTTAATCACAAGTGTGCCATATGCTAATAGGAATCTAATCTTTGCCCATCATCTCAAAGTCTCATTTTAGGTCTCTAATACATTGATTGATATATTAATTTATTGTCATTGAACGATGATCAATGAGTAAAGTTGCGCTGCATTCCGTGGCACATCCTAACAATGACACAAGACCAAGGTATTTGGGTACTGGGATATGGCTCGCTTATCTACAAGCCACCTCCGCATTTTCAATATCGAGTTCCTGGAATCATCTATGGTTACAAACGTCGTTTTTGGCAAAGCTCTACAGATCACCGTGGAACCCCCAAAAGCCCCGGAAGAGTGGCCACCCTAATTGCATATCCACACATCGTTGAAAGACCTGAATTTCTTGGGGATCTCATTCGTTACCGTTCCAAGGTACCTTCAATGCCGGAAGACTTGCAAACTTTGGTTGCTGCTTATTATATCCCGGCCAAGAAAGCTAAAGAAACACTAGATTATTTGAATATACGTGAGCAAGACGGTTATATCCAACAACACGTCGAGGTGCATCTCGAAAGTGGCTGTAAAATCGATGATCCGGGACTCGCAGAAGCTCTGGCTCAAATTCCCGTTCATTCAATAACTCAAAAACCTGTACTAAGAACCATGTTTTACATTGGTTTAATAGAAAACGACTCATTCATTGGCCCAGAAACTGTCACGAAGACTGCAGAAGTGATCCTTAATTCCAAAGGAATGAGCGGTCCGAATCGCGAATACCTTTTCGATCTTTATAATGCCCTCGTCGAGCTTGCCGAGCCCCTTGACCTCCCACTTGAAACGCTTGAAGACTCATATTTAACAGAACTAGTGAGTCAAGTGCGTGCGATAGCTCAAACAAATACTTGAACTTTCCTTGCTAGTCCACATTGATGAACCCTGCGTCTCGTGACTTTTGACTCATCAATCAACCATCAAACTCTTCATTAAAGTGATGACTTATCCAGAAATGAGGAATGACACACACACACCACCCTATTCGAATTGCCATTGTTATTGTTGCAGCTGTATTACCGCATTTTTAGTCGGCCATGATTTCTGAAAAGGCAGCAACGGCACTGGCTACGATTGGGACGGTTTGTTGGTGCGTTCAATTGATCCCGCAAATTATATACAATTACAGAAGGAAAGATTGTGAAGGCCTTCCACCGGTGATGTTGCTTCTCTGGGTTGTCAGCGGTATACCATTCGCAATATACTTCATGGTCACAAAGGGAAACATCATTCTGCAAGTTCAACCCCATCTGTTCATGTTTTTCTGTGGAGTTAGTTACGTGCAATCGCTATACTATCCCCCAGTGCAGTGGGACAAACGCAAAATTATTATGGCAGTGGCAGCCATAGCCTTAATCGATGTGGGTATGGAAATAGGGTTCACACTTTGGCTGCGGCCACTTTACGCCCGCGGGGTGCATTGGCCCAGTTTAATTTTTGGCATTCTTGCCTCAGTACTGCTGGCCTTGGGTCTCATTCCTCCCTATTTTGAGCTGGCCAAGCGACAGGGTCGTGTTGTGGGTATAAACTTTGTGTTCCTGTTTGTGGACTCATTGGGCGCGTGGCTATCAATTGCCAGTGTCATCGTAGGTAACATGGATATCATGGGCATAGTACTCTATGGCGTGGTAGCGGCACTCGAAATTGGAATATTTGCCTCGCACATTGTGTGGTGCTGTAGGTTTCGTTGGTCTAAAAAAAGAAATGGGCTTTCTGACCCGGAATATATCGCTTCCGAACCTGAAAAGAGCAAGTGCCTAAGCATTGATATACATGATGAAAGCTTAGGGGCATCGGATCACAATAGAGAGTAATAATAGGAATATGCCCCAACTCTAAACATCAAGTGAGCGCGATTCGGGCGTTGGGGTTCAATGGATTTTTCAGGAGAGGTGAATTTATCGAATATCTAGATCAAACCAAGAGTCAGCTACTGTAAAAGGTTAGCTCTACTTTTCCAGGCGCTTATTCATGCTTCGAAGGAAGGATATTGGCTTGTTTTCTTTCTGCGGCGATTTCGAAGATTAAACACTTTGAATACAATACACCTTCAAACTACCAAACAATGAACAATTTTGTGTGGAACACCACGCTTCGGTTTTTCTGACTGGAGTAACGTTAGGGTACATGCTTGATAATGTCATAAGCTTTTGGGTAGCGCACTGCGGCTACCTTAGAATTGCACAAAATATACTTTTTTAAGGTGGGAACGGCATATATAGAATTAAAATCATAGACCATTTACTACATGGATGACTTATTTAAGATCTGAGGTAAGAGTAGATATCAATATGCAAAGCTGGATACGCACTTGTATCGACAAATACAGACTCGATCTATCGTTTATGCACTCACGTACGGATCTGCAAGGCCAGTAATCATGGTTTTACAATGACGCTCAGTTGCTGGACTTGTCCTTACGCGCACGTGATGATGAAGAAGTTGAGCAAGATCATTGACTTCACCCACAGTGTCATCGCAACTTTGACCTTCATAGGATGAACATACTATGAATTCCCGAGATGGCCAAGCTGAGTGAGGAATATTTTGATTTAGTACGATCTGCAATCCGTGAAGATAAACAATTGCCGAAGCGTAAGAGACGCAGGTTACCTAAGTACAAACAGGAAGTTCCCCAAGAACCAAGTGTAGTAATTAACTTGGAATCAGAAGCATCCGATAACAATAGCGGTTCAAAGTCAAGCGACCACAATTCTCAGCTCGAGGATGATGATTTTGATTCTGAAGATTTTGAAGACATATTGGAGCCCGATACTGCCAGGCCATCCACTGTAAGAGACCTTTCGATTACCTTGGACGCAAAGACCCCCGACGACGCTTCAAAACCTAAATCAAAAAACACCATCGGTAATGAGGAACGTAAATTTCGCAAGTCTTATCATATGCTTCACTTGCTTGCCTTGATGATACATGGTCGCATCCGTAACACATGGTTAAATGACAGTAAGCTACATAGTAAGCTGTCGAGATTGGTGCCCGACGATGTTTTCGAGCTCTTGCATCCCAAGAAAGACGATGAGCTTCCTTTGAGGAGCACGCGCAAGTTGCTAGATGGCCTAAAGAAGTGCATGGAGATTTGGTGGAAACATTTTGACCAAATAACCCGATGGGAAACACAGGGTTTGTTCATGATACGATGGGATGAATTGGATGGTCCCTGGGAACAGCCAGCTAGGTATATGTCTCAGAAGTTGTTCAACAAGAAGGTTTTACATGGAAAAGGAAGCTCGGAAGTTGCCGCTCAAGGCTTCGTTGCAATGCTTCGTTCTTGCGGTGTCAATGCCCGGCTAGTGTTCAATATACAGCCGCCTGACTTCACTGATCACAAATTAATCCATGCCAGCAGTACGAAGAATCCAGGTGAATATTTGGCGGATCAAGCCAGCTCGGGATCCAGAGTTAAATGGAAAGTACGATCTAAGGTCAAGGGTACAGAAAGTAAACATTCGATTTTTTGGTGTGAAGTTTGGGACAAGATATCAAAAAAATGGATAACCATCGATCCCATGGGCCAAAGAATAATAGAGCAAATTAGGTTCAAAACGTCTCTTGAGCCACAGGGGAAGGCTCGCCAAAACAACATATTTAGATACATCATTGCTTATGACCGCAAGGACGGTTGTCGTGATGTCACCAGGCGATATACAACCCATTTCAACTCTAAAGTAAGGAAGAGGCGGATTACAAAGGATGTTGAAGGAGAAAAGTGGTTTCAAAGAGTTCTTTCACTGCTACAAGGTCGTAGGAGGACGCGAACTGATGATTTAGAAGACGCGTATTTCAAAGAGCGTGATGAAGGCGAGGGGATACCAGATAACATGCAAGATTTGAGGAGCCACCCTTATTATGTTTTGGAAAATGATCTAAAATGGAACGAAATCTTGAAAACAGGTTGCAAAGAATGTGGATTTCTCAGAACCAAAAATAATTCTACAAGCCTGAAAGTCTTTCGTCGCGATGACATTCTGACTCTCAAAACAGCTAGGACTTGGTACACAGAAGGGCGCATTTTGAAGTCTGGTGCAAAAGCGATGAAAACCGCGAAATCAAGAGACTTCAAGACAGGAGAGCCTACGGAAGAGAGACTATACCCTTATAGTGCAACAGACCTATTTATTCCAGAGCCTCTGGGTCTCAATAATGAGGTCTCTACCAACGTTTATGGAAATATTGATATCTATGTCGATACTATGATTCCCCGAGGAAGCTGCTTGGTCGAAAGTCCTGTGGCCGTTAAAGCAGCAGCATTCCTTCGTGTGGAATTTGCTAAGGCCGTGACGAGCTTTAAATTTGAAAAGAAAAGGGTGGCCAAGCCTCAAATTACCGGTGTAGTCATTGCTCAGGACTATCGTGAAGCCATAGAGGCCATGATAGACGGTATAGAATACTCTATGGAAGAAGACGAGCGACAAGAGCGCGAGTTGGAATCATTGCGTTGCTGGGATATGCTCCTTGCCAAGCTCAGAATAAAACAAAGATTGATAGCAAAGCATGGAGCAGTTAATGGATCCAACGAGAGCAGCGAATGGCCCGAGCGAAGCTCCTTCGATACAGGCGCCGCTCAAGAAGAGGATTTGGAGAATTATAGTAATGAAGAGAGTTTTGAGACTGGTGGGTTTCTGCCAGAAGCGGGTGGTTTTGTTCCCGAAACGGCGGCTTCAGATGTTGTGTCAGGAGGCTTTGGGTCTGAAGATGAAAATTCTCCGTCACAACGTCCGGAAAATCTTCCGGCCGTTCCAACCTCTACTTCCGTTGGAAAGCCTACGGCAGAGAATGATTACAGTGATTATGAAGATTTCATGAAGGATATGATGCATGACGAAAGCGACCACCCAAATTCTAACTTCTCTAAGACTGATTCTGATTCTGACTTCCATTATGAATCTGAGTGATGTGGAGGCGCTATGTCAAAGACGAAGTAAAAGGAATTAATTCAAGATAATGGGTGGTGGATCTCAACGAAATCGAAATAGCACGCTCATCATGGGGCTGTTCATTATCGCGACAGGATCAAAACCATGGGTAGTTAATTAGTTGACGTTCTAATACGTATCATGTGACACACTTGTTGAATTTGTTGTTCAATCGTCAACTCGAAGCGAATGGGCAACTCGCGCAGTGGAGTTGTAGCCCAAACGGCAGCTTCAGTCGATCCATGAGTTTTCTTGCAAAGCTTTCGCAACTCAAGAAACCATCCGTGAATGCCAACAAGGTAAATCTGGATGCAGGTAGAAATCAAAAACGCGATGTAGCAGTCGACCCACTGGGATTAGAAAGTCGCTTGTTACCTCAAGAATATGTACGGCAGGAAGATCCTGCTGTGAGGAGGCTCAAAGAACTACGACGCCAAGAGCAGATCAAGAACGCTGCAAAATCGGGGAAAAAGGCCCCTCCTCCGCCAACAAATAGGAAAAAGAAGGAGCCCGCTGCCAACACAGAAACTAGATTCCGCAGAAAGCCTGGTGATTCAAAGAAAAGTACAGTAAGTGTCAAACCAACGGTACGAGCCCCTATAAAAAAACTAAGCTTTGAAGAACTCATGAAACAGGCAGATGAACGAGCCAAGTCACCTGCTCCGAATGCTGTTCCAGTACCCGACAATGCGACAGCTAGTTTCTCTGCTGGACGATCCAAGGGCCAGAAGTTACCAGGAGATAAATTAAAAAGCACCGCTAAAAAATTCAAAGCCCGGACTAATGTGTCACGTCCGCTTAATAACCAGCGTTCCGTCCCCAGACTTCAGCCTTTAGGAGTGCCTGCCTCGTCCCTTGCCCAGCCTAATCCCAGGCTGCGGCATAAGTTAAATGCATTGAAGCATCGCCGGCAAAAGGGTAGTTCTGACGAGGGGGAAGATATGGACGATTTTATAGAGGACGACGAGGCTGGGGAGGACTACAATAGAGATGAAATTTGGGCTATGTTCAACAAAGGCAAGAGGCGGAGAGATTTCGAAAGTGAAGACGAATCAGATATGGAAGCCAATGAGATGGAGATTCTGGAGGAGGAGGAACATGCCACCAGGATGGCAAGACTCGAAGACAAAAAAGAAGAACAATGGTTGAAGAAACATGAGGAACAAAAAAGGAAAAAGCTTGAAAAGTTTTGAATACCTTTTGATTAATCCTCTAGGACTTCAAAATTAACGTTCAAATTTATTTAAAAGACGTGGTGTCTGTTTAATGCTAATTACTAAATTATAAGAATATTTCTATCATACCGTAACAGACGGTGCATGCCACAACGAAAAAGATCAGAAAGCAAGTAGTGTAGTGCCACCAAGGTGCCATGTTATAGCGACTGAACAGAAGTAGGAGACTAGAGCAACTCAGTAGCAAAGATACCAATAATGTGGTCACAATTATGGTGGCTACGCCGGTACCAGGACCCATAACGAGATCATCGGAAAGCTCCCTAAAGATCGAGACTATAATTCCCAGTGAGATCCCAGAGGTTATGGACGAAATTAAAAGTGAAGTCAAGTAAAACAGCGTTACAACGTGGTCGTGCTTGTATTCGTAAGCGTAATCAGAGTTTTCTTGTTGTTCGGTATAGCCCATGTATCGCTCAAAGTCTTTATTAGCACTTTGCGATGTGCTCAAAGTTCCAAAAGATGACACGCTACCCAATGAGAGCCCGTGAAGACTATCTGATAGTAAGGGTCTTGTTGGAGCGTCATTCCCTGCACATGTGAACAGATGCCGTAAGCTTTCAGAAAAGTCGTACATTGCGTTAACGAAGCTTCTATTGAGAATGATAAGCCCTTCATTGTCATGACCCTCGGCCTGCATCTCCTCGTCAAGGTAAAAACTGTCACCTCCTTGTCCCGCTTCGTCTCCATCATCAAACTCATTCCAGTATCTTATTCTCTGTGCCTGTGACTCTGGCGAAGACAATGTGCTCTTCTTGGTAGACAAAGCTTTTTTAGTGTTCAGACCGCTCCTAGTTGGTTTTTGCTTCGCGACAGTCTTCAGAAGTTCTTCGGCACCCATCGCAAATAGTGTGTCGCCGGAAGGAGGGTTCAGCGTAGGCTGGATAGCCTGTACCAAATCACTTTCGGCAATAGATGTGCTGTTCACCTTGAATAAGAGCTTCCAAAGGGTCAAATCTTTGGCCAATGGACAACACACTAAATTAAAGTCTAGAAATTTTCCTATGAGCGTCACAATGAATTGGTCGTCGTTGAATTTTGCGGGGCCCTTGTGACCATGAGGTGGAATTCTGCGGATTTCTAGCAAGGCATGTGGGACACTTGACCCATCTATAGAAATGTCTTCATCCACGCAAACGTAGTATTGAAAGTCCTGGCCCTCAGTTCGGGCCTTAGAAAACCTAGTCCTTCTGGTGGATATGGTTGGTTTACACTCTTCGACAGAGTGAGATTTGAGCCACTCTATGCACAGCTTGTCCATGGGGGATAATGGCTTGGTTCTTGCAGAGCCGTCGTCATCGGGTTCAGTGTTGTTAAAGGACGCCTGGTACTGGCTGTAAGAAACGTTATCGGCGATGATATGGTTTCTGAGACCCCCAACATGGCACATTACCACGCAATTTGTGTCCTCTGGGTTTTTCATCATCAAATTAGGATACTGGTTCACAGCTTCGTCTTCCATGAAGCGTGGTACGGGTTGAGTGTCGAAAAGGGTGATGACCACAGGTTGGGCACTTTTCACCTCGGATAGCGCACCAAGTGGGTTGGTGTCTTGATCAGGTTCAAGCGCCAAATGCAGTTCTTGGAAAGAACGGGGAGACCTGCCCGTGGAAGACAAGTTGGTCAGCTTGGTCGGGTGCGTGTTCTGGATACTTTTCTGGGACGCGGTGGCCATGTCGTCGTCCACCACGTGAAATCCCAGCTGTAGCAGGAGAAACTTGGCCTGTGCAATGCTTTCCTCCGACACCAGGAACGACTGGAGCCGGGACGCCTTCCCGAGGAACACGGCGTCGAACGTCGCCCGGGTGCTCACGGGCCGTGGTCTGGAGGCCGAGGAGTTGGCGTCATTAAGTTCCTCGGCTACCATCTCCGTGTCCTCCGCCAGCCCCACCTTCGTCTTCTTCTGCGACTCCTCCAGTTCGTGCAGCACATCGATCACCAGCGATATCTCCAGCAGGTACGGGTCGAGGTCCACGTTGACAAACGAGATCCCGTCTTCACCGTCCACCAGCTGCGGACACCGCTTGAGGTCCTGGACAAACGCCTGCGCCTTGGGCAGCCCGTAAGGGTAGTACTTGCGGAACTTCTTCAACAGCTTGCGCAACGCGATCTTCTGCAAAATCAGAAACCGACAGATACGCAGCAGCTCCGTGTTGCAGTGGTCCAGGTGCAGTCGCACTAGCTCCAGCTGCCGCTTGGAATTTCTTCGCGCACCCTCGGCCTGCCGACGCTGCAGCTTGACGATCGACGACTCCACCGAAACCAGCCTGGTCGACGCCTCTTTGACCTTGAGACTCACAAAAGCGTTGATCCTCCCAAACTCCTCCTGTAGCGTCTTGCGCAACGTCTGCAATTCCTGGTCTGCCTGCCAGCTCTCCGTGTGCTCTTTGTCTGCTCTGAACGTGGTGGCCTGCTTCACCGCTTCTTTCAGAGCCTTGTAGTCGATGTTATTGAGTCTCCATTCCGGGACCGATTTGTCCTGTATCTTGGATCCGAATTTCATCTGTTTATCGCCAGCTACACTGCAAATTCAGTACCCACTCACTGTATTAATAACTCGCTCACCGAAACGACCCAGATGCCTGCTCAACGTGCGAGTGAAGATAACGCTAGGTAGCTTAAAGCTTTGCACCTCTTGGAAACTTTTTACGCTCGCACACGTTCTCACCTTCAATATTTCTCCTTCAAGTTTCGCAAGCTTTTTCTTCCACGAATCTTCCTTTTCCACACTACAATTCCACACCTACCAATCTAATCTTGCCCGTGTTCTGCAATAGATAGTGGATATATTAACACACTGTAAGCTGTCTTGATAACCGAGGGGCCCCCAGTCGTGCTCCTACGGGTCCTTCAACGGAGTTGAGTCAGCTGGCAACAGGGCTCACCCGATGGTAGCCATGGCTAACCATGCCGGTGTAAAAAAATAAGCAAGCACAACCTTATGCGGACGGCCTTGGCACATGAGATTTCGCCCTGGGCTCTATGAGCTGCCGGTGTGAAAATTTGTTTGCAGGCGAAAAATGTGTGGATTCGAGAGTGTGTTTGTTGTGGGTTCTTGCCGTTTACGGAGTAGCACGGTGTGAGAGGTGCCGTTTACGGAGTAGCACGGTGTGAGAGGAATGTGTAGTTTGGTAGTGGCGCCGTGAAGAGCCGGGCCATGTGAAGCGAACCCTGCCTGCAGATTGGGAATTCGGCAAGATGCCCAGCAGCGATCTGTTGTGGTGGTGGCTAGTGGATATGGAGTTGGTTCAGGTGTGCAGTCTCGTGGCAGCGGCGTGACATCAAGGTGGTCGCGGAGCGTGCTTAAGACCGATGGGCCAGCGATCTTCGGCTTTTCGGTTGGACGAGAAAAATGGTGCTAGGGCTCCGCAAGGTGCTGGTGCCAGGTATGTGAGACATAAGGTTGGTCAGTGCCCTCGGAAAAGCCGCGATGTGAGAAAATGAGTGGCCGACGGGGGTGTTGGCGGGCTGGCACTCAGATGTGGGTCGATCAAGCTCAGAAAGCGGGCAGCCACGGCTCTTGGCAGCGGGCCGGTTGTTGGTGGTAGCGCCAGGTACGCGCCAGGAGCTCAAGTTGAAAAGGCGTTCGTGTGGCGGGCGTGGTCGGTTGAGAGCACGGCTCGTGGCGGGACGTTGAGAACAGGGCCCGTGGTTCTGAGGCTCATCTGTGGCGTGCTGGTGGGCGGTTGGTTACCTGTCACGGGCGTCACGAAATAGCTTGGATGAGATTATTATTCAATGTTGAAGACTACATGTAAGCTCGTACGATGGTAAACTGGACGGGACTGGTAAGACACACAAGAACGGTATCCACAGCGGTCTGGCCGGTCTTCAGCATCGATGAGTAAACGCCAGGAGAATGCGCATATCCCAAAGTATATCAGGGACCAGCCGTGGTTCTACAAGGCCGCGCGCGGCGGGTCTGAATCCGAGGATTATCTAGCACACCATCGGAGGGCCAACTCCCTCAAAAACGCGGACTCGGACCTTGATATCGACAATAACGCGGAGCCCAAGGTCGGGCGCGGCATCCAGGATACCTACGAGCGGGCCACGCCGCGGCAGGGCTCGGAGAACTGCCGAAACTGTGGGGGCGCTGGCCATGCGGAACGCGACTGTCTGGAGGCGCCCAGGAAGCGTAAAGCGACCCATAGGCCGCACAGAGAGGTCGGGTCCGAGCGTCGTGCGGATTCCGGCGGCAACTGGGACGCGCGAAAAGACCGCTGGTACGGCTACGACGGCGAAGAGTACGATCGCGTGCTCAGGCGCCAGCAGGACGAGCTGCGCCAGCACGAACAGAGCCAGCCAGCGGCAGACGCAGTGGACACCGACGAGGAGATAGAGCTGGCGGCCCTGGGCCTTTACAAGCAGGAAATGACAGGTTTCATCGCGCACGACGACGCTCGCGGGTCCAGGCTGAGGGCGTCGGTACGGCTGCGCGAGGACCGCGCGGCGTACCTCAACGACATCGGGTCGGACACGCTCAACTACGACCCGAAGTCCCGTCTCTACAAGACCGACGAGCTCGGCGAAGTCGACTCCGAAACCAACATGTTCCACCGCCATCTGACGGGGGAGTCGCTCCAGCTGTCCGAGCTCAACCGCTTCGCGCGCGAACGTACACTGCAGTCGGGCATCAGAGATGAGGTGGAGAACGCAGCCAAGACCAGCCACGTCCTGGTTGCCAACCCGACCAAATATGAACTTCTGAGACGGCACACTGACCAGCCGACCGACCGCGAGCACGACGCTGCCGCGCGCGAGTCGTCTTCCAACGCGAGCGCCAAGCGAATCTCCGGTACGAAACAAACGGAGGAGCACAAGAGCCAGCTACTACAAAAATACGGCTAGGCTACACAGGATCGCGATTTTCAGCTGCACGGCTCCGGCAGTTTGACGCTGGACTTCCCGTCTGCTGTGTCTGGTATGAAGGGCACGAAGCACCAAGATTACAATGGCTACAATGGCTACAATGGCCAACTTGGTTCCAGCACGTCGCGGCAGGTGCACACATGGTGTTTTTGGCCCTCTTGCACGGCTGATCGCTGAAAAAAAATATTCAAGCTCATCTCATCGACTCATCGCCAAAGTCCACTCGCAAGGAAAGCTTCCCAGAATCAACCAAGATAGAAGCCATGGAGAGCTCGGGCTTTGTCAAACAGCTAGCCTCGAACACCAGGACTGTGAGAGAGGAGGCCCTGGAGTCGCTGAAGAAATATTTGACCACCAGACAGTTCAAAGACAGCAAGCAAATACAGTTCGATAAACTGTGGAAGGGTCTATACTATGCGATGTGGTTCAGCGACAGACCCAGACCGCAGCAGAGGCTGGCGGCGAGTCTCGCTCAGCTTCACGAGCTCTACTTCGACCCTAAAGACAACAGCGTGGCCCGCGAGCAGCCGGGCGAGGCGGGCAGCGAGGTGGAGGACGACAACGTCCAGCTGCTGACTCTGAACGACAAGGCGTTTCTCAAATTCAGCAAGGCCTTCTGGCGCGTGATGTGTTTGGAGTGGTACCACATCGACCACCACCGCCTCGACAAGTACCTGTTGCTGGTGAGGCGGGTGCTGGCCAGCCAGCTGCGATACCTGCAGATGCGGCTGTGGGACAGGCCCGTGGTATCCAACTACATCCGTGCGGTTCTCCGCAAACTGCCGCTCAGCGGCGACAAGAAGGTCTACAACGGGATCCCGTTCCACATCATCGACATCTTCGCAGACGAGTGGGAGAAGTTGCTGTTCGGGGGAGACGACGCAGACGACAACGACGAGGACAACGAAGCTGGCCTCGACCAGCAGCGGGAGGCAGTCAGCCACACGCCCTTGGCCGACTTCATCGAGGTCTTCCAGGACCTCGCCTCCAACGTCGACAACATCAAGATTTTGCGCGACAAGATCAAGCAGGACATCTTCCAAGACCCAAGATTGAAGGCCTGGGGCGTCCTGGAGGCGCCAGGAGACGAAAGCGACGAGGAAGAGGAGTGGACCGGCTTCTGAGCCTCCCAGCAGCTTCACCCGTCGGCTGGTCACTCTGTACCGGCGTCTGGCGGCCGCGCGCATTCGTTACCCTCCCTCGTTCAGAGTGACGTCCATATCTCTGGCCAAAAGACTCGTGGTGTATAAAAGTTTTAAACACGTTAGTACCAGCTAGGCCCCAAACAAGTCAGCGATAGTTGTTAGCTTACCGATTGCATCGAGCAGGTGAATCCTTCAGAGCCGCATTCTTTCCGCCCCCTATCGTCCTCTCGCCTTCCCCAGTACGCACTCACAATGGCTAAAAGCGGCAACCAAATCGAAAAACTAGCAGAGGCTCCCGTGGAGTTCGTCAAGGACGGCAGCGCCTTCATCCAAAAGTGTAAAAAGCCCAACAGCAAGGACTTCACCAAGATCGTGAGGGCTGTGGGCATCGGTTTCCTCGCTGTTGGCGTGATCGGCTACGCCATCAAGCTGGTGCACATCCCCATCAGATATCTGATCGTCTGAGCGTTCTGCGGGCCCGCTGATGACACGGCGTGACGCGACACCACGGTAGACACCAGACACATCCGCGGTTTTTTATAAGTTGAACTTGAAACCGGCAGCGGTGGGCCATGGCACCGGTCTGCAAGCTCTGGTACTGTACATAACTTTTGTTGTAATCTAGTATGTTATTTTCAAGCGCACTGCAGCCTGGCCCTCGCGGGCCACCACTGGAACCGTTTCCTCCCGGTCCTTTCGCTGGATGGCCCCGGACCGCCTCCCGTTCGAACGCCTCCCATTCGATTCCCGCAGGAAGCACACATTTGCTGGGCTGCTCCTCCGTTCGAACCCCGCAGGAAGCACAACTTCGCCCCGTTCGAACCCCGGAAGAAGCGCAATTTTGTTGATGCGGCTCCTCCGTTCGGTGCGATGTCGCTCTGTACGCAAATCGCCTTCGAATTTTTTTTGGCGACGGCCCGATTTCTTCGTGTCTAGTGCTTGCTCAAGACGTGCCACTACTACATTTTTTTCTCCTAATAGCTGGCTAGCTGGCCGTAATGGCATATAAATACGTTGTATTCAAGGCGTAGGCCCAAGCGATGCCCTGGAGAAGCATGCGACATTTTGGTGATATTGTGCTTTCTGAGGGTATTCTCACACTTGCGGTGTCGTCCAGGTTTTAAGAGCTGCTGAAGGTATTATCAGACAGAATATTCAGTGGTCAGACCATTGTTTACTCTCCCCATTCCGCTTATTGTTCATTCTAAACCCACTATGAGCGAGGAAAATGGGAGTGAGGTATTTGGCAAGATCAAGACGCATTTTCCACCTGCCAAGATCAAGAAAATCATGCAAACTGACGAGGATATAGGAAAAGTATCGCAAGCAACGCCGGTCATCACGGGCCGGTCTTTGGAGTTTTTCATCGCTATGCTGGTGAATCGCAGCGGCCATGTAGCTAAGGACATGGGCTGTAGGCGCATCAGTGGAGACGTGATGAAAAAGACCATTATGTCGGATGAGAAATTCGATTTTCTGCGAGAACTGGTATGCGGGGAACACGCTAAGCCGGAGCCAGAGGAAGAGGACGAGGAGGAATGAGGGGAGCGGCCCTCGCAGGGTGGATGCGGGGTCTTGGGCTGCGGCAACGCAAGCTTATCCACAGCCAGATTTGTAATGATTATTGTAGAATAGTATGTGTGACATAGAGAAAAGGATACGTGGGACGTGGATAGAACGCCTACCGATAAGAAGGGCCTGGTACCCGGGGCGGGGGCACACGGGATCGCCGGTGGTGCACTTCCCCTCAGGATGAATCTGGGCTGTGGTCAACGAACTCGTGCACTGGTGTTATGTTGAACGAGGTGTATATTATCACTCTGGCCTTTTTTGTCGCTTGTTGTTGATCTTTCTGGTGCGCTTCCAGCAAGGATCCAAGGCCGGACAAGTGTCTGGAAAACGAGGCCTACTGTACACTCTCACAGTCCACAGTATGGGAAGTCTGTCCTCGCAGGCTGCTCAGTCCATTTTATGGCCCACATATCTCTTGGTTCTGCTGGCGGCCTGCGGGGTAGCTTATCGGAACCGGGACTCGCTAACTTTTCTGTCAGCTAATCGAACCCAGAAAGCTGTCCCTCTCGCCTTCAACTTCGTGGGCTCGTCGCTAGGGGTGGGGATCCTATCTACGTTTCCGAAAGTGGCGAATGTGGATGGGCTTCACGGGCTAATGGTGTACGCATTAGCCAGCGGCCTTCCCATGTTCCTATTTGCATTTTTCGGACCTCAGATCCGCCAACAAGTCCCAAACGGATTTGTGCTCACGGAATGGGTTTTTCAGCGCTATGGACAGTACTGTGGCTTCTACTTGAGTGCGTGCACCATCTTGACGCTTTTCCTATTTACCGTCAGCGAAATCGCCTCGCTCAAGTACTGTATCGAAACACTCACCAGCGTAAACGCGCTTCCGCTTATCATTGCAGAGTGTGTGGTAACGACGATTTATACTACCATCGGTGGGTTCAAAATTTCATTTCTAACCGACACATTACAAGTGGGTATCATCTTCGTGCTCGTAGCGATAGTGGCCGCTGCCACGGGAAAGTATGTGGAGATCGATACCTCGATGATCGAATCCTCAGAGCTACTTCGACCAAACAAACTCGGTTACCAACTCATCTATATCCTAGCTGTGGCAGTATTCACGAATGATTTCTTCATGAGCGGCTTTTGGCTGCGGACTTTCGCGGCAAAAAATGATAGGGAACTGTTAGTAGGCTGTTCTATTGCATTTTTCATCATCACCTCGATATTGGTGCTAATAGGATTTACTGGAATCATTTCGGTATGGGCAGGTCTGGTCAAAGTGCGCGATGTCAACCTTTCTGACTCCTGTCTCTTCGTGCTCCTGACTCAGCTGCCCTCGTGGATTGTGGGAATTGTGTTAGTCTTTGTGGCAGTCCTCTCAACATGTACCTTGGATTCCTTGCAAAGTGCCCTTGTATCTTCCATCTCCAACGACCTGTTTGGAAACAAGCTGTCATCATTCCAGGTTCGGGCTCTAGTGACCATAATCATGGTTCCAGTGATTGTGGTTGGATTGAAAGCCACAGATATCTTGAGCATCTACCTGATCGTCGATCTGCTCTCAAGTTCCGTGATTCCCGTGTTACTGCTAGGTTTCAGCTCCCGGTTCGATTTTATGACCTCATGGGAGGTCATTGGCGGGGGATTGGGAGGCCTTTTTGCAGTATGGGTTTTCGGAGCAGTATACTACAACTCTGCAAGCGAGGGTGCAAAGCTGTTATTGATCTCAAATGGTCTTTACAATGAAGACTGGGGGGCATTTGGGGCATTTGTAGCTGCTCCCTTTGGTGGCCTAGCGATTGGTTTCACTATTTTTGCCCTCAGATACACACTGTGCCATATCCAAGGCACTGAAATTCGTGCTTACCATCCTGTTTCTCACTATGATCTGCTCCCGGAGAGTGAAGATTTAAATGGGAATGCTTTAAAACCAGCCTCCACCAACTGCACAGTTACCATTGCAGAACGGGCTTCAGATACTCTTTCATAGTTGATATATAGAGCCAAGGTTGAAAAAGCCATGACAGAGATACTTGTCAACCTTTTCCGCTTTTTGTAACGCGCTGTCCGCGACTCCAGCCGAGCCTCTGTTATCGTTTCGTCCTTACATGACATTCTTTCGAAGAAGTATTTTGGTATAATTTATCATGTTTGGGAAGAAAGGTCCTCAAATATGTACTTCTAAACTACCGAAATTCACTACGACGACTGTTAAAATAGGTACTTGTCTCTATACTTTAACGAGAAGGCCATCTTTTCACAGTTGGAAACTCCACTTTTGATTTTTAGTCAGATTCTCGTTGTATTTAACCACAAGGAGCATTGGTTGGGTGTAGACTCCCTAGAACGTTGAAAAAGGTGTCCTAAGTGGGGCCAGGTCATTACACTTTTGTGCGGCAGCATCAACTACTCAACTCCATTGCTACATGGCTCAAGCCCTGGTGATCCAAGGACTTGCTAGACCATACCACATTCGCTAATATTGATTTTTCTGATTGCCAGGGATTCTTAGCTGTCGGCAATTCCCAGCATTCTGCCCATTCATTAACCTACCGTGCTGAAATAACAGGTGTGATCTCGTGTGATGAGCAGCTCTCAATACACTTGTTCAGACTTCACACCGCGGGCTTCCGCAACCGTCGCCGACAATGCCAGCGTTAACTCATTTGGGTCTTCAATCCGAGATTTAGGGCCACGTTCAGGGCTTGACCCCAGGGCACGGTCGACGTCCGACTTGTTTGAAGTCCCTAACCAAAGAATTAGGCCCAAACCTTATAAACGGTCTTCGACTCCAGCCATTGCAGCTCAAAGAAATCACCCCAACCTTTCGCTAATACCAGAACAGCAACACATACAGCCGCAACTAATGCACTCTCTCACGCCTTATCAAAAGCAACGGAGACGGATGAAAAACAGCTTCCAATTTCCAAACGGCGAGAGTTTCACTCCCAAGCAAAAATCTACCAAATCGTTTGACCTCAAACCTGATGCTGGCCGATTTGAAAATCCTCGCCAACATAAACCTGGGCATCTCCCAAAGTCTGTAAGTTGCAGCAATTTCCGTAGCGCAGCTCCTCGCGCCGATTTTGCTTCGCCTGCCCGAGTTCCCATGTCCGAGAGTCGTAGTGGAAGCTTCAGTAACGCATTGTCTCCCTCTGGACATCTGCCTCCGTACAATAGATTCCATAAGTCTGCGAGCATGTCTAGAATAGCGCCTCTCAGCCAACAGGTTAGGCAACCGCCATCCATGCCTCAAACATTTGCTGGTAAAAATCGCAGTATAACCTCTCTTCAATCTGTCCCGTCTCATCTCACTTGTGATTTCAATAATAATTCCATCCCGAAAACGCAGGCCGTTTCCAGTAATAACTCCTCGACTAATAGCAGTAACAGTTTGAAGAGCGAGAACGTTGTGAGCAGCAATACTAGTACTGATGCCAGTGAACCTCCTTTAAAATCGATGACTCCACTCAAAGGTAACGTGGCCTATTCGCTGTACGCACATGCTCCAAAGACCTCTTCTTCGCTGCACAATTCCTCGATGCCTAAGAGAGAATCGGTAGCCCTAAATTCGCCAAAAAAAGGAGATTCCACTCCTAAGGAAACCCCCAAGCCCTCTAGCTCAAAAGGAGTTAAAAGGAGCGCGTCCTATCGTATAGGCGCTTTCTTCAAAAAGTTCCTGCCTTTCAAAAAAAGCGCTACTTCCAACCCTGATGCCAAGTTCAAGCCAGTCCCGCACACCAAACCTTTACCAAAAACTTCGAAAGAGGCTTCTTTCGCAACCCCAAAGATATCTGTCTCCCGGCCTAGTCTTTCTTCTTCTTACGTGAACAAACTGACTATTGCTGATGAGGAGCTAGGGACAAGAGGAAAAGCTGTGGCACACAAATCACATCTCGAGGGACCAGAAATTGATGACGCTAATGATGGTGATAACGAAGGTGATGATGAAGACGACGAAGACGATCAGCTTTTGGATATTGATCTGGTTTTCGACAGTCTCTTGCTGAAAAACGACCACCCCGTCCCAAAACCATTGAGTTACATCAATGCAATAGAGAAGGCATCAATGACGGAGGGCTCTGATTTTCAAGGTGTCGAGCAGAAAAATGAAGAATTTGTGGATAACAACGTGGACTATCAGCTTGTTCAAGAGTTTTCAAGATTAGGAAACTTTATAACTGATGAAACTAGTGAGCGCCGCCGGTCCGGTGCAGTCTCGCCCCCGCCGCGGTCGCTAAAAAGACCTCTCTTCGCAAGCAAAGCATCCGTTGCTGGATTCTACCGTCAAAGCGGCGAGCGAGTCGACAAAATAAGCTTGGACCTGCGTCTCGACCATAGCTTGAAAAAAGATTGGGAGTTCATTCACTACGATGCCGTTATATCTGCAAGTCTCTCCGAGGATAAGGCCGCGGTCAAGAAACTTAGATTTGGGCACGCTATTTACGTCAAGGATACTTATGCGTCGCAGGAATATGAGAGAAGTGACAAGAAATTCATTCGTGGTCGCCGCCGGATGATGCAGACCCAAAACATGGCCTTCATAGACGCTGTAAAGAGCCAGCTCAATGAGTTCAAGAAATCAGAGATGAAGGTTCATGGCGACAGTGTTCAGAACACACATTACTTTTTATAGCCACGAATTTGCAAAGATATGATATTAGATAGTTACATGCCACCTTGATACAAATAATTTCATCAATATATGAACAGGCCACTATAACTATGACGATTTGTATATTCCCTGACTGCCAATTGCTGCGTCGCTTACATAGAGTGATCCTCAAAATTTGTCAATCCGAGTGAGTGTACGCGAGCTCGCTAAACCAACGCTGGATTAATTTTCACAGCAGTACCTATATCAGTTGTAGGAGCACACAAGGAGAGAGCTTTACTTTGTCATCAACTCGAGAATGGTAATTGAATGAACAACTCTGTGAATAGTTTCTTTTGGAAGAAGGAAAACAAATAAAAAGGACCTCAAACGTACACTTATTTGAGAGAGATAACGGGGGAAACCAAGAATCCGTTTCTCTTCCTGATACAGAGCTCTTTAGCTCTTAGGCGCCCTGCTTCCTGTATACCTGTCGTACACAGTTAGTTCATCTTAACCATAGAAAGCTTAGTTGTAGCCAACAAGACACACATAAGAAATATCTTGAACCCACAGGGCTATTTTTTGTGAATTGCATGCTCATTGCCCTAATCTTTGGCTGATATATTTGGCGCCCCAATCAGGCATTATAAATCCCTCGCTACTTTCTGAAACCCATTAGCAGTTGAACCCTGTATTGTTAAAATGGATCATGTCAAGAATTTCTACCATATGATCTTGGAATCATCACACCCTCTAACTATGGGCTTGCATCTGATCGGAAAGGCAGCTCCTATTGTTTTTTACTTGATAGGATCATGGTTTATGAGCTTCACAGCCCAGTTCATTGCGGTTTTACTTTTATTGGCCGGGGACTTTTACATTACCAAAAACATAACAGGCCGCAAGCTTGTGCAGCTACGGTGGTGGTATGACTCTGTAAACGCGGAGAGCGGACCAATGTCTTTTGAATCGCATAAGCAGTACGCCCCGGGCCCCCCTATAAATCCCATAGATTCGAAATTATTTTGGACGTCGGTCTACGTTGCCCCCGTTGTTTGGATTATATTTGGGGTGATGTGTCTATTGCAAGCTAAATTGCTGTACCTGGTTTTGATTGCCATGGCTATATGTTTAACCGGTTGGAATGCGCAAGGCTTTAGAAATTGTGACAAGTGGGATCCATCTGCCCAGGAAGGGCAATCCGACAGTTGGTGGCAACTACCTAACGTAGGGAGTCTTGAAAACCTTGGAAGGCTTGCAAGGCTCCAAAATATGTTCAGGTCGACTTAGTCTCAGTTTTCTATAAAGTACAAAATATTTAGAGTTCGAAAAACCATCAAACCTTTGAATTGCCATGACCTTCTTCCACTATCAAGCTGAATTAATAATGATACTCTATCTCCTTTTGTAGATGCAAGGCTTTAATAACCATTTTCCTTCTGGGTTTTTAGACCTCTTTGTTTCCAATTCCTCTTTTTCAGATTCCACTTCGATGAATTTTTGCCTACGCTCCAGTTTGGCCTTCCGTTCTTCGATGATTTCCTGAGGCGGCTTGAAGAATTCGAACCTGGTAAACATCTTGTTGGTGTCGTCAGTCTTCTTGTGGAAAAACCCGAGCAACTTGATAGCATTGACAAACTCGTCACCCTGGCGATCCGCGAACCGTGATTTTATTTCTGCAATCCATAGCTCACCACGAGGAGCCAATAGCCTGTACGCCTCCTTGATAAAGTCTAAAAAGTTAGTTCCCATCAGAGCCAAGCAGAACACCACCACAGTGCAAGATCCATCTGGCAAAGGCACATTTCTGATGTCAGCCACAGTGACTAGCTTGTTGGCCTTCTTTAAATCAAAACTGTGAACTACACAGTTTTTCTTGAAATGCTTCTTTTGCTTGCGGTTGTACTGGGCGTAGAAATTCTGGAGGTCTTGGGCCAGCTGTGCTTCGCCACATCCCATATCAGCAACCACAATCTTTTTGTCGGCAGCGAGACCCGGCAGCCCACCAGGGGCGTTCACAGGCTTCTGCGATCTGGCACGAAACTGTTCAACGAAAACGTCCACTGGATTTTCAGGCCAAGCTTGAACTTGAGATCTGAAACCATCATGGTATTCATCAAAAAGCTCAGGCTGCTTCTTAATTAGCTCCAGGGCATTTTCCGATGTAATGGTGTACAACTGTTCATTGATCCACCTAAACCGCGAGCCACTCAATTTGGCCATCATCTTTTGTTGCAATGCAGTCAGCGGCTTTTTCGAAATAACAGCTTCTTCAGAATCTGCTTTTGCGAGCTCAGATGAGCCATTAGAGTCGCTGCGTTTACGTTTATTGCTCGTAGAGTCATGTTTCTCGGTGATGGACGAACTCTTACGATCTGCTTGGGCCTTCTTCGAAACCTTCCTGGACTCGGGACTCCCTTGAGGTTCAACCTCGTCTTCTCCTTCCTTTTCGACTGCATAGTTGTTATGCTCATCTTCGGTCTCTTTTAGCCTTCTCTCGTGAGCTTTCTTCGCTTTTTCCTTTCTCTCCTTCTTCTTGTTCTGTTTCTTGGTGTTAGCACTATCGTAAGAAACTTCATTGGTTTTCAGATCCCAACCTTCCACTTGAAACAAAACCATAGTTGTAGTACAATATGCTTGGGCTAGAAAGTAAGCTCTCGAACACACTGTTACTGCGATGAGCTTTTCTATCTTCTGCCATGGCCATCGATTTTTCACCAAAATATATGTCCTTTCGTACGGCTCATCGCCTTTTGGCACGGCCTCTAAACTCAACAGCGACAGCGTCAGAGCCAGGCCCCAATGAGTGTCGGACTATCATTTTGGTAGTCGTTAGTTTATTGGTGCCCCTAAACTCGTATAGAGCCTCTGGGGCTGTAGGGGTTTCTCCGTTCCATTTTTTTTCATTAACTTTGTGGGGGCAACGTTAATATTACCTCTTCGTAGTCAAAAGAGCAAGTGGCTATGCGGTCCACCTTATCCACAACTTGATTCCAAGCTAGAGTTTTTTCACAGCTGCTTAATGGGGGGGGGGATGCCATTTTTCCAATTGCCAACACTTCGGCGCACGACCAATTTTTTGAAAACCCATGTGCAGACCTGACAGGTGTACTATCCACAAACGGCATTGCCACTAACACAAAGCTGCCTCACTTCTGCTTTCTCCAAAGGGTCTAAGCTCTCTGTATATCACTCCTGGGGGGTAACAAAATCGACATCAAATATGAAAGTACAGATTTCACGGCCCAGTCTGAAACGAAGGTGAGGCACGCCGGAGTCTGCAAGCCTCTCAGTTCAAGTACTGACAAGATGTTCGTTTCCCTCACTTCCATAACCTTTCCATTCGCAGCGTTAATTGGCATCGCCCAAAAGGGTAACTTTAGTGTATATTATCACTAAATCGGCTTTCTCATGAACCACAGAAGAACTTTGACTTGATAACGCCGGAGACCCCGGCATGAACCTGATTTCAACATTGTCTCATCACCTACTATGGATTTTTCTTCGGTTTGTATAAGTACAGCGTCGCTTTCCCACTTTTCAATCTGACGAAGACGAACCTTCAAGCACGCCAATCAATTTACATTTCGAAATCAACACACCACCCACAACAATGCAACCAACCGCCCAGGCCACCCAGAAAGATACTTCTGAAGACAAGGATAACTGGATTCACAAAGGCTACGCCTGGAATCCACAATGTGTGATTGTTTGAGGTGACAGATTGGCACAAAATGACTCCTCTATATTACTGGATTCGGGGCTCGAATCTAAGCAGAATTTCCAAAGCGTCTTCTGCCTTCCTAAGTCCACAGTATTTGCAGTGTTTGCAAGAGCAGCGAACCGAGCATCAGAGTGCTGGGCTCGGTATGATAATTTATTATGCCCTTTTATTTTTTTTTACCCTAGCGACGCGCTGTTATCTAGCTCTGAGAGGCGTTCAAACAGCTGTACAGCGGTATGTTGGGCCTTTACTCCTTATCTTCAATATCTATCATTCAGGTCTATAATGATTATAGCACAATCACAGTTAAGCTTTTAATGTCTTTTACCTCGAATTGTATTTTCGGGCCCTTACTTCATAAAGGCTAAGAAATCGACCAAGAGCTAATCATAAAGGCTAAGGAATCCACCAAGAACTAATCATAAAGGAGAGTCAAAAGTGTCACCGGAGAATATCGCCAGGGTTCAGGTCTCACGTCTACTCGCCAACACCGGGCGCCATTTTGTGATAAAGTGATAGTGGACTAGAAAGTCACTAGCTACGGAAAACGTATATTACACTTTTTGTAACACCATCAGATTCGTCCGGATCACCGCCTTCTTTGAGCTTTCTAACCCAGCTGGCCACTCTGTCCTCTATTACTACGAGAGGCCACCCTTACGACTGCAGATTGATCTGTATATCATATCAAACGAACCAATAATATTCTACAGAAACTCGTCGTGCGTAGGTACACACAATACACCTGGAATTGTCTTCCAGTGCTGAAAAAAAGCTTCGTAACGATGGTGTTGCAGGAAACCGGTTTTCTTTGTTCGTGGACTGTTTACGAACATCTCTGGAGCTGTCGATAGTAGTCCGTTGATCCGCATCCTGGTATAATGTTTTTGCAAGCTTTGAAGTTCGCTGCTCCAAGAGCCACCCGCACTTTCGCCTCTACCGGTGTCAGAGCGAATGCCATCCAAGAGTTGTACCTAAAGGAAATCAAAAGCGTAAAGCTTCAACCAGTCAGTGCCAAAGATGCCGAAGGTAGCGTTAAACCATGGTCTGCCCCAAAAGCCCCTCAAACACCAGAATTGGAAGGTCAAGGACCAGAGGCTCTGAAAGCTTACGTTGATGAAGATGTGCTAGTGTCCAAGACTCAAGAAGAATCCGCAGCAGAGACCGAGGAACAAGACTGGTTGGTGCTCGAGGAAATCGAAGAGGAAACTCACCATTGATTTGCGGAAATCATTGCACCGTCGACCATTACAAATCAACAAAGAACCACCACATGCATCTTTGCACTTGTAAGCTGCCAGGGCAAGATAAGAAAAGTGTCGTCCATATATATTCATGAGTAACGAGCCAGCACCGGAGTGTATACTACATACGAGCCCCAACTAGAAGTAAACTTCAAAGCATGGGACTCTTCAAGTCGATTCTAAGCATTCCCAAGCAAAATTGTGTTCAGGACCATTGAAGAAAAATATTTTGAAAGGGCTGAACAGGTACGGCGAAAGGAAAGCCCTTTAGTCGATGAGCACACCCTCAAAGTTCTCCAGTATCCATGATGCTGCTCGGTACGTGAATGAAGAACTACATCGACGGTCCGTTCTGCCCGCTTCTCGCAAATTATTGTTCCCCACGATAGATGACACGCTAGAACCACAGTTGGCCCGAATCAACAATGATAAGCTGATCATCAACACAATACACAAGCTCTTGAAGAGACTGGATGAGGCGGAGGACGCCACTGTCGAAGATTTGACTCCCAAGGACCATACTCTTGATATCGATGACAATGGCTCGTTTAGCGTTAAGGCAAGGGGAACCTCCGAAAATAAAGTAGTCAAGCCGGACTCCAGGCACGCTCAGGTGTCTCTGCGACGTTACGAAGTTACTTTGGAGCAATTGAGGTCGAGACTAAAGCAGAAGGGGCCCGATTTAACGTGGTCGACACAACCCATCCCAGAGCAGCAGACCAAAAAGCCATCGGTCGAGGCAAACGGCGACGAGGCTACCACTGTGCTCCTGGGTAGCTTAATACATCATAAGGCTGTTTCCGCTGCTGTATTGGGACATATGATAGACTTTCTACAGTCGTGCAACGGGTATCTATACACGCGCTGCGTGCATGATTGCGGCTGTCAACTCCCACCAAAAATTCAGTTGGACTTGCCGGACAATAGTCGCAAGGATGCGGAGTCTGGGCTCTCGGAGACGGTACAGAAATTGCAGGAGCTTTTGAACGACTGGTACGATATTGCAAAATTGTTACAAGACGATTGAACTGTAGCTGCTATTGTACGCTATTGTGCTCGTACCACTTTAGACTCTGCTAGATGGCGTAAAGCACGGTCAACTATAGGGAATAGTCGAAGGGAGCTGCTGCGGGGGCACAATTTGATATTTTGGTACACCCACATAATTGACGAACGGCGTCAGCGTCACTCCGCAGTCTAGACCTTTTGGACCCCTCCTACTTGAACCTTTTCTTCATGAGCACGCAATTTCCGTGCGTGGATAGCGGCAGCAGTTGGTACTGCCCTCTATGCTGGCAATGACAGAAACGGCTGTCAGATATGTGTCACTTTATACTATCGTGGCGCCGCACCCTAAACCTTTCTAGTAGCATTTTCGATGCCCGAAGCAACCCATTTGACAACCCAAAAGAATGCTCATTGTGCGTGCACGGGAGCCTTCTGAACCGGCCAACGCAACCGGCCAACGCAACCTACGGTGTCTCTTGGCTCATACGATCAGGCCCTCGACGATGATTTGAAGCGATAGGGTATACACGTATAAGATGATCCCTGATGTGTCACTTGCTTGAGAAAATGCCAAAGGAGAAGAAAACGCGCAGGTTGCAAATCTTGAATACTCGCTTATGACCAAAGCAGCATTTTCAACAGCTGTGGGCAACTGAGACTCTAATCACCTTCCCCACCAACTTCTGTTCGCTTTCGCTCAGGTCAGTCTCACGAGACCTTTCTGTAACTATTAACGGTGTAAGCCCCGCGGCCGTTATGGTCGCTTGATACGGATTTGAAATATTTTTTTTAAAAAAAACTCGATTTGAAGAGCTCTCACATCAAGACTTTTGCTTGTTTGAACTCTTGCTCCTATAAAGTAACTAGGTTTAATTGTTTGATCTAACAACCCTTATACCACAAAAAGGGTTTAAGTGTATCACTATATTATCTTTGGTTACATCTCACAAGTCTTAGCTGCCATAAGATCGAAATGTCTGGAGAAGTCCCCACTTTCAAGTTGGTGCTCGTTGGTGATGGTGGTACCGGTAAAACCACCTTTGTGAAGAGACACTTGACTGGTGAATTCGAAAAGAAATACATCGCCACAATTGGTGTCGAAGTGCATCCTTTGGCTTTCTACACCAACTTTGGTGAAATCAAGTTCGACGTGTGGGATACCGCTGGCCAGGAGAAATTCGGTGGTCTCAGAGACGGTTACTACATCAACGCCCAATGCGGTATCATTATGTTCGACGTCACTTCGCGTATTACCTACAAGAACGTTCCAAACTGGCACCGTGATTTAGTGCGTGTTTGTGAGAACATCCCTATCGTGCTATGTGGTAACAAGGTGGACGTCAAAGAACGTAAAGTGAAGGCCAAGACCATCACCTTCCACCGTAAGAAGAACCTGCAGTACTACGACATTTCTGCCAAGTCCAACTACAACTTTGAAAAGCCATTTTTGTGGCTTGCTCGTAAGCTTGCCGGTAACCCCCAGCTGGAGTTTGTCGCCTCGCCAGCCTTGGCCCCACCAGAAGTGCAGGTCGACGAGGCTTTGATGCACCAATACCAACAAGAGATGGAACAGGCTACCGCTCTGCCATTGCCTGATGAAGACGATGCTGACTTGTAAGCTTACGGAAATCTAGAAAACTAACAGGTCGTGCTAGCGCCGTCTTATGCGGGGCCCTATGGCTCTTTGTCTCTATAAATTTTAATTGTCATTTTTGTATGTGTGTAAGAGCTCATATAAAGGAGAGCGCTAGGTTAAGGAACATGTTCAGCAATGTAGCAGAATGGATGGGCAGCACTTTTTAGGTCTGGACGACAGTATGGTACAAAGTGATATCATGGCCAGTACAAGCTACATGTAACCTGAAAACTCAAGAGCATGATAGTACGTTAAAAATCCGAGGGCTTTACACCAACAGATACACTCACTGTCCTGCCGTTGCTCATTCCGTAATCGCTATCCCTTTAGAATCACATACCACGAATAACTCAAACGTTTCTGGGCTCAGTTCAAGCTCAGCGGATTGCCTCCAGATATATCCATATACATATATTCCAGAATCTGTTTTCAACACATATTAGACCTGTACTTCAAGCTTCTACCTTCCATTCCTTCTAACCATTGCAGCATATGCTGAGATCACTACCAACGTTATAATAAGACGGCTTTCTAACCTTCAACACAGGAAGCTCTCTCTACTGTGTAAACTATCAAAACGAATATCAATTTTGTACCAAATACATACTTGCATAGCTACCTACAATGGCTACTTATCTTTCGGCTCTCAGCTACGACCCGAATTCTAAGCTTCTGCAATTGTCAGAAGCGTCTGAAGATGTGGATATGAATTTGAAACAGATTAACAAGTTAACACAGGATCTGATTGCCGAGAGTAATCCAAACTTTACACCTCAGCCGCGCGATGACTCCACTGCAATGATTAAGAAATTGTTCGAAACAGGGCTGAAACAAGTACAACAACAGAAATTGCCGGAAGCTCTCAAATCCATCAATCTAGCCATAGAGATGTCTCAACGCAAGCGGGCAACCTGGGAGGCATTTGCAGTACAATTACAAGAACTCCAATTCATGTTGAAAAATCGTGTTGATTTAAGCTTGATACAGGGTAAATTTATGGATGCTCTGGAGGACTTGGAATTGTTACACAATACGGGACTGAACTCCTCCGATGTTTTCATTCGCAAGACCGACGGCCTCATGAAACTCAAGCAGTACGAACAAGCCCAAGTCGAGGTTGAACGTGGCTTGAGCCTTGATCCTTCGAACGCTAAACTCAAGGCTCTTCACCTTGAAAATTCTCGCAGGCTCGCGGACTACAATGGTGATTTATAAAATCAATCAGACAATACTAAGTTCGCACTCGCTGGCAGAGCATGTCAAATTATGAGAGTCAGGTACACTGTCTAAACAATTTCTGAACTTACGTCTGTGCGGATATACATCGATGCATTTTCCCAGTATAAAATTTTATAGTTATAAACGTTAAAAAGTTGACGACACCGATCACCTTCACTTCTTACCACAACTCTGGAAACCTGAGTTGATACAGAGGAATAGCTCGCTTATCTCAACTTCCGGTCTAAGGAATAAGAGCAGCTTGTTAAGTTTCTCTTTACCATGTCAACTGATATCAATGTTGTGATCGCCTCTTTCATCGATCGTTTGAAGAGGAGACAGATATCTGGTTCTTATCAGGTCTCGCTAGAAACACTGCAATTACTCAAGCGGTTTGTTTCTGCTGCCAGATGGTCGAGCATTGATGATCTAATTGCCCAGCTGCGAGAACTTGGAACGAGGCTTGGGAAAGCCCAACCAACCGAGTTTACTTGTGGAAACATCATCAGAAGAGTATTAGCTCTTATTAGAGACGAGGTGGAGGAGGAGCTGGCATCGCACAACCAGCTGCAAAAGAATGCAGAGCCGATGATTTCGTCAATGTTCAGTCTATTGCAAAAACCAAGTACCACTGCATCAACCCCAACAGCGCAACACTCCACCTCTACGTCCTCTTCGGCTCCAGCTGATCAACACAAAACCGATTTGCGTCAAGTAATCATCCAAGGTATCAAAGATCTGATAGATGAAATCGCTAACATCGACGAAGGTATTCAACAGATTGCAGTCGACATCATCCACGACCGCGAGATCCTACTTACCCCCACACCGGACTCCACGACAGTGCTCAAACTGTTGATTAAGGCCCGCGAACGTAACAACCGTAATTTCAGCGTTCTGGTGACCGAAGGGTTTCCCAACAATACTGTTACAGCACATAACTTTGCTAAGACACTTTCAGAACATGGTGTTGAGACCACCGTTATCCCAGATACTGCAGTCTTTGCACTCATGAGCCGTGTAGGGAAAGTTATTATTGGAGCCAAGACCGTCTTCACAAACGGGGGCACGATATCGTCCACTGCTGGTGTATCGTCGGTTTGCGAATGTGCACGCGAGTTCAAGACACCTGTTTTTGCTGTAGCTGGTCTATACAAGTTGTCACCACTCTATCCGTTCGATATTGAGAAGTTTGTGGAGGTGGGAGGCTCGCAACGTGTGTTACCCACGATGGAAAACGATCGCGTTGGTAATCACAACAGGCTAGATACTGTGAACCCAATCGCAGACTATGTGCCACCGGAAAATATCGACATCTATATCACCAACATTGGAGGCTTTGCCCCGAGCTTCATATATCGTGTGGTATGGGACAATTACAAGCAGCAAGATGTGAAACTCGAGAACTGAGAATCTCTGCCCCCATGCATAAAAACCTGTCATATCAAAGTTGTACTTTACTGTTATAATCATTCATGAAACTATAGACCCGTTGGCTTCATCATTTCTCGGCGACAACGTTTGTGAGCCAATCAAAAAAAAAAAAAAGACAACGGTAACTTAGCGTAGACAACTACCGTTAACGGATTCTTATTGCCCTGTGCCTTGCTCGGTTGAATTTTGGCTTATAATTCGATCTTGAGCTGGATAGTTATCATTACACAACGTGAAATGACTACTAATGGGCTAAATTAATTAAGACCTCTTTTGAGTACGACTTCACCGATGGAACTCGTTCCTTGTAGATGGTAGATCTCGTAATTAGAGTGTCTTACAGCTTATTATAGCAATGTATCATAAAGTCTTGGTTTCTTGGTGTCTTGACGAAGTTTGATTATTTATTCTGTCACTGCGATGGGCTAGATAATTTTTGTATGTGACAGATCTATCTAAAAATCACCTTACTCTCATTGATCACAATATATAACAAACAGTTACGTACACGGTCATTGAAACTCGCGCCCGCATGGTCAACAACATTCTAGTGTTTGGAGGAAATGGCTTTTTGGGTCGTCGGATTTGCCAAACAGCAATTGAAAGGGGCTTTGAAGTCACGTCCCTTTCTCGTTCTGGCACCCCTCCCCCAGTCAAGAGTTTATGGGACAAAGAATGGACCGGCAAAGTCAATTGGCGCCGTTGTGATGTTTTGAACCCTAGAAGCTACTCTAAATATCTTGAAAGGGCGGACAATGTTGTCCATTCGATCGGTATATTATTGGAAAACTCTAGTTATAAGGCACAGATAAATGGCCAAACCGCTTTTGACGCTAAGAAGTTACTTCAGTGGGGAGCAAACCCTTTGAACAATAACCCAAACTTTACATACGATGTCATGAACAGACAAAGCGCACTAACACTTGCGCAGGAATTTGCAAAGCCCCAATACAACTCAAAGTTAAAGACAATGACTTACATCTCTGCGGATAGGTCGTTTCCTGGTATCCCCTCCGGATACATCGATAGCAAGAGAGCTGCAGAGTCGGGGATATTGCAGTTAGAGGCCGAGCTACGGCCAATTCTTGCTCGCCCAGGTTTTATGTATGATGAGTTAGACACATCTTTGGGTTCGCTTGATTTCAGGTCTCAGCTGAAAAATCTGCTAGATTTGGCGAACTGGAGTAATAGTAAACTGCTGGGTCGTCGCGTTAACTGTGTAAATCAGTTGTTTAGGCCAACCGTTTCTACTCAACAAGTAAGTAGAGCTGTGATCCAGAAAATCGAGGATCCTACGTTTAGAGGAGTCCTTGAATTGGAAGATATCCTAAATGCTTAAAATTACAGCATTACATTATTTACAGTGTGCTTTTTGATTCTATCCGATAGTATAGGATGAAACTATCTCTTCAAAAATGCCTGATACGCTTCTTGATTAATTTGGATGTTTCCAACAGTCTTCATCTGTTTTTTCCCTTCCTTTTGCCTAACCAGCAACTTCTTTCTTCGAGAAACATCAGAAGCGTGTAGTTTTGCCAAAACATCCTTTCTCCGTGCTTTTATGGTTTCACGGGCGATAACTTTGTTATTGGCCTTGGCTTGAATGATTACTTCGTATAGTTGTGACTTGACGTACTCTTTGAATTTCTTAGCCCATTCGCGGCCAACCTTATCAACCTGTGATCTATGCATTACCTGAGCCAACGCATCAACACTTTTGCCATTCAAAACCAGTTCTAACTTAACAATATCGGAAGGTTTGTATCCAATGTCTTCGTAGTCTAGGGATCCATAGCCTCGCGATACTGATTTCAGTTTCCCGAAAAAGTCGTCTACAAGGTGTGCCAAGGGCATTTCATATTTTAGCAAGACCTGACCAGTAACATTCAGATATGTAATCTCTGTTTGAATTCCGCGATTGTTGTCGCACAGTTTTATCACTGGTCCGAGATACTCCTGTGGCAGCGTGATGATCGCTTCGACATAAGGTTCTTGTAGGGAATGAATTTTGGTTTTTCTCAGCGACAGATCTGGAAAGCCGTCAGGGTTAGTGATGATCTTTTCTTCACCATTTGTGTATTTGATGACGTACGGGACGGTGGGCTGGGTGATGATCAATTTAGACCCATACTCCTTCTCCAGTCGATCTTTGAATACTGAGGCATGCAGTGAGCCTAGAAATCCTAGTCTCCATCCCTGTCCTAAAGCATTCGATGATTCACGCTGTAAAGAGACAGATCTATCATTCAACACCAGCCGTGTGATGTCATCGTCCAAACTTTTGAAGTCCGAACCATCTGCGGGAAATGCCCCTACAAATACCATTGGCTTAGGATCTTCAAAGCCATCTAAAACTTCGGTGACATTTTCCTTCCCAGAGTGCATAAATGTGTCGCCAATTTTAGCATCTTTGGAGACTTTCATGCCTGGTACAAGATAGCCAACCTGCCCGGCCTTAAGCATATCCATAGGCACTTTATCGGGATACATAATCCCTAGTTCTTTTACTTCGTACTTATTGCCAGTCTGTGCACTTGTTACCTTATCGCCTTTTCTGACACGTCCATCCACGATATTAACCAGCAGCACAACTCCCAGGTACGAATCATACCACGAATCTACAAGAAGAGCACGAAAGAACTTATCCTCCTTGCCTGTTGGGGGAGGAATTCGGTCGATGATCGCAGGTAGGAGGTCCTCTTTCACATTTACGCCCGTTTTAGCACTCACACGTACTATTTCTTCGCGCGGGAGTTCAAAAGTGCTTTCTATCTGTGCTTCTGCCTGTGGAATATTCGCACTGTCCAGGTCTATCTTGTTTATCACTGGTATCAACTTCAAATTCATACTGTATGCCAGGTAGAAATTCGCTACCGTCTGCGCCTGCACGCCCTGTGACGCGTCCACAAGCAGCAGGGCCCCACCACAAGACGCATACGATCTCGAAACTTCTGCCCGGAAGTCCACATGACCAGGAGTATCTACCAAATGCAGCAAGTAGTCCTGTTGATCTCGCTTGTCATGATAGAACATTGTACATGTTTGTGCTTTGATGGTGATGCCACGCTCTCGTTCCACCTCGAGCTTGTCCAAAACCTGTTTGTTAGAATCTCCTGACTTGATAACTCCCGTGAACTCCAGTAGCCGATCGCTTAATGTGGATTTACCGTGATCTACGTGGGCCACAATCGAGAAGTTCCTGTAGTTCTCTAAAGGTATGTCATGGAGGCGTCTCTGTAGAAGATCCGCCTCTTTGGCCGATACATGGCTGTTCCGTCGAAACAACCGCAAACTCGGACTCAGAAACGACTTCGAAAGTCTCATAAGATGGAACTTGGCGACCTTTTGTATCACTTCTTGCAATACATTTTTTTGTTTCTTCTACAATAATAGTAATTAAATGGATACTCATCGCTTATATTCTGTCATCTTCAAATCAAGCGCTAACAATTTGACTAGAAAGAAACCCCTCCAAGCTCAACCCATTGAGGTACCAGATGAAGCTCAAGCTTATCATAAATGGACCAGAGTCGCCAGAAGACTATAAACTTCTGAAATCTACGATCTCAACGGTGGCCTCGTTGCGAAAAACCGCAGTTTTAAGGTTCACCAGTGAACGTCTGGTAATAGTGTCGACACCGACTTCAACGGCATCTAGTAGCTCTATTTTGTACGCCGACAAGGGCCAACTATGGTGTACAATACCAAGGGATGTTTTTTCGTCTTATGAGGTCGTCAGTGCTCGAGATCTAAATACAATTACCATGGAGTGCAGCTGCGATGTGCTCCAGAACATATTCAAGAAGTATGACAAGAGTATCAGCTTGGGGAATGAAGGGATCATGACCATAAAGCTGCAAAGCATGCCAGAGTGGAACACTAATGTGTTGTCAAATGTGGACAGTAAAAACCCAGCATCCAGTGGATCAAAAGTCAATCCTGTGTGTGCGTTGGGGGTGACATTTGAGGAAGTGATTAGCACCGACATAGATGCAAATACAGCAGTGAAGATGGGAGGTGTCATCGGGTCCGGAAGCACCAAGACTATATCCCATTCTTTTAAAGTACCCACGAGGCTTTTATTTCGCGCGCAGGACGCCAAAATACAAGAGCCAATGATCAACTACACCCAGCTTATGATGTACAGACTGCCCTCGCCACGGGGAGAGTGGGGTCGCGGCTTTGCCAGCTTTATCAGGCGCATAGAAAGGTATTCAAATGTTCACAACATCAAGCTCAGCGGCAATAAGTTTTGGCAAAACAATGACGGAAGAGTCAGTGACCATGAATTTAAAATTGTGGTGAATGAGCTGGATTGGTATCTTGAGATATGCTGGAATGGCCCTTTGGATGCAATGGTTCCGCCACAGGGTGCAGACGAAGAGCCCGCAGACCCACCTGCAGTACAACCGGAAGTGAATGATGAAGTTCAGGTGGAAGAAACGCACGAACAGAGCTTATTCATAGAGGAAAGCTTTGCTTCTGAAAATCTCAATAGTGCCGACTCGGGGCCCAATGGTGACGAAGATAGCGGTAAAGCGGAAGTTTCAGTGCGAGGGCCAGATGTCCCATCGAAACATGAGGTTGTGATACGAACTAAGGATTGGAAAGTTTGCTCAAAATTGTACGAGGCATTCGAAGAGATCGTTTTGGCCATTTCCTATGATGAATCTTGTGTCTTTCATTGCACGCTACCAAGAGGAAATATTGAGGACCAAGACGGCGAGCGCCCTCGCGAGCACGGCCAAGTGATTTATTACATGGCTAGAGCTCGAAAAATCTAGTCGCTTGCATTTTTACAACAGTTCGAGATTTGTTTCTACGTTTGAGTTTCTGGTGCCAAGTTGTTTATCACTCCGCTGTGGATTATTTGGTATTGAAAAGTTGCATATATTAGCAGTATTAGCCGAAGGAGCTGGAACTATGTGGCTGTTGAGGACACACATCCCTAATTGCATTGTTCGTCGCCCTACATAATCACCAGAGCGCTGGTCTCGAAGTCTTTTCCATATTCTACACACTAAATTTCGACTTCTTCAAGTGTTCCTGGCGGCAAAACTTTCGACATACTGAGCTAAAAGCTTGGCGCTATCGACCGAAACGGCGTTGTAAAGAGAAGCTCTGAAACCACCAACAGATCTGTGCCCTTTCAAACCGGTCAACTTAAGTTCAGACGCGCCTTGTAAAAAGTCCTTCTCCAAGCCATCCTTTTTCAAAGTGAAAACAACATTCATTTTTGATCTGCATCCTTCAGCAACAGGTACAGTATAAAAGTCTGAATGCTTGTCCAATACGTCGTACAACAGGTGAGCCTTGAGTTCATTTTCCTTCTGTTGAGCCGCCAACCCGCCCTTTTCTAGAATTTCGCGCAACACCAAATCAACAATGTGAAGTGTGAATATAGGGATGGTGTTGTAAGCAGAGTTGTTTTTAACCACGGTTGGGTATTCAAAAGCGATGGGGGTGATTGGCACGCCAAGTTTACGCAATTGGTCAATTGGCGCAGAAGAAATATCCTGAAGAATCGACTTTTTTATAATATACAAGGTCAATCCAGCAAGACCAATATTCTTCTGGGCGCCAGCCATAATAACACCATATTGCGAAACGTCAATTTCCCGTGACAAGATGTCACTAGACAAATCGGCTGCTATTTCAATGCCTGAGTTAACGAGAGCCTGGGGTAGCTTGGGCCATTCAACGCCGTGCACCGTCTCATTTTCACACAAGTACACATACGAGTAGTCCTTGGACTTTAATTTCTCGGCCCAAAGAGATTCCGAAGGGATGTCGCCGAATTTGCCGTTGTTGAAATCCTTGGCATTGAAAATCGACTCCGCTTCAATCCCCAATCTTTGGGCCTCTTCAAGGGATTTCGCTGACCATGATCCTGTCACCAGGTATCCAGCTGTGCCCGCAGAACCGGTTTTCCCAACGTGCGCTGCCGCTAGGTTAGTGGCTAGGGACGAGAACCCATTGGTACCGCCCCCTTGCATGAAAAAGACCTCGTGGGTGTCTGGAACATTCAGAAGCTTACGCAAATTAGCCTTGGCGCTTTCAATTACCTCTGTGGCATCGCTAGAACGGTGAGAAATCTCCCCAATGCCCAGGCCAATACCGTTATAATTTATCAGGTCCTTAGCAGCTTGCTGCAAGACTTTTGTGGGCAATTGAGCTGGCCCAGCACCAAAATGGTTTGGTTCTTCTCTGGCGAGAGACATGGCGTTATTCGTCGGGTTGTGATGTATACGGGCCGCTGTACTAACGAGCAGGCTTCCTCCACTCATGTGGAAAAGAGGGTTTATATTAGCACGCTTCCCAGATGACTCTTCCCGACCTGTGTCATTATATACGGACCATCGACGGTTTGGATCAATGAAGCTCAAATCGTTGACCGCTGCCCCCGGAAGCTACACCACGGGTTTCACCGTTGGCGCTGACGTTGATGATCTTGTTTTCCAAAACCGAGCAACGTTGCTGACGGCCTTGCTGCCTGAACGGCCTTGTCGGATGAAAATGCTCTGTTACTGGATGGAATATAATGGCAAGTGGTTAATATCCGACACCCCGTGGTGTATTTTTTGCCGAGTCCTGGCGACTGTCTATTGTATTCATTGTACTATCAAGTAGAATTTTTTAATCTTTTGGCCGTGGCCCAGTTCTCTTCCCTGTCCTGGCTCTCCAAAGTCGATGCCTTCCTGGTGCAAAGCCCTTGGCAGCACACAATTGAAATTCCCTTCATTTCTACACATACCGCGGTCCAGAACCCCGATGTTGTCCCAAAGCGAAGGTGTCAATGGCATTAGCGTTGAACCCTGTAAGGGCCTTCATTTGAGCTGGCACCTGACACATGGTCATGTGACTGTTGGCTTTGTTGTGACTGCTTGGCGAGACCTCTACACCAGTACATTTTCAAAATTCAAATTTGGACAATTATAATTTTTTGAAACTTTTTCTGTTTTTTCACGAATTACCTCATTAGGAAGTTTGCATGAAAGCCACGCAATTAATCCCAAAACGGGCTATTTTTCAGTTTTTGTTCTCTGTCTGAGGGTTAACCGGCCATGTTCGTATGGAAGCATGAAAATGGGAGCTCACCCACTCACTGGGAATTGCCATCGCTTTTAGAAAGACATCTATTACTACACACTCTTGAACGATTTTTCACACACAATTAAACCACATACAAACGCATCAAAATGGTACGTTGACAGCATGGTAATGGTGGGGGACAGGACTTAAGAGGATATTGGTGGGCTTGCTGAAAGACAGTGCGCTCCGGAGCCGTTTCTGTGATGGTTGTTTGAGTTGTGTCTCGCTGCACAGGTCGGTTTCTAATGGGCTTATGGTAGGCTCCGAATGGATCGTAAAACAGATGACAAATGCATCAGGGGAACTTCTTAACTTCCGCAGGCGGTTCACCCTCTGGTGTTTGCATTTCCATTCGTGTACAGGAGCCCATTGGCTATGCTCGCTTTGTTGGGCCTATTTCCAGCCATATCTGTTCCCTGTGGCGTTTTGTCCCCTCTACCCTTCGGTTCATCTCATACTAACAGTTCTTTTTACAGGGTAAAGTTCACGGTTCCCTAGCTCGTGCCGGTAAGGTCAAGTCTCAAACCCCAAAGGTTGAAAAGCAAGAAAAGCCAAAGTCTCCAAAGGGCCGTGCTCGCAAGAGAATCTTGTACACCAGAAGATTCGTCAACGTCACTTTGACCAACGGTAAGAGAAAGATGAACCCATCTCCTTCTGCTTAAGCAGCAACAACCCTCACCCGAGACTGAACCAACTTATTTTGTCACGCATATGTTGTTTTGTTTTTTTTAGTAAAGTTGTTGGCCATTTACCATATTGCCAGGGCTTCGATAAGGATCACAAAATGGCAGCGAGCTACTTCGCTGCTACTTTCTGGTTTTCATCATCATTCTGGTAGCCCTGGGCTTTTCTTTCCGGGCTCATATGTTAAACCTATATATCATCTAATTATCAGTGTACTTTGAAAAGATACTACTGACTGAATTAAGTTATATTATCTGCATTGAACGAAGCGAAGAATCCACGAAGTATTCGTTCACCTACCTATCGCGTGCGATTAGTTACGAAATTTTATGTGCTCCCTACAAGCTCATCGTTTCTGAATATTCCTCGGCTTTCTTCACCAATTTTTCACACGACCACTGCAGATGAGCGAGGCTATCGCGACCATCAAGACGTTAGTGTCTAGTCTCAGAAGCGATTTCGTCGATGCATTTGATTCCAGGGAAAAACTTCACCTATTGAAGCCCAAAACCAAGCTCAAAGACTCTACGCCCGCTGCAGAGCTGATTAAACTTTCTCAAATCATTAAAGCGCAGACAACCAAGATCGGCATCATCTCCCATCCTGCGAAGTTCCACGCCAACCTTGATGCTGCTGGTAAGGAATTAAAAGAGTTCTCGAATACCATATTTTTCCTGGTCTCATTAGTTCCGTTGTTTTATCAAGGGAAGTTTCCTAAATACTTTATCGATCTGCTGGATTCTAATATACTAGGGCTGCTCAATGGTGTGAGTGGTTTTTGTGATGACCTTGACCAGTTGGTCTCCTCCCATAATGCCATGAATTCCTCTGATATCACACCTGGACCTTCCACCCAAGACGAGGACGACTCGAGTGGTTCCACAAGACTCTTATCAGTAGGGAAAATATGGGCCTCTTGCGATTTGCTGAACGACATAGGTACGAACGGTAACCTGGGCCTCTTGAATAAGCGGATTCAAATCAGCGCTAAGCTCGTTACTGACACCTTAAATGAACTAGAAGAATGGCTCGTGGAGCCACATGTGGAGACCGATGACCCCTTTGGAATAGGTAGTGGCTCGGAAGATGAGGAGAACGAACTCGAGGACGAGGATAATGACGCCGGACTGGGGGAGAGTGTACCGCCTGGGTTAATCGGTTACGTCCAAAAATGGCAAAATAAGTTGAAAATGATCCGATTGTTACTGTCATCTTTCTCGAAGTCCATTGCATCTAACGATTACAAGGGCAAAGAACCTTCGGCACAACAGTTGGACAAGCTCAATGATTTGCACGCCCTGATAGTCGAAGAAACAGACGAACTCATCTCGACAACTTTCATGGCTGGCCAAGACTTTGATGCCGACGACGACGAAATCATTGAATTGGCATCTAACTTGAACACCACCGTTCGTCAAATGGTCCAGATCATCAAGAATCTAAACAAGAGCGATGAAAAGAAAGGCAAGTGGATACAAGTGTGGGACACTAAATACTTTAGTTAGCGAGAAATTGGCCATGTCCATATATCGAACATAGCTATCGCATATCGTCAATTCGTGCTATTTACAGATTACATGCTGGGCTCCGTTGAGGCTTCTTCATTCGCTTAATCCAGTTAAAAAGGCAATATCTTGATGCCATTAGAACAAATTTATTCATTTATTTTGGCCAAGATTTCGCTATCGCGGAACAACACAACTTCCTCATCGCCCTTCAGCTTGATGCTAGAGCCACCAAATTGAGGAATCAAAACGCTGTCGCCAACGGAAACCTGTGGCACAACTTTATTTCCGTTGGCATCCGTGAAGCCGGGTCCCACGGCCAAAACAGTAGCCTGGTTCAATTTTTCAATGTTCTTTTCTGGCAGGTACAACCCGGAAGCGGTCTTAGCTTCGGCCTTAATTCTTTGGACCAACACACGATCCAACAAGGGAGCGATGGACTTGGCGGACTTGAGCAGCGTGGACATTATTTTTCGATTCGCGTTAATGAGTGGAGGTCAAAGCTGTGTGTATCTCCGTACAATGATTATGCCACAGCTAGGTCGCTCATCAATTTGTCTTTTTCCAGCTTATATATATATTTACAATAACCACTCTAAAATACTAGAAAATTCGAAGAAGTCGGGTAACCCTGCAGAGCGTGAGACGTCGAATAACGTTAAACAGCTTTGGAAGTCCAATTTGACCAATTACATTGTTCGAATTACTTAGGCAGTATGACCGTTCAGACATTCTCCCTCTCTAGCTTAAAGGAAGAACAATAAATTATATTAATTCATCATTAGAAGTTTCGCGTTGCTTTTGAAACATCCACAATTTTTGTAGGTGATATGCAAGACGATCACGCCGCAATTATCTTCGAAACAGTGTTTCTCATCGTCCGATTCCCCATGCTGCCCTAGGAGAGAGAATTTAGTGTCATCCGATTTAGTTGTGTCACATACGTATATGGTGACCATAATGCCCGAGGTTTTGGGCTAGGCATGATGGCACGGATGGCACGAAGTTTGACGCTTTGGCGAGCGAAGATGTGGCCAGTACTTTATGACTTTCTTTCCCACAAGCAATGTCAATTTCTGATTCGGTCATATCAAAACGTTTCAAGATTCTTTCATATTTTTTGTAATTTGAAGACTCCAGTGTGAATGGGCCATGCGAAGCAGTTCGTTGACCCACGATAGGTGAATCGGACCGTGAGTTACCAGTCATCCCCATTATCGTAGTCTCCGTCATCTTGTGCTACCTTACTCTTGCGTTGATTTAAAGCTGCAGCCAAAGCATCTGCCATAGAAGGGGGCCCTCCTCCTGCAGAGCCAGCCGCACCAGTAGAGCCATTGGGTTGGGAGCCACGGTTTCCATTACTTTCTTGCAGTAAAACACTAGGTTTTTCCAGTTGAGATTTATCCGTCTTACGTAGTGCTGTCACTCCACCAGCCCCTCTGATGGACGCAAGGAGCGCATCGCGACCTGCATCCCCTGTAGCCTCATTACTGCCGGAGGAAGGCTGTTGAGACTGGGAGAGGAAAGCAGGAGGTGGGGGAGGAGCAACGCCCACATTGCCAGCCTGGGGAGGCTCGAATGTCATCGCTGGAGGTGGTGGCGGTGGTGGTGGGGGTACGGCACTTAACGGAGCAGATTGCATTGGCGGAGCAGGTGGTGGTAGAGGCGCTGCGAATTGTTGCCCACCTGATTGCCCATTTGTTTGAGGAAGCGGTGGGGGCGGTGGCATGTGTTGCTGGCCGCTTACCTGGGGAATGGGTGGTGCAGGTGGTACCAGTGCGGCAGTGGTTGTGAGAGGAGTGCTTGGCTGCGGGAAAGTATGCAGCGGTGGAGAAGATGACACAGGAAGAGTACGTTGAGGTGGAGGTGGAGCTGATGTGGCCCTGGAAGCTCTTGGTGGAGGAGCAGGTCCTGCACTACGTCTTGGTGGTGGGGGAGGTCCTGGACGTTTTGCGCCCGGCAGAGCTCGCGAAGGAACAGCGGGTGCAGCTTGAGCAACAGGAGAAGCTGGGTATATGCTGTTTCCAGTAGGATTAGAAGTGACTCTACGAGGCGGGGGAGGAGGGCCAGGATTCCGCCTGGGAGGAGGTGCTGGAGGACCATTTCCACGAGGAGGTACTCCAGGAAGTGGTCGACCAGATTGCGGAAGTGGAGGCGCCACTTGCATTGGGGCATTGGCCTGGGGAAGCGGTGGAGCCACGGGATGTGGGTTGGAGCTTTGCGGCACCGGAAGAGGGAAAGGATTGTTGCTAGACCGCTGAGGATGAGCCGATACTGGCGGTGCTGGGTATGATACAGGTGGAGGTATCGGCGATGCAGAAGGAGGCGCAGGAGGAGCCCCATTAGGAAACGAGGTGTTGGTTGCTGGTAGAGGGGGTACCCTATGCACCAGTTGCTTTGCGGGCGGAGCTGGAGTGGAAGGTAGAGATGCACTCGCAGATGAAGGCTCCGACTCCGAAGAAGGATCCTGAGTTATATTTGCACTGAATGGTGCTGGCGATGGACTCTCGTAGGCTCGTTCTGGTGCCCGTGCCAGTTCCGATACCGATCCCTGAGCAAGTGGAGGTGGAGATGAAAATGACGCTGCCGCTGCAGGCGGAGGAGGAGGAGGAGCCTTTTTTTTGGTCGCAGGGACATCCGAAGAAGTGTCTTGTATTCTATAACGTTGTCTCTGATCGTTGATTAGCGACTCCCCTCGAGGACCCTGTACAATTTGTGCCTCTTGTTCCGTGTGTAGTTTCTTGGCCAAGGCTATGGCATTCTTATTGGCCAATGTCTTTTTAGAAGCGTATTTTTCGCGCTTCTGCACTCTTTTGAGAAGATGAGCGGCCTCGTCGAGGTCCTCGAATAGCAGGCCCGCCGTGCATTCTTCAAGCTCGAATGTATGGAAAAAGGTACGGTCCTGGTGGTAATCGAAGCCTACATACAGCTCTTGGTCCCATACCACACCCCTATGGCCCTGGATATCTACCAGCTTCAGAAAGAACGTATGGCCAACAATGTCGTCGACCAGAGCAACGGCTCCGGAAAGACCAGTATACTGCCATTCTTGAGGGTTTGGATAAGCGATGTACAGTCTGGCCACCGTCACATCCACTATCTTATTCGAGCTTTTTGGAAGAGCTCTTTTAATCTTCTCTTTATCATGAGAATTTAACAGGCCCATTGGCAGCTGTGGATAACAGGAAACCGATGGTCAATATTGAAGGGCCTTCGGAAGCTCTAAATCGAAGAAAGGAACTATGAAGCGGTGATGAATGTCCCGCAGTTTCGAATGCAAAAATTGTTGATACTCTCGTAGCTATATTCCCCCCACAGTTCTGGTCCGTAGTTCAATTGGTCTTCGAACAACCACTTTAGTGTTTTACTATAACCTATTGGCGGGTTTTGACACCTCTTGAATGACAATTTGATTGCCCCTTTACACTTTTCGTTTGTAGTTATGATAAACTTCCATCACTTGTGTATAAAACTGACACTGGAAGACAGTAAAATTCAAAGTCAAGGCCCGAGCGCATAGGAGAGCTTTTTAAACTAAGATACTATTCAATTTGACAGTCTAAAATTCAATGGCGATGTTGTTAAGCGATTTTGCCCTGGGTTCAATCCCGTTCGTGTGAAGTCGAAACGCTGGGAATTATGTAGGACGAGCCCAGGCATCTTGAAGCTATGCACGATGATCAAGGTGAAGTGGGGGGCTTGTGCATTCAGGCAGTTTTGGAATGCAGCTCATCGTTTGGCTCTGAAAGCTGCTGCTGAAAATTGTGCAAGTTTAATCTTTATGTAGTTTAATTGACATTTAGTAGAGCAGCTAAGGCCCAGGCTAAGATTGCAACAAAATGCACACGACACTCTTGAAGGAGAATGAAGGCAGGAAAACCATTCGAGCTTGCTTGAGATTAACCTTAACGGGTAGAATTTAGGTCGCAGGAGACGCGTGCTTTCAAAGTATGGTTCAATCATGACAGAATGATACACAGTGATTTTACATTTAGCGTAGTGTTTGCTGGGCATGAGCACCACAACAGTCTTGGGTACTAGCCGTACTCGTACATGCTAGTTGTTACAAATTTAGAAAAGCTATTTGAGAGTGGAGCTTGACTGTATTAGCTGCAGTATACGCTAGTCTCCAGATACGATTTCAGGATCGTGCTCTGTCAGGAAGTCCAGGGGCCTGAAGTGTTTCTCTCTACTACTTACGACCAAACATGATGCGCTGTGTAGCCTATCTTTTGAGCTTGGCGCGTTTCAATTGATGGTTCATGTCACGTCTATTTAGCACTGTACGTCGATAATCAAAACTCGCACTTTGTGGCGGTTTAAGTAAAAGTCCCAGAACAGACGAGTGAAGGTCACCAGTTCAGACCTGAAAAAGCGTGCGTCATAATCAGGCTTCGAGCTCGGCGTAAATATACCATTCACAACAAGATGGTTTTTTAACTACTCTGAAATTGGTTCTTCATATCACACCGTTGTACACTGGCCATGGGCTTTTTTTGTCGAGATCCATGCGCTGATCTGCTGCTGGGGAACCGTTGGAGACTGGCTCTGAAGGAATGCTGCCGTCAACCCATCCCCTTACTGTTTCTCAGCTGATTTTCCCTTGAGCATCTTCGAGTAATGCCCAAAGTGCTACTCGTTCTTATGTTTTGCCTGGGCGACGACAAAAAATTTCCACAACAGCGAGCTAGTTTGAATTACAACGCGTTTCTTACTTCTACATTCAGGCTGTATGGCTTATACGGGGGTTACCAGCTCGCACCCCGCCAAGTCCCAGCAGCATACAACCGACGTACACACACTACTTTTCCAAAAGGGTCCTAAATAATAACAGAAAAACGAAATCGCGCTAATTCGAAAATTTGCTGGCCCTCGACCGCTAGTTAGGAACACTGCGCCATCCTCCACAATGGACAGGGCAGTCTGGATGGAGTTGCCCTACGGTAGCCCTACGGTAGGCCAAGATGAACCTGATAATCACCATGAACGAAAACAATAGTAAATATTAACCAGGCTGGGTGGTTTTGAGAAGGGCTGGTAAGGCCAGAGTAAAGCCAAGCCAGAGACCAAGAGTAACTGCTACCACATCGCAGGCCAGTTATTTCGTGAGAGGATTTACTTCTACCGGGGACGCCTTTGTTTACTTTTGAGTATTGACATGCTTTTTTTAGACGAAACAGGCTTGTTACCACGGTCTTGGCTGAGATGGAGTTGTTGATAGATTTAGGGTAGCCATGGCAGTCCGACAAACATCGAGATTGTTTGTTTGGTGTCTAACGCCCAGCTTCGGGCTCCAAACTTCGAAAACACTGGATGTTGTGTTTGTTTGTTGGCGAATACCAAGAATTAGTCCAAGGCCACAGTATAGAATTTCCATATAAAAGGCGAGCAGCGTCTTGTGGAATGGTCGGAGAGTAATGTTTCAGATCTTAACAGCTCAAAAGTAACTATTACAGCTGACTCGACTCACATTGGATCTTTTGACTGAGTTAACCGTCTTCATCGATAACACTAAGGTTTTCCAAATTCTGTTTCAAACGCACACCCTAAATTAAAAATGTTACTTCTCGCCCTTTTTACCCTAGTGGCAAAGCTGGCGCTAGTAATTGGCTTCGATGCTAACTCCAAGTCTAATGTTGCTGTGTATTGGGGTCAATCATCAGCTGGCTCTCAAGAGTCTCTAGCATCCTACTGTCAATCCTCAGACGTTGACATCGTGCTTTTGTCCTTCATGTACTCATATCCCTCATCTATTGGCCTCGACTTCAGCTCCGCGTGCTCGGATTCGTTTTCAGACGGGCTTTTACACTGCGATCAGATCGGAGAAGACATCAAGACTTGTCAAGATTTAGGCAAAAAAGTGTTACTTTCCATGGGCGGTGCCACCGGTTCTTACGGCTTTTCAAGTGACTCGGAGGCAGAACAATTTGCAACTACTCTGTGGAACACTTTTGGCGGTGGCTCAGCAACCGAGCGCCCTTTCAATGATGCAATTGTTGACGGCTTCGACTTCGACATCGAAAATCAGAAACCCACAGGCTATGCTGCCTTGGCCAAGAAGCTCAGGAAGTATTTCAACTCAGCCTCCAAAGATTATTATTTATCTGCCGCTCCACAATGTTTTTACCCTGATGCCTCTGTCGGTGACCTATTGAACAACGCTGATATTGACTTTGCGTTTATTCAATTTTACAACAACTACTGTAACGTTGACAAACAGTTCAACTGGGATACTTGGACCCAGTTTGCATCTTCTGCTCCCAATCCAAGCATCAAATTATATCTAGGGCTACCGGGTTCGGCAACTGCTGCTGGCTCTGGCTACCTTTCTGATTTGAGCTTAGTGAAGTCTACAGTCGAATCAATAAGCGAAAGCAGTAATTTCGGGGGTATCATGTTGTGGGATGCTTCTCAGAGTTTTGGTAATGAGGTTGATGGCAAGACGTACATATCCCAAATGAAATCTATTTTGGAGTCGGTCGATTCATCAGGGACGTCTTCCACCACTGTTACATCAAGTTCCTCCATTGCAACTTCCAGTACTCAATCAAGTTCTTCCATTGCAACTTCCGCTCCTCAATCAAGTTCTTCCATTGCAACTTCCGCTCCTCAATCAAGTTCTTCCATTGCAACTTCCAGTACTCAATCAAGTTCTTCCATTGCAACTTCCAGTACTCAATCAAGTTCCTCCATTGCAACTTCCAGTACTCAATCAAGTTCTTCCATTGCAACTTCCGCTCCTCAATCAAGTTCTTCCATTGCAACTTCCACTTCTCAATCTTTCGCCACCCCCAGTACCCTATCAAGCTCCTCTGTCGCGGTCTACAGCTCCTCATCGCACTCAGCCATTGCTTCTTCCGCTGTCAGTTCCTCCAGAGCTCCAACCTTCACTTCTGTTTCTCTATTGAGCTCAGGTATTTCCTTCTCAAGCACTTCAGTGTCTTCCATACCGGCTTCTCACGTCCATGCCACTCAAAAGTCCACCTCAAGTGCCCTCGTCGTTGTTTACAGTTCAACTGCCGTTCAGTCAAGTACTCCGTCCTCTATCGCTGTGGCATCGTCTACGGAGGGAAGCTCAACAGCCCAGGCCTCTCAAACTTTGACCAGTACTTCCACGAACCCTTCCGCTCCTTACACCACTGGAACTTCGAGCCCATTATCGGATTCTTCTTCCACACGTAGCGACACAACTACAACTTTGGCCCCCACCATTGTGCCTTCAGACGCCCCTACTGCAACTTCGTCAACTGCTAGTACAACTTCGACTTCATGGGCCCACCAAAGAGCTACTGAGTTGAATGCTCAATATGCTGCAGGTCAGTTAAACGGAAACTCCAGCTGCTTCGATGGGGAAATTTCATGTTCGACCGACGGGAAAATCGCTATCTGCGACCATGGCTCTTGGGTGTTCACCGAGTGTGCTTCTGGTACGGTTTGTTTTGCGTACGACAGCAACGATGTTGTATTCACCACTTGCAACTTTTCCTATATGAAGAGTTCGTTTGTGTGACGTGTCTAGAACCATCCAATTTTGCATTGAATGAGGCGCCCGGCCCATTCTCAAAGAATTCTGCATGCGGCAATACTTACGGGAAGTGTTGATGTGTAAAATAGTAATAGTTCGAACAATAATGTTATTAATAATGATAATTACACCCTAACTACAAGGCCCTTTATGCGTCAGGTAATAAGCGTATACCCTAGATCTGACTTCACTCGTTTCTTCGTCCTCCACAAACATGGGCTTCCAATTAACCATTTCAATCTTCTCTGGTACTAGATCGAAGTCCAAGGCGGTTTCGAAAAACTTCAAATCGTCATCCAAAAGCCACGGCCTGTGGGGCGAAAATACCACCAACGCCTTTCCGTCTCTCGCCAAAAGCTCCCGCGTTGTCTTCAACAATTTTAAATGCTCAGTATGATTGAAGACCAAATCGCTCAGAATGATAAGGTCGAACTTATCTTTTCCCGCAGGAAGATGTTTTGTTAGCGGCTCATAGTCGTTACCCCAAATATAGCCTTCGACAACTACGTCCCTGGTTATGTCATCAGCTTTTGATTTCCCGTCGTAAAGTTGGTGGTCCACATTATACTGAATGTTGTATATTAGGTCCGCATCCGGGTAGTCTGTCGCCACGCATTTACGTGCGCCAATAAGACCTGATATCACAGAAGGTAAAGCAGCCGCCGCACCAAGCTCGAGAACGCATTTGCCCTGTACAAGTTCTGGAAATTTGTCAAGATGTTTAGCAGTGTAAATGCCAGCGTTCCAAAGCAGGTGGCCCCACAATGGAGAAGAGCCAACCAAGCGCAGATTTACAGTACGTGTCTGCGACTTGGAGACTTCAGACACCACACTTCTCTCGTATTGCGCAAAATGAGCTTCAGGAGGTGGTGTGTAAAATCCTTCTGGCTCTGCGAAAAGATCGCTCTGAATAAACGACTCGTCATCAGACATCTTTATCACACCAACGAGCCCAGGTAAAGAAGCAGCGTATAGCGTCTATCAATATTATTAGCCCGTGTTCACCCAAAGCCTTAAAAACCTTAACTTGATGTTGGTGCTTGACCATGTACGCTCGCACCTCCGCTAGCGATGAGCATCGCCAAACAAAAAACCACATCACCACCAACGTGCTTATCCTCATGATTGACGAGAGGGTTGTGCCGATTTATTGGAACATCTTGAGACGCTCCTGTGACGACCGGCTATGTCTTGTGGACGACCAATATAGCCACACCAATGTTGAAGACTCGTCATCTTCATAAATCTGCAAACCTCACCGTATCAGGTAAAGTAAGAATCTAGTATCAGGTATTTCCCCTGCAAATTTACCCTCTCATTGAAAGCGTACAACTTACGAGTCAAGACATAAGACTTCTTGGCCCCAGTTCGTTTGCTTGATACCACTTGATTAAGTTATTTTTTTAGCCATCGTTGGTATTAATTATAAGAAAGGCTCCCTGCTAATAAATAAGGGGATCACATTGAGGATCGGCGATTGAATTAGTTCAATGACAGCTCTCACATAGCTTGGTGCATTAATCAAACTTTTGAACGGATGTCGTAGCGTCTCCCGCAGCCTTTCTGCAAGCGACAGGAGATTTTTATATTAGGTTGTTCTTCTAGTGTCAATCAATTGTGAATGTTATATTATTATAAAAGTGTGACTACAAAAGGGCCTCCACCCCGCATATTTGCGTATATAAAAGGAAGGGTTTAAGAACGAGTATACCAGTTAGCCAGGACAGAAGTCGGAAGCGGACCACGCAGATTAGCAGTGGCTCACTTTCTATTCCTAGTTCGCACGTTTCAACGTCCCATAGAGCCACATATCTACGCTACCTCTCTTTATATAATGTCAGATCTCAACAGGATGGAAAGCCGAAAGATGACCTATCGTGTCGAAGGTGAGTTTTTTGTCATCACATTCACAGACCCCAAGTCCCTTAATTCACTCTCTGGGACGGACTACTTGTACCTGGCCCATCTCTTGGAAATCGCAGAGGAATGCGAAACCGTTAGCTTTACCGTTCTCCAGAGCAGCGGAAGGTTTTTCTCATCGGGGGCTGAGATTGGTCATATAGCACAGGTCCAAAAGGCTGCCAACACAGAGCCCCCAGGTATGCTTGGCAAATGGCTTGCAGAATTTGCCAGTCGAAACGTATTTGTTACCCACACGTTTGCGACACACTCCAAAATCCTGGTGTGTTGTCTCAATGGCCCGGCGGTAGGACTCACTGCGGCCCTGGTAGTGCTATGCGATATTGTGTACTCGATGAACGAAAACGTATATTTGTTGTTTCCATTCGCCAACCTAGCTCTCGTAACGGAAGGTGCTCTTTCCGTCACGCTGCCCTTGAAACTGGGCTACAACATCGCCCACGAAATATTGATGTTTGCCAAGCCAGTGAAATACGAGCAGCTCATCGACAAGGTGATTGTTCGCAATTACAAACTCACAGATACGGAAACTTTCAATAACCAGGTACTCGCTGACTTGCACCATAAAACGTCAGGTCTACACCACGATAGTTTTATAAACATGAAAAGCTTGTTGAGAAGGCCAATAATATCAGAGCTCAAACGGGCCAACATCGACGAAGTTGCTGACGCCATGAAATATTGGGTCAAGAGTCTACCACAGCAAAGGTTTGAAGAAATTGGTGCCAAAAAACGCCAACACAAGTTTTGATAATGCCTGTGCGTTCTCCCTCCGCTTCCTCTCCCTTTTATTCGACCTCCAGCTCATCACCTGCGTGTAAATCCTCCTCGGGTTCAATTGTGTGAAGGACAACTTCCACGGGCTTTTCATTTTCAGTAGTTATTCGCTTGGATATACTAACGCCGCTCATGATGAAAAACACCAAACCTAGCACGGCAAAAAGACCACTCCTTGTCGTGTGCCATCTCAAGTTCTCGATATCTGATTTGGTGTCTCCAATAATTCGTGTCCCTATTTTATGGTTGCAGTCTTTTAATTTCAAATGGATGTTGCGGTGCAGCAGAGTGTTTTCTATTTTATGATCGTTAAAATCCACCTTGGAATCTTTCTTTAGTAGGTTAATCATCTGTTCGTTCAGTTCGTCGTGTAGTAAATGCAAGCTACGGTTCAGCTGCAACAGTTTAAGATTTTGTTCATTCAAAGCCTTCTCCCGTGAAATCTGAACCGCATATCGAAGTTCAGCCTCTGCCGCGTTGAACATATGTGACTGAGTGTCTAATTCCGTTTTCTGGAGGAATTTTTGATTGTACTGGTCGAAGAATTCTTCGTTCAGGGTATGGACTAGTAACTCAATGGCCAAGGAACTTTGCTTTGGAGTGAATCCACTTCGAAGCAGTTTCTCGTAACATCTCAGTGTGTCTATTTGATTCTCTGCAGTGGTAGACTCGAAGCCATTACCTTCAGAAATAAGCTCTTCAGGTAGTTTTTCAATTCCTGTAACGTTATGATTCAGATTTATATTCGGGCCCTGCTTGAGAAATGAATCCTGTGAATTAACACCACTGTTGAGCATTTGACGAGCCACATGGAACGCTCTAACGGGGCATTTTATTCTAAAAGGGAGATTCATCATTCATCCAAAAGTATTACTGAAGCCGGGCTTGGTTTGTGTGTGAAATTGCTCGTTGAAAGATCTTAAAAGATCAAGGTTATCCCAAATATCATATTCTTAGTATTACTTGTAAAGTAATTTTCGAACAAACTACACACGATTACTTGTACAGACACAAGTAAGCCAATAGAGCTCAGAGTTGGCTCGTGAGAGCGCTAACGAAGTTTTTCGAGCTATTTAGTCTTAGAGCTGTCAAAGATCGATGATAACAAGGGGGCGGACTCCCATATATCTGGGGCGTGGACTACACACATGCTACGCCATCTTCATCAAGAAGCATAAGCTCCCTCCCAGACCGAAACTTAGCATTGGGATAGAGTCCGATCTGGAGGAGAAGTTTTTACATGGCGGCCGAGGACCCGGTGGCCAAAAGATTAACAAATGTAACAGTAAAGTTCAACTGAAACATAAACCAAGTGGAATTGTAGTGGAATGCCAGGAAACTCGATCCCGAGATCAAAATCGTAAAATTGCCCGGGAGAAGCTGGCCTTGCAGATAGCGAGGTGGGAAAATGGTTGGAAGATGCTTGCACGAGAAAGGGCGCTGCATGAATGGGAAATACAAGGAAAGCGCAGCAAAGAGCGCAAGAGCCACGATAAGCATGAAAAACATAGAGAGGAGAGAAAAATAGAGCGCCTCAGGGCTTTGGAGGAAGAGGAGAAGCTTCTGCAAGGTATTCTGAAGTAGGGTATAACCGAATTGCTCGGCTGAAATGGTGTCTAAAGGCGCGAAGCTAAAGAAACAAACCAGCAAAAACCTTTTTCTGAAATGGGACCGCTTTCAAAAGGAGAGCGCTTGATATTTTTCCTATTTCTGATCTCACTGGACGTACAAAAACCGATAGTCGTTCTCACGAACGTCAACGTTCAACCTATTGACCACCTTTACAAGAAGAATTGGCACACCACTTGTTTGTTTGAATCATTCGATATTCGATAGCTCGAGACCTTGTTGATGAGCAAGTGACTAACCTTTTTCTACCGAGTGGCACATATTGTTCGAGCTGAGCAGCTACATGGACCTGAGAAAAAACTTGATAAAGGTGCGAAGATAAAAAAGTGGCATGCAAATTCTGTATGTAATACTCTAGGTTCAGAGTTTTGCCATCTCTGTCAGTACTTTTTCAAATTGAGTGATAAACGAGCTCGCCAGAAAATGGGGTGAGCTTTGGCCTAGCAGTCTTCGTCAAAGGTTCACATGCTGAGAGAGAGCTTCCTTAGAAAAGTTTGGCGTTATTTTCAAAGTCTAAGCTATTGTCAATTCTCGGCCCACTAGCTATTGTGTCAAGTCGCACAAGTGCGTTACGAACGTGAAGAATGACTCATATCCACTCATATGTTGATCAGAAACTCATCTCGTCATTAAGCGCAGCATTTAGCGCTATCCGAGAGGCAGGCAAAGCCAACAATGGGCCGACCTCCTAAGATAGTTAGCCAGCGGAAAATTGAAAAATTTCAATTGGAGTTGGAATTGGCTGGCCAAGATGCGGAAATATTATTGAAAGATAAAAAAGGAAGATCAAGATCGTGTCTACTTTGTCAGCGTCGAAAAAGACGCTGTGATCATAACATGCCTAGTTGCACAGCATGTTTAAAGGCGGGAGTGAAGTGCATTCAACCACCTAAGTATGCAAGCCCGGGGCCGCTCGAAGAAGTGCCACCGGTATCCACATTGGATCGACCGAAACCTCTATTCCAAGTTGAGTTATCAGGAGGGCAAACGCTGAGTAAAAAAAATGAAAAATATGACTATACGAGACTCTTGGAAAAGAAGCTCAAGCACTTGGAAGCTATCGTTGAGATGCCATTTACTGAAGAATCACTGAGAGATGAACTTGCCAATTACAAGCGAGTATCTCATCTTCTGGATGTGGCGGGGCTCGAAGAACCACAAGGGCAACAAACCAGAATTGCTACGGGTAGTGCAGGCACTTCAACCCCTCAGTTTTCAATGGCCCCGCCTTTATCTTCTGCAGCATCGTCGCCTATCTTACCCCCACTGCAGACCGTAAAGCTTTACCCTCTGCAACCAGAACCACACAATAAGGGCAGATCGCCCTTAAGGGACAATGTTGGGAATTGTCTTGCTTCACTGACTTCTGACTCCTTGGAACCTATTGACTTCTCGCAGTGTATTTTCGCAAAATACAACCTTCGAGATTTTTTGTCATACGACCCTGCATTTGAGTTTGAAGAGCAGTTGTCTCGAGCATTTCTCGACACCTACTTCACAAGGCTTCAATTCAAATATCCTTTACTAGATGAGCAGGAAGTATACTTATTTCACGATAATTACAGCAGCAACAATGTTTATTCCTACTCTACGGAAGAATTCCACTTTGGATGTGGGAGGATGTGGCTTATATTTAGTATAAGTGCCTGCTTGCACATGTCGGCAGGCAAGTACCTGGGTCTCCCACCCAACCGATATTTTTCGACAGCAATTCGTCATATCACGAAATGCGGGAAAAACCTTACGCACCTCCAACAAGTGGAGGTGCTAACCTTGTTGGTTCTATACATCATCCGAACCGACCGTGATTCTAGTGGACTTTACGAGATCATGAAAGACATTATGTCGATTTGTAAGGACAAACTAAATCTCAATAAACTCAACAGCTCGGGGCATATTGACGGTAAAAATTTAAGGCTTTTTTGGTGCGTATATCTTATGGAAAGGACAATCTGCGTTGCTGTGGGGAAGCCATATACGATCGCCGAGTCAGATATAGATCTACCATTGTTCGACGAAGTAAGTTTCAATAACAGTCTAATAAGTGATCAAAAAAGGCACAAGCGTGGGGTACATTTTATCAACCAATCATTGAAATTAAGAAGAATAGAATCTCAATTTGTGGAGGCATTACAAATAATCCCACAAATGCCAAGCAGATCGTCGGAGAACCATAAAGAAACGACAGAGCTTGCGAAACAACTACCGCAAGTTAAAAAATACTTTCATGATTTGGAGATATGGAGGTCGAACTGCTCCACATCTCACGTTCTTAGCTTCGAGAATGAAACGCTAAAACTTTATTATTTCAGGTCTGTGCGTTTACTAATTCAGCCTTACCTAGAACTGTTAGAACCTGAAAACCGCTTATTTCGGGAGTGCCAAGCAGCTGCTGGCCAGATTTGCCAGCTGTATAAAATTTTTCATCAAAAAACTGTCTATGGTCATTCAACGCCTGCAGTACACACGGTATTTGTCGCCGGTGTTACTCTTATTTATTGCATGTGGGTAACAAGAAATCTGGACGATGAAAGGCGCAGAAAATTGGGTGACGTTTCCAAGCATACAAGGCCACTTGTAAGCGCTAGCCTGTTCTCCATTATGGATGATCTAAGGGCCTGTTCGGTGTGTTTATATGTGATGACAGAAAGGTCAAAATTTGCCATCACTTTTAGAGACACTTTTGATCAACTTATGAATGCTACAATTGGGAATTTGATTGAGCGATGCGGCCCTGATTCTGCCGAGCTCATATATATCAATGAAGACGCCAGCGATCAAGATTCATCATATGATGCTCATTCCGAGAAGTCAGATGACTTTCAAATGCAACAGGATGCTCAAACACACCAAGAGGGAATGCCACCTGCGATCAGACGTACATTTGGCTCTTCTGGAGATGCGCACGTCAGTTTCGTTAAGATCGATCCCGAAGAACAGAAAGTTTTAGAGAAAAAGCGGGGTGACCTACAAAAAGCCACTGTTCCTCAAAAGCTATCTCACCTTTTAGCGCCTGATATCGAAGACGACGATATTGATAGCCCAGGTAGGTCAACAAGACGTAAGTCCACAGGATCAGGCCGACAGCTGACAGAGAAGGACAAGTACTTTGTGAAAAAACCTGCTCACATCACCGAATCTGATTGGCAGGCATTCCAGCAACAGGCCTTTTTACAGCAACATCACGCCCAGCAAACTCTACAAGCGTATTTGTCATCTTTGAGCGGAATGTTGGGCGACAGACATCAAGAGGACCGGTGTACTTCTCATATCAGTGCGAACAAACTGGAGAAGAAAATAGTAACAGACGATGTGAGTGCGTCTAAACCAATGCCTGTTTCATCGACCGCCCCAGTGATCGATCCTCACACCCAGCCAAATCATGATAATGAAAATGAGAGTACTGCTTCTGAAAACGCACCTAAGGCAATAGTACGGTCAACGCGTCCACCTTTTAGGACACCTCAAAGAAGCGTTTCGAACAGGCTCTCCAATGGCTTTATGGGTTCTGAAGACTATGGTGGGGTGTTCTTTAACAATGGGACTCACAATATGATAAACAATATTTCGACGTGGACGAATGATTCAGTTGTTGATCTAATGAATAATTGCCAAATGGATTACGGTTTGGTGTCAAACGTGAACCCTTCAGATATGCCATCACGTACGGGTACTACGGTGGGCGGAGGTCATGGGCATTGGGGCCAGTATCAAATGCCTCCAAATCCAACTGGCCTTATTTCAACCTCAGAGATAGGGCCATCTGCGGCACAACAGCAGCAGGATAAGCAAAGACAATTTTCTAATGGCATAAACCATAATCAAATACATCAGCGAGAAACATATGGAAATCAACCCTTCAGTAAGGATCAAGAAGCCCGCCAACAATCTTTAAGCACTTCGCAGCTGCAATCGCAGCAGCTTGTAAATTCAATTCCTAGCCAACAGATAGAGCATCCTTATGCGCCGTCACACCCTTCGCGTCTTACAAGTCAGCCTGTTCGTGGATACCTTCAGGCAGATATAGCGTTTGGAACACCAGTAGAAGATTTTTGGGCTGTCGATGATGACTATGGGTTTCTGGCTTAAATGATTTTGCAGAAAACCTTAAGATCCTTTTTACTTTCCAATAAGCCATACTAAAGTCCAATTGACGTCAAGGTGATCGGCGTTTCTCTAATTGCAAGGCGATCGCATAACACGCAAGGATCTCAAGATAATAAGTGACAAAACATGCATATATAGATAGGTAGGTATTCAAATGTATGATTATTCATGAAGAACAGCGTAAAGAGCTGGAACAAATATCGATATCACCTAAAATCGTTGACCTTCTATCCAGTTGTGGGTAATGTGTGTTGATACTTCGGATAGGCTCGTCATCTGTGATGACCATGGGCAGGACACAATTTCTATGAAAATATAGGCCATATCGCCAACATGTTATAAGTGACAACAAGTTGTGTGAAGAGCTAAAAGCGATTTGTAAGTGGGTTGGAGACAATTGGAATTAGCGCCTAAGAGACGTTAATTAAGGCCGTTTTTACAATTAACTCTCTTTTGGCAGAATTGAAGCAAGTTGTTCAATTATTACTAACTTGAACCAACTCCAACTTCCTGAACCAACACACAGGTTCGTTTGCTCTCCTTCCTGTTCTAATTCAATATTTCTCCTTTCCAGAACTGGCACTTGCTCGAAGCTTGATTCCTAAGCTTGATTCTTTTAGCGTTCTACAACCTTATTCCGCTCTTGCCCAGAAGCTCATATTGACCGCCCAGCTTTCACCATGTCCATAGACCAAACCCAGCTCAGCAAGACTTCCTTCAAGTTTTTCGGACTTGGTGGTAGTAACGAGGTTGGTAGGTCCTGCCATATTCTTCAATATAAAGGCAAGACTGTCATGCTCGATGCGGGAATTCATCCGGCTCACCAGGGATTAGCGTCTTTACCCTTTTATGACGAATTTGATCTCTCGACGGTTGACGTTTTATTGATTTCGCATTTCCATTTGGATCACGCAGCATCCCTGCCATACGTTATGCAGCGGACCAACTTCCGAGGTCGAGTGTTTATGACTCATCCTACTAAAGCTATTTATCGCTGGCTGCTGAGTGACTTCGTGAAGGTGACAAGCATTGGGTCTAATGGTTACAATGATAAGGATGAAAATCTTTACACTGACGAAGACTTAGCAGAGTCTTTCGATAGGATTGAAACCATCGATTTCCACTCCACAATCGATGTCAATGGTATCAAGTTTACCGCTTTTCATGCCGGCCATGTCTTAGGAGCTGCAATGTTTCAAGTTGAAATAGCAGGTCTCAAGACTTTATTCACTGGTGACTACTCTAGAGAAACTGACAGACATTTGAATTCAGCAGAAGTTCCTCCATCGTCGTCTGATATTTTGATTGTCGAATCGACTTTCGGTACAGCTACACATGAGCCAAGAATTAATAGAGAGAAGAAGCTCACACAACTGATACATTCTACAGTGCTACGTGGTGGACGAGTCCTGTTACCTGTTTTCGCTTTAGGTAGGGCTCAAGAAATTATGTTGATCCTCGATGAGTTTTGGTCACAACATCACGATGAGCTGGGAAATGGGCAAGTTCCTATATTCTATGCTTCAAATTTGGCTCGAAAATGTATGAGTGTATTTCAAACCTATGTGAATATGATGAACGATGACATACGGAAAAAGTTTCGTGATTCTCAATCCAACCCTTTCATTTTCAAGAATATATCCTATCTTAAGAATCTTGATGAATTTCAAGATTTTGGTCCAAGTGTGATGCTAGCTTCACCGGGCATGTTACAAAACGGACTTTCGAGGGACCTGCTGGAGAAATGGTGTCCTGACGAAAAAAACCTTGTTCTAATTACAGGTTATTCGGTAGAGGGGACAATGGCAAAATACATAATTTTGGAGCCTGATACACTACCGTCTATCAATAATCCTGAAGCGAACATACCCCGGCGCTGCCAAATAGAAGAGGTCTCTTTTGCTGCCCACGTAGACTTTAGGGAGAACTTAGACTTTATTGAGAAAATTGGAGCGAAGAATGTTATCTTAGTTCACGGGGAATCTAATCCAATGGGCCGTCTAAAGTCTGCACTGCTATCGAATTTTGCGTCGCTCAAAGGAACTGAAGACGAAGTACACGTTTTCAATCCTCGAAATTGTGTAGTCGTTGAGCTTGAGTTCAAGGGAATCAAGGTAGCAAAGGCCATGGGGAACATTGTTGATGAAGTAACAACGGCGCTAGGAATTCAAAAAGAGGCACCAGAAAACGCACTACCGGCGATTGAAGAAGTATTGAAACCAGATCATGATAATGTGAGAGGAGTCGACGAAACCGTTGTTTCAGGAATCTTGGTGTCGGACGAAAAGAACTTTGATTTAAATTTGGTATCGCTTTCAGATCTCAGGGATTATCATATGGACCTATCAACAACCGTACTGAGGGAACGACAAACCGTTTACATCGATTGCAAGAAGGAACTGATCTATTGGCACTTATGCCAGATGTTTGGTGACATGGAAGTGATCATCGATGAAGAGGGCATTACGCATAGCAAGGAGGCGCCTTCAAAGGCTAATAGCACCTCCGGCGACGAACTAGAATTGAAAATTATGGGTGACGTTAAGCTCAACATCATCAAAAACATTGCAACGCTGGAGTGGTCGCAAGGAATAATGAATGACACTGTTGCCGACAGTGTGATGGCCATTCTTTTGAGTGTAGACTCCTCGCCTGCAAGCGTGAAAATTAGCAGTCGTAGCTGCAGCCATGACCATGATCATTTGCATGACCATGAAGATGTTTGGAAGATCAAGCAGGTTGCACGTCTTTGTGCCGAGCAATTCGGTGAATGTTTTAGCTACAAGTTAAGTGATAGTGAGCCTGCGGCCGACATCATGGGCCACGTTACAATAGGGAAAAATAAAGCCTCTATCAACCTATCTCAGATGAAGGTCGAAGAATGCAATTCCAATCCTTTAAAAGGACGTATCGAGAGCATTCTCAGCATCGCGAGCGACTTGGTAGCTCCACTATGTTGAATATCACGTATCACGAATGATGGTGACTAAAATTTTAAACGTTGCATCTCATCTCATCTCATCGCATCGCTGAGGCACACATATCTACATAAGTGTGTATCACATTATCCTAACAAAGTCTCTAGGTTGATTGCATTCAAACAAGATGAGCACGAATGAGGACTCCAATGTTCATGTGGACGACGCAGCAGATTTCGAGTCGTTCCACTTGGATTCGAGGCTTTTGCAAGCGATCAAATATAACGGTTTCGAAAAGCCGACGTTGATCCAGTCTAGCGCAATCCCGCTGGCCCTAGAACAAAAACGAGATGTCATTGCTAAGGCATCCACTGGCTCTGGTAAGACTTTGGCTTATTTAATCCCGCTAATCCAGACTATTCTCCTGCACAAACTCTCACAAACTGACGAAGGCTCTAGTCAAAAGACTCTGGGGATAATTTTAGTTCCAACTAGAGAATTGGCACAACAGGTGCAATCCATGTTGAACAAGCTAATTCTTTATTGTTCGAAGGAAGTGCATTCTCTAAATTTGTCCTCCCAGCTTGCGGATAATGTGCTAACATCACTCCTCTTAGATGGGCCCGAGGTTTTGATTTCGACTCCTTCTAAGCTGTTGAATGTTTTAGAGACCAAGAGCAATGCTTTGTCGGTGGATGCCTTGAAAGTTCTGGTTATCGACGAGGTTGACCTTGTTTTAACATTTGGCTACGAGGATGACCTGAATCAAATTGCAAAATATTTGCCGCTTAAGAAGAATCTACAGACGTTTTTGATGAGTGCTACCTTGAATGAAGATATTCAGGAATTGAAATCGCGTTTTTGTCGTTCCCCGGCGATTTTGAAGCTGAATGACGATGAGATCAACAAGGATCAAAGCAAGCTTATTCAGTACTATGTCAAGGTATCTGAATTCGATAAGTTTTTGCTGTGCTACGTCATTTTCAAGCTAAGTTTGATCAAGGGTAAGACACTGATTTTTGTCAACAGCATTGACAGAGGTTATAGATTGAAACTCGTGCTTGAGCAGTTTGGAGTTCGGTCATGTATATTAAACAGCGAGCTGCCAGCTAATTCCAGACAACATATTGTTGAAGAATTCAACAAAAATGTATATCAATTGCTTATTGCCACCGATGATACTGAATATATTAAAGAAGAGGATGAAGATCATCAAGAAGGCGACAATGAAAAAGCAGAAAACAACCCAGAAGGAAATCGCAAGAACAAACTATCTGGCTCATTGACCAAAAAAGATAGAGACTATGGTGTTTCCCGCGGGGTGGATTTCTTGAATGTTGCATGTGTGTTAAACTTCGACTTACCAACTACTTCGAAATCCTATGTTCACAGAATTGGCAGAACTGCTCGTGCCGGTAAGTCTGGAGTTGCCATCTCTTTTGTGGTACCTTTAAAAGAATTTGGAAAACATAAGCCATCCATGTGCCCTTCGTCGAAGAAAGACGAAAAAATTCTCTCCAAGGTCATCAAACAGCAAAGTAAATTGGGTTTTGAGATACTTCCTTACTCGTTTGACATTAATCAAGTGGAGGGCTTCCGCTACAGAATGGAAGACGGGTTCCGTGCGGTAACGCAAGTTGCTGTACGCGAAGCACGGGTGAAAGAGTTAAAACAGGAAATGCTGGCCAGTGAAAAATTGAAGAGGCATTTTGAGGAGAATCCACAAGATTTGCATAGTTTAAGACATGATAAAGAACTGCATCCCGCTAGAGTTCAACAACACTTGAAAAGAGTTCCCGATTATCTACTTCCCGAAGCTGCAAGGAAAGACAAGAAAAAAATAGGGTTTGTTCCTTTCCACAGTGCCAAAAACTTGAAGCGTAAAAACAAGGTTTACAAAAACAAGAATAATAATAAGAGAGGTGCTAAGTCGGATCCACTCAAAAACTTCAAATAGTTCAAATATTTTGCATTTGTAATTTAAATTTCTACCAAGGAGCAAGGTACTTTTTAGTTGGCGAAGGCAAAGTGACCTCCTGTAACCTATTTTACTCTCAAAATCCAAGTTTACCTTAATATTTCCAAGCTTTGCTAATCGTGATTATTACATAGGCGCCCGAAGAACAATGATAATAGAGTCTCCTCTTAAAAATAGTTTACTGATGAATCGCTCCCTGTTTACCGTCTTTTTATTTTGCTTTTCAGTCCACAGTTCCTTGACATTTTCCAGCACCATATTACAGTGCCTGTCAAACGCCTTTATACGTGCTATAATCTTGTGATTATTTCTTAGTGATATTATAACAGGTATTTTAGATACCATTGCATCATTTATCAACGACATAGGGCCATGCTTGAATTCAAACTCTTCCAGCTGCTGAAGCTCATCTTGTGTCAATTCCGAACGAGGGCGATCTATCAATTCTCTATAAAACCTGTTAGTAAGAAATAGCGATAGACGTATATCTATGATCTAATACCACATACGACATTGAAAACGATTTCCGAAGTAGTGCAGGGGCGAATGGGGTATCAGGTTGCTGATTTGTTAGCTACCTTACTTTGTAATGGAAACTTGAAAGTGCTAAAATAAATTGAAAAATTCTGAATCTTATCACGTGATTTACACATGCGCCGCGGAGCGATAAGTTCACTAAAGGGAACATGTTCAAGCACCACTTCTGTATATGTTTTGACCTTGGTAACGAAGTTGAATAGTTCCGTGGCGCTCCAAAATGTACAGCGCTCTGTCGAGAGCAGGTGGAGAGTAGTTTTTCTGCTCACAAAATTCGCGACGTAGAGTTTGATAGCTCGTGGACCAGCCAACGGGCAGGCGTCTTTTCAGTTCTTCTTCAATACGTCTCACATCTTGCACCAAGTCGGGATTTTGTCCAAGCCCGCCAATCGGATCTTGTGAAGCCGCGTCCATGGTAGATGCTTGAAATAGCCTGATTGCTTCATCAACGTGCCTTTCTTGAGCAATAGGACTCAATTCCAGCTTGGCCAAGGACTCGGAAATACGAATTATTGCCTCTAATTGACGCACCGTGATCGGTATAGATGACCGCTGTTCACTTTGCAATTCGTTAATCAGAAGTTTTTTGCGAATACCCACAAAATGAGATGACAGCTTCTCGGCAGCTTGTGTTGAAAGGCGAGGTGCGCATTTCATCCTGCAGTATGTAATATACCGCTTCATAAGCTCAATAGGAATTTCGGCACCAGCAGACTCTTGCTCCTCGTCCTGGATGGCCGTTCTGCCGGTGTGGATATTCATGACGTGGTTGGCGATAGAAATATCTCTTTCCTCATTATGGTGGTCCTTCACAATGTAGATCATGTCAAAACGAGACAAAATGGTAGATTGAAAATCAATGTTCTCCCCAGGAGACTTCAAGTCATCATAACGTCCGTAGATAGGATTGGCTGCAGCCATCACACTCGTCCTCGAATTAAGAACCGTTGTGATGCCCGCCTTGGCAATAGAAATTGTTTGTTGTTCCATAGCCTCATGAATGGCAACTCGATCCTCGTCTCTCATTTTGTCGAACTCATCGATACAAACAACACCGCCGTCAGCCAAGACCATTGCACCCCCTTCTAGATAAAATTCTCGCGTGGCGGGGTCTCTTTGAACTGATGCAGTGAGACCAGCAGCCGAAGAGCCTTTACCAGAGGTGTAGACGGCAATGGGGCTCACTTTCTCAACAAACTTCAGCAATTGGGACTTTGCTGTGCCCGGATCACCGAGCAGTAAGACATTAATATCCCCTCTCAATCTCATCCCATCTGGCAAGAGCTTCTTAGATCCTCCCATCAAAAGACAAACAATAGACTTTTTTATGTCGTCGTTACCGTAAATGCTGGGAGCAATCGACTTCGAGAATATCTCATATAAATCTGGACGTCTGCTTAATGTTAAGAATTGTTCTTCCTCCTCTTCAGAGAAATGTGTTGTACTATTGATAGAGTTTCCATCCAAAGCGGTCTGAATCCCTAAAATTTTAACGTAAGGATTCCTGATGGCGACTGCTTTACCACCACTGGCTGCTGTTCCTACTCCCCGACTTTTAGCTTGATAAATGGAATAGATTCCCACGATAGTAGCTCTTGTACCTGGAACAATCTTATTGGTCAAATATCGATCAGCAGACATTAAGATATTACGTGGCATTTCACCAACTGGCACGAGTTCAGGAACCTCTTGAAGCTTGAGAAACTGCTGGTCAACGAACCTGGAAGACTCATGAACGATCATGTAAGGATCCTGTCCGCACGGGTTACCGCCTGTATCTCGAGAATGATCCGCCATGCACGATTTAGGAAGCGAAACACTGCTTCCACCTAGTGTGCCAAAGCTGTTGAGCCGCATCGTGGTAACATGCCTGCAGCTCCTGCACATCAACGTCAAAAAGGTAGCTTTCGATGACAGAACAGAGGCAGAAACAACGATGCCGCTGACACGCACAATTTTGGAAACGTTTTCAGAGCCCAAAACTCGTAGTGATGTTTCGGACGCATTCGATTTAAGCATCACTTGGCAAACCGGGATTTCCAAGCCGCTGAAACTAGGTCCGGACGCCCCAACACCATCACCGTTCTTCTTATCTTCCGCCGCGTTGGGGTCTAAATTGATGTCTCGCGAAAGCAGCGCTATCCGGCGGGCCACCTGGGTTACAGCTTGCTCAAACAGAGGAAGCACGTCTGTAGGTTCATCGCAGAGCTTCTTATAAAGGTCTTCGTTGTAGCCAATCAAATGCGCCGTGTCAACTGTTATACAGAAATTTTTGACTAGGAGGTTACTTCTCAGCTGTTCTCGATACACGAAGTGAGAATCTAATCGAAATTCGAGCACAAAATTGTGGAAAGATTTAATAATTTCGGAATTATCATTCTCACCAATCTCCTCACCGGCTAATACGGGAGCAGCATAAATTTCAGTTCTGTCATAGGACATTGCGAGCTACCGACAGGGTTCGCTGCACCTAACTTGGCTAAGTTAACGTTAATCTAAAGTGTCATTTCATCCAAAATTTTGTACGCGATTAGTAACTGAGGACGAACAGATAGCCAATATAATACTTCAGTGATAGAGAGATAAACGTAAATAGGGCTGTCTCAAGGCTGGACTGCACTCACTATAAACACGCTTATTTGGGATTCGGTCCGTGTGAATTTTAGAGCTATTCGAAAAGAACTAGTCATCAAAGTTTGGACTGGGCTTGTATTATTCGAATATCTAACGTGCCCCCACTTGCTGTGACGAGGAAGGCTAGTGTAAAGCCTATCTGGCGATGGACGATGCTTGATTTTTTTGAGTAGTGTCAATTCTTATCGCCACTGCTGAATGGTTTCGGTAATAGCGATGTGCGATAATGTCAGAATTAATAATAAAATTGCTGCCTTTCTGGAGCGCACCAGACGGAAAACTAATGTCTGTATCACGCGGGGGGAGGTTTCGGCGGCACACATAAGAGCTCATATTTCTCTCGCCCTATTGAGCCGCATCACAGTAGTTGACGGTTCAGTCCAATGGCATTGATGGAAAAACGTCGCACAGCGAACGGCACCTCAACAACATTCCCTTGACATGAGGGCCAAATAGAATCCTTCTTGGACTACGTTTTTGTTGGGGACGTGAGGAAACCGATATGTGAGGAAACCGATATGTGAGGAAACCGATGGTGACGTGCGCCTAATCGCATAATCAGCGTCAGGAAATATGTGACACAGTGGTACAGAATGATAGGGCACAACAGAGCCAGCTAAGACAAGCCGAAGAGAACATCTGTCCGATGGGATGGGACTGGCGGTTGATGAGTTAGAGCCGCAATCCATGGATTACGGAATGGTCTAGAAGGATGATTAATACTTGTGTCGTCGAGCGAGAATTGTGTAAATACCAGGCGTTTGTCCAGGTAACTGAACCAACTATGGTGCGTGCAATAATCACGGAGAGATAGATAGAACTTTCTAGATCCAAGTCGCTCAGCTTTAGTAGCTTTCTACTAATGAGTCCCATTCGCCTCAATAAAAACCATGCCGCCGGCCATTGTCATGTAGGACCCATTGAGTTGAAAGTCCCGACTGTGCTCAAATTGACCCGGCCATTTTCGCCTCTTGCTAAATACCCTCCCGCCACCTAATGCCGCAGAAAAATAATAAAGTCACGAACGAGACTGGGTAGAAAGCAAACTTCAATACCAGAGACGTTGCCGGTCCAAGAGCTACGTTCGCTATGTTCCCTGAACAATGGGACTTTATATATACGGAAGTGACAGACCTGGCCGACTGGCCCTCGTATCCATTCGTGGTGAAAGTGACTCCTCTACGACTCTAGGACTTGCGGACGTGTGGAATGAATCTGACTTCGAGTCATGGTGCTGTAGGCATATTCCATACACCGAATAAGTCGGGACCCTTGGTCTGCGCCACTCGAATGCACGACAAACCCCGATATCCAACACGGAAGCTAGGAAGACTTCTACGCTATCTGGACCTTCAGCGGCTCCTGCTTTACCGGCGTCCACGGCCGAGGGATGCGTCCAATGTTCGGCGAGCACATAGTCACGTGGAGGGGCCGGAGCCGCCCAAGCCCGGTCATGTGATGTCCGCCCTGGGCTCTTCGAGCTCAGCATACCTACTTGCAACGCACCCACCATCACTTCGCAGTATACCGACACTGTGGCGGCGCTTGGTGGTCTTACCAGTGTCCCTCTGTGCCAAGACCCGCTCTTTTCTAACACAGCTCGCTACCGCTTGGTGGTTCTACAGTGTCTACACCAGGCTCTCCTTCCTGCCACTTTGTGTTATCGTGACACCGTGTTCCCGGCCCCGCTTACCTAAGCCACTAACAATAACAATGCGGGGCATAAGGGCACCCGTTTCAAGTGAGTATCCACCCCACATTTCTCAACCACGCCCTACTCGCTTAAGTGGCCATCCAACAATTCATGCATTCGGCAAAAGCCGTCAAGTAGACCCCACCCCACACAAACTCCAGGGGAAACAAGGCACATGCATACCACACTTGACCCAACACAAGGCACCAGGCACAAGGAACAAAGCACAAGGGACCGCGTGCGGTGAGGTAAGCCGGAAGCACAAAAATACAGTGGGGCAGCGTGGGCCTCGAAATGCAGTGCCAGCAAACAGTTTGGGAGCCCCTGTTACCAAGTGGCCGAGAGTACTCGTTGAATGTGCGTGCACTTTACGAGCGAACTTGGCCAGAGCGACGACAAGCACTTCGACTTCGGGGTCCTACTAAATGTTATGGCTGGTGAAAAGCGTGGTCCAAACCATGTTAGGGCAGTAGCCAGCCTGCCTGCTACTTAGCGGGCTGACTGTTACCAAGCTTTCCAGAAAACGTTGTCGCTCGAGAGCGTGACTCCTCGGTGTATTTATTGCCCTAGCTCCGAACGATCGCTCCGTACGTGACGGAGAAGAAAAAATAATTAATGTAACCAAAACCAGGGGCAACAGGCTGCCGCTATCGGAGCACGGGAGAATTGGGAGCTGCGGGTATATAAAGGCCCCGGTATCAGGAAGGCCCCAGGAGGTTTGCTCCAGAAACAAGCAAAACTCCTGAAAGCTATAGAAAGCTATAGAACGGCCCTTCACAGGTCACACACAGGACAAACAGGGCTCCTGGCACATAGCGTAGCGTTGTGTAGATTAGCTCTAGTTCGAGGCCCAGCTCCAGTGCCACAGAGCTGTACTGAGGACTCGCACGACTGCTGGCACGCAGTTCAAGAAAAACCAACACACAGGCGGGACACCACCGCCGGGGCGCACGCCAGAGCTGTAAGGGCAAGTGCGCAGTCTCCGATGACGGATGCCGCTGCAGCTGTGTGCGTGGCAGACCGCGCCAAGCATGCGGACGGGGTCTCCGTGTTCGACCTGGTAGCGTGGTCCAAAACCAGGGACGGGTCGCCCGTGCCGCCACGGCCACAGGCGCCGCTGCTGCGGCCCTCGCTCAAACCCTGGACCACCGCCTCTACCTCCAGATCCACGTCGTCGCTCAAAAACGTGCGTTTCGCGCATCAGCTGACCACGGTCAAGCGGTTCGACACACAGTCCGAGCCCATCTCCATCTCCACGGAGAACTCGCCACAGCTGGGCCCGCTGCAGGTGCGAGGCGATGGCGGGGAGGTGGAGGACTGCGCCGGCGACGCTGACACCGACGATGGTGACGACTTCTGGTTTGGAACCACCCTCTCCCGCTCCAAACTGTTTTCCTTTTCCCCCAATGCATCGGCCTCCTCCGCTGCAGCTTCTCAAAAACCCCCAGCTTTCCATTTGTTCGACGCTGCCCTCTACAGCGAGAGCGACGAAGACAGCAGTGACTGCGAAGTGGAGCTCGATTTCCAGCAACCGCGGCTACCCGCTGCTACTGCTGCTGCTGCTGCTGCTGCTGCCACGGGGACGTCCGCGGGCTCTTCGTCTCCACGTTTTGTGGTGGAAAAATGGCAGCTACTCTACTCCAACATAGAACCACTTATCACGCGCAGAGCAGTGGATCTGCAATCGCACATTCTCGCGCATCTCAAAGGTCAAAACATCAAGCTTAACAAAATTTCTTCATGCTTGGACTCCCACAAAATTCAGGGCCTCGTTTATGTCACCAACCTGAGTTTCGAAAAATCGTTAGAAATTAAATTTACTTTCAACAACTGGCACGATATTCACTATGTTCCCGCCCACTACCATCGCACCGTTACTAGCGCCATCGACGAGTTTAAGTTCACCATCGATTTAACAGGCTTGTCATTTTTCATGCAGTCCAAAAATCTCTTGTTTTGCAACTCTCACATCCGAGAGACTGGCTGTCCCTTGACGATGGAACTATGCTGCAGGTACGACGTCAATGGCGAAACTTATTACGATAACAATAACTACAATAACTACCACGTCGACCTACAGGCGATCACCCACCCTGTGGTGCGCAGAGCCTCTAGTTCTGCTCCTGATCTAAGTGCTCTCACTGCTCCTTCCCCGCGGTACCAACCTTCAAGCACCACCATGGTGAACACCACCACGGGAACAAGCTCAGGTAAGGCCGACTCCAGATCTTTCGGCTCTGATTTTTTGGTATCCACCACACTTTCTCACGGCGCCTACACTAAGCCTGTGCCCAGGAACATTAGTGCTGGCCGCAAATTTTCCGAAGACACCGATTATTATAATACATCTCCCCTTAAACATTTATTTCACAATGATACAACGTTGGCAAAGCCCTCCAGGATAAACGAAGTGACTTTTGATTACGAAACAAGTCCATCTCAGTCTGCCGGCTACGCAGCTTCTCCTATGAACTTCCTCTTTGGCCAGGACCAGCCAAACAAGCACTATACGCATACTCCCCCTCCGCCGCCATCTCCTCCTCCCTCGTCCTCCACCACAGTAGGGCCACTCTCAATACTACAATATCATGATAAACCTGAGGCTCCCCATCTTTCTGGCTCCTTTGAGCGCTCCTTTGAGCGCTCCACCGACGTTACCTCATTGGTGCAAGGCTCTAATTTAAAACAGGATTTACATTTGCCTTCTGATGTTTCGTCTACTACCACCTATCGCAATCCCTTAGCAGAAGTGGCACTCACTACTTCCGAGTCTAACTCTCACCTTACAACAACTAGCAGCTCATCGTCAATCGAAAGTCAACATCCACGTTCCCTCAATGGCCTATCGTCTTCCAAGCTAAAGCGCGATCTTTTCCTCTCATCCGCTTCTGGCGATAGCCCTAAGTTTACACCAGATACTTCTACTACATCAATGGACTATGATAAACTCATCCAATCGTATTGTTTTTATGACCCAAAAGAGGACTCGACTTCTCCTCAGACAATTCATCCCTCGTCTTGGTCACGTCATGTCTCCACAACAACCACCCCTGTTCTTTCTCCTACTGGGAAACATGACTGGTTGTTATAGGTAGGTTTCGAAGCTTTTCCCTGGCGTCAAGAGATAGATTTATTTCATCAAAATTGGTCTCTTTTTCCAAAGTTTTCGGTTGAAAATTGATGAAAGGGAGCTGTCTTACATTTCCATGATATTCTGCAGCATCATTTCGTCCATTCATTCATTCATTCATTCAGTCAATTCATGTCCCCTTTGTTGGATCGCTGTTTCGAGAGCTGGTATTTCGTAACACTCATTATTAATTTTGATGATCGGGCAATTTTTGCTCCATAAAAACACACTCACACACTTGATACATGTATATGTATGTAATTTAATGATACATTTGGGTTTCTCATTATAATTACGCTGTCTTGGCAGCCATGATTTATCTTTGCAGAGTGACGGGATATGTTGCAACATGATCTTCATATCACTTTATACCTAATCGACGTTGTCCAAGCTTGCGACTCTAAATAATTACCATGGGGCCACAGTCGTTGTCCATTATATATACCTATACTCTGGCGCATAAACAGTAAAGCTTCTCGCTTAAACGATACTCAGCAAAATCCACAACAATAAACAGCTACATATCGTCGCCTAGCCAGATGGGAATACCAGAGAATTGTGTTGCAGAAAGCAGCGCAAGTTCCAAACTGAAATCATTTTTCCACAAAACTGAAATTGAGGAACTATCTGTCCATAACTTCCGATCAGATTACCAAAGCATCGACACGAAGAAGGACGTTGCAAGAGGTCTCACTTACAAAATCAACCCAGCCGCCACAGAAATCGCAAACATTTATGAGGTAAAAAATTCGAACCCAATGGTGGACGAATTTGTGTCCACAAAAATGAAGATAAGAGTCAGAGCACCTAGCTTGATAAAATTCGGCTCCAATCAAATTAAACTTTTTGATGCCCAAGATATCGTGGGTTATTCAAGCAACAAACGCTGTTTGGAGCCTCATGCTTCTGATTCTATTTTACTAGTCAAAGAACAAGATCCTCGATATTTTGAGGAAGAAAATGAAGCAGACTGGAATGAAAGTATTGCCATCGAAAATCGAGTAGTTTTGGAAGGTATGTTGAGGTGTTGGGATGCGTGTGGGATCCCAGAAAGCGAGTTTGACGCCAAGGATATGGTCATGACAGTTCAAAAATTAAGCTATGGTATTCTCCAAGCGCTCTCTAATCAAGGAGCAGTTAGTAAAATGGTCAAGCAATTTGAATGTGCTGAACTAAGTGATGACTTTGAAGAGTGTTGGTTGGATCTTTTAGAAGCTTTACAATTGGAAGATGACTTGAAATCAAAGGACAACGCTTTGGCGGAACAACTGCAAATAAACAATGCGCAGCAAAAAGAAAACAAACAATTGGAGGAGCGCTTGGGAAATCTGGAAATGCAATTAGACGATCAATCGAGGCTGCAAGAGTCATGTCGAGAAAACATTCTGAAAATAGAAGAACTCACTAAAGTAAATGAAGCTCAAAGCGCCAAGCATCTCGAGGCATGTGCAACTTTGAGTAAATTGGAGCTCGACTTCGAAGAGAAAGTCTTCAAGTATGAAGCTTTGATCAAAGAAAACAGCGAGCTTCGTAATGATTTAATGACGTGCGAGAAAGATCTTGAGAAAAGCGAAACCCATGTTGAGCGTTTGCAAAGCAGTATGGCCAGTACGCAAACAGAACTAAAGCAAAATTTAGATGCAACCAACGAGCACTGCAATCAACTGGCAAAGAAATGCGAAGATGTTGAAAGGATCTGGAAACTAAACCATTCCCTCATGGTTGGTGAATGTGAACAACAGAAGCTCTATTTTCAACAGTTACAGCAGGACACACAAAAAGCAAGAGAGGACGCGGAGTGGTATAGACAACGGAATAATGAGTTATTTCTGGCTTTGCAAACAGCTCGGGAACAAATAGAAACTTTTGAGACGCGCCACAGGGAAGCCAGCGAAGCATTGTCCATTGTATCAAAGCAAATGGAAACGTTATTGGCTTTCAAAGAGAAGGCAAAGACTAGAATTATTTCTCTTAGAAATTCCAAACATGAGCTGAAGGCACGCAATAAACAAATTGAACACTTTGATGAAATTTTGAGACAGCAGCTTAACGCAGCGATTGAACAGTGCGAGAGGAAAGCACACGAAAATCAAAAACTTTCAAGAAAATTAGAAGGGGCCCAAAAATATGTGCAGGACACTACAACCTTATTTCATAAACCATTGTCTCCTCTCGATCACAAAAGTAACAAGAAGCGCAGGCCTTTGCGGATAATGACGAATCAAATTGACGCCTATTAAATAATACTGCTCTATCTAAGAAGCTGATGGCTGTTATGAACTTTACTAGGCTATGGTACACACCGAAAAATATTGATGTTGGGTCCTGAACGTCAACTATTTTATGGCAGCTGGGGCTCGGTTCAAACAATTGCAACGCGAGTTGAGAGGGTGTTAGTATTCTGCTCGACTTTAAGAAATTGACGCTATTTAGAAGCCGGCAAATAAACAGAACACACCTCATAATAGTTCAACAGATCCAACTGCATGGACTATGGACTTTCTGAATACGCTTGCATTACCGCTGTCGGGGATGGACAAGCGTAAAAGGGCTTTACGACAGGTCTCTCGTGTAAGGTTTACAACTTCGAATGCGCATTGCGTAGCGTTACTAGTTGAGTACTAAATCGTTCGCCAGGTAGCTAAACGATCAATGACTTTTTTTAGCGTACATTCAAGTAACTACCGGACATATTACCAAGCGAAGGAGCATACGCAACTTAGTTCAAGCTCAGTGTTTAAATTTTTGACTAATAGGCCCTTATGGTTGTAGATCTTCAGAAGTCTTGAACGAATTTCTTGACTACAAGGTACTGTGAGCAAGGTCGATTTTTATATACTCATTCCAGGGGCCAATGTCTGAGAAAGTTGGATCTCCGACGATGAATTTAGTAACATTCAACAGGCTGGTAGGAGCAAAGAAGTCCTTGGATGTCGTGAAGTGCAAGCCATTGAAGTGCGACAGAAAGAGACTCTATCGTTGATGATGCTCCATCGATTTTAAACAGTTCGAAGGTTATATAGAGTATAATTTACGCGCTCATGAGATTATATCAACAAGCAACGCAAGCCGCGAAAATGACAGAGTTCAGCTTATCTGAACACTTAACTAGATTCCAAACAAGTGATAAGCAGACTTTCCCTGCAGTTGAAAATCCAGGCAATGAGTTGAACACTGTGATCGACGTGCTAGCGGTATCTCCTGAACTGATAGATGACAGCAGTGACACGCTAGATGGTCTCATGGATTTGGTACATGGGTTTCCCCAGCTGCAGCCACAGCATCAGACGCAGCTCTCATATCTCGTCAGCACTTCTCTCGCGCATCTCGCTCTGAGCATTAACTCAAGTTTGTCTGGCGGTGCAACCAATGCCGAGATTATGAACTACCTGCCGCAGTGGAGAAGACAGCTGGAAGAGTACGGCTATCTTATACATGTGCTTCTGTATTTTCTGGAGCAAGAGTTATCCAGCGCAGCTTCACAAAACAACGTTGCTAAAACAAGCGGACGGGCCCATCAGCCGTCGACGAACTCGATCAACATGCTAAAGAAAGTGACGTCTCAAATAGAGAATATCTTGGAGTGTACTTTGAAACTTTTTGCATTGAATTTGTCACGGCTATTTCCAACCACACCTGAAAGAGATCTCTTTGTAGGGCTGTTTACTAAGCCCCTGTATGTCCTGATAGAAACGGAGCAGGTATTAAAAATGCCGGCAATCAAGCTTTTCATCTTTAGAATTATTGGAATTGCGGTTAAAAACCTCGGTCAAAGTTCTAGCACTCAAAATGCCATTTTGACTTCATTGACTTATTTTGCACATCTAAACACCTTTAGCGCAGAACTACTGCAGACAATTAATGACGAGTTCGATTATCCTCAGCTTACTGAAGACATTTTGAGAGAAATCAGCAATAAAGAATTTAATAGCAAGGATGTTAAGGGCCCCAAGTCCATATCTGCATTTTTGGTGAAATTATCGGAATTGATCCCAAGAATTGTTTTGAGGCAGATGACTCTGATTGTAAAGCTACTCAATAATAGCTCGTTTACATTGAGATGTGCAGTCGTGGAAGCCTGTGGTAATATAGTTGTCGAAATATCAAAAAAACAGGAAGACCTCGACTTACATAAGCAGTCTGTGGAAGTACTGCTGGAGCTTTTGGAAGAAAGGTTTGCGGACTCTAATCCATATGTTAGAACCAAGGCGATTCAGGGCTGTCTTAAAATATGTGATCTTTCTGTGAAGTTCAAGAAGCACAGGAATAACGTTGTCAAGCTCGCCGTTCGATCCTTGCAGGATAGGTCTTCTCTAGTGAGGAGGAACGCAGTTAAACTACTGACCAAACTTTTGTTGACGCACCAATTTGATGCTCTTCATGGAACTCAACTGGGCTTATCTATATGGGAAGGTCGCCTCAACAGTGCAGAAGCACTGTGGAACGAAACGATGGGCGCCTCCCTAGAGTCTCAAAGAAGTACGTTAGACGAATTGATAGAAAAAAGCATACGAGAGGACGATGACAATGGCTCCTCCAGCGAGGATGACGAACGGCAAATATCAAGATTAGAGCGGGAAGCCGAAGATCTCCCTACAACCAACGCAAATGCCGCTTTCAAGATGAAGCTGACCATTCAATATTACAAAGATGCTATAGCTTTCATCAAATGCATTCATGAAGGAATCCGCCAATCCTGTCAACTTTTACTCTCTAGAAATCGTAATGAGGTACTGGAGATCATGGATTTTTTGGTATTGACTGATGCTTACAGTATAGAGTTGAGTTCTATTGGAGTTCGCAAGATGCTACATTTGGTGTGGATGAAAGGAACAAACGAGGAGGGGACGAGTATTGTGTCGCATCTTATATCAAGCTATTACCAGTTATTTTTGACGCCACCAGATGGTTCAAACTTTAAAGAAAAGGCGGCGTACATCGCCACCAATCTGATTCATATGACCGAAAATACATCGGCAGCCGATCTAGCTTCCTTGGAGAAGCTGCTGGGCCTCATATATCAAGCTAATTACATTGATCAGGATGCTATCAATGTCCTGTGGGCATTTTATAATTCAAGCGCCTGCGGTACAGGAAAAATCAACACGAAAAAGATCCATGGATCCATCATCGTACTCGGAATGCTCTCCCTGGCCGATCATACTATAGCGCAGAAGGGTTTAGACTCGTTGCTAAACGTAGGACTCGGTGAACCGGGGACTAAAGACCTTGTTTTGTTGAAGTATTCATGTATTGCTCTTCAGCGAATCATCCCTAAAGGATCCAGCGCCATCTTCTCTGGAATAGCCAATGAGAAATTGGTAGTGCAAAAACTACATGCACGCATTATCGATAATGTGCGCGATCCCGAATTCTATCCTGCTTGCGAGGAAGCTATAAAGGCACTATTCACCATTTCCACTTCTCCTGACACTGTGGCGACGGACATAGTGAGGGAAAAAACCATGATAACGTTCGGAAAGAAAGAAAGTGACGACCTCACCACGTACACGGTTTCCCGGACAGCTTCTTTAGCTCAATTACTCTTCATCATTGGTCATATCGCGATCAGTACGATCGTTTACGTCGAAAAGTGTGAGGCAGAATTCAAGAAGCGGAAGATTGAAGCTGAGGCTAAAAGCGCTTCTGGACCAAATTCTCATGAACCCAACGTTGCCGAAGAACGACAGCAAGAACTTGAGATGATTGGCGGTACCAACGAGGATGATTTTGCTGACGCTGTTAATTTTGTAAAAGAGAATGAACTGCTATTTGGCGACTTCTCCTTGCTGGCAAAGTTCGGACCCTTGGTTGAAGAAGTTGTTTCAAATAGTGCTAAATTTTCCGACGCAATGCTTCAAAGAACGGCGTTACTTTGTCTAGCAAAATTCATGTGTGTTTCATCGAAGTACTGCGAGAAAAATCTACCACTTTTAATAACCATCTTAGAAAAATCACCCGATCCGATTATTCGTTCCAATGCCATTCTTGGTCTAGGAGATATGGCCGTTTGCTTCAACAACTTGGTAGACGAAAACACAGAGTTTCTTTACCGTCACCTACATGACGAAGATTTGATGGTCCAAAAGACTTGTTTGATGACAGTGACGTTTTTAATTCTTGCGGGACAGGTAAAGGTAAAAGGTCAGTTAGGACAGATGGCAAAATGTCTAGAGAATACAGACCAAGGAATTAGCGATATGTGCAAGCTATTTTTCACTGAATTGGCTACCAAAGATAATGCTATATACAATGGGTTTATTGACATGTTCAGTAGTCTCTCGAAAGATGAGGATTTGGAGCGTGGTTCCTTCAAGCGAATTCTGAAATTTTTGCTCACATTCATTGACAAAGAGAAACATCAAAGGCAGCTCAGTGAGAAACTGCTCGTGCGTTTGCAAAAGTCGCAAACCCAAAAAGAGTGGGATGATGTCGCATTTGTTCTAAACAGTTTACCGGCCAAGTCTGAAAGAGTTGGGGGGCTATTAGCGGAGGGCTTCAAAATTGTTGCCGCAAGAGATTGATCTATACTTTAATTATGCCTGGTACTTAACTTTTCAGAGAAATCTCTGTTTTAATCAACATTCTGAGCGATGGTAACACGAGAGTTTTATTCCCTTTTAGAGTGGTCACCAAATACATCAGAAGGATGCTCGAAAGTGTCGTTGGATTTACCCAGCTTGAAGTCGAGCGCCAACTGCTTCGAAAAAAGTTCACCCTTTTGTAAGTGATCCTTTACCAATCCCGCCAACCCCTCGATAAAAGTTTCGTTGCCATTTAACGACTCGCAGCGTTTTATTTTGTCTTTGAACTCTGACTCGCCAATTAACTCAAGATCGAGTTCATAAAGCGTCTCAATGTGGTCACTAGTGAATGCTATCGGAATTAAAAGTAGACCTTTCTGCGAAGGTGCAAGTCTTTCTGTGACATCGGCCGTTTGTGCCCCCAACCAAGGTTTAGGGCCAACTTGAGATTGCCAAACTAGCCTGTATGGGTTGCTAAACTTCAGCTCTTCCATGACACTGTATACAGTGGCGCCCACTTCAGCCGGATACGCATCGCCAGTGTTGATAACATCCATGGGCAAAGAGTGCGCAGAGAATAGGAGCACTACATCATTCCTGTCCTCTTCTGGAAACTCCTGCAATTTGTCCTTGATATTGCCAGCGAATGCGTTGACGAGACCCTTGTTAGTGGGCCACCGGTCAATCACAGACCAATTGATCGTTCTCTCGGGGTCTAACCGCCTAATTTGTCTCCAGAGCTCGTTGATGGACGAGCCAGAGGTAGAGTAAGAGAACTGCGGATACTGCGAAAAAGCCACTGCCTTCTGAACACCATCCTTTAACATTTGCTGGTAAGTTTCACCAGTCAAGGGCTTTGCGTAACGAAACGCCACGTACGGCTTGTGGGGAGCCGTTTCAGGACTCGTGGTGTCCAAAATCTCGCACACGCGTTTGGCCTGGTATTCGGACCACTTGCGAATGGGAGAACCTCCTATTTCTTCGTACTGCTTCTCGATTTTGGGCGTACGGAATTTGGAAATATACTTAGCTATGGTCGGTTGGTACTTCTTGCTAATTGGGATCAAATCGTTGTCTGAGAACAGTTGATAGAGGAAGTCTCTGGTTTCTGGAACTGTGGACGGGCCACCCATGTTCATAAACACCACGCCCGTGGGGCTCTTCTGCCAGTAAATGCGGCAGCTAGAAAAGAGTCTCCTCGTGGCAGTTGATGGCAATTGTCGCAACATTGTCAGGCTGAGGTTCGGTGTAGCTGTAGGGCCTCTCAGTCTTGTTTCGATCTGAAATTCCCAGACAAGTTAAGTTAATTAATAACTTAATCAATAACTTACTGGTAAAAGCTAAGATACTTCAATTGACAGCCTGTAGGATAACAACGACGGCTGGAGCTAGTATTGCGGGCTATTGATGTCTCGTCAAAGTGCCAGATTCGCCCATCAACGATCATTGCTCTACTCATTAGGCTACTTTTGTGGTGTCGGGGGTTCGAAAACTGGAAGATTCCTAAAAGTGCGCTAGCTATGGATCTTATTAAGGCATGTTTCGAGGAGATAGCCACAACGGGAAGCTGTGCTGCTAGAAGCCCGTTAACTATCAAATGGCACTCGACTCGAGGGGAGCAGAGACCATACTTAGGCGGGGCGAAGTCCCCTCAAAATATTCGAATGAAAGTCTACTGTTTCTCTCAAGAGCTGAAAATTATCCCAGAGAACCTGTTTTCGAACGGAAAGGACGCTATACTTGGCTCGCTGTGATTAACTTTTGGTTAGGGTTCTATTTTGAGTTTGGTGGCTTTTATATGAATAGAGGAGTTTCGCCATATTTTCGCAACTAGGATTGGCGACCTAAAAAGCACCGCTCGGACCTGAAAATTCTGGCAACGTCTATGTCAAATACGTGCCATCCGTGGAGCACAACGCTGTAGGCTGACGCCGAGGCGAGCGCTTCTCAGCGGATAGAATAATGGGCAAGTGTCCCGTGGCATTTTGTACGTAATGTGTGGGATACATTTGATCAACTTTCTGGGCTGCTATGTGATTCGGGCTCTGCAGGCCTGAACAATCACACGACGCCGGGCTTGAGGTAGCTTTATACAATCGTTCAGCTATCAGGCGTGTTTTGTGCTAGCAATGGGAAACCCGATTGAGTCCAGAGTTCTGGAGCTAGCTGCCAAGACGGGTCTTGACGAAGTGACGTTGAAACTGGCCATATGTCTATTTTCGTCATTCCCCTTCAATGCTATCCTCAAACGCTTGCCCGACGGTAATTTGACTCTGAAATGCTGGTATATAGTCGGTGTGTCTGCATTTTACTTGTTTGGAGTGCTGAACATCTTCACCGGTTTCCGCACGCTGTTTTTGAGCACTATGTTCACGTATGTGATCTCGAGGTTTTACCGGTCCCGGTTCATGCCTTACCTCAATTTCGTGGTTGTGATGGCCCATTTGGCGATCAATCATCTCGGGGTTCAGTTTCTTTCTACACCAGACCCTTCTAGCCTTGACATAACGGGGGCACAGATGGTGCTGGTGATGAAGCTAACTGCTTTCGCATGGTCGTACCACGATGGCGTGGATCGGAAGGACAGTGAACTTTCGGACTACCAGAGGGCCCGTGCCATCAAGAAACACCCCTCGTTGCTAAGTTTCTTGGCTTATGCGTTCTTCTACCCTTCTTTATTTACGGGACCAAGTTTCGATTTTGCGGATTTTGAATCATGGCTTAATTGCGAAGTTTTCCGCGATCTTCCCGATGCTAGGAAACCAAAACGTAGATGGACTACTAAAGACTCAAACTTACGACGCCAAATCCCCAAATGTGGGAGGCTCGTCTTGTGGAGAGTTGTCCAAGGTATTTTTTGGATCACTCTTTCAACACTCCTTCCTAACTATATCTCCAGGGAATATATGGAAACACCTGCATATGCTCAGAAATCGTTTTTATACAAGATCCATTACCTAGTGCTGTTGAGCTTCACTTTCCGACTCAAGTACTATGCCGCTTGGACAATGTCTGAGGCTTCCTGCATCCTATGTGGCCTGGGCTACAATGGTTACGATCCAAAGACCAAGCAAATTCGCTGGGATAGAGTTCGGAATATCAACATTTGGAAATTTGAGACGGCCTCGAACACGCATGGAAGTCTAGAGGCTTGGAACATGAATACCAATAAGTGGTTAAAAAATTACGTTTATCTGAGAGTTGCCAAACCGGGTTCCAAGCCCGGGTTTCGCAGTACTCTGTTCACTTTCCTGACTTCGGCGTTTTGGCACGGTACTAGACCTGGCTATTACCTAAGTTTCGCCACTGGAGCCTTATATCAATCATGCGGGAAAATCTTCAGACGCAACCTTCGTCCTTTGTTTTTGAATGCCGATGGCGAACCTCTCCCATCCAAGATCCTATATGATATTATCTGCTTTTATGTCACAAAACTCTCTTTCGGTTATCTCGTGCAACCCTTCGTTCTTTTGGATCTTCCTTTGTCTTGGGCATGTTGGCGTTCAGTTCACTTCTACATTCATCTCGGAATCCTTGTAACCTTCCTGATATTTAAGGGGCCGTTCTCCAGGCCCGTCATTAAATTCTTCAAGTCCAAACAACCAGCTGCCGTTGCTCAAAAGAAGCAGAAAGATGAACTAGAGGACGCTGGGCCATTGGGAGAAATTGCAAAAGCTAAAAGATTATATGAGCAACGTGAGGCCAAAACAGAAATGCAACTTGGTATATCTGGAGCTGATTTCGATGAATTTGATTTTGGAGAGGCCAAGCGCGAATTCGCGGAATTCTTTGAGTCTTACGAAAAGTGGAGAGCCGATAAGGGCCTTGAAATTGAGGAACACAATTTACAAAGAGCTTTCCAAAACTTTAAGCAGGAACTGTCGTCGGGTCAGCCCAGAAGGATGAGCTTTAGCGTTTATGACCCCCGGCCCGCAAAGAAAGAGGAATAACTGTACGTTGAGTCTCATAGGCCCAAAACGAAATTGCATTAGCACATTATCATTAGTATATTATTTAGAGTTTTGAATATGTTAAAACTCTTCCCCCAAGAGGTCTAAGTCCAAGTCTATGTCTTCATCAGGCTTTTCCTCGGATTCTTGGGCCCTCGTGCCACCGTTGAACTCATAAGAAGCTCTTCTACTTAGCTCCTCTCTATTTTCTCCTATCTGGCTCTCCTCAGCAGGTTCAGGTTTCTTTTCTTCATCACCTTTGGCTTCTGTAGCGCTCTGAACTTCTTCTGCGGCACGGAGAGAAGCTATTGCCAGCATGCCTCTTCTCATTGCATCTTCAGCAGGCCACACAAAATTATTGGGACCCACAGTTCCTTTATCGAAGGTTGGTGGAACGTGGGTAAATTTGGCCAATTTCATAGCGTAATCAAGTAAAACATTTGTAAATACCTTTTCTCGCTGTTTCAGCATAGTAGCGCGCTCAAATTCTACCTGTTCCAACATTGGCAGGGTATTTAGTTCATCGTGGCATTCCGTCAGCACTTCCAAGACTTTGGCGGTCTTGGCATCTGTTTCTCTGTGTTCCGCCTCTAGTTTTTTGGCCCGTCCATCAATAGCATCATATTCTCGAAGGGCCTTCACCGTCTCAGATAGTTTTTGATCCACCTTCATCAAATCTCTAGCAATCTGCATATCCGGCTGGAACTTATCCACCGATGCCACCAGGCGGCCCAGCGTATCTTCATACTCGCATATGTCATTATAAATCCGCGTTCTTAAAAGTGGGTTTTCTATAGAACCTGGACGATCTATTCCGGAGCTCTTTAGTGTGCCAGCCGCACTCATTCAGAATGAATCAGAGATCTCCGTTGGAATAGTAAAGGCTCAAGTTAAAACGATTAAGCCTTATCGAGTGGCTTCATCTTTCCGGTGTTGACCTTGCAGCTACTTGCTCATTTAGTTCCAGGTGATAAGGTACTTCTATACGGCTCATCACTCGGCTTGGCCATGACCATGATCCAGTCTGAATTGTCGAATAGGTAGTTGACAGTTTTGCAGCTCTCATTCCTTTGACCCAACTGACAATTTGGTTATATGTGGTCCTCTTTCGATGGTCCCGGACAGTTTCCAAATAGCTCTTCTTCACTTGAGAACTGTGCTCCACAATAAAAACAATAAAAGTACTCAGTTCTTAAATGCGTTTGAATGCCCAAAACTTGCTGATCAAGCGTTAGTCCTTCGTAAATCTGTAGTTCTTTGTCTTCCTCCTTTGAGCCATCGCTGGAATGCAAAGTGTTGTATAATGGATCAGATTGTCCCCGATCTGGAGGACCACTAAGAAGCGATGAGTCTGCATCAGTAGCATGAAATTCTTCTGCTTTCTGTGAGATAAAAGAAGACTTTTCTTCATCTTCCTTGTGACTCCACTTTTCGTCCAAATTCATGACATATCTTCTCCACAGACAATTGAAATTACGAGGATCACTTAGTTCGGAGAAGCGTTCAACGTCCCCGCTAAGCTCGAAAGCCATTTTTTGCATTCTTCGTAGAGTAGAGAGGTTTTCCGCACGCTGTTTTTCAGCTCGAATTTGGTGCTTGTAAGCATCCTCATTAATACTGCTTGAATCGCTGTGAGATGCGAGTGGTCTCGAAACTCGGATCCCACCATGTCCTCGTGAGCGATTGATCGATATAGGTTCTCGAAGCGCAGACTCGCCACCTCTGCCAAGTGTTCCACCTAGTTTGAAACCCATTTTGCTCATCATAGCAAACCCCTTGGGAAGAACCTCGGCTGCAGAATCCTGGTCAACTTGAGTTTTCCGACGTTTTGATTGTAAACCTGATTGAAGGTGAGAGTCGTCTGGTATGTGCATTTTCATGTAATCATCTTCCTCATCTTGCTCGTTTTGCTCTTCCACTTCCTCTTTCTCTAGCTCTCGCTCATTTTCTTCAACATCTGAGCACCTGTCTTGCTGCTCCTCCTCATCTCCTGCAGCTTCCCCTTTATCGAGCTTCACTTCAGGCGGCCGTTTCCGATCGATCATGTTCAGCAACGTTCTTCAATCCTCACGCTTGAGTAAGATACATTTAATTTAGCCACCTGAGCTTCCCGTACTTACTTTTAGTTATCAATATCTAAGGAAATGTAAATGTATTTATGAAAACCATGGGAGATCTTCAATTTTTAGCAGACCACTGAGTCCAAAGTCATAGTATCGCTCTCTGATGGTGAGTTCCCCTACTTAAATGCGAAGAGGGCCATCGCCAAATGTGAGAGCATCGATGAAGCTGAGCAAACTCAATCACTGAAGTCACTGATGACCTCTGGGGCCTTAGGGATTCCGTCTTCTCTCAATTGCCGTGCAACTTCTTGTGCCATGCCCAACTTCCATAAATCGTGGTTCTCTCCCAAAATGTACGTGATTGTTCTTCCAGCGAACCCCTCATCACCCAGAAAATTCAACTGTTCAATGATGTCTTCCAAGAGAACCGCTTTGCCGACAGAAACCCCGTCACCTAATCCACTATGTCTGACGTTCACAACGTGAATGTGAAAATGGTAATAAGATGGTTGGTAGTGGACAAACACTCGCAGCTCATCAGGATGAATCGCATAGTTGTAGCAAGCAGGAACCACGGTTCTGATCTTGTTGAGAACCTCCACCAACCACGGCTTGTGCTGGGGTCTGAGGTCTCTGAGCGACCGGATATCCGAGCGAAACACAAGCGCAACCAAATATAAGGAGTCCAGATTGACACCATCCCATTTCATGTCAGGCAATATCAAGAACCCTTTGGGCACGTCTTGGCCCTCCACAAAATCTTTGTAGACAACGCGCTCGGACTCCGAACCGTTGTATAGAATATTGTGCACCCACCTCAACCTCGACTCGCTGCTCATTTCCTCGATGTAAGGCTTCACCACGCGTTGGTATACTTCTGGAGTTTCGCGGATAACATGGAAATTTTGCGCCTCGTATTTGCGAATGTGCACCGGTGTGGCCGGCCACACAAGGTTAATTTTGGCGGTCGGATTGCGATCCATATCCTGTTTCAGCAAGCTGGTACCCCAGTAGTATATATCGTTGGACGCTATGTCCCGCATCTGCTGGATCGATTTGAGGCATGAGAACTCGTCCTCGCACTTGTGCAATACCGGCGTATTGCGACCGTCCTCTTTTTTCAACACGTTGGTGTCATACATGAAGTGCATCTTTTCCATTGTGACGATAGCATCCTGTCTGTCGATTTTGCCCAGCAACGAGATCACTTTGTTCTGCGGGTTGGAATCCAAGACCCGGATAAACTTAAACTTTTCCAAAAGCTCTTTCAACCCCGCACCTTGTGCAGAGCCATTAGAAGTAGTGGGGAAATTATTCATAGTAGCTAGGAGGAAGTCTTACAAGTGCGTCAAATATCACAGAGCTCAGTCAGTAATAAAACTGAATTATAATTGGTGTATGTTTTGGTATGGCAATATTCACACCACAGAACGGCTATTGTGCAATGAGAGCGATACAGAAGTGAATTGATATTCAAAGCGATACAGAACAAAGCCAATTTAGATCTTGCTTTTTAGAACTGTTGTGCTCTTATAGCAAGAATCAAGAATCCTTGTCAAGTTGCTGCTCATCGCTGGATTTTTAACTGTTCAGCAGCCCCCGACCTTTTTTTTCAAAGGGAGCAAGCAATTGGTTTAACAGATTAAAGGTGGGTCATTACGTACTAGGTGATTGTTAGTAGTGGTGTCAGTTTTAATTGAATGCTGAAATAGCATCATGGACCTGGGTGAATGAGGACTGGTCCACACTTTCTGGCAGATGGATTGGTTTCATTCAGCATGGAGTGAATCTGTTGTTGGTTTTTGTTGTTTTAAAAAAATGATAATTCTTGTATTTGCTGACACCAAGATGTCAGGGTCAAGTGATAATTTGATGTACAAATTTGAAATGTAGTAGTCGAGCACCTTAGGTTCTAGCATGTATTTGAAGAAGATTGCGCTTAGGTTGGTCTCGCCGTATGGTTTGGTGCACGCCACCCAAAAAAAAAATTGAACCATGACGGGCCTTCTTGGGTTGTACTCTCAGGTTGCGTATAATGACAGGTGTGAATTCTCTTTGAAAAAGGGCACATCCCTGTTCAAGCCATCGAGCTCGCCACTGTTGCACCACAGACGCAGCTTGTATGTTTTCCGTCAATCGCTGCGTTGCAAGGCCTAGCACTCAAAATTAACTTGGATACGTATTATAATTAATGAAGCTTGGTCTATGCTACTAAAATAACAGATTCCACCAGGGTCACATTTTCCCTTCCCTCACCCTTCGATCTCATCATCTCAAAAACACCCACCATATCAAAAACACAAAAAAAAGGCGACTATCGCGATGGGCGCATACTGGCTGATCAGTAGGTCAAAGTTGATTTTCTGGGCCGATCTGCGGTACTTTTTCGAGCTCTGCTTCAAAGAGGCACTCATATCGCTCATCTTGTCGAGCGAGTCCCCGCGGTACAGCAAGTCCTCGATATTCTTGGTCATGATCTGTTTGACCCCACTCAAGTCTTGGTTCAGCTGGTCTAGATTGTTCTGAACTCGTCTATCGCTGTACAGTTTTTTCGTCTTCTGTAGGAAGTTGTCGAATGTGACAAAGGCATACGGGCGTACCGAGGGTTTGTGGTACTCATTTCCGTAAGAGTGCTCAAATTCTTGTGCAACTTCCTTCAGGTACGAGAAGGCAAGGTTTCTCGGATAACCTTGCTCCACGATCACGAAATATGCCACCGCGTTTTCGCGGACGTAGTGTATTTCGAAACTTCCGCTTTCCAGGGTGGCTTCATTGGCAGAAGTGGGTGTCAGTCTGGACACCAGTACTTTCACCTTTTTACGCTGTTCGGATAGTTGGGGATCAGTGTCGTCGTCAACAGACGAACAAAGCGGAAGAGCTGATGTTGGAAGTTAGTATTCGGCAAAACTAAAAGGCACCATAAGTCCAAGCAACACCGCTGAGGACTACATACCGTCGTCTCTAAAAATAAGCGTTGATTTGATCATCTAAAAGGATTTGGCAATCGGGCCCGCGGTTTCGGCGATCGGTAGCAGCAAGTCCACTAGCTTTACATATATTGCACACAGTATTTGAGCCTACTAATTTAATGCCTTCAAACGAAAGTTGGTTTCTCTGGAGTGAATCCGAGTAATGCACCAAACTGTGAACTATTGAGAAGCACTACATGGGCTTATCCGAGTTTCCGGCTTGTAATACCTCTTATTCTCTACCATTGATACGCGGTGATCTACAGGCTCCTTCATTATTCTCTCGGAAAACTCTAAGCGCATTCGCAACAGCGTGAGAACTACTGGTCATTGCAGCGTCTTAAAATGCTTGTGGCCTCCAGTTCCACCGGATGTTACGGTACCCCAGTCAGGATAAGCTTCAAAGACCACGTAGGTTTCTATCGACTGGCTGACGGCCTCCATTCTGTGGTTGTGGGTCCTCTACCACATCTGCCGTTTGAATTTGGGATCAAGCCTGCGAGAGCTTGAATTCTCAATGTATTGGTATAATCGTACTGAATGGCATCTAGCAACTGACTGTTCCAGAGTAGCTAACTTGAAGAGTAGACTCAAGTAGCCGATCCGGGCCACGAGTGTATTCCGAATATTGTGATAAAGTTTATGAGTTCTACTCTTTTTTCCCCGGGTGTTATGGGCAGCGCCAGTGAGCTTTTGTCGATCAGGCCATGAGCGATGGTCCAGTTCGTCTCAGGTTTGATGCTTTGCTAAGACATTGTCATATTTGCCGCTGAAATACAATGTAAGATCAATTAATGCGAACCTACTAGTGATTGTGCTCGGCTTCCGGTCATCATGCTTGCTTAGTCCTGTGACCTGGTAATGTCAATACTCGGCTTCAGATGGAATTTCAAGAACATTTGAGGTGTAGCCTTGACATGCAATTCAAGTATAATCAACTAGTGGACACAGCTCATTAGTTGCTTGCTAGTTGTAGGAAGGGAGAACCGGACGTGATTCGATCTGTTGGAGCGAGTCAGCGTCGGCAGTAGTTAACTTTCTGAATTGTTGGCTCACTTTTTTTATAGCCATCGTGTATAATATTGTGAGAAACTGAAACTAAATCCGAAGCTTGCAAACTGACCTATGGTTTTCTTTCTATGATTACTTGGGCTATGAGTCTGGTCCATATCGAAGACTTATAGCATAGCCGGTCTTTTAACAAAGTTCTGACGGCAATAATCTGGGGCAATTTGGGCTTGATAATCCAACAATTTCCTCCAACGAATGATTTGCTAGACTGTTGGAAAACTGAAACGGCTGGCCAGGGCATTTCTGTGTAATCTCTGCTCCTCTAAATATCCCATCGTTGCAAATTCTTGTTTTACTGACGCCGCAAGTGTTCCTTTGTTTTTTACTGACACCAGGTAGATTTCCACCATTATGTAACTCGATGCTATTCAAACCGCTGCTAGATCAGCACCAGTCGGTAGTTATAACGCTGTTCTGATTGTCGTAAGCGACAAGTGCATTCCCAGTACAGAACTACTACGACTCCTCAGTGGTCACGGACTATAAAGGATCCAGATAAAAGCGCTGGTTGTCCATGAAGCTCGTGATGTGACCTCTTACAAGCCTACATGTACTCATAATCGTTTTAGCGGTTGCCTAATGAATTCCTCAGAAGAGTTCTCCAAGTATACTCGACGGGCTTGCCTCGATAAAATATGTTCCACTAGCAGATCCTGAGAATCTCGTTTTCAATGCTTCGACGAACTCTTATTAAGGCACAGGAAACGCGTGAGAAAGGATGCACATCTCCAGTACACGTCAAGTGCAGAGAGTGTCAGCTCACCGCTGCCACGAGGATGCGAGATGTCGGTGCCAAGTTTTAAGAGTAGGTTCCCTTGCTCCTCAGATAATACATAGTGAAATGTTATTGGCGTCACTGAAAGGGCAAATGCTGTTACAAGCGTAAACCGCATCTATAGCACAAGGTCGATAACACTCCAGGAGGTTGGAAAGTCTCCAACATGTGGCAGGCAAACGGGGATGTGAGGGCGATGCGCGACGTCAAAGAAGGAAATGCCCTGGAAGTCCAAGCATCAAGTATGGGCACCTAAATACGTTTCTCATTCCAGGGTCTTGATTTTGTATTGAATTAATCAACCCCGTCTTTGATGAAGAGCATCCCTCGACACTTGCGTGGGTTTGTCGTTCAGCTCAAGTTGCCCGCTGGCTGCGTTGTCGGCAAAGTGAGCTATACATTGGCGTCGCTTAAAATTGCATAAGTCAGTCGAGGCTTCTTCGGGTGGGAGTCGCCGTTCCTTGTCCAGTACAGATATTTTGGAAAAATCAGTGTACTAATGGACAGTCCAGCATTCGGTGATGTCGCGCCAGCAACTCTCTAAACTTGGACAACAATGATCACCGCTTTCGCCTCTTCCTCACAACACCCTCCCGGACGGTGTTTCTCTTTTTCTCTGCGTACTGACAATGCGGGTCGCGTACTGTGGTCAAGCAATCAAGAAACACACCCATTGGTGCAAAGAAACGCATTCTCCGTACGGCAAGTTTCGGCCAATATAATATGAGCGGCAGGCAGAATAGTCATAATAGCGAGACTAATGGCGACGTTCCGGTTTTTAGAAAAGATAGCGGCGGCGCTCGTGGGTGTGCATAGCGTTGCTTAGAGCAGTAAATGCTCTTCGATCAAAGCCAAAATCGCATTAGGATACCCTGGCCTGGGTGTCAGAAGAGCATTTAATATCGGGTGAATACCAAAGTTCCATATTTGAGCTGATGCTTTCGAAGCTGGGCCAGCAGCAAAGTCCAGAAAAAGCCTCCTGAAGGAGATACAATATTATAACAGGGCGGATAAAATTTCCACGCTACCGGTTCCGATTTTCAGTCATTTCGGTATGCAACAGAAGATGTCAAAAACTCCTTGGCATACACAAGAAAGCCGAAATTACAGATCTCAGCCTCGAGCCTTCATAGGCCGATGCTACTCATCGCAAACGCTTGCATAACCCCCCATTGCAGATACTAAGCGACTGTGGTTCGGGTCACTTTGTACCACGTTGAATTTTCTTCCGCAGGTGTCATCAGCTGTACATTCCCTTCTTGCCTAGAGGCTTGGCATGCAGTGTAATTAGTGCACCTGCCTTGGCCGAACAAAACAAAACAAGAGATAGAACAGAATATAAACCAAGAACTTCGTCACATCCATCCAGAGAGAGTTGAAACGGAACTTAGCCACAGAATTTGACCCATCTCGAAAAGGCCATGAAATTCGGGAAGCTGGGTACAGCCCTTACTTTAGGATTGCAGGCAGCTTTTGAAGGAAGCGAGCCTGATGACACACATGTTCCGCATGCGATGGGACCGCAGGATGCGGCCCGGATCGCGCGCAAAATGGCAGTTTCGCAGGATGTTTTGCACGCCAACACCATTGACCGTGATTCCGGAACGCCTGTGTCGTTTGTTGAATACTTTGCGGGGTCTGACCTCTGTCACGACGTGCAGACATCGCAGAACGGTAACCTTATCCTGCTGCTCCTCAACATGAGCTCAACCTTTCAGAACTGGAACAAGGACGCCAAACTTTCAGTCTCGGTAGAGATGTCGCATCGTCACGGCATTGGTAGACCACCCATGGCCTCGCCAAGGGCCAACTATTTTGGTGAGTTGAAGCGGTTGGAACCATCCAAAGCACTTGAACATTGTTTTCTCAAACGCCATCCAGACGCACGCTGGTGGATCCCAGAGGGCGACCACGACCAAGTGCGTGACGGGCAGTGGTTTGAATTTGATGTGAGCGAGGTGTACTTTGTGGGTGGTTTTGGTGACAGAGCCTACATTGGGGCCATTAGCGGTGAAGATTATCACGCTGCCTTCAATCAAACCGAGCTCGAGGGCCAATCTGAGTGCAAGGGATATCGTGGCCGTGGTAAGGACGGGCTTGGTCGTCCCCACGGTAAGCATCAAAGACCTGGTTCTCACGAAGAGGACTCCGAGTCCGAGGAAGCGTCTCCTGAAGAACACGAGCGTGGTCGCCCCCACGGTAAGCATCAAAGACCTGGTCCCCACCAGGAGGACTCTGAGTATGAGGAAGCCTCTCCTGAAGAACACGAGCGTGGTCGCCCCCACGGTAAGCATCAAAAACCTGGTCCTCACGAAGAGGACTCTGGGTACGAGCAAGCGTCTCCTGAAGAACACGAGCGTGGTCGCCCCCACGGTAAGCATCAAAGACCTGGTCCTCACCAAGAGGACTCTGAGTATGAGCAAGCCTCTCCTGAAGAACACGAGCGTGGTCGCCGCCGCGGGAAGCATCAAAGACCCGGTCCTCATCAAGCTGAAGCTGAGTTCCAGGAAGAGCCTTTTGAGAGACCTGAGCGTCAAATACTTGCACCCAACGGCGGTGATGAAGTAAATTGACTACACCATCGTAGATTGTTTCCATTTCCAGTGCTATGCTCACAATAAACACATGAGAGATAAACAACGTTTTGCTATCATTTGCCTGTCCCGCTGGTCACTCCGGAGCACGCTTCTATATGCCTACATATCGACACATTACACAGTATCTATCTGCTTACTACTAGTGTTCTCAAAGTCATCGACTACAATTTGATCCGAGTAGACCTCTGAGTGGCTCTGGAAACTCCTACCTTAACGCTTATAGAGTAACTTCTTCTACTTAGCGATTAGCGATTGACCATCTTTGACGGTCTCGACATCATCAAGTTTAGCACATGTAAATAAGTAAACTTTACCAGACTTACACGACAATTATAAGGCACGCTCCTAGTAAGGACTATTTATCCAACACCAGCGCCAGAGATTGAGCTGAATGGTTGTCAGACATTTCAGGCGTAAGGATATTCCCAATCATAATGTCAGTTCTTCTAGCGAATCATCGAGCGATGAGCCAAGTGATGATGAACAAGCCAACGCTAGCATAGCACCAACCGCGCATAAAGTCTCTGAAAGAAAACCCGAGACCGCCAAGTGTACAACGGGTGACTTCACACCACCGAATGGGGCTGTGATTGCGAAGGAGGTCGCCAAAGAAAGCCCTATTTCACCCTCGTCTGCGGCTAAAGAGGAAGGACTGCCGGCGCAGAATACGAGCCATCGAACAACCTCCGCTGGTGACAAGAACGTTGAGGCTGCTCATGATGGATCAAGTGATGATGCAAGCTCAGAATCAAATTCAGATTCAGATTCGGCGTCCAGCGAAGATGACTACATGCTGCACAAACCAATGTTTCTAAAGAAGGGCCCGGCTAAGAACACAACTTCAGACAAGCCAGCTGAACAAGCCATTGAAACGATCAAAGTATCTGGTCGCACACAAGAGGAGAAGGAGAGGGTTAAAAAGACTGAACCTCTAGTTCCAATTGCTGTCAACGCTCACAGCACCGACCAGGAGTTGTTACAAACCATCTTGGGTCTTGACGACGATGACAGCAAAGACCCAGAAAACGAGTTAAAGCTTTGGAACCAGAGACAAGAAAGCCGCGCTCTACGATCACGCCAGCTGCTAGAAGAGAAACAAAGAGAGCAGGAAGATTACGAGAGTGCCAAAATAGCGAGCACCCTAGGTCCGCTAGATCAAATGAGAGATTGGGAGGGGGCTCGGCTCATAAAATCAGCGCAGAATAGCGCCGCCGATTTGCTAAGTAAACAAAACTCGAAATTAAACACCTCTGGACCAACCAAGAAGAGGAAATATAATCCAAAAGCGCTCCAAAAATCTCAGTTACGACTTAAACCTGAGCTAGACTCTCGAAATGGTCAGGAGGCCGACAATGAATATTCCATGATGTGATTGAGATGTGGGTTCGCAGGCTATAGGTGGCAGCCGGGTCTCTCTACGTGCATGACGATAGGGCATCTCATCGCTTTAACTTGAGGACCTAAACCTTATTTGGCAAACAAACCCTTTCATACCTCTCGGTGTTGGCTTCAGCTTAAGATGAGCCTACTTCCCATCCGAGCAGACCTGCTCCCTTTCTTAGAAGATTATTTACCGCCTCGAGAGGCTCCGACACCTGACGTCAAACCATTCGTCACTCTAACATATGCTCAATCTTTAGATTCTCGAATTTCCAAAGGCAGGGGTCAAAGAACAGTTATTTCGCACTTTGAAACCAAAACCATGACGCATTACCTGAGATATCACCACGACGGCATTCTAGTTGGTGCTGGCACTGCTCTGGCCGATAATCCTGGTCTTAATTGTCAGTGGAGCCCTGAGGACACAATTCCAAATGCCAAATGCTCGCCACGACCTATCATAATTGACCCGCGTTGCACTTGGCACTACGAAGGGTCTAAGATGCAAAGGCTACAGTTACAAGGGAGCGGCAAGCCGCCCATTGTGGTGGTTAAAAAAAAGCCACCCCAGTCCAAAATTACGGATTCGAAAGTGGTGTACTTTGAAGCTCCTCTCAATTCCAATAAACATTTTGATTGGCTGGCCCTAGTACGAGCCCTCAAAAGGGAATTTGGCATCAATTCAATTATGGTAGAAGGTGGTGCTGTGGTTATTAACGAACTACTGGCAAGACCGGATGTTGTTGATAGCCTTATCGTGACGATAGGAGCCACTTATCTGGGTGAACAAGGTGTAGGAGTCAGCCCACCTAGTGGGGAAGTTACATTGACATATGTAGATTGGTGGAAAGGGACGCTGGATTCGGTCATGGCAGCAAGGCTTCTCCGCAGGGCATAGAGAATACGAACCTGTTCTTTCAAGATCGCTCACTAAGTAACGACAGCATCAACTACCCAGTAACATCAACAGCTTTTATTTTTATGTGCAGGGTCATTCTATTTCCAGTATTTTACAAACACACTCTGTAACTTGCGTAACGTCCTGAGGTTTCACTCTTCCTGATGATCTTGACAACATCTCCTCTTTTCAAACCTAAATATAATGCAACCGGATCCATCCTTTGGATTCTGGGTAGTTGGGATTCCTTTAGTCTGTATCGTCTGAGCAGTTCTTTCTTTTCCTCGTCGCTCAGCTTTATGTGTTTTGGCACCAGCTCGTGGTGGGTAATGTTAACGACTAAAGACGCTTCATGGAAAGTCTCAATAGTCGCAGGCGACACCGAAGGTAGCAGCTTCATGGCACTGGGGGTTACACCATTCTGGTACACAAAGATACCAGTCTGGAAGTTCTTCTCACTGATGTGAATAACGAAATTCTTCATGGTCTTAATGCCAACTGACGCCTCATCGCAAAACTCTACCCACAACGACCCCATATTGGGAAACTTCTCCAAAGACTCTTCGACGGGATTAGACTGGAACGACATCATTTTGCGCTGTGGGCGACCCATTGAGTCGCAGTATTTGGCCTTGAAGTCTTCGAGCGATAGATCGATTTCCTCCTGCGTGATGAAAAACCCACGGTCTCTCACCATCTCTTTCACAGTTCTAAAGGCTCTCCATAGTCTTGAAATGTTTCTCTCGTTTTCCTGGTCCATGGTTAACAACTAGCAAGGCCTCTGCAAACCGATAGCTTCCACTCTGGTCTGGCCAATATCTATTGATGATAGATAATTGAGATGAGATATAATTTTAAAATTTTTATGCGTTAGACCCAAATCGTCTATTGTGCCATCTACAAAATGGAAAAGTCGGGAGTTCACTACACCGTCAATAGAACACAGGCCGTTCCTTGGAGGGTTCTTCCTCTCTATGTAACAATTAGTGCTGTATCATAGTTTTCGAACATCAACATTGTGTATCTGTCTTACATTTCCGTCTTTGCTTAAAATTTTGTCCATGTTGAGAATTAGAATGACTTTAGGTACTAGGTTTCATTTAGCACGGTACCACGATTCAGCTTTCTGCGATACTCCAGTATAATATCGCCCTGAGACTTCCAGTATAAGGTCTTGACGCTGCTGAGCGCCATTTCGTTATCAAGAAGTTGGTTCTTACACAAAATTTCAAGCCATTCGCTTGGCGGCGTCCTTGCTTTCATCTCGGCAGTCTTGGTATCGAATCGATCTACCACGTAATTCAAAATCTTTTTAACTTTAATCATGCTGGCAGCATGTAGTTTTGTATGCGATTCGGGAACAGAAGGCAGCGGTTTGATAGTTTGATCATGGCCACGGTCGGTGTGTTTGTTTCGATGGAAGGGCAAGTGATGGTGATTATGGTGATGTTGATGGTGTTGACCTTGACCTGCAGCGGTCTGAGACTGCTGTGAGTTTAGGCTGGATTCTGAGTTTTGCGGGGTGTCTGGAGCTTGCCAAGGCTTCAGTATGAACGTCAATTTTGGATATTCTTTAGCACCTTTCTCATCCTTGAGCAGTGCCTTGGCCATCCAGTATGGTAAATTGCGCTCCAAATTTTCAAAGATATGTATGTTACCGGACTTGGCATTGTCGCCATATTGAGGAGCCGGCAGATAAGTTGAAAAACTTACTGTATCCCCACAAGACCCCTCCTTCCAGCAATTCACCAAAATAAGCACACCGGCTTTGATTTCAATGATAGGTGATTCTTCTTCTCGTGTGATCTTTGAAACAGGGGGCTTACGGCCTAAGATCTTGAACGACGATGAGCTCAAATCAAACTCCTTGAGGTACTCATCCCGAAGCTCTGCAACGTAATCAGCCAAGTGCTCCTTTTTCCTTTCTATGTTTGCTTGTCCAGGCTCAGTATTGCCTGTCTTCTGTACGTCTTGCACTTCACTATTATCGAGGCTGGTTATAAATGAAGAATTCAATTTCGCGTCCTTGTCTTCACTCGACGAAGGTGGAGTTTTCTCAACGTGAGCCGCTTCCGCTTCCGCATCCGAATGCTCTACATTACTCAAGCTCGGCTCCAGGGCACCACCATCGGTTGACAGGAACTTGAACTTTTGGGTTAGAAGCGAACCGGCGCTCGCAGATCTCTTGGAAAGAAAAGGTTTCTCGCTGGAAGCTGACTCCAGTGGCGAAGCCACTGAAGGAGGTAATGCGAAGCTGTCCTCGATTGGTAAGGCCGAGCGCTCGGACGCAACAGGGGTGCTTGGCATCGATGTGGGCGTCCCCGACGATCGGTTATTTCCCATGGACAATTTTGTGAATAAAGAAAGTTTTCTTTTATCTTTCATAGAAGGCCTTGTCAGGTCAACCTGCGATGGGTCGTGTGGGCCTTGATATGGAGAGCTAGGGACAGAACTCTTTCTTGCTATTAGATCTTTTCTGAATGTACGGTCTTTGCCGCTCACGTATGATATAAATTCGTTGAAAATGGAATTCACGGCAATTCTTCCAAGGTTATAACGGTCGTCAATTTCAATATTGATATCATTGACAATCCTGTAATGTTCTAGAGCACTTCCATATACCTCTGTAGTTAGGAATTTTGGAGAGAACTGTACAAAAACTTTCCCGGTCTTAATAGACACCGAACACCAATGGGGAAGTATCTCTCTAGTGTTGTGAGTCTCCACTAAATGATCAAAATCACCCTCCGACGGATCGAATGTGTCGAGCAGCTCACAGGAAATAACGTCCCACCTCTGAATGATCCCTCTCGTATTTTGCGTTATGACTTGGCGCCTGTTCATCAGTAGGCAGCTTTTAACCAGAGCGAAACCACCTTCAAGGGTACGTATGGCTCCAGTGTTTGTGTTGTGAACATGCAGGTTAGAGTCTCCTGAAAAAGAATACCAAAGACCCTCCAGGCCTCGGTCGAGCATGGCCAAAGTTCCTTTGGTTTCCGCTTGGGGAGACGCGACGACAACCTTCAGTATGGGAGAATCCCACCTCGATCCTTGAATAGTAAGTTGGGTGATGCTACCTCTAGAGTCCCCTAAGAGTAATTGACTAGAAGTCTCGCCTTGAATACACCACACAGGCGAAGGCCATTTCCACGAATGTATCAGTGCGTCCGACCCCTCATTTACGTGCAGCTTCGCCACATTCCATAGTTTTAGCATTCCATCGGAACTTGAGCTGAGTATTCTGTTTCCGTTGTCCAATGAGTGAAGCAACTTGATGTTTGTGCTGTGAGCTGAAGATATAGTCGCATATTTTTCGCCGGTTTCGCTTGAACATAATACCAGGTTTCCATTGTTATCACCGGCAACCATGTCAAAAGGTAGACCTGCACTTCCGACTGAAACAAGCGCATATAAAGACCCCGTTTGTTCAGCCTGAGCATTGTTGATAGTGCGTACTAAATCTGACGCGCCGTTGTCCCGTAAGGTCCACACCTTGATCTTCATATCCAAACCGCATGTCGCAAACCTCCAATCGCCCGATTCAGTTTTACCCAGTGTGACCACTTTTTTCACGTAATCGTCGTGATACCCCAGCATTCGGCTGCTCCAGGCATTGCCTTTGGAATTCAGCGTCAAAAGACAAACAAAAAAATCGTGGCTCACCACAACAAATCTGCCACTGTCTAGCTCAACCATATCACTCACCCAGTCACTATTAGTCTGCATCCTCAACCTCTGCCATTCTCCATTATTCTGAAAATGCCTGATCACTGTTCCGTCTCGGCCGCACGTTAAAACCAAATCTGGATTTTCTCGGGACTGTATTATCTTTGTGATGGGTAAGATGTGTGATTCATTGATGTTAGCACTCTGTGGCGGTATTAATCCGTAGCTAACGGTGTATTTTGTCATGGGTATCAGTCCAAAGGAATTCTACGTCGGTGAAAAATCAATCCAGGTTGATGAGTAGTTGTTGTACACAGGATAATAGATGTAGTCACCCCGCACTTTGGCACAATATCGGTGCCAGTCTCAACCCAAAATGTGAAGGAGTATCGTCACCTTTCGCCTCTGAATTGGTGTTCGTGAAGTGTAATGCCAGAGGGGTGGATATATGAGAAAGTGAAATGCTAATTTCTTAGAAATCTCAAATCTCACCGGGGAAATGTAGAGAAACAAGTAGATGGAAGAGTCAGACCAAGAATACCGTCGGAAGCTTGTTACGCAGCTAAAAGGTAAGTTGTGGTACTGTCTGGAACAGCAGGTAAAAAAAGAGCTCCCGGAAAGCGTAAATTATTCTCCTAAATTCATAAATGCCTTAGTTGAGCTATGTTTTACACAGCTGGTAGACATTGGAAATGATTTGGAGGCTTTTGCTAGACATGCCGGACGTGAAACTATTGGTGTAGAAGACCTAATGCTAATGCTGCGAAAATCGCACGATCTGCAGGAATTACTGCGACAGAAACTGGAACAAGACCAACCGGCGGCCAGAAGTGCTAAGCGTTGAGCATCAGTCATGGGGTAACTTTACTACTAGAAAACAATATGTACAAGGACGTTATAAAAAATGCCAAATTGTGTGTGTTTGGTTGTTTGTTTGCTGGCTAGCAGGTTAGCAAAATACCTGCCAAGCACGCCTCATCTCTTCACCCAAGTAGGCATTTTTCTGGCCTTCTTCTTACCTGGCTTCTTTCTTTCGACGTGCCTGTAGTCTCTTGTCAACATACCGGCCTTATGAAGTCTTGGTTTCAGAAGAGGATTGAAGACTAGGAGCGCCTTGGCAATTGCATGCATAGTCGCTTCCGCTTGGCCCGTGATACCACCTCCAGAGGTGGCCACGAATACATTGTACTTTCCCAGACTGTCAACCACTTTCAGAGGATAAGCCACAGATTCGCGATCTTTCATCTTGGCAAAGTAATCGTTGAATTGGCGGCCGTTGATCAAGATATCGCCCGAGCCTCTGACAAGGTAAACTTTCGCTGTCGAGGTCTTTCTGCGTCCCACTGCGATGCTTCTTCCAAACTCATCCAGCGTTTTCACGGAAAGTTGAGAGGCCTGTAACTTGGTTTTCTTGAAATACTGGGATAGTTCGGTAGTAATTTCTTCGTTCGTGAGCTCTGGTTCTATAGCATGTAGCCTGTTAAGCAGAGTGACCAGTTGTTGGTATTGGATGGGTTTGAGTCGCGTACCACCACCGATCAAAGCATATTCGCTGAAGGACAACCACGACGGCCTTTCGCTGGGAGTCACCTGTATCGTTGGGAGTTTAATGTATTTGCGTAATAAGGTCTCTAGTCTATCAACGCGATCTTCGTGATGAGGATTCGCCGAGTAAAATGTCGTTAGTTTTGGCACAATTCTGGTTTGGTGCAGAGAGTAGTCTTTGCTCAAATACGATATGCTAGACAAATTCCTGCATTTGAAAGCGCCACTGGAAACTGCCCTTCTGGCGGTAGCACAGAGACGATGCAACATTGACGGAGCCGAATGAACTGCCGAACGTGGTGTGTTTGGGATCTTGATGCGCTAACTATTGTACCTTCCAATTCGGCCTTTTCCAACTGAGAATCTGAAAAATTGTCAATCCCTCGTGTAAACTGATCTCGATTTATGAACTTTCAAACAACGTCAGGAAAATGGAAAGTGATACAAATGTAATAACTAGCGCCCATCATCGTACACCGGCTATTAGATTTGAAGAAGGAGCTGGCTGTGTTCCAATCAACAATCTGTGTTCTTTGAGAGGTTTTATTTGCCTTTGCTTATTCATTATATCATTTTCGTTCTATATTCTACTAACATTTCATCATTATCATAGACTCTCATTATATAAACCGTAGTACAGAGAGAAAAGGCTTATTTGGAGGTGTCAACAACGTATCTACCGACGATTAGACCCTTTTCCATCTTTTCGTACACTTCTGGCAATTCAGACAAACCACAAAGCTTGATTGGAGACTTGACCAAGCCACGGGCGAAGAAGTCCAAGGCTTCTCTTGTGTCAGCTCTGTTACCAACGTAGGAACCGGTAATGGAAGTAGATTTGACAACTTGGTTGAAAACGTCAGACTTGCACTTGGCGCCAGCTGGTAGACCGACTAGAACGACGGTACCGTTGGCTCTGACGTATTCGGTAGACGCACCGATGGCGCCTTCGGAAACAGAAACATTAATGACACCGTGGGCACCACCGTTGGTGACCTTGACAACGTCTTCGACAATGTTCTTGGAGGTGCGGAAGTCGATGAAAACCTCACCACCCAATTGTCTGAAAAGCTCTTCTTTTCCGTCACCACCGTCGATACCCAAGACACGGTAACCCATGGCCTTGGCGTATTGGATGGCCAAGGAACCAAGACCACCGCAGGCACCAGAGATGGCGACCCAGTCACCGGCTTGCAGACGGGCAGACTTTAGAGCCTTGTAAACGGTGACACCGGCACACAAGATTGGGGCAACTTCGGCCAAGTCAGTACCTTGAGGGATCTTGGCGGCTTGCACAGCGTCGGCGGTACAGTATTGTTGGAAGGAGCCGTCGTGGGTGTAACCAGACAAGTCGGCGTCGGCACAGTTGGACTCGTTACCCAACTCGCACGATTCACACGACATGCAGGAGCCGTTCAACCACTTGACACCGGCGTAGTCGCCGATCTTCCAGTTTTTCACGTTTTCGCCCATGCCAACAACGACACCGGCACCCTCGTGGCCACCAACAAGGGGCAACTTGACGGCCAAGGGCCAGTCACCCTTCCATGCGTGCAAATCAGTGTGGCACACACCGGAGTACTTGATGTTGATCAACAACTCGTTGGCCTTAGGAGTTGGAACGTCAATCTCCTTGTATTCCACAGGGCCGTTGTTCTCGTAGAAGACAGCAGCTTTTTGGGTTTTTGGAATTTGATGAGCAGACATTTTTGATTTCGATTGAGATTGCTTAGTGTGGAAATCACTAGTGAGATTGAATTTGTATTGAATTCTGGTGATTGAAATACAAGCAACAAACAATCCAAACTGACTCCAATCGAAACAACAACCGTCCTTGCAGCGTATTTATACTTCGTGCCAACATCTCGAACCTCAACCCTTACCCGACTATTGCCACTGCTATCAAATATCACCCGTTGGCGCCATAATACTCCAGAAATGGTTCGATGGGCGATTGAAGTGTTGTGGCCAGCTTTTTCCCTCGGTAGGTCCCGCGACCGCCGGTGAATCGACGACTCACCCGATGGCACGCGGAGTTTTTGCAACGAGCTCAACTGGCCTAGCGACGCATTCTTAGGCACGTTTAGAGAAGTTCGTGATTTTTCCATTCCCGCATGAACCGAAAATGGCACCATCGTCGCATGCCCGGTTGCTCAGAACCGTCGCGATGGATTCCCCAGAAGTCCATCAAATCGGAAGATATTCACAAGTTTTTATTGCATAGAAGTCCTGTTTCCTAGTCGCATCTCCGGACATCACCAGATGGGACAACTGTTTTTAGGCCGTGTAGAGCAGAAAGTGGAAAAAAAAAACAAAAAAAAAAAGTTCAGCAGGATTTGAACTAGCAGTACTAACCGATCGGGCCCAAAACCATCACCTTCGGTGAGATGGCGACGGCGACCAGATTTCTGGATGCCCTTTGTAGTGAGCCAGGAAAGAGGATTGGCGGGCCCTGGCCAAGGCTGTAGAAGCCTGATGTAGAAGCTTGATGAAGAGAAAACGGGCGCTTCGTAGAGTAGGAGAGAGACGTTTTTGTCAGCTATTAAGGTTCTGTCATCTCGACGACACACAGGGGCCAGGGTTTTAGCTCAGCGCCAGCCATCACTGTTGTTGGTTGGTGCTCGGTGCGCTCATATATACACTCTGTATGTAATTTGGTCGGTACACCTACAAGGTCAAACCACAGCCCCACTCTAGTGGTTATCAGGACCCGCTTAGACATGGCAATACCCTGGGCGGTTTAACCACAAGGGTAGTGTCAAAGAACAGCTCCAGGCGCAAGGTGTACAAACAACAATTGAGGGACGGGGCTATGGAGTTTGCCAAAGACCCCGGAACATACCCGCCCAATACTGGATTGCAGGTTGAAATCAGCTCTGTAGGCGTAAAACATGTAAACACTCACGTGAGAGCAGCCTTCCGTGACACGACAGAACTGAAGTAGGCCGGTGGACTGCGAGGGAAGTGATAGAGCAGCAGGAGGGAGAAAGAACGAGATATGAGAGAGGTCAAACGTGCTCCCACCGCTCCATCGGATGGGAGAGTTAAGAATATCGCTCGTTCGCGGCCCACGTGTTATTCACATGGTTCAGATAGAGCACACGTCACGTGGTGCTGTGTGTCAATCTTGCACTGGCGATGGCAGCACTGGCAAAGCCCGGCCCTCCCTCCGGGGAGCGCGCACCACCATTTTCCTCTGGCGCCGTTGTTTGGTCCTGATCCACTGTCACTGCCATTTGCGTCCAGCTCCTTGCCTCATTGTCTGAGGACTTCTTGTCTTCCTGCGAAAAATAGTATGTCACCAGTTGTCGCACAACCTTTGGCAGTGAGCAGGGTAGGGAAAAACCAAAAAAAAACCCTCATGGTGTGTGCGGACCAGAAGATCTCGAGACTAAGGTTAAGTCCGGGTTTTGGTAGGGTACGTGGCATGTGGCTATGGAGTAGCCTGGTGGTATTGGGCCGCTCTCGCCTGACAAATATGGCGGGCTTTGCTGTTGCAGAAACAAAATGGCACCATACTATACCACATTACGCACGAGGGCAGCAAATTCGAGGGTGTAAGTAACTAACTACCTGGTGGTTGAAAAAAAACCACACAGTCTAAAGGTTGTCTACCGTGCGAGCAGGAGGTGTCCATGAATGTATATAAAGGTGAGGAAATGGACCTTGGGAAACTGTAATTGTTGCTGATTTCGTTACTGAATTTGTTTCCTCAGAAATCATCTCACAGAGACACTCACTCACAGACAGAAACACTTTTCATATAATCGAATCATGGTTACCACAGTTGCTATTAACGGTTTCGGTAGAATCGGTAGAATCGTTTTGAGAATCGCTTTGGCCAGAAAGGACTTGAAGGTCGTTGCCGTCAACGATCCTTTCATCTCGGTCGACTACGCTGCTTACATGTTCAAGTACGACTCCACCCACGGTAGATACGACGGTGAGGTCTCTTACGAGGAAAACAGCTTGGTTATCGGTGGCCACAAGATCGCCGTCTACCAAGAAAGAGACCCAGCTCAATTGCCATGGGGTAAGCTAGGCGTGGACGTCGCCATCGACTCCACTGGTGTCTTCAAGGAGTTGGACTCTGCTCAAAAGCACATTGACGCTGGTGCCAAGAAGGTTGTCATCACTGCTCCTTCCTCCACCGCGCCAATGTTCGTTGTCGGTGTCAACGACCAAGAATACGACGGTCAAACCATTGTTTCCAACGCTTCGTGCACCACCAACTGTTTGGCTCCATTGGCCAAGGTCATCAACGACAACTTTGGCATCGAAGAAGGTTTGATGACCACCGTCCACTCTTTGACTGCCACTCAAAAGACCGTCGACGGTCCATCCCAAAAGGACTGGAGAGGTGGTAGAACCGCTTCCGGTAACATCATCCCATCCTCCACCGGTGCCGCCAAGGCCGTCGGTAAGGTCTTGCCAGTCTTGCAAGGTAAGCTGACCGGTATGGCTTTCAGAGTCCCAACCGTCGACGTTTCCGTTGTCGACTTGACCGTCAAGTTGGCCAAGGAAACCACTTACGACGAAATCAAGGCTGTCATCAAGAAGGCTTCCGAAGGTTCTTTGAAGGGTGTCTTGGGTTACACTGACGAAGACGTTGTCTCCACCGACTTCTTGGGTGACTCTCACTCCTCCATCTTCGACGCCGCTGCCGGTATCCAATTGTCTCCAAAGTTCGTCAAGTTGGTGTCCTGGTACGACAACGAATTCGGTTACTC